AAAAAAAAAAAAAAAAAAAAAAAAAAAAAAAAAAAAAAAAAAAAAAAAAAAAAACTATGCAAAAGGAAGCCGTTAACGCCCCCCGCCGCCCCTGTCTGCAGCTACCCGTGCCGTTGGGGGGGTTTTTTTTTTTTTCCCTCGCGGCGGCAGACGCCAGGGCACAGCAGCGCGCGGATGGCTGCAGGCAGGCAGGCAGGCAGGCGCCTTTAATGGAAAAAGGTGCGGCAAGCGGGGCCAATGGAGAGGCGCCAAGTTGGAGACGGCAAGCTGCGCTTCCGAGGAGGGCCCTTTTCTTTTCTACCCTACCCATTGATGCATGCATTGTTGTTTTGATTTCCCCTTTGTGTGGAAATCTCCAAGGTTGTATTGCTCAAATCATGGCCAAGACGGGATCGCAGGCGGCTGCTGCTGCAACAGCCCGGGCATCAGCCAAGCGCCCGCCCTCGGGCCGCCTGCATCAGGGACTGTATGCATGTACAAACGGCCTGCTTCAAGACGACTGATTGCGACGATGGTACAAGAACGAGCGTTTGAGTCTTCCGTACGTCCATTTGCTTTGTAAGTATGATAGCACAAGGCGCTTGCTCCAACGGCCCCCCCTGCCGTGTGTTCGTTACCATGTTCAATCGTTCCCTTTTCCATTCCAAAATAGCATCAGAGAAGAAGAACCCCCCCGTGTCGTTCAAACAATTGTTCAAAGTCCGCTCGCGGGGGGGAGGGAAAAAGTGCAGTTTGTTGGCCAAGTTACGGCCCCTTTCAATATTCCCGACCGACCGGTCCCCCAACAAGAGAAAAGAGGATTTTGTCCCTTGTCAAGTGTGCTGCTTCTATTCTAGGTGCCCAAAATAACAACCCCCGGCATTCACGGTGCTGGCTGCCCCGGCCCCCAAGTAACATCACGAGCTGCGCTGCTCCTTTCCCTTCTCTGGCCTCGACCGCTCGCAAATCCCACGCCATGCACGACGAGCAGTGTTTGGAGTGTTGGAGTGTACGTTATGTAGTAAGCCCCAGAATCCGAGAAAGCTCGTACTGGCTGCTGCGACCCTGCCTTCGTTCCCGTACGAATCGCAAACCGTCCATCTCTCCCAAACAAAAACAGTCTTGGGCCACCGGGCGTCAACATGGCATGCCCCCCCCCTGGCATCTGTGTCAGCAAAATGGGCACTCATTCGGCATCCCATTTCCCTAAAAGGGCGAAGTTATTGAAACAAGGCTGCCTCGTTTTTGAAGATCTCGCGAATCAGAGTCACACATCACCCAAGATCACCCGTGAGAAAGTAAAATATTTTCACCTTTTTTTATTGATTCGGGTGTCCTTTCGTTCCTTGCCAGCTTGCATCGCGCATGATCCTCGAAGACAACGACCCGTCATCTACGTCCGCAGCAGCCAGTCAGGCCGCCAGCCCCCAATACAAAGGAAACTCATTGAAATGTAAGTATGGCGCCCCAGGGAAATATTCCCTAGCACGCGTCGACTGCGAGGGGCAGCGAGAAAGGTGCTTCGTCCAGAAAAAGGGGAGGGACGGGAGCATCCCTCTGCCTCGACTAGACGCACGCTTGCACCTTGGTATATCTCCTTCCCTCTGGTAGTCTCGCAGTCAAGATAGAGATAACTCTCCCCTCCGTGCCGTGCCATCCACGTCCATCCCCATTCCGATATGATCATCGCAGGAAGGAAACACAATAAAAGCAAACAACGCCCGTCTAAGCCACAAATGCACGCAGTCCCCTCCGTGGTATCCTGGAAGCAAAGGGTAGTAGTAAGGGATGCTCCTGTCACATCGCCGGCAACAGTCATGATAGGGTCGGAAACGCGTGATGGCTGCGCGCCATGTCATTGCCATGTCAGCCATCAGCGATAAGCATGGATGTGCTTGCGTGACGCGTGTGTGTGCGCGCGCGCGCATTCAGTCCCACAGCAGGTCTTTCTCCTAGTGATATCCGTTGCTGTAGCTGGTGTGGTTTCCGCCGCCGGGCCGGGGGAAGTCCTCGAAGTAGGGGTGGTTGCAGGCCTGCTTGGCCGAGATACGACTGGCCGGGTCGTACACCAGCATCATCTCGAGCAGGTCCAGACCCTGCTCGTCGAGGTTGGTGCAGAGCACGTTGTCGTGGTCCCGGATCCACTTGGGGAACGAGGACTTGAAGTCCGGGTAGGAGGTGACGCCGGGCCAGACCTCCTCCGTAGGAGTGCCGAGCAGGCTGTGCGGAGATTCTGTTAGCAAACGTGCCCCCTCTCCCACCAAGAAGAGCAATTGGACTTGGGCTACGCACCGGAAGATCTTGAAGATCTCGTCGATTTCCGAGTCGCCGGGGAACAGCGGCTTCCTCGTGCACATCTCTGCAAAGATGCAACCGACCGACCAGATATCCACACCCGTCGAGTATTGCCGGCCACCCAAGAGAATCTCCGGCGCACGGTACCACAACGTCACGACCTCGTGGGTATACGTTCTAAGAGGGACTCCAAAGGCGCGCGCGAGACCGAAATCAGCCAGCTTCAGGTTGCCCTCACGATCAATCAGGAGGTTCTGGGGCTTCAGATCGCGGTGCAGCACACGATGGCTGTGGCAGTAGCGGACACCCTCGCATAGCTGGCTCATGAACTTCTTGATAATCGCCTCGCCGAGGCCCAGCTGGCTCAGCTTGACACCGGTGCCCTCGGGGAGCTGCTTGCCCCTGCCACCATCGGACTCCGGGAGCGCCTCCATGTACTTCTTCAGGTCGAGGTCGAGAAACTCGAAAACGAGGTAGAGCTTGTGGCCGTCGGCGTGGACGATATTGAGCAGGCGCACGATGTTGGGGTCGCGCATCTCCTTGAGCAGGCTGATCTCCCGGATGGCGGTCGAGGGGACACCCTCGTCTTCGGCCTCGAGCCGGATCTTCTTGAGCGCGACGATGCGACCGCCATTGAGGAGATCGCGCGCTTTGTAGACAACACCATAGGTACCTGAAGCAAGAAAGCATGTGTCAGGATGCTACCTCAAAATAGTCGCAGCAGTGACTGCTGCAAGAAGGCAGTTCAGTTGGCCTAGGGATAGAGATTACGTACCCTCACCAATCTTCTCTATTTTCTGGTAGTTCTCCATGGTGGTCCGTCGGAGTGGGTAAAGGAAAGACTATGCGCGCTGAAATACGGGATGAACTTGGAGAAGTCGACTCGTTTAAAGAATGAGATCACGACAGTCGGTCGTGTTTGTATTGTTCGCAGCGCGTGCGTGGCTCGAGGGCGAGGTCGTCGAGAAAAACGGATGTGGCGGGGCAGCAGAGGGTGATCAGAGACGAGGGGCAACCCTGGCGTGAAATGAGCGACGAAATAGCACTGATCAGTCAGGGATGGAGTTGGCGTGCTTGGATGCTAGTGATGGACGGCTCTCTCCATACTGCGGCGGTCGTGGTTTTGGTCGGAAGAGTGCAGAAGCTGGGGTGCCGGATCTGCTGTTTGTCGTGTCCCTCGTATTGCTGCCGAGATGGTTTGTGTGTTGTCAACTTGTCTAGTCGGGCCGTTGCTATTTTCAAATTGAACAAAATTCAGTGCTGGGCAGTCACAGACAGTGACGGTTGTTGTTTACAACAGTGCCCGATTCAGCGAGAAAACAAAGCCTCCAGCGAATGGAGACCACTAATTGACCTCACTAAACAACTGCGGGTCTTTGGTCGCGTCACTGGCGCGCTTCCTGCTTATCTTAGCTGTCATTTTCGCGACTTTAGGCGCTTATCTTATCGCACTGGAAACTTCATCCCACTACCAACTAGCGACTCCCAGCTGGCGGCCATCTGCCCCGCAAACTCACAAAAATCATTCGAGTCACAAGCTAGATTTCACAAAGAACGACAGTCGTGGTGAGAACAACAGAAAACTTCACTGCAATAGATTGGCTGGAGTTGCCTTTACAATAATAGGCTTGTGGCCTCAAAGGTCTGCTTGTCGATTCTCTCTGGCACCATTCCCCCCCCACATCACCCCACCAAGATGACGGTAGATATAAGCGAACTCGATGCCCACGAGCAGCCATCAGAGTACCTCAGGGCTTTATGGAAAACATGTTCGAAAGCAGACCAAGAGAGCCTCTTGGATGGAAACGATATAGATGACCTCCGTTCGCCTGCCAAGGCGTCAGAATTTCGTATCGCACGAACGATTCCAGTGGACACTCTGAATAAGAGCTTTGCGATACTGGATGGCCAGGACAAACCTCCAGTACGTGCGGCTGAAGACGCCAACGTATACTATCATCCTCTTCTCCCTGGTATGCCTCTAACCGCACCCTCGTCAGTTATCCTGTGACTCACAACTTTATAGGTCTCTTGATCGTACCGTCCTTGATACCCCCTGAACTTCAGAAAACCCTCCTCTCCCGCATGGTCCATGATGAGTTGAGTAATCCAAAGCATCAGACCAACATGCATCTCCACTTCAAGCTTCCATATCCCGACAGCTCTGCCTCTTTTTTCACTCATGAACCGGAAGGATCTGCAATGTTCGAGCCCAAAGACCCCGCCGTCCATAAGCCTCTCACGGTCAGAAAGGTCATGGAACGGAAACTTCACTGGGTGACGTTCGGTGGCCAATACGACTGGACAAACCGGGTCTATCCCGAAGAGCAGCCTCCAGAGTTCCCAAAAGACATTGCAGGTCTGCTCGAGAGCCTGTTTCCCGAAACACTTGCCCAGGCTGCCATCGTCAACTTCTACACCCCGGGAGACTCCATGATGATGCACCGGGACGTGTCTGAAGAAACCAACAAGGGGCTCGTGAGCGTCAGCATTGGCTGCGATGGGCTTTTTATGATTTCTCCCAACGACATTGGAAAGCTGTCTGAGGAAGATAGACCCAAAGACGAAAAGACGCACCTTCTGTTGCGTCTACGGTCAGGAGATGTAATATATATGAGCGAGGAGGCACGATATGCGTGGCACGGCGTGCCAAAAATCCTCAAAGGCACCTGTCCCGACTACCTAGAGGACTGGCCTGCCGAGGAGGACGGCAAGTTCGCCGAGTGGCGCGGCTGGATGAAGAACAAGCGGATTAATCTGAATGTACGGCAAATGAGAGACTAGGACGGCACATGCCTTTGAAGTCGCTTACATTAATGAGAATGACGATTCTTATGATGGCAATAGTCTACCTGAAATAAATGACTCTGCAAATTCCCTTCTACGATTTTCATCGAAAGGCTTACTTATTCCTTCACCTTTTGTATACTGTTAACAAGAAAACGTTCTTTCAGTGCGAAGTACTTTAGCTGCCCCCGCCCTGGCATATACAGACTTCTACAATCTTTAGTCCTAAAGAATCTCCCTGTTTCCTTCTTGCAAAACAATAATGACCATTCATATACCGCTCTCTAAACGCTTTGCTACAAGTATTTTATGCGCACAATATCCACGGTGTCTTCGCGTCAATGGTTAGCACCGAGCTTAGGTAATGTCTGCATGACGCGATGCCCCGATTAATAATGCCTCAACGTAAACCACATAATCATACCAGCCTGAGGTGTAAAGCTTCTCGGCTCTAAAACTACATGTTTGGCGATTTGGTCTGGGTGCTTTAAGTTCAAGATTGAGTATGCATCTCGAGGCATTCTTTGAGGTTTTCTATTGAGTCTACAAGGCAGACACACACACATACATACACACCATGTCGGCCACGACCACCAAGCCGATTCTGATCTCGGGCGCTGGCCTGGCGTCACTCCTCCTGGCCCAGTCTCTGCGGCTGTCCAAGATCCCCTTTCTGATCTTTGAGCGCGATGCATCGTTCGTCTTCCGCGCGCAGGGCTACCGGCTACGTCTGTCGTCCGAGGGCCTCGACGCGATCGAGTCCGTCCTGGAACCGAAGCACTTTGAGCGGTTCTGGGACGTCTGCGGCAAGACCGGCGGCAGCGGGTTCCTGACCCTCGACGCCATCACCGGCGAGGAGACCAGCCGGTCGGCGCCCATGTCGCTCAACTCCCGCGGGGGCCAGGTCGTCGGCGTGGCGCGGGGCGACATGCGCCGGGTCTTCGCCGAGGGCTGCGAGGAGTTCATCCACTGGAACAAGCGCGTGACGGGCTACGAGCTCACGACGGGAGACGGCGGCGGCGGCGTCGTGGCCCTCTTCTCGGACGGCACGCGGTCCGCCGAGGGCTCGATGCTCGTCGGCGGCGAGGGCATCTACTCGCGCGTCGCGAAGCAGGTCTCGGGCGGGCGGCTCAAGGTCTACGACACGGGCGCGCGGGGCATCCACGGGCAGGCGCCGAGCGCGGCCTTTGCGGGCCTCGGCGAGGGCGTCTTCCGGCTCGTCGACGCCTCGCGCCCGGGCGCCACCGTCTCCGTCATCACCAACGTGCGCTCGCGCGACATGCACGACCCGGGCGTCCGCTTCGGCTGGACGATGGGCGGGCACCCGGGCGCCATCCGCGCGCCCAACGACGACTACACCATCGTCGGCGCGCAGGCGGCGGACCTGGCCCGGTCGTTCGTCGGCGGCTGGCACCCGCGCTTCCGCCCGCTCTTCGACGAGATGGTCGAGTCCGAGGCGGCCTTCTGGAAGATCACCTGCTCCACCCCGTCGGGCGTGCCCGAGTGGCCCAGCGACCCGCGCGTGACGGTCATCGGCGACGCCGCGCACTCGATGACCCCCGCGGGCGGGCTCGGCGCCAACACGGCGGTGCGGGACTCGGCGCTGCTGGGCAGGCTGCTGCGCGAGGCCGGAGGGTACGCGCCTGGCGTCACGGCTGCGTACGAGAAGGAGATGAGGGTGTATGCCAGCCAGGCCGTGGCGCAGAGCTACGCTACGGGCAAGAAGTCGTACGGCTTCAACATAGACGAGGAGACGAGCCCTACTGTCTGAATCTTTGCCCGTGATTCACTCTGTGTGTTAGACCATCATAGCGTTGCAAGCAAGTATGTAGTTCAATAATGATAGAACAGATGATTTTGAACAACGACTTGTTCTGTCATTTCTGCAGGCTGGCATTGGGAAGTTGTAAAGGCAAAGAAAGCAATTGCTCTGTTGGTCGACAGCACATGCATAGCAGATATGTCAAGTAGAAGTCACGATTGTTGGCGGAAGTTCATGAGTAAATACATCAGTGTTAACAATGCATATCTGTCAGACTTAAAAAGGGGTTTCATCAAGTACAACCGTCCGCCTGGTAAAGAGATTCCCCCCCTGCCAGTGTGCCTCTGGCGGATTCATCCGACAATATCCTACATATCTGGAACTCATACGGGCTATCCGACTTCCTAAGCCAATAGATAGTCAAGTACTTCTGTTACCACCCTTTCCACAGGTCTGATAATTAATTGAATGTCCAGCACTGTTGTAGCTAGTCCTGATACGGCATGAGAAGCTGAACAAGAAGCGGCCGGGGGTTAGGATCGTGTGTGAGTGGGGAATGCTGCTGCATTCGAGCTTGAGACGACAATTCAGGGCAACTTTTGTCACTAGTGCAGGACGGCTCTCGTGGTGGCAACGCATCCTCGTCCCGCTCATGCATCTGATACGTCGTTCCAGATCTGGGGCAACTTTTCACGAACATGCCTCGATTCAGGGCAACTTTGCGCAAACGGACCCAGCGCGAATGTTCGACTCAATTATCAATCAAGTGGAACAAGGCGCTGTCTGTCCCGTTCAATTATCAAGCATATTGACCGTGAATGGCTTATAAAAGGCAAGGTCGTCCTGGAGCCAGGACGACCATGCCTGTGTTCTTCAGCGACTCATCCAATTCACACCCTCAAATCCACTCACAATGTCTGTCTACGTCATCACTGGTACATCAAGGGGCATCGGGGTAAGCTTTATCTTTGTGTAGCTGCTGTCAACCGTGTTGCGCCTAACCTCTACTACAGTTCGAGTTCCTGAAGCAGTTCTCGGAGGACCCCAAGAACCTGGTCATCGGCCTGGTCCGCGATAAGTCTGGCGCCGAGAAGAAGGTCAAGCAGCAGCTGGGCGACCGTGCCAATGTCCACATCCTCCATGGAGACCTTACCGATTACGCCAGCCTGAAGCAAGCTGCTGCCGACACGGCCGATATTGTCGGCGAGCGTGGCGTCGACTACCTGCTGGCCAGTGCCGCGTTCACGACGCTCTTTGACCAGTTCGACCCCATCGGCAAATTGCAAGTCCTATCTCTTCCGGTGCATCGCCTTGGGTGGACTCTGGTCTAACGTCGTCTGATCCAAATAGGGCCGAACAAGTCGAGGAAATTGATCGAGTTTCAGCCGAGCTCTACCAGATCAACGCCACCGGCAACATTCACCTCTTCAAGCTCTTCCTCCCTCTTGTGATGAAGAGCAAAACCAAGAAGGTGATCGCCATTACTAGTGGCCATGCAGATCTTGATTTGATCAACGACCTCGACATCGATGTTGCCGCTCTGTACTCTGCCTCCAAGGCCGCCTTGAACGTCATTGTGGCCAAGTTCAGTGCGCAGTACAAGAAGGACGGCGTGCTCTTCATGAGCCTCAGTCCAGGAGTAGTGGACGTGGGTCATTACGAAAATGGTACGTGTCTGTCTCTTTGTCATTGATATTGGTCTGTTTCGTTGTTGCTCCTAACACAGAATATCCACAGTTCCACCAGAGAAGCTGCAATCGGCGGCGGGATTCATGGAGAAGATGACCAAGTATGCGCCTCACTTCAAGGGCCCTGTGACTCCCAGCGAGGCTGTCACAGTCATCAGGTCGACCTTGGAGAAGGTCAGCATCGAGACTGGGTATGCTGGTGCATTTGTCTCGCACTTGGGAACTAAGCAGTGGCTGTAAAGCAAGGAGGAATCCAACCATCCTGTCCCAGACATTTTGGGACGATATAATTCGAAACTCAAGACGTATAACAGTCTCTTGTGACGATGTCAATGTATTCTTCCTTGAATATGGTGGACTTGGCTCTCCAGGCTCTATTCCATCAGTATGGAGCTAGGATAATACTGTATCAGAGTATAAGTAGCCTTTTCAAGGGAGCGATGGTCAGACTAGTGCAAGGGCTGTTAACAGGAATACTTAACCATCGATTGGAGGGGTGGGAATGCCCTGTAAGCTGTCAGCTCCTTCTCAGGTGTGGTCCTTAGTGTCCGAGAGCCGACCTCTAGCGCACCCCGGATGTGTGTAAGATGCATCGAGATCCACCGAAATGCTTGATAAGCACGCACGCATGGATGGGGTGTCATATACATGCAGCTCGAGTCGAACGGCCGCAAATGGGCAACTTTCTTATATGTATGACTTTCTAGAGCCTAGCTGGTCTAAGTCTCCACCATACTGATACTGACTCTATCTTGCACTACGGTCTTCAAGAAGCGCAACAGCAGCCGGAGTATTCGCTCCATCACAGCCATGGGGAAAGGCCAGATGACAAAAGCAGAGGCCGATTGTGCCACATGTAGACGTGAGTGGGAAGATACTGGGAATAGAACTCGAAACATGAGCAAGTCTCCTCTGACCAACCCTGTGTAGGCCGTGCCATCCGTTGCGATCGTGCGAGGCCAAACTGCTCGAACTGCACCCACGCCAAGCGCAAGTGCCAGTGGTACGGTCTCAGGCTGTCCTGGCCTCGCGACAACGACCGCCGGCGAGCCATCGTTTCCAAGCCGCCTCGGCCAGCTCACTCGGCCCCTACCAGCGCGGACCAGATCTCCGAGGCACGGTTTGTCCACACGTCGCACTGGGATATCGAATTATACAACAACCTGGCGGCCTCCTCTGACGCACGCACCTTGCCGCTGCTGGATGTGCCAATCATCTGGGACCCGTCCGATCTGGATATCTCGGACCGAGATCTACTGGACTACTGTACGTAGCACACAAATCCTGCGTCTCCGGCCGGCCTTGGCTAGTGGGTTGGCTTGCTGACTTCTCCTCTTTCCTGCCCTGCAGTCTGCCGCACCGCGTCCTCGTCCCTCGCCACCCTCGGCCACGACGCCACCGCCCTGGGGCACACCATAGTCCGCGTCGCCCTCGAGGCCGACACGCCCTCGGCCAGCGCCGTGCTCAAGGCGGCCCTGGCCTTCGCCTCGCTGCACCGCCACGGCTTCCAGTCGCAGGCCCTCGAGCTCAAGATCGCGGCGCTGCGCAGCCTGGCCCGGTCGGCGGTGGCGCCGAGCCCGGGCCTGTGCCCGCGGGAGACGGTCCGCCACGTCGCGGCGGGGATGCTGCTCTGCTCGTTCGAGGTGCACCAGTCGTCGTGCACGTCGGGCCAGTGGACCGGGTACCTCGCCGGGGTCAAGACGGTCGTCGACAGCGCGGCGTCGTCTGCCCGGGGGCTGCGCGAGGGCGACCCGGACTTGGCCGTCCTGCTGGACTGGGTGCGGTACCATGACACGCTCGCTCGGTTTTCGCTGCTGTACTGGAGCAGGGGAGGGGCGCCTGAGCTGCCGTTGAATCCGAGTGGGGGTCTTTTCTATCCGCAGGTTTGTGCATGAGGCTCCCACATGATCTTTCTGTCCCGTTAGTTTTGACATTTGAGTTCTTAGGTTTCCAATCTGGGCTCGCCTATTGTCTCTATGCTAGATATGCTCTCCCAGGTATGCGAGGTAATATCTAGTGTCAGCATTCCGTCGAAAGCGAGCGACAGCGCAGATGACTTCAAAGGGTTTCTGGAGGTGATTGAATGGAGGATACGGAGTTTGTCGATACCCAAGGCAGTGGCGGATGACAGTGATGCCTCGGACAATGAGACGTTGGTGTTGCAGCTGTACCAGCTTGCGATGCTGATACACCTCCACCGACGATCTGAAGGCTTGCTCGACAATCCACTCAAGACGCAACAGTACATCGACCAGGCCTTCGGTATCATACCCCGATTGAAGTACTGCAAACAACAATTCCCCGTTCACGTCATTGGCTTCGAGGCGAGAACCGATGAGCATCGAGTGATCATCCTTGATCTCATTGCTCGAACGGAGAAGATGAGTCTGTCGCGATCCTTCAATTACTGCAAGGTGATACTACACGCTGTCTGGGCGCAGGACGACCTTGCGTATAGGAGCAACGTCAGCTATCAGGAGAAGTTGACGTCGGTGATGAATCACTGTAAAGTAGTTCCTAGTTTTACGTAGAGAAGTCTCAGTATGAGCGGAGAAGTTCGCAAGCCCACACGTTTTCATTCATACATGACGAACATAAAAACACACAGATCTTTCAACAATGCTCCTTCCAACCTAAGCATCGACTTAGATACGCCGAAAGCAGTAGTGTCAGGCCTACGACCTCCTAGAGCCGCCAAAGCCCAGCGCAATCCACCCGCCGATGAAGCACAGCCCGCCCAGTGGCGTGACGGGGCCCATCCACCGGAACCGCGCCGGGTCCAGCACGAGCGCGTACAGGCTGCCGCTGAACATGGTCATGCCGGCCGTGAACAGGCCCGCCGCGACGGGGTTGTCCTTGGCGACGACACAGGCGACCGCGTGGATGAGCTAGACCGATGATTTGTCTCAATGTCAGAAAGCGGCCGCGAACACGTCATTGACGATATCACGCAGAGAAAGCGACGGCTTTTGAGGCCCAGAGGAGAAGAAACTGGGAAGGAAATACACGTACGTGGTACTGCGCGGCCGTCTGCCAGTTGGCCAGGCGCTGCGGCTCCGAGATGTGCTTCTTGAGGCCGTGGGCGCCGAAGGCGCCGAGGCCGACGGCCAGCGCGCCGTAGACGGCGCCGACCTTGAGCCAGGTGTTTGCGGAAGAGGAGGAAGACATTCTCGGGGAGCTTGTGCCGGAGATCAGAGGCGTGGACTCGTCGGCTGTGTTGGGCATGGTTCGACGGGGCGGTCGCGGCGGTGGTATGATTTGAATTGATGGGGGATTTGATGGAGGTGAAGACGGAGATGGACGGAGATGAGGTTGGCACACGAAGTGGGCCTTTGTGCCTCGTGTTGAATCAGCTGGTGGCACCTGGCATTCAGCATTCAATTCGTCATGAACTCTACGTCTTGACGTTTTGTACCACAACATATTCATTCGTACCATGGTCAATTCTGATGAATAGAGGGACAAGTCCGTATTTGAAGAGAACTTTCCTCCAGGTAGCACATTCAGTTCAGTTGAGAGCGAGACGTTGCTCACACAGAGATCCCCACTTCAGTTCACCGTCCAAGCAGTGTCTATACAAACGAAAAGCCGATTGCGAATTGTCGTCTCTTTGTTCCACGCTCAGAGTCCTTCCATGAAGTAAAACTCTTCAATGGTATTTCAAGAAGTAATATTCCCAAGAACCAATGGAACTGATCAGAAGTTTCTGTCTCAACTAAACAAAGAGAATACCGGAGAACGAAATATCCGATATATACGAAAAAGGTTCCGTATTCGACACAATCCCCAAAATCTGCTCGCCGTCGATGACTGCGGGCGAGCCGTTCTTCATCATCGCCACGTACTTGACAAGCCACCAATCTCCAAACCATTTCTCCTTATCATGAAAGGGCCTGAAGCGGCACAAGGTCAGGCATCCGTCGCCATTCAGGGGCGCGTAGACGAATATAGGATGGCCCAGAAAGAACTGCTCCTCATTGCCATGCTTGACCTCGATCTTGGAAGAGTCAACCAGCTTGCCAGACTTCTTCAGCTTCTCTTCCTCAGATCTACCACATATAAACTCCTTCCTTAACTGCTCGGACTCCTCGTCGCTACTGACACTGTCATCGATGCGTAACGAGACGTTCCCGTACTCGCATTCTAAGTGCCAGGTCCGGATCATCGGGAAGAGGAGCTGCGACAATAGCAGTCCGCCATTCCCACCGTCCCGGAAATTGTGCGGGGCCGGAGAATCAGTCTGTGTCTCAATATACTCGCGTTGCATGACCGGCTTGTATATGGCAAAGTGGGGCCGGCAGATTGTGACCACCCAGTCGTCGAATTCGAGGAAGTAGTCCTCCGGAGGATCGGACGGTATTACCTTGATCCCGGCATGTAAGCCCCAGTACTCTGGATTGGTATCGGGCCGCCACTTCTTCATACCGAGCCACTCCTCGGTTTCAGTAACGTCGGTTCTCTCACGGACGCGTTCAAGGTGTTCAAGACAGAAGCTCTTGATATCTTGTGATTGCTCAAAGTATTCAGGTTGAATGTGGATGTCGAATCTCAAGCCATTATTATGGACCGAGATGATGAGGTGGTCGGCGTAGCGGTTGATGCGTCTCCAGACGATAACTGGAGGGCGTACGCTGGGGGGAGCTGTGTTCATGGAAGCCGTATCCATCTCGATCTGCTGTATTGATGATATTCTCGATGCGGGAAAAGCCTTGTGATATTTCTGATCGAGTGCCGGCAAGAGCTTTTATACTGTCATCATTAGTCCTTCTTGTTCGAATTCAGGGAGTCCAAACATCGAAAACAACGTGCCTAAGAGTAACAATAGGTCAAACTCTACGCAGGTCTTGGAATAACAAAGGAACCTGATACTCATCCACATCCAGGACTCAGACAGTTATTAAGTATCAATTGTTTATTAACTTCCAACTTCAGCATTTCATGAGTCCAGGGCTAAGCATCTGCATTTTCAACATCCCTATTTGTATGCCTATTCTATGTATGTGTTTATGACGAGCTTGATCGCCTCACTCCTGTTTGGGGGGAGGGGGGGGGGCTCCAAGTCTAAGATGAATTCACGAGAGATAGGGTGCTTCATGACTGGCAGAGGGCCTGAAGGCTGCCATTGTCGACTACACTTCACTTGTACGAGAGATTGGCCGTCCGACTTAGGAACAAAGGGTAGCTGGAACAAGATCTTTGTTTGTTTCAACTGGAATGGCTATGTCTCAGCAGATCATCTTTGTCCTCGGACAAACAACATCCTTGATGATGTCATGCGTAACAACGATATGCTACGGCTTAACCACTGCTTGTGGTCAGATAAAGAGCCTTCGACAGTGAATCTATTGCAAAGGCAACCTTTAACTATGTGTAGGTCGGCCAGTCACGAATCCTAAATTTTGTAGATCATCCCCTTCTTCATATAATCAAGACCCTGCTCTTCCCAGGTCATTGTCCTCGAGCAAGCCTTGTTTCCTTGTACACCCCCATGACTCATGAGCATCTCTTAAGACAGGTGTTCTGAAATAAGCCCCTCATAATGAGGCTTAACTATTCAAGCATGATCCGTCGTTAGGCATCATCAAATGAGCTATGATACCATTCACAGGAGGTCAAACAACCTCCGTCAGGAAAGGCAACTCCTCCCCAGGCGTCATTGAGCGCAGATTAGGTCCTTTCGCTACATCCAGAGCCTTTGCAAGGACCAGCGCTACATTCCTTGCCACTACACACTTCAAGTCAGCGAACTCCGCAGAAAAGGCAGTTACCATCCCTGTAAGCACTTACTATCGGACTTCTTCCCGAGGAACCACAGGGCCCGTGTGCACTCTTCACATCTCCGCAGGGAGCTCAGAATCATCTCTCTGCCGTAGCCCAATATGTCCTGCTGGCTCTGCACCCCCATGTCGGCCGCCGCCTGCAAGTGGAGCATGGCCGCCTTTGTGAAGGCTCGGATGAGGATCACGGTCCACGGCTCCGTCAGAACAGCGCCTTCTTGGACGGCAGAATGAAAAGTGGGCAGCTGAGGTTCCGTCTCTATGTGCCCTGACCCGCCCGGCGTGGCAACTCTCGCCAGGTCAGAGAGCTGGCCCGCGCTAGACTTCCTGATGCTGGCCACCGTGTGAGCATTGAGGCGTGCCTGCGTTGGCACTGGCAGACCTCGCTCGTTGTCGTCAACCAGTTCGATCAAGTCGGCAAGCATCAGCGAGGCGAGATGCCAATGGGACGAGATACAGACGAACCAGCCCCGGATACGCGCCGGTACCGAGCTATACTGCTCGACGAGGTCCTGGAAGAAGGGCCCGTAGGTGTTGTTCCAGTATCTGTAGACCAAAAGCGCATCCTGGATGCCGTCCTCTATTGGCTTCCCGGACGTCTTCTTGGGGGTCCTAACCATCTTTTGGAGGTAGTGAACATATCGGTAGAGGAGGACCTTCACTGGCGCGGACCTTGTCACCATCTTGGCGGCTTCGTCGTAGGAGCAGGGCCAGCGCAGTTGAGACCGGGATGAGCGCTCCGGGTTGTCCTGGATGAACAAGTCTATCCGCCATCGGTGGCTAGGTGAGCTCTTCTGCTGGGACGACAAGGATTGTGTTCCCTCCTCGATGGACACATTTTCTGCTGCCTCGTGTTGGCTATCCTCGTCGGCGACTACCACCGGCCTCTCATTCACCGATGACGAGAGCGTATCGAACATAACTGCCAGCCAAAAGAGCAGAGCGATTGTCTCCCTGTCTTGTGAACTTATGGAATTCGGAGCATTCCCAGACGACACTGGCCGATCACACCGACGTGATACGTCCGTGTCATGCCAATCGAACTTGAACTTCAAGGCGTGTATCTTTCGAGCTGCCCTCTCCATGAAAATAGGTGGCCCTTCCTTTGCCAAAATGCTACTAATTTGAGACAAGACCGGAGCGTGGGTTGGATCTCTTGCTCTGTCAGTTTCAGGTAGAGTCGTGCTGCTCTTCTCTGATCCTGGTATAACTCCCTCCTCCCAAGGCTCCTGCGTCAGCCCAAAGATCAATTCCGCACAGACGACCCTAAACGACTCTATATCCACACAGTCTTGCAGGGCGTTTCGAGCCTGCTCCCACAGAGAACGTTGAAGATGACGATCAAACTCTTCTGGCAAGCTGCCGAACTCCGCATTCAAAACGTCGGGGCCATAGAACTCTCTCTGCCGTTGACTGTTATGCGCCCATTGAGTCGCAAATGCCATGATGACGAGGTGGAGAGCCCGTTGAACCTTCTGGTTCTGAGTTGCTGTGAGATGTATGAGCCTCTTCGACTGTGCGATGCGATCGAGTTCGATGACACGGGTGTATATCCTGTTGGACCACTTGTCGCCCTGATATTCTTGTCTTGTCCCATCCCTCGAGGTGTCTGTCGGGCTAGCAAGGAGCCCCTGTGCATTCGCAAGACCCTGCTTCAACCGATAATCTCCCTTGTACGGACATGTCTCTGGCGTGAGCCAGCAGGAGAGATTGTGTTCCAGAACGTCGTGGTAAATTTGGAGAAGGTTCTGCGAAATACCGTCCTGGTAGATCTTGGTGATCATTGCTGAGTCCACAGTCGGGGGCGTAGAGAAGGACTGCCAGCGTCGAGATGGCGAGAAGAGTTCATCCGATGGCGAACAGGATAGCACGTCCCGATCGTCTAGGACGGAATATGCTAGACCTCCCAGACTCCCGCCCGAGACAGATGAGTTCGCATAACCCATGTCTCGAAGATCCGGGTACGTGACTCTTCTTTCAGATGTTTGCGCAATGCACTCTTCTTCAGTATTTGAAACATCAGCGAACGACCCAAAAACATCCATCTTGTCATTAGATATGACTTGGTAGCCCCTTGAATGTTCGAAACCGACACTTCCATCGAGCCCCAAAACCGGGCATCCGCTGTCTCGGAGGAATGTATCGATGCTGGCAGAAAACGCAGGCTCGCTTTCGAGCGATGACCACTGCGATCCCATGACATTGGTCCAGAGCGGCGCCTCCGGGGAGCCCAGGGAGGGAAGTGGCCGGCTATGACGCATTGCCACGTCGGCACTGCCACTGATGTCCGAAAAGGATGTCTCTGAATGTGACGAAAAGTTCGTTCGACGGCGTTTATTTCTGGAAGATTCGCTTGACCGAGAGGGCGCGGATGCAACGGCTTTGAGTTGCTGTGAACGTGCCCAGTTCATTGTGCACCGCTTTCTAGTTCTGAGGCAATAGGAGCAGGGGATGGGTGCAGAATCCAAAGCCCTGATTCTCATAACTGTCTCGTATTAGCTATGAGCAGAAGCACAACGCGACCAGTGACGAGAGTTGCGACTCACTCGCTCCGAAACCAGGAGAGGGCCATTCTGACTGTTCGACTACAGCCCCGTGAGGTGAATGGCCCGTATCGCTACCATCATTTGGGGAGTCCTTGAGAGACGGTGCATTACAAGCCCTTTTCGCCTTCCTGCACTGGTCACAGGAATGATTCTGGCGCCTCATCCCTCTGGTATCTCTCGTCGTCTTCGACTAGACTGGGGTGTGACGCGGTATCCGTTCTACAGTACAAGTACGTATCTGTGAAGGAGCGAAGGATTGAGCGAGTGGAACACAGATCTAATCTTGAGAAAGAAGAGGGAGGCAGGACGGCGCTTTCAGCCAGGGGGGAGCGGGGCCTCCGGTATTCCGAACAAAATGCTGCCCCGGGTCGCGTCAACACCCACAATCCCCGCACCGCGCTAAGGTGGCTGTGGGGATCACTCACTCTGTGGGGGGGGGAATCCGGATGGCTTGAGAGTTGAGATTTCACTTGTGACATTTGCTGTGTTGGACCAACAGGAACATTCCGTCTGGTATCCAGCACCGGATACCCCCGGTCGTCCGGCCCAGCTGACAATGAGGTCAACCTCCCTACAGACCTTCACGGAGAGGCATGCACTTAATCACTCCAAGAAGTTACTTGATTAATTATTGCACAAATTCGATGTGATAAACATTCAACAGAGCACTGCCATCTCGCTATTTACTCTCTCTCAGACCCTTGTATACTTCCGCCTCGACTCCGACCCAAAGGCCAAGAACTTTGGCATCGGCAAAGGGCAGAATCTGTGTGCAGACCATTCCAGCTACGCCATTCTCACGATCACACCACCACCACAGGTTGGGGAGCCCGGCCCAGTGACCAGTTGTCTTGGAACGGCCCGTCGCGTCGCTGTTGGCGAGCATGAATGTGAGACCCCAGCCTTGGGGAGGGTTTCCCGCCGCTGGGTACAGCTCCGGGATGCGGTTGGTCAGGTCGGGCTTTGCGTCCGGGATAACCTGCCGGCTGGCGTTTGGAAAGTTCGGAATCTGATTCCGGAACATCTCGTCAACCGTCTCCTTTCGCAAAAGCTTCACGCCTGTCCGAGGGCACGTCCCATCGTTGAGTAGCGCGGCCAGCACCTCTGTGTGAATTGATTGATCAGCACAAGAGAGATTGCATCGACGAGCATGACAAGCTCACTGGGGAAGGAAGTTTTAGCTTACTGCAATATTCCTGGGGTTTGGCAAACATGCCAGCACCGCCACTATTGAAGACAGCCTTGACTGCGGCACTGTCATTGGGATTGACCACCAGGGGTGACCGAAGCAGGTGATCCCTCGGCCTGAGAGTGCCGTCTTTCTCTCTGGCATGCATGTAAGCCAGCTTGGCTCGCATTTCAGGGGTGGGAATCATGGACATATTATTGAGTCCAAGCGGCTGGAGAACATGCTTCTGCAGATATTCGTTCAGGGTGAGACCTGTAACTCGCTCGAGGGCAATACCGGCCCAGTCGATGTTAGTCTGTGTCAGTACGTCGGCGTTAGCAAATTCCGTATCGCTGACGACTCCATTCGCGTGAGAAGCGCATAAATTTGTCATAACATACCCCGTACTCCCAACCCTCTCCTGGCTGGAACAGAAGGGGCATCTTCATATCCTCGAATCGGCCGGAGAACTCATCCAGGCCTACTGGAAAGGCCCAGTCTCGTAGCCTTTCGTTGAAGAAGGAATAACCAAACCCGGCTGTGTGAGTAAGAAGCATCCTCAAAGTGATGGCATTCTTCTTCTCCTGAACACGACCATCTGGAAGTAGTACCTGAAGCTTCTTCAGTTCAGGACAAAGGTCCTCTAGCTGTTTTCCGTCATCAAGCTTCAAAACGCCCTGCTCCACAAGCTGCATGCAAGCCACACCCGTAAGCATCTTGGTGCACGAGGCGATCCAGAATACGTTGTCGAGTGTCATGTCTTCGTTGGTCGCGAGACCTCTTTTCCCAGCGGAGTGGGCGAACAGGTCGTTGCCATCCTTGCCGACAACAACAACTGTGGCACCAGGGAGATCGACTCGAGGGTCTGAGCAAGAGCCCTCCACGAGGTTTCGAAGATTCGCTCGAGTTTGCTCACTAAGCGTCATTTTGGTTCAAGCAAAAGACAGTCCTTGGTGTGGAAAGAAGATGATCACGGTGTTCTGTTCTGCAAAGGGTTCTGCTGTCAAACAAGCCGCGAGTGTCTGGTTGATAGCCCGTCGTGATACTGATATTCCCGCCTCGAGTCCGGCATCGACGCAGGACATCCATGCAGCCATATGCAATAATATCAGGGTTCCCCCGCATTGACACCTTCGAAGTCTGGGGTGACGACACCCGCGGCTCCCTGCAATGCAACAGCGGCTCCGCGAAGATGGGGGTAGTCATGAAGTTGGAGTTGCGGTTCCGCAAAAGAGTGGAGAACTCGGCATATGCAAAGCGAGACAGCCAGTCCAATGAGACGCCAACCATTCCGCAAGACCATCGGAGCCGAGGTCCAAGATCATATTCGCGAATCAGATCGCGCGGGTAGTGCTCTCGAGACACAGTTGAGCGGCTGTCCGCGGGGCCGCAATTTCAGTACTGTAACTGGACACTGTGATCGGCGTCGGGCCGTGTGATTGTACTACGCAAACACGGGCCTGAGTTGTAAGTGGGTGTGATGCTATGGTAGTAGTAATACACGAGCCTCAGAGAGGTTGCTACGCTTCTTCGGTAATCGGTAGTGTATATGCTTGTATTGTTGACGTAGGCATTGTACGCTGTGCGACTTTCCAGGGTGTCACGTCACGCCTGGCAAAGGATTGAACATTTAGACCTACGTGTATATAAATTCAGAGCATGTCCTACATCCAGGTTGAATTACAGAGATATCTCACAGACAAAGCTTTCAATTTACATTCGACCACTGACGCATTCGCTGGGTAATAACACCATCTCTCCGACAACATGAAAGAGCAAGTTCTTTCTCGCCCAAAGAAGTTCAATACTGAGCTTACGGATTATTCCGTCGCCAAGAATGAGGCGACAGGTCCATATGCCAAGGATCTTGAGGTTGATGCCCTCGTTGTCGGTGCCGGATTTGGTATGCTCTTGCCATGCGGGGGCGCGAAGTTATGATGCGCGAAACTGACTTCAATTCTAGCCGGCATCTTCATGCTCAAGACCCTCCGTGATCGGGGTTTGAAGACTGTCATATTCGAAGCAGGCAACGATACGGGTGGCACCTGGCGATGGAACTGCTATCCCGGAGCAGGTGTCGACTCAGAGGTGCCAGAGTACGAGTTCTCCTGGCCAGAAGTCTGGAAGACTTGGAACTGGACCAGCAACTATCCCACTTACCAGGACTTGCGGGCCTACTTTGATCACGTCGACAAAGTCCTCAACATCAAGAAGGACTGTGCCTTTAATACCGTCGTTGTCGGCGGGCATTTCGATGCTGACATTGGACGCTGGCTTATCCGGACCCAAGACGGCCGGACGACGAAGGCCAAATATCTCGTTCTGGGTACCGGTTTTGTAAGTAGTGATCTCTGACTTCGTTCGTGTCCGTCTCGTGACAACCCATGACCATGTTACTAGATTTTAACTCAAAATATCTTATGATCAAACCTATGCTGACTCCTCATCATTGGCTCATAGTCTGCTCGGAGGTATATCCCAGACTGGCCGGGGATGGACAAGTTCAAGGGTGTCATCCACCACTCTTCCTTCTGGCCAGAGGAGAAAGTCGAAGTCAAAGGCAAGCGATGCGCCGTTATCGGCACCGGCGCAACTGGAGTGCAAATCGTCCAGGCTTGGGGCCCTGAGGCCGAAGAGGTCAAGGTCTTCCAGCGGACTCCCAACCTGGCAGTTCCCATGCGCAAGAGGCCTCTCACCGTAGAGGAGCAGGAGCGCAACAAGAAGTTCTACCCGGAGCTTTTCGGGTACCGCGAGAAGAACTTCGGCGGCTTCCTCTACGACTGGGCGGAGAAGAACACTTTTGACGATACACCCGAAGAACGCGAGCAATTCTATAACAAGGTTTGGGCCGAGGGTGGGTTTAGATACTGGGTGGCATTGTACAAGGACAACCTCATGAACGCCGATGCCAACCGCGAGTCGTACAAATTCTGGGCCAAGAAGACGCGAGATCGGATTGGTGACCCCAGACTGAGGGACCTCCTGGCACCTCTCGAAATGCCGCACTACTTTGGAGTCAAGCGGCCGTGCCTGGAATACAACTACTATGAGCAGTTCAACAGGCCTTCTGTGGACCTGGTCGATATCAAGGAAAACCCGATCAAGGAGTTCACCGAAACGGGTATAACCCTTCAAGACGGAACTCATCACGAGTTTGATGTGGTCGCAGTTGCGACTGGGTTTGTAAGTCCTATCGTTATGTCCGTTCTGAAGGCTGCATCATTGAGCTGCACTAACTCTCTCCCTTCTGATACAGGATATTGTAACAGGGGGTATGTAGCCATTCAGGCCCTCTGTCAACGAACTACACATGTACTAACTGACTCCGCAGTCATGACTCAACTGGGACTGAAGAGCCTGAACAACACCGCGCTGCAGGAGGAGTGGACCTCTGGAGCTACGACTTATCTCGGCCTGACTGTCAGCGGCTACCCCAATATGTTCCACATCTACGGCGTCCACGGGCCGACGCTTTTGAGCAACGGCCCGTCGACGGTGGAAGTCCAGGGTCGATGGATTGCGGATGCTATCGACAAGATGGAGAAGCAGAACATCAAATATATCAACCCCAAACCTGAAGCAGCCAAGGAATGGAAGCAGCACATTCTCGACCTCAACAACAGGTCCCTCTTCCCAACCGTCAAGTCCACTTACATGGGCGGAAGCATCCCGGACAAGGTCTTTGAACCTGTATGCTACTCTGGGGGTATCCCAACCTACAAGGCGGAGATTCGGCAAGCCTTAGATGATATGGGAGGGTTTGAGGTAGTCAAGGCTCCTTCGAAATGAGAGTTCGGTCTGGCGAGTGGATGTAGGAGGAATATTGGAAGCACATTTGGGCAACGTCGGAACTTTTCTTAGTCTTCAGAATGCGAAAGTCTATTCTTGCTTATCATACACGAGAATTTTCCGCCCAAACGAGAAGTCGATTGCCATGTGGCGGCTCTCTGTCCCACCATCTAGTCCCTTCCGTGAATTTCTCCAACATCTCTAGGCAGGATATCCCCGAACACCAATGGGAGTTCCAGTCTCGTCTAAGCGAAGAGCATTCCAGAGAACGAATGATCTGAATTCGACACAATAGCCAAGACCTGCTCGCCTTTAATGGCTGTGGGCGAACCGTTCTCTACCATCTTCAGGTACTTGACAAGCCACATCTCGGCATAAGCCAAGTCCTGAGGAGAAAACATCCGGAAACGGCACAAGGTGAGGCGTCCGGTACCGTCAAGGTCCGCATAGACAGTGACAGGACGGCCCAGAAATACCTGCTCCTCACCGCCGCCGCGCTGGAGCTCAATCCTGGCAGAGTCGACCATCTTGGCGTACTTCCAGAGCTTCTCCTCCAGCAATCTATCAACAAAGTGCTTGGGAGGCGTCAAGTAGCCCCGGTGGCTATCGATCCGGTCATCGATGCGGATCGAGAAGTCCCCGTACTTGCATTCCATGTGGCCGGTCCAGGCCATGGGGAAGAGGTACTGCGAGAGCAGCGGTCCGCCGTAGTAACCGCCACGGACATTGTCGGCGATGGAGTTAGGCGGGAGGACCGGCTTGTACTTGGCGAAGAGGGGCCGGGAGATCGTGACGATCCACTCGTCGAATTTGCGGAAGAAGTCCTGCGGGACCGGAGGATCGGACTGTGCCTCGACCTCGGCGCGGTGCAAGCCGAGTTGATCACGGATGCCCTCAAAGTATCGAAGACAGCGGCGCTCTTCAGTCGGCGACTGCTGGAAGTGCGCAGGTTGAATGTGGATGTCGAACCTCATGCCATCATACTGGACCGAAATGATGCAGTGGTCGGCCATGCCGGCGTGGATGTGTCTCTGGACGATATGCGGCGGGCGCACACCGGCTGCGGCTGCGTTCATGGAGGCCGCGTCCATCTTGAGTTGCTGTATTTGATGATGTTGTCGATACGGTAGAGATGCTATGACTTGGTTGATGAAGGAGACGATATCCAGCAAAGCCTTGGGCGCTGGCAGAGGTTTTTATACTCTCAGCAGCACTTGTTCTACGTGTTCACGACGAGGAATATTGGCTCACTATTGCCTAGGGTTCAACTCTAAGATGTATTCACGATAGTATAGATTGCTTGATTATGGGTGAAGTGTCCGAAGGCTGCGATTGTCAACTACACTTCACTTGAATGAAACATCAACCATCCGACCTCACTGAGATAAAACACTTGGAACGAAGAGTGGCTGATACAATTTGTCTATTTGGTTTGACTGGGATGGATACGTTCGAGTCGACCATCATTGATTGATCTTTGTTCTCGGAAAAGTAACTTCCTTAAGATCGTCATTCACGATAAGCTAATTTTTCACCACAGCACATCCATGAATTACTTTGTTGTGACCAGAAAAGGAGCCTTCGACAGTGAATCTATTGCACAGACCACATTCAACTATGTGTAGGTCGGCCAGTAACAAATCCTACACTTTGTAGATCATCGCATTCATGTCATCAAGACCCCGCCAGGCGACAATCTCACCAAGCTATGTTCAATGGTTATTGGGAGCCATTGCACGAAAAATAGACAATGGTAAGTATCGATTGCTTGAAAGAAGATAGAGCCAGAATCTGTCAGAGGCCGAGGGTAGCTGCCGAAGGATCAAGTGTTGTACTTTCCCGAGACAAGGAGAATAACAACAGTGCTTTTCAAGTATGAGCCTTCTTATTTCAACCAGTTAGTTCGTTGACCTTTCCTAAGATTGGGAACTACGTAGAGCAGGCTCAGCTGGAGCTGTCTCTGGTTTTGTCAGTGCAGTGCCCTGTGGCGCGTCGCATACGATGGCCTGTTCCGTGGGCGGGCGATTAAGGGGTAGGGATCTGTTAGTCGTTTGCTTGGATGTATCATAAGTCAGGATGACTGCCACTGCCAAGTTACCAAGGACAAGGTCTAGAAAGCTGCATTGTCTATTGATTGATCTAATTCAGTCGTGTTTTTGTTTTGTGATCTCCAATTTCGAGGTTCAATGTTGCTCAGCACCTGGACTAGACCTATTCAACACCACCAACTGTGTCAAGAGCGGTGTCTAGAACCCTGAAAATGTCTTTAGAAACAATTGATTGCAGTCAATGCCTGACCAAGTGGAAAACACAGCGCGCGAAGATGGACTTCGGGGAGGTTTGACGCCGGCGGCGACAGAAGGTAGATGGTCACGCTGCACGGGATACCTTGGAGCTGCAAAGTAACCCAGATCCGTGGCCGTGTGGCAGGCGAGCGGGTAGGACGGGATCCCGCGCCGGTCGCACTCTGGTTGGCGGGAAAGTGTCTGAAAGGTGTCTCGTAGGCCACAGGATGCATGCGTCAACAGGCTGCGGGCGGGTCACACGCTCATCAGCCCAGGTCGCCACGCCCGCACATGTGCGAAATGCTCGCCTTACATTTGCATCTTTCAACGGGTGCGACTCTGTTTGTCTTGTCTGAATTTCACTCCTCCAGGGTTGAGAAGAAGTGCAGTTTCGCATGGTTATACGCTGGCTACCCCGTATACCTAGGTAGATATATGACTCAAATGTGGTAAATGAGACAAGCTCAAACCCAATAGTTCCAGAAGCAAAGTGCACTGTGGCGTCGCGATTGTTTCCGGTTGATCAAGGCTATTGCTCCGAAAGAGCGGTAAGCAAAGGGGCGGAAGCACGAGTGACATTCTCCTGTGCAGCAAATGGTCGAATGATGATGTCTGGCCTCGATGAATTCAAGCCAGAGTGGAGTCGGGCCGGCCACCAGCAGCCCATAATGAAAGGCCGGCCGAGTGTAGCACCACCTGATAACTCGGGTTCATTATGCTTCGGGAGACACAAAAGTCCCCTGGGGAGCATTGGAGTTGCAATGCTGCCGATATCTACCTGGCTTCAAGTTGTTCTACCTCTAACAATTGGGCCATTAAAATATTATTAATCTCCCAATTTCAGAGGTTCTCCTTCGTGTTCAGTGCTGTTGGCTCCCGATTCTTATCTAATCGGGTCTGTCCCGCACTAACTACCTACCTACCTAGGTAGGCTCGAGGTAGGTAGACCATCGAGACACGACACGCACACGCGAGTTTGCCTAAGATACCTGTAGGGCTACCTACGGTAGGTACCTTACCTCAGCCTCCAGCTTGCAGCTTCCAAGGCAGCTGCCAGCTGTCGCAAGACCCCGTTGAAATTTGGGGGTTGAGGGGGGTCTGGGGCGACGGCTTTAGCGCTAAACGCCCCGACGGGTCCAACTAAAAGAACTGCCCAAGTGGAATCCATTCCAATCTGGATCCGTCCACTCCCTTTCCAGGTTCGACGCAGGTGCGACCAAGAGCAACCAAGACGCTGTAGCTCGTGCTGGATTAGGTCCCATCGAGTCTCTCGCAAAGGCACGCAAGCTTTCGTCATCCTGGATGCTACCTGAAAACACACTTTTGACTTTTGCACCCGCGAAGCTGTCACCGGCACCAGCAGAGGAGGAGCCTATTTGATATTTGACGAGCCCAACTCCCAAAGACCAAAGACCAAATACCGCACCCCTCACCGCCAGCCTTCTTCTGCTTGCTCGTCCCTTATTCGACGCTTTTGGCCCATGCTTTACTGACCCTTTCATTCCCTCCCCTTTGCGAGGCTCTCGAACCTTTCGCAAACAAGGGCGAATCAAGAGACATCCATTGCCACCCAGCGCGCGCAAACCACCACCCCCGAACGCTGGATCATCACGAACCAGCACGGCATCGCCTACTCGTCAATTCGATCCCCCCCCAAGCTCGGCCCGCGATGGATGAGGCTCATCTCGAGTCGCATTCGGCCGTCGCGGGCTCGTTGTCCGCCGCTGGGCCAGTCGACAGCAAACACTACCTCGCCAACCTCTTCGCCGGCGACACCATTTCCCGCGCCACCTCGCCCGGCTTGCCCTTGCCCGCCGGCTCCGACGAGGATGACAAGAAGCGATACCGCCCTCGAACATTCAGCTACTTCAATCTCCTGCCTTACCCCGTCGAGGAGGAGGCCGAGCGCGATGCCGCCCTGACGGGCATCCTCAAGAACCTCTACATCGCCGTCAAGGCTGAAGACTTTTCCCCGGGAGCTCTGCACTGGACTAGAGAGCTGCAGGGATGGCTCAACTTGAAGTTTGAGATGACGAGAGACCTGCGCAAGAAGCTTGCTCAGCTCTACTATCACCTCGCCCTTGCGCCGGGCCTGGACACCAACAGCTCCGATCGCTTCTCGCGCATGCTCATCACCCTGACAAGGTTAGTCGAGCTCGTCATATGCTCGCTGCGGCGGTCCCCCAAGCAGCGCATGTCATGGCTAATTGGCCATATTCTACAGGAAAAAGCATTACCTCAAGCCCGGCGACGATCTGATCCTCGACTGGCGACCGTTATGGCGTGAGGTGAAGGGCCTCGTCCTGCCCTCCGAGTCCGGATCGCATCAGGGCATGCGCAGACGATCCCACAAGCAGCTCATGAAGCTCTGCCTACATGCGCAGTCATACTTTGACCCCCGCGACCGACTCGAGATCCTCGGCGAGATGTTGCCCTTCTTTAGCACTTCCGACCTGACCAACGCCTACATCGTAGTCGCAGCCATGACGATCCTCGTGCCCACTGCCCCAGCGCCCTCGACCGTCCCCAGCTCCCAGCCGTCCGACTTCGTGCCGACCTTCTTCCACTTGTGGTCCCTTATGACTCGGTCCAAGGCTTTCGACGTCTCCTTTATCGACATCTTCTCGAGAATGGCGCGTGACTACTTGGGCTGGAAGGATGTTGAGTTCGGCCCACACGGCATCTTCACGAAAGAGCAATCAGACCTGATCTTCACTGCCATCCTTAGGCTGACCGAAATCCCTGTTGGCCACTCGACATCTCCCTACACCTCGTTGGACTACTCGTCCGGCTTGGCCCTCTACCTCGAGAAGGACAAGAAGCGCCACCCTGTGCCTTACATGATTGCACGGTGGATAGCCCATTCTATATCGCCGCTGTGCTTGGACCAAGAAAGCTCGATCATGAACAATCTCGAGGGCCTGATGGAGTCTATCGACACATTCTTCCACCCCTCAAACCAGGGTGCTTGGACAAACTTCCTCGCCCAGTTGACCTTTTACCTCACCGACATCTTCGTCTCTCGCTGGAACAGAGAGCAGAGCGGCGAGTGGGATATCCCGCAGGACCGTAGAATCAATTCAGAGCTGAAGAAGCGATTCGTGCTGTCGCTCCGCGAAGTCACATTCATGGGCATTTTTGCCAAAAGCTCCAAGGTGGCCAATTACTACTACTCAACCCTGCAAGGCTTGACGTATCTCGAGCCAGATCTGATGCTTCCGGGAGCACTGCAGCGCTTTTACCCCAGTTTGCAGGGTCTCGTCGAAGTCCATCGTACCACGTCCAGTCTGTGTGGCTTGCAGATGATTGCAAACATCATGTCCAAGCGCAAGGGCTTCAGATGCCACATCACGGCCCTTCTGGCCCTCGCCTTACCCGGCATCGATGCCAACGATCTGGGCAAGACACAGTATACCCTGAATTTTATCCAAGCAGTCGCATACAGTATCCCTTTCGCGTCATTGGTGAAGGAAGGCTCAGGTGTGCATGGCACCGCCTTGGCCATGGAATGGGTCCAGGGCGAGATGGAGCGCATGGAGCGTGAGGGACAGGATGTCAAAATCAATTACGAAGAGGAGCTGACCGACGAGGATGAGGCCAACATTGTTCGCTCTTCCACGGCCGGCTTCGGCGAGTTCATCCTTGCTCTGCTGGGCAAGGTCTTTACGCTCGTGGAGAATCTGCCCGACTCTTCCCAACTACGCACTGGCTCGCCCGAGGATAATGTCATCAACACCCTCCCTGCCGCGCTGACACCCCTCTTCGCTTCGCTCTCGCCCGAGCTCTTTGACATGGCTCTCGAGAAGCTCGTGGGCTTTGTCTCGACTCATGTCGTACACCAAGCCCGCGATGCTATGGCCTGGATTTGCAATGCCATGTGCAAGGTCAATCCCGAGAAGACATTGAAGGCCTTCATTGAGATGCTCATTGTCAACATCCGCAACGAGATCGACTACAACGGCGCAGCTTCGGACCGCAGCAGTGGGCAGGATGTGCTCCCTCGGGACCGGGCCCTCGTTTGGCATGTCAGCATGCTTAGTATGTGTGTTGTCCATGTCGGAAGCGAGGTCGTCAAGTACAAGGACCAGTTGCTCGAGATCACCAAATACGTCCAGCTGAAGTGCCGCGGCCTGCCGACCATACACATCTCCAACTACGTGCATCACCTGCTCCTGAACCTGACCAATACCTACCCGATGGACAATGCCCTGTATGAGCCCGATGTGATCAAGCGTGGTCTCGATGTTGGAGATTGGGGCCGAACCACGCCGCCATCGGAACTGACCATCAAATGGCATCGCCCGTCGCCCGATGAACTTGAATTTGCGGTCGAGCTGTTCGAGAACCAGGTCAAGGACGCTACACAGAAGCTGGAGTCCTTGATGGGCGACAACCCTCCAGTGAGCCGAAAGGGAAAGAACAAGGAATGGTCCGACGAGGTGTCTCGAGCTCTCTCGCAGCTCAGACTCGTCATTTCGGGAGTGGCTGTGCTCTTCGACCCCAAGCAAGCATCTGGCGAGGTTGACCGGAACGTCGATAGCTTAAGAAGGGGTAGCATCGATGCTGAGGGCGATACCTTGATGGATGACGATGAGGATCCTCTCGCCGAAGTCGCCGACGACGAGGAGCTCAAGAGAGCGTTCCGATACCCTGCTGGATACGTGCTTGATTCCAAGTCTCCACTGTTCAAGACCGTTCACGAGCTGCGAGAGAGCGTGGGCAGTTTGCTGTCGCGGACACACAAGTTTCTCAACGAGAATCAGGAAGACGACGTCGCGTGCTTCACCGCATTGTATAGCGCATACCGCACCTTGATCACCGACGTTGGCATCGAGCGATCTGCCCACCCTCTCGAGCGGCTCACGCGCCTCTACAAGGCCGATGTTTCGCCCTTCAAAATCAGCGGCCTGCGCAAGCAGTACCCTCGTCCTCTTCTGGTCAAGCGTGCTGATGCATACCAATTACAGCGCGTCAAGTACAACGCCGCGTTCCGTCAGAAGAGCGAGCTTGACAAACGCCTCCTGCTGGACCTTGCAGAGTCTTGTACTTCCATGTACAATGACGTTCGCCATGTGGCTCAGGGAGCACAGGACTCGTCACTCAAGGTTCTCATCGGAGGCAGGCCGCTCGTGATCCCGGTCATTCTGGAGAAGTTTGGCAAGTCGCTCGATGCAAACGAGACCGAGGGCATCAAGGGCGCCATGAACGCCCTTCTATTTACCTCGCTGTTCAAGACACTGATGCGTGATTGGCGTTTCGCGCCGGATCTGATGCGGATGTACCTCCGAACCGTCGAGGTCGACAATCTGATTATCCAGAAGCTGGGGACTACTGCTCTCTACGCTTTACTTGACTTTGGTAAGCCCTTTGAGCGCATGGTCATCGTGGACGAGAAGGAGGTCGAGGTGATCAAGCCCGATGAGGATTGCTCCAAGACCATCACAACGCGCCACGAGTTCATCAAGGAGCGGCGGAAGAAGGTCGAGGCCAAGAAGGCCGCGCTGGGCATCGAGCTCACAGAAAGGGCCAGGACGGCTCACTGGAAAGTCGCGTCCAGGTGTGCAGTCTTTGCCACCAACTTGTGCCTTCGCTTTGACTCCCTTGCACCCCCCGAATTTATCGACTTGGTCGCCTACGGTACCAATGATACCCACCCAGGTCTGCGGGCAAGCTACCAGTCCGCCTTTTCCAACGTATTCACGACGATTGAGATGCGTGCTACCCACAAGCATGATTTCAAGCGATACCTGTTAGAGGAGGACGATGACCCAAACGACATTGAAATCCAGGTACCCCAGGACGACCCCGAGTGGACGCAGAGATATCTGAGTGCATTCGAGAGCTTTGACACTCCAGAGTACTTTGTGGACAACGACTATCCGGGTTGGCTCGTGTGGGACAAGAAGTTCAAGGCCGCTCGCGCAACTCCCCGTCCATTCAAGGACTACGACTCTACGGAGAGGGCAGCTCGTGAGCAGATTGGCAAGATCCTGACCAAGGAGTGGCTCAAGGCCTGCTTTGAGTACATGAAACAGGAGCCGCGCGATGCTAATGCCGATAGGTTTCGGATGCATAACGTCGTGATGCTCATGGACGTTTTTGACCTCATGGAGTTTGGCAAGACGGCTGCGACCTTTGAAGACGTTGTTGATCTGGTCAAGGAGATATATGGCGACGGAAGCGACAAGCACCAGCATCGCGCGACTGCCGAGATCATCGGCGCTTTGCTCACCATTGGCACCGATGCGCCACGAGAAGCTCGAGATCGTATCTGGGGCTTTGCGGCAAACATGATGCTCAAGATCATCTCTGATGACTTGACGCCGGACAACCTGGGTTACTGGGTTACGTGCCTGCACCTCACTGTCGAGTCCAAAGATCCTCGCCGCTCTCGTGAGCTTATGAAGACCCTCTGCTCCTTCCGCCTGGACATGTCTTCCAATGCCGCGTTCAAGGAGTCATCCAAGGTCCAGCTGCTCGAATTTGTCATTAACGATGCTGGCTGGCACTTCCGTCACGAGAAGCCCATCCTGGAAGACTTCCTCGCCCACATCGACCACCCATATAAGGCTGTGCGCGAGTCCATAGGTCGCGTCATTGCTGCTGTCTACCGCACGCGCTATCACGAGTCTTTCCCCAGCGTCAACGCTTTGCTCGAGCAGAACAAGGCCGAATCATCCATTGGCATTCGGCCCTACGAGCCGTCGCAGGACCTCACAGCCACGATTACCGAGGTGTTTGGTCGGATCGAGAAGTGGCGGCACGAGCGCCAACCAGGACAACAGACGCCCAGCAGCTACACGTCCGGGTCGAAGACAGTGCTCATCTGGCTCGACACGGTGCTAACCTCGCAGGAGTGCACGCAGCTGGTCAAGTTCTTCCCGGACCCGCTCATGGACCAGCTCCTGCATATGATGGACGTCAAGGAGGACCCGGAGCTCATGCGGCTGGCGTACCACGTCTACCGACATTTGTCCAACATCCCCCTGCGGCCCGGCGAGGACGAGGCCGTGGTCAAGGCGCTGATCCGGATCGGTCGATCGGGCCCGTCGTGGCACCAGCGCCTGCGCGCGCTCGTCAACATGCAGGTCATCTACTTCCGGCGGCTCTTCCTGACGGGCCCCCAGCAGCGCACGCAGCTCTTCGACGCCGTGGGCGACATGCTGGCGGACCCGCAGCTCGAGGTGCGCGACTCGGCGGCCGACACCCTGGCGGGCATGATCCGGTGCTCGCCGGCGAGCATCCGCAACCCCATCATCGCGGCGCTCAAGGACAGGTTCGAGACGCAGCTGCGGCTGAACCCGATGCCCAAGCGCAAGGCGCCCGGCACCGACACGCCCGTCGACGCGAACAAGCAGGTCACGCGGCGGCACGCGGCGGTGCTGGGCCTCGGCGCGCTGATCGAGGCGTTCCCCTACGCCACGCCGCCGCCGGCCTGGATGCCCGAGGTGCTGGCGCTGCTGGCGACGAGGGCGGCCAACGACCCGGGCGTCGTGGGCAAGGCGACCAAGCAGATCCTCGGCGACTTCAAGAAGACGAGGCAGGATAGCTGGAGCGTTGATCAGAAGGTATGTTCTGTCTCTTTACTTGCTCTTCTCTTTCTTTCTTTCTCTTTTTCTTTACTTAGGTGTCCAAGTCTCTTTTTCGTGCGGGCTATGCATGCTAGGGGGTTAAGGGGGAAGGAGGGATGAATATGGAATATGTTTTGCTAACGGTGTCTTGGTGTAGTACTTTACGCCTGAACAGTTGGAGGATCTGGAGGGTGTGCTGTGGAAGAGCTACTTTGCGTAAGCAGGAAACGAGAAGGGAAAGGACGGTTCAACAAAATTTTTCTCTCTCGGATAAAACGTGGTAGATGGATCGACAGGTAGCGAGCTATACGAAGAGCCGGGAAGGATATCAATCCTTTGAGTGGATAATAGCACAGAATGGACGAGGACATGGAATACGAACTTGCAAGAAACAAGAGAAGCTCGCGGTGGGTTGACGGCTTGCTTTTCCATATAGCGAAGGGGATTGCAGGCGCTCCGTGATTCGGCAAAGATTTTCTAAAATACAATCTCCTCTTACAAGTGTAATATCAAACACGAATCTGGTCAGCAAACCCCTGTTGTGCTAGACGTAATGTTTGCCTCGACTCCCATTTTGGAAAATGCACTGGCGCTGGCACGAGACACAAGGTGAGATAGTATCACTTGTGCAGGTTGGTCGCTTGCCTAGCAGCATTGCCGCTTCAGAACCCATCTCTACAGGAATAGTGAAAGGAACCCCGCACTCAACATCAACACCAAGGGCGTAATCTGTTATTTCTCCAATGAGAACCTCCGAATTACGGAGCCGGTCTAGAAATTCCGCGACATCGCGTACTAAACCATTCTCTTGCAACAATTGTCAACCTTCCCCCCAAAGTCATTCCCAACGCAGCTCGATCAAGCCTGCCATCATGATCTCAGGCATCGCACACGTAAACCTCGTCGTGCCGGCCGGCTCTCTCGGCTCGGCGCATGCCTTCTACGGAAGTACGCTGGGCCTGGTGTCCACGCCGGTGCCGGCGCTGCAGCGGGACAGGCTCGCCTGGTTCAACATTGCCGACTCGGGCCAGCAGGTCCACATCGCCTTCGGCCGGGACATCGACTTCGAGGGCGCGGCGGCCAAGAGCTCGCGGCACCCTTGCTTTCGCGTCGCCAGCCGAGAGTCGTTGCTCGAGCTGCAGCGCCGCGTCTGGAAGCACTTCGAGGAGGGTGGTGATGGCGCGCCGCTGGAGGCCGACCGGCCCGGTGAGGAGAACTCGGGTAAGTCTTTGCCCGGTTGCATCCAGAAATATGGCTGGCTTTGTGTGTGCCGGTGTGCTGAACTCTCTGTGCTGATGTGATGACTGTAGGCGCCAAGGGAGCCGAGTATCCCGACAGATTCTTTGCGAGGGACTATGCGGGGAACCGGTTAGAGTTCAGCCTATAACAAAGGGCAAAACAGAGCAGTATCTGGCGAATTCAACTGATAACATGAAGCTCAATATGTATGCCATGTATACCTCGCCAATTTGAACAACCAAGTTCTCAGAGCTTGATCTTTACCTACACTACATATGCCATATTAGCATTGTGTTAGGTAAGGTAAATAAAGACTACTTTAACTGGCATCTTTTAGCTGAATCCAATTTGAAGCTTAACTTGGGCAATAGAAAACATGGAGCAGGCAAGTTTGTAAGAGGCTTTTAAGGATTTTAGAAAATTTATTACTTATCATTATGTTTAGAATCTCGGATAAACTCAGACAATCATGTAGGTGCAGCCTTGACCTATTCAAGCAAAGAACATAAACTCAAGTAATGTAAAATCGATCCACTCACTTTATCTTGTCTGGAAACAACACCTACACTCTAAGGTTGGTTCTACATTTAGTGTTAGGCGAGTTTTACCAAGTGGCTGAATAAGGCTGCCTGAGGGTGCCGACCACACTGGAGATCTACTGCATCCCCATCGCACCATCAACGCACATGGCAGAGCCGGAGCTGCACCAGCCCACTCACGAGAGGAGAAATCAACGATGACAAGATTCATACTCTATATTGGGATGATATAGCTTTCCCTGTCTCGGTACAGAAAGCGTATGATAACGCTTACAGATCCACATGTAAACAGCCTGCCGCTATGCCCGGCCCCCAACCATCTTATCCGCGCAACGCAAGTGGCGGAAACAGTTGTAGCGATGAGCATCGTTACATGCAGTGGACGTCTGTAATCCTCTTCACGTCAGGGGTATTGCGGAGGTCGAGGCTCGAACCAGTGGGATAAATTCGATTGGTGCTAAAGAAAGACCTTCGTCAAGTTTCCGAACTAAACACCTCGCCACTGCCGCTCTCCGTCCGGTTACTCACAGTTTGTAGTCCCACGCGAACTGGACGACCCCGGAGGTGACCTTGAAGTAGCGCAGGTTGTGCATGTACGCGCCGGGCAGGGGCGGCGTCGCCCCCTGGGGGATCGACATCGTCGTGCAGCCGCCTCCGTCGGCACCTGTTTTTGATTGTCTTTATCAGTGGTGCGATCTAGGCACGCCCTAGCGAGCGATGGCCGTGGGAAGGGGAATGGGGTGAGTTCAGCGTCGAACGTACAAATGTCGACGGTGCAGGCTGAAGCAGCCAGGATAGTGGCGAGGATGGGCAGGAGCGAGAGTTGCATCTTGAGATGATTGATATTGTGACGAGATATCTTGTTGGGCTGGAGTTCGAGGCTTGCAGTAGTGATGAGAACAATGTGGTGGTCTACAATGAGGGAGATATCTATGTTTTTATATTTCTTCTGGGTTGTTTCTCCAAAGATATCAATTCATTTCAGAGGATTGTGTTCCTCCAAGTCCCCGAGATGAGCAGAAATAGCCCCTCGCCTCGACTCAGATCATGGAAGTTGCGTACGAGAATGGGCACTCCAACTGCTCCTGGCCAAATCCTCCCACTGGTACTCTGTTCCTCGTAATTGCTCCTCCCCTATTCTCGTCTGAGTGATGCTACTAGATACAGGGTCTTTTCGTGGGGATTGCATACCGAAAAAGGCAACAGGTCTGTACAACACCAAGGGGATCGGGCTGAGCTTTAAATGAGCCTGAGCATCCGCCGACCAGAAGGTGGGGATTAGACTATAGTGGTGGATCTCTTTTATACGAAATTGGCAGTGCCCTGGCTTTCGATAGTGGTTTCATTACGCTTCTTGCTGTCCTTTTTCCATGGTTTTCCGACCCTTCCCAAAGACCCTGTCCTAGCATGCCGTGACCGAACGGGACGAGCTCCTCTGGAATAGGAATTACGACAAGAGGCTTGTAGCTAAGGCGAGATGAAGAAGCTCATGCTCGAGGGTCTCTCGAAGACACACTTGTGGGGCCTATGCTATGCATACATTATCTGGCATACTCTACAGTTTGAAGGTACCCGTACTCGTCTCTCAGGCCAACGGTAAGGTAGATTCCAGCACCGGAACCCTGGCTGGAATGACTCGACAACGCAAAATAACAAGGCACGGAACTTCCCCAGAAACGTTGACGTCTTATCGTCATAGACGCGTACTAGCGGCTTTGGCCGCGATCTCAATCGCTGGATAAGCGCATCATTGCTCAAACATTAATCGTAAGGCTCAGATATACATAAAAGGTGCCAGATTTGACTTCGACATGTTTGGTTGATGCTGGTTTTGTTTTTGTCAAAAGACAATCTGCGTTAAGAGTCTCGTTGTTATAATCACCGTCTTTTTCCTAAAACTCTCCACGCAGCCCTGCTCATTTAGCGAAAATGCCTAGCTCCAAAGGAAAGCCGACTGACCCTGAACTTCGGGAGCAGATCAAGGAGGATATCAAGCAGGAGCCCAATAAGAGCGGTGGTGGTGAGGGTCAGTGGTCAGCTTGGAAGGTAAGTTGCCCGCTTATAAGGCGAGAAGCGTGGTCAGGCCTCGTGATGCTAACAGTCACACGCGCATAGGGCACTAAACTGGCAAAGGAATATGAGAAGCAGGGCGGCGGGTATGAAAACGACCCGGACTCCAAGAACCAACCCAAGAAGGGAGCTCCCGAGAAGAAGGAGTGACTCAATAGTCGATATCGTTTAGTGAGGTCCTCGAATCAGGTGCCTCGGCGTAATTGACATCTCTGATTTCCAATCACTCCGGACTCGTCATAATTTTCCGAAGCATATAGTGTGATATAGCGAAAATGCTTTGCTTAATTGAAACCTCAAAAATGGTTCTGATTCTCAGGAATGGCTGTGTGGCATGCCGACATATCGTCTGAAGTTGAGGAAGTAGGGAGATCAAATCTATACGGATGAATATTTTGTCATCCTAATTTGATGGATCTCGTCGCATGGAGCAAGTTCGATGAACCCCAGTCATACCGTACTTGCTCAGGTCCATCTCCAGTGTCTCAACCACTTTCAGTCCGCAACTCTCATACAGCTTCTTGCCCTCGGGACTTGCCTCGAGCCACACGGGGAGTCCCAACCTGTCGGCTTCATCAATGCCCCACTTCATCAGCATCCGGCCGGCGCCTCGTCTCTGATGCTTCGGGTCCGTTGTCAGGTATTTGAGGTCTTTGCGACTCGACCAAGATCCACCCAAGTCAGCTCCGATAACACATTGAAGACCCAGGAAGCTGATAAAGGCAAAAGTACTCACAGACGTACGTCTTGCCGCCCATGACGCGCTCCCTCGTGTCCCAGATGGGGCTGAAGAAGTCATGGCACGCCTCCGGGTCGGACCCGGGGCCGAAGGTCTGCCTCTCGACGGGCGGCGCCGGGTCCGGGTGGTACACGTGCCACTGCGCGAAGGCGACGAGCTGCTGGCTCTCGGCGTCGTGCGCGAGGTCCGTGTCGACCACCTTGAGCCAATGTACGGTGTGCGGGTTGGCACGCAGGAACTCGGCCATCTGGGCGGCGCGGAGCTCGAGAGAGTTGGCCGGATGCGGGCCCGGGAAGAGGACCGGGCTGATGGGGCTGTCGGCGTAGGCATCGCGCTCGAGCTCGGCGATGCGCAGGGCGTCGGCCTCGCCGGCGGTGACAAGCTGGAGGGGCATTGTGTTTGTTCGCCTGTTGATGATGGATCTGAGGCGGTGGTGGATGGCTTCAAGGGAAGGTCAAATCAATGCTACATGGCATGAGCTTATACATTACCGGGGCCTGAGCGGTTATTGTAATCAAGGGCACTCATTCTCTTTGAAGTCGAGATTGGCCGCGGCGTACATCGAAGCTGAGATAATTAGACCTGCCTGATTGGGTCGCCGGACGGCGAGTGACTCAGTGCGGTTTGTGCATCCACCTGGCAGCGGCGGGAGCTAAAATAATGGATGCTTGGATCAACAGCGGCGGCGGGAACCCCGATCAAATGCAGGTCTGACAACGTCTCAACGAGATCCGTCCGAGAGTGCTCCTTCTGGTGGTTGGACAGAAGTCTGACAGATGGCGCTGTTCCATCTATTTCGTTCCTTGCAGGACCCCCAGCTTGCTAGCTGTGACACTGGCACCCATCGGATCTTTAAGAATGTCCGGCATGGCAACTCACCTCCTCGGTCCCGCAGCTAGGCCATTTCCTGGAGTTCAAGATCGAGTCTGAGATGATGGCTTGGGCGGACCCAATCCTACATGGACGAGGCCAGGTATGATGGGAAATCGTTATCCGTCACAGCTGGGCGCCAAGACATCTGACAGCGATCAGCTCATCCGCGTCTTGACCTGATCCGTCTCCATCGTGAGGTGTTATCCTTGGCAATGCTTGTCCAAAGAGCGAGTCAAAACGATTCCTGGGGATGGTGAAAACTGGCCAGCATCAACTACATCCCTATTGACACGGATGGTTGACCTTGTGGGAAGGAAAGGGCTTGACTTGCAGCATCAATCGCATTCACAAACATGGTGATCGTCACTCTGCGGGGGAGTAAGACCCTCCCCCACAACCACGGTCCACCCATCTCCGCCTACGGAGCTCTCTCCAACCAACTGAGAGCTCTTGAATACCCAAGAGAAACGGCGTGGTGCACACGCCGCAGGAACATGCATGCTGGAGAAGGACCTACTGACATGTCGGGAAAACATCTGGCGGCCCTGATACCATGAGACTCCGGAACCCGGCAGATGTTGTACATGGCGGCTCCTCCTTTCTCCTCCGCTCCTCGGCGAGGATATGCATAAATAGACATCGACCGCCGCAGATCCCTGACGTCTTTCACCTGGTTAGAATTTAGAAGTCCATCGCTGTCCCGTTCAGTCATCAAAGCGTCGAAACAATGTCGCACACAAACCCTTCCGCGCCGGCAGTCGGTGACAGCCAAGACGCCGACGTCGAGCATGTCGACCACATCCAGGACATCAAGGCCGCCCATCGAGGGCCCCAGATCGAGGCCGCGCTCTCGGACGAGCAGCGCCGCCTCGAGGCCCGCATCCGCCGCAAGGTCGACCTGCGCCTCATCCCCATCCTCGGCATCCTCTACTCCATCGCCGGCCTCGACCGCGTTAACCTATCCAATGCGCGGGTGGCAGGCATGGACGAGGAGCTCGGCTTCAACGTTGGTGACCGCTACTCCATCGCCCTGCTCGTCTTCTTCATCTCCTACTTCATCTTCGAGCTGCCCTCGACGCTGTCCCTGCGCTGGATCGGCCCCAGGCTACTGTTGAACGGGCTCGCGTTCAGCTGGGGCGTCGTGATGTTGGGCATGGGATTCGCGCACGACTGGCGCGTCATTGTGGCCTGCCGGTTCCTCATTGGTGTCTTTGAGGCTGGATATCTGCCGTGCTGCCTGTATCTCGTCAGTACTTGGTACCAGCGGTACGAGGTCCAGCAGCGCATGGCCATGTGGTACATGATCAACCTGTTTGTCTCGGCTTTTGGCAACATCCTCGCGTATGCCATCATTCTGCTTGATGGCAAGCATGGCTACGCCGGTTGGAGATGGATCTTCATGTGAGTTATTCTCTGGTTTCACTGTCAAGTCATGCGATTGAGCTAACACCACCAGTAGTGTCGAGGGAGCCTTCACCATCGGCTTCGCCTTCATCGGCTACCTCTTCGTCCTGCCTTTCCCCGATCAGATGCTCGCCACAGGCCACAAGGCCAACTTCACGCAGGAGGAGCTCGAGGTCGTCCTCGACCGCGTCGAGCGGGACCGCGGCGACGCCGACCCGGACAAGCTCACCTGGTGCAAGGTCCTGCGCCTCTGCGCGTCCTGGGAGCTCTGGGTCTACGGCTTCATGTTCATCACCTGCTCGGCGCCCATCTACGCCTTCGCCTACTTCATCCAGATCATCCTCAAGACGCTCGGCTACTCGACTGCCGTGGTGTTCCTGCTCTGCGCGCCGCCCTACCTCCTGAGCATGCTGACGACCTACGGCGTCGCCTGGCTCGCCGACCGCACGCGCCTGCGCATGCCGTGGATGGTCCTCGGCGCCGCCATGACGCTCACGGGCCTGCTGCTGACGGCCTACCACTTCGACAACGGCGTGCGCTACTTTGGCGTCTTCCTCGGCGTCGCGGGCTGCAACCAGAACCTGCCCACCATCGTCGCCTTCCAGTCCAACAACGTGCGCTCCAACAGCCGCCGGTCGGTCGCGTCGGGCGTGCAGATGCTGTTCGCGTCGCTGGGCGGCATCTACGCCAGCTGCACCTTCATGCAGGCCGAGTACCCGACCTACCGCACCGGCGTGTGGTGCGCCGTCGGCACGCAGTTCCTGCTCATCGCGCTGGTCGCGCTCATGTGGTGGCACTTTCGGCGGATGAACAGGCGGGCGGACGAGGAGGGCGAGGTCATCCAGGAGGATCCTACTTTCCGGTATACGTTCTAGATGATAGATAGGCTGAGTGTTTTGTGGCGTAAGATAGTACGATAAGTCAAGAAACACGCTGTGTTTGCGATGATCAGGACAAGATCGTCCGTTTCCTGGACTTGGCCAGACATTGGCCGGGTCTAAATGGGACCAACAATAGGTCCGCGGAATGTAGCTTGGAAGTTAAGAATCTCGTGCGTGATAGAGCAACAACTGACTTGCAGACCGAAGATCTGCAATCGATGTGAAGAGCAATCTTGGTTCCTGGCAAATCGGGCATGAGCCCAACGAACAACCCTCATGATATGAAATGTGCAGTGATGCCTTTAACCCATTCCGGGGTCTTTCCTAGCGCCCGTTTTCCTTGGTTTCAGCGACCCCTGGTAATTTACCCGCCAAGAGGGAGGGGAGCTGATGTCATACGCCCATGTCATCGCATGCCAACTCGTCCATGAACACCGCCCATCCAATCAAGCCACACCACCCACCATCAACATGGCACAAACCCGGTTTTTGGGAAGAGACCGCTCTCTGCTTGCGCCTGGTTCTGCAGGCCCTGGGACGCAGATGATGGCTTTGCCGGGATGAGTACATAATGGAGCTGGGCAGCCTCGCCGAGCTGCTCAGCCAGCGCAGTGTCGCATCCGTCTCTCCGTGCCATCACAAATCGTCGGCGACCCTTCCACTCGATAAAGCAAGATCCCGCCAAGCTTGAAATGCCCTCCTTCCGACTCTCCTTCCTCCTAACGGCGCTCCTCGGCATCGCCGAGACCGTTGCGAGCCCCTCCCCGGCCGACGTAGTGAAGACCGTGACCGCCGCGCCCTCCATCCCCTCCGAGGCGCGGCAGTTCGTCTCGCACGACGCCTTCACCTCGGCCGTGCTCAACAGCACCAACTTCTTCCGCACCGAGCACAACGCGAGCTGGATCCGCTGGAACGACACGCTCGAGCGCTTCGGCCAGGACTACCTCGACGGGAACCGCGACTGCCGGTTCGCCCACTCGGGCGGGCCGTACGGCGAGAACATCGCGCTGGGCTGCTCCGACGTGACGGGCTGCGTGGACCTGTGGGGCAACGAGAGGAAGGACTACGACTTCAAGAAGGGCGACTTCACCGAGGACACGGGCCACTTCACGCAGCTCGTGTGGAAGAACTCGACGCAGGTTGGGTGCGGGAGGAAGCTCTGCGGGGACAGGGGGTGGTACCTGGTGTGTGAATACTGGCCTAGGGGCAACGTGATTGGGTACTTCAAGGAGGAGGTCAATGTCCAGACGAATGGGACGGGCAGCGGCGCCTTTATGCTCCATCCTGGTGGCCTGTGTCAAGTTCTTGTGTGGCCAGTCGCGGTGATGACGGCTTTGATGGCGATCGCATGGTGAGGTCAAAGGCGAATGCGATACACATTTCACGTGCCCTCTTTACAATCGGCCAAGGGCGCAGGCATTTCAACATCCCTATTCACTCCGTCCTCTTTCAAGAGAGCTAGGTATACCAAAGCTTGCTGCCTCGGATTTCTCAGGACACGGAAGAGATAGGAGGGAGCCAAATACCCTCGTCGCAACTAACACAATACATTTGTGCTGCGTTGGTGCATTCGAGACTGTTCTCTGCTATCGGGATCCATTGCAACCTGGTTGCTGGATTCCAGTGGTTAAGGAGTACCATCTTGAGCAGTTGGAAGGGCCGATCCGTCACCAAGCGGGATGATATAGATGTAGTCACTGCAGATGATGAAGGTGTCTTGGGATGATCATGGGGTTGTACAAGGGAACAGGGCTTGCTGGAGGAGTGTGACCCTGGAGCATAGACAAATATCTTAGTATGGAGAGATAAGTGTAAGCTTCATCACTAGCCGACATGTAGATAATTCAACATGACCCAAGTCAGGAAGAAAATCATGCATCCGTTGGCCTGCCACCAGGGCAAATTATCCTACAAATCATTCGCCTCGTTGGCTACCCAGGCTGTTCCATCACGTGGATCAAGCATGATGGCTGTGCATGCATGCAAATAGCTCATGCGAGGATGCCTAACGACAGATCAGGCTTGAATGGTTCAGCCTCACCGCGAGGGGCTTATTTCAGAACACCACATGCCGGCTCCCATCCTTCAAATCCGATCATGCCATACCGACTCGTAGCAGAATTCAGCAGACCAACTCATCGACTGCTTGCCTGCCATGGCCGAAGCTATTGCCGCCCTATCTCTTGCCGCAAACATTCTCCAGGTGCTTGGAGCTGGAGCCAAGTTCGCGCAAACATCGTGGACCCTTGCTACGGCCGCGAGCTACGATTTCTCAAACATCAATGAACTCAGGCACATCACTGTGTATCTCAAGCCGCTCCTCCAACACTTCCAAGCCAGCCAAGCAACGACTAGTGACGCTCTCTCCCTCACCGAAAGCGATAAGCAGCTCAGGACACTATCAACGGAGTGCTCCCAACTCGTCCATAAGCTCTTGCGTACACTTGACGAGACTGGGGTTAACGATGAACGAAATAAACTGGATAGTGTGGTGACGGCATTCAAATTGAGGTGGAAGAGAACCCAAATCGGAGATCTCACTGCCCGCATCGACCAACTGAGGGACCAATTGTCCTTGGCTCTTCTAATGTCGATGAGGTGAGTTCAAGTGTCTAGTCTATCTTCCTGTGCAGCAAATGCTAACACAAATACAAGAGAACAAGCGAGTCGGGCACTGGAGCACCAAGAAGCCATTCTCCAAACCCTTAAGCAAGACTCCAAGTATAAAGAACGAGAACGTCGGGACCAGGGCCCGGCAAGAGGGTCTCAGTCCGCTGTCGAAGCTCCGGGCGCAGTAATGCTAAACTACTTGCACGGACTTCTCGATTCAGGCCACGAAAGCGAGCGCAGCGAGTTCGATAACATCGAAGACTTGATATTACGGAAGATATATCAAAGAGACGGGGCTGGGCAGTCTTCTAACATGGGCAGTGACTTGCCTACGCTTCAGATGTCACCATTCAGACGAGAAGAAGGTCACATCGCTTTCATCGCCGCACTTGCCTATGAGGAAATGAACCACCGACAATCCAACATCGATGAAGCTCACGAAGCAACTTTTAAGTGGGTTTTCGAGGATCGAACAGGAGAACATCTCCAATACCCACTTGTTCGTTGGCTAGAATCCGATGATCCGCTCTATTGGATAACCGGAAAGGCAGGATCGGGCAAATCTACGCTCATGAAGTTCATCGGCCAGAGATGTGAGATTGGCCAAGGTCGGGATCATCTTGTCAGATGGGCTGGAACTGGGACCGAGCTCTTGATAGCTTCATTCTATCTCTGGTCCGCAGGAGCTGCCGTGGAAGCATCTCAGAAAGGCTTGCTTCAGTCCTTGCTCCACCAGTTGATACAACTACACCCAGAATTGATCACTGAGATCATGCCCAGCAAGTGGGAGGCGTGGTGCCTCTTTGGAAGTGAGATCCCTCAGTTCAGAGAGAACGAACTTCGGGACATGCTGACTACTTCAATCGGACGTCTCGTCTCGCACTACGGGGTAAAGGCATGCTTCTTCATTGATGGGCTCGACGAATTTCAAGGAAATCACGAAGACATAATTGCAATTTGCAAGTCGCTTCTTGGACTCCGTAACGTCAAGCTATGTGTGTCAAGCCGTCCACTAAATCACTTTGAGGATGCTTTCGGCCAAAAAGCAAGTCTTCGACTGCAAGACCTAACATACGAGGATATTCTGAAGTACATTACTGCTAGATTCGCCGAAGATGAAGGGTTCAACCGACTGCGGCAACGGGAGCCGCAATATGCTCAGTCGTTTGTGAAGCACATCGCGGACAAATCATCTGGTGTCTTCCTCTGGGTTAAACTTGTCGTCTCGTCACTTCTTACCGGCCTACAGAACGATGACAGACTCTTAGATTTGCAGAGAAGATTGGAGTCTCTTCCCCGAGAGCTAGAAGACCTCTTCCAAGCAATTATCAATAGTCTCGATCCCTTCTACTTCCAGCACGCGTCGCAGTACTTCAAAATCCTCCAGACACATTCGGGCCCACCGAATGCACTTCTGTTCTACTTTGCAGATGTGGAAGACACGGGAACGCTACTAGACTATCCGATCAGACCAGCATCAGAGGATGAGAGGCAGGGCTGGATTGCAACACTCCGCCGGCGGCTGAACAGCAGATGCAAAGGGCTTCTGGAAGTCACTCGCTCTAACGATGTGCAGTATCTGCATCGCTCTGTCAAGGACTACCTGCTTGCCAGCGATGTGGGCCGGCGAGTAGACATTGCAGCCGCTGAATTTGACTGCAACCGCCAACTCTGTGCTGCTTACCTGGCGCTCCTTAAACGAGACGATTTTGAGGATGACGATAACGCTTCAAGACATTGTGCACATGCCGGCAAGTGTCTCATCTATGCGGCAAGAGTTTCTGGCGACAAGCGTTTCATCATTGACGCGTTGGACTGCCTAGAAACCACGGTACAGCGTTTGAACGATTCAATACCGGGAATGAGATACTTCTATTACATGCAGCCGAGTGACCTCTTCCCTACACATCGCGAACTCTATTTGCCTAGCAACCATGATCCCAGCTTTCTGACTGTCACGGTGCGGTTTGGTGTCGTTCATTACGTCGATATCAGAGCCAGTCGGATGAGCTTAGCTGGGGAAATTGAAATCTCATCGCCCCGTGACAAATCAAAACGGTCACGCTTAGAACGGATCTTTAGGATACTTAGCGGTCAAGATAAGATACCAGCGGATCGAACGTTACCCTTTGATAGGAGGTTGGCCTGGTCGCTACTCCTGGATGCTTGCTGCTGCTACCCACCAAACAAGGAGATGTTTCGGTGCTTGCTAGGTCGAGGCGCCGACTACAATATGGTTTGCGACACACAGGGAACTACTGTATGGGAGATGGTGGTCCGGTCCATACTTAACTATGTGATATCGCCAGGCATGTGTATTCAACGTAGAGCTTGGGATAGTTGGGTTCCGATTCTCAAGCTATTTCATGAGCACGGTGCCCAGATGGCTGAGGGTGTAGCTGAGGGTGTTATTAGGGACGTTCTTTTGGCTAGGATTTCCGGGTTTGAAAAGCAGCCACGATTAGATAGACATGCTCTTGAAGGGAGGGAGTGTACCCTCTTTATGGCGCTCGAATGTGCCACAAGGGGCCGCGAAGAGCAGGCTTTGGAGCTTTTGAAGGATATGTTCATCTAACATCGGTGCCGGGTTATTGAGATAAGTAGGATCAGGGATGATCAAATTCTTCAACTGTGGGACAATCAAGTACTTGTATCTCTGCATTGCCACTCGAGAGAAAGCACAGACAAAAAGGGGCCGCGATTGTCCAGGAAACAATTTGTGACGTCTGAGATTAGATCAAGATTAGATAAGATGGCATCATGCAAGGGGGCAAAATCCGTGACGTTTTCGTGTCTGTAAGTGCCGCGCCAACGAGTATGGCACCGAGTAGTGCTCGATGAGGTGGTTAACACGGTGACAAAATTGTTCGCATCGCCTCCTCCAGAAGATTAGTCCAAGTACTCCCGGAATGCCTACTTGTTCTTTTTCTGTTTTGGCCGAGTCGATTCGATCAGGGTTTGCACAAACTGGGTCCAAGCCAGTTTTGTTCCAGTCGGTTGGAATGCCCCGAGTCGTGCGAAGACCGGAGGGCCCCCTACGGATGACCAGCCAAGGTAAGCCGCCTTAAGGCCGTAACACAGGAGGACTCGAGGCCTTGCCGATCAGAAGTTCCTGGCTGGGATGATGGGATTGGGGCAGAGTACTGCTCAAAAGTGCAGTAGCCTTTTCTAAATACTCAATTCCTAAGCAGCAGCGAAAGGCATATGCTTGGGCTTGCTCCCCCCGATATCAATCGATTTTGAGGAGGATGGCCATCGGGTCCCGGTGGTTGAAGCAAAGGCCCTGAAATCTGGGCATCCTACTGGGGTGATGATCGGAGTGAGATGGGAAGCTTCACGTCACAAAACTTCTATCGTACAGTCGGGACTTCTTAGTGATGTGGTCAGGCTAGCCGGTCCCACGGCTTACTGCTTTAGGCAACGAGGGAACTGCCTGCTCTTATTTTGTCAATACATGCATGTCGAGCTAATATAAGTAAGTGGCTTGTCAGATGTGCATCGTGTGATCAAATCTCTCATGTTACCGGGGAGGAAGACGGGAGAGGCTTGCATCGCGTGGCGCCCCGCGCGGATCGGGGAAAAGAAGGAAGGGTATTCCTACCCTTCTACCCAGTACATACGCAGCATAGTTAGTTGCATTCGAGTGAGTCCTTTTCACAAGACGCTGGGAGAGATGGGGCGGCGTGAAAAGGCAGGGCTGACCAGGGTTGTGCAGACGGGGCAGAGCGGGATCCTCCATGAGCTGCTGTCCGCTTTTCGGCGACGAGCCGGGAATAGTTAGAGATGTGGGATAAAAAGGGCCATTTCACTAGGTACTCTGGAAAGCGGATGGATCGAGTTGACGCAAGACAAGACCGGATGGTCCATCCCATCGATCTCTAGCACCAGAAGGGACGACAAGCCAGAACCAATGGTGTCGTGGTTTCAGCGCCGAGTTTCCAGTTTTCACACTTTTTTCCCCTCTACCTCTTGTTATCAGATCCTCGTAGGTCCGTGGCTTCGGACCAGTGACGGGCTGGTGCAGACTTTTTTCTCCACTGTGAAAACCCGGCTGGCTTGTTAGCTCCAAGTGATGACAGGGCCTAATTCGGAATCTCATCTGACCCGGTAGGCAAGCTCTCCCATCGCAATTCGATCAATGGCAACGCTGGGCTCACCTGGGCTTGTACGCTTGGCCCGGCTTGGCGTGGGGTCCAGTCCGATTCTGATTCAGCATCAATCCGTCCCAGCCAGAGCCAGTCGCTGTGGTGTGTTTGACCCAAACTCTTGTCAAACCCTTGCCATAAAACGTCGCTCCCTCTGGTACGAAATCGCGCCCACATGGCGCCTCCTTGGCGTCCTCTTCGTCCCTTCGCACTGCGCGATCGGATATTGCGTAAGGATCCCGGGATTGTACGTGTACTGTACGGAGTACGAGTCATCGAAAACTCGTCCTCATGTCTAGCTGTTTCTTCCCGGGTTGAATCAGGGTCTTGGCCTTCCGCTGAAAGGGGAACGACGAGACGACGACAACGACGCTGTGGTCCGCATCTGACAAGCGCCCCGTGAGGGGCCTCTTCCGGATGGGCCATGGCCTGACCGAGCCTGGCCTGGACCCCTGGTATTCTGCTCATTCTGTGCGCGCGCAGTGGCTCTGTGGAGAGGGGACAGAGGACGGGATGAGGAAACAACAACGAAACTGACAGGACGCTTTCTCCCAAAGGACCGACTCGACAACAGCACTAGAGAGCGTCTGGGCTGCTTTTGGTGAGACCCAAGGCGAGCCAGACTTGTCCGACTTGCCAGACCAGGTAAGTCTCTGGTCTTCGTGGTCTTAGTTTGGGAAGTGGGAGTGGGTTCGGTGGGCTCGAGAAATGGATGCGTCCTCGTACATGCCCAACTAGCCTGCCCGGTGGTACTCCCATCTGCATGGCGCTGGGCAGGGCAGAACCCGCCTCTCATCGAGAATGAGGGGAGCGAGAATGTTTCACTGCAACCAAAGCAACCCAACAAGGAATACTTGCTGGGCTGGTCGGGTGACCCGCTTGGCTGCGTTGCATTGGCGGCGTTCCCGTGGGAGCTGATCCACACCCTGGCTTCCTGAGTCTGGTACATCTGATAAAACTTTTTACATGCTTTGCTAGGAAATTATCTTATCAGATCACAGCAGTGAGATGGATGCACAGGGTGCTGATCCCGATCCACCCCATCGGTCGACCCAGGGACTTTTGATGTTGCGTTGCGTTGCAATGGACCCTCCCCCAGCTCCGATGCCGACCTACATAAATGCTCGCCGTCTTCGCTCCCACCCTCCATCAGTTACCATGTTTGTCCGGTGGAATTCCAATCTTGAGGTCCGTCTCCTGCGACTGTGTAACGACCGCCTACCGCACTTGACTGTGTCCTGGTAGCTAGCTGCCCATCGCGACATATCCGAGCCTACCGCTCCGAGCCTTCCAGTGGCACCGAAAATTTCTTGTAAGCTGTCCAGCCCCTCTTGTGAACTCATTGTACTCTTCGCCACCCTTCCTACTCTGTGGTGTGCATGTACCGCCGGTGACGATGCATAATTGCTAACGAGGCTGGGCAGTCGTCTGACAGACTTGGGAGAAAAGAAGAAAAAAACCAGAACACGGATTCACCATGGCAGCGATGCCCGAACACGACCCTACCCGGGCCGAGGAGCAAAAGGGCCCCGCCTCGCCCGGCCAGCTCAGCCGCCAGTCCTCCCTCGACATGAAGGAGAAGTCGCCCGGCGTCGTCCGCATCGAGGCCATCGCCTCGGTCATGACCCGCACCGACCGCTTCTTCATCTTCTTCGGCGTCTTCCTCATCGCCTACGCCTACGGCCTCGACGGCACCCTGCGGTACGCCTACCAGCCCACGGCCTCGGGCGACCTCGGCAACCACTCCCTTTCGGCCACCGTCAACGTCCTGCGCGCCGTCATCGCCGCCGCCGCCCAGCCCACCTCGGCCAAGATCGCCGACGTCTTCGGCCGCGTCGAGCTGATCATGGTCTCCGTCTTCTTCTACGTCATCGGCACCATCGTCGAGGCGACGGCGCAGAACATCGACACCTTTGCCGCCGGCGCCATCATCTACCAGATCGGCTACACCATGGTCATGTTCCTCGTCGAGGTCGTCATCGGCGACATCACCTCGACCCGCGCCCGCCTGCTCTTCAGCTACATCCCGGCCCTGCCCTTCATCATCAACACCTGGGTCAGCGGCGACATCTCCCAGGCCGTCCTCGACAACACCACCTGGCGCTGGGGCATCGGCATGTGGTGCATCATCTACTCGGCCTGCGCCATCCCGCTCGTCATCTCGCTGACCGTCGTCGGCATGCGCGCCAAGCGCATGGGCGCCCTCGCCAACTACAAGTCGAACTTCCAGCAGCTTGGCCCCCGCGGCTTCTGGATCGACCTGTTCTGGCGCCTCGACGTGCCCGGCATCATTCTAGTCATTGCCGTCTTCGCCCTCGTCCTGACCCCGCTGACCCTCGCCGGCGGCTTCGCGACCTCGTGGGGCAAGGCGCACATCATCGCGCCGCTCGTCGTCGGCATCGTGTGCATCCCGGTCTTCATCTTCTGGGAGCTGCGCGCGCCGCACCCGCTCGTGCCCTTCCGCACCATGAAGGACCGCGCCATCTGGGGGCCCATGGGCATCGCCATCCTGCTCAACTGGTCGTGGTACATGCAGGGCGACTACCTGTACACCATGCTCGTCGTCGCCTTCGACTTCTCCATCACCTCGGCCACGCGCATCGCGTCGCTCTACTCGTTCTGCTCCGTCATCACGGGCTTCCTGCTCGGCTTCGTCGTCTACAAGGTCCGCCGGCTCAAGTACTTCATCATCGCCGGGACATGCCTCTTCCTCGTCGCCTTCGGCCTGCTCATCCGCTACCGCGGCGACCCGAGCCCGGCCGGCAGGTCCGGCGTCATCGGCGCCGAGGTCCTGCTCGGCATCGCCGGCGGCATGTTCCCCTACCCGGCGCAGGCCTCGCTGCAGGTCGCCCTCAGGCACGAGCACCTGGCCGTCATGACGGGCCTCTACCTGGCCACCTACCAGGTCGGCTCGGCGTTCGGCAACACCGTCTCGGGCGCCGTCTGGACGCAGGTCCTCCCCGGCGCGCTCGAGGACGCGCTGCGGCCCATCAACGCCTCGCTCGCGGCGCCCGTGTACGAGAACCCGCTCGTCGTGGCCGTGGGCTACCCCGTCGGCAGCCCCGAGCGCGACGCCATCGTCCACGCGTACCAGCACACGCAGCGCCTGCTGTGCATCACGGGCGCCTGCCTCTGCGTGCCGCTCATCGCCTTCGCCTTCTGCCTGCGCAACCCCAAGCTCAACGACAAGCAGAACCTGGTCGAGCACCAGGACGAGGAGGTCGTCCGGTAGGCGGAAGGGTGCAAAGCGTCCCTTTCCCGAGACTTCATTTGCACTGTGTGCGAAACAGGGAAAAAACAAAACATAATCCTACTTAATACTGTATTCAAAAGAAAAGTCCAGATGGATGATGGTGTCAAAAAGCAGGGAGAGATGGGGCATGTGTTGATGCACACTTCTTTTGTTGTTCTTAGAAGTGTTTAATATTACAAGAGATCAGTACTCATTTTGCTCAAAAATGAGGTCTGCTTTTGTGTTCATTCAGCCGTTTAGCACATACAAAATGAAAATAGGCGAGTGTTTTTCCATTGCACATTGCTTCAGTTGGAACAAGTGAACTACAATCACTCTGTCGGCCCGCTCTATTGAAGTCTGTTCTTTGTTCTGCTCTGCATGTTTCAGTGCTTCCTCACCGCCCCTTCTACTACTCCTTCCTGTACCACTGCCTCTGGCTTGCCCCTTGATCTTTCTTCTCTGTATAGAATTTTCTGGTTTGGCTTGATCTTTTCAATTGTTTAAACACCTTATGCAGATAGGTTATACAAGATGTTGATTCTTCTTTAATGATAAAAGCACAGGTCTTAGGGCAGCTCTTTGTAAAGGCAAGGTTCCTGCTATTTTGCTAGGTGCCCCTTGCAGGAAGGCCAAGGATGACATGAGCAAGTGGAAACCTCTTGAGCATAACAGCACCACATGTCTTTCACCAATCTCCTGTGGCGCAATTGGCTAGCGCGTTGTAAGTTTAAGAAAAAAATCTTGCATTAGCACCACCATTTATACTAACAAATACATCAGCGACTGTTATCCACCAAACTGGAAGCATATCGGAAGGTTCTTGGTTCGACCCCAAGCAGGAGAGAAATCTCCCACTTTCTTTTTTTCTTGCCCTTCCACCCCCTTCCCCTTCCCAAAGAATGGGTAGAAGACTGCTTGCAAAATGGCTCTTTTTTTTCCTTTTGTCTTTACTTTCAAGAGGGACATGTAGTGAACAAATAGACCCCCTTCTCGCTCTCTCCGACCTGGAACTGCTCGCCTGCCGTTTCTCTCTCTCCAGGAAAGAACAAAACCCGACACTAGGCGTAGTACATTGTGTCTCAATTGATCTACCATCTACCTCTCGACCACCGTTGCTGCCGCTCTCTCCTTGTACTGGACTTCCAGCTCGTCATCATTAACAGGAGGGCGCCCATGAGAAAGCTCGTGCCTAAAGAGCATAGCGTTGGTGCTTTGTGGCTGACATCTTTCGTAGAGGCGCCTATGTCAGCCCGATGCCAATGTAGTAACTCGTGGCATATCGAGCTTGAGAAGGCAGTCGAGAGCATTTCGCACGGAATGACTGTATAAGCAAAGATAACGAGCCGTCGTCCACCAATCACCCGTGGCGCAATTGGTTAGCGCGTTGTATGTCAACCGTTTGAACGTTCCCAAGTTCCACTTCCTCATTACTAACACCCAAGATAGCGACTGTTAATCGAGAGGTTGGCGGTTCGAGTCCGCCCGGGTGAGCATATCGCCCTTCATTTTTGTTTTGCTTCGTTTCCCTTTGCCCAGTTTTCTACATCTTTGTCTTTTTTATCATTCCAATCTACCTAGAGCCATAGCACACCCACCTGTGTTTGGATGCTGTGATTGTTATTGTAGAATGTCAAACAAGGTTTGTAGACTCAAGCGATGGCTGGAATTGAACACGATACAGATGTGTCGTACTATGAGCTGAAGTAGAGCAAGACGATCCTTTAGATCAGAGCCATGGTTGGAATTGCCGATGAAACTGTCCCTTGAGTGACCAAGGGGCCTATCTCAAGTCCGGCTCTTGTCGAGAAGAAGCGGAATTCCGTTTCATCATGTCCCAGCATCAGAATTGACGGCGGGATTCAATTGAGTTGCACCCGTGCCTGGCAAGTCGTAGGCACATTCCAATCATTCAGTGGCCTGTCACAGCTGTCAGTCCCTCCTGAAGCTCCACATGGACTGCCCTTCAGAGACTAACTCAACCGCACTGTCGGAGGGTGTCCACTGTACAAACCGCCCAGAAAGACTGGCCTGCGATCAGCTCAAATCTACTGCGCCGCTCGTATCCTTGGCGCTTGAGGCGACTTGGCCTCTTTCTTCCCTTGTGTCTAGGAATCGATGATTCTTTTCCTTTTCCCTCAAGAACGCAATGCTCTTGAATCTAGCTTTCCACGGCTGATGTTGGGCTATGAAAGGATCGCTTTAGAACGTTTGCGGCGCGACTTGTTTCTCTGCTAGGAACAAGATGGCAGGTCTCATGCAGAAGGGCGGCGACGTGGATGTGGAGAGCCGGGGCCAGCAGCCGCACACGATGTCCGGAGCCGCGGACGGCGCCAGGACGGGTACCGCGGGCGGCTCGTCAATGGCCACGGCCGGCGGAGACACGATTGAGCTCGGCAGCATGGCCGACCTGACTCCCGCACGGGCCGTTGACGGAGGCGAGGCCGGTGTCACTGCCGCCGAGGGCGAGACCGGTGCGCCGCCGCCACCCCCGAAGAAATTCCCTACCGGCCGCCGGAAGTGGATATTGACTGCAGGGTAAGGGATTTTATTTTTGGCTGCATCGAGCAGTCGGTGAATTGGGTTGCTCTGTGCTGACGTTTGGGGCGGTGGTTCGCACTGGGAACAGGATATGGATTGCCCTGTTCTTGTCGACGCTCGAGTCGACCATTGTGAGCACGTCGCTTGTCTCTATCACGACGGCGCTGAACGGCTTCTTGATGCGCGACTGGATCGTCACCGCGTATTTGCTGACTTATACTGGTAAGGCCATACCTTGCACACCGGGAAGGTCGATCTGGTCTGGGAGAGTGTGTGCTGACTTGACCTTCCCGAATGGAACAGGCTTCCTCACCATCTACGCCAAGATCAGTGACATCTTTGGCCGCAAGACCATGTTTGTCCTGGCGCTGGCCATATTCACTGTGTTTTCCATCTTGTGCGGTATATCGAACAACATCGTGGAGCTGTAAGTTGGAACTTGGACCCGAGCGCAAGACCCAGTGGCTGACACCGGCGGCCTTCTGAACAGCATCGTCTTTCGCGCGTTCCAGGGCATCGGCGCCTCGGGCATCTACTCGATGATCATGGTCATCGCGCCGGACCTCGTCCCGCAGGACCAGTACGGCAAGTACATGGCCATCGTGGCGACCGTCTTCATCGTGGCCAGCGTGCTGGGCCCCATCCTCGGGGGTGTCATCAACACGCACTCGTCATGGCGCTGGGTGTTCTTGCTAAAGTGAGTCGTCTTCTGTCGGGAAGAAAAGGCCGTGTGAATGGCAAAAAGCATCTTTTGCTAATAGGACATCTTTGCGAATGCAGCGCCCCGGGAGGCACCATCGCCCTGGCCATCATCATCTTCTTCCTGCCCACGTCGGAGCAGTCGTCCAAGATCCCCATCCTGCAGCGCCTGCGCGTCAAGCTCACGCGGTCCGCCTTTGCGCGCGTCGACCAGCTGGGCATCCTGCTGCTGCTCGCCGCCTCGGTCCTGCTCGTCTTCGCGCTCGAGCAGGGCGGCACGCGGTACCCGTGGGACAGCGCGCCCGTCATCGCCACCCTCGCCATCTCGGTGGCCTGCGGCGTCGCGTTCCCGTTCTGGGAGGTCTACGTGGAGAAGTCGAGGTCGGCGCAGGAGCCCGTCTTCCCGATGAGCTTGCTGAAGAATAGGCTTATCTCTGCCATGCTACTGTGCGTCTCCCCCTCCCCCTCCCCCCCTTTTCTCTTGAAAAAAAAAAGAACGCGAGAGACTTGATATCGTTTAGCTGACAGCGCGTTATTACTTTTCATGTCATCAGAACCGCCTTCTTCACGGGCTTCCCCTTCGTCTCCATCGTCGTCAACATCCCCCAGCGCGCGCAGGCCGTGGCGGGCCTGTCCCCGCTCGACGCCGGCATCGCCCTGCTGCCCATGCTGCTGAGCTCGCCGCTCGCGACGGCCGCCTCGGGCTTCCTGACGGGCAACTTCAAGGTGCCGCCGTTCTACCTCGTCGTCGGCAGCTCGTGCCTGCAGCTGCTGGGCGTGGGGCTGACGGTGTCGCTGCCGACCGACGTGACTGACCGGGTGCCGCGGGAGCAGTACGGGTACGAGGTGCTGATGGGCGTCGGGTTCGGCATGGGCCTCACGACGCTGCTGACCTTTGCGCGGGTGGTGGTGTCGGATGAGCACCTTGGTATGGTGGTTCCTGGGTAAATCTCTTTCAACTAACACCTGCAGAGTGCTAACACGGATGCATAGCTGTCGCCAACGGCGCCATGACGCAGGTGCGCGTCCTGGGAGGCACGATCGCGCTGGCCGTATGGTAAGCAGAGACACATATTCCTCACCTTTTGTGAAAGATGACTTCGGAGCGATATCCCTTTTCTGACCAGAATGTCCCCAGTGCCACGATCCTCAACAACCACATCGGCCCGCGCATGGCCGCCATCGTCAGCCCGCAACAGGCCGCCGCCATCAAGGAATCGCTAGCGGCCATCGGCGAGCTGTCGCCCGAGCAGCAGGTGGCGGTGCGGCACGCCTTCGCCGAGGGCTACCACCGGCAGAACATCTTCATGACGGCGCTGTCGGCGATCGGGCTTATCTCGTCGTGTTTCCTGTGGGAGCGGCGGCCGAGGAGGGCGACTGAGGGCTGATTGGAAGCTGATGTGCATCATAGACCGGGCCCCCAAGCCGCCACGGACATATAGACTTTCAATGACAAGCACATGTATAGATCTTATCTAAGGAGTGCCTGCATGCCCCAGATGAGGTAAACTATTGCCATAAAATTCTAGGGGCTGAGCCAAGCTTCGTATCGGCGGCACATAACAGAAGGACCTCGGGAGTTAAGATCTTATCACTAATCAGATAACTAACTAGAGGTGGATTCAGTTTGTTTGGAACGTTGTGCCTGACGGGTCTGGTGGGTGTGGATGCGAGGCTGGAATCCCCCATGCTCGACGTTCCCCATCATTGCTCGCATCCTAGTCCCATTTGAGTGACAGATTTCCCATATATCAGTCAGTGGTTAGCAATGCTTTGTCCGACACACCTTTTGGGCTCTATAGCGAGTAATTTGGCAGGGAAATGGAGTGTGTTTCCAGGAGTTGTCCTTGGCTTGGTTCAAGGTTTACGCCGTCGTCAGCAAACGCAAGATTTGTCAGCAATGGCTCTCGAGACGGGAGTGAGACTGAGCTTTGAGTAAGATTGTGAGGTAGGCAAACATTTCGTGTTCACACCAACTTATTAGCGGGCACGCACACACACCATCGTTGAACCTCGGCTCAGCCCAGACTCGCTGTCGATCAGGCGTTCGTTCAGCTACAGGGCCAGGGCCAGACTGAGCAGGTAGCTAGCACATCTTCGAGCTTCTCCACCGCCACACTCACCGTGGACATCGACAGGAGGTGTCTCGACACGGTGGTGGCTTAGTCGTGCCTTACTGTTCAATCGACAAGAAACCTCTACAGTCGCGTAAGCGGGGGCGTAAGGTCGTAACGCAGAACAAAAAGGAAGGAGACCTGGAGGTCATTGGGAAAGTCTCGGACAATGCCTCGACTGAGTCTCTGCCCTACAGCCACACCAGCACACACCCCGCAATCCCGGTAGCCATGTCGCCGGCACCACCACCCGAGGCCATGGACCCGGCGGGGGCGGGGGCGGCGCTGCCTCCGCCTCGGAAGCGCCCCAGGAAGGGGAGCAGCAGCGCCAGCGCCAGCGCCGCGTCGCCCGAGGCCGAGGGCAGCGACAAGAAGCGCTCCCGGGGCCGGCCGAAGCTCGACCTCAAGGACGACGAGTCGGCCGCCGACCGCCGCCGGACGCAGATCCGCCTGGCGCAGCGGGCCTACCGCAGCCGCAAGGAGAACGCCATCTCGGCGCTCGAGCGGCGCGTGCGGGAGCTGCAGGACGCCAACGACGGCATGAGCAGCGCCTTCCGGGAGCTGCACGACTTTGCGCTGGCGCAGGGCCTGCTCGAGGGCGCGCCCGAGTTCGGGCGGCAGCTGAGGGCTACGACGGAGAAGTTCCTGAGCCTGGCGAGGACGACGGCGAGGACGACGACGACGACGACGACGGGCATGGAGGACGGGGAAGGGGAAGAGGATGGGACCGCGGAGGGGAAGGAGGCTGCTGATGCGGAAGCTGAGGCGGTCCTTGCGGCCGGCGCGGGAGGGATCTTGGATCGACATCCGTCTCACTCGGGCTCAGAGGCTACGCCGCAGGGCTCGGAACGGGGCAGCTTCGGCCAGGAGGTGTCGCCTGCGTCCAAGGTGTACCTCCCGTGTGGCTACACAGTGTCAGATGGCAGGGATGAAGGGATGCAACTCGCACAAATGACTGCGGACTCACTACCTCCGCCGATAGACGCGCCGCCGCCGGGCTACGGAGGATCCCACCCGGCCGGCGCATCAGGCAACCCGAACTTCCCCTTCGCGTACCCGCGCATGCCCAGGAGCAAGACCAACGCGTCGGGCTACTTCCTCAACCCGTCGCCGCCGTCGCCGTCGCCGTACGCGTCCATGCCCGTGCCCGCGAGCTACGCCGCCTCGGAGACGACGCTCAGCCGGCGGCTGCAGCGCACGGCCATCGAGCGCGGCCTGCGGCTCATCAGCATGCCCAACCCGCCGCCGGCGCGGCTGTCGCGCGTCTTCGGCTTCTGCCTGCTCTTCGAGACGCGCGACATGATCATCGAGCGCATGTCGCGGCTCGCGCGCGGCGGCGGGCAGGACTCGCTGCACAACTGGGGGTACCCGTTCGCGTACCTCGGCGGCGCGGGCACGCGCACCTCCGAGTTCGCCGCCTCGCTGTCGCTGTCCGGCACCACCGACTACTCGTCCTCGAGCGGGTCGTCCCCGGGCCCGCCCGAGGCGGCGGCGGCGGCGGCGACGGCGGGTATCTACCAGCAGCAGCAGCCGTACAGTATGGACGGCACCGGCGGCGAGCGGTTCAAGATGCTGCCGCTCGGGTGCCGCATGTCCATGGGCCCGCACGACGAGCGGGTCGTCGGCGCGCAGGACGCGCAGCTCACGGACGACATGCGCATCATGCTGCCCGGGCTCGAGGGCGAGTTCTTCGACGCCGAGGAGACGGAGCTGTACCTGCGGCGCAAGGGGATATACGTGCCCGTCGGCCTGGACGAGGTCGTCGTCGAGATCGACGAGGCCAGCTTCCGCGAGGTCCGAGACGGGACCGGGGCTGGGGGCGGAGGGTCTGCCACTGTGGGGGGATCCCAGGTTCCCGTCGCGCAGGTTGGAGGGGGGAACGAAGCTGCGTTTCACAGCCAGGCTGGGCACGGAGTGTTTGACAATGCCACCGCCGTATCGAACACGCCGTTCACGGGGGCGTCTAGCGGCGCCATGGACCCCATGACCTCTGCCCCGGGCTTCTCGGCGATGTTCAGCATCCCCGTGAGCGCGCCGCCCGGCAACATGTGGCAACGCCCGTCGGGCTTTACCGAATTCCCTGTCACGGCACCGGGAGAGTATACCCTGACTGACTCCATCGGTGGTGGGCAGTCAACATACCAGGGCCATCCGGCGCCGCCGTCTTCGCGAAAGATCGTGACGCTGGATGTGCCGACGTTTATATCGCGTGAGTCTGCCGTCGCACATTGTGTGGCCTGCGCTATTCAGGAACGAATGCTGACACTGCTTTGCCCTGACCAGAACTTTCCAGCACGGCTGTGTGTCTGGGTAGGGCATCGGGTTTCAGGAAGGAGAACATCGATGCCGCGGTGCTGGCGGCGATCCGGGAAGTGTAGATGCCTTCTCTGCAAGCGGCGTCTTGAGCCACGAGGAGACCACCTAGAGAATGGCTTTTGACCTGGAGGACTAGAGACGAGACTCTAATTGGAACTTTGACGGACAGCAAAGCGGGCGTACCCGGGATATTTGTGCTTTTGGATATACACACACCAGGCCGGTAAAGCGTAGTCTATTTTGGTAAAATCATTGTACATCAGGTCCCTCGTATAACGAGGACCAACTCCATAGTGAATTTACATCGTGAACACATCACGCAGGCCCCTTCTCCGTCCCCTCTCCCTCAGCCAGCCTCTGCCTCGCCTCCCAAGCCGCCCTCCTCCTGGCCTTGCGCTCCTCCTTCTCCCTCGCCGCGGCCTCGGCCTCGGCCTCCACGACCCGCAGCATCGCCGCCGCCCGCGCGATCATGTCCGCCTTCTCGCCGTTGAGCTTGCCGTTGAGGTACTGCCTGCCCAGCACCGCGCTGGCCGCGTACGTCTCCTTCTTCTTCTTCGCGGCCGGCCCGCCAGCAGAGCCGTCCTCGGCGGCGCCGCCCAGGCGCGCCTCCCACTCGTCCTCCGTCTCGGCGAGCCACCGGCCTTCCTCGTCGAGCTCGAGCGCGAGCGTGATGCGCGCCTGCCGCTTGTCGCCCAGGTCGCGCAGGACGCGCGACAGGGCCGGGGACTGGGGCTTGCGCACGCGCAGGAAGGGGTGTCCCGCGGCGGTGGCGGCGAGGCGCGGGACCTTGCGCCGGCCGGAGCCGCCTAGCTTCTCCTGCGGGAGGGGCCGGGCCGTCGGGCTGTACGTGCCCGTCGCGGGGTCCTTGGTCAGGAGCGGGGTGCGGGCTGGGTGCGGCGCCGTGGAGGGGTGTTTCGGGGGCGGGTTGGCCGGGTCGGAGAAGTAGGCGCGCGAGGCGAGGACGGAGGCAAGGCGGGAGTGGAGGAAGGAGAGGATCGAGGCGTGTTCGGAGGAGGAAGGGTTGGCAGCGCGGGTTAGGAGGTCGAGGCACTGGGTGTTTGCATGTTAGCTGAACGGCAGTGGAGGAGGAGGAAGGGTGCGGTGTGTGAGAGACGAACCCGGTAGCCATTGTCCAGTGCGGCCGCAACGAGCCGCTGGCTGGTGTCGTTCTTGTTGCGCCGGAAGGATCCCCGGATAAGATGTTTTATGGGGTGGACAGGGCCGAACTGGGCGACGAGGTCACCTGGAAGAGGGACCTTGGGGGCTTGCTGGAGGAGAGCTCTGTAGAGGGCGAAGCCTGGAGAATGAGGTCACAATTAGCTTGAGCTGCGGATCGAGGATGATGGTGGCGGATGCCACCTACATGCTGTACGATGCCGCGAGCTGCGGGCAGGATTGAAGAATGCAGGCATTCATCTGGTCGGGCCAGCCGGTCTGTTCAGAGGAAATATAGCTGGTCCACAAGAGAGAAAATGGCGAGGAGTGTGGTGGTGGTGACAAAGACGAACGAAGCGTTGGAGCACCGACCGAAAAGCATCACGTGCACGTGCCAGCAGATGGGAATCAAAGAAAGCATCGATACGAATACCTAGACACAACACAACCCACGCCGTTTGATTCCTTGCAAAATGCAGAGCAGTGAAAAAGCCGTTACTTCATGTAGAACACCAATCCTTCCGTAACCCCGCGAGTGTGATGCTTCAAAGTGGACTTGGCCGTCTCTTCGGCCCAACCCGGAATCCTCCCTGTCAAGCTTGCAAGTATGCTGGGTCTGCCATCGCTCCAGAATCATTCCTCTCCAATCTTCTTAGTCCTTGTACATGGGATACTTGGAGCCCTCAGGAGGCTGGGGGAGCTTCTTGTGCTCTTCCATGTACCTAGAAGAAACCCAATGGTCAGCATTTGTTCGCGGTACCATGCATGGTGGATATGTAGAGCGTACTTTCGTATCGCGATGAGAGCAGACTCGAGACTCAGATGGTCGTCCTTGGGCCTCGGGTTCTTGGCGAGCTCGGCCGCGATGCGCTCCCAGTCCCTCAGGATGCCGATCGAGTTCTTGTCGACAAGGCCGTCCTGGGGGCTGACACCGGGCAGGTTGATCTGGCTGACGAAGTGGATCAGGGGAGGCTCTTTCGGGTAGTTCGGTCCGCAGTTCATCTTGAGCTCGTAGATGCGGTTCTCGTGGTTGCCCTAGGCGTTGAACAGGCTATGGTCAGCTTCGAAAGCGGTGGGATTGGGCTGGGCGAGCTGAGGGAAGGAAGCCTTACATGCGGAGGGCCCCAAATGGTACCGCGCCAGTTGGACATGTAGATGTCCTCCGGGTCCTCCAGACCATAGGAGCATGCACCTGTGACGATATGATGAGATAAAGGAGTTCGGTCTGGGTGCGAGGGTACTCCATACCGGCACCCATGCCCTTCTCGCCCTTCTCCAGCTCGGCCAGGAGCTTGAAGTTGCGGGGCACTTGTGCAACCGCCATGATGATGTCGACTTGCGGGGGAAGTGAAGGTTTTGTGGTGCGCAAGCGGGTGGAAGGAAATGAGAGGCAGTGAAAGAAGACCCTTGTTCGGCGCAAGATTGAAAAGCACAAATGATAGACTTGGGGGTTGGCCAAGTTGGGAATACCTTCACGCGCGAAGCTGGAGGGGGTGATAACAATCAATCACTGGGTACTTTAAGTAGGCACCCTGTTGATTATGGTGGGGTAGGTACCAAACCTCGGGAGAGAAGGAACAATGGCCTGGCTTGGATCCATGGAATTGATGACTCAGCAACGGGTCCTTGGTGCCTGTCACTCCCTGGAAAGGAAAGCTCCAGCCTGGCCGGTTGCGTAACAGCCACTGAAGGTCCCCACTACAGCACCCAAGAAAGGGAGAGCTCAGCCCTGAGGCGACGTCTCAGACAAGCCAAAACAGCATCAATGCCTCGAGCTTGACCTCCAAGCTGCCCGATGCTGCCCTCTGATATCTGGCAATTCCGTACTGTTTTCGCAGGTGATCACGTATGATATTTGCTTGATTGCATCATGTCGAAGACCGCTGTTTGCATGCTACCATCAAGATGACCGCCCAGCTGCTTGCGACGGAGCTCGCCAATCTCATCCAGGAGAGCAAGCGGAAGCACCACGATCTAAGACAGGTACGTGTCGCGTTCGCCGTGCTCACCGATGATGCCGCCGTAGCCGCCAAAAACACCGCAACAACCTTGCTGACTCTCATCCTAGGCTGCCGAGAAGTCATTAGAAGAGCTCAAGAGTCTGCGAACGTCGTCCGAAGCTCAGACAGCTGCTGGTAGAGCGCCCCTAGCCTCATCCACTCACGTATGAATGAGCCTCCCTGCGCTAACCCGTAACCCGTATGAACAGAACTTACACAGAGGGCCAACTTTGTGAATCCATTCATCATCGCCTGCGGAACCAAGAATGCCAAGTTCACTGGCATTGCAGTCGTCTGCCTGCAGCGGCTCATCGTCGCCAAGGCACTGCCGCGCCCGCGTCTCAACCAGGTGCTTGAGGCCTTGAGGGAAGCCACGTCGGCAGGTCTGGATGTCCAGCTCAAGATCCTGCAAGCTCTCCCGTCACTGCTGCAGAACTACTCGGCCGAGGTCAATGGGGACCTGCTAGTTACTGCACTGAACATTTGCTTCATCCTGCAGTCGAGCAAGAATGCCATCGTCAACAACACATCTGCCGCCACTTTGCAGCAGCTTGTCGTATCAGTGTTCGACAAAGTGGTAGTTGAGGATAGTGAGTCTCCGGTGTCTCGTCAGCTCGTACCCGCGAACTCTTAGAGCTACATACTCACGCCTATGTCGGATAGAGTCATCTTCAGATGCCCCCACGGTGGGAGAAGCACCGACCCAAGAAGGCACGGTTGCCCTGAAGGCTTCGGCTCTGGACGCGTTCCGGGTGTTCAATGACTTGTGCCTTCTCACTGAGCTACAAAGACCCGAGTACCTCAGGTTCTCGGGCCTCTCGCAGACCTTTGGCCTGGAACTAATCGAGTCTGTTCTCACAAACCATGCCGCCATCTTCACGTCCCACCCAGAGCAGACCCATGTGCTGCGTACACGGGTCATGCCTCTGCTCATAAACTCGCTCTCCGGACACCCAAATTTCGCAACAAGCGTCCGGCTCATGCGTATCCTCTACACATTGCTCCGGAGACACCTGTCACTCCTCCCTTCTGAAAGTGCCGATGCGCTCGATGTTCTGACGCAGATCCTCGACCAAGACACCACCATCTGGAGACGAGCATTATGCATGGAAGTGTTCAGAGGCATCTTTTCTGAGCCTGCACTACTTCGGCGCATTTTCATGATGTATGATGGCCAAGAAGGCGAGAAGAAGATCCTCAAGAACCTGACGGCTACCTTCGTGCGTGTGAGCACCGAGCGACCCGCCATCATCGGCCTTGGACATCAGTCGACGATACCCGTGGCCAATCCTTACGCCAATGTCGGCACGAGCACTGATCAAGCTGCGTTAGAAGCAAGCGGCGTAACGGGGTTCATAAGTAGTTCCGTTGGCGGTGAGGGCCACGACACCGGCATCAGCACGCAGTGGAGCTCTGTGCGTGTCCCTTGCATTGACCAGCTCGACAAGACCGAGTCGCCGGCCATCCCTGAATCATATCTGTACAGTCTCACGCTGTCGTGCATCAACTCCCTGTCTGAAGGGCTTGCCAAGTTCATTCTTCCACTCACGGTGCCTACCGATGTTCGGAATCGGAAGCGCAACGGGAAGCAAGATGCTACGGGTCGGGATTCTCCCGCTCCTGGGAGCGAAGAACGTGTAGCAGGTAAATCTGCCGCTCTGGAGCGCTCGTCTTCGTTCAAGAAGAACCCAGTTCCGATCAATCCTCTCACCTTAGAGGATCACCCCTTGTACCAAGATATCAAGGCGAGTGCTGCGCTCATAGAAGAGTGTTGGCCGGCCATCCTGGCCACTTGCTCAACATTTCTGTATGCCGCGCTGGACTCTGATTACTACCACGGCCTAGTGAGAGCCTTCCAGAAATTCACTCATGTGGCCGGCCTGCTTCAATTAGACACACCCCGCGATGCCTTCTTGACGACTCTGGGCAAGGCAGCTGTGCCACCCAATGTGTTCACAGCGTGCCTCAACGCCGGGCCCAGACCCTCGACCCCTACACCAACTACGGAAACGCCCAACAGTATACTTGGAAATGCAAGAGGATTACTGAGTGTGGACAGCTTGGTCAGTCAAGCTTCGTCCAACCAGGAGCGTCAGAGACAACCGTCGGTAGACGCCGCGCCTTCGACTCTCAACACCAGAAACATGCTCTGCCTGAGAGCTCTTTTGAACCTAGGAATTGCCCTAGGTCCTACCCTTTCCTCTTCGTGGCAGATCATACTCGAGACTCTTCAACAGGCAGATTTTGTCCTGTTCGCGTCTGGAAAAGTAGCGGGACGGACGCCCATCGTGTCGAGAACTCCCGACCAGCAAGCCGAGAACGAAACCAACATGTTGCTCGCGAACTTCGGCTCCGAGATCAAGGCTGTCGAAACCGCTGCGTCGCGGCTTTTCGAAAGCACAGTGGACTTCCCAAATTCCTCCTTTGTCGAGGTGATCACTGCTGTCTGCAACCTCCTGGACAAAAACGAGGAACGACCTTCGACAGCAGACAGTCGGCCACAGTCGCCGCCGTCTGGAGGCTCCACGCTCAAGGCACCCGGTGGACAGCACCGAAGGGTGCTGAGCATTTCTACAACCGCTGCCACAGGGCCGAACCAAGAAGACCAGTTTGCTCTTGCCAAGCTCGGCGACATCGCTACCATCAACTTGGAAAGGCTGCTCAGCTATCCGCCCGAGTCATCTGGCTGGGTGCCACTGACCTCGGAACTGATAGAGACCCTCAGCTCTTCTTCGGCGTCCTCGCCAGTGAGGCTCCGAGCCGCCGAGATCCTCGTCCGCCTCGTGCTCGAGTCTTTCAGCGCCGTGACGTCCCGCCCGACGAGCGATCGGGCCAAGATCCAGCTTCGGCTTCTCCAAGTGCTGGACCAGGCCTTGCGTCCGCTCCAGAATAGCGACCGCAACGTCTCCGTGACCGCGCACGCCGCCGATCTAGACATCCACAGGACCATCCTCGAGGGACTGAGGAGCATCCTCGAGAACTGTGGCGAGTCTCTTGTCAGCGGCTGGGATCTTGCGTTCGCCATCATCGACAGCATATTCCTGTCCAAGAGGTTTGCGGCCGAGGAAGGCGCCATCTTGCAGGCCGACCAGAGCGTCTTGATGACGCGGTCGGTCAAGCTGATCAAGCCGGCGTTCAGCTCACTACAGCTCATCTGCTCTGACTTTTTGTCCTCGCTCCCAAACATCTGCTTTCTCAATCTAGTGGATACCCTGTACAAGTTCTGCTCACAGGACGACGAGCTCAACGTCGCGCTTACGACTGTGACTTTCTTTTGGGTCATCTCCGACTTTCTCTCCGGGCGTAGCCAGTCCATTACCATCACAGAGGCCATGATGGAAGGATTCAGTGACAAGGAGTTGACCCAGATAGCCTCCGACTCTGCTCGCCCTGGCTCAAGCGCAGCGTTATGGATGCTGCTCTTGCATCGCCTCACTATCGTAGCAACTGATAGTAGGCTGGAATTGCGAAATAGTAAGTTCTTTCTGACTCTGGGGTGCTTTTATCATGGGAACTGACATGGCTAGGCGCAATCCAAACGTTGCTGCGGATTGTCCACGCATATGGCAGCAGCTTGAATCCAGACTCATGGGCTATCTGCATCAAGTCAGTCATTTTCCGGCTCCTTGAATCCATGCAAAAGAGGCTGGCCTCAGCCCACGAAGAAAGCCACGGCCCAGGTGGCACAGCCGAGTGGGACGAGACAGCTGTGGTCGTGATCGACGGGGTGTCTGGCCTGTTTGCCAGCTACCTAGATGTGTTGACGGTGCACAAAAACTTCAACTCCCTATGGAAGCACCTCCTTGGGTGTTTTGGTTCTATGTTAGACTTCAAATCTCTGGAAATCAACAGTGCCGTCTTCAACAGCCTTGCCAGCATTCTCTCCAAGTGCAACACGGGCTCGGCACAGAATCTCAAGACCGATAGCATCGATATCGCATGGGAGCTGTGGTCCCGAGGGGTGCCTCAGTCACCGGGAGGCGAAGTCAAGACCGAGGACCAGCAGAAATCACTTCTCTCTTGGGTCGAGGCTTTGCTTCAGATGTACCGTCTCATCGCGGAAGATCTACAATTTGACCGCGTCAAGACGATTCTGAGGTTGCTGAGAGAAGCCATGCTTCTTGCCATGGCCGGCTCTTACGCCAGCGACATTGAATTCCCAACCCAGTTGCAAGGACGCATCCTAGACTTCTTCAAGACGACTCGCACAGATATCTCCGAGGTTCCTGCCGCGATCATAGCCCAGCTTGCCGAGTTCGTTGCATTGGCATTTACAGACGAGCGGATCCAGCTGGGCTCGAGTCAGAAACAGCAGACCTTTGTCGCGATGTCCAAGGAGAGCATGAAGGTGCTGAAATATCACATCACCCAGAACGCATCAGACACGCACATATTCACCGAGGGCGCCTTTTCGGCTGCGCTGTCAGCTCTCGCCAAACCGATTACGCTGAAGTACCGTTTCCCCATAGTGACCAAGTCAACACAGCCATGGCAAGAAGCCACGAGTGCCGCCCTCGCCGTCCTAGAAGCCACCATACCTCACCTACAGGGACAAGGCATCCCGCGCCCCACGGTCCGAGAGATCTGGCAGGTCATCGTCTCCATCGCCGCCGGCATCATCAGCGCCGACGCCGTCGACGCCGCCCCGGCAGGCGCAGACCTCGCCGCCGACGAGCGGTTCGACATCGACGCCTTCCGCGCGCTGCGCGAGCTCGTCATCCCGCTGCTCGGCGCCGACGCCGCCGTGGCCGAGAAGACGCGCAGGGCGTACGCCGAGGCGCTCTTCCGCACGTCGGTCATCCACGCGCCCGCGCCCTCGGAGGCCGGGCTGTTCGTCGTCAGCACCGGCACCGGCACCGCCGCGCCGGACACGGACCCGGCGCGGCGGGGCCAGCTCGCGGGCCTGCTGCACGAGCCGCTGCGCGTGGGCCGCACGGCGGAGCCGCCGCCGGCGCGCCGCGAGGCCATGGCGTACGAGTGCCTGCAGGAGCTGTTCGCGCTGGTGGCGGCGCGCGACGACGACGCGGCGGCCTCGACGCCGACGATCGTCGTGCAGCCGCCGACGCCGCGCTTCCCGCCTCCCCAGATGACGCTGCCGCCCGGCCACGGCCGCGGCCACGGCCACGGCAACAAGAGCCACGGGGACGGGTCGGCGATGCACGCCGCGCTCGCGCGCACGGCGGCGCCGTACCTCATCGTGCGGTGCGCGCTGAGCCTGCGCGCGTACGCGGCCGACCAGCCGCTGCGGGGCCACATGCCGCAGCCGCTCTCGCAGCGGCGCGAGATGGGCGCCGTGCTCCGCGCGCTCGTGGACCTGCGGTCCGAGCCGGGCGCCATTCCGGACTCGGCGGGCGTGGAGTGCGAGGGCAGGAAGCACCTCCTCCGGCTGTACCCTTTGCTCGTGCGGTGCGCGGGCGTGGCGGGGGCGGCCGGGGACGACAAGGTGCTCGGGCTCGTGGGGGATGCGCTGGGGGTCGTTGGCGGGGAGTTGGGGCTTTGAGTTTAGGGTGTGTGTGTGTGAGGGGTGTGAGGGTTGGAAGTGAATGGAGGGGATAGGAAGGCGATAGAGTAGGCGATAGAATGGGGGGATAGAGGAGGGGAAGAGGAGGGGGAAGGGGAAGGTGAGAGGATGTTTCTTCGTCATGAGTGAGTTTTGATAAAAATGAAAGCGTCTGTATGTTTATGAGTATTGCAATAGGAGGGTGTGGTTTGAATGCCTCTGGTGGTGGGTGTTATGCGATGTGGAGATATCTTCCTGTGAGGACGTATAGAACAGATCGGATTGCATCACGTAAAGTCTTGGTCTCACGAAGGCACTCATGGATGAGTCGTGAATGTTTTCCCGTTTTATCTATTTCGAGCAAAGCAAAGAGTAGAGGTACATGCAGGGGAATAGATTATACATTGGTAAGTATTGGAGTTCCTCCAAGGAATGAACGCCTTGCTTCATCGACCCCATTTCCCTTGTTTTCCCCAGTCAAAAAACTCATGCTATTTTTGAAGCCTCCACCTTTGTATTTTGGTACAGTCCGCTAATCGAGCATCTTCCACCACCGTCTCGTTCCCGCTCTCCTCGAGTTCCCTTTACCTATGCTCGGTGGTGCGGTCAAACTCCTCGGCGATCCGGTCCTTCATCGACATCTCGTCCGCATCCTCGCCGGCCTCGAGCTCTCCGACTGAGCCCTGCTGCTGCTGCTGCTGGGACACGACGCCGCCCTTTTCGAGCATCTGCTTGGCGGCGGCCTTGGCCTGGGCGTCGCCGACCTTGCCGTAGACGCTCATGGCGGTGGCGATCATGCCGCCAATGTCGCCGACGTTGCCGGGCACGACGACGGCGGTGCCCTCCTTGGCGAGGCGGCCAAAGGCGTCGACGTACTTCTCGGCGACGGAGAGGCTGACGGCGTTGTGGGCGGCGTCGCGGCCCTCGGCGATGCTGCGGGCGACGGCGTCGATGCCCTGGGCGGTGGCGCGGGCCTTGAGCAGGATGGCCTCGGCCTCGCCCGAGGCGCGGTTGATGTTCTCGGCGCGCAGGGCCTCGGAGGCGAGGATGACGGACTGCTTCTTGCCCTCGGCGATGTTGATGGCGCTCTGGCGCTGGCCCTCGGAGTCGAGGATCTCGGCGCGCTTGGAGCGCTCGGCGGTGACCTGGCGGTGCATGGCCTCGACGACGGCGGCGGGGGCGTGGATGTCGCGGATCTCGTAGCGCAGGCAGGTGACGCCCCAGGCCTGGGCGGCCTCGTTGATGGCGGCCGTGATGTTGGTGTTGAGCGCCGCGCGCTCCTTGAGGACGTGGTCGAGCGTCAGCTGGCCGATCTCGGAGCGCATCGTCGTCTGCGCGAGCTGGGAGATGGCGTACTCGGCGTCCTCGACGCCGTAGCTGGCCTTGTAGGCGTCGAAGACGCGCGTGTAGAGCACGCCGTCGAGCTCGAGGGTCACGTTGTCGGCCGTGATGGCGCTCTGGCTTGGGATCTCGATGGCGACCTCCTTGAGGGACTTGACGTAGGAGATGCGGTCGAGGAAGGGGATCAGGACGGCGAGCCCGGGCTGCAGGATGCGGTTGAACTTGCCCATGCGCTCGACGATCCAGGCCGTCTGCTGGGGCACGAAGCGGATGACGGTGTTGGCGGGCAGGGACGGCTTCTGGAAGTACGAGGGCGGGATGGAGGAGGAGGAGCCGCTGCCGCCGAGGCCGCCCATGAGGGAGTTGGTGGGCAGGCCATTGCGGGAGCTGGTCTGGAAGGTGCGGAGCTGCGCTGCTGTGGTGCTGTGCCGGGAGAGGAGGGCTGCGGCGGCTGGGGCGAGCAGGCGGGCGGCGGACGATGGGGAGGAAGAGGCGGCGAGCCGGAGGGCCGGCGTGATGGCCCTCTGTGCGGGACCGGTCGCCATCATGACCGCTGCTGCTGTTGCATGCGTTGCTGGCCGGTTGGTGGGAGAGGGCGTGGTGTTGAAACGGTGCTCTCGGCTGCTGCTTTTCGTCCGTCGGAGCTGTAGGCACGAGCACGAGAGGACTTTCTGACTAAGGTTGAGCTTTGCTGTGGATGTGATACGTCAATCCTAATCCTGCCGATGCCTGCCTGGGGTCTGGTCTTTGGTGGCTCAAAGTGGATTAGCTCATCGGGGCTTCGGCCAAAACTTTGGCCTGGTCAGAGCCTAGAGCACGTGCTGTGATCGGCGGCCAGCGCGTTCTGGGCCCTTTCAGCGGCTCTTTCCACTGTGAGCTGCAAAAACCCCACTCAATTGTAGTGCGGTGACTCGCCGTTTCAGCATGTGAATAGGCGACTCGTTAGTGCCCAGTAGCGAGTGTGGGTGCTGGAGCTGCTGGCGACATCCATTGGTACTCAGCGTGTTAAGCATGATTCTAAGGCAATTGTCGTGAGGTCATGGACTCGAGTTTATATCGACATCGACGGTGCTTCTCAATGCCGACCCCCCCCAAGGCTAGCACATGAAGATGAAGTCACCGTTCTGCAACAGTACAAGGCGCTCCAAAGTGTGTTCTTCGGTAAAGTAGGGAGCAGGATGCAGAGTCATTGAAGCATACAAGTAGGACAAGGTGGACAAGTAGTTATTTCACAACGGCTTTGTCGTGCAACCCGGGGCAGTCACACGTTATTCTGGGCTCTACCAGTCACCAACCACATTGAACACTTTTGGCACCATGTCCAACAGAAATCCCTTCCGCAATCTCACACCGACAGAGTCGGACATCGACCAAGGCGGCTCGAGGGAAACGCTACGCGAGAAGGCGGTCAAGAAGGTGCACGGCGAGGGCGCGAACCCGTCCCAGCTCGGAGACCCAGTCAGCCTCAAGGCCGAGACCAGCGAGACAATTCCCACAGATGACGAACAAGGTAGCCGGCAGCAGGCCGGACACTCGTCAACGAGCTCCAAGTCCGGCGGCAGACAGACCCGAGGCCACGGTGGCGGCGGCGAGAAGCTCCGGGAGAAGGCGGCCAGGAAGCTGCACGGCCCGGATGCCAACCCCAGCATGCTGGGCGACCCCATCAGCCTCAGGAACGAGTCCGGGGGAGCGATGCCTCGCGAGGCGGAGGAGGGCGGCATGGGCAGGAGGGGATCCAAGCTGTAGTGAGATGGTTCAATGTTATGCCCACAGTCAGTTAGGCCTGCTGGGACGCTCGGAACGAGGGCGGCAACAGCGCAGTCTTGGCGGGCCACATCGATAACGAGTTCTCATCTCCTGGGGACTGAAGCCGGCTGGGAGAAAGTAGAGGCCGCGTAAACACTATTAGACATTTTGCTGGGCATTCGCGCTGGGCATTGCTCGTCCTGCGTGCTGGAATGGCATAGGCTTTTGGATCTGACTGGGTTTTCCTTGGTGGATGAGCGAACAGGCTCGGCACACGCGAGGGGGGAGAAGACCGTCGTATAAATGCAAATTGGTGAGGCTCGGGTGCTACTGAGACGGAGGCGTCGGGCAGTGCTCCATGCCAGACAGTAGGCCCTACCTAGGTACAAGTAGTCTCGTATATTTACAGCACTGGTGCGATGAGGAGAAATAGGGGCTCGGCATCTCCCTTTAGTCAGGACAGTGGAGTTTCGTATCGACAAAGGGCAACACACCCCCGCCCCACACCAATCCATTGATCCATTGGATGCCCACCTGAGGGCGCCAGCGGCCACTCAGAGCGGCTCCCGAGCCACCAGGCACCGGTCGAGCCGCTGTGGGAAGGCGCCACCGCAGTGCTAATGGAAGCCTGGGAAAGGCTAATGAACAGTCTTGACAGTGCTCCTGGGGCGTTGAAAGCCAACGTGCGCCAGCCAGCCAGCCAGCCAGCGCTGAGTGTCAGCCATGCATGCAAGCATCCCTGAGCACCGCAAAAAAAAAAGTCTAAGCCACCGTGCCAAGACCCCGGTGCTTTCGCGCATACCAACCTGAAGACACGTTATTTCACATCGACTGCCGGTGTTGGTGGAGGGATGGGATGGGATGGGATGGGATGGATGGATGGAGGGTGGGAGGGCCAGTGGCGTGCTAGCAGACTGGGCAAACAAAGGAAGAGAGAATGAAGAAGAGCAGCAGACCTTGAAGTGTAGGCCTGCGGAGGTGGGATGTTTGTCAACCGCATGTGGTCAAGGTGGTGTATTTACGATGGTACCTACCTAGGTACGGAGTAGTGTTGATGTTGATCTTTGATGCATGTCGTTTCTGCAGGGACTGACTGACTGTCGTCTCCTAGTAAGGCTGAAAAGCGAGATTCAAGTCATCAGCTGCTGCTGCTGCTGCTGCTGCTGCTGCAGCAACAACAACAACGCCATGCATACAGACAATCCGTGTCCGTATCCGGTGTGCGCTCTCTCTTCTCCTCTTGCAGCGCACAGGTAGCTCAACACCACCTCTGTCATCCACACCAGACACACCCCGGTGACCCTGGCGAGATCCAAAGTCTTGGCAGGTCTTCTGGCAATCTCTATTCGGTGGACACTGCGGATCGCCGCCCTGCTCCTTGGCGACTTGTACGTCCTTGCATTGACTGGACTGGCGAGACTCGTTCCTGTCTGTCCTTGCTTCCCACTCCTTTTCTTGTAGTTACTTGTAACAAGTCCCCATCCCATCTCTCCTCGCCCCTGGTCCAGTCCAGTCCTCTCTCTCCTCGCTCATCTTCACCCCACACCCAGAGAAAGCGAACCGCCCGCCTCGACTGCCTCGACTGCCTCTGCCAGCCTGACCACACGCGCCTCTTCCCTCCTGGCAACACCGACCGCAGCCCAGACCGATCGGGGACCATGCTGCGCGACTGAAACCTGCACCCGCTCCTCTATTATCCAACCTTCCCTCGTTTGATTTGCATTTTCCTTTTTCCCATACGCTCGCTTCGCATAGCATCTATTGCTACATTATCGTCATGTTGGTCAAGAACTGGATCTGGCCGCTGTTGGCGGCTTCTCAGGGCGCCCAGGCGGCGCTAGAGGTCGACCTAGAATCTCCTGGTAGGGCATCACATCACTCCTCAACACCACCACCACTCAACACCACCACCGCACACGACGGCTCGTCGCACTCTCGTCGATGACAACCTAGCTATACACATGTACATACATTGGATGAATGACTACAGTACACTAACCTCTGCTCCCCTTCTCCCCTCCCACTAGAATCCATCAAGAAGGCCGCCGCCATCGTCGCAAAGGACCTCCTCGATACCTACTACAACGGCGACAAGCCCGGCTTCGTGCCCGGCATCCTGCCCGGCCCTCCGCCCGATGGCGACTACTACTGGTGGCAGGGCGGCGCCCTCTGGGGCACCCTGCTCGACTACTGGCACTACACGGGCGACACCCAGTTCAACCCCATCGTCAAGCGCGCCATGATGTTCCAGGTCGGCGAGAACGCCGACTACAACCCGCGCAACTGGAGCGCCTCCATGGGCAACGACGACCAGTCCTTCTGGGCCTTCTCCGCCATGCTGGCCACCGAGCTCGGCTTCGAGGACCCCCCCAAGGACAAGCCCCAGTGGGCCGCCCTCGTCCAGGCCGTCTACAACGAGCAGACCGCCCCGGAGCGCCGCGTCACGACACCCGGCCACAACTGCGAATGGGGCCTGCGGTGGCAGGTCTTTCCCGCCAACAACGGCTTCGACTACATTAATAGTATGTTGAGATCTCTCTCTCTCTCTCTCTCTCTCTCTCTCTTCTCCCTCCTCTTCCCAAACCGAGCTGTTTTTGCCGTGCGTGTCGCGAGGAGACAGACTAACGGTGGACAGCCATTGCCAACGGGTGCTACTTTAACATCGCCGCCCGCCTCGCCCGGTACTTTGGCAACATGACCTACGCCGAGAACGCCGAGAGGACGTGGAACCTCATCACCCGCCTCAAGTACGTCGACGACCAGTACAACGTCTACGACGGCGCCCACGAGGGCGACCAGTGCACCAAGATCAACAAGTTCCAGTTCTCATACAACGCCGTCATTCTGCTGCAGGGCTCTGCGTATATGTGGAACATGGTGAGTGCTGCTTCCAAAACATGACAAAATCCAACTTGCCTTTTGTCGTCATGACGAAGGGGAAGAAAAGGCAGGGATCGGGCCAAGGTCCAGCATCCGAGCAGACAAGACAACGGGGGGCTAATGCACAATCGCGACACCACACAGACCCAAAAGCCCGAGTGGGAGCAGCGCATCAACGGCCTGCTCGACAACATCATCAAGGTCTTCTTCCCGGACAAGGTCGCCTTCGAGGTCGCCTGCGAGCACGCCACCTGCACGACCGACATGGAGTCCTTCAAGGGCTACCTGCACCGCTGGCTCGCCTCGACGACGCAGCTCGCGCCCTTCACGCGCGACAAGATCATGCCCGTGCTCAAGTCGTCGACGGCCGCCGCCGTCAAGCTGTGCACCGGCGGCGCCAACGGCCGCATGTGCGGCTTCAAGTGGTCCACGGGCGTCTTTGACGAGACGGGCGCCATGCAGCAGCAGAACGTCATCGCCGCCCTCACCTCGCTGCTCGTTGGCTCGGCCAAGGGGCCCCTGACCAACTCGACCGGCGGCACCAGCGTCGGCAACCCCAACGCCGGCGTCGACACGCCCCTCACCATCGAGCAGCGCTTCGGCAAGATTGGCGGCGGCGACAGGGCCGGCGCCGCCATCCTGACGATCCTCATCGTCGGCGCCGCGTCGGTCATGTTCTGGTACATGGGCACGGATTGAGGCGGATATCGCGAGCGAGGAGGAGGAGGAGAGAGGGAGGGAGATGGCTAGGAGGATGAGAACAGAGTTTGGGAGGGGGGAAGAGTATGGCCGGAGTTTTTGCGAGGAAGAGCGGTGCCGAGATCGTCGATGAGTACGTGCTCACGAATACGCACGAATACGCAGTGCGCGAAGCACCAAGATGACCGGATGCTCTGCAGCAGAGCCACGCCCCGCCACGCCACGCCGGCAAGCGAAGAAGGCATTGCTACTCGGACATTGTTCCTTGCTTTCCCATATGGATTATGGCGAGCCATCCGGTCTTTCGCAAGACCGGGGGTTTGATCTGATTTTTTCCCCTTTCGAGATTACTGCATGGCCAGTCTTTTTCGGCCTCGATCAGACCGAACGGATGACTCGAATGAACACTCCCCAACTGACGGGGCGGTTCACTTTGGATTTGTTTTATTTTTATCTTGGGCCCCATGCGCCGGCTCCTTCGCGCTGCTGCAGATGGCTCACTGTTTTATGTAATATCCATCCATATGTAGCTTGGAAATAGACACGGCGTTTTTGTTTTCTCTGCTTTTGAAGGTATGATTCATACACACATGTTGCATTCATTTATGGAGACTTGTTTCCGGGCCGTAAGCTGGATCCGGGACCAGTCTTGGTTTTCGGCACGCCGTGTGAATCATCTTCGCCCCCAGATTTTGTCCCCGCATCCCCATATAGCTTTGAGCTTCAACCCGGGCGGAGCTATCCCGACATCCTTCTATCTGTGCTATCTTGCTCCACGGTGAGCCTCTCTCATTTTTCTAGGTATATAGACAAGCCGGTCCATCGCCCTCCCCAGGTTTGTCAGGTAAGTCAAAAGCCTCATCAGCAAAAACAGCCAGACTCGAGCCGAATGATCCCCACTGGTCACTCACAAGCTCACACCAGACTTTCCGCAGCCCCCAGCCCGCACACGCACCTCCGCTTCCCGCTGGGTCATCTCGGGGACAGGAATCCGAAACATGACGGACGCCGCCGCCAACAGCAACAACAACACCGAGCCGCCGCAGGACCTCAAGGCCCGCCTCAAGGAGTCGTACGACGCCATCGCCGTCGAGTACAACGCCTGGACGGTCGACCACTCGCCGAAACGCATGGCCTACCTGCAGAAGCTGCTCGACCTCATGCTCGCCGGTGACGGTGACGGTGACGGTGACGACGGCAAGTCGAGGGAGCTCTCGTTCCTGGAGCTCGGGTGCGGCGCCGGCGTGCCCGTCACGCGGCACCTGGTGACGGCCCTGCCGCGCGCGCGCGTCACGGCCAACGACCTCTCGTCGGAGCAGGTGCGCCTCGGCAGGGCCAACGTCGGGAGTGCGGGCGACAGGGTCACCTGGCTCGAGGGCGACATGATGGCGCTGTCCTTCCCGCCGGCCTCCTTCGACGCCGTGCTCGCCTTCTACAGCGTCATCCACCTGCCGCGCGCCGAGCAGGAGACCCTGCTGGGCCGGGTCGCCGGTTGGCTGCGCCCCGGGGGTTACTTCCTGGCCAACTTCTCGGCCGGGGAGGTGCGGGGCGCCGTTGACGAGCAGTGGCTGGGGCAGGAGAAAGGGTGGATGTACTGGGCCGGGCTCGGGGCGGGGGAGACGGTGCGCAGGATGGAGGGGCTGGGGATCCGGGTCGTCGCGCATGAGATTCTGGAGGATGAGGAGGGGGCGGAGTTCCTTTGGGTTATTGGGCGGAAGGGTGCGGAGTGAAGAGTGGAAAGGGGTAGTGGTGATGTTTCGTTTGCCAAGGTGGAAGGGATGGGAATGGGAGAGAGGGAGGCTGATGAGGGGTGCTGAGGCCTGCAGGCCGGTATTGAACGGGTTCCTTTTTGTCACGAAGCTATGGATCCCCGTGACTAACGATGGAGGCATGATTCAACATGATATGCCTGCCATTACGACCTTTACACGAATACAAAATAACATTTTTTCTGGGTATGATCGTATCAGGATAGTTGTACATGGGGTATTGATCAACGCTCGCACAGTACAACAAGGACAACTCCCGGAAGAGCTCTTCAAATCTAACAGCAGTAACACAACCCGCCCGTCCGACCATTCGGTTCCTGGATATACTCGCCTTTTCCATTCAGCCTCTGCGGGACACACCCTTCACCTCCGACTGCCAGCGTGACCTCCTTCGTGTGTGCCCCTGTCGACGCTGCGCCGCTCGTCGTGGGAGCCGTCTCGGACCGGTACCCGCCCTTCTCCTGGTCCGGTCCCACCGCCGCCACCGCCACGCCGACCAGCGCGTCGACACTCTCCAGCGGCTCGAGCCCCCGCGACCGGCAGGCCTTGTCGACGCAGGACAGACCCAGGCGCGACAGCGGCGACAGCTCCGGCATCTGCAGCGCCAGGCGCGCGACGGCCAGCGCGTCGAGCCGCTCCGTCCACGTCGGCACGCTGTACACGTACCACAGCAGCACGGCGATGAGCGCGACCTGCAGGCCCACCAGCGCGCTGATCGCAGCGAGGGCGACCGTGCTCATCCGCGGCACGAAGAGGCGGACGCCGGGCTGGCGGAAGACGGCGCGCGCGGGCGTCGCGAAGCTCCTGCTGACGACGGCGCCGTCGCCGACCTGGCCCGAGGCCGCGGTGGTCAGGTACGCCTCGTTGGCGAAGAGCGTCGCCAGGTCGAGCAGCGAGGCGCCGCGGCGCGCGTCGCCGGCGAAGGGCGCGACGGTGGCGTTGACGGCCTCGAAGGCCATGCTCGAGAGCAGGCGGCTGTCGGGGGAGGAGGGGCCGGAGCGCGCCGCCGCCAGCCCGGCGCAGGCCTTGGCCGGGGCCGAGTCGGAGAAGGCGGCGCCGAGGCGCGAGAAGGGCACCATGTCGTCCTCGCAGGCGCGGACGAGGGCGTCGCCGAAGGTCTCGGCCGTCTGGTTGCGGGCGAGGGCGATGATGGACTGGTTGCCGAAGAGGGCGATCGAGGCCATCATCAGGGGGCCCGAGGCGTTGAGCGGAAGCGAGTTGAACGGGTCTGGGTAGCTCGGCTGGACGTAGCTCGAGGGATCCTTGTTCTTGCTGGCTGGGTTGTAGATCCTGGGGTGTGGGGAGGGGAGAGCGTTAGCGATCGTTGGCATGGAGGAAAGTGTTTGGGAGATGTGAACAAAACATGGGGGGGGACGCTCACCTCCTACGCTCCTGGTCGGGGAGGCTGTCCACAAACGCCGCCTGTATTGTTGGCTTGCCTTCGCTACCGACTTTGATGTAGCCCCGACTCGACTTGGCTGTGCATCGTGTGGTGAACCTCTGCAAACTACTTGTCGGTCCATAGCTGACATCAACGAAGAGCTCTTCTTCAACGTCCTGTTTCTTGAGATTGTTCTCCCAGAGCGCCCGAGAGAAGTCACCCGGGACACATACACGCAGGCCGCCGGCGGTCGGGAAATCGAGCTGAGTGGTGAACGGGTGTGGTCCCGGGCAAGGCTCGGGAAACGCCGTCCTGTCGATCGGCGCACACGTCGCATAGCTGGTCATGCCCAGCGCATGATACTGGCTTGTGCCGGTCTCCACGCCCCAGGGCACCGAGGAGACGCCAAAGTCCGCGCCTTCACCATTCCCATTGATTCTCGTCAAGATCTCTCGCAGGGTGTAGCCAGACTGGCTCTGCAAAGGTTCCCGCGGTTGGCTCTGGCCAAAGAACCACACATAGCGCTGGAGCTCCTCTCTCCCCCCGTTGATTAGCTTTTGCCGGAGCGTGGCGAGCACCGGCGCCAGGGACAGTGCGTCAAGAACTGCCGGAGACGGGTCGTAGCCAACGAGCGTGGTGCCTGTGTCAACGTCGAAGCTTACGTCGTCGTCGACGGGTGGTGGAAACTCGCGGGTCCCAGTCTCTAGCAGAGCGCCCTGCAGTGAAGGTGTGACAATTACTGAGTGAGATGATTAGCGAATTTCAAAACACACGACTTGTTGTGTGGTCGTATTGGGCCTGTTACCTAGACCCAGCAACAAACACGCAAGCCCGAGCAGAAACCAACTGACGGGCTTGTCTCGCTTGCGAGAGAACCAATGGCCATCGGCTAGTGAGAAGAGCTGGCGCGCGTTGAGCTTCTGCCCCGGCCGGCGGCGCATAGAGGCGACGACAGCAGCACGAGCAAGGAGAGCCACGACGACGGGGATGCCGAGGACACCCGTTAGGTTGATGAGCGCGGCTGCAATCTTGGTCGCTGCGGCGGAGCGTGTCCATGCATCATCGTAGTCTTGCTGGGTCCAAGTTCCGTAGAAGTGGCGGCGCTGCGGACGGATGATGGCATCCGGACGGTACCAAAGGCAGCACGTCAAAGCCCACGGCACCACCAAGAGCACGATGTAGGCGAGAGAGATGTATGCGGCCTTGCGGTACCTCCGCACCGGAGGGATGTGCTTGTGCAACGGATGTGTGCTTGGTGTAGTCAAGATCGCTTGATATGGCGACTCCATGCCTGCTTTCTTGTCCATACTGCTTTCTCTGTTTGACATCAGAAAGGCATGGCACCTGGAGGCAAGTTTGCTAGATGAAGGGGTGATGTCTCTCTTTTATGGTTCTCCAATGAGTTCCTCGCGATAGCAGATCAGAGAATTTCCGTCCAAATTTGCGGCACAGCATCAGCACAGGGCCAGGATTCTTGCAGCAAGACAGCGTGCCAATATCAAGTCAGGCGCTGTAACAGCAAGGCTCACTCCATCCCGTTCGGGACTTCGGGAGGGTAGACCAGATAGTCTAGCATTGGGAATAAGCCGGATCCGTCCAATATGCTGGCCCTTTCTTGACAAGATCAGCCTCTGCACGCCCTTATCAGTCGTCGTGTATCTCTTAATGACAGTTGTGATCAACCAGCATAAGAATCAAGGCAGCGTGGGGCTAGTGATAAGAGGCCTGCCACCGAGAAGAGGTGTGGTTGATCAGACCTCTTCTGTAGACCCTTGTTTTATATTTTTACATCACCCTGGCGGTTCGTCGGCTGTTGGAAATTCGTGGTTGGATAATTTGCCCGTGACCAAGACCTGTTGGGGGCTGTGAAGTAACGCCTGTGTTGGCAAAACCACGGTTTCGCGCCCCTGTTCGCTGATCAAAGACTTGGCACACCGTAGTTGACAATTGCTGGGGAAAGGGGTGCCAGGGTGCTAAGGTTGGGGCCTTATACGAGGCGGATTCTAAGACTCACCCAAAGGTCAGACAATCACTATGGCGTGCTTTTCACGTGTACAAGCAGGTTGGGATATGCAATAATATTTCGAAGGTGGTGATCCTGTTTGTAGTGGTTGGCTTCGATTCGCTGTGGTTGATCTTGGCGCCCTCCAGACTCTGCCACAGGCACAGTTCGACAGCTTGAACAGGTGCAAAGAGGGAAAGGACATGACAGGACCAGTCGAACAGAGAATATGAATGATCGTGGGGTTGGTTGCCCGTCTGGCTTACGATCGGGCCAAATGTTGCAAAGGCTCTCCGGGCCTTTGATAGACGAAAATGTGACAATGTACTCCAGTTTCACTTGTGGCAGAATGTTGCTATTGTGATTGTGAATTTCGTCGTCTACAACGCAGAACAAGTCTAATCAATTTACAATATTGCTTGGTCCGCTCAATTCAAGCTTCGTGTGCCTATCCAAATTCTGTGTTTACACCAGTGTCCATCAAAGGCTTGGCATTCGGATACCAGCAGGTAGTTGTCCTCAATGTGAGTTGTTTTGTATGTATCGAAGGCAGCACTCGAAACGGTAGCAGTTGACATAGCTAGGGACATGGAAGAACTCTCACTTGTGGGCATGACTGTACACTATTTCTGAACTGAATTCCATCTTCCCGTATTCTATTCTATCAGCTTCGGGGATTAACAGACCAGGAGCATAGTTCTATTGCCAATAATACCAGACTGTCCACCATTACCTTGCCTCATGGCGCCCTGATTCGACGTGGTAATCTCATCATATCAATCTCTACGGACGCCTTCAGATGATCATCTGCTCGATTTGATTGCAAGCAGAGCCTTCGGCACCGCGCCGTACTGAGGATGACAGACAGTGTCATGATCAGTATCCTTAATAGTCTCGCTGTGGTAGCTCAAGTTGCCCTGATCTCCACGATACTGCTTGAAACATTCGTCAAAGTACTGTTCGCCCTTCTTCCCGACCAGCATATCCGACTCTGCCCAGTAGACGTTGATGCGAAGAAGCGGCTTGCCTTGCTGAGGCGCTGGATCGCCGCTTGACCCCCGCATCTCATTTTGACGGCGTCGCTCGGTCAATCGGGCTTCCAATTCACTAGGAAACTTTCCGTAGTCTTCGCAAGCTCTCCACGGACCGGCCGCAGGCTTCTTCAAGCACAGCAGGACTTCTCCGTTGGCGCCGGTCGTGTCATCCTTGAACAGCCTAGACATCATCTCCTTCATGCGGGCGGCGGTATCTGAAGCTGACAGGCCGAGGTATTCACGACAGAGATCATCCCGTGCGTGCTTCGGCCGGTCCGTCTGGTCGCTCGGGTCTCGGTTATGAGAGGATGAAGAAAGTGCGCTGGTAGCGGAGGCGAGAAGACCGCTGGAGAAGGAAATCGAAGGAGCAACGGTATTCATGGCGAATGAGAGAACAGAGTTGAACTGATTGATGATGGGCGCTGGAAGCAACGACGAGGCTTTCAACATCGTGACTCCGGAATGCTTAGGGTGGACCCAAGGCGTGAGGAGGTGAAGAGATGGATTGGAGGGCAGTAGGATCTCGGGATATGTGTAGATAGTGTTGAACGTGTAGATGACGCCGCAGCTATGTGACATGATGGAGACATGCTCGACTTTCAACTCCTTCAGAAGCACTGGCACAGTCTCGAGCCAGACAGCGAGACGCTGCGACACGTCAACCTTCGTTGAGCCGCCCATGCCCGGCCTGTAGAAAGTCAGCTTATCGATGCAAAGGTCAGGCTGTTTGTCAGGGTGTTCTTCACCTGTCCACTACGACGAAGCGAAGGCCTAGCTTCTGGCACAGAAAGTCGCCGAGCGTGGCGAGGTACCGATTGCCCATCAGGCCCGCGATGAAGAGCACTACAGGCGCAGAGTCGCTCTGCACCCCAGTCACGGCGTAGGTAACCGTGAGAGGGCCATGGTTCTCAGTCGCGGGCAGCGTCAGACGGCGCTGGAACTGAGGCTGGTCGAGATACGCGGCGGCTTCGGCTTGCTGCGACCGCTGTGGCGCTGGAGATGCTTCAGTGGTAATAGTGACAACGCCGTCGGGAACAGCCATCGCGGCACTACCCTGCGGGATGGCGTCGGTCATTTTGAGAGAATGCTGACTCTGCGACCGGGAAGTACGTTTGGAGGCCCAGATGGTCAGAAGATGATGACTGTACTCAAGTTGAGCTTTGTGCCGCAAAGAATACGCGCACTCTAGTACGCGGCACGGGCACCACCTGATTCGCTAGGTCCAATACAGCACTTCACTTCTTCATTGCGGCTTACGTGTCTTGCTTGCTGCGTTAGTGAACGACGTTACGCAATTAGGTGTTCAACAAAGGACTTGACGATGGCCAACATGAACAAGTATTCGGTGATGAATCACAGAGTGGAATGGTTATAAGACATGGAATTACAGGATCGCGATCTAGATCATATCCGACATGCAGACGGAATTAGAAGCGGGGCTTCCGTGCCCGAAGCCGGATCGGACACGAAGCCGCGCGCACCCTGGCGCTCAGAATGTCGATAAAACCAACAATCAAGAACATCTACGCTTCGGAAACAGGCTGCCCCAGAGTGCCAGAATCATGCCACCTCTTATCGATATTCTAAGTGGCAATGCGAAGCTTTACGCGATGGGGCTTCGGGAAAGTTCAAGATTCTTCATTGTTATTGTATCTCGCGCATAGAGATATCCGGGCTTGCTGTTCCACAGGCCACAGGGTGCGAAATACAGTCGAACTATGGTAGAGAGGCAAAAAGTCCTGACCGACTCCGGGCTTCAAACTAATACCAGAAGATCAGTAGAAGCCGGGCCTAAAGGCTTTATAATTAGAAAAGTGGTTGATTGGCCTTCCTCTGAACCAAGACTTGTATTGTATCACTGGAACCTACAGCAACATCTCTTAAAAACGACTATTGTATTCATTTTGTCTCTTTAATGGTATCTAGATAACAGTACAGCTTAACTTCCACTTGGCAGAAGCCGAGGAGTAACCTAAGTATTGATTCCATCGGTGTGAACTCCCTTCACCTCTAGCCATCAAATCTTAGTAGTCATCTGCATCTAACTCGCAGCCTTATTCTGAGTGTGAAGGTATCACTGATACTAGTCGCGGCCTGGATCGACGCTCCACGTCCAACCATCGCCTCCGCGTATAACCCCGAGAGTGAGACATCTGGTTGATGAGCAATAAACAGAATCTCATATGAACCATGGGCATCGACTGGAGCTCGAGGGGAAAGTCCGGATCAGTCAAACTCGACCCGAGACCCCCAAACATTCTCCGAGTGTCCAAATTACGCGAACCAAAATTTGCTCTATCCCGTCCTCTCTGGCTAGCGTGTCAGGCATTCTATTGTGATGTACACAAACTTAGGAAATCACTCGTCTTTCCGTAAACAATGGAGGCTTTCAAATAGGGAGTAGTTTCCCGGAGTAATTTAGCCTCCTCAGTCTTCCTTGATCAACTTTCAGGAAGAAGACCGAACTTCGTTTCTCTCCAAGAAAAGCTGTACCGGAGTTCTTTTCATAAGACGATGCACTTCCATCTCAGCATCCTAGCTGCTGCCGCAGCTCTGGCGCCAGCCATCATGGCAGCCCCGTCGACGGATAAGCTGCCGTTGGCTCGCCGCGATGCTGATGGCGCCGGGGGTATCAGGGTTACTTGCCCCAACTCCAAGGCCAGCATCTTGTGTCTTGATGGCAGATGCACCGCGTGCTGCGGTAACTGTTGCCAATGCATTGGCCGTAAGTCGGAACCTACAACTTCGCCTGCATTCTTGGGACGAGGTGAATGAGTATGGCCGATACTGACACCAGATCGTAACTAGTCCCTGACAAGGGAACGACAAAGACTCTCATCGAGTTCCGTCCCGACTGCTCTGGGAAGTGCCCCTTCAGCCAGGGAGGCCAGGGCCAGGGGATCCAGGGATCTCAAGGCCCTCAGGTCTTCAGGGGTCCTGCCGGACAACAAGGCCAGCCGCAATCTGGAGGGTCCCCGAAAGCCGAAGGTCTTAGGGGATCCCAGGAACATGCCAAGCCCCAAGGCCCTCCCGATCTTCCTGGCCCGCCACCCCCAGAGGACCTCAGCGGTCCCGAAGGATCCTCGCCCTCAAACCAGAATGGCGCAGCCCCATGGAGTCAGCATGGTCTTGACATGGAACTCGACATCGACGACCAAGGCCCGGGACACCACCGAGGGCACGAGTTCGCGCCCGTCCCTGATGACTACTTCCATGGCGGGCAGAAGAAGTCTGGAGGATCTCAAGGCGGCTTCCCCCAGCGTGCTTCGTTCGAGGACGACGGCCTGCCGTACGGCGACCGGTCTCGAGACGAGCCGATCGGCCTTCGATATGACGTTGGCAGCCGCTATGGTGACTCGCAGTCGCGTGGCCAGGGACGTCACCATGAGGAGAGCCACAGATCTAGTTGCCAATACCAGAAGGGATGCAAATATCACAGAGATTACTAGCCAGGCAGTTGCCGGTACGGAGTCTCGAGGTTGTGGACAGCGTGGGGCACTTGAGCTTGTGTTGTTGCCGGTAGTTTTTCATTATGTTGGTCAGATACGACTTCTCTCTTTGAGATAGATGAGTAGTAGTACAATGTTTACTTGGCTTTCACTGCTAGCTATTAATTTGGCAATGGCATTCGGATCACATCTGATATCAATCCTGGTCACTTGCGTAAGGAGTCATCGCTATTCGACTACGAACTTTGACCCGAGTTTCTTGTTTCCTTCAACCCATTAAGATATGCTCTCATCACCATTTAGTCTTCGCTTTCCTAACAATTAAGTGCCTATCCCAAACTCTTTTCGAGTCATATTCACCAGTCTCAGTGGCCCCATCTACAGAATGTTGCGGACGCAACGAGCACCGTCGTTGGAGCTGGTCTTGGGCCCATTGGCCGACTTGATCGGCTGGCCGGTGGTGCCGTCGGCGGCCAGCTCGATCTTCCAGATGAAGCCGCTCGAGTTGTCAGACGCGAAGAGCGTAGCGTTCCTGCCGTCGTCCATGCCGTACGCGGCGCCGAACCCGCCGCTCAGCGTCGGGTAGTTGCGCACCGTCTCGAACCTGTGCGTGTCCATGCCGAAGCGGACCAGGTCCGTGCCCCTGCCGCTGCCGGTCGCCCTCGAGAAGCCGTACAGGTACCGCCCCCGCGAGGGCAGGAAGACCCAGTCGGCCAGGGCGCGGTAGCCCCCCGCGGCGAACTTGCCGCTGCCGAGCAGCTTGCCGTAGGTCGGGGACCCGGGGCGCAGGTCCATCTGCTGCCAGTCAGCGCCGCCGGTGCTGTACCAGTAGTAGCCGTCGTCGTCGATGTCGCCGCAGTACTCGCCGACGTTGGTGGGCATCTTCATGACCTCGGTGAGGGTCCCGTCCGAGGCGATGCGGACGAGCATGTTCTTGCCGCCCTGGCGGGCGTAGAGGTAGTTGTCGAGCGGGTTGTAGCCCATGCCGTTGATATCGCTGCCGTCGCCGATCTTCTGGGCGATGTTCTTGATGCTGCCGGTCTCGAGGTCGACCCGGATCAGGTCAGCGTGCTGGATGAGATAGCCGTACTTGTCGCACTGCAAGGCCGGAGGGGAGGTAGGCGCTGTGCAGTTCTTGTCTGCGGTTACCGTGGCGGTGATAGTGACTGTTGAGGGTATCGGCAGAGATAGGGACGCGCAGGTTGCGTTTGCTGTTACGGTCACGGTCGAGATCAAGGTGGTGCCCAGGGAGGGAAGGCACGTTGTGGGATAGTCTTTGCTGCTGGGCTGAGTCTCATGAGGCTCGGATGTTGGGGCCGTTGAGACTGAGCTCGAGTCATCCCCACCCGTGCAAATGGTAGTCAGGGGCGTATGAAGGGCTGTGGTGGTATAGTGGCGAGCCGCGACAGCCGGGCTACCGAGGGCAGACCCGGAAAGGGTCGCGATGGAGGCAATAGCGAGAAGGCTTCTTGGAGACATGATAATGGCAGTAGACCTTTGGCAAGAACCAGCAAGAGAAGTCTGTGGGATGTGCGGCTGGGGTGTCTACGAGAGGAGTTGGAGAGACGGAGAACCGGCCTCGCATTTATATCACTTCAACATCCTCCACCTAGTCCCTGATTTTTATTGAAGTCGAGGACGACCATCGTTGCGCGAGATGAGCTACCCTTCCAAATCATGTAGTGCTCTTTTTCAACCTTGACGATGCGCATGCAAACTTGACTTGGCGTTGCTCTGCTTCCCGGCCGGGAATTGCAGCTAACAGCTCAGCTTCCCCATATCGATCCGGATGCGGCAAGGATGGTCCCGAGAGACACGGGTACAGTTAGCTGAGAGCCGATCAACTCTGCCAGTTTCGTCGCGGCACGGGTTTTAGTCAATTTTCAGCCGCCTTTCTCGAAATTGATGGCGTGAGCTTGCACCCGAAGTAGCAAAGGAAAGAGGCCGAGGAGCTGATCTCAACGGCGTTCACCACGTAGCCCCCCTGTCAGTCCCACTTGGCTTCACATCGAGCGAACCGCCATTGGTTTTCCAAAAGGACAAAGCCGAATCGTCTTTACCTTCTTTGGCAATGCAGGGGAAGCGATCTCAAATTACAAGCTTACAGGTGGCTCGTCCGAAACTTGCGTGGAACTTTCCCGCAAGTGGTCATCTTCCGGCGGTCAGGCAAAGGCCTTCATGGAAGACATGAAGTGAGAAGAAGATTGTGATGCCGCATCTCTGCCGCATGGTGGCGCGTGGCACTGCATGTATTGGTCTGGGCTACCTCGTTCTATTGGACAGTCTGGCCCCCAACTGGTACTTTTTCCCACGCCGATCGTCATACCAAAAGCACGTCAAGGAAAAAACAAGTGGTGTAACAAGGGATGGCTTGCAAGGCTAACTGGCCGAGCAAGACGGGCAGGCCACATGCCTAGAAACCACTTCGCCGACGGAGGTTGACCATGATGTTGCCATTCTCGACGCGATAGAACCACCGCGAGACAGTCTTCCACGTCCTCTCGGGGTTCACCATCTCGAAGTCATACCTCGTCACGACCGTGGCCACGACCTTGTACACCTCCATCTGGCTCAGGTTCCGGCCGAGGCAGATGCGCGAGCCGCCGCCAAAGGTGAGCTCCGCGGCGTTCCAGTCGCGCATGCGCTCCTGGAAGACGTCGTCGGGCTCGTCGGCGCGCTGCAGCCACCGCTCGGGCCTGTAGACCTCGGCGTCGTCGCCAAAGACGTCGCGGTTGCGGCCGACGATGTACGGGTTCATGCCGACCTGGGTCCCCGCGGGGACGGTGGAGCCGTCCGGCAGGCTGAGGCCCGCGGTGGGGACGATGCGCTCCATGGTCATGCTGACGGCCGGGTGCATCCGCAGTGTCTCACGCACGACGGCCTCGAGGTACGGAATGGCACGAGCGGCCTGGTATGGTGCCGGGGTCTCGCGGGTGACGATGTCGGTGGCGCGGACTTCCGAGACGAGGCGGTTCCAGATGGCCGGGTTTCGGAGGGTGTAGTAGAAGAGAGCACGCATCGTGATGGCAGTGGTATCAGCACCGGCGATCACTGGAGAAAGGTGAAGACACAGATCAGTATTGCACTCATTCCAGAGTTGGTCTCCATGGTTTGAATAAACTCACAGTTCAATAGCAAGTAGTTGATGATGGTACCATCATCGACGACCTCGGGGTGCGACGTCTTCGAGTCGATGAAATACTGCAAGAAGTCGGGGTTCTTGGGGTCAAAGTTCTTGTCCTCGCCCTTCAGACGAGGGAACAGCGCTTCGACAGCAATGCGGGCGACGTTGTCGAGGTTCGGGGGACCGATACGGACGATGGGGTTCTTGTCGAGGCAAAAGTCCAGGAAGGGCATCTGGCCGACAATGCCCAGATAGTCAATCGCCTGATCGGCGATGTGCAGCGTGCCGTCAAAGTCGCAGCCCTTCTCCATGTATCCGAAACGCTTGCTGAAGGTCACGGCGCTAATGAAGTCCCACGCATCTACACGAGTTAGCAATGGTCGAGATGAAGTCACCGGGCGGGAAGGACGACTCACAGTAAGCCAGCCAAGCACCGAAATCGCAAGTCTTGTTTTGATCAATGAATCGTTTCTCCAGGTGGCCGCACAAGTCATTGATCACTTTGTCCATGTGCTTCTCCAATGCCAGCACGCTGGGCACGGAGTAATGCCTGACGATGGGACGCTTCAGGCGCGCATGTTCGACGTTGTCGACTTGGCTGAAGAGATGATAGGTGATCTTGCCGTCCACGATAGCACTGTTGTTCTTGTAGAAGTCGCTCTACGAGTATGGTTTGAGCCTCATCCTTCCCACGACTAGCAGAACACGCAGCTTACCTTCATCCATTTTCCGTCGGTGTTGTAGATGACACGGCTCAGCTCAGGCAAGTCAAGGTCAAGGAGATTCGGGCCCAGTCGCACGATCGGTCCATACTTCTCGTGGAGCTTCTTCATCCGCGGCGCGTACTCGCCAGAGATGACTTGGAGAAGGCGCCAGATGTTTGTCCATCGGGCGAGGAACGGACCTGGATACCGCCGTAGGGGAGAATTGAGGTACGAGCCAATCGACCAGATCCAAAACGTGATGGCGGGAGTCAGGAGGACCACCGCAAGCTTATTGGCGCGGAGAGCGTCCATGACGGCCTCGCCGCCGAAGCCATCGTCGCCCGTATGTGTTGCGTTCATTTTTGCCCGCTCCAAGTGTAACGAGATCTGTTACTTGCAGTGCAGCTTCGCGCAAAGATGAAGCAGATAAAGCGACAGGAGGAGGGGGGCGGACGAACTGCCGACACCCCAAGTCTAGAGGGTGATATCCCAGATACCAAGGCAGCGGCACCACCCCCCCCCCCCCATTACCCCTCAAGAACGACCCTCATGCGCCCATCCATCTTCGCTTGCAGGCCCCCTCATGCACTTGGCTCAGAGGGGCAAAGATCAAATGCCTCATAGGGAACCTGGCGGAGGGGCCAAGAATCGTCTACGTTGCGATCATTGAGAACACTGTTCCGCATCGAGGAAAGTCGACCGAGAGCAGCATGGTCGAGATGGTAAGCTATGAGCCAGGGGCTGGTCGTTGGAGCTGGGTTCTCAAACGCCACATCTGACCAATCACAAAAAGTCCATTGAGAGCTCCCATTTCAGAAACGAGTGTGGCAGGCCTCGCCCTTAAGATCGCAGAATTAAGTTTCGGAGCGTGAGGGGAAGCTTTTAAAGGAGAGCATCGGTCGATAACGAGGAGACGTTGTCGAGGTGACCCCGTGAGCAAGCACACGCACTTTGCTTTTCCCCAAATCACCGTGCTTGGAGCTTCTTCGCGATTGGAGACTCAAGCTTTGCTTGCTGCTGACTGCTCCCTTCCAATGGAATGACCAAGGTGATGCCGGCATCCGTACACACAATCTTGCAGACCGACGATCATTTCCTCCATCATACAGAATGCTTGTATTGGGAAGTGCAATTTAGGTAGGCATCCACATTCGAGTGACCGACCAAGCCGACCTAAGCCCTCTGGCCCATTGAACGTTGCTGACAGGTCCCACGGGGGCCCATCCATCGCTGGGTGATTCGCAAGGCGGTCTAGGTACCGTTGTATGCCATTACGTAGTCACGTACTGTACTTGTAGTCCAGTTATTTATGCTTGAATTGCATGGTGGCGGGTCCCGGCAGGGCATGTAACGGTACCGAGCCAACTGTTCCTCAAGGATTTCCAACAGGCGGAGAGATCCTTGCCAGTCGGACCTGGGCACGGCCAGACCGTGGCGAAATGGGAAGGTAGGTCGTTGGGAGCATCATCTCCTGCAGGGCTCCTTGATTTGCCGTTGTCAATTTGCGAGACCTGCATCCGGCGTCGTACCACAACGGTGCGGCGGCCTGTGTTGCAAATAAGTTGAAGAACTGCATGGCCGGACCAATATTGTTGTGCGTCTTACTCTTGCCAGCTTTCAAAGAAGCAATTCTCGACACACATATTGCCTCCCAACTTCATCACACCTGGATGGTGGCCTCGTACTTGCAAGGAATTTCTGGCGCTATTCTCGGTGGCCGCAGCGGAACACTCCTCCGACCGAGTAGCGTCCGCGCAAGATCCTGGTCTCGGAAGCCACCCTAGCGTCCGCAGAGTCGTATCCGGTCCCGCAGGACCGGGGTGGCATCCAATGGAGGGCGTCCAATACCGGTTGGCCTGCGGCAATCACACCCAGTGAGCCAGCCCTGAAAATACGGACTTGCCGGTTTTGAGGAAAACGCCGCTGCAGACATGAGCATGGGGCAAGCGAGGACGTGGGGGGGAGGCTTGGGGTTTCATGGGGGACGTTGGGCCCATGTCTCCAAGAAGCAAACATTCACATCCGCTCGAGCAATGATTGCAACTGGGCGCAAAGGAAAGGAGCCAATTCGTTGATTGGCAGCCACAGCTGAACTTGAGTTTCCCCCATGGGATCATGGGCAGCCACTTGACCAGGATTGCCAGATAGTGCTCGGATTCGCTGAGGGGTGCGTCCTGTCTCTTTCTCCACGCGATATGGAGTATGTGTACGGAGGAAGCTGGAGCATTGGCTCGAGGCTGGATATGCACCGTGCGAAAGGGATCTGAGATCGACCTTCTCTGATACAGAGGCCCTCGTCACAGCTTGCTACGGTAGCATCCGAGTATTGGTATATTCTGTATCTCGTAAGGATTTCATTCGCTTGTACTTCTTTTCCTAATCCAGCAAGCAATTCGGGCCCTATTAAGGTTTGCGGACTCGGCACGGGGCTGCCACAGCTTGAGCTGAGCCATCGGTACCTGGTCGCAGAACGGGGAAGTCACAGGGTTGCTCGGCGCACTGTTCATCCAGTAGAGCGAGCGGGCCAGTCCGGTGATAATCCTTTCTTCTTTCAGTGAAGACTTGCTTCTGAGGAGACGCACCTGGGTGTGGTAGGACCAGTCCTGCAGCCGAGTGCGTCCTGATGCTTGAAAGGTAACACACAAAACTGCCCCCTTTTCTGAAACCCTGCTCTGCACCTGCCTAGGGCTGACAAACAATCATCCCTGGCGATTCTCCTGAACAACAAGGTTTTTCGTGCAGAGGCAATAATTGACATGGTTAGCAGTGAGAGGGCAGATCGAAGAGGAGCAGCAGCAGCAACAGCAGAAGGGCTTTCTACCAGCAATTTGAATAAGCCAGAGAGATTTTCATATATCAAGCTTCGAAGCACGTCGGTCTCGGCATTGAGGCGAGAAGGATCTGGCTGTCATGCACCGTTCTAGAGTCTTTATCGCATCTTCTCTTCTTCGAATCCAAAACCCGTGAGCTGAGCCGTCATCTTACAATGAAGGGTATTGGCCTTGGTGGTGAAGCAGTCTGGGCAATGCCCGTCAGCTGGATGATGACTGCCGTGGTTTTTGCCTTTGTTCTTCTCCGCGCCTACACTCGCATTTCATGCGTAGCCGCTTTTGGGGTCGATGATTACATTTATCTGGTGGCCTTTGTACGTCCCATCTCTAGTCCTCCACTTCAGGCCGGTTGAACAGCCTGAAGTTCGCTGACAAGTCGTGCGTAATCTCAGGTTTTCCTTCTGATCTTCACCATCTTCCTCCAGCTCGCCGCAGAACATGGCTTCGGGCAGTTCACGAGAGACATCGGGGATGGTGACCAGATCACGAGAGCTGTCCTCTACGAGTGCATCGGCCAGGGGTTTGCCATCGTTGGCATGGCCATTGCCAAATGGTCCTGCGGCTTCTTTCTTCTCCGGCTGGTGCCGCTCAAGTGGCAGCGTATAAGCATCTGGGCGGCTATGGCCTTTGTCATGGCTGCTTCCATCGGTAAGAAAGCCTATCAGAAGTCTCGCTAAGGACTCTGCTCACCAATCCCTTCATCCATAGCCCAAGTCTTTTGCTTCTGGCTTTCGTGCACGCCCTTCGCATATGTCTTCGACCGTCGGATCCCCGGAGGCTTCTGCGGTATTGACACTCGCCCGACGTCGTACATCCTTTGTGGTAAGTTTGCATCGGCCACCTAGCAGCTGGAGAGGTTAAGCCTTCCTCAATTGACACAACTGTGACTTCTAGTCTCGACCATCACTGTCGATGTGTTCTTCGCCCTCCTTCCCTGGACCTTTATTTGGAAGCTCCAGATGCCAAGACGCGAAAAGTTGACTATCGCCATTAGTATGAGCCTCGGCCTTCTGTATGCCTGCCAATTCCCATCTTGTCGCACGAAGGCGTTCCCTAACGTATCACGAACAGGGCTGCGGCTGCCGGCATTAAGCGTACTACCGAGGTGGAAGGGTTGTACGGCCCAGAGTACCTTCGTAAGAAACTCCCCTATCCACACCTCCCACATATTCATCGGCGAGAACCATTGTAACTCATGACGAACTGGCAGACGACTCCGTCGGCCTCATCGTCTGGTCCCTCGCCGAGATCGCCGTGACCATGATCTGCATCGGCGTCCCCGTCTGCCGGCCGCTCTACCGCAAGATCTGGGTCAAGCACTTTGGCGGCAGCGAGTCCCGCAGCAACACCGGCTACCTCCGACACGACGCCATCGGCCTCAACACCATCGGCGGCGGCCGCATGCCCGGCGCCACCACCCGCTCCGACGACGACAAGTCCATGGCCGACCTGAAGCTGGGCATGAAGGGCCCCTCCAACAAGGCGCGGGCCGAGTACGCGGGCAGCGGCAACGAGGAGGGCCTGAGCATCGGCAACGGCAGCGACGAGGACATCTTGGGCGAGGAGTACCGCGGCGGCTCCCAGAAGAAGAACAGTCGCAAGGGCGGCGGCCAGGGCATCCATGTCACGGCCACCTACTCCGTCCAGCGCAACTGAAGCTAGCTGGGGCCGACAAGGTGATGTTGAGTCGTGGTGCTGTAAGGAGGAGGAGGAGTGGTAAAGGGGTTGACAAAGTACACCTGGTCCAGTCAAATTGGAGGGTTTTGTAGGCCAAAGAGTAGTTCTTGTAGACATTCATGTATCATAGACGATCTTTCAATTGACAAAAAGTCTTACTTTCCCTCCATACATTCGTCACTCAACAGTCCATAGAGTTGAACATATGATAGCTTGACATATAGCAACCCTACTGACCTTGCTCTCAACCCATCCTGTCCACTAATTTGATACTTGGTTCTTTGGAAAGTCGGGCAATTAGTCAATTACCTAGTTAAAATTACAATACACCAATTGCTCTGTTTATCATGCCATCTCAGTGACGAATATTGCCAAAGAACTGCGTTTCAAGCCGTTGATTAAACCCCACACGCTATCCACAAGTCAGGAGGAACATTACCATAATTTCACTTGTTTTTGGCATGGCTAATGCGTCCGGCGGCGGGTGACTCACGCCGTTTAGGCGCCGTCAGCGGCACAGCTTCAAGCGGGGTGAGGCCGCGCCGCCAAGAGCTGAACGGATCGGCGTTCGGTGATACGGAATCTGCCGGGTCCAAGTCGATTAAAAAGCAGCCGGGCCGCCCTTTCTTGGGGATGACCATCGGTATACTTTGGACGCAAAACAGCGCGCGCACAGTCAAGCAATAGAGGGGCGAGCAGCACGCACGCACACATCACAATGCCGGACGCGGACGCCCCACCACCACCACCGACCCCCGCCATCCCACCCGGGTCCTGGGTCGTCGTCACCGGCGCCAACGGCTTCATCGCGTCGCACATCTCCCTGGAGCTGCTCAGGCGCGGCTACCGCGTCCGCGGCACCGTCCGCGACCTAGCCAAGTGCGAGCCCTGGCTCGCCGGCGAGCTGTTCGCCGACTACGCCCGGGCCGGCGCCTTCGAGCTCGCCGGCGTGCCCGACATCGCCGCGCCGGGCGCGTTCGCGCGGGCAATCGAGGGCGCGTCGGGCATCGTGCACGTCGCGTCCGTGACGAGCTTCGACCCGGACCCGTCCAACGTCGTGCCGCCGGCCGTGGCGGCCGCGACGGGCATCCTGCGCGCCGCGCTCGCCGAGCCCTCCGTCCGGCGCTTCGTCTTCACGAGCTCGTCCAGCGCGGCGGCCATGGCTACCGCGCCGGGGCACGTCGGCCGGGACACGTGGAACGATGCGGCGACGCACCTGGCCAACACCATGCCCAAGGAGGCGCCTGCCAAGGGCCCGATCGTGTACATGGCCAGCAAGGTGGCCGCGGAGAAGGCGGTGTGGGAGTTTGCGGACAAGGAGAGGCCGCAGTTCGCGGTGAATGTCGTCAGCCCCTTTACGAACTTTGGGAGGGTGCTCCACAAGAATCAGCCCGGGTCTACGACTGGCTGGGTCAAGAAGATGTACTTGGGCCTGGAGGCACCTACCAAGATGCTACCCAGCTGTGAGCATCTCCCCGCATGCTTCAATTTGTTATCTGAAGAATCCGCAAAAGCTAATGTCCATCTTTCAGCCATTTTCATCCATGTCGATGACGTTGCTCTTTTGCATGCAGCTGCGCTCTTGGATCCCAACGTTAACAGTGCCCGCCTCCAGGCTTGGAACTCGCCCTTCAACTGGAGGGATGTTGCCGCGATCATTCACAGGTTGTATCCTGATTCGAGAGTCATCACAGATGTCGAGGACTCGCCAAGGCCCACATTGACAGCTGACACGGAGGAGCCGCTTAGGCTACTGAAAGCTTGGGGAGGCCGGGACGGGTTCAGGTCATTGGAAGAGGCCGTCAAAGACACCGTGGACGGTGTGATTCAAAACTCAGCCTAATGTCCACATCAGTCTTTCAGCAAGAAAACATCTACTTGCGTACTGCTATCCGCTTTTCTTTCGAGCTTTGTGTGTATGTGCCTCACATCATTCTTCGCCATCATGACGCCATCAATTCGTTCAGCGCATCAGTGCTGGGATGACCGGGTGTGGTTTCCGAGGTTCGGAAGGATGTGTCAGAACCGCACATGTGGCCGGATGAAATTTGATGCAGGGGCGATAGTCCGACGCCGATTCGGTTTACGAAAAAGGGGTCCTCGTGATCACAGGAACACAAGCAGGGCTGATGTCAGCCTTGTCAGTGAATAAGATGTCGAGAAGGCCGCGACAGGGCGTGATTGGCTGCACACCTTTTGCCAGCTGTGTCACGTCAATCCGCATCTCGTAACCTAGCCATCGTGTTGCCGCCTTGGCGGCGAACTTTGCTTATGTTTCTACAAAACGAATGGTGGTTGGGAAAGGCAATACGTAATCCTCAACCATCCAGGCGGTAATGCGGCCGACTGTTGGGAAAGTATAAAGGTCTCTCGCCCAACACTCAGAACTGGAAACTCTACTCACTGGAAGCCACATCGATCACGAACGTTTTCTCTTCTCCTACAACTAGAAAATTCGCGAAACATTGTTCAGAATGAAGTCATTTACGGCACTCACAACTGCCATTCTTGCCGGCCTTGTGTCGGCCAAGCCTCTCCATACAAGAGCAACTACCGAATTCGACGTCACGTCCTTCAGTGCCAACACACTTCCACACGGAACTGCCGCTTCGTAAGATGAACAAGATACCAAGTTCCTAACCAGAAACATCTCGAGTAGAAGCTAACATTCACCTCCTTTCCTTGTCTAAAGCATTGGCTTCAAAATAGCTGCTGCCCCTGGTGGCGCCTCCACAGAGTGCAAATACTCTGACAACACCTCTGTCGGCCACCTTCCCGACGTGCCCTTCCGTCCTTGCGACGACGCCGCCTTCCAGTGGCAGTTCCGGCAGGAGCCGTCTCAGCCTGGCACAGAGGGGCAGTACTTGATTGTCGTCAAGTACGACGACCCCACGCTTGGCCATCCTGTAGCTGGAGCTCATGAATGGCCGGCAAGCGACTTCCCCTTCGAGAACCAAGGGTCGACGGTCTCGCAGGCGTACCGTGGAGAGCCAGACTTTGTTATCCAGGCGGATCAGTGAAGCATCTATATCTGCCGTTCTTTGCTAGGGGCGGTCCTTTTTCCTAGCGTATCGGAGTCTTAGAAGGTAGAGTGGGCAAGATTGCATATGGATTGGGATTGAGTAGTGGTGAGAAATGAATCAGCTAAATATGAGAATTCGAACGGGCCGTATTGTTTTGACGATGTACAATCCTTATATGGCATTTCGGCACAATAAGATAGTGACATATCCCTTTTGAGAGAGAACATATGGCGGCAACGAAAGCGGGACTGCTTACAGTGTCTAAATGCGCTACATCACAAGTTGCAATGCAGTCTAGTGCGATTGGTGAGGATTACATATCTAACAAGCCGTGCTGGAATAAAGCAGTACTCGGGAAAGGTCTCTTAAAAAAAAAGCTTCTGTGTGATACCGCTGGACTTTCAACCTCAATATCAACACCTACTCTAATGTGTATTTCCATCATTATACCAGTGAAAGCATCATGTCCATCCGTCATAACATCTCGTCAAAATTCAAGGGGACACATGCCCCAACCGCTCAGCCACCACGCCCCAGTCCTGGGCAGCTTCACGGCCTCGTCTCCATCGTCCTGCGCGTAGACATGAAAGAGGTCTCTGCCGATCTTGTCGTGCAGCGCGTCAATCCACAGGAAGCGCTTCAGCCTCCTCCGCACCAGCGGCCACTCCTCCCCGGCCGGCATCACTTTCCGCCACTCCCTCCGCAGCCAGGCCTCGTCCGGGCCGAGCAGCGCCATGCCGCCGACGGCCAGGAGCCACAGCAGCAGGTCGTTCCAGACCTCGGACGCCGCGGCCCGGGCTATGAGGGCGCAGCAGCTCTCCTGGAACCTCCTTGTCAGGAACGGATAGCGCTGCCCGGTCTTCTCGGGCATCTCGAAGGTCGTGGTCAGGAACACAAGCATGGCAAGGCGCAGGGTCTCGGCCATGTGGCCCTCGGTATTGCCGTCGAGCATCAGGAGGCGGTGCTGGACTGAGCATATGGCGAGCTTGAGATCCAGTCCTTGTAGGCGGTGTCGGTGGTTGAGGTTGCACGACAGCCGCTGGAGGTCGACAAAGACGGATGCGACTCTGTCGTCGTCGAGGAAGGTCTTGATCACCGGTGGAAGCTGTACGTCGCATTCGACGCAGGGTGCGATCGCCACGCTTTCGGCTAGTGAATCGGTAGGGGGCCCCGAGTTTGCATCAATAAACAGCGGTGGCTGCCCTGTGTGGAGAGTATAGGCGAGATCAACGCTGTGACACAGTTTTAGTTGCACGTTTCCAAGGGGGGAATAGACAGAATGTGACTCACCGGAGTAGTTTGATATACAGCGGCAAGTTGTGGCGGAAAGATTCGAGACCGCCGCGAAGCCGAACTATCTGCTGCAGGCCGACAAAGTGGGCTCTGGCGGCAATGTAATCCGTGAGCATGGCGGACACAACGACCAGGGAGCTCACGACGGCGATGGTGGAGTCCTCGAGCTCGGAGCGAGCCAGCTTCTGGTTGAGAGTAGTGATTGTCAGGCCGAAGTGATGGTATGTGTTCTTGTCGAACGCGCCCATGGGTCTGCCAAAGGCATTGTTGAGGGCTGAGCTGAAGAACAAGATGAAATGGATATACAAGCTGTCCTCAAGAATCCACTTGAAGGCGTTGCTTTTCCCAAGGTTGAAGTCGATGCTCAAGTCCGAGGGATAAACGAATTGGCTTGCTGAAACCATAACTGGGCGTTAGAGATTAATTAGTATGCACAACGGATGAACAGAATGCAGCTGGGGAAAAGCTGTGGAGGAACTCCGAGAGATCACCCACAGCGAAGGAGATGCAACCGTGTCTGATCATTTGACGTGTCGGTCAAACTCGGATGAGGGTTCTCTGGGAGGTGCAGCTGAGCTATATTTCGGTACAGTTCCTCCGGTCTGTCTTCTTCTCGATTACTACTTGTGGACGGGGGCCGTTGCACAATGGCTTGTTGCCGAAACGGGATTCGAGCTCGTTCCTGACTGGCAGCAGCTCCGGCATCTTTAGATCCCGGTGGAGAGGCACCGACGGGCCGGACTCCAATTCTGTAGTTCTTTCCGTGCATGCATTGGCTGCGTATGAGCTTCCGATCAGACTTCTTAGTCTTGCCCCGACTGTCGGTCTTGACGAAGACAAAAGTGCGGGACTCCATGTTTTCTCGCTTGTTTGAGGAGTTGAAACGACCCCCTTCGTACTCGGTAGTTGCAACGACCGACAGCAAGGGCGAGAGAAATCGAGTCGCCCGTTCGAGCAAATCATCATAGGGCGGCCACTGTTGCCTCGATGCGGAAAGATTAGAAATCGAGACAGGCTGACGAGGAGGAGGCTTGATAAAAAGGGTCTCCTAGTGGAGGCACAGCGTGAGACGGAGCTGACAGTCTCCACCGTATTGTATTCCTCTAAGGGGAAAGCGTCTTCTTTTGTGGAGGTGAGAAGCGTGGAGAATGTTGTGATTGGCCTGGCAAGAAACATGCCTAGAACTGGGACGGACACCACGGGCAAAAGTCTTGGCCCACGTTTGGGACGATTCCTGGCAAATACAAGGATATGGAGTTCACGAAATTTCGACAAGATATGGAGCAGACACAGTGTTTCTTTCCATGGAGTCCGTAAGTGACGAGCTCAACGTCTTTATATAAGACGTTAAGAGTCGACGGGGTCTGGCTTGACATGTCATTCTCAGTATTGAAGTTCACGAAAGATCTATTCGAATCGACATGACGTCGTCTAGCGATTTACCGTCTCTCAACCAGTTCTATATTCGCCGATGGTTCGGAGGGCAGTTCACCAAACCGGTACCGCCAGCCAAAGACTTGGATCTCTCGGGCCAGACTGGAATTCTGGTCGGCGGCACAGATGGCATCGGCCTGGCCTGTGCCCGGGTCCTTGCCGAGTACAAGCTATCGACGCTGATTCTGGCGTCACGCAATATGGAAAAGGGGAGGAGAGTGGCTGCAGCGATCAAAGAACAGTTTCCATCCACGGATATCCAGGTCTGGGAACTGGAGATGTTCTCGTATGACTCGGTCCAGAAGTTCGCGAAACGCTGTGCGGATTTGAAGAGGATCGACTTTGCTATCCTCGGCGCTGGTATTCTGCCTGCAGAATTCAAGCTCAATCCGTCAACGGGCCACGAGCTCACAATACAGGTTCATTACTTGTCCACAGCCCTGCTCACGCTACTTCTCCTTCCTCTATTGAAGGACAAGCACCCCCAAGGCAAGCCTGCTCATTTGACCATCGTAAGCAGCGATCTGGCTCATGTAGCCGAGTTCAAGGAGAAGACTTCGGACCCGCTTCTGCCGGCCTTTGACAAGCCCATACCCTGGGGGATGAGCGCGGCAACTGAGCGTTACAACTGCTGCAAGGTTCTCCTCATGATGCTGGTTCTGAAGTTGAAGAACATCGTGGACCCCGCTGACGTGATCGTCAACTCTGTATGCCCCGGAATGTCAAAGCCCACGGCAAACGAGCGCGAGTATCCCTGGATCGTTAGGTCGCTCCTTCACACGTGGAGAAGGGTGATGGGGCGGTCCTTGGAAGCTTGCGCGTGGATTTATACAAATGCTGCTCTGGAGCAGGGCCCAGAGTCTCATGGAAGTTTCCTGACTTCGTGGCAAATCGCGCCGTATGTACCTCAGTGGCTGTCACAGGCGACTCAAGACTGACTGCGATATAGTTTCCCCAAGCTCATGTACACCGAGGAAGGGAGGGCGATAATGGAGAGGCTGTGGGCAGAGACTCTGAATGAATGCGAGTTCGCAGGAGTGAAAGACATCGTGAAGACGATGTCTACCAGGAATTGACACCTGAATGATGAAAGAAGGCATGGAGAAACCAGACATAGTCAGTGGTATAAAGCACATAGTTTCATGGGAAAGCAGATTGATACCAGCACCTCAAGCTGTAATGTACATACAACCCACTCATACACACAGCTGAAGGTCACTACACAATACTACCCGCGATCTTCAATGCCCGATGCAACTTGCCAACTTGTTCCACCACCGTCTCTTCCTGACCACCGAGGTGCTGTCTGGCCTCCTGCTCGAGCAGCCACAGCATCATCAACCACTCGTTTGGTAGGTACAGAAGATTTCTCCTCATGTAGTCGTCTGGTAATTGCATACTGCAAGCCGACTGGTTTAATGATTGTGCGAATTTGTAGACTCGGACCTTTTTCTGTGCAAGCTTTTTTGTTTTTGTCTTTAGTCCACGGACGCGACATCCCTTGATCTATTGAAGCCGCGTTCCACCACGAAAAAGATATGAGGGTTCTGATCCTTCTGTCTGTTGAGGTCGCGATCCGCCGCCTGCGACGTGATCTAGCTGTGATTAGAGCAGAGGATTTCAAGTCCAGCTATCCCGGTAGACCAGAACAGAGGACAGTTCCATTTGATTATTAGTCCTGGAGAGCTTACGTTAAGCCGTGAATAGCGACTGTAGTACCCGCCGCTCTCTTCTTGAGAGGTTTAAGTTGTCTGGCAAACGTGATGCGATGTCTGCAACACACTGGTAAGATCCTTTCTCGAGGCTATGCTTTAACATACATGCCACAGAAGCCATTGTTGAAGCGGCCTGGATGGGGAATCAGCAAGTTGTGCGGTCAGTTGATCACTTCTGAGCACATTGCTCCATCTTGGACCTCTCGATCCAGGCAGCTTGATTAAACCAAAACTGTGTGTATTACTCAGTACCGATTTAGATTGTGCAGTCTAACTACCATATTTGGTCTGAGGCTCAGAGCTCCTGATGCAAGATTGGAAGGGTCCATACCCTACAAACAGCACTACCTAGCTATGTGGAAGACAGGAAATACAAGATCACTCGACCGGGATCGGACAACCCCGAGCTCTTTCTCAGGACGACCCTAGTACGAGAAACCTTGTAGTTCCAATCCCATCCATCTACCTCGCCAGACCTACTACCCCTCGAGCGGGCTCTTGCACACGTACGACGTGGTCGTATTGCTCGCAAAGGCGCCCTTGAGGATCTCGATGGACGAGTAGGCGCCGAGCGCGGCCAGCGCCAGCGCGCCGAGGAAGTAGAGGATGTTGAGGACGTTGAGCCACCAGCGCTTGGCGAAGAAGCCGCGCGAGAGGCGGGCCAGCCCCGTGTCCTCGCGCGCCACGTGGCCCGTGGCCGGGTCGTACCCTTCGCCCTCGCGCAGGGCGTACTTCTTGGCCATGAAGGCGACCGACAGCAGGGGCGGGAAGGTGTAGGTGAACTGCAGGATGCAGAAGGCGGCGACGACCGAGGTCAAGCCCGAGAAGTTGGGGATGCCGGCGGCCAGGACGAAGGCGATGGCCCAGTAGGCCGGGATGAGGGCGGCCCAGGCGAACTTGCCGCCGCGGGTGGTCAGGGGCGGGGCCCGGAAGATCTCGACAAAGATGTTGTTGTAGATGACTGTTCGAGCGTGTTAATCAAGAGATGTCATTGGGAGATTGAGAGAGAGAGGCTGCGCACCCTTGATACCAATGTTACCGTACAGCGCAGCGGCGATGACGGCAGAAACCATGGCAAAGACGTTGCCCGCGGTCTGGAGGCCGTACGAGCTGATACCGAGATAGCTGGGGTTGATGCTGTACTGTCCCTGGTATCCGTACATGAAGAGTCCGTAGAACATATACCTTTTGTTTTTTTGCTGTCAGTATACCCTTCTAGTTCTAATAGACAACCCTCGAAAAAACAAAACTCACCAGAAGTAGATAAAGGCCTGGGCAGCCCACATGGCGGTCAGGAAGTCCTTGGGCCGCTTCATCTCGGCCATGAACTCGGGGAAGATCATGGAGCCGCCGTAGGCAAAGATGGCCTGCATGGCGCCGCTGACGGAGCCGGTGAAGCCGCCGGCGTTGGGCAGGCCGCCGCTGGTCTGGACGGGCGGGAAGACGCCGTTGGCGTCCGGGGTGATGAGGGCGCCGCCGTCGATGACGAAGCCGGCCGACTGGGAGGCGCCGGCGTAGTTGGGCGGGGTATGCGCCGCGGCGCCCATGGTGATGAACATGCAGATCAGGTTGATCCAGACGGCGGCGTTGGCGAGCCAGCCGAACTTCTGCAGGGTGCGGATCTGGCCGACGACGAAGCCGACGAGGGCCCAGATCAGGCAGCAGATGCAGAAGCAGAGGCGGAACTTGGCGGCCTGGGACAGGGCCTCGCCGTTGGAGATGACGATGAGGCCCACGTTGAGCAGCAGCTGGATGGCCTGCAGGAAGTTGAACAGGTAGCGCATCCAGGGCCCGTACAGGCGGTAGCCCAGGTCGCCGAAGCTGCGCACGGGGTACTCGTACGAGTCCAGGCCCATGAAGATGTCCCAGAGCAGGTATCCGGAGTAGCCCGCGAGGGCCGCGAAGACGGTGTAGAGCGCGATGCCGGGCCTGGTAGGGTCGCGCGCCAAAGCGGGCGCTAGCTGTTAGCAGATGTTCCTTCTTCGCGCCTATCCCGTATAAGCACCTTATCTCGCACTCTGCCGGCGCCAGCGGCGGAGCCATGCAAGATAAGCGTTGAAGGATGGGTTGGTCCGAACGAACGGATCGAGCCACGTGACAGCGAAAGAGCAGGAAGGAAAAAAAAAAAAAAAAAAAACTCACCCCCAGCCCATGGTGGCAAAGGCGTAGGGCAGGCCAAAGGGGCCTAGGATATCAGTGGTGATCAGGTAGAAGATGGCGCCCCGGGTGGCGGTGCGCAGAGCGCGCGAGGCATTGGTCCACTCCTCGTCCGAGACAAGGATGCGCTGGTGCGCATTCTCTTGCTTCTCCTCCTGCGGATTGGGCGCGGACCTCTTCTCCTCGATTCCGGCGCCCGACTTGGTCGGGAAGATGACGGACCAGATGCTGGTCTCGAAGCCCGTCTTGGGCTGGTTGTCCTCTTCGATGCGCGTCTGCTGGGCGTAGTAGTAGTACTCCTCAAAGGACACAGACGGGTCGTGCAGCTTGCGATGCTGGGGCCTGACGGTGCTGATGGTGCCGGCCGGCGCGTCAAAGGGCACGTCCATCTGGTCGTAGACGCGCGGGTCGGCGCCGTCGACCGCCATGTTGCCTGGCTTGGCCATTTTGGTGACACTTGATGATAGTTGAGAACCAAACAGAGATGATGCCAAGCAATCCTGCCAAGAGATGCCAAGTGAAGCTAAGGATGGAAAGACGGTTGCCAAGGCTGCAGGGGATCCGGGAACGGGCGCAGACTGGCTTTTATCCTCTGAAGTGAGCAGGGGGATGGCAGGGGGGTGGTGTGCCAAGAGTGCCACAGAGCGCTCCAGAGTGCCACAACAGGTAAAACCAAGTCTCCGTTTCGCATCCGGGAATACCGGATAAGAGCGAGCAGTACTCCATCCGCCATCCAGAGTGTGGGGAAATTGGGCGCGCTGGGTGATGAGAAGATATAGATTCGGAGAGCAGCTGCCGTCTTGGGTCTAGAGCGCCGCCGACGTAACGGGGACGGGCATGATCACCTGCTCGTTCGAGTAAGTGCCGGTGGAGAGGTGACGACGACGAGCAAATCACAGCAAATCAAACAAGTCAGACACGCGATAATAAAAAAAGACGCACACCATTCCACGGCCTCGGCGCAATTGCTCTCAAAGGGGGAGATGCGTTCGATATTCATGACATATCCCGCGGCTCCCATACGTCAAGCTGCACGTTTAAGCTTTTTCCAATGGGCCAAGCTGGGTCTGCTTCTTCTCGAAGCGCGGGGATTAGCATCAAACCTTGACACATCAAGGCCCGAATAACCTGGGGTTCATGTCACACGAACGTGACGATCCTCCGGTTAGAGTTCTTGGTATGCTATTTTCCTCCTCCAGACCCAAAGCCAAAATGAACAAAACTCCTCCTGGCCCCTATCCCCTATCTTGGTGGCGCCACCTCAGAGCTGAGGGCAGCAAGCGAACACAAGCTACCGTATTGACGACCCCAGTTTGTGAGCTTCCTAGACGAGTCAGGGCTGCGCTACCAATTTCCTGTGCCATATTTAGCACCCTAGAACCTTCTCTATGGGATCTAGTGTGCGAGCTAATGGAATCACCAGCCCATGGCTTTCTAGTGTCTCGCTAGACTGGCCTCATGTTCGCATTCAGCTGGATGAGGCGACATAACTAAGGACACAACACGGCAAAGCAGCTATGGAAGTGTCGGCTAAAAGAGAGCGAGGTTCTGATCGGACTTTCCGGCTCGTCTCGTCTACCCCAGCCTATCTATCTATCCCCCTTGCCTATTTTTACCTGCCATGTCTCATCTAGCCTTGGCAAGTTGAGCGCCTCTTTCCATTGTCAATCCAGCACTAGAGGGTAGATGCGCAATTCTACGGCATGTCCGACACAGAAGACCTTGTATGGGTTCTCCGGGGTATCCGTCAATTGAAGCTATTCCGGGAATCATTCCATCCCTTGACGTACAATGAGCGGCTGTCTGTTCATGCAACCACCGTGCAGTGCTCTGTCCGCTCTGATAGGCTGCCCGTGTGTCTGGCAGGATCACGACAGTATGTCGAAGCTTGGATAAGGCTAGCCGTGTGGCTTGTACATTCAAAGCAGGAGAGTGCGATATTGCGGCTGAAGAAAACATGATGCCTTACCCGTTGGCAATAGTAAAGGCAGATGTTTTCTATTTGGAACCATGCAGAATTCCCATAGAAAAGATGACGATGATGCCAATTTACGAGACTATGCAGAACAAGTCAATCCCTAGAACCACCTTTGGCTAGCCACAAGGAGACTGAAGAGACCTTACAACGCCCTTCACTTTACTCAGCAAGCCACGGGGGTTACAAGGTATAGATAGTCTCTACTCAGGGCACAAACTGGGTCTATATCTGGTTATCGTACAACGAGGCATCTCTGGAGCCCCTTCTCCAGCATTGTCTTTGTTGACTCTTGGTCAGTCTCAGCTACCATATGAGTCCCTGGAAAGCCCAAGGAACCATTTGGACGTAAAAGATCTATCTAATCTTTCCCTGTGGCCTCCCTAATTAGAAGTCCCCGGCCTGGCCCCCATTTCCGAAAAGCCCTGAGTCAAAGTCCCGGGCCCAAAGGGGTAGTAGGCGTTAATTTACCTTCGCTGCCTCCTCGACCTACCAGGCAAGTCAGAATCAGGAGTTGGATAGTCGCAAGAGAAACAACGGAAATCGCGGTTGATCGCCACAGTTGAGCCGTTGGAATATGCTGGGTGGTAAAGGCCCATGCAGCGCTGGACACTCCATCCCAGCTCATTTCTGCACCCCATGCACTGGTACCTCGTCCAGTGGCACATGTTGGTGTTGAGTATTGAGTCCTTGAGGAGTCAAGATAGGACCGACGGGATGTATGCGGGATGGGTATGATCGATATCGGGTGTTGTGCCAGCTGTTACTGTGTGCCACCCAAGTCAGCTCATGATCGATCTCCATATGTTGCGGCAGCCTGCCTGCACTTACATTATCAGTGTCAAGATAACAGTTGATCGTGTGAGATGGGGACAGAGCATGGCGAACTTTGGCGGCTGGTCGCTCCTTTTCAATGTCTGGGTTTGGAAAGTCGGACATTCTGAAAGCACTTCACTTAACAGGGTGCTCCAGTGAATACAGTTTGAAGTCCTCGGAAGACGACTTCAAGTTCGTGGTGACGGGCACCGGAATAGGATGGTCTTCAATGATCTTCTTGGTCGGGTTAACAGACAACGCATTGGTCCAAGGATGACCGTTATCAGCACAGTCGGTTGCCTTGATGACAACCAAAGAAGATGAAAGCTACGCTGTGGCAGACCTACCGTGACATGTGCCATCATCAGTTGTTTCTGCTTACTGACTTTCAAGTACACCATAAGGACAATGATAGCCCACACGGAAAGAACTCTTGTCATCTTTCTTCAATATGTCAAAAGGCACTGATGAAGATGACGGCGAGACAAAGGACATCTTCAACTCGTCACAAGGAGTTCACATGATTTACTACCAAAGAGACGAAGTTTAATAGTGACACCTGTGATAATATTATGAATGACGGTTGTTGATGACAAGTCTCATGGCCCCTTAAAATGTAAAACGAGTATACTTGGTTGTCAAAGTAATGGACAAAGCTAACCTCAGGTACCAGCATAACTTTTTCAAGATTAAGCATTCAGATATACCAGACTTTTCACACATCCGGTGAATCATATTTGGCCACAACAGTTTATCATAATCCCGTTAGGTAGGACTGAGCAGGGTTCATGTTCTCATTCACAACCATGGCCAGCAAGAACATGTCACTTTCACAAAAGACATGCCAACCAAAAAAATACTGCAGATGTGTATCCCAATTACTCAATGCCAAGCCATGCCTATGTGATATCGAAAAAGAAAAAGAAAACAGTGAACCTCCCAATGCTCCAGGCTCAAACAATCAATGCTATCGCCCGCTCATCTCGACAGCCCACCCCTCCCCCTCCCTCCCATCTCTGCCTCCCTGTCTAATGTCAATCCAACGTGTACACCCCCATCCATCGTCTCATCCCTCATTTCGCCGCCTCAGCGACCCTCTTCTGTGCGAGCCCGCCGAGCTTCTCCGCCGCGGCGCCCAGGCTGCGCGGGTCCGCCCCGCGGATCAAGGCCTGCCCGTTGACGGCGACCTGCTTGCCCTCCTTGAAGAACATAAAGGTCGGCATGGCCGTCACGCCGTAGGCCACGGCGGCCTGCTGGACGTGGTCGACGTTGACCTTGGCGAAGGCGAGGACGCCGTCGACGGCGTGCTTGGCGGCGAGGGCCTCGAAGACGGGGGCGATCTGCTTACAGGGCGGGCACCAGTCGGCGAAGAAGTCGACGGCGACGTACGTGTTGGCGGCGAGCACGGCCTGCAGGTCGGCAAAGGTCTCGGGGTGCTGGACTGAGGCGCCTCCCATTGTGTCTTCTTGTGTGTGTATGTTTTGTTCTCGGAGTTGTGGTGTCTTTGTCTTGTCTGTTCGAGATTTGGAGGTGGGGTGCAGAGGATGAAATGCCTCTTTGTTGCTCGGGGCTTTGTTTGTGATTCAGGAGTTCGCTGGATGTGTGTGACTGCTTATTGTTTGTCGCTTCGTGAAATCGTATTGGAAATATGTGTTGTGAGGTTGTTCTTCGCTAGGAAAAGGTCGTGTTGGGTATATGATGATATCGTGGCATCAGGTTCGGATTTTCGGGGATCAAAGGTGGAGGCGCAGGCGAGTATATTTCCGCTGCCCGCAGCCTTTCGATGGCGTTCACTCTGTTAGTCAGGCTGACCCTGCTGACAAAGCCTTCTGGAGGACTGCCAGACTGGGCTAGAAACACCCCGAAAAATGATAGAAAATCCCCACAGCCGCCCCTGTCATTTAGCGCCAGGTACCGTGGTAGCCTGCAGCTAAATCTGCGACGCGCGTGTATTTGCGTGCTTTGCACCCATGCATTCGTTGGGTCTGTCTCCCCCCTCGCTCGTATCCCCCCCCCTTTGAACCCGCTGACTGCATGCATGAGAATGGCGAGATATAGGAGAGGGAGGACATGTTCGTTAATACCACCCGGGCAGTGACTAGTAGCCAGCAGGAGGCTTGTGTCCCCCAGAGGCGGTGCTGCCGTCGCCAAACGGATCGCGGCTGCTGTCCCTCGTAGTGTTCGCACCCGAGTCGAGCGCTCGTATGGACCTGGCGAGGGATTGTAGAGAGTTGCGTCGCGGCGCCGGGGCTTGCAGCTCGTCGTCTGTCGCATCGTCGACCCGCGCGTGGCGCTGCTGCTGCTGCTGCTGCTGCTGCTGCCGTTGCCTCGGCTCGGGCAGGTAGTCCATGCCGTACTCTGCACGCTCGGCCTCGAAGGCCTTGTCCTCCTTCTTGTCCATGCGCGTCCTCCGGAAGTGGAGGAAGAGGACTACTCCGACGGTAGCAAGAATGACGACTAGGCTGCAGGGCAGGAAAGGTCAGGCTGTCAGTCCGGTGGCCTCGCAGTTTGGGGGGGGACCAGTCTTGAAATCAAAGACAACTGGCCCCGAGAGACCGACGTGTCCCCTGCATGGAGCACTCACACTGAGACAACGATGACAATGATCGTGATGCGCGTATTGTCCGAAGGCTTCTCGCACGTATTGACGTTGCCGTCATTGATACAATCTTTAGCCATCGAGAATGATAGGTCGAGAGAGGTCTCGTGGCGTCGGTTGAGCGATTGCGTCAATTCGAGAGGGGTCTCTGTCGATCGGCCTGGTTCGTCTTGGCTTCGGATGGCAAGTGTCGCGAGGTCCAATGGATTTGGCGAATGGGAGGACAGTGTGCAAAGATGCAAGATGCGCGCTGATGTCTGGCGATGCAAAAGAAAGCAATTCTGTAGTTTCTGGAGCAAGTTGGTTGGGAGATGGACGGGAAAACAGGGAGACGAGGACAAAAGGCACTACAGAGATGTGAAGACCAAAAACGGACGACGGACTGGAATTCAGGGGGCGAGAATGGCGACAATGCGGTCTAGAGAATTCGAGGACAGCGACTCGGGGTCGCGTATTCAAGGCTACGTTCCAGCGTTTCAGTGGAGCTCTAGCGTAGCACTTTAGGGGGGGACTAGATCCATGTTGTACCTATGCACGTACATACGAGGGCCTGTTTCACCTACAATGGCCTCACATGCACAGCCCGTCCAGCGAACCTTTCCCTTTCCCCCTTGCCAATGCCGACTTTGCCATGATTCCTATATGTAGCCAACTATTGAATGAAATCAAATGCGTCATTTGTCGGTGTGATGATGCCAAACAGTGCAGTTGATTGGTCTGGATGCTCAACCGCCGAAAGTGCGCTGATATCACGACCACAAAAAGCCTGATCTGGCCGCCCGTCCGTGGGACAGATGAAAACTTATGATATACCAATATTCGAGGTGCAGAAAAACAAAACAGGAAAATGGAAGTTGAACCTAGAATCGACCAATAGTTAGCATTGGGAGAGCAAGAAGCATCCGACATGTAGTTTCGCACCGACCCAGAGCGCCCTCCCCTCCCTCCCTCTCCATTCAATCCAGTCACACCTGTTTGCGCTTGTCATCCTTCTGCTCCTCCTCCCACCGCTTCCCCATCTGCTTGACCTCCTCGTTGATCTTCTTGATGTGCTCCAGGGCCCCGGGCCACGGCTTCCGGCCCCGCCCCGTCTCGAACAGCCGGTACACGGCCGGCACGTCGACGCCCTCCATCAGCAGGTGGTGCAGCCGGCCGTGCCTGAGCCAGAACTTCCACCCTTGCCACCCCCAGCTGCCCAGCCGCTCGTTGATGCCCGTCCCCGCCGCGTCGTTGAGCCAGCGGTACGTCGCGCGCGAGTCGAGCCGGAACCCCCAGTACGGCACCGGCGCCGACCGCAGCGCCGCGCAGACGAACGCGTACTGCCCGTCGATGTCCGCGCGCATCTCGGCCGCCGTCGGCAGCGGGTAGCCGCCGCTCCAGACGGACGCCAGCGCCATGGACAGCAGGTCGTTGGTCACGAAGGGCCCCTTGAGCATGAGCATGTGGCCCAGCACCGCCAGGCTCTCCGGGTACTGCTCCGAGATGAACCCGCGGTACAGGCGCGCGAACCTCTCGCCCGCCGCGTTGTGCGGCGCCGCCAGGACCCGCGCGTAGCCGTCGGGCGCCCCGGCCGGGTCCGTCGGGTCGCCCCGGCCGCCCTGCTGCAGCAGGGAGAGGTCGTACTGGTACCCCGTGCAGACGATGATGGCGTCGAGCTCGTCGACCCGCCTGCCGTCGGTCAGGACGACGGACCGCGGGCCCACCACCTCGCGCACGCCGCGCACGCTCTCGACGTGCCCGTCGCGGATGTAGTAGGGCAGGTGGTCCGAGAAGAAGGGCACGCGGCTCAGGAGCGAGGGCGGGGGCCTATCCGGCGCGAAGGCGGGCACGTCCTTGAGGAAGGGGAAGGCCTGCATCCGCGCCGAGGTCAGGCCCTTGCCCATGAGCCATGCGCACAGGAAGGCCGAGCAGCTGGCGATGTAGCGCACCACGTAGCCCATCCGGCGCGACATGCTGTGGTCGAATGCCTTGCCCTTGACATTGCGCGGTAGCTGTGAAAGACGACTGTGTCAGAAGACGACTGGCTCATTTCCTAGGGTGCCTTCCAAGGAGGAGACTCACTACCCAGTATTGGCCTCGGTGGCTGGAGTAGAGCTTCCCTGCGCCTGCTTGCTTCAGGAACACGAGAGTGTCGGCCCCCGTCGCGCCGATGCCGACGACCAGGACATTCTTGCCCTTGTACTTGTTTGGATCCTTGAACTCGCGCGAGTGGATCACTTCGCCTGCAAACTTCTCCTGGCCCTTGATGTCGACATCGCGCTTGCTGTTGAGGATGCCGGTAGCCAACACAAGCCTGTCAAAGCGATGGGTCTCTTCCTTGCCTGTCTTGGTGTTCCGCGCCGTTACGAGCCAGTTCTCGTCCCTGTCATCCCTCCTGACCTTGGTGACTGCCTCAGAGTAGCGTATGTGAGGGTGCAAGTCAAACTCTTTCGCATAAGCCTCCATGTACTTGCCAAGATCTTTGGCCGGCGGGTGCGTAGGAAACTCTGGGAACGTTTAGTGAACCCACGTATCCTCGCTCTGCAGCTAGGGAAGAAAGCTTACCGTCAGGCATCGGGAAGTCGGTGAAGGCATTCTGCTTGCAATCAGCTTTCGAGTCTGATGATCACCAGCGGGACCCGGAAGAACCAACACATTGTTTCGAGGTGTTAAATGAAGTCTGCTCCAATGCCGTAAGCTTGGTCACGTCGCTCTTTGGCTTCCACAAGCCCCCGACCGCGTCGTCCTTGGTGAATGCTGTCGGGTTCAGCCCTTCCTCCTTCAAGTTCTTGATGGCCGCCAGGCCGACCATGCCGGTCCCCACGATGCAGACATCCTTGCCTATGACGCGTCCGTTCCGGGTCGTCATGATGCCACGCTATTAGGCTCCAGACCACAGTTTTGCGAGTGAGAAGCCCTATTTCCTCCAAGCTTCTAAGTGAACTGCAGGTGCAGCAGAACGAGATGGCGTCAAACAGAAGTATCAATGACAACCACAATGCGTTCCGGTTCGGTGGGCATCTTGCAAGATATATCCGCCCAACATGCGCGGGAGGTTCGGCAGGGGGGGTGGAATATCAGGCAGGTTAACGAATAACCTAGCGTATGATCCTTCATACCTAACCCTGCTCAAGGAACCATGTATGCCTTGCAAGATGCAGCCATCAATGCGGACTTTTAAGCAAGCAACTCCACTTCCAAACTTGGTGAGCTCGATGGAGAGGTCGAATCTCTTCTCGAGTCTCAATAGAGAGACACCAGCAGAGATCTATCTGTTTTGCAAATAGGCAGCGTGCAGGATGTTTTCAGCGTCAATGCAAGCTCTTCAAATTTACAGGGCTGACACCTTTGAAATGTAAGGGTCACGTCAGCAACTCCGGATCTCCCTGGAGTGCAAGCGTATCTGACCTCAGCACTAACAGCCGAAATGGCTTTGGTCCACCTTCGAGCTTTGTTCGTTGGACCAACCAAAGCAGGATAGCAATAAGTCCAATGTCCTTTGACGCGAGTCAGGCCAGCTCATGTTAAAGCCTTTGATCATGGGCTTCATACTCTACCTACTTGGGGGCTCGCTGACCAATCCATCCGCTGTAGCAGAAGCAATAGGATAGGCCCTCTGGAGTCAAGGCCTTGAGGAGCTCGGATTGGTCAACATGGTACCATCAAAGCAAATGATTCCCAATGTTCTCATAGCGTCATAAGCATCATATCTAGAAAGCCGTCCACGCATCGGCCTGTTCCCAGTCCATGTTCTCCAGCCAACTCATAAAGTCATCATCATTGCCCAAGTTTAAAGGAGCGCCACCAAAGAGATTATGCCCCCCAGGCTCGTTAATGATAATCCCCTGCAGGTCCAAAGAGGGATCGAACGGCTCGGCTGCACCTCCGGCATGCAAGCCGCTCGTCACCCTGAGCTGAGGATCCACGTGCGGCTCCAAGCAGAGCGTCTCGGCGGCACCTCCTCCCGGAACCATCAGCGACGGCGGCTCGAGGATCCTATCAAGCAACTTGGTGATGACCTTCTGCCCCTGCTGACACATCGCATACGACCCATCGATCGGGTCGACGGTGCCCAGCCTCGCCGCGAAGACGGCCAGGTCCTGGATCGTCTTGCTCCGCGGCAGGAGGTGCATCTCCGGCCCCGCGCCGCCGGCCCCCGCGCCCGCGGCCACCATCTGCATCATCCGCTGCTCCTGCCGCAGCAGCTCCACGGCGATGATGGCCGCGCACCGCAGGCCGTGCGACACGAGCAGCGCGGCGAAGTGGATCTGGAAGGTGCCCGCGATGTCGGGCCGCTGCGTGATGATGAGGACGTCGCCAAAGATGAGGCGCGCGACGGCGACGAGCCGCTCCGAGCCGGCGCCCGCCTTGCGCACGACGACACGCTGCAGCAGCATGTCGTTGGAGCGCGAGGCCTGCCGCAGGGAGCTGCGGCAGAGCATCGCGCGCGGCTCCATGTTGTGCGGGTCCGGCACCTCGTCGCGCGCGCTGGCCAGCCAGGCCGGCATCGACGCCCAGTGCGCCCGGCCCTTGGCCTCGATGGCCTCGGCGCGCTGCAGGATCTCCTCGCGCGAGTAGTCCGTCAGCGCGAGGTCGAGCACGTCCTCCCTCTGGTCGGCGAAGGGCATGTACGCCTTGAGCCAGGTGATGCCGTCCAGGCGCACGCCCCTATTGAAGCCGTTCTCGTCCAGGTTGGCCAGGGCGGCCTCGAGGTCCGTGCCGTGCAGTGCGAGCTCGGCATCGGTCAGGTCCAGGATCTGATCACGGGTGCAGTGTCGGTAGGAAATCCGGGGCGGGCGGCCCAGGAAACTGGCGAGGCTCATCTCGACGGCGTATGACATCAACGAGACTCGCCTGCGCATCTCGAGGAGAAAAAGAGGCAAGCGGGCCGTCGTCGTCGCCGGCAGCTTCTGGTGCAGGCCCATGGAGATGATGGCACTTAGCATTTCTCCCGCAGCCCGGTAGGAGTGGTAACTCCTGTCGCCTTTGAGGATCCCAACCAGATCGGTATCTGTGAAGAGCAGCCAGAGAAACATGTCCTCCATTGACTCGCAATCGCGGCAAAAGCCCAGGCACATGGTAGAGACCTCGGCCATCTTATTGGCCACCCCAGTCCGCGTGAGCTTGTTATCCCGCAAGAGAGGGTCGAATGGGTCAATACTGCTAGCACTGATTCCGACGATGGCAGCGATGATGCCAATAACTTCCCATCTGACATTGAAACCAGTGCCGAGACGAACCCAGTCGATCGGTTTGATATCCTTCTGGAACTGGAGTGGGATCTGCGTGTTTCGCCAAATGAGCTCGACCAGTCGCCGTATCTTGTCCGGCTGCTGGCTCATGAGGGCGTCACCATGATAAATCCACAGTCTGTTGAGCCACTCCTTGACAATCCATTGGAGGGCCGGTTGCCAATTGACTTTCGTGGTCTCGTAATACCGCGTGACAAACTGGTTGATAAGGTGCTTGTCTTTGAGAAAGGATAAAGCCTCACAACTTTGGATAACACGAGCATGCGGGATGGAAACATTGTGCCTAAACTCCACGTCGAGCTCGGGGAAGATGCCGTCCAATTTTCCGAGTGCCTCTGTGAAGATGGACGAGTAGTTTGTCAAGCCGACAAAGTCGGGACTTGCCGTGACGATGGCATCTTGTCTGAAGTCCGGAGCCGGCGCGGAAGCGGCTCTATGCGGTGCGGCCGGCGGCTCGGCAGAAGTGGCCCTTGGCCGCTGGTGGTTTGTTCCAGATGTACTAGAATGGCGTGCATTCGACGCCCGGACATCAACCGTTGGCGTCGGCCTTGAGGCCGTCGCGGGATTCGGTGTTGGTGTTGGCGACAGGATACCTGGCGAAATAGGCTGGTAGGATTGCGGTGTACGCTTCTCATATATAGTCAGTCTCAGATGGAACTGTACGGCACTGACAGCAGTCCCTAATGGAGAAGTTACTTGCTAGCATTCGGGCTTCGGAGACGCACTGACCTGGGTTAAGGGGTTTGGATGATATAGGCACTGGTTCTCGCGGCGACGCTTGACGCATCGACCACAGACGGGTAGCGTGTGGTCGCACCTGAGCTTGCTCTTTCTACAGGGCTCACAGGACTGAAGCTTGCCATTCCGACGATACTTGGTGGTGAGGGTTTGCCTCGTTGGCGTCGACCGTCCATCCATGAGCTTCTGTCGGCGTGGTGCACAGGACAATTAGTCTCGCTCGTATAGGCAATTTGTGAGTTTCCGTTCTCTTACGGAAGGAACAATACCGGGGGAAACATCTGGAACGAGTGTTCGTCGTTGTTGGTTTGGTTGTTGTAAGTCAGAGATGTCGGCATCGGAGTTCGACCAAGTGAGGAGATCCGAAGTGATGTTCAATGTCATATTCGTTAGAGTGAAAATGATTGGTTTTCATTCCGATGCTCCACACATTGTCGGAGTTCAAACTCCTATCAGTCTTTACCCAAAGGAGCTCGGCGAGTAAGCATAAGACAAGCGGCCCACACTCTGTCAAAGCTAACTACGTACTTCCGCGAGCTAAGATGGCGTCACCTCCAGTTTTCTTCCAATATATGTAAGGCTACTCCGTGATGCGTCCTCGCCGAGGTGGGTACGAAGCGGTGGGTGTACGTGGATAGGCTCGTGGAGGTGACGAATGCCGACGAATCTGATATGAAGCCTTGGTTTAGCATTCTCGGAATCGATTCCTTGTACCTCTTCATCTGCATATAAACCTCTTCTATGGCCGCTCACGGGAGTAAGCTGGTCTTATTCTACAACAGCTGGATTCAAGACAATCTTCTTACAAGCTTTCCACACGTCGATTGAGGTTTGCGACCAACCTTGCTTAAACAACTCAACAAGCCATATCACACATCAAGTGTCTGCAACATGCCTCTCAGCTTCAACAACGTCTTCTCCTCGAAGCAGTCCAAAGAAAGCACATCAGATGCGGCATCAACCAAGACATTGACCGACGACTCTTCGTCTACATACTCCTTCCCCACGAAGGATACTCCCAAACAAAAATTTCAGACCGACAAAGAGAAGGAGCTTTTGCAAGGTAGTTTCCTGCCTTCCCGTTGCCTATTGTATCGTATGCCACATGTGCTAACTGAACCTTTCGAATAGCTGCTTACAAGAACTCGGTCCAGATGGGCAATTGTTAGGTCGCTTCCGTGGGCCTGACATGACAATGATGAGATTTTCTGACGACAATGATTTGATTTCTTGATGGACCGCATTTGGCACTTCGGCATAGGACTGCGTTGCATGGGATCGGATCCATGTTATACGCTGGCTTGGGCGTACTGGATAGGATGGACTGATGAGTAATAAGGACAACAACACTGACTGCCCAGAATTAAAGCTATCGAAATATATTTCCAATCTTCCCAGTCCCTCAATTGAATCTCATCAAGGTAAGCGCTGGGCAATTCCAAAGTGAATGTGCCTCATAACTCTATCATGCGGGTCCACTGTAGATCGTTCATAGTTCTGGCGATCTTGACGCGCTCACAGTGCTCGCGAGGAACTTTTGACCTGTAGGATTGGATGACAGAAGAACATGACATCAAAAAAAATACAAGGAAAAGAAACAGACAACCGCGCCTTCAAGCGAAGTTCGGTCCCCACTCGAGGACTGTCGGCCCCAACATCCAAGAAGTCTCATCCTCACGGTAAGCGGGAACACCGACCACCGTTTCTGGGGTCAAGATGTCACACTGCCTGTCAGCACAGCCTCCCAGGAAGTCTGTCTACCAACGGGAGGAGCCACCGAGAGGGTGGTAGCAGTCAGGCAACGACAACGAGCAGACCCGCTCACGGGACAAGTTGGGACGAAATAAGGTGTGGCAGAAACCCCTTGGCATTAAGATTGACATTCAGCTCTGGTTTTAGCGGCATCATCTTCCACGGCGGGGCAGTGCATTGAGTTGGACGTCCCCGGCAAATCCATGCTTCAGTGGCTCAAGTCGGCCTAGAGTTACTGCGATCTGACATGTTTTATTCGTGCCAAGTCCTGCGAGAACATGGGTAGCTTAAAGTACTCCGCCAATGGCGCGCTTCTTTTTTGGATGACAGTCAATCACGATGCCGTAGCCCATCAGCTCAAGGCGCGGTGAGTTCGGGTCTGGGTATATAGGTATGTCCATCTCGAGGTTCTCTTGGGTCGGTGGCCCAACGACCTCAAGCTTGATAGTATCTGCACTTGATCGTCATGTTGCGCTGGCTAACACTCACGGCCCTCGCGCTTGGCTTTGGCCAAGCCAAGGCTTACCTGGCAGGTATGTGGGAGACACATTCCGTGAATTATATGGCATCCTCGCCATCGTACTCACTGATCCGTAGAGAAGCCTAGCGAGCTGGCAAAACCGGAGATCTTCAAAGGCCAGGATGACTTTGGCCTCGATACTTTTGGGATGTCTCTCTCCCAGTATGGAACTGGCAATGAGACGGCGGAGCTGGTAGAGCGACAGAAAAGAAAGTGTGATCCAGGCTGGACCATGGTGAGCCACTATTGCCGTTACTTTGCTCCAGTTCAATGAATGCATCACTAAGCCTGAGTTCGCAGTGCCCAGACGGCGTATATTGCACCAAGATTGGCTATTTTTGCTGCCCTAACAACAACGCTGTCGGCTGCGAGAATGGTCAGACCTGCTGTCCTATGGGCGGCTGCGCCAAAGTTGGGTTTGACTGCTGTCCTAACGTGAGAGGTGCTTGTCCCAAGGGATCCAGCTGCTGTTCCGCGCCATCGTAGGTATCGACTTTCCCTGTGTGGCAAGAATCATAGAGGCTGATAGAGTGATCACAGACAGAGCTGCCAGCCCATCGGCGGGTCATGCTGCGGCACGGGTGCCTGCAAAGCAGGAGAGTCCTGCTGCAACGGCCAGGGCTGCGCGTCCGCGGGGAGTCAATGCTGCGGGACCGGCCAGTGCCCCAAGTCCTCCAAGTGCTGCGTCGACGAGGACGGCGACTACTACTGCGCGGCCTCGTGCGTGCCGAGCCTCATCTTCCCTTACGTCAAGGGCCTGCTCGACGAGGTCTACGAGAACATGTGCCGCGGCGTCGCGGCCCACAGGTCGACCAACGACCCGCAGACGGCCATCCTCACGCTCGACCCCAAGAGCGGCAAGGACCTCCGGAAGAACAAGGCCACGCGCCGCAAGGCTGCGCGCTGCACGGGCTCCGGCAAGATTAAGTGCCCCAAGGGCTGGAGCTGCGACGAGTTCCCCTTTGCGTCGAGCATCGAGGGCGGCAGCGGCGCGCAGGTTATGTGCGTGCCGCGCTGGCACAACGACTGGCAGGGTACCTACTACAACTCGTGGCTCTCGGAGCAGATTAACAGCGGCAAGCTGAGCCGCGGTGGCAAGTATCGGGTCAAGCTGAAGTACATCGACTGCTCGCAGTACACCAAGCGCGACGTTACTACGAGGGCCGACTCTAATCCTGTGCTAAAGAGCGACGGAAATGGTAAGTGGATTTGCAATGGAATGCATTGAGACGTCTCTGGTCGGTAATAATACTCTTTTAGTAACCATACTGGCCGAGTCCATTTTTGGAAACTACTCCCAGGGCGGAAACGCAATGTTTATTGCCCTTACGGAGAATGAGAACCAGCCTGGCCAGTACACGCTCGACTACAAGGTCTCCAAGGGTCAATTGATGTCTGGGGCGATCGTAGATGATGAAGGAGAAACACTAGCTAAGTATGTATCTGCGCGAGATTCTAAGCCATAGGCCTGGGGGTTGACGCCGTCCAAACTAACACTATTGGTACAGTCTTACCTCAACTACCTCGGACTCTTCGAGCAGCGTCTCAGTTGATCTCGAGGACGACTATGGCGACATCACATTCCTAGGCTGGACAAAAGACAGTGACGTGAATGTCGATTACAGTGTCAAGGTGTCGCCTTCCTCGCCTTCCACAACGCCGTCATCTACCACCAGCCTGAGAGCCCCAACCTCTCCAGTACCTCCTCCAGCGTCCGGTTCAAACCCACCGGCTTCGTCTGCGTCCTTGGCATCTGTGAACTTTCTGCTTTTTGTTGCCGGGGCTGTGTTAGTTTCATTCTTGCAGATTTGATATCCTGCCTGATCTTTTTTAGTACACTATTCTTTAAGCACACATACAGTAGCCTTATGATTGCCATAAAATGAACGATTCAATTCTAGAATGCATGGATGGCATTGACAGCAGACCGGAGCTGGTCCCCGTCGTCACACAAGGCGAACACTACCCGATCTGGTCTCAATACCACCAAAGCCTTGCCGCCAACCTCTCTTGCCAACCGATATGGGTCGTAGTACTGTGGTTGTGGGCGGCCCTCGCAAAGTGTCTTCTGTTCAACGAACTCTTCACCAGTTGCAAGACGGTAGACTAATTCGGTGCCAATATTGTTCGGTTGCAAGTCGGCATTTGCGACATTGAGAATGAATGTTGTTTCTTCCTCCCTGACTAGCCCCTTCGAGATCTTGTTTACGCCCCGCACGCTTTCTCTTGCCTTGGCCAGATCTCGAATAGATTCCAAGATTGAAACAATTTGGAATAAGCCCGTCTTGTGCGGCGCGAATATCACATCATCTGTGAACTTGACCGCTTTTGTCTCAGGCGTCTGTTGTACGGCTACACAATACACTTGGGGGAATGTTCTCCCTCCACCCAAATCTGGAAGAAAGGCCATACCTGTTCCAGGAAGCCATTCGTATCTCGCCATGCCTTCGCGTCGATTCCCTAGCTCGAGGTGATGTTTCCAACTTGGTACCAATTGAATGGCCCAAAGGTACCATTCTCGAAAGAAGATTTTGGCCGCATTGGTTTCCGTAACATAGTTGCCATTCTCAATTGTCGACGCAAGAGACTTGTCGAACTGCTGCTTCCTCTCCATGTACCAGCCCTCAAGAATCTTGCCGAATCTCGACGAGTCAGCTGCTAGAGCCGGATTGTGGGTTATCAGCGCCAGGCGCCAAGCAAGGGATATGGCATCCCGAAAGCCTGACGCGATTCCCTGGCCGCCAAAGGGAGGGAACACATGAGCCGCATCCCCGCAGAGTGCAACCCGGTCCTTTGCCCATACGTTGCAGCTCCTGGCTGAGAATTTGAACGGCCGGCAGCGCAACACCTTGATGCAGTCTTCCGGGTAGGTGATGTCCTCCGTATCGAGTCCGTACTTGCTTCCCCGATGAGTGATATAGGGATAGACAATCTCGCGCATCTTTTCGGGGCTGGACATCGCATGTCCATCCTCTCCTGGAAGCACCACGTATTCGAACCGCCAGAGTCTGTCCCGGGGCAGGCCAAAGCGGCTGCAAATAGCTGCGCGCTCGGGATTGCACAGAAACCTGAACTCGACCGGAAAGAAGGAATCGTATACTTGTTGAGGTGTGTAGCCTTTGGACCAGAGCGGGAACGCAGGATGGGCCTCCGGAGTTGGGAGCGCAACTTCCCAGTTCAAAGCGACCCAAGTCTCCTCATAGGACATTTGAGAAACCTGCAGGAGCTGCACGCCACGGGGCTCAAGGTAGTTCTTTCTTGTAAAACCAGTCTTGCCATCTGCGCCCACAAGGAATTTGCTGCGGATCTGCTTCTCTATACCATTTGCATCCACGTACGATACGTACACCCAGCTGCGATCTTCGTGGATGGAGGTAACATTGCAGCCTACCCGAAGATCCGAGCTCTTCAGGTTTTCAATCTGTGATCTAAGATGTTTCTCGATTGCGGGCTGCTTGTGGCAGACGAACCCTGGGTGCCCAGTGCCGCCTTCGGTCTTGGATTCGTTTCAGTTTGTTTTCCGGGTAGATAAATCATAGGGCAGACGTACAGTGTTGTAGTTCATGACCATAAATGGGGGTTTGTAGAGGTCGTAGTGGACTCCGGAAATGAATCTGAAGTTTCCCATGCCTGAAATCTGCAACTGTCAGTTAAGTGTTCAAGCTATCTTGACGCATCGACCATGGGAGGCTTGCATTGACCAATGTCTGTAAAGACCTTGTCGTATATACCACACGCCTGTAAGAAGCGAACACCTTCTTCGTCGAGAGCGATGCCTCGGGGATCAGAAGTGATTTCGCGCTCTCGTTCCAGCGTCACATTCGGGACCCCGAATTGCCCCAGAAGGACTGAAAGCATAGCTCCAGTAGGGCCACATCCACAGATGACCACATCTGTGGTCTCTTCAAAAGTGTCGAATGTCATCTTCAGTGTTGTTAAGTAACGTAAAAGAACGCCAATCGTTGTACTGAATCAGCCAGGTCCAGGGTGTTAGAAATGGGCATACCCATCACATCACAATAGAGTCTCGATGGGCTGGACAATGTCTATTTGTTTTACTCTTGCCTTCAGACAGTCGTCGTCAAGGTTCACGTTGGGGGAATCACTCTGAAGTCGACGGAGAGCTGGCACTTCGACCCGAATCTTGATTGCGGGACGGCTTGCGGGACATTTATCATGCTATGGGTCGGGTCCATTCACAATCGCCGGCTTTGTTGCGCAACATAGGTTGAATCTCTCAATGAAACCACCTAGAACTATTCCTTAAAATGAGAAGCTCAGCGCAGAAAACTTTGTATCCAGGCACTTCAGCGAATATCGGATAACCTTATAATACACCAGAGGCCTAAACGGACTGCTTCGTTGTTCTATGATGGATCAAGGGACGTACGCCATGGTCCCGCCAGATCCCAGAAGTTGCGGGGCGTTTGCGGGACCAGTCCTTGATCCCTTTGACAGACGGCGGGACAATCTCAGCCGCTCTAATTAAAGCACTGGGCGTGAGAACCGTAAGTAATCTGTGAGTACATTACCGATTGTTCTTGCTTTCTCGTCTGACTAGAGCACCTGTCGATTTTTCAGAACGAGATTTGCCGAAGATAATCGCAAAGCTATAAGACGTTGGATGTGATTCACCTCGATCTTATATGAAAACGACATCTCCGTAAAAACACCGCTCATTGATCTTTGTTGTGCAGTCGTCTTTCGAATTGACATGAATCTAGAGATGAGCTTTCTTTATTGCATATATTTTCAGAAAAACTATTCTCGGGATGAACGGGCTCGTGTCTCCTAGTTGAGCAGCTCATATGTCGCCATCGTGGCGGATGATGATGTAAATTTCTTGCCCCGAAGGGCAGGCACCTGCTTCATTTGAACAAGTCGGTCCTCCTGGAGGCTTGTTTAGGGTCGAATCAGATGCCATTTCTCGACTCGGCCTAATCAAAACGGCTGTGCCGCAAGACAGCCGATCTGTCGAGGTGGCATTTAGAATGGAGTTGGTGTCCCATGCCTTCCTGAAACGGTAAAAACGTAATTCAAATGCTGATAGCAATTGAATATTGTAAAAGGATTGGCTGCGTCGTCTACAATGATACTCGGTGTTTCGGATCGGAGTATCAAGAAGTGTCCAGGCAGTGAGCCAAGTCATGAATATTTATAGCACCTCTACCACCCAACTGCAAGCTTCCCCCCGAGATGACTATTTCACCCATCACTTTCAGGTCGAGTTGAGAATCTACTTACGAGTCCGGCACCGACTACTATATCACTATGAAGATCATCCTCGCTCTCGCTCTTGCCCTTCAAGCCTGGGCCGGCCTTGCTGCTCCCGTTGCAGACGCTGGATTAGCACAGGAGGTTCAGCCCCGCCAGGTGAGATGCTCGACTGTCCAGATGTGGCATCATACATTAACTGATTTGACGGTGTAGTGTGGAGTCAATCCTCATTCGCATTGCTAGGCTTATGAGAAAGTTCGCCGGGTTGTGGTGGACAGAATGGGTTGAAGGCGGCTTTAGGCCTTGGGTTCCCTTATCTATGTATTCTTTTTCTCGAGGTTGAGTGAATGTATACATCCATATACGAGAACCATTGCGAGGGATTCGATTGAAACTGGCTTTTCAAGACTTGAAACATATGATCAAGAGAAACGCGTTACCTTCTTTGGCTATTCAATTCATGCCTCTAGAAAAAGTGATTTAAGCTTGAAATTTGGCTTTGGATGACACAAGGATCTTGATTTTACACCAGAAATCATCTCTCCAAGGATGTTTTCACCAGTGCCTGAACACCCATGAAGCGTTCCGATATTACGCGTGACCTCAGGGAAGATGTCGCTTTTAGAGGCTTCTATACCATACCATACCTCAACCTCAATGACAAAGCTAGATATTCTTGGTTGTAGCATTGGATGAGCGATCGAGATCATGTTTTGCATCATCTCTATGCCTCAATCCAGGAATCGCCACTGAGCCTTGTACTCCTTTGACAGCTCCACGTCCAGGAACAGCGCCCTCAGCATCTCGATTGGCATCTCGTTCTCCCTGAGTATCCTGTCGTTGAACTCCCTCTCCGAGGCGCAGATGCCCTTCCTGAGGACCTCGTCGCGCAGCGAGTAGATCTGCAGCGCGCCGAGGTAGTACCCGGCCTGGTAGAGCGGCTCGTAGTCGCCGTTGAGCGAGCGGCGGACCTCGCCCTCGGCCGTGCGGCGCTCGTGGCCGACGCGGGCGACGAGCAGCTCGACGCAGTCCTGCGCCGACATGCGGCCCAGGTGGTAGCCGAGGGAGAAGAGGATGCGGGCGCAGCGGTGCATGCGCCACCACAGCGTGCCGACCTCGTCCTCGGGCCCGTCGAAGAAGTCGCCGCGGTCCCAGAGCACGAGCTCCCAGTACATGGCCCAGCCCTCGACCCAGAAGGGGTTCTCGAAGAGGGCGCGGTAGGCGCGGTGCCGCGCCTCGTGGAACATGGCCAGGTGGTGGCCGGGGATCATCTCGTGGAAGGCCGTGGCCTTGGCGAAGTGGCGGTTGTTGCCGCGGATGCTCATGAGCTTGTCGCCGTGCGCCATGGCGGCCGTCGGGTAGGACACGATGATCTCGGGCCCGCCGAGGAAGAAGGGGTTCACCTTTTGCCGCTCGGCGGCCATCATGTACATGCGCCAGGTGCGGCGCGCGAGCGGCGGCACGGTCACGAGGCCGTGCCTCTCGACGTAGTCGGCGCCCTCGACGACGAGCCGCTTCACCATGGCCGGCTGCTCGCCCGGCTCGACGCCGAGGTTCTTGACGTGCTCGAGCGCGGCGTGCCAGTCGTCGCCGAAGCCCATGCGCGCGGCGGCGCTGCGCATCTTGTCCTCGCACCAGGCGAACTTCTCCTCGGCGGCCTTGAGCAGCTCCTCGGGCGTGTAGCTGATCATCTCGGCCTCGAGGTCTACCAGCAGGCCGTCGCGGCCGATGGGCTGGCCGACGATGGCGTCTTCCTCGCCGGGGCGCTGGCCGGCGAGCTTGACCTTGATGGGCGGGATGAGATCCGCGAGGGCCCTGTTCAGGGCTTCGTAGGGCTGGGCCGTCCACCAGTCAAAGGTGGGGTGGTACCCCTTGAAGAAGTCGATGAGCTCTGCCAGGCGCGCCTGCAGCTGCTCGATGGTGCTGACTGCCCGGATAGCGGTGACGCCGTCGACGTGGATCTTGCCGCTCTCTACTCCCTCCTTGGTCTTCAACACTAGCCTGGTGGCGGCGTCCATGACATCTGCCGTGTGTCGCGGCTTCAGAGAATCCAGCTCGACCTTCTGGCGGGCCTCGAGCAGCTCGACAAGGGGCGCGGCGAACGGCAACAACGGTGCCATCTTCTCGTTGCGCTTCTCGTCAAGCTCCAGTCGGCGGATGCTCCGCCGCAGGTAGTTTCTCAGCAGGACATAGTCCACGCGAGCCTCCTGATCCGGTAGCTCTTCGAAAGATAGCTGGTGGAGTTTGTCGAGCTCTTCGACGTAGTAGTCCTTGAGCCTGGCGGGGCGTACCAAGTCAATGTTGTGAAACTCGTAGAGGTCGCTCTGGTCGGCTTTGACGCGGGTGATCCTCTGTTCCATCGTCTCTGCGTCGGCAGCGGGCTGCCCGGGAGTGTGTTGCGGCATGTCGATATACGTCCAACCTCCGGATACGTCCCTCGAAGTCATGTTTGAGTAACGCGCATGCGGGCCGATGAAGTCGAACCGCCGGAGCTCAATATTTATAATATGGCTACCCGAGGGTGCTATTGGTGGATGAAACGTGAGGTTACTTGTGCCTCACTCGTATTGCATCCATCACTACCTGAAGCGGCGGAGGGTAGTGAGAGGTCGGAGACGGTGCCGTAGACATCGGGATGGTTGCCGTAGTGTTTTCAAGCATCGACTTACTGAACGTAGCAATTTCCGGGGGCTCAGGATGCGGGGTTGATCGGCATCGATGGATGCCCCGTTCTGTTGACAAGCTTTTTGGCGAAGACGAGCACCGGGCTATCCGTGCCTCCCAAGAGTACTTGTAATCGCAGTTTGAGGCATTTAGGTGGCAGTCATGATTTCACTATTTGTTCCAAAGCTTACATGTTACAGCTCTGGTTTTCTCACTTCATAACTAGCTTAGGTAGTTTGAATCTTGCACCTAGATCAGAAGGCTGCTGGAAAAGACAAGTACATCGCCAATCTCATTGGGTAGCAAGATACTTGGAACTGCCTAGCAGTTACCTAGGTACATCAACAATATGCTGAATGTATCAAGCTATTCGGTTCTCAAAGTCTCAAATGATAACTACGGTAGACCTCTGGGAAGAACTCGTGATCAAGGCATCGTGATGTGGAGAACCACCCTCTCCGCTACGACTCCGCTTCCCTTCTTGACCGATAAGATAAAGCTACCCGGAAACATCATGATAACCAGACCGCCTGGTAGCAACCTTTTTTGTTTGCAGCACAGAGGGTCAAAATACCAGAAATACAACCCTCTGATCTGATATGTACTTGTAGCCTCGCACGTCAGCATAGTCTCACACAATGGAGTACAAACCACAGGGCGCGAAGCCCAAGATCAAGCCCCGCCTCATCATCCACGGCGGGGCCGGCAACATCACGCCCGAGAACCTCCCGCCGCCCAAGTACAAGGCCTATAGGGAAGCCCTGCTGAGCATCGCAAGTCCGCCCTGTAGCCCCAATCTTACCACGTATTTGAGCGCTAACGAGTGCCTACCTCTTGGCACACAGATCACCAAAGCAAACGCCTACATGACGACCCCGAGGAAGACGAGCGGCGGCGGCGGCGGCAGCAGTAGTGGCCTCTCCCTCCCCTCCGCCCTCGACGCGGCCTGCCACGCCCTCGTGCTGCTCGAGGACAACCCGCTCTTCAACAGCGGGCGCGGCGCCGTCTTCACGCGCGACGGCACCAACGAGCTCGAGGCCAGCGTCATGGTCTCGCGCGGGCGCGCCAAGCGGTGCGCGGGGGTCATGGGCCTCGCGCACGTGCGCAACCCGGTGCTGCTGGCCAAGGCGATCCTCGAGCGCGGCGAGCGCGACCTCTGGGGCAACGACGACGACGGCGACGACGGCGACGGCGACGACGGCGAGCTGGACGTGCCGTCGGCGCAGGGCCACGCGCAGATCCACGGGCGGGCGGCGGAGCAGCTCGCGGCGCGGTACGGGCTGCAGCTCGTGGAGGCCGGGTACTTTTGGACGCGGGCGCGGTGGGACGAGCACGTGCGCGGGCTGGAGCGGGAGAAGAAGGAGAAGGAGAAGGAGAAGGGGGCCCGCGGCGCGACGGCGACGGCGACGTGGAGCGCGGACGAGTTCCTGCCGCAGGGGACGTGCGGGGCCGTGGCGCTGGGCGGGGACGGCGCGCTGTGCGTCGCGACGAGCACGGGCGGCATGACGAACAAGCTGTCGGGCCGGATCGGGGACACCCCCGTGCCGGGCGCCGGGTTCTGGGCCGAGGAGTGGACGGAGGACGGGGACCCGACGGGCGCCGCTGCTGCCACTGCCGCTGCCGCGCCTTGGTGGATGGGTGGCGGTGGAGTGGTGGTATCCGATACTTTGCGAGGGTTGATGGCGGACTGCCTGCCCACGCCGTTTGTGTACTCGCCCTTGCGCCAGAGCGAGTCGGCGCCCCGGCGAACGACGCAGCGGTCTGTCGCCATCTCCGGGACCGGGAACGGGGACTCGTTCCTCCGGATCAACGCCGTCCGGACGGTGGCGGCCATGGCGCGGTTTCAGCCGGTGTCCTCCGCCACGGCGCTGACAAAGGTCGTCGGGGACGGCGGCGAGCTCCAGAAGAGCGCTGGGGCCCGGTGGGGCAAGACGGGCGAGGGCGAAGGCGGCATGATTGGCGTCGAGTCGGTCGTCGTTCGAGATGTCGACGGGCGGGTCGTGGAGGTCAGGTCCGAGATCCTCCAGGACTTCAATGCCGGGGGGATGTTCCGGGCCTGGATCAACGACGACGGCGAGGCTGAGTACCGGATCCTGCGAGGGGAGAAGTGGTAGACGGTAGATTCTAGATCAATAGAGGGAATCATGACGCTAGAATAGTGTAATTAGAATCATAGACAGATGCTGTATCAAGCGTTCCAAGACAACTTGGATTCCCCAATTTGTGCGGTGTACCGTAAGCTATTTGGTACCCTTCGGCTCACTCGTTTGGGAACTGTGACCGAGTTAGAGAGCTAGTTTTGGTCTTCCAGCAAACAGCTTCAGAAAGGCAATGCGAACATGCATGGAGCCTCCTCAAAGGCATCCATCAGCACCGTACAACCGATCCGTTCCGCCGTTCCTCGGTGTTTGTTGGTGAAGCCATCCTGGATGTGCCTCCAGGCTACCTAGGTAGTCCCAACAATACCCGACAATAGGTACGTATTCGCTGCCCTCAGAACCATCCATCCATGCTTAGCCCTCTGGAAGGTGGGGCCGGTCCCTAGCCGCTGGGCTTCTAGCACTAGCATTAGGGGACCTTCCCCTATGTTTCCTCTAATGGCACGGGCCTTGAGGAGGTATTGGCCACTGCGCCAAGATAACGAAGCAAATTACCTTCTGAACAGCTCAAAGGAGAGAGAGGGGGACTGGATCCGGGAAAGCTCTCAGCTTATGCATGTAAGGTATGTATGTATGCTTCTCTAGTACGACGTTTTGAACACGCTCAGACTCGTCACATCTCGTGGAGCATTGGACGCATGACAGTGCAGAGCTGCGAGCAGACTAGGGGGAGGGGGGACACGACAAGGACGCCGGCGACCAGCGAGCATCGGCCGCCCACACCCCAAGCCATCCATGGATGTCGCGCATGCAATCCAATCGGAAATCACAATTGCGTTGGACGAACCCTGGGCTGACGATCTCAGCCCGGTTTCGCTGTTCTGTGTGCCCTTGCTCTACCCAAGGTAGGTAGTCTGCTTGCTCTCCAGGTTGAGGCGGTGTGAAGACTCGCGTCTCATTTCTCTCTCTGTCATGTGCTGGATGATTGATGACCACGTTTCTTCTTTTGTATATCATCCTCCCCTTTTCATTCCACGGCGTTCTTGTGTAAATATGGTTGCAGATGATGCCATTTCTCTAGTTTCTTCTTCCCGAGACATCCTTTTCGATTTGATCTTGACCGCACGGCACATGGTATCTCAGACTGGCGGTAAGCGGAAAAGATTAGACAAAAGCAATCTGTCTTCCGCAAGCTTTCTTATCTAGGCCGCGTCAACCGGGCAGCAAGGAGACAAGAAATACGAGCCCAGAGCTTAGTTGATATCTTTGACGAGACGCCACCCTCTCTTTGCAGCAGTCACACCAGAAAAGGGGAAACGAGGGTATATCTTCCACGCTGTCGTTTCTTGGGTGACTAGCCAGCCGGGGAAAGGCAACCTTTGGGCTCGATTCATTTCCCTCTCCGCCCTAGCAAGACCAGGGTAATGCATGATGCGATTCTCGCTGTCCCCGCGCAATCTACCGACTTGACTGGGGCGATGGACGTACAAAAGCCACAGGCGCCGCCGCCGCCGTCGCCCTTCCCCAGGGACATGTTGTGGAGGTTGGGCGGTGGCCGTCGCAGTCTCTCCGCATCTGCAGTTTCGCACGCGTCCAGCATGGCCGTCGACAACGCCGTCCAGCCGCGGCACGGAGGTGGCAGCCAGTGCGGGAAATGCAAAAAGATCAACAAAGCTGGAGCTGTCGGAGGAGAGGCAGCAGCAGCAGCAGCAACAGCAGCAACAGCTCAGTCAGTAATCCAAGCCAAAGGTACGTGATCAATTACTCCCCATTGGAATTGGCCCGATCTCGTCACATATGACAGACAGCATGCACAGCATCAATGTCTTGCGGTCGGCGTTGACTTGTTCGGATGAAAAGGCCTGCGAGTTGGGTTTGATTGATCCAGGTGGTCGAATTCGGTCTGCATCAATCCGCGCCTATCCCTTCCCTCCCCTCCATCCATGATGGATGGATGCCATCCATCTGCACAGTGGAGATCCCTGTAAGGCTACGGCAGCTAGGACAGTCTGGCCACTGCAGCTACCCTGATTTTAGTGCCTTGGACCGTGGGGTCGGGCACGCTAGCACTCAGCTTGTAGGCGTCGAGGCGAGCTACACAGCTGACTTTTGTCGCGACAAATATTGGACTGTCGATGCGTCATACCACTAGCCGAGACGTCAACTCGTGTGAATCACTGCGTCGACCCTGCGATCCTTTCCCAGACAGCACACATCTAGACTACCTCTTTGCGCACGCGTTGAACAGTCTGGCGCGACACGTTTGCTAACTCTGCTGGCCCCGGAACAGGCACAATGGCTTCCGGAGCGCCATCATCCCGGCAGTCCATTGCTCCTCACAAGGATCTCGATGGCCGCAGCCGCCCTCCCGAGCGCCTCCATCAGCTCCAGAATGGCAGCTCGGTTCTCGCTCTCGCCGTGAATGACGAGTTTATCTTTGCCGGTACCCACGATGGCGAGATTCTGGTCTGGTCTCTCGGCACCTTCCAGCTGGTCCACCGCATCCTCGCACACAAGCGAAGCGTCCTCTGCCTCTTCCTCGCCGACAAACCTTGCGCGAAGCGCGACTCCCCCAACTCGTCGACGACCGACTTCCAGCCCCTGCTCTTCTCCTCGGCCGGCGATGCCATAATCAGCGCCTGGTGTCCCAAGACCCTGACGCGCCTCTACGAAATCTACAGCACCCACAATGTCGGCGACATCTTCAGCGTCGCGTACTCGGTACAGCACGACATGCTCTTCATTGGGGCTCAGAACACCACAATACAATGGGTCAGCCTGAAAGACCCCGGCCGCAAGGCTCTGCACGAATCAGATCTCCATCCTGACCGCAGGCATCACCGTTTCTTTGACTCGAAAGCCGTCGGCGGCACGAGCACCCCGCGGAGGAACGAGGAGCGCTGGAACCTGATCCCGAAAGCTCGCACGGTCCTCGAGGTCGACAGAGGCGCCATCCTGCCCTTTGCGCACTTCGGGTACGTTTACTGCATGCTGATGGCGCGGGCACCGACGGTCCTGGTGGACCAAGACGAAGAGGTCCTGATCTCGGGCGGCGGTGACGGGACCATCAAGCTCTGGAGGGTGGCGAGGCCCGAAGAGGAGAACGAGCAAGAAGACGAATCTACCCCTGGCATCTTGGAGGAGCTCATGGTGCTAGGCGAGGATAACGCAGAGTCGGTGCTGTCGCTGGCCATTGACGGCTCCTTCCTCTACAGTGGCAAGCTGGCGGGGATCGTGGAGCTCTGGGATCTCGATACCAAACAGAAGCTGCGGGTCATCAAGGCCGACACAACGGACGTCATGACTTTACAGATGGGCTGGGGCTTCCTGCTGAGCGGCGCCGCGGACGGCTGCGCAACGGTGAGCTTTTACCCCCCACCCCTCTTGGCTCGCAAAGACGATGAGATGAGCTGACCAGACACAGAAGTTCAGCACCGTCCATCACGACGGCAATCAGTCCGAGAGTCCCACCACAGACACTGTGAGTCAGAGATATCAATGCCTCGGCCGATGGCCGGCGCACCGGGGCAAGATCCTGTCGTCTGCTGTAACGACGTACCGCGGGGAGAAACTCTACATCACCGGCGCCAATGACGATGATGTCTGCGTCTGGAGGATCCGAGATAAATGTGCCGGCGACGTAGTCAAGAAGGACGAGTCTGACGACATCATGTTCAAGAGTCTGTCCGAGTTGGTCTCCTTCAAGACCATCTCCTCCCGGCACGAGTTTGCCGAAGACTGCCGCAGGGGTGCCACCTTCCTCGGCTCGTTGTTCAAGAGGTTAGGCGGCGAGGTCGAGATGCTATCTGCGAGCAAGGGGCGACACAACCCTGTTGTCTACGCCAAGTTCAGCGGCAAGTCAGAGCCTGCGGAGAAGAGGAAGCGCATCCTCTTTTACGGCCACTACGACGTCGTGCCCGCAGACCAGAAGAAGGGCAAGTGGCACAACGACCCGTTCGAGCTCAAGGGCATGAACGGATACCTCTACGGACGCGGCGTGAGCGACAACAAGGGGCCCATCATGGCGGCGCTGTATGCTGTCACGGACCTTATGCAGGCCAAGCAGCTCGAGTCGGACGTCATCTTCCTGATCGAGGGCGAGGAGGAGTCGGGCTCGCGGGGCTTCCAGGAGACGGTGCAGGAGAACAAGGAGCTGATCGGCAAGGTCGACTACATCCTCCTGGCCAACAGCTACTGGCTCGACGACGAGACGCCGTGCCTGACGTACGGCCTGCGCGGCGTGCTGCACGCCACCGTCTGCGTCGACTCGCCGCGCCCGGACCTGCACTCGGGCGTCGACGGCTCGTACATGATGGCCGAGCCGCTGTCGGACCTCACGCTCGTGCTGTCCAAGCTCAAGGGCCCCAAGAACCGGATCCTGATCCCGGGCTTCTACGACGGCATCCTGCCCCTGCGGCCCGAGGAGGAGGCGCGCTACGACGAGATCGCCGCCAAGCTCGTCGAGCGCAACCCGGAGGAGAACGGGCCGGCGCCGGCCCTCAAGGCCAGCCTCATGGCGCGCTGGCGCGAGCCCAACATGACGATCCACCGGTACAAGGTATCCGGGCCCGACGGCAGCCTCGTCAGCAGCCACGCGAGCGCCAACATCAGCTTCCGGCTCGTCCCCGGCCAGGAGGTGGACGAGGTCATCGCCTCGCTGACGGCGTTCCTGCGGGAGCAGGTCGCGGCGCTCGAGACGAACAACAGCCTCAGCGTGACGATCGACAACAGGGCCGAGCCGTGGCTGGGCGACCCGGAGAACTACATCTTCCGCACCCTCGAGGAGGCGATCGTGCAGGTCTGGGGGCTGGACGGCGGAGGGGAGGCGGTGAAGAATGATGATGGTATAGGTGGTGGTGGTGGCGAGGCTGGGTCGACAACAGCGGCGGCGGTAGCGGCGGCACCTACGTTCAAGAGCCGGAGGCCCCTGTACATCCGGGAGGGCGGATCGATTCCTGCGATAAGGTTCCTCGAGAAGGTGTTTGGGGCGCCGGCGGCACACCTACCCTGTGGTCAGGCGAGCGATGCGGCGCATCTGGACAATGAGAGGCTGAGAGTGACGAACCTGCTCAAGAGCAGGGAGATATTTGGGGTGGTGTTTCGGAAGTTGTGAGGCGGGGGAAGTGCAGGTGGATTATTGCATTACCACCCCTCGGTTGGGCCCGGGGGTGTGTGGTGGCTGCATTCAAAGTGCTGTTTCTGCTCGCCCGGTCACAGTTAAAGAGTAGGTGGCGTTGGGCCAGCGTGTCTTTGCAGTAGCATCCAAAACAACTGTTCTATTCCTACCAAGGCACTCTAGGTAATTCTGCGGCTCTCCATCAGAGTGCAGTGACATCCTGCTTGAAGCAAGCTCTTTTCGTATCTGCACACCCAAACAACAACAACAACAACATCCCCACTTTCAAAACACGGGGCCTAACATCACCCCTGTCGTTGGGCAAGGGGAGCAAGCCAAGCCAACTCAACAGCGCCGGGGCCACCCACCCCATCGATCTAACAATGGCTGGCTGCTGGCTTACGTTTTCATGGCGCATCTGCTTCTGAACTTTTTGCCACCCTTCCCCTCGATCCAGATATTAAAGCACAGAGATCTCCCATAGAAGGTTCCGTTACCGTTGCACTTTGATAGTAACTTGATAATAACTGTTAGACTCTAGAGTGCACCAGCCAACCCTTGTGAGATTCCATGTGGAAGGGGGAAATGAAAATCCCCGTGCAGTGGGTAACTCGTTATAACTGATATAAATACAATTGATACCTACTCTGTAAACCTCTCCAACTACAGGCCTTGAATGATGTCCGTCCCTACAACAAAATCCTTACAAAATCGGAAACTATGGAGGCCAGTAATAATGAATGCGACATTGCTTCTAGTTTATTGCCTTCTCAACAATCGAACAGGGCCTATCAGGAACACACTTGGTTCATGAACAACACGCTCCTCAATCACCATCAACAGACTCTTTCCAATGGTGCGTATCTTCCCACATATCCAATTAGCATTTAGCTGATCAAGTTGAGGCATAGTAAATCCCAATGCTTGGCCGCAACTGAATTTCGAAACCGGCCCTTGGAGCGGCCTTGATTACTGGACGCCTACGAATTCGGCCAACGGCGCCACAGAAGTGCTGTTTAATCTCGCGGGTGAGAATCCTCTGGTTGACAGCATGGACCAAGAGCCAACGCACAGTGTAGCAGAACCTTCTGCGCCACTCCCCCGCGAGAAGACCAACTCATCGGCGAAGACAAATACTCAACGCCTCGCGACATCGAACCGCACTCGGGCAAAGACAGAATGCTTTCTGTGCCATGCCGTCCTCTCACGACCCGATGCCCTAACTCGACATCTGAGAGAGATGCACAATGAAAGTCCTCCAGAGTTCTTCTGTCCTAACGATTCCTGCAAATGGTCCGAGTCCGGGAAAGGATTCCCTCGATCGGACAAGCTGCAACGGCATCTCAAGACTTGCAAGTTCAACAGCCGACTGCAGGATGACAAAGCAGCTGGGCTGTCGCCCGTGGGCTTTTTGCCAAGCTCTGCTGCAGGACTCATCGCGATAACCCACGAGTTGGAGGATGAGAAGAGAAAGCTTAAGGCGCTGGATCAGGCTTGTGAGAAGTCAAGGAAGGTAATTGCACATCTGAGTGCAGTCCATGAATACCTCGACGTGAAGCAAGCTACACTAAGTCCTGCTGCTGGTGATCATGACGTGGTCTTTGCAGACCCTAGCATACACGGATGAACCAGCAATACAACTGAGTTTGCTGTACCATTGTCGTGAATCAATTATTTTAAAGCCCTCGCTATCATGATTCAAGAAGAGATCTTCCAAGATCAAAGCGGTTGTGAACGATGTAAAAAGAGATTATTTTGCTCTGTTATGAAAGTGATACGAATTTAAGGTAGGTTGACTGTGAAGTCCATCAGGACTCTTCTTACTTGTCTCAAGCATTATCCGGTTCCGGTTTGTCATCGTGCATAGCATCCCGCTTCGCCTCGATCTGATGGGTCATGTGCATCTTGGTATCCTTGCCCTCAAACAGATACGTCAGCTCCTCGAGAGTCGGTCCGGCAGTCTCCACGAAGAAGAAGTAGACAATCAGGAAGATGATGGCGACCCAGACGCAGTAGTAGATGTAGAACTTCCACCCGATGTTGGCAAGTCCGATCGGGTTGACGTAGCCGCCGAAGATCGATGCGACCTGGATGGTCAGCAGGACGAACGCCCACGTCTTGGCCCGCATCTGGTAGGTCACGATCTCCAGAGGGTAGGTGACGATCAGGTTGGTCCAGGCCAGAGTGTAGAAGGCCTGGAAGAAGAAGATGCACGCCAGCACCAGGCGGCCCGCTGGGAGGGAGCCCTTTTCGATGTACTGCTGAGATGCGATGGTCCAGACGACGAACGTGACCAGGACTCCAGCAGAGCCAGTGACGAAGAAGAATCGGCGCTTGAAACGGTCAATGAGCAACGTAACGGCGATGGCAACGATGTACTGCCACAGCGTGACCATCCCGTTGACGAGGGTAATCTCGTACTCCGTCTTCAGGCCAGTGTCCTTCAGGATCTGGGTCAGATAGTTGGACACCAGCAGGTTGCCCGAGCTCTGGCTGAAGACAGCAGTGGCGAAGCACAGAGATATACGCTTGAGGTTGGGGATCGAAGAGAAGAACTCCTTCCAGGTCATGTTTGCCTCGGCCTCCTGTGCAATAACCTGTTGGATCTCGGCGCACTCGAACTCGACTAGTTCGGAGTTGGGGTTGCATTCGCCGTGGTACTTGACAAGAATGGCCCTGGCCTCATCGACGCGGCCCTTGGCAATAAGCCAGCGCGGAGACTCGGGGCAAAAGAAGATGAGAGCGCCCTGGTACACAGAAGGAATGATCTGGATCAGAGTCGGCAGCCTCCACGCCCACTGGCTCTGGATGCGGTAGCAGCCAAAGGTTGCCCAGGCGCCGATGACATAGCCCAGCACAATCGATGTGTTGTAGAAAGTGGTGATCTGCACACGCTCCTTGGGATGGCTCAACTCGGTAACAAGAACAGGAGCGCCCATCTGGATCAGAGAGGAGCCAAAGCCAAGCACGATCTTGCCGCCGATGTACATGTCGAGGGACGTCGCGAAGAATTCGATCAGGACACCCGTGATGATGACGATAGATCCCAGCGCCGTCGGCACACGGCGCCCGAGGACATCGCCGATCCAGCCGAGGAAGATGAACGGAATGACGCCGCCGATAGCGTTTGCGGCTCCGAAGAAACCAAGTGTAGAGCCGGTCGGGTGGCCGAAGCGCTCCTGCCAAGTCTCTAGGACTTGCATGCCGTTGGTCATTGACTACGTTCAGCATCGAGGTTAGCTGTGCCCGAGATTTGACAAGAATTGCCATAAAACGCATTCGTTGTTTGACTTACCCCGTCAATGCCCAGTGCCATACTCGCCAGCAGAGAGGACGTGAGGAGGAAGTAGAGAAGGATACCATTCTTGCGACGATAGAAAGGCGGAATCGTCTTGAGGTCAATGGGAGATAGAATGCCGTCAACGGCACGAGCTGCGGCGGGGGCCATTGCGAGTTGAAGCTGGATCGATCGCCGAGGACAGGTTTGTTGTGATGTTCCAATCAGATATGTGAACACTTTGAGACGACTGGGAAGTCTTTATATGCACAGCAACCAGCGAGGAAGTCACGCAACAAACAGCCGATGCCGCTTTCGCGACAATATGTCTGATGTGACATAAAAAACGACGGTCCTAGACCCTGAGGCCAGTGTGTTGCAGTTCTTTCCCCGTGGGGATGCCACACACACGCACTCGCTAGGAAGAAAATCGGGAAATCGGAACAATAAGAATGCCTCGTTACGCTCTTTTCCAGCTCAGGCAGCTACAGCCTTAGCGTACTCTGGTGTCGGCCCATCGTAGACGCGGTCAATTGGCACGGAGAAATAGAGGTGGAGGTTTCGCCGTCGATGTGGAGGCAACTACAGTGATCGGCGGAGAATCAAGGAAATGCTTCGATGTATCGCCTCACTCGAGATAGCGTCGAGATGTAGAAATAGTCCAATTGGCATGAGAAAAGAGAAAACTCATCCCACGACATGATCCCAACAGTCGAGCCACCCTTGTCAACTCTTAACCAGACTAGCCACCAAGCGGCATCAAGCCTTCACCCATGTCTCCCACCAAGCCTCTTCCCGCCGACTTCGAGTGGGGTTTCGCGACAGCTGCCTACCAAGTTGAGGGTGCTGTTGAAGAGGACGGCAGGGGCAAAAGCATTTGGGACACCTTCTGCCACCTCGAGCCCACGAGGACCAAGGGCGCGAATGGTGACATTGCCTGCGATCACTACCATCGATACGAGGAGGACTTTGACCTCTTGACCAAGTATGGGGCCAAGGCATACAGGTTCTCCCTCTCATGGTCACGTATCATACCTCTGGGTGGACGAGATGATCCCATCAACGAAGCCGGCATCGCCTTCTACAATAGGCTGATTGACTCTTTGCTTCGCCGCGGGATCACGCCGTGGGTTACTCTTTACCACTGGGATCTGCCTCAGGCCCTCCATGATCGATATGGAGGCTGGCTCAATGTTGAAGAGTCTCAGAAGGACTTTGAGAGGTATGCACGCGTGTGCTATGAGCGGTTCGGTGACCGTGTCAGGGACTGGATCACGCTCAATGAGCCGTGGATTGTCTCGGTCTTCGTAGGTCAACCTGATTTTAGACACACTTAAGAGTTACAAACTGACCTGAGCAGGGTTACGCCACTGGAGGCAATGCTCCTGGGCGAAGTAGCATCAACGAGGCTGCCACTGAAGGCGATACCTCGACGGAGCCATGGATCGTCGGCAAAGCACTCATCATGAGCCACGCCCGCGCCGTTGAGGCGTACAACAAAGATTTCCGGCCGTCTCAAAAGGGCAGGATCGGGGTCTCTCTAAACGGTGATTACTACGAGCCTTGGGACAGTGACGATCAGCTTGACAAAGACGCGGCACAGCGGCGAATGGAGTTCCACATTGGCTGGTTTGCAGAACCTATGTTGTAAGTGGTCATATCAATGAAACTATTATCTGAGCAGTCAAACTAATAGGGTCTTCTCAAGCTTGGGCGAGGATTATCCGCGGTGCATGAGGGACCAGCTCGGCGATAGACTGCCCCAGTTCTCTGAGCAGGAGCTCGCATTGCTGCGCTCTGCGAAGGAGATCGACTTCTACGGCATGAACTATTACACCTCACAGTATGCCCGGCACAAGACCGGCTCTCCATCAAAGACTGACTACATCGGCCACGTCGAGACATTCCAGGAGAACAAACAGGGTGTCTCCATTGGCGAGCCTAGTGGCGTTCACTGGCTGCGGTCGACGCCTCAGTGTTTCCGCAAGCACCTTGCCCGTGTCTACCACCGGTACAAGAAGCCGATTTACATCACTGAGAATGGATGCCCTTGTCCCGGAGAAGACAAGATGACACGAGAGGAGTCGGTACAGGATGCATACCGGGTGAAGTACTTTCAGGATCATCTGGATGCCATCAGCCAGGCCGTATACGAAGACTCTGCTGTCATTTCTGGGTACTTTGCCTGGTCTCTAATGGATAACTTAGGTAAGTCGCATTGGATTGCTCATGGATTTCAGAGGGCAAGATGCTAACTATCTTGTACAGAGTGGTCTGATGGATACGGTGTCCGGTTCGGTGTTACACACATGGACTATGAGACCTTGGAACGGACTCCAAAGAGATCAGCTCTTGCACTAAAGCAGATGTTCGAGGCGCGGATGAAAGCCAGTCGAAACACTGGCTCATGAAAAGTTGGTTCCGCACCTCATATATCAGAGACTTGCACCCCTTGATGATATCATTGCATAGACATACCGCCATTTAGAACAGACCCCATAGATTTACACAGGAATGCTTGCGTGGTACAATTCGTTCATTTAGATACTCAGAAGTCCATGCATGTTCACAATCCAAAGCGTCACAAAGATCCACTCCGTAAAGTATCAGAGGCCTTAGAATCAAGTCTCGTCAGGATATCCAGAAGCACGGAGAAATCCGCGCGGGCCCGCGCCGAAAGCGGCGACGTCTCATTACGATGGATGATCGCCAGAAGACTAGCACCGATGAGCCGGATCTTCTCCACACACGACTCCCCATTGACCTGCAGCGCCCAAAAGGGCGCCTCACGGATGATGCGCAGCATGTCGCGAGCGATCTCGGTCTTGCGCAGGATGGTCAAGTCGTCCTGCTCAACCCCAGGCGCCGGATACTCCACTTCTTCAAGCTTCTGCACGATGACCATGCGTAGGCAGTGATAGGTGACCTGCAGGTTGACGACCTGTGTTACAAACTGCCGTTGCTGCTGGCCCATGCCCTCATGCCAAGTCATCAGAACGATGGGCTGCAGGTACGGCGGGAGATCGTCGAGGGATGTGGCGAAGCGGACGTACAGGGCGTCCAGCCTGACGCGTTCGTCGCGGGTGAATGACGGAGGCTGCTGCGTCTGCCCTGTCCCCGCCCGGCGGTCTTGGATCAGCCTTAGCTCAAGCAGTAGGTCCGATGCCGACTGCCAGAGTCTGATGTTGGCATTGAATCCCGTGATGAAGCTCCCCACGTCAGTCGATGCGTCAGGCTGTCCCGGAGAAGAGAAGGTGACTTCGTCACCGGCCCCAGACGGGTACGCCGTCGTGATGCCAGACTCAAATGAGAATTTGTGGATAGTGATGGGTCTGTTGTTGAGGATGGCGGCAGACTTGTCGCCAAGGTACACGATCCAGAACGCTCTCCGGCGCAGCTCCGCTTCGACGGGGAAATACGCCCCTTCATGGGACGATTCTTCCTGGAGCTGCATGACCTGGGCTAGTCTCACTGCTTCTCCAAAGATGTGCCATGAATACTTGGGCTTTCCCGCGGCGTGAAGGCAGTTGGAATGAAAGTAGCGAATAGCAACCGAGTTCGCATTTGGGTGCTCAAGATCAGCCTCAAGATAGCTATGCAGACAATTCCTGGACGCTTGCAGGAAGATGTCGGCCACAAGGTAGCCTTCGGGGAAGATCTCCTTAGGCAGCATGAAAGCAGCCTCAGCACAGAGGGCCGTGATCAGTGTGAAGGCCGAGTCTGGCCATAGCTCGGGGTGCAGGAGACTGCTCGCGCTGTCCACAGCGGCATCACCTGCCGAGCCAGAGTTTGCGCCTCCGATGGAGGTCCCTTGCATTAATGACGAGGATATCCATAATTGCGAGACGGTCGCCGGACTGGCGGCACTGACGACCGAAGTCCCAGTGCTGTGTGTCACGAAGAAGTGTAGCGCCTCGCGAATGCCGGTCTCGTGGACCAGCGGGATCAGGGGAAATAGGTACTGGAAAAATAGGTTGAAGCACTTCTCAGCTATCGCCTCCAAGGTGAGCGACGATGGCAGACGGCGTATTGCGGCTGAGAGATCGACCCAACGGTGAAGAGACGACACTAGCTGAGTGGAGGCGTGCCTCTCGGAGATTGAAACAACGGAGCCTGGAGTCGCGCCCTCGTGAGGGGATAAAGCCGCACTCCACGTGGGGATGGTCGTCGTTTCGGGAGCCGAGATCGCTCCTCCTCCCCGGCTCCCCGGGGCCGCTGATGCCTCTGCCCCTCTCGCGTTCGAATCATGGAATGCAAGTGAAGACTGCGGAGCTGCACTCGGGCGTAGCTCATCGACGGCAGCACTCGCCCGGGAGTGTTTGAACTTTGGCCCTCGCTTGCCTGTTGGCAGGTCAAACGTGCAAAACGCGCCGACATTCTCGCAGTTTGTGCAGACGTTGGACTCGACAGTTGCCGCATTGCACTGACGAGAAGCATCAGCGTTAGTGTGGGAACAGGTACCCGCCAAAGTGGAAATGGTGAGACGAACCTTAGCTTTCCTCCGCCGGCAACGATCGCAAGCCCGCGTGCTCACGCTGCGGTGACGTGGAGTGCTTGACATCGGCTCCTCATGTGCGGAGAATTCTCGAGGTCAGGCAACTGACGCATCGCATCCAATTTCCACCTCCGCTTTGCACACAAGACACAATCCTTTCAAGGCAAGGGCAAAGAGAAGTGGAGGAGAAATGTGGTCAGATAAAACACGATAAATGACGGTCAAATAGATAATGCTGGGGTGAGGTATCCCGATAGTCCGGCAAGAAAGAAATCTCGACTGATCTCTTGACCGAATGGTGGAGATTGGACTCGCCTTGCCGAGGCATTTGCCCAACAGTCGCCAACGCTGAAGAGGAATAATTCTCCGGTGCCTCTCGTAAACCGGTTCCTTCGAATGCGCCACTGACGCACGCGGCGTGGATCTAATTCCCCGCCTGGAGAGCACTAGCATCAAAGCGGAAGCGATTGACGTTGGAGTTGCGGGGAGGGATCGGCACTGGGCAACTCTTTGAAGAACACTGTACCGATGGATTGAAGTTGCAATTACCGGCGGGGACGAGAGTATGATAGCCCTCGTTGATGAGCTGCGAGTATATATAAGCTTCAAGAAAACGGCGATGATGCCGAGCACTCAATGGAAGGCTTCCAAGTGCAGCCTTGAGAACTCCCAACCTCAAAGCCCTCTTCAGAATCTTGAACCAGCTTCGCCGAGTCTTCAAAATGGTCGCTTTGAAGTCGTCCCTCCTACTTAGTGGATGGACAGCTGCCGTTGCAGCTTTACCTCCTCCAGGGCGGGCACCTCCTTGTCGCTTCGCTCCACTCCACTCACAAGAAGATATTCTAAGGGATCCCAACCAGTTTCTTCAAGATTACTTGTACTGGGAGGGCAAGTTTCACCAGAATGACGTCTCGTACAACACTGCCAACGGCATGTCCTATGATGGAACACAACTGGACTGGAAAACTGGCATTGCCAGTAAGAAGCACGACTTCAGTGCTGCGAGCAAAGAGGTAAGGAACTGATGATAGACATCCTTCAATAGATGGGCGGCTAATAATACGTATGAAGTCGTTGCAAATCATGATTTATGCCCAGGCTATCTCAGGCTCGCCCGAGGCGGCCCGCTTTCTCTCTCCAGACCGGCCTCATGCCGCGGTTGATATCGCCGCAGACATCATGGCAACCAAGATTAAGACGTATCTCAAGTTCAACGAGACCTATCCTGGGTTCGGAGGCTTCCTTCCCTGGTTCAACTCTGCCTCGCAGGATATTGCCCCTACATCAGATTGGGTCAACCGTGTTCCTGCGCTTGATAACGGGTATGCGTTTCGATGTTGTCATGTTATGTGAGATGTTATCACGAATGCTAATCGAGTCATCAGCGAGCTCCTGTGGGCTGTATATGGCGCAATCGAGGCTATGGAGTCATGCGGTCATAAAGACCTCTCTCAGCTCGCTGCCAAATGGTCTGATTGGCTTGACTACACAAAGAAGACTGCTTCCAAGGTAAGCACAGATTTAATCTATATAGTCGACGTCCCAGAGTTAACAACTGTTGATCAGATCTTTTATGCTGGCAAAGGTCGTGTCTGCGCTGTCACCACTATCGGAAACCAGTCCTTGGCTGTGACTAGCCCAGGTCAGACTTATGCTTGTGAGGGCACCGCAACTTTGGACGACCCTTATGAGGGCGAGCTGTTCACCTGGTGGCTGCACTTCTTCAGCGACCTGCCTCAAGAGGACCAGGATGCTCTCTGGGAGGCCAAGCGGGCGAAGCTTGTGAGCGTGGAGTATGAGATGGATGGTGTCGGCCCGATCACTGTCCAAGAAGGTAAGTCCATTAAGCGGACCCTAGCACTGTACAGGAACTCACATTTCATGGCAGGTTACTGGTTCTCAAGTCACGAACAGTGGAAGGTTCTCGAGATGCCCTACTATGATGTGGATATTGTGCGGTAAGCCATGATGACTTCTTCTCTGCTGTTCTGGCTGAGTTTGGCCACTGACATTGACTAGCCGTGTGTTCACCAATGCTGAACGCGTTCGAACCTGCAATTCTGTGGTCATAAAGAACCCAGGACTGTTTGCCTCAATCAACAACATTACCAACATCACAAGTGACGAAATCATTGGCTACATCTCCAATACTGGCATCCCCTCCGTTTCGTCCCAGAAGAAGCAGGAGAACATTGTCATTACTCCATACGGCTCTTATCCGACTATCTTGATCAACAAGGGAGTCGGTCTGGCCTGGGTGCGCAACATGTTGATCGCCAAGAAGATGCAAAGTAAGCAAGTATTCGTTCTCTGTCCGAACATCCTGGCTGACACATGACACCAGACACTTATGGTAGCACGGAGGCCACGAGGATTGATGGCACAGGTGTCTCTGCTCTGTTGACATGGGACAGCAAAGTCACTACTGTCGCTGCGGTCCTTGGTGGTGTGCAGGATCTTGTTCGAACCCGACTCAGGCGCCATGGACTCTACAATGACTTTGTCTCGATCCTGGAGCGAGAGCACTCCCGCGTTTTCACCGAGTTGAAGGGCGAACATGTGGACCTGTGTCTTCCCGAAGCACATGTTCCCGATACTGGCCTAAAGGATTTTACATCTTGCGTAGCTTCGCCGCACTAAAATAGATAATATGATGCTACGAATAGAGATTGAGGCTTGTTGGCTTCGTATCTTATTGAGCCTCATGAATATCTCAGAATGCGTACTAGTGGTCACCATCTGGCTCTTGCTCTTCCCTAATGAAGTTGGACAGTTTCCTGCAGTAGTTGTGGCGGTGACCTCCACCATAGAGACGACGGTACTTGTGTCAACTCAGGCATTTCTTTGAGCATCACTATACATTTGTCCCATTAGCTCAAGGCCATATTCTCTTCAGCAGGACCAAGATCTTGACTATATACTGACTGCGTTGAATTGCTGACTGCGATTGAACCGCCTACGCCTCCCCTGCAAGGACTACTACCAGCGCCAAGACGAGCAGGCAAATAAAGGCCATACGCTTCAATCCGCAAATTCTCTTTCTTGAAGGAGGACTTGCTCTGAACTCGTCACTCACTCGCGGAGTTGATTAGCAGAGGTCAGTCGCACTTGTCTGTGGCAAGTATCGTGTCTGTTGCTGCGAAAGTGTCTGCCCAGAAAAGTGCGGTCTTGGGGGTGTTAGTACTTCTGGGACCGTTTGACAGACCTCCTTAGCTCAGACATCGCGACCTATGGTGAGTCCATAACTCCAATAGCTACAATAAGTGATACCCCTGCCAGGTTCTCCTAAAGAAAGGACCGATATCATACAAGCAATTGTCCGCATACAGGTCTGTGTACAATTGTCCATCTCTGGGGGATGGAACTTTATGAACTAGGTTGCAACTACGCAATAATTAGGTTACAAAAGCTAATTCCGTCTTGACTTCCCGCGCTTCTGACGTGATAGACTCAGAGCCCCCAAAGTCCAGAACCCACCCCCACGGAATGGTGAAACGCTGCTAGACAATTGAATAGACTAAATTGATCTTCAAGATATGTTGGGGCAGTTTAGTGGAGTAGATGAAGACATGGACTACGGAGACTTTTAGCTGTGTAAAAGCTCTTGTTTCCCCCCTTCCAAGGTATCTCTACGCTTGAGGCCGCCAGGTGCCAAGAGACTGCTTGCAAAGGGCCACTTTTAGCAAGACACCGAGCATTGTCACCAAACAAAAATCGATATCAATGGATTCCATTGAGCTAAACGATGCTAAGAACTAGCCAATTGATCTCCGAAGCCCACGCACTGGCTGCCCAACATTGCCATGCTGATCTCGAATATGCTTTACCATGGCATCTTTGCGAATCATCCCATGGCCACGGTCGACAGAGTGCTTACACATTACATGTGGACAAAAGAACACACGGACTGATGTGAGCGTCTCTGGATGTTTCGCTTTGACATGGTCGTCGCAATCCTTTTTGAACTGGAATGGCGCTCGGCATTCGGAGACCGGGCAACAGTGCGGCTTCGTGTGCTTTTTGGCATGGACGCTGGAAGCAGAGTCAGCAATCAGATCAGCGAGGGGGATATGAAGGCCAGGGTGGAGGAGACGAACTTTAGGTTTCTCCGGGCTTGAGTACCCCCGAAAGTCTGATCACATTCTTGACAATGCAAGACATTTGAGACAGCAGCCGGGTGTGATGATTGATCAATGCCACGGTTGGGTTCTGGCTCATTGACATCGAAGGGGTTTGGTTGTGTGTGTAAAGGGGGGTTGTAAATGAAATGGCTCTGCGTAGGTGCGACCAAAGACTGGTCCTGCACTTCACTATCCTGTCCAGCAGGCTCAGGGGCTCGTGTCGACGGGCCCCAATTCCACTCCGGTTCAGGACCTCCATTTCCGGACGAGACCCAAGCAGGATTGATAGAATCGTAGGAAGCAGAATTTCGATGTTCGTTAGATCCGGATGAGTCCTGTTGGGACGGGCTGGTGATGGAAGAGGCTTGTCAAAAGCTGAGGAGAGTGTTCTGTGTTGCGGCGAGAAGATAGCAAAGTACAGTGGTGGCCACGCTTGAAACAGAACCAAAAGAAAGGAAAGACGGTTGGGTAGGTGCAAATGAGTGCCGGTAAGCAGCTCCCAGAGCCGACCGTGGAAAGAAAAGAGGAAGAAGAATTCAACTGGGAAGAGAGGGGGCTTGTCCTGTCTTATACACGTCTGCCCACACATGGCAGGCCTTCGTCACGGAAGGCTTCCGACAATGTCTCCCTCATATCCCGTAAAAGGTCCCCACCCTGCTGCGTTATGCCATAAAATCTGCAGTCTAATGCGGACAGTGGAGCTTGTGGCTTTTTTCCATCGCGACCACTGGTCATGGTTTAACAGGCGACCAATCAGACATGGATGATCCCTTCCAAGTCACAGGTGTGCCGTGTTTAGGGGCTCAACAATGACGGGAGTCCTCGGTGCGAGATTGGTACTGCGGTAATACCATACTGCACTTGAAGTAGATCATGGTTAGGCAAGTCAAGTCCGTGGGAGACTTGTATATCAAGGTCTGTGTCTACGAGGTCCTCTCCAGTTTCTGCTCCGTTTCGCAATGCATTCCTCTTCTCAGAATTTCTGTTCTCATTGACCTATCTCAAGAATTCCAGCAATTTTCGACCGCCAGAATGTCGACACTTTTCTGTTGTGGGGAAATTCGACCCTATCGACCACAATACCTCCAACACGAAGCCAAGTTCACCAGATTCATGGCTTGGGCAGCTTACCCAAAGGACGTCACTTCCGAGAAGGCCGAGGTGAATCTTGCCGAGCTCAATCCCTCCTTCGCTGTCCAGCTTGTTCGCCAGGTGAACTACGGCGCCCTAGAGAGCAAGAGATACTTCATCCCCCATGACGACGGGTTTATGGAGATCTCCGAGAACGACTTGATTCAAGCCAACTTTCAGAAGTTGAACTCGTAAGTGAGCAGCGTCAACTTTTGCCGAGTTTGCTCGTGCCTTGGTCGTTACTAACATGGAATGAGTAGCTACAAGAACTTCAAGTGTGAAGGACATAATAAATTCTTTGAGGTCAACATCTACCAGAAGGACCCCGTCAATCAACACCACTGGCGGGCGAATCTCGCGCGCCCAGCAAGCACGATTGATCTGTGATAGTCGACTGGCGAGTAGGAATCTCTGGATTACAGGCAGACATCGGAACGATGACGTGCCGGATGGCTCGTATACCTGGTGCTTTCGCCTTCTGATTTTGATTCGATGCGCTGAACCCTCTTTTTTTTTTTTCTCTCTCACTATCTCTTGCTATCTATTCTCATTTTTTTCTTTCTTGTTTTTTTCCTTCTTGTTTTTTTCTTTCTTGTTTTTTTCCTTCTTGTTTTTTTCTTTCTCTTTTTTGTGACCCCTTCCTTCAATGTGCCCTTGCTTCCATTCGTTCTCTCTTTCACTTCAATTTTCAAAGGACAGATCTTGTTGCCCGATACTGTTCCTTTGAGAAGACGGGAACTCCGATACATGCTGTCCCTGATGAAAACCAAAACGAGATAAAAGAGTACCTGATATGTAGTGTGACGCTCTTTAATACTACTCTACATTGTACCAACTATCACGATAACTCTTCAGGTTGATATCATCCGTTCTCTGCAAGCGTAAATTAATTGAGAGAGGCGAGCCGTTCTATGTAAAAGTGGCGAAAGTTTCAGGCCAGAGCCAGAAGCAGATATGAACCTATATGGTTGAATGAGTACGTCATAGAAGTTGCGTTCATGAAGGTCTTGCTTGAGACTGAGCCATTTATATTCAAGGCAGTCTCGCTTCTGTTGAGCACTGCCATTCCTCTCAAGGCTAGATTCATGAGTTATCTGAAAAGTTCATACATACAGAAGGCAGTCATCCGGATCGGAGCGACGCTTCGATTATCCTTGTCGACAATCTCCAGTGGCACACTGAGCTGACAAGAGAACACTCAGACAGACTCGTGACGGGTCTCAGCCAGGTCAATGCTGTGCTTCAGCTTCTCCTCTGCCACCTTCTCCTGGGCAACCGCCGCTTCATCAACCAGAACAACCTTGTCGCCAAAAGCAGCAGCGATCTCCTCCAGCGACTTGCCCTTGGTTTCGCTGCGAGGTTGTCACGTCAGTAAAAGGTGCTAGAAGGAAGCAGGTAAAATCGAAGGACATAATACGTACGGGAAGTAGAACCAGGCGATGACGAGGAAGAAGAGCGTGCATCCGACGAAGACGTAGTAGTAGTTCTCCTTTATGTTGGCAAAGGCGCTGGGGCCAGCCTCTGTGACTGTTGCACGATGTTTGTCAGCCTATCATATTCCAGACTAGAGGGTTTGGGCGAGGACTTACTGCCGACGTTTACAATAAAGTGCGAGGCAGACGCGATGCCCATGACCTTGCTGCGGAGAGTCATTGGCAGAACCTCAGCACCGTAGAGCCAAGGGGTGCTGCCGAGGAAGCCGTCTGAAGGCGTGTCAGTAGTGCTCGTTTGTGTGTGCCATGATCTCCCATGTTACTCACAGTATACAACCACGAAGAGGTAGATGCCAAGGATGGCGAATCCCTTTCCAATCCGGTTATCCGTGTTCTGGAACTCTCTCTGCATAATCGCCGCGTAGATCTCGACGAGGATCACACCCGCCATACCGGCAAGAAGCATCCTGGTTGCAATCTGTCAGCCGAACACTCTGAGATGGTCAAGACCAAGGTTTAACTCACTTCCGGCGGCCCCACTGGTCAGTGAGGTAGGTCGTGGCCACAGCATTGATCAGGAAGCTCAGAGTACCATAGACACCAGCAAGGGCAAGAATCGTCTTGGGATCCATGCCGAGGGACTTGTACAGGATGGTCTGGTAGTACTGGATGACGTTCACTCCCGTCAGGCTGGTGAAGGTCTGGACGGCGATCGACACGAGCGCTCGGTGGCGGAACAGGACAAAAGCTTCCCGGTACGTCTTGACCTCGCGCTCCATCTCGAACTCGATCTGGGCGCGCATGAGGGTGAACTGCTCAGCGAGCTCGGTCTCGTCCGGGATCTCGCGGCGGTAGATCCTGGTAAACTCGATCCGTGCCTGGTCGATCTTGCCCTTCCAGACGAGCTGTCGCGGGGAGTTGGGCATGAACGTGGCCAGGCCAATGAAGAGAATGATACCCCAGGGAATCTGGATGGCCAGAGGAAGGCGCCACTGTACCTCGCCGTAGGGGGCGTACGAGCACGCGAAGCCGACCCAGTTGGACAGCATGATGCCGAAGCAGATACCGCAACCAGAGATACCGCCGATGAGACCGCGATGTTTTGGAGACGCGATTTCGCTGAGGTAGATGGGGACAGTCGACACGAGTCCACTAAAACCACACATCCTCGTCAGTTCTCGGTTGCTTGTCAAGGCCGCAGAGATAAGGCTTACCCGACAGCAGCGCCAGCAAGGAAACGGCCAGCGAGGAACATGCCAATGTTGACAGAGGCAGTCTGGATGACAGTCCCAATGGTCACAACCACGGCCATGAGTTGCATGAAGCGAACGCGGCCGAGCCGATCAGCGATGAGCGTCTGGACGATGGCTCCCACTGCTTCTCCCGCGATGTAGATGGCCACAACCGCTCCGGTCAAACCCTTGGAAGGGTGACCCATGTAGTCGATCCAGCTCGCATGAGCAATAGCTATTCAGGAGAAGGATGCGTTAGTGCACTGACGGAGGTGCCAGAGACGCGTCGAGACCTACTCGTTGTGGCGATTCCGGTATCAAAGCCCTTTGAACACAAAGGTTAGTGATGGCTATCTTGAGAGGGTCGGTCGGCGGTACTCACGAAGCAAAGAGTACCGATAGCCGCAAAAAGGGCAATGCCAAAGGTGTAGGCGCTGCTTCCCATGGCTGAAATCGTTGATCTATACACGACTTCTGATGATACGTGCGATGCTTGATTCTCGAGGAAACTAGACAGGCGTCATCAATCCAAGAGCATCAACCAAAAGGATCGACCAGCTTGGGTTTCTGATGTCAAGAAAGTTCGGCCCTGCTTCAAGACAACCTCTGCAACATGCCTTCTCAAAGAAACCAATGCAACCACGAATGAGGAACAGGCAATTAAGTACTTTGGTCATTTGACAAGCTCCCCCATGCCGTTAACCTGCGGGGAAGGGCCCCGTGGGGTTCATCGAAGGAGCATCAACAGCAATTGGTGGCCCTGTCGGCTCGGCTGTGTGTTTTTGGCGATCGGCTTGTCTAATCCCCGCACACACTTCCAAGTTATTGCGATGGAGTTTTGGAGATTCTTGGGGGGCACAGCAGGCAGTGTAATTTGTCACTTGGAGGTCAGGGTGTGATCGACATGCATCGTCGGCTGGCCTTGGCAGAATGAGGTCTAGCGTTGCCGAAGGCCGGGTCCATCGCCGGATCGCTGTTAATGAACTGACCCCCGATGCCCGTTGCGCCGGAACCCGGTTCCAGTGTCTTGGGTGGTTTCTTTGCAGGCACGCCGACCGATGCAGCCATTGCCACGCGACATCGATCGGTAGTGGGAGCCGATCTCGACCAATCTCATCGTACAAATCCTACTCTAAACTCAAAGTCACCCCTCGTCCATCGCCTACCGACTTCTCCGTGTGATTGGGACATCAAAAAAAAAAAAAAAAAGAAGAAGAACTGCAAACATGAAGCTGCTATACCCAACCTCGATAGAGCTGGACATCCAAAGCCTGACGGGCTTCGCCGTCGAGCTGCACCCGTACAACGTCAAGATCCCGATCCCGGAGGAGCACATCGACGCCGACATCATCGTCACCTGGATCAACAGCAAGGAGAACCTCGAGGACGCGGCCCGGCGCATGAAGAACCTCAAGTGGATCCAGGCCCTGGCCGCGGGGCCCAACGACGTGCTCGAGGCCGGCTTCGACCGGTCGCGGACGACCATCACGATGGGCCTCGGCATCCACGACCGCACCGTCGCCGAGCACACGCTCGCCCTGCTGCTGAGCGGCGTGCGCAAGCTCTACGAGATGCGCGACGCGCAGCGCCGCGCCGAGTGGCCGGCGCACCTGGGCGGGCCGTACCCGCGGCGCGGGGAGCTGACCTCCCTGCGCGGCGCGCGCGTGCTGGTCTGGGGCTTCGGCGGGATCGCGCGGGAGCTGGCGCCGCTGCTGGCGGCCCTCGGCGCGCGCGTCCGGGGCGTGGCCCGGACGCCCGGCGTGCGCCACGGCGTCGAGGTGCTCGGCGACGACAGGCTGCCGGAGCTGCTGCCGGAGACGGACGCGCTGGTCATGATCCTGCCCGGGTCGTCGAGCACGCGGCACGCGCTCGACGCCGAGCGCCTGGGCTTGCTGCCGCGGCACGCGTGGGTGGTCAACGTGGGCCGCGGGGTATGCGTCGACGAGGGCGCGCTCGCGGACGCGCTGGAGCGGGGCCAGATCGCCGGCGCGGCGCTGGACGTGTTCGAGACGGAGCCGCTGCCCGCGTCGAGCCGGCTGTGGAAGGCGCCGAACCTGCTCGTCTCTCCGCACGCGGCGGGCGGGCGGCCGGAGGGGTGCACCGACTTGATCGCAGAGAACCTGCGGCTGTTCTTGGCGTCGCGGCCGCTCAAGTATGCTGTCTAGATGAAGATCTAATGAATAATGACTAAGAGCACCGCTTGATCCACTATGTGCCGATGAGATGATGTCTGGTGATGTCCGTAGATTTCAACGGATTTTAACGCATGTTACGAGATCTAGAGCTCGTGGAGGCATTGGATGCTAAGGTTTCTTTTGCGATCTCAGGCTACATTGAATAGAACTAGGTAGTTTCAAAGCCGAGCACTTTTCCTTAAGCAGTGCATCGCCACTGCCGTCTCACGAAGCCGCGTAACTCTCCGGCGGGCTATAAGTTGATAAGCATCCCGAGCGCTGACGTGCCTCCGAGAGTGTAATATAATTTCATTGGTCAAGACCAGACGCAGAATTCGGTCCTTGGCCTCGGATGGTACGCGCGGCCGGGCCGGAGGGGGTGTGTAAGGATGTGGAGCACATCGATACCGAGGACACCGTCGAGGCTGTGTGGAGGAGGTATAATGCCGGAGATAGGAACTATGTGTATACATGGGGCTTTTTGCTCAAGCCTAGTTTTTGTATGAGAGAACACCCTTTCGAGAAGGAGTATAATGGATTGCTTGGGATTGAGTAGTGGAGTGTTGAGAAGCTGAAAAGGGAAGCTATGAGGTGCTAGAAGACGCAGCCGTCTGCGATGGAGATAAGAGTCGTGAGAGGGGATAGTCTGTCTTAAGCGTGCCTTTCAGCAGACTATATGCCCCCATGTTTTGTTGAGGTTGTGTATAGTCATCGGTTGAAGACATCCTGTGGCTCGGCCAGTGATGATACTTTGGTCGTACACGTCCACACCGAGTCTTTGCGCAACATGGGACGGGACAATGATGAACAAGGACGACAGTCAATAGTCATCGGCTCGCAAGTTGTATAGTTTGTATAATACTGAATATTTTAATCTACTTAATGAAGCCTTCAGCCTGACCTTTGCCATCCTATCTACGGACATAACCAAGGTCCAGACCTGACTTACACCAAACTTTTCAGAACCGCCCTTGCCTTTGAAACAGCATTTTCTATTCGAAGCGTATTCACTGCATGCTTGCAGCATTGCATTAACCCCCCAGAAAATTCGCTCCCACCTGCATCTGCATCTGCACTTGGCACACTCGAATGCCGCCACTGAGGGAGTACAGATCCGACTTAGGCTGTCCGCTTTCGCACAGGTGCAGGGCTTACTAAAGTCGACACGTCGTCGTTATCCATGGTTCGCCCACAGTCTGATCGTAGCTGACACATGTCAAAATGGTTCATCTTGAGAGGATTGCGTGTTCCTGAGACGGTCCAGATCCCGTCTTCGGCTATCGCTGGTGGTGGCGATAGGGACCACCACACATCGGGGACCACCATATCGGGGAGACAGCCGGCGAAAAGTTTGGGACTGAAAATTCTGAAGATGCGGTGCTAGCACTATCTTGCGGTAATAGTACATTAACAATTTATGGTAGGAAAGATACGGCGTTGTTGTTAGTTCGGAGCCGACTGCCGTTAGCCGGCTTAGCAGATGTCGCCATTTTTACCGCCAATTTCCACACACACAGAGGCACACGGGGGCCACAGACGTACGTGGCGGTGGGTAACCACGTTGGGTACCGTTGCCCGTTGCCATGAGTCAAAGAAAGGCCGTCAAGCCGTTTTGTACCTCTTTTCTTTTGAAAATTCTGCAATTTTTATTCTGGAACCGGCATGCGACCCTTATGCACGATGAGTTGGTTGGCTCAGAAGGCCGGAATCAAGCACCGAGGATGGAAAAAAAGACGGACAAGGGACAAAAAGGACTCGCGTTCCGGTCTTTCTTCTAGAACCACACAGCATGGAGTGCACAAGTTTGTGCACTGTATCGAGGTCGCACAAGGAGGGGGTGGTTCTGAATCAGTTCGGTGCTGTAGTGGATGGGCAGGAGGTGGAAACATGTGCCTATCTCGTCCTTGGTGCTTCACTTGCTTGTCTACAGTACCTGTCTCTGCCCTTCCCTTCCTGCTCGCTCCCTTGAGGAGGGAAATGGTGTGTGGTGAGGTGGCAGCGAGGGCGGGTAATCGTTGGCGGGTACCTGCTTGCGTCCCAAACACAAAAAAAGGCGTGCGTCTGGTGCAGTCTCACGCATTGCAGAAGCGCCCGTTTCCTCTTTTAGGTGTTTGTACCTGTCCGTCCCTGGTTTTTTATGTTTGGACATGTGTTTGATTGCTGCTGTGCCCTCTCTTTTTAGCACGAGCAATCAAAGGATTTGGCGACATGTGGCACGGACACGGACATCGGGCACAGCCTTTGTTTTCTCGCTTGCACAACCAACCCTCCTCCAAAGAACGAGCCTGGGATGATAAGCCGTGGGTGGTAAAAGAGCGAGGATGGGATGCGTGGATCCAAGGACCAGGCTTCTTCTCTTCTTCGTCCCATCTTGCTCTGCCGTCCGTCTGCGCTGTACCCTCCTCTACACTCTGCAGTGCCGTGAGTACATGTACCTAAGACAAAGGGGGAAAAGGAAGGGAAGAGAAAAAAAACAGCGCTGAAGCAAACCCCCAATTTAGTGAAGGTGGTGAGGGGCGGCCCCCAGTCTTGCCAGGGCTCCTCGCCAATGAGGCGCCGGCTGTGCCTGAGACTAGCAGGTGCTTGACCAGGTCCAACGCCTTTCGGAAGGATGCCCATTGGCCTGCCCCTGGGTACAAACGTCTTGGCCCCGTGCGCTAGGTGAAAATCCCGTCAGGTACAGGGCATGGCTAGCCGAAGGAGGAGTGGACGGGGCCCTCGAAAAAGCCGCACACGCACACCTCACCCGGGAGAGATGGGCAGCGCAAGGAGGCCAACAAAGGTCACCCTGAAACACGTTGGTGGTACAGGCTAACAAAGAAGTGCTTGCCGGCGCATGCAGGAGTGTTACTGCGTGCCCCTAGGCCTGGTAGTGGTGTGCTCGATCTCCCCCCGATCTCAACGATGTTGGTCCTTGTACTCAGACAGCACACGCAACCCAGAGAGAGCTCTCACCACCCACAGCGGCCGGCTACCGCAACAAAGGCCAAGCAGCGCCTCGCCGGCCTGCCTGTGGAACCGTCGTCGCAAAACCTCAAGCAAAAGAGCCAACGCCCCATACTAAATCGGGAATGGCACAAGGCCGACTTCTGGAGAACCGCACAGTGCCTGATCTGATCTGACTAGGTAGGCCGGCAAGAGACCGTACACACACACACACAACAACTCTTTCTTCTGGGGTCTGGCGGCGAGCCCACATCCATCCTCGCTCTGGCCTCCCAGTCCTGAATTTAAGAACCCAGCCGGGGATCGACACCTCGCCAGTTTGGGGGCCCTCACAATGCCGGTTCTTGCATCCTTCACTCTTCTCTTTCTCTCCTTCTTGCTTCTGTCCGTTTGAAACGAAAAACACCCTTTTTCGTTCTCTCGACAGTCATTCCTTCAGAAACACCAACAGACGCATATCCCAGCCCAGCTGCTGCCATATCGCTCTCTCTTTGTGGCAGGGCCACTCCAGTCATTCTCGCAAAGATACCCCCAGATCGCATATCGCTGCTCTTTCGTCCACCCGTTTGAGACGAAACGAAACAAAGCAACCAAACGAAACATCGACGGCACTCATTCCCTTCGTGTCGCGTGCGCAAGAACCAACCAGCACCACCAGATCAAGCAAAGCTTGAAGGAATAGGAAACCACTCTGCCCAATACACCGGCGCATAACACCTCTTTTCTTCGAACGGGAAGATCATCATCACATCACATCCAGCCGGCAAGTAGAACTCGCCGCACCAAGACGATACCCACACACCACAGCGCGTAGCCATCGCAACCACCACATACCACCACCACCACCAACAAAAACCAGCAAAAATGATCTCCACCATCAAGACCACCTCTCTCCTGGTCGCCGCCGTCGCCGCGACCGGCGCCGCCGCCACGGGCGTCAGCTGCACCCCGCACGACAGCTACTCGTCCTCGGTCGGCGTGCTGGGCTGCAAGGTCAACACGGACCGCATCGCCTACTGGCCCGGCTCCGTCGGCTGCGACAACATCTGCATCAAGCTGACCAAGGGCTCGCGCTCCGTCCACCTGCTGCGCGTCGACCAGTCGGGCGGCGCCCACGACATCTCGTACGACGCCTGGGTCTACCTGCAGACGGGCCAGCCGGCCTCGTCGGACCCCATCGCCGGCGGCGGCGTCGACATGGAGTACGAGGAGGTGCCCGCCTCCGAGTGCGCCTCCCTGCTCGACAACGGCAAGGTGCCCCTTTCGGCGGCCAACAGCATGGGCTACGTGTCGGCGTGCCTGGCGCAGCCCGACAGCTTCGTCGCCAAGAACTACGTGCTGTACAACATCGCCGACGCCATCTGCTCCATGGGCGTCGACGAGAAGTGCACGCTCGACCTGGCCGTCAGCAACCAGCCCTCGTGCCCGCACCAGCTCGGCCTCCAGACCAAGCTGACCACCACGCCCGTCTACAACGTCATGTACCAGACCGGCAAGACGGTCAACGCCGCCACGGGCGAGGAGGCCCCCGCCAGGGCCGCGACCGGCGGCAGCGACTCCGGCTCCTCGTCCTCGTCGCAGAAGCAGGCCGCGCCCGTGCAGGCCCAGCAGGCTCCCCCGGCCTCGTCCTCCCCCGCGCCGGCCCCCGTCGCCCAGCCCGTCGTCGCCTCGTCTGCGCCGGCCCCGCCGCCGGCCCCGACGACCACCAGCCAGGCTCCGCCGCCGCCGCCGCCCCAGCCGACCACGACCAAGACGCCCGCCGGCGCCGTCTTCGTTCCCGAGACGCCCAGCTCCGCTGCCGTCCAGAGCAGCAGCAGCAGCTCGTCCTCTGTTCCCGCTGCTCCCAGAAGCACCAGCACCAGCAGCACCTCGCAGGCGGCGCCCAGCTCGTCCAAGGCTGCTTCTTCGTCGTCGTCGTCGGCTGCCGCCTACACCACCATGTCCAAGGTGACCACCGTCCGCGTCAGCACCGCCGCCGGCACCGGCAGCCCCAGCGGCGCCGCGCGCCCGTCGACCGTGCCTCAGGGCACCCCGGCCGTCGTGCCCGCCAACGCTGCTGGCGCGCTCGAGCTGTCGTCGGCCGCGCTGGCGATCGTCGCTGGCGCCATGGCTGTCCTGGCTGCGTTTTAAGGGCCGCTTTGTCGGCCTTGACGCAACATTAAAAAAAAAAACAAGATAAAAACAAGTCACTGCCTCTCTGCCTTCTTTTTCAGGAGGGGTTAGTGGAATCGAAATCAGGTAGATTGATTTCGTCTTTTTTCTTTTCTTCCAAATGTACATATTTTGGAGCTTTTTCTTCGAAGAGGGGGCGAGGTACAAAGATTGGAGGGGGGACGGACACCGCCTTTGTGTGTGTTGACCAGACCAGCTGGATGCAGGTGGCAGCACCCACGTGTGTGTTGTTAGTTAGACTCCTCCTTCTCGCTCTCTTGGATCCCCTTATATTTTTCTGGATATGAATTGGTCACGAATCAGGAGTTATTGAACCATAGATTGGCAAAATGGATTGAAATTCAGATTTATAAATAGCAACTTCGACCTCAGCTGTTATCTTGCTACCTCATGCCATCACTAGACAACGCGTGGCTTGAAACGTTGGCGGGGTCTTTTCCCGCTGATGCGCCGTCTCAATTGTGACTCAGACTCAGTAGAGGCCGGCGAAAAGGAGCGTCCCAAGTCTCAAGGTCATTGCTTATCACAGAGCATATCAACAATGAATCTCAGTCAGCATACAATCTAGAAATTTCAATTTCAAAAACTGGAACACAGTACCAATAAGTGAGGAAGTTTATCAGCACCTCAAAAAAATAAAAACCATGCATTTTCTGGTGTTCTTGGTAGATCCTACAGATCCATCCCGCGTTAAAGTTTGACTTGTTCTGGACTGTAAGAATTTGGCCAACAGTCGCGTGTTCCGAGTTGGCCATCGGTGGCGACCTGCGGTGTGGCTGATTGCCCAAATTGTATGCGGGGTACTTCGTCATTGGAGTTGTCGGGTTTGCGAGAATGTCACAAGTGAGAAGACAGGTCCCTTTGGAGTTTCCGGTTTGAAGCAAGGCCTTCCAACCGACGTTGCCACGAAAATACCACCCAGGCTATCGATCAAGCTTCATTTCACGATACCTTCTTTCTTGTTGCTTACACATTTTGCTCAGTCCGATTCAAGGGATTCGTACGTGCAAGGGCAGCCTCCTTTGCTAGCCTGACTACTTGAAGCAAGATCAACCAACTATGGGCGGAGCACCAAGCACTTTGCGAACGGCAAGGGCCGTCACAAGCCCAGATGCCACCATGTCCGGGGCCCTCTAGACCTTGCAGTCTGGCCGCTTGGTAACACAAGGAGACAGCGGTCTTTTGGCGGCGAGCGTCGCATCGGCTCGTACCTGCCTCAACCCATCGCTGAAGCCGACAACCAGTGGCAGCAACGAGGGCAAGGTACTGTGTATTTCGGTTCCCTCCTACGTGCGCCTTTGCTTACATACGCTTAGCCATCGTTCATCTGAAGCTCTATTTCCAGGAACAGGACCACGGTGCTTTGGTCCATTACCATGGGACTGGCTGGCTCCTGTATAACAAGGGCAAGATGGACACTGTCGTCACCAACGGCCATAATGTACTTGGCATGAACCGCAAGCACCTTGTGGATGTGGTGATTACAGCTGGACATGATTCCAACCACCCGGAGACGCAAAGGGGTGCCTGGGCAGCGGTCTCGGGGGGGTGGTATGCATATCTCGCCAAAGATTGCGATCTTGCCCTTATCCGCCTTGCATCTCCCTTCAAGGGCGCTGCGGAACTGGAGTGGGTACCCACTCCACCTATGCAGCAAGGGTCAGAGATGACTTGTGACGTTCTGGGGCTCTTGTGGGCGGAGACACCAAACCTGACCCGAAGCCCGGGGAGATGTACACTGGATGATGCCAGCGGCATGAGAATGATCCGTCACTCTGCCGACACAGACCGAGGTAAATGGGCATTCTGCATAAAAGTAACGTTCAGCCAAGCTAACCTTGAGCGCACAGGGAGCTCGGGCAGCGCTCTTCTTCAAGGAGACACTGTTATCGGCGTTCACAGAGGTTACAACCACTTTGAAAACGAGGCAGTCGTGCTAGACCGCGGTCGCAATAATCTGGACGAGTTCCGCAAGGTTCTGGACTGGGTGACAGGTGGTCCTATGCCTCAGGGCTGGAGATTCGTGTGCATCATGGACGTGGACAAAACTCGGGTCTACGGATACCACAGGTCTTCAGCTTAGCCTGAGTCATCACGGCTAGGGGTTTGACGCAAGCGTTGGATGGAATCATAGGAATATGCGGTGAACGAGAAGAACTAATGAGCCCACGTGGATGGTGATGGGTATATCTTCTTCTCTAGCTATTCACTACAATAGCCCCCACAACACTCGGGATGCAATTTCAACATGCCCCGCAAATGAGGACAACGGTGCCTACCTTACAACCCTAAGTCTACCAACTGTACCTGAATTCCCTGTCCTCCTTATCGGTCAAATCTGTTTTGAAAGCGCCGGAACTGTCAAGGAGCACATGGCCATTCGCTACCGAGGTCACCACCGTGCTGCTTTGTTCACTGTCTCTCTTCTTGTTGTCGTACATGCATGTGAGCCGGTAGCCAATCACCACGACGAACAGCAGGCACCAAGTGACGATGCTGGTGACGACGCCATTGAAGTACCGGGGTGACACAGTCCAGAGCTGAGGGGACCCGATGCACCCGGCGCAGTAGCCGATGAAGAACATGGCACTGACGATAGACCTCTTGGTGTTGCCCTTGACGTTGGAGGCGGTGAGGGATAGGAGGATGGAAAAGGATGCGGTTATGCACGATGCCTGTTGTGCCAAGATTAGCAATAATACTAATGAGTGTCTTCTGATCGTGGAACTTACAAGCCATGATGCAGCGACCATACCCCATCCTGCTGAGAGGGATAGCTTAAATAGCAAAATACACCCGGCAAGTGGGGGTAGAATCAGAACGAGGATAACCAGTGTTCGGTTTCGAGGGAACAGCCAGCAGCCCAAGACTCCAATCCATAGGAACGCAATCTGCACTGCTCCGGAGGGAGCAGTATACAAGATCGCCTGATATTTGTCGTATCCGATCGACTTGATAACCAGCGACGCAAACTGTAAAAGCGATATTTGTTTAGTTAACCGTTGAGGCTATAATTGGGGTTCTGGATCAGGCTCACCGTCAAGACTGGCGACTGCATGGTAACGAGGACACCAAACCAAAACACGAACCAGGCCTTGGGATCCAGGAGAGTTTCCTTGAGTTGTGCCACGGAGAAGGACGTCTTGTCACCACCCTCGCGGTCTTTGACCATGCGTAGCGATAGGACTTCCTTTTCTCTAGCTGTAAGGAACCATGCATCGGCGGGACCGTTCGGCATGAAGACGTAAAAGATGACGCCGGCAGCCGAAGTCACCGCCCCGCAGATGAGGAACAGGGTCCGCCAGGGCTGAAGCGCCAACGAGGTATTCTTGGCGATGCCATACATGAGCAAGCAGCCGACGATCTGCGCTAAACCATTCATAGTCACCCAGATTCTGCGTGTATCTTGTCAGAGTAATCCTCCACTAGTTGCAGTCGCACCGTCTCGTACTTACCCGGTGCGTGTAGCATGCTCGTGCTTGCGGTACCAAATAGACGTAATGGTCACGAAAGCTGGAGAGACTGCGCCCTCGGTGAAGCCAAGTAGGAACCGCACGGCGGCAAACCCGGCAAAGTTCTGTGGTGCGGCTAGGCACATGCAGACGATACCCCAGACAACGCTGGTGCTGTTAGTATGGGTCGTGAGTGTTTGAACGAGGGGAAGAAAAAACCTACACTGTCACACCGACGAACTTGGTGAGATGAAACCGACTCATAAGGTATATGAAGGGATATTCTGCCACAAGCTGGCCCACGTAGAAGATCGAGGAGCACCACGAGTACTCGACGCTGGTCATCTTGAGATCGGTAATCAGGCCGAACACCTATCGCATTCCCAGTCAGCATACTACTGCAGGAATATTGAGTCCCCGATTGACGTACACTCGCGTAACTAAGACTCTGCTTGTCGAGGTATTGGAGGAAGAAAACAAAGCACATCTAATCAAGTAATTAGTTAGCCACATTTTCAAAGGAGGCTGGCGGGTTTCGCGTACCATTGGCAGGATCGTCATGTCAATCTTCCTCAGCACTCGTCTCTCTTCTTCAGGAGTGTAGGCATCCGGTGTCATCTCGACAACATCTCCAGGCTTCTCGTCATGGCCTAGTCCAGTGTCCTGCGCCCCTGGAGTCACCTCCTGGTTCGTAGACTTCGATTCTGCCGGCGTGTCCATGGCTTGATCGTTCCTCTATTTGTCTATGTTCGAACTCTGCAAGTCTCAATGCGTCTCTGACTGTGATGCCAAGTCCAGCAGAGTAAGGGATCGTCTGGGAGGTATCATCCCCTACTTAAATCCGAACGGAAAGGCGGAGAGCATCATGGGTTGGTTGTGGGACCGGGTTGATAACACGCGGGGAAGTGGCAGGTTGCCGATACGGCGTGGCCAGGGATCCGATACCTACAAGTCTAGGTCGACACTTGAATTGCACAATGCCTGTGGTTGCACGGGATGGACCCCGTCAGATGCACAATCCCTGCTTTCAACGTGGTGGGGAATAAGGCCATGCAATCCGGACTGCCGGGTTCGTTTGGAGAACGCTGAAGAGCTTCCTTAGACTTCTTGGTAGTCTGATAACTGAAAAAAGAAGGCAAAAAAGAGGCCCTCGGCCCCCACTACCCCAGGCCGAGTCAGCGGCCCCCGATAATCGGCTGGTCTACCCGTCCCCTCTTCTGGGGGGCGCATCCGACGCCGGCATTCTCTAGCCTCTTATCATCGGCAACTTGACCACACTTCCTAATTAAATCCTGTCCCGTCCACGGTCCGACGGCCACTGCAGGCATCAAGATCCCCATTCAGTGCACTGCACGGAAGTGCATGGTCACATAAGCGATGAGCAGCGCCGCCGCCCCGCGACGCCGGAGGCATCGCCGGGTAGCAGACGCGAATAGGAAGCGCGCTCCACGAGCGTAGGTGACTTGGCACGCGACCAACTCATGCGCACCGTCGTCTAATTCGTACTGCAGGTGCCATCTCTGCAAGGCTAGGAAGTCCAAGTGCATCGAGACCCCATCGGGTGTCTGTCAGAGGTGTCTACGACGTTCTCTCCTCTGCCAATATGACCGGTAGGCTGCTTGTTCTGCCCAATCGCACCCCGAAGGTGCATCTACTGAAGACATGATAGGTCAAGAGGAAGCAGTCCTTTGGGCAATGATGCCTCGTCTCCAATGCAGAGCAGGAGACCCGAAAATGACACGCCCGGCATTGTGTCGAGCATCGCCGTGGCGGAGACGAGTCCGGAGGGAATATTTGCCATGAACAACGGTAGGTCGACATTGGAACCACTGCTTGGAGCGGTTGAGCTGATGTTCTGTATCGGCAGATCCCACACAACGAACAGTATGGCCACGTTTCCTGTCCCGACTCCGAGAAGCCTTCTCGCTGGATGTCCAGCCTACTCCAGAGGGCGAGAGGTTGATGCTTATGCAAGCGGTAAGACCTCTCTCTTGGATTGGATGTAATGGGGTGGCTGAAAATATAGCAGCCAGCTGTACCAACGCCATCGATACCGCCCGCGGAACTGCAACGATTACGAAAGGCCATCGACAGATTTCCTCCCAAGCCAGTCGCTGATTTCTTGATATCTGTTTGCATTGAACATGGCACAGACAGCTTCTTTTACTATGACCAGGGTCAACTGCTGTCGGACATCGACGAGTTCTACGCTGACCCTTGCTCTCATCTACGTTCTGACCCTACTTTTGTCTGTATGGTACATGCTGTCCTGGCGTTGGGAAGCCAGTGGACAACACTTGCAAGGCCGGAAAACTCGGAGTCTTCCCTCCCGGCCGAGGATGTAGACCCGGGCCGCATCTTCTACAACGAAGCACGTGCGCTCATCCCGGACATCATGGATCGACCCTCGATTCGTTGTGTACTAGCCCCATTTATCATGGGTGTCTACCTCCTGCCTTCCAGCGCTATCGGGTCATCTTATATGTATATGGGCATCGCGCTGAGAAAAGCCCTCGCTCTCGATCTTCATCAGCACACAGACGACCCCTTGTTAAGCGAGCGAGACAAAGAAGTGCGTCGAAGAGTATGGTGGTCACTCTATGCTCTCGAACGGTAGGTTTGCTAGCCAGAAGCAAGGTTAGCCAAGGGCCTTACTGACCCCGTTGCCAGTTCTGTGACCGTCAAGTTGGACAGGCCTCGTTCTATCAGCAGAGACATCATCACTGTTGAATTACCAAAGTCCTATCCGCCCCTGGACAACATACAGAAGTTTGACAATCTTGAACATCAAATCGCGGATGCAAAGTTAGCTCTGATCCTAGACAAGCTTGGAGATCTCAGGTAAGACCGCATCGTGTGCAGATTTCAAATACCTGTTGCGACGCTGACTGTTGGGCACTTGCGCTGGATGCTGCAGCGATGACTTTCCTTCTGTGAGAAGATGTGAAGCCGAATTGAAAGAATGGAAAGCTGCTCTCCCGCCGTCGCTCAAATTTGAAAGCCTTGATCCCAAAACGTCGTCTTATAGAGCCGTCTTTCATCTCTACCTAAACTACTACTACGCGTGGATCGCCATGGGTAGGGTGTCCGTGGTGACCGTAGTGCGAGCTCACTTACGACACAGGCTCGGTGAGGAAACACAGCTGCCACAGATTGGACAGAACACCGACCACTTGTCCAAGTCTTGCATCAAAGCGGCAAAGAAGATGCTGGCACTGTTTGAGGAGATCAAGCGAACAGGAAATCTGACCAGATTTTCATTCACGGACTTTCAAGGATGCAGCACTGCCATCATCATTGTATTGCTCGCTGGTATCCTCGAAAGAGACGCGAACTATGAGTCACGGGTCAAATTGGGGCTTGAATGCCTTCATAAAATGGCCGAGGGAACCGTCACGGCCAAAATGGGAGTCTCCTTTGTCGAAGCCTTACGATCTATCACAAACGAAGCCGTGCAGAAGCTACAGGCTACGCAGCAGTCAGTACGGGTTGCGTCGCCGCATCCGTCAGAACAGTCTGCAGCATACAACACTTGGCTAGAATGGTTATCGAGGGCCAATGGAGCCCAGAGCGGAACCGCATCCTCGTCAAGTCAGTCGGTCGTGGAGGAGCCAGCAGCATCACATAATCAGAGCAGCAGCGCCTGGGCACTCGGGCATCACATGCCGGGAGCTCTCACCTGGGATGGGGGAGCTGCTCTCCAACAAGTGACGCCGCAGTCGCTCCTTGCACCGTTGCAGGAGACCCCAGCGGAGCATACTGCCAACATCGATCCTTATCTTTTCACTACTCCAGCACTTTTCGACGATGACCAGGTCTATCTCATGGGACTGACGGGAATGGACGTCCTGAACTTTGTGGAGTGAGCTGTTGAAGTGGAGAGCATGTATCTTAGTCAAAGGTGTCCCTTGAATCGGAAACCAAGTCGGTAATGCCGCTGAATCTTCAGGATTGGATTCAAATACCGTGTCAGCGCGAGGGGGTAGTGCATTATTTGTAAACTCGTTGATCCCTTGCAGTAAGCTGCCGATTGGAATTTTGAACGGAAATGGTCATCATGTTATCTAGTCAACATTTAACTTGATGCTTCGGTCACTTATTAGGTACAAGGGGCATTGGGTTGTTTTGGCCCCCAACGTCCTGGCCCCCAACGGACGAGGTGCGAGATCTCGGACTTGCGCATCTCAGCTATCACTAAACTTAGCAAAGTTGATCCCTGTTCACACCATTCACTCCAATTACGCATCCCTGCAATAACCTGGCCGGGTAGTGAGGCCACTGTTATCTCACCTGCAGACGGTGGCCACCAGGCACAGGCCAAGCTCGGATTCAAAATCCAGAACTGTTTATCTGCGAGATCCCTCCTTGGCGTATCTTCTCGGTGCTTGGTGTTTGAGGTCTCCATCATCATGGCTGCGACAGACACTACATCCTACAGGCGCATCGACCGCCCTGAAAACGATGAGAAAGATGCTAGCATTACTCTTGCCTTGCCAGACTATGACAAGGGCGCCGCTTGGACGAATTACGTCGCCGTTGGCGCTGGGGCCGTCTTTTCGCTCGTGTGTATCATCACCGCCGGCGTCACCATTGCCAAGAACCCTAATGGGCCCATCGCGGGTATTCGTTACAAGCGACTAGCACTCAGATCCTCGATGGAGTACGAAGCGTTTTCCCTGCTCGTCAACATAGCGCTCACCCTTGTCACCGACACGCTCTCCTTCATCCACTCCGTCTCGCTGCGATGGGCCCTCGCACGGGAGGGCAGGCTCGAGTTCAACACAAACATTCGCCTCCTGACCAGTTCGAGACACGGCGGGCCCAACAGCTGGTGGGCCAATGCGTTTTCCCTGGCGACCTTGATGCTGTGCTATGGCTCGACAAGCGTGTTGTTCGTGACGGGAATAAGAGGATCCAACGTGCAGACGTCCGCGCAGGAGGCGTCTGGAGATGACATCTGCCCAGGCCCCGTATGTGCCAACATGGTCGCTCTGGCGGCGCTGGGTATCGGCCTCGCGGCACAAACCGCCATCGCAGCGTGGTGTCTGTTCGCGGCCAGAGGCAAGACGGCACATAGACAAGAGGCGATCCCGACATGGAGCACCAGCCCCCTCAACGCGACGCTGACGGCTCTGCACACCGGGCTCGTCACTCACCGCGACGGTCGCTGCATGTTATCCGTCCACCAGCGCGACGCACCCACTGATGGGGGGGTGACTCCCTCTGAACGGCAGGGCGCTGTGTGGAGCGTACACCGCGCGGTCCGCTACGTGGTGTACTACCTCTGGGGCTTGTCCTTCGTCGCCGTGGCCTGGCCCGTCATAATTGCCATCGTTGTCAGCGAGTTTTGGGACACGCCGCGATTCTCCTGGACGCCGGACAACTTCAGCGCCGTCGTGCTGGCCATGTCTCCAGCCGAGAACATCGGCCAGATGGACAAGGCCGAGGCAAAGGGTGCCTACTTCTCGTTTGGGGGCGAACTAGTCTTGGGGGTCGTATTCGTCACCGCGATACAGGCCCTGCAGACCACGGGGCTGCACGCGACGGAGCTGCTGGCGAGCCTCAGCCGCGATGAGGGCACCTGGCGGCAAGCTACCAGGGCGGCGCGACGTACAAGTCAGTGCCGTTCTTCGCCGCCCTGACGAGCTGGGAGAATATCGTTTTGTTCCTCGCCAAGTCCGTGCTGCACTGGATCATCGGCCAAGGCATGTCTCCGCAAGTGGGCACTGTGATTACCTTTTCGGGCGACACGAAGGGGGCCATGTTCTTCGTCATGGCGTGGTCGAGGCTCATCGTCTTCGCAGCCTGCGCGATCTTCATGGCGCTCTTTGCAACGTTTCTGGCGTTTCGCAAGCCCGGGGGTCCTCAACCCGCTGCATATGGTCATCTGCAGACACTCGCAGACTTGATAGATGATTGGAAACTAAGCGAGGAGAGACGGGCCCCCTTTTGGTTCAAAGACAAAGGGAGGTTCTGGTGGGGAGATAAACCAGCTTTATTATCCGCACCCAGCGAGATGGGAGTGCTCAGGCATGCGGGAATGAAATCAGACAAGGAGAGCGTTTCGCAAATAGTCATGGACGCGCGTTATGCGGGTGCCGAGAGCAACACCCCCTTTGAGGAGTAGCAGCCTGTGGCTTCATCGGTAGCTAGCTATGCATCCTCACACTATTGCAATTTCATACCAGGCAGGTTGAAACTATAGATAGATCGATTGATTACAGTCTATCTATAACGTCGCCTTCACACGCACCGGGATGGCAGCATCTTCGACCGCATTCTCCCACCTGCTCTTGTAAATCCGCCCCTGCTTCATGATCATGAGGACATTCTCCTCGGGGCTATCAAAGATAGTCACGTCGTCAAGAGGATTCTTGTTCAGCACCAAGATATCCGCCGCAAAGCCCTCCTTCAACTGACCCAGCTCCGTCTCGTGCCTGAGCATCTTTGCCGGGTTGATGGTGGCGCTCTGTAGCACCGCCAACGGGCTCAGGACCTTGCTGCGCAACGCGAATTCGTAGGTCTGGGCAGCACTCAGGGGACCCAGCAGATCAGAACCGTAGCAAAGCGTGACACCGGCTTCGCTCGCGATCTGCAGCGCCTCCAACCCGGCCTTGAGAACCTCGACGTTCTTGACCGCGCTCTCCTGCGGCAGGTACCCTTCCCACTTGGGGTCAGACATCTCGGCGTACGTGACCAGAGTTGGCGTCAAGAACACGCCCTTGCGCGCGAGGAGCTCCGCCGTAGGGCGGTCGATAAAGTTGCCGTGCTCGATGCCCCGCGCGCCGTTCTCGACGCAGTGCCGGATGGCGCGCGGCGTGTAGGCGTGCGCCGTGACGTAGACGTTGGCGTTGTCGGCGCACTCGACGATGGCGCGGATCTCCTCGCCCGTGAACTGCAGCTGGTCGATGCGGTCCGTCGGGCTCGACACGCCGCCGGAGCCCATGATCTTGATGAAGTCGGAGCCCATGCGCACCTCCTCGCGCACGGCGGCCATGCACTCGGCGACACCGTTGCAGAGGCGGCCCAGGCCCGTCGTGGCGCCGCCGCAGCAGGCGCTGTGGTCGTGCGGGCCCCGGTAGTCGGCGTGCCCGCCGGCCTGGGAGAGCGCGTGGCCCGCGATGAAGAGCCTGGGGCCCGGGAAGACGCCGTCCTCGATGGCCTCCTTGAGGGCGAAGAGGGCGCCGCCGCAGTCGCGGACCGTGGTGAAGCCGCGGTGAAGCATCTGGGCGCAGACGTAGGGCTGGCGGAGGAGCGAGACGTCGGCGGGGTTGCCGAATGCTTTCGACAGATCCTCGTACCCTGGTACCGCCATGAGATGTACATGGGAGTCTATGAGGCCGGGGCAGAGGTATTTGCCCTGGCAGTCGATAGTCTGAAAGTCCGAAGAGTATGTCGTAGGAGCAGCTGACGAGATAGAAGTGATTTTGCCATTCTCGACCTTGACGTCTACATTATTCAATATTGAGCCGGTAACCACATCGATGACGTTCGCTTTGGAGAAGACGTATGCCTTGGGCGGTGACCGCAACCAGGGCTTCACCCTGACCTGTCTTTCCGTGGCCATTGTTGCTGGACGAAAGTCTAGATGGAATGATCCAGCCAGTCTTCACACCAGAAAAGCCAAGCTGCGAAGATGTGTTTAAAAGATGACTTATCCTTGTTCCTCTCATCGGAAATGCGCCAAGCAAAGCTGCCATACCCGCCCGGAGGCGGGGTGGCAGATTACCGAGACACCATCGGTACGGTGGCCAGCGGGTGGCCGTCTAAGCGCGGGTCGGAATTGAAGTTCATCGGGAGATACCTCAATGTTAATCAGCCAGGACGAGAAGGACGGGCAATTTCTATTCGGCAGATAATTCTAACCATCTCTTGCGCCTATGCTCCGATCATGCCAAAAAGAGAAAAAAGAAAGATGATGAACTTTCACTCATGGCAGCAACCAGCGCCATGAGGCATATCTACAGCATTGGGCAGACTGCCGCGCGACTTCTTATCCTCCTCAAAGTCCTCCTTGACCCGCGCAGCGATGGCGTCGTCCGCAAGGATATTCCACCCGGCGATGGCCATGCCCTTGGCGACCGGAATGCACTTGTCATGTGCCTCTCTTGCTGCAGCAAAGGCAGTGAACCCCGGGGTGTGGTTGAAGGACCCTGGCGCTGCTGGGATGCCGACGATGGCGTGGAACGCAGGGCACTCGTAGCTGACGTTACCTAAATCACGGGTGGCGAATTGTTCAGCGCATGCAAAACTTTAGGACCTCTGTGAGCGAGCGAAAATACCTTGATCAGTAGACCCGGAGACCGGGCTAGCATTGAGATCACACCCAACCTTGCTCCCAATCTTGGTCATGGCATCGGCGTAGAGAGTGCATATCGGCTTGTTCGGCCTGACATCTGCACAAGTATTCCGTCTGGAAGAGTCAGAAACAAATCACTAGCAACCAACTCCTTCGATCCACACACCCCGGTTCTCCAAATCAGGGGAACTCACATCTCGAAATCGACAGTGCACCCTGTCTGCACCGCCGCGCCCTCAAAGCACTTCTTGGCCCGGCCCAGCAGCTCGTCCGCGCCCTCGAGCGTCGGGCTGCGGATGTAGTAGTCGAGCGCCGCGTCGGCGGTGATGACGTTGGGCCGCGTGCCGCCCTTGGTGATGACGCCGTGGATGCGCTGCTCCGGGCGGATCTGCTGCCGCAGGGCGCTGATGCCCGTGTAGGCCAGGACGACGGCGTCGAGCGCGTTGACCCCCTGCCAGGGGCTGACGGCCGCGTGCGCCGGCTTGCCCGTGTAGTGCACCGTGAACTTGTGGTTCGCCAGCGTCGGCATGTACGAGTGGCCGTCCCAGCCGGGCCCGCACGACGACGCCGGGCCCGGGTGCGCCATGAGGCAGGCGTCGACGTCGGCGTACGCGCCCGCCGCCACGAGCCGCGCCTTGCCGCCGCCGCCCTCCTCGGCCGGCGTGCCGACCAGGCGGACGCGGCCCGGGACGCCTGGTCTGGCCTTGAGCGCCTCGGCCAGCGCGACGAAGGCGCCGATGGACATCATGGCGATGAGGTTGTGGCCGCAGGCGTGGCCCATCTCGGGCAGGGCGTCGTACTCGGCGTTGAAGGCGACGACGCGCCCGCCCGAGCCGAACTCGGCCATGAAGGAGGTCTCCAGGCCGTAGGCGTGCCGCGTCACGGCGTAGCCGAGCGACTCCAGGAGCGCCGTAATGTTGTCGTGGGCCTTGAACTCGGCGTAGCCAAGCTCCGGGTTACTGTGGATCTACATGGATGCGATAACGGTGCAGCTGATCAGCAGAGTGCATGAGATCCGGGGTGTGGGGAGACTGGGGAGAGATGCTTACGAGCTGACCGATCTTCCACAGCTGCTCGTCGTGCCTATCGACGGAATCGGCGATGGCCTTGAGGGTCTCCGGGGATTCTGAGCCTACCGTCCAGGCATCTTCCGAGCGTGGTCTTTTTGTGGGCTGCATCGTGAATGCAGAGCTGAACAACCACGACTTGTTCTGATTCTATTGGTCTATACGCGACGGTTCCCGGTAAAGTGTGTCTGGGGATTGAGTGTAAATATTCAGACAGCCCAGCTGAGCTCGTGTTTTATGTAACTGTGTCCCCGGCAGGACATGTTGAAAAGCTGTGGCTGGGGCCAAGAGCCGGTGTATCTACTCTGAACTTAATTCATACCTAGCTGGAGCAAAGTCAGGAAATCAGTCATTGAGCCGGACTCGGGCTCAGCTCCTACCGTACTACTGGGAGAGTTTGACATGTCTCACCTGTCTCGTAACCCTTTGCCTACGCGAAGCATGGACCAATCATGCGCCTTCTCGTTGGAATGCAATAGCGCCCGGTGGAGCAAGCCTTCTTGACTCCGCCTGCCAAGAGAGACGAATGAACAGCTCCAAGGAGGTACCGTCAGCTGATATTGAGCCGAAGAAGCAATATGAGTTTCCCAGTAGGTCCTCCAAGCGGCGTGGCTCGTCCCAAAACGGAGAGCCATCTCGGGCGAGACATGTGCGTGCATGTGGTTGACAGCGGAAGACATGCATGTCAAAGGTGGAGAAGCCCAGCTCAAGTGGTTAGGCGTAGCTACGGCCGGGGGAATGCGCCAAGATGGATCTATTCTCGTATATGTCAAAAAGGGAAAACCTGGGAGCTCCCGAGATGGAGATTTCCGGAGGGACGGAACGGAGCCGCCCTCCGCGCAGAGCTGTCGGCAGATTGTTGCATCGGTGACTGTTCTCTGTCCCATGGCCGTGAATTTGACTGGACTTGGAACTTGCAAGCCGTATGTACGCCGCTGCACCTCTATTAGATAACGGTATGTTTCATTACGGAGGTGACATGATAGGTCGTGATCCTGTTGGCGCCTTCGCACTTCTGAGTAAGCACCTCGGCACCCAGTGCCGACTGCCCCCTTACCGACCGCAACGCCAGGTTCCTCCCCTTCCTCCCTCCATCTATCCCACAGGCCCCATACTCCAGATGCATGTCTTAGAAGATGCAAAAGTCGCACGGGATAGGGCACGGTACGCAAAAGCAGAACCGGCCAGGGCAAGCCGAGCTGCGCTCACCGCCGCGCAGGCGCAGCTCCGACTCTGTCTCCGGGGGAGGCTGCTCGGGCCCTGAGACACATCAGGTCAGCTTTGAGGGTCGAGGACCGACACACGGAACATGTGGTCTTGAAAGGTAGTTCCCCATACTCATCGGTGCCGTGGGTGCAGGCTGCGTGCGCATCACGGCCGGTGCCGGGTGCGACAGCTCGTCGGCGGCCTGGGGGGCTCGGGCAGTCTCTGATGGTGACATGTTGCACGGTTTCTTATACAAGTAGTCAATGACGGAAGGAAGAAATAGAGGCTTATACGGAATACGTATTTGGACACGTCTCTAGGGTCTCGGCGTGCGGGAGTAGGAAATCTCGGCGCCTGTAAAGGGAGTTGGACGGTGAGATTGGGTGATTCAGCCCGGCAGCTGCCGCCCGCTTTATTTCTTGGCAGTGGGCTTAGTCCAGGTGACGTCATCCTGTGCGCGTACAAATCGTTGCTGGCGTATGTCTGCTCGTACTTTTCACACTGGCAGTAGAGGGCGGGAAGAAAAGCAAACTTTACATAGACGGGCAAGATGGAAGGTAGAGCGTGTGATGTGTACATGGAAGTCGTTGTTTTCGCAGAAATCATGGATTCTTGCTGTGCATATGGATCGTTGGTATGTGTTCAAGAGTGAAGATCGCCCTTACAGGGCAAATACCATTCATTACCTTTAAAGCCTAATACATACTACCTGCTATGCATAAGTGTATGTGGGAGTTGTATGCCATGCAACGCTGCTCCTATGTGTAACTGAAGCCCATGGTATCCTTCGTAAGAAAGTAAAACAAGACATGGTCGTCGTCATCAGTCAGTCTATAATGAAAGAGAACAAAAAGACAAGAGATATGAAAGAAAACGCCGAGCCGACTACATTTCGTGACAGAAGATAGGCATCCCAACAGAGAAAAAGAAGCAAGTCATCCAGAACATATCCCCTGCAAAATGGAGCTCACACAAACAACCCGATGCCCTCGTTCTGGCCAACGTTGAACCGCGCGTGCACGTTGACCATGCCCACCGGCCCCGTGCCGCTCTCGAGCGGCCGCACGACCCAGACAGACCGCCGCTTGGACTTGCGGAAGAAAGCGTCCTCTGCAGTAGGAAAGAACGTGTTAGTTTCATGTGTGTATATCACAGGTTGTGGTAAGTGTAGCTCACCTTTGGCAGGCGGATAGTCCGCGCCGCCGATAGCGCCGCCGTAGCCCGCGCCGTAGTCGACGCTCGTCTCGCCAAACGTCGGGAACGGCGTGAAGGCCGGCAGGAAGGCCGGCGCCTGGCTCAGGGACGAGAACTCGGCCGTCGAGGCGTAGTAGTCCGGGTTCGCGTCCTGCAGCGGCGCCGGCGCCATGGGCGGCATCATCATCGTCGTCGTCGCCATGCTGCCCGGCGTCGTCCGCGGCGTCGTGCTCTCCAGCGGCAGCAAGTGCTGCGGTTGCGGTTGCGGCTGCGTATCATCGAGCCCGACTTCCCGGCTCGTCTGGTAGGGGGGCGAGGGGTCCTCGGCGGCGGTCGCGGCGTAGTAGTCGACGTTGACGTCCATGGGCGGGACCTCGACCGCGTCGGCGTAGTAGTCCGGGTTGGCGTCCATCTGGCCGAAGGTGTGCAGCTCCGGGACCGCCACGGGGACCAGCGAGCTCGGCTCGACGTGGCGACGGTGGTGGTGGTGGTGTCCTCCTCCCGGGGCAGGAGGAGACATCTTGGCGTCTGCCGCCGCCGCCGCGTCTGCCGCGCCGCTGGCGGGCACGACGCTGCCCCAGACAAAGGACTCCATCTTGGACCACCGGTCGGCCGCCGACTCGATGGTGCGCTGCTCGACCGCCGTCTCGAGCTTGATGCCCAGCATGGAGCCGAGGAAGATGAGGTGGTGCGCCAGCATCTGGCACAGGTGCTCCTTCATGGCGAGCCACAGAGTCGGGCTGCGCTGCAGGTCCGCGCTGAGCAGCCGCTCGTGCGGGAACGACGGGCTCCCCGTCGTCAGCTCCGTCGTGTAGCCCAGGCCGAGGATGAGGCCCAGGACCACCAGGAAGAGCGCGCGGTGGGCGTCCCGGTCGTTGGGGAACCGCCCGAGGAACTGCGGCGTCAGGATGCGGTCCAGGCGGCCGAAGATGCGGTACCCGGAGATCTGGCCCACGCTGCACAGGTCCGCGTGGCCGAGGCTCCGGTCGGCCCAGCGGTTGTGGCCCAGCGAGGTCGAGAGCAGGAAGTTGCGGAAGTCGTGGGCGAAGTCGTCGTCCACGGTGGCGCGCAGCGAGGCGAAGAGCTGGCGCGAGCAGAGCAGGCCGACCAGGCTGCCGCTCTGGACGCTGAAGTCGGGCTGCGTGAGCCACCGTCCGATCGTCTCGTCGATGGCCTCGCCGTTGAGGTGCGGGTCGCTGGTCGCGAGCGTGGAGATCTTGTGGGCTAGAGGGTGCGCCGTGCTCATCATCTGCTCTAGGCCGTCACCTAGATGTATAGAACGTCAGAAATCGCAATTTCATATAGAAGCTCAATTCGACTACCACAAGGCCGTGGGCTGTGTCACCCCGTGCCAATCTCGCAAACTCACCTTGGAAGATGTTCACATCGACGAATTTCGTCCTGACACAGTAACAGAAGGATAAGACCCGGCGCTCGAACCCCTTGACTGCAGATGACAGACATGGCGCACACGGGCTGTCTTTTGAGCACTGCTCTTCAAGTTAGTCTGAGAACTTTTTGAAAGTATTTGACGGTTCAATTGAACATTTTCAATGTTGAACGCGCGGCAATGGCAGCTTACCTGTATCTTGAGCATCTTACACCGCAAGCAGGCCCCCACTCTCCTCACTTGACTTTGTTTCTCCTTCTCCTCGTCTGTAAACGTCCTCCTGCTCTGCTTGCTGGAGTCCGGCGACGACGCACTGCTCGCCGTGGTGGCACGGAAGCAGCCTACCCTCCGGGCAAAGGAGGACGGAGGGTCCCGGTCTTGGGGTTCATGGTAAGGGTGGGCGGTCATGGCGACGGCCTCATCGTACAGCGCGGCGATGGTGGACAGCAGGCGGGAGCGGCTGACGAGACTAAAGGGAAGACACGACGAGGATAACCTGCTACTGCTACTACTGACGAGGGTAGCCCTGCTTCGACGAAGGGCACCTCCCGCGACATGATGGGAGCCGGCGGTGGAAAGGGATCCAGACCTGGCGGTCCTCTTATTGACGCGCGAGGCGACGGCGTCGGGACGGGACATGCGCCTCATGAGTGCGGAGGGGGAGGCTCTGTATGATGTGTGTGATGTGCTGACAGGGGAGGATACCGAACTTTCCATCTTGGGGTTAGCGTGCATGAGACTACCCTGCTTGCGTCTCTCTGGCGGCCCTGCTTCTGGACTTGGGCCTCGAACGGGATGGAGGATGGGCGGGCGGCGGGCGTGGGAATCAGGAATGCTCTGCCCTGCGTGGCTTGCCGGCTGGTGCTTTGGGGGAGAGACAGAAGGGGGGTTGGCTTTGGTTTCCAACGGTGCTGCTTCTGGCTGGCTGGCTGGGCTGGCTCGATTGGCTGGCCGGGGCGGGATATCGGAAGCACGAGGGTGTAAGTGGAGGAGGATATGGGACGAGGCAAGATGGGGGGGTGGCAGTGGCAGTGCGGGTTAGTCCCTTGACAATGACAATATGCGAGAGCGAGAACGGCAGTGGTGCGTCAGGTCAGCGCAAGAGGTAAAAGGTACGAGCGGCGGCAGGCGGAGGAGAGCAGACGAGCATGTAAGAGCGCGTGTGCGTGCGTGTGTGTGGTGGACTGTCGTATGTTTTGTAATGTTGTATGCGAGTGTGTTGTTGGCAGGCGTGTGTGTAATGGCGGGTATGCAGGCTCGGCGTCATTGATTATCTTCCCTCTAGTCAGATTGCATCAGACGGCGCATTCCCTCTTTCGGAGAGGAGACTGAGAGGCCAGACACGGGCAGCAGCAGTAGCCCCAGACCGGACGGGAGGAGACGGGAACTTAAAAGAGGGATTGAAGAAGAAGAAAAGAAGGGAAAACATCATGGAAAAGAAGGCGGTGGCGGCAAGGGAAGAGACGACACTATCTATTTACCAAGTCACTAACAACGGCTCCTTTTCTTGCTACGCACGATCCAGGTGTGAAGTGTGTGGTGTGTCTGTGCTGGAAGAACGATAGAAAGAGTCAGGATGTGTATCTGTGTGTGCAAGTATCTGGGACGAGGTACCTTGCGATGAGTGGCGGCCGCGGTGTAAAGGTGTGTCAATCCAGTCAGTCCAAGGGACCGCCGGCGCAAAGAATGAATCAAGATCCTTTTCCAAGCATGTGGCCCAGCTGGGCTGGCTGGCGGTGCAGCGGTACACGAGGCGACGATGTACCTTACTTACACAGAGAAATCAAGGCCCAGGCGGGGCCATCAGCTGGTCTGGGACCGTGGGCAAAGAAGTTTGAGGTCAAGTCACGGGCCATGACCTGATGGGCGACTAGGTTGGCAAGGTTGGCCAGTCCTCCAATGTAAAAGTTCAGCAGCAGTGGTAAAAGCATCTGCATCTGGGGTCTGGGTCTGGGTCCGGGTCTGGGTCTGAGCAGACGAGCAGGGCAGGCTAACTACCTACCTACGTACTCCGTAGATTACTCCGTCCGTAGGTACCGAGGATTGAACGGATGCGACTTCTTGGCAAGGGTTCTTGTTTACCGAATCCAAGGGACGAGGCATGTACATGCGGCGGCAGAAACGTTGCTCCCCCTCACTCTCTCTCCCCTGTCCGTATCACTTCATCACCGAATATGCATGCATGTCCAGGTTGAAACATGGTGCAGATGATCATCATCTCAGTCCACATGGCCCGGTCCATTCCAGTCCAGCCCTGTCCGGAGGGCGGAAGGCAAGGACAAAAAGGACAAGAATGGGTGTGTGATGAGGATGGAAGTGTGGTGTGTGTGGCCTCGAAATGGGTGCGATCCAATTACCGGGATTGCTGGAAAGGAGCCGGATCCCACTCCAGAGTGTGCTATCTTCGTCATGGCGGGTCACCTGCGCGGAAGGGCGGGAGGAAGCAAGCTGATGGACAAATCTTTCATGGTCCTCTCTGCTGTGGCAGAATATGAATCTGGATTAGGGGGCCTGGAACTGGTGTGGTGTCCATTTCGCCCCTTTCTCGCTGCAATTTTTGTTTTTCTGTTTCCCGGTTTTCTTTTACAAGTACAGCTGCTGCGGAAAACGCCTAACAGCCCGCGCTGGGCCATTCCAGGTTCCACTACGGAGTGCTTCGACCCTGAGAGCCCTGCGCCGATTCAGGCAAATGTTCCAGTTGGGTTTGGGCGGGATTCGACAGTGGACTTGGGGGCGCCCAAAGCGGGCTAGCTTGGGTTCCAAGGCTCAGTTTTCAGTTTTGGGGGGGCACACTTCCAGCAGGGATAGGGGCGGCAGGTTCCAGGTTGATTGCAGCCCGTAGGGGGAAGTGGTTTACAAGTACAAGTACAAGAGGTAGTTACAGGGGACCCAGCAGACGTCTGACGCTGTCGGACAGGCATCTTGCAGGCATCCACCCCCGCTCGCTTCAGCTGGTCCAATCCAGAATGGGCATTTGCGGTCTAGCGCGGCGCCAAGACGACAACCTCAGCTGAAAAGACGTCCACCCTCCATTCCCGTTGCGGCAACCTAAATCGTCCATCTCTTCATCCAACATTGAAGTGTGTCTTGCCCTGCCACGGAGCCCACGCCATGCCACGCCGTCTGTCTCGGGCGAGTGTGAAGTACCCTGAGCTATCTGCACTGGTGGCCAACCAACACCCGGCGCCGATTCCAGAAGCTTGTCGCTTTGGGCAAGGCGCCCTTCGATCAGCCGTCACCATCATCAAGGAGTCAGCCACCTACCTCAGATCTCCGGTTGGAATGGCCCCCTCCTGCAATTACGGAAGCAAGAAAAACAAAAAAAAAAAAAAAAAGAAACAAAAGAACATATCACATCTCCATCCAGCATTCACCGGCGTGTTTCCGTTTGGGGCCTTCCCCAGGGATCGCATCTGTGCCGCAAGCAAGGCGTAGTCCAAAACGTCATCCCCCAATACGGCAAGCCGTGGCCGGAATGGGCATGGGCAGTCGGGATGGCATATTTGCTTTCTCCTGCGCCGTCGCCGCCCGCTCCCATGTGAATGCAAATGCGGCTTGGTCGCGGGACGCAACAAGCAAGCTGAGAGTTCCCATAATCGGACGCCAGGGCGCGTCTCATGTTCCAGCTCGACTGTCCCCAAACGGTCCTGTGGCACGCCGGCATCCTCCGGGCTGCTCAGGACACCTGAGTATCTGTTCTGCGCGATCGAGCGCCGCATCAATGAATCGAGCAGAAAAGGAGGAGCTCGCTCGCTTGCCATCTCCAATGATCGTGGTAGCAAAGGGCTCCTCAGCAGACCCGAACCCACGCTAACATCCACAATAGGCTGTCTCCCATCGCTCTGGGCTTCCCTTACTCACCCACATGATGCTTGGCTCTGCTTCTTCAGCCCAACCCACGACGCAGAGCTAGACTCCTCCGGTCAAATAATGACTCTTGTCTTCCTTTCTTCCTCACCGCCTCATCCTATCGCCATCATATCGTCGATGAAGAAGAGACACCACCGCCCTTACCAGCTGGCTCCATCAAGCGTGCCGCCCCAGAATTAGTGGGCGTAGACTTTCACCCCGAGAGTCGGTGTCTTTGGTTTGTTTTGGTCCTCTTCCCTCAGCACCTGGAGAGATCCAATAGACGGGCACTCTACTCTGCAGGCATCAGTTCGATACGAATATCAGCGGGGATCATATTGGATCCTGTGGATCGCGCGGTACCCAACAGGAAGAGACGGGCTGGAGAACGATGTCCTTCTAAAGCAGGTTCGAGAAGACTTGCCGAGATCATTGGTCCAACGCTAGGCCCGAGATTCCACCGTCAGCTGGCTCGAGTACCAACACCAGAAGCTACTACATAAGCTTTTCATTTTTGGTGGTATCCAAGGGCTTGGGTCCTCTTGTGTTCCCCCCTTCTCCTGTCGTGCGGTCACAAGCCGGGTGACACATGTGGAAACCTCTTTGATTTCCATCCGATGACTCGCAGTCTTGTCTGTTCGCTACCGAGACGAGGATGCTACTGCGGGATGTCTTCAGCGATTAGCGATGAGATGCATGCCGCTCTGTCCGGCCGTCATCACCTTGTTCGCGGTACATGGCCATGTGGACTGGGTTAGATTTCATGCCTGCTTGCGTGCATGAGACTGTCCTTTTGGCGCATCACATGTATGCACCACTGCGCGCAGCTACTCCATAAGCAGTATGGGGTGGGGGATCTTCGATTGACCGCATGCAAGATCGCGAATTGCATGAAGTGGATTTGTGCGCAAAAAAATGCGTGGTTCTTTTAACCTCGAGGTCGATATGCCCACGATTCCCAAGATCGTCATTTATGACATCGCAAACACAGCTGAAATCCCTTCCTCGGCCTCGCAGAGTCGGTAGATCCCACCAGCATGGAACCCGTATCCAGCCTGGTGCCAGCTCATTAAGATCGGGGAAATATCGCCTGTCCCAAATCTTTCGGGGTCGTCGACCGACCTTCGTTCGCCCAGGGTCCATCGACCAAGAGACTGAGAACGCCAATGCCAGCCGGCACTGCTTGAGCCGACCTCTCCCCCACAACATTCCTGCATCGATGCCCGTCGCCCATGATTCTTCCACGGTCCCACATCCACCATGATCGGTCCCGCCCACCGCCTTAGTCGGAGCTGCTGCTGGAGCTGCTGGAGCTGCCACTACCGCGGCGCTTGTGGTGCTTATCGTGCTTGTCCTTGTGCTTCTTGTCCTTATCCTTCTTATCCTTCTTGTCCTTTTTGTGTTTCTTAGTCCTGTGGAGAGAGAGAGGGCACCGTCAGCATTAGGTCCTCGCTTGTAACCAATATTTGTATTCCCCGAACACGCTGGTTACGCAGGGCGTGTCTTGGAAGAGGGGAAGTACGTCCCAAGCTGAAGCTCGAACCGTAAATAGTGTAGGTGAGATGGATTTTGTGCCGTGGGGATCTCGATTGCACCACACTACTTACTTGCCCTCGAGCTTGTGCTCGATGAAGTTGGCGCCCACCGCGCCAGCCACCGCGCCCGCCATGGTCCCCAGCGCGCCTCCGCCGGCGGCGTGCGCAGCCCAGCCGGCCGCCCCGCCGCCAATCAGCGTCGCGCCGAGGCCACGTTCGTCCTGCGGTCCCCCGGGTCCGGTTTGGTACTGTGGCTGACCACCACCACCATCTCCTCCTCCTTGGGGATAACCGCCGCCGCTGCCGTACCCTTGCTGCTGCTGCTGCTGCTGGTACTGCTGCTGGGGAGGAGGGTACGGCGAGGTGCCCCTGCCGTCGTGGCCGTAGGTCTGCTGCGGCGGGGGAGGATGGCCGCCGTAGGGCCCTCCCTGCGGCGCGGGGCTCGTGTACGCCTGCGGCGGCGGCGGCTGCTGGTGCTGCTGGGCGTAGCTGGACTGGTCGCCGCCGTAGCCGTACCCTTGAGGAGGCTGCGGCGACGGGTTGGGGCTGTAGCCTTGCTGATAGCCACCGCCCTGGTGCTGTGAGTTGGAAGATACGTCGTGCGTTAGCTTCGTCTTGGCTTCTGTCTTGGAAGGGAATGCATGCGAGCTGGGTCGCATCAGATCTGGGCATCCATGCAAGGCATGCTTCCCCAGATGCCAGCTGCACCCTAGAGATGTACCCTCATTGACTAGAGGGCGAAGAAAATCCTACAAACCTGCGACTGGTAGCCTTGCTGCTGGTGTCCTGCTCCCTGCTGGTACGATCCGCCGCCTCCGCCGTAGTTCTGCTGGCCGTAGGCCTGCTGTTGCGGAGGGAACCCGCCCCCGGCACCGCCGCCGCCGCCGTAGTAGTCGTTAGCTGACATCGCTTGCTTCTGCTCCGTAGGGCTTGGTCTGGATCCGCCTCGAGATATGCCCGTTCTCTGGATATGGAGAAGTGAACAGAGGTCTAGAAGCCCCTTCTGGCTCAGCTGGTTTAAGTAGCGTGTTCGGAGTGAACCGGCGGTCGTTGGCCTCCCCCAGCCAGAGGCTCTTCCCTAGCGAGCTCCGTCATCTTTGGCGTGTGGCGCAGCCTCTTTTGGGTGGGCAGGTGCGGGGTCTTCAGGCCGTGTTCTGGGCCTGGCATCTGGCTGGAGCAAACAGCCACAAAGGAGGGGCCGGCTTGATGATGTGATGACTTTATTTTTCCAGTCATGCATCCGTTTTGTTCTTACTGGGTGCTTTGTGCTGTGCGGTAAATGAAATCATGGGATGGGAAGCCTTGATAGTCGAGATCATCCCGTTTTGCTGACAGCTTGTCGTTCAGCTGGACAAAACCACAACTGTTTGCAAGCTATCAACCAGTTGACCTCCTCCCATATTTCCCCGTAGAACTTCATCGACGCACCTGTCGCGTGGAATACGATCTTACGGAGAGTATGAATGGAATTTGTGAGGAGTAGCCTGCCGAGTTTACAGTTCACGGCATACAGGCGTCAAAAATTCCCCAAAAATGCACTTAAGTCTTTCAACCTGTTCAGCTATTAGATATCATAAACATCTATTAAACGTCATCTACAATGGCTTCTGCGCCCAGACAACTATGCTACGGCTCTGTTAGTAAGACAGACAACCAATGGCAACGCCACACTTAGAATCAGGACGATCACGGGGGGGGGGGGGAGTGAGCCACTCACATAGGCACATATCCGTGCTTGCGCCGGTCCTTCAACTCGGCCCTCACGTCGACGAGGAACAGCTCGACGGCCTCGCGCGTCCACCCGTGCACCTTGGTGCAGACCTGCATCGTGATGCCCTGCGCCACCTCGAGCAGGTTCGTCATCATGAGGCTGCCGCGGATCTTCTGCTCCTCGCCCCGGGCCCAGGGGTTCGCCGGCACCGCGTACTTCTTCTCCTGCACGTCGCGGAACCCGGCCTCGGCCAGCCACTTCTTGAGGTGCACGCACGCGAGCGGGTCCTTGCCTGTTTTCCTGACGCCTAGTTGTAGGTGTCATTTTTGACCGTTGTCAGTGGAAGAATAGAAAATGGTGGAGAAAAGAAGTTGTGTGCTGGTTTGATTTTGTCTAGAGAGAAAAGAAGACCGAACCTTCAACCATGAGAGTCTGCCACTGCTCCAGTGCGGTGCCCTTCAGTGAGTCGTCGATGGCGTCCATAGTCATGAGCGTCTCCATGAACTCGACGTACCCGCCCGGCTTGAGGTTGTCGTAGATGTTGCGGATGAGCCTGGGCACGTCGGACAGGAAGCCTACGATGTAGCGGCCGTGTATATAGTCAAACTGGTGGCGGTACACCCATTCATCTTCAAGATCGTCAATCTCGAACCGGCAGTTTGGTGGCACGTACTCTGGCTGGATGGGCGAGAAGTCCGTCCCCAGGACGTCGGCTTCTGGGTGTTGCTCGGCTTTGCAGAGATTAGCAACTCTGGGTCGTTTGGTCGACTAAAGAATGCATTGTCAATGCGTACCAAACTCAATGGCCCATATTCCCGTGCCCGTTCCAATGTCTAGTGCGCGGTGGACGTTGTCTCCAATCGGAGCTAAGTAGAGTTTGCCATTCAGAACTCGCGAGGCTAGAGCATGCTGCAGGTCTTCCAATCATGTGTTAACGGCATGTAGACTCTATCAAGATAATGCTTGACCCCTTACATACCTAATCTGTTTTGTTCTTTCTGTTATACGAGCAACATGTTCAGCAAATACCTCGTCATGTTCGATGGTCACACAAACCTCGTCGTTTGGCAAGTAGTATTCTATTTTGTGTCAACATTTGTTTTAGAAGGTACTTTACAATTGTTGACTTACTGCCTTCTTTACTGCAAGCACACGTACTCGAGTCAGTGCCGTGAGCATATGGAACGCCCGGGAATATTGACATACTATCTGTGGTAAGTACGCCCAAACTCCTCAACAAAGTCGAACACACTAGACGATGCCGAGACGCTGGACGACCTACATCCCGTCCCGTCCCGTCCCGTTAGTTTCATAATCTTCAAACAAAAGAACGCACCCGCCACTCACGCTCTATCTATGTCTCCAAGGCTCGAGTTCGCATCGCTCTCGTCAGAGTCAACCTGCACAAAGCTTCAGCCCACAAAGAGCAACCGGATGGGGACTTGATAGGAGACTATGCCGCACACTCAATTCGATCGAAAAGTTACTCAGAGCGCTGATCGAGGGCGCACCCTCCTGCTCGTGGTCCTCGTTACGCTCCGCGCCGCTACCATGGCCGCTATCTGCCGAGAGCGGCGACCCGAGCGCCTCGTCGCCGCCCGCAGCATCAGGTGACGAGCGATCGTCTGGCTGTGGCCGCTGCTCCTGGTGCTGCTGCGGCTGACTCGGCACGGTCGTTGCGCTGTGACTGCTCTCCATGAGCTGAGCTGGGATGCCCGCCAAGGGCTGTTGGTTCCTCGCGAGCGGGTGAGTAAGACCCGTGGCCTGAATGTGGGACGCGCCGTGCTGACTGCGGATCGACTTCGTCGTGTCAGCATGCAAGCTGGGCGGTCTGCATCGTGTGTGTGTGTGTGTGTACACAACCGTTGAGGAAATTGTCGCAGAATCAGCCAAGTTTAACCGCCCGGCCGGAGGAGGGGGGCCTCAGTACAGCTGGGCAAGGGTCTGGATTGTCTCGCAGCAGCAGCATGTGTTTTGTCATCATCGGCGTGATAGGGAGGGAGAAAGCGACCCTATTGGAGGCGAGATAAGCTTTGTGGCGACCAGGAGAGGGTGTGCTGCATGGATGCATGCTGGACCTATCAGGTCCAGAATCATCCCGCGGCACAACTGGGGTAAAGATTGCATGAATCACACCCGGCAAGGGATGATGACCGAATTCAGTATGAGGATGTGAAAGAAAGTTGAAATGGATAGACAGCGTCAGCCCGTAGTATTGTGTTTCAGAGTATGTTATGTGCACCTAGATTACGTTGCCCGCTCTCTGCGGTGGCAGTGGTATCAGCGTTGAAAACATGTAGCAGGGCCCCATACATCAGGAGCTCTATGAAGAGAACATGACCACGATAAATGATCCATTGTGACAGCTGATCAATCGATAACTGAATATCATTCCCTCAGAGCTTGCTCCACCTCCCGAATCAGCTCTTGCAGGGTAGGAACGCAGATGATGCCGAATCTCCGGCACACAATCTGCACGTTCCCCCGCTTGGAATACCCCTCCGGGCACCCCACGATGGCCTTACGGCCAGATCCCGCCCGCAGACCCAGCTCGAGCAGGCTGATGGGCGCGTCGGTGCCGGGCTGGAAGTAGACGACCGTGATCTCTGCGTCCTGTTGCCTGTCGAGCTCCCAATTCGTCTGCTCTACAAACAGGTCGTAGGTGAGCTCCTCCCTCCAGGTCGAGTCCCAGTCTGGCCGGAACGGGTTGAAGATGGTGACGGGGAAGTCCCTCAGTGCTTCGATGACAGGGTCCCTCCAAAAGAAGGGCTCTGTTTTGGCCTTGGTCGTTGTACCGGCGAGGAAGACCTTCTTGTTGCCAGGCTTCGCTGGCTGCAGGCTTGGAGCGAGTATGACCTGGCACAGGGATCGTTGCTCCACGATGGGGAGCATCTCGAGTAGCACTGTGCGACCGGCGCTGTGTAGTCTGCCAACTGTGAAGTTTCTAAGCGATCACGAGAAGTTCGAAGAGCTGTGGCGGGACTTTCTGTCATTCAGAGCTATCCAAGCTGCAGCAATAGCAGGAATACTTGAAGGTGGAGGAGAGCTGAGTGCATCGCAAAATGCGGTGGAAGCGGAGTCTGCCTTGGAGGCCTGCGCACCCGCAATTGAGGCTGACCATCTCACATAATCGCTCAACTATATTCACCAGTACGCATCTATGGGAATAATTCCTCTGCAGTTCCAGGCTCTTGGACTTGGCAAATGCACCCGCAATTAGAAGAGATGCCCTCTGTTCCTCTTCATCACCACAGGACCCCTGACACGGCACGGGATGCCCAGGCTGATCAATCCCCGCTCGGCATCGGCAGTCGTCTACGAAACGCGTCTTGGCAAATCCGAATCCCAGGACCGGTGCAATTGTCCCCGAGCTGAGTCTTCCTGTATTTCTTGTCGATAATCAGATGGTTGAAAAGGTGCGGCGGGAAGACCGTTTGCCACTACGGCAAAGGAACCGAAACCCGACAAGCAAACAAGAGCCGTTGCCAAGACGGGTGTGGCGCCTGTCACTACAAGAACAAGCAGGGACACCATGTAACAACACTAGCAATCACCTGCCGCATTACGGCTAAGAGCAAGGAGGTATTCAGCGGTGGTCAAGTCTGTCCGTCCTCTTTTCATCGCCATATCCGGCGCTCTTGATTGCCGATCAATGCTTATCCGGCTGTTTGGAGTTGAGAGGAAGCGGGCAAGGCGGGGGACAGTGGTAATTCCCGTAGTGTTCCCCATCCGCACTCTGCCAGAAGAAGAAGGTTGTCAGACTGCAAGCGCACATCCGTTGCGCATCTTAACAAGCAGATCCCCGCCCGCCTAGGTCACAAGGAGGAAGCTCTGGTGCAAGTCGGCAACACCCTGCATATATCGACCAATCAGCGGGACTTGGAGGGAGGACTCGATCCCGGCGGTGGGTAGGGAGGTCGCGGCCGATAGCACTGGCTCATATCAAGCTCTCTCTCCGACCGCCGGGGCCACATGCATGTATGCAGACAGGGTCAGTCTTATCATTGGGAGGTATGATGAGGATGTGCATACGCCCGCCCGGTCGTAAAACATGCGGGGAAGACATCTGGCACCTATATGAAGCCAAGCTTGCTGACCTCATGACACTCGACTCTGTCTTCCCCTTGCATGATACACTCAATAGTCACACTGAGATTGGAAGAAAAGAACGCTCGTACAATTGGGTTGAGGCTTGCCTCAGCTGCTGAGATCATCATGCTACGCAAGACTGGCACGGGGACATGGCTTCCCGCATGGGTGCCAGAGTCCAGCGGTACTCTTGCGATTCTACTCATGTTATGCTCCGTCGTTCAGTCCTTAGTCAGTTGGATAGCACGCCCTTCTCTAGCTCTATCTTTTTCACAACTCTGACCTATCTCATAGACTGGCGGCTACGACGGCTCAATGCTGAACGGACTCAACATTTTGCCCGTGTACAAGGACTACTTCAACCTGACACCCGCCACAAGTGGTTTCAATACGGGATGTGTCTTCATCGGCGGCGCTCTGGGCCCCATTTTCGCGGGCGTCTGTGCTGACCGGTTTGGACGCCGCCCTGCGATCTTTTATGGTTCAATCATCACCTTCATTGGCATCATCATTCAGGCGGCTGCGCAGAACATCGCCATGTTTGGTATCGCACGTATCATTCTTGGGTTCGGCTCCCAGATCTCAGGCATCGGCGGGGGCGTATATCTGTCCGAGACCTTCCCCAGCCGGTGGCGTGCGTGGGGTGTCGGCCTCTTGAATGACTTTTACTAGTAAGAACGCTCAGAATCAGGAGCCAGGTCGTGAAGAAGTATTCTGATCGAGAGACTTAGTGTTGGCGCACTGATCGCGGCTGGGATCACTCTTGGGACCGCCCAGTGGCAGTCGACCTGGGCGTGGCGGGCTCCTTCGCTCTTCCAAGGAATCTTCTCCCTGATGTGCATTCTCATACTACCCTTTATGTAAGTCATATGCATGTCGGGGAGCTGGCGCTACTCTGATCAACGAAACTCACTTTGTGCAGTCCGGAGTCGCCGCGTTGGCTGGTGCACCGTGAACTATACGAAGATGCTAGGTTATCGGTGGCGCAGACCAACTCGAGCGGAGACATCTTCGACCCCGTCGCAGTCACGGTCTACAAGGAGATCTTAGATACCCTGGAGTGGGAGAAGAAACAAGGCCGCACCATGAGCCCGAAGGAGATCTTCAAGACTCCGGTAGCTCGAAAGCGCCTTTTGATTGGCATGTCAGCGGGACCCTTCTCTTGCTGTGTCGGTAACATTATTGCCTCTTATTACCTTGGGCCAGAACTGGAAACTGCTGGCATCAAAGATCCCAACGATCAACTCAAAGCGGTAAGAAACTCGACTCCCATCTGGCAAGACGGCTTGTTGACACACACTTGCCAGAACGTCGTACTCAATGTCTGGTGTCTTGCTTGTGCTCTCGTAGGAACACACCTAGCTGCTAACTGGGGCCGAAAGCCCACCGCCATTCTCTCACAATGCCTCCTCATCATTTGTCTTTTTATCATCGGCGGACTGTCGAAGATCTATGCCGACAATGAGAACGGCGCTTCGAAGAGCCTCATCTACGGGGATGTGGCTGTCATGTTCCTCTTCCAGGGCTTCTATTCCATTGCCTGGACGCCATTGCTATATCTCTACCCGCCTGAGGTCATGAACTTCTCAATCCGTGCCAACGGCCTAGCCTTTTCAACATTTGGTCTGAGCTCTCTAGCGTAAGCCATACTGCACCCATCTTACACAACCAGCTACTAATACCTGGCTCCCAGGGTTGTGCTCGTCTTTGTCATGCCGATTGGCCTTGCAAATCTCGGGTATAAGATGTACTTCATCAACGGATCGTGGGATATAATCATTTTAGTATTGATCGTAAGGCACAACTGTTCAGTCCATGTAGTTTGTCAATATCAGGCTGACCAAACCTTTTTCCACAGGCTGTCTTCTGGGTAGAGACCAAGGGCAAAACTCTAGAAGAGATTGACGCCATATTCGAAGGCGAGAAGCACTCCAACGTACCCGATGTGGAGAAGGTCAGAAGAGGCCAGGAGACAGTGGATGTCCAGGCAGTCGAAAAGGAGATCGAACGAGACTTCTCCGCTCTCAAGAACGAACAATATGGCGACCACTGATCCGAAGAGGCTATATGTAGTATTAACAGCACAGAACGAGGAGATTGGTGAGAGGACAGTGGAGAGGTCCCGTGGAGGTACGTGAAAGGAGGTGAAAATGGTGGATCAACGAAGACGAATAGAATAGCTTTACGTCGTCTATTAGTAAATCATAAACTTTTGTCGTCTCTAATATCTAGCCTCCAGAGTCAATTCTATCTTGCTGTTATTTGCTCCCCCACCATGCTGCAGCAACCTCAGCCGGTCTCACCCCTCTACTTCCAATCCTCCGGAACAATCTCCCTGATATTGCTCTTGGCCAAAGTAGACGTCTCATCAAGCACCTCCACCATCCGCGCCCTCACTTCGGCGTTCCTCTGGTCCCACTTCTGCGCGGCGCCCAGGTGCTCCATGGCCAGGCAGATGACCGACTCCATGAGGCGCTTGGCCATGGGTCCCGCGACGCCGTGCTCGTAAAAGGCGGGCGTCTCGTTGACCTCGAGCAGCCACGCGACGCCGTCGTCGTCGACGAGGAAGTCGAGCGCGAACAGCTCGAAGCACTTGTCGAGCGGCGTGAACCGGTCGCCCATGGTGTACGCGGCGGCGCGGAACGTCTCGGACGAGATGGAGCACATCTGCTCAAACACGCGCTCCTTCCACTGCGCGCCCAGCGCGGGCACCATGTCGTCCGGGAAGTCGGCCCAGAAGTCGCGCATCGAGTTGTTGGCGATGAACTCGTCCTCCTCCTGCAGCGACGTGTTGGTCAGCGACGAGGTCAGCGACGGGTTCTCCCAGGGCGGCTCGTAGTCCTTGAGCGCGAGCAGAGCGAGGCACTCGCGGAAGACGTGCACCTTGAGCCGGCCCACCGAGAGCACGTAGGCGCGGACGTGCCACTTGCGCTTCTCGATGGTGGGGACGCGGACGATGTACCGCTGTGCGACGAACTCGCGCAGCTGGGCCGAGGGGATGCGCTCGTCCTCCTTGAAGGTGTACCTGATCTTGCCCTCCTTGCTCTTCTGGGCGGGTTCCTGCTGCTGCTCGGCCGTTGCTTCGAGAGACAGTTTGCCAGAGGCGGTGACCAGGGCGTCGAGAGAGCTCAGGCCGGGGATGGACAAATTTGGCTTGAAGCTGTCTGCTTCGCCCTCGGTCTCGGGAGTGTCATCCCCATTCTGCCCGTCCTTGTGGCCATTGGTCAACTGCTCGTCGTCTTTCGCGGATGCCTCAGGGCCCTTGGAAGCCTTCTCCTCCGCCTCCTCCTCGCCAGTGTATTCCTCGGTGGTGTCGTCGGCGAACTCGACAAGCTCCAAGTTGTTGGCGAGCTCTTCCATGGTACTAAAGATCCGAATTCCGGCACCACAATCGCACAAAGCGGCCTTGAGAATCCACCACTCGCGCTCGGAAGGGTCCTTGTCCTCATTCTCCTGCAGCGAGTAGTACAGAGTCAAGTCGTCGGCCGCCATGAGCGCGTCATCCACGTACTCGGCATAGTCGAGGGTCAATCGGATCGTCTGGGGTGAGTGCGTCCGGAGAATGGTGTCGGGCCTCTTGGCTGACCAGTAGTCCACGACCTGCGCCAACAAGTCTTTGCGGGCCAGGGCGTCGCTGCTGGGGTAGGCGTTGATCAGGCCGTATTCCGAGGCATTCAGGACGGCAAAGTGCTGGTTGAGCTCCCATCCATCGGCATACTGAAAGATCTTCTTAATGCCGGGTTGCAGGTCCGCGACATCGTGGATGAAGGTTACGTCTGGGATGTGCTTTTGGATATAAGCCCTGATGTGTTCATCCAGCCAGGAGTTGGCGCTTCGGACGTACGCATGCATTTTGTCTTCCATTTCACAAAGTCCGGACGATCTTGAGGGAAATGTTTCTGGTCATGCAGGGGAGCTTCAACGGCAGGCCAGGCCTTCTTCTGGCGGGAGGACGGCTTGAGGAGGGATCTGGGTATAGATGACTTGTGATGCCATAGGGGCGAGGCAGCGCTACAAGATGTCTTGATGATAGTGTTTCTGAGCAGAGCTGAGTCTTTTCGCGGACACGGACGGCAGCTCGTCTGGTTTACTCTTGCGAAAAAAGACAAAACAAAAAGTTCTGGAAAAATGCAGGGGACTTTTTTGCTTGGCTTTTATACGGATCGGGCGGCATCGCGATGTGTAAGAAATCCATCAACGATCAAGCCGAGCCAAGATGCGCCAAGTGCAGCCGTGGAGCCGAATTACCTAACATCATGCTACCCGACTCCCCACCGAGGCCCGGTGCGCAGTCTGACTGCCTGTCGTTTTGGTTTTCTGAATAATGCCGAGCCTTTCTGTCCCAAATAGGGACATTATTTTAATAATGAGAGCCTCGCAGCCAAGCAAATGTCCCTGACAATCCTTCACTGACCCTGCCAAGCTGGTCCACTATCACATGGCGCGTCTGGCTTGAGAGTGATGCAGATGCATTTGAGTCAGTGCAGTTTTAGTGGACGTGCAGACGTAGTAACTATCTTAACAAGTAAAAGTCGGATCAGTTGGTAGGCTGGTAACAGTAGTATTTGACAATCTATCAAAACAATCGACTCTAGAGAGTTTGATAATCTGTGTGGCTTTCCAAGAAAGTAGACTCTCTTGGTGACACGATCTTCCTATCTAGTCTGGAATCAATCGAGTACCGGTCGCCTCTAACGAGCCAGTGATGATCGCACTGACTGCGACAGCTACTAATAAGAACCCGAACCGACTCCTCGCAGTCCGGCCCACAGCCAAGGTGAAAAGGTAGCCAGGGGTGAGGAAGAGGCAGAATTCCCACAACTTCCTTGGTGTTGGGTTATATGTGTCAGAATCAGGATCCTCCAGAGGCACGGCCGCGCTCAGGGCGAGGTCAATAACCAATAGCATCACCAGCACGACTCCCCAGATCAATTCTTTCCTCATCCAACACCAAATACCTCTCGCGAAGCCAAATGATCTAGGGTCTTCGAGCTTCGCCGACACATATTGCCCTCCATGGAGATGCTTGTCGACAATTGCTTCGATCTCTTCGTTTGTCAAGTGGTCTGCATCTTCGGCGAGCTCTTGCAATTCGGCACGTACGGTATCAGCGAGTCCCAGTATCGCTGTATAGTTCTGGGGAACGTGTCCCGAGTCCCGCATCTTGAGAGTTAGGTGGCCTTTAAGCCACAGGATGTAAAGCCCAATGCCCCATAAGTTCAATAGTAAGAGCAGGATGAAGAGTTGAAGGAAGGAAAACCCCCATTGATACTCGTAGTTTTTTGACACGTCGCCCTAGTCGAAGAGGATTAGTATTGATGAAGATCAGAGGTCGAAGTAACATTTTGAGCCTCGAGAATGAACCAATAGTAACTTACTGATTGAGACTGGCAGCTTCCCCTGTCCTCAAACGACGATATATCAAACGCGCGATTGTCATAGGCCATCTTAGCCATAGACATGTCTTTGAATGGTTGTTCCCCGGAACCATTGACCCAATCAGCACCAAAGGGAGACTTCAAATGGGAGAAGGGGGATCTGTCCCCTCTCCTTCCCCCGTAATCGTCGGGAAGATATGTAGCCGAGATATTGAGAACCGGCCCGGGCAGTTTCCTGCCATACCACTCTGTCTCTGTACTATTGTTGAGGCCATAGAAACCATACTTGGAAACATCTAGTATCCATAGGTGTTAGGCTGAGCCAAGACTCTCTCTCTTTCCATTTTCCAAGGACGCACTAGTGTCACTTACAATCCGACGCATTCTTCCGGAGGTTGCAGATATCTTCCGAGACCATCCAATAGCTGGACCTAGTGAGGTTATTGTCCGTGAAACATGTATAGACTGAGTCGGCCAATGAAGTTGAGAACCAATCCGATATCCCGTCTGTTAATGTTTAGTATATGAAAGTTGTTGCCGCTCCGTTCTACATCTCAAGGCAATGGATCACCATACCAAAGTCGAGTTTCCTATCGCTAAGAAGGATCGGATAGTCGGCAGGCAAACCGACACGAGGGCCGTCGTGTATGATATACAGAACCGGCCTGAAATTAGTCACTAGGACCCAGTTCTTGTTGTGATCGGCGATGAAGGCCTCGATGCGAGGGGTGTAGCCGGTCATGGCGCTGGCCAGGGTCGGGAAGAGTAGCGCAAAAGCGATGACGAGCATTATGAAAACCGTAGCAATGCGGGAGTTGAGACGCCGTCGACGGGTGAAGTCGGATATGAGAGAAATGCTGGACATAAAAGACGGCTCCCGATCCAGGAAAAACGTGCGAAACGTCCGGTAGGTGACGGGAGTGACTTGCATTGACGATGCAACGTAGATAGCAACAACACGCCAGGAAACGTACGCAATGAGCGCCTGGCCACCACGGCCAACAAGCTGATGGCGGCATGAGCATCGATCTTTCCAATCCCAACACATTCACCAAGACCGAAGTTACTCACCACATCCCAGGCAACATCAACGACCTTGGCCTGTGCGAAAGTGAGACTCCCGAACGGCAAGGTGATCTGGAAGAACCCTGAAGATTGCCACAAGCTGTATCTGGTGAATGGGTCGAAGTTCCCGTCGGGATGACAGGCGCTGGAAGAGATCCAAGACGGGTATCTCGTGAGCACAAACCCCATAGTCCAAGCTATCGTGACAATCCACGCAAGGATCAGAGCCCAGACTGCCCAGTTCTTCCATCGTACCGATTTGATATCTGCCAAGACTGCCTGGCGGGTGAGCTTCAACTGATGGAAGGCCATAAAGGCCACCTGGTGTGTTTCGTGGCGCTTGTTGGTAGAGCCATCGCCCTCAATGAGAAGCGGATCGAACCTTTCTTGTCGAACCTCGCTCATAGTGCCATGACTGGATCTCAACGGTGCTGCTACAAACAAAAAGGATCGAGATTTGTAATGTGAAGATTGAACGGTGCTGAGTTGCGAAAGTCAGCGCCTCGGTTTGATGCTTAATGCACGTGCTGGGTGAAGGTCAGAATCAAGCTTAATAGGTACCCTGGTCGTGTCTGCAGGCTGTGCTGTGCTGTGATAAGTAGCGATCTGCCCTGGTGATTGAAAATCACAGCCCCCATCATTTATGTCATCATGCAGCAGCTGGAGCGACTCTCCCCCAGACATTGACAGGGATGTCAGAACAAGGATGAACCCGTTCATAGCCACTGGTTTCCACCCAAGCCACCGCAATTTTATCTCCCTGCAAATACAAGTACAAGCAGCTTATCTTGACCGTGTGCATCAATGCTTCCACATGTCAGCAATCTACGTCATGGGGCAATCTTGAAGTCTGGGGCGTAATATTTTACTCGCATGCCATTTGGGAGAGCTCCTCTACATTCCTATAATGGATTTTATTGTGTAACTCTGAAGCATAAGTCTCACAAGCAATATCCCGAACGTCCTGATCTGACAGAAAAGGAGGCACGGTCCTCCAGCCTTCTAAATCCACCGTCAAGGTAGCCACCTCCGATTCCCGTGATGCGAAGTCATCTTCCCTCCGTGGGTTTCGATCGTCGCTCGTTCCACTACCTTCAGCGCCTCCGCAACCGGCCCTTCAGGCGTGGGAGGACCTTTGAAGCTAGGCTCATACGTCGCGAATGCCTGTCCTAGCGCCTGCACTCTCTCCATCAGCTCCGGAGGAACTACACGTAGATTAGTCCTGTACGGTCTTCTCGGTAGTGCCACCGTAGGTGATCAATTGCAAAAAAGACGTACCGTCTAGGAATGGAGAGAGTGAGGTGACAAGCGGGGGAAGGGCGATAGCCATGACAAGAATGCCCTCTCCACTATATTCGGCATGGAAGCAAGCTGTGAGGTAGTTCAGCGCACATTTGACCAGGCCATATGGCACTGAAAACTGGATCTTGAGGTCTGCAACTAGATCACCATCGGCTAGGCCCGTCGACATGACCACAATCTTCTTGAGCGCACCTGCTCTAATCAGAGGTGCGAAATAGCTGATTAGGTACGAATTGCCAATAACGTTGCTGTTGAAGCCGCTCTTCATTTGATGCTCGAAGACATCCGGCTTGTCCAACGCGCTGCCCCAGGCTTGAGTTAGTATCACCAGACAAATCTTGTTGCGGCAATGATGACACCACAGCACGCCAAAGCAGATCTCTAGGAGGACTCACAGCTCACTAACGGTGTCTAAGCCGATGAAGCTAGTAGCACCATTCACAAAGAGTATATCAAGTGATCCTCCCGTGATCGCCGCAACTTCTTGGGCGGCAACCTACACTCCGTTAGCTTCAGCCAGCCGTAGCAACATTCGGGCCGTCTTCAACGCTAATACGACTTCATGCCTACCTTAAGCGACTCCCTGTCGTCGAGATCACCTTTGACCACCTTGATGTTGGTACGCCCAGGGAGCTCGGATTCGATAACGGCTTTTGCATTGTCTGGGTTGCGATTGATGCCTATGACGAGGTTCTCAGGATCGGCAGATATCTGCTTGAGAAGTTCGAGCTACTGATAGTCAGCTTGACACACAGTTATGAGAAAGACATCTCTGACATACGCCCACATCGCGTGTTGTCCCAGTTATTGCAATGGACGGCATGTTTGGAAGCGATAGAAAAGACTGGGGGACGAGGATGTCTTGGGTGTTAATGAAGGAAAGAAGGTTGCAACTCGACTCCAACCAGCCGCAGAAATTGTCGACAGGTTAGATAGGCCGCAGAAATACGGAGCCCCCTACTACGGATCCAGCAATGGTACCTCTTTTGCCATAAATGTCTCAGTTCACACGTACCTTCGGTTTCCGGACAGCCCGCTGTGTCTGTGTGGAAACTAGTGCTTATTGAGAGGACATTGTCCGACAGATGTCAATGCGAGCGAGCGAACCAAATCTAATACGTCGTATGCGCCAAGGTGCCTCTCAACCCTCAATCCACTGGCCTTTAACCCTATGGAATTTGTGCATCGGTAGCTTATCTGTAGTTGCGTATTCGACCAAGCAAAATATACAGTTCACGGGCTACAGTCCAATGGGTGATTGTGGGGCGGAGTGCATTCTAATCTGATTTCTTGTAATAAACTTGAAATCACATTACGCCTCGATGACACTGCTGAGCGTGAATCTAGCTCCGACAAAGCAAGGCACAAGTGACCCTGGCATCTGCTGTTCCAGCAATTGCTTGAACCTCCACCCGGTGCAGTGACCGGGAATCATCACCTGTGGGCTGAGCTTCTTCAGATCATCCGCTGAGGACTGCATCTTCTCAGGCGTGGCATCAGCGAGGTGATAACCGCCAATCACGGCGTAGAGAGGGGCAGAGCCACCGAGCTCAACAGCATGCTTTGAAACGTTGACCACGCCTGCGTGACTACAGCCCGTGAACACAACAAGCCCCTTGTCTGTTTATTGTTAGATTGATCGCAAGGATTCCTCACCTCTCTCACACCTCGTCGTACTTGCCTTTAAGATTGCACATCACGAGTCTTTCGTCACTAATCAACTCATCGCTTCTCCATTGGCCAGTACTGGACTCGTAACGCATGGCAGCTCGGAGACCCCCCTCGTACTCTGTAACTCGCGGGATGCTCCCTGATATGAGAAACATGTCATCGAGGACGGTGTGAGCGGCAGCGTTTGTCGCAACTTCAGCCCCAGCATTTGACATCTCGTCAAAGGACGGATCGGCCTCCAGTGAGAAGATCTTGTCAGGAGCGAGGGCAAAACCACGAAAGTCCGGCCGATCCGGGTGCAAGTCGACGACGACCTTGTTTGCCGTGGGAGCTGACTTGGCCTTGGCATCCTGGATCATGCGGATGGCGCGGAGCATCCCACCTGAATGATCACGGTGCCAATGGGAAAGGTGGATGCGCTCAACCATCGCCAGGTCGATCGGAAGCCTCTTCGCATTGGCCTCAAATGAGTCCTCTGTGGGACCCGTGTCAAAGAGCAGTGTATGCCGAACATCGCCCTTGACGGCAGTCTAAAGCGGTGCATGGTCAGTGATCCTATCGTAGGGAAGCTCTGAGAGGAGAAGCGACACACTATACTCAAACTGAGCCCATGGGCGCCACAGCATACGGCGTGCATCGGGATCTCCGCCAGAGCTCCACCGCGGCCCTGTCCCGGAGGAATCGGAGATAGCTTGACCTCGGGGAGGCGGCCCTTATACTGCACACCGGGATGCACAACTGGTGAGATCGGGTCGACCTCATTGTCAACTATCACTGCGAATTCGATGCTGTCAACCTCCACGAGGCTGTTCAACGAGGCCATGTTGGAGCTTTTGTCCTACTCTATGAGGATCAAGCACAATAGAATTGGTTTGCAAGTGTAAGCAAGCAGCTTCTGGTGAGCGCGAAGTGACGGTAAGCTTCCAATCTGAGCCGAGATCAAAACTGACGTTGGATTTGTCGCCACGCTGAGGCAATCTGGCGCTTTTTGTACTTGTATGCCAGTTGTCAGCAAGTGGTTCCTAATCCTAATTACGAAGTATTTGTCCGAATGCTTGGGTCGTTCGGACGAATTGTGTCTCAGAAGGGAAGGAAGTCAGCATCGAACGATTCCACCGTGCTGGCGCTGACGTCACGTGTGCAATTCGGGAGCATCTCGGAAGGTTTTCGGCCCTCGGATTTACAGGATTCCAGACAGCACTCGGCGCCATGAAGTCCAGACCAGCGGAACAGATGATATATGACCTTCTAGGTCTCCCCTATGTTGACCATATAGCTACCTCGAGAAGTCGCGAATTAACCGTCCTTGAGTAGCGAGGAAGCAAGTTGGTGAGGTAGAAGGATGCGTATCGCAGTTCTACGGACTTACTGATGATCTCTTTGGCCGGAAAACTCACAGCACTCTTCAGTGTAGTCTTCACAATGAGCAGACTCCAGCCAATAGACTCGAGAGGATAGCTATCACCGACGGCGGTGTGCCGTAGCCCTCTTCGGAATGACCCCGTGCCTCCGTGCGGGGCAGCTGGACTAACCCCGAGGTTATTTGCGCCTAGTAGTCTAGTAGTACGCCGTTTGTACGGTGCCACGACAGTGAAAGACCATCAAAGTCCTGGTAACGATTCATCGAGCGCCAATTTCTCCCTCAAGTCATGTAACGTCTATACGTCTGACGATATCACAACATGACTGCAAAGATGCTAAGGCGGAGGTTGGGAAAGGATGGGCCCGAAGTGACCGCACCCGGACTCGGGTTGATGTCCTTGAGCATGGGTTATGGAAAGCCTGGGTAAGCTCGCACCCATGCAATAGCTTTGAAAACTCGGACAGTTAACCATAATTATGATGACAAAGCAATGATGAAGAGAGGTTAGCATTCTTGGACCGCGCATGGGAACTGGGCTGCCGGACATGGGATACCGCGGATGCGTATGGTGACAACGAGGACTTGGTTGGCAAGTGGTTCAGGTTGCATCCTGAGCGAAGGCAGGACATTTTTCTCTGCTCTAAATTCGGTTTTGTGAAAGGCGGGCTGGACAGCAGCCCCGGGCATTGTCGGGAGGCATGTGAGAAGAGTCTGGACCGGCTCGGCGTGAATCACATCGACCTGTATTACATTCATCGTGTGGATGGGAAAACTCCGATCGAGAAGACGATGGAAGAGCTGGCTCGATTGAAGAGGCAAGGCCTACGTTCTGCTTAGCCTGGAGTGCATGCGTCTTACTGACAACTAGTTTAGTGAGGGCAAAATCAACTATATCGGCATCTCTGCAGCTTCATCAGCGACGATCCGCCGAGCCTGCTACATCGCACCTGTGACTGCGGTCCAAGTCGAATACAGTCCTTGGGCGACAGATATCGAGAACGAGGTTGGCACACACCTTCTGCAGACGTGTCGCGAGCTTGGCATCGCCATCGTCGCCTATGCACCCCTAGGAAGGGGCTTCCTTACCGGCCAGATCAAGTCCCCCGACGACTTTGAGAAGGGAGACGTTCGCAAGGGGCTCCCGAGATTCAGCAAGGAGAACTTTGCCAAGAACCTGGCCATCGTGGACAACTTCAGAAGCATGGCCGCCAAGAAGGGCTGCAAGCCTGGCCAACTGGCACTCGCGTGGGTCATGGCTCAGGGCGAGGACTTCATCCCTATCCCGGGCACGAAGAACATCAAATATCTGGAGGAGAACGTGGGCGGGGCCGAGGTAGTGTTGTCAGAGGCGGAGGAGAAAGAGATCAGGACATGGGTTGCGAATGTGGAGGGTGAGACAAAGACGCCTGGCAATGTATTGGATTATGGTGACACTCCTCACCTATGATAGTTATTGAAATGAGTTATTGTAGTTATTTGAGCGCGTTTTCTGTGATCTATGCGAAGCAAGGCTCTAATGGTTGCTGTTCTATATGTGGGATTCTAGCCAAAAGTGAAATCTGTTCGAGACATGGTCCCGTACGTTCGCCCCAAACGACAAGTGAGCACCGCTTCTCAAGTTAGGCGTGAGGCCCATCCGCTGCTTCGGCAGCTTTGGCAATAGTGGCAGGAGCGATCTCTCCTTCAAGGGAGTCTATATCAGAGCCCGGCTTGGTCTCATCATGGGGCCGCTCAGGCACCAGGAATGTAGCGAAGGTAGTAGACGGAATGGTGACACCAAACATGGCGAAAGAGATGATAAGGTTTACCATGGGCCGGGTCTTCACAGCGCCGACGCCGTAAGACAAGGCAGATCCAACCGACTCGAACGAGCGTACAATGCCGACGCCAAGGGTCAGAGTTTCGATGTCGTCGAAGAATGTCCCGAGGATCCAGTAGACAAACATGTAATGTGACTCGTTCATGAAGCTGATGTTCAGGTCAGTAGAGCTCACATTATGCCAACTAGTTCAAAATGTTGACCTACCGCATGAGAACCATGCTTGCAAACCCGCGACCGAAGCCCGCATTGGCCCAATCAAGTGTCGGCTTGGGTGATGTGTTGGCATACAAATGCTCGTTTGCAGTCTGCCAGCCCATGAGCGCTAGCATGCTGACCGATAGAAAGGCCCAAGTGATCTTGGCCAGCTGAGGACGGCTGAAGTACTTCAGATCATAGAACCAGCCCCAGAAAATATTTGCGGCGCTCGCAGCAAGTCCAGAGACAAGCGCACTCAGAGCTCTGGCCCGAACCGAAAAGCTGTGTCAGAACTCGTTAATGACCGAGACGACGAACAGGTTCGAGGTGTGTTTGCTTACTAGGCGGCCTGATAAATGCCCAAATATGTGCCGTTCCAGTTGAAGCCAACCAGTACGGGAATCAGGAACAGCATCTGCTTCTTCTTCAACACGGCCCACCATCTCTTAAACTCGCCGAGGACAGCCTTGTTCTTGGTCGGATCTCGGAGTCGACTACCATCCGGTCGGATGACTTTCTCCGGAGGGGAGACGAGAAGAGCTAGGGGCAGCCCTAGGCACTGCAAGGCAATGAGCACGAGGTAAGTGCTGTACCCGACCTTGCCACGCTGACCGTCCTTCACGTTCAGAGATAACTGGATCGAAGCGCCAACGAGTTGGCCGAGCTCACGAAGGCCAAGCCAGATACCGGCTATAGCAGATGTCAGCGCACCGATAATGGTATAATATGAAAGCGGTGAAACCTACTAAACTTTCCGCGGTCATGTACAGTTCCATAGCCAAGGGCAATGGCGCCTTCAGAGGCCCAGAGAGCTGAGGCTGCGATCCCGCAGGTTGCGCCACCAAACAAGACGAACCACTCGACTCCATAGCGGTTGTTCATGTACAGCGCCGCGGAGTAGGGAGCGTAGCCCAGAGTACCGATGACGAGAACCCACTTGAGACCGATCTTATTTGCCAGAATCGAGAAAATGGAGCATCCAAAGACCATCAGGCTAACGAAAAGTTAGAAAAGCGCAGGTGCTGTTTATCAGTCACGGCCAAAACTCACCCGAATGTCAGAGCATTCGCACCGTTGACCAAGTATGGTTCTTGCTGACCACCGGCACCCGTGTCTAGAATCTGAATTAGCGGACGGAGTAGTGAGACGCGAGCTGGGCAACTGTACTGTTCAAGGCGTTCCAGATGCCCGGTTGAGTGAAGGAAATAAGTCCCGCCAGGATGACGTTGAATAGTGGACTTCGGTACCATCTCGTGAAACGTGACACGGACTTCAAGTGGTTCTCCTCGCCCTCAACCGGGAGATCATGGCTGACGACTGTGGCTTCCTGAATTGCCGCCATGTTTGGGGAGTCCACACTCGGTATCCACTGGCAAACTCCAACGATTGTCTTCCCAAGTCAAGGGAACATGCCAGAAAGCAGGGCAAGATTAGCCAGGAGACTGTTCCCTTTTTATCTTCATGAAACAACGATCCGCGATTTGACTAGAAAATTTTTTTTGCCCCGTTTACTGATACTCGAAGTTGAAGTGTGCGCTCCTGAATCCTGGTACATGTCGTGATCTGGTAGCGTGGATGAGACAATGACCAAAGTAACCAATCAGCAAGAGTCTTTCAAGTCTGAGAAATGGGGGCATACAGCCTGCCAAGGACCGACAGGGAGCCCGAGAAGCAGGTGGCCACTGCTTCTAGCTGATTGTTACAGATAAGTTGTGATGGCGCAATCGCTACGGGCCGCTGCCACGACACGAGAGCGGGTCAAGTGCATACCTGCAGAGCCGCGTGCAAAACTTGGAGATATACATAAGGCAGCTCACTGTCAATAATGTATGAGAGATGAAGAGATTAACTACCAGGTATTTCTATAAAAACTATCATCCGCTCTCATCCGCTCTTAAATTCATCAAACTGTCGGAACCATAACCGCCTCGGTGCTCAGCCGGCGTCCTACACGCCTTCAGTCGAGCTATCATCGCCCTACGAGCCCGGCATCATGTTCCCACTTTCACTGGCGCCGAGAAATGCGGATACCTTGGTGGAGGCCCTAGTCTCGGAGATACAGAGGCTTAAGGACAGTGGCCGGCTCCAAGCGCTCACCAAGCACGGCGCCGTCTACTTCCAGAATCCGGGCCTCCAAAACGCGGACGAGCTCTCGCAATTTGCCCACGCCTTTGGATGAGCGCCTCACGAAAACGTTGGAAACCTTGTGCGTCGGACGATGCATGTTGAGAATGTGGCGACTGCCAACAAGATCCAGCACGCAGCCGGTGTACCATCACAATGAAGTCGGCCTGAGCCCTCAGGCTTCTATCAATTACTATGACCTCGGTTCTGTTCTGCCTATCTACAGAAGCTCTTGAGACGAGGGTGGATGTCCAGCTAAAGATATTTCTGTGATTCTGTCCTTCATATGCTCAACAGGATATTCAACCTTGATACCGTGTGCTTCCAGTCTTTTCTGCCCGTCGTTGTTCTTGATGAATGTGCCAGGCTCTCGAATGCCCACGTATACCGTGTTGACGGCCCCCTTGAGCCGGATGATTCTGGTTGCACATGTCATATTCTTGCTCAGTCTCTCGTTGCAGGGTTCCATCGTCGTATACAAGACAGTATTCCTCGGTAAAACTTTGTAAATCTCTTGCTCTGTGAGCTTGTTGGCGTCGGCGATCTTGATGAAGCAGCACTGCTCTGCGTGTGTTGTTCCAGGATCTCCATTGTAGTCCCTAGGGTACTCTAACGAATATCCTGTAGACAACACCTGTCCCTTGTCTGCATCGACCAGTACAGCCCCGACGCAGAACTTGTTGTCTCCGGGGGGTGATTTTTGGGCTTGCTCCAGGGCGTATTCCATGAATCTTTCATGATTACCGACGGGAAAAGTTGGCAGTTGGTCTCGCGAGCCCATTGTATGGAGTAAACAGCTGTAAGACTTTCGATGGCTTGACTGGAGCTTCAAGGTCTAGAGAACCATGTATAGAACATAACGTAGGAAACTGGCATCTCTGATGAGATCGCGACCCAATAAATGTGCCCAGTATTCCCTCATGTTCTCCTCTAGTCTAGGCAGACCCACAGGCAAGCCGGGCGCTTAAGTCTGCAGTTAATTGGTGGCTCGATGTTGATATGCATGGAAGCGAAGTCCCAATATGGTCCACCGCGCGGGGTTCTCGGACACCTAAGAAAATCCCCTCTACATCATGTTATTTGATCCTAGACAATTGAGTTGTGACTTCGGGTTGCTGTTAGTCAGACGGGATGGTCTCGCTGCTGCTTGTCCACCGCAAAGCGCCCGGCCATGACCGCGGCTTACAATGGTGGGCGCTCTCGTGTTGTACCACTCTACATACCTTGGATGTCGCTAACCTTGGACTATTTCGCAACTAGTTCTTCAGAAAGCAGCGTCGCGCACCGACGAGCCAGTCGTCCGATGGCTTGTCGAGCAGCCGCACCTCGATCACGCGGTCTCGAAGCCCCTTCTCCTTATCCACAACCCTTTCCAGAACTTCGCTCAGTTCCGTCGACGATGTTGTGGATGATGTCAAAGGACCACTCGGCCTGAACCTCCTATATTCGCCTTCAGATCCCCAGGTCGATATCATCTTTGTGCATGGCCTGGGCGGGGGATCTAGAAAGACATGGAGCAAGACCCCTCAGCGGTCCCATTACTGGCCTCAGGAATGGCTACCAAAGGATCCTGGCTTCAAAGTGGCGCGTATTCATAGCTACGGGTACGACTCCGACTATCTGAAAGGCAGGGAAGACTGCCTGAACATACATCACATTGGCAAGTCATTCCTGGCCGCACTCAGCACGTCGCCCTGTTTTATCGGGTCCGAGACGTTCATCATTGTAGTTGGGCATAGTATGGGAGGGCTGGTGATCAAAAAGGCGATAATTCTGGCCAAACAAGACTCGGTACATAAGCAGCTGGCTCGAAGATTCGCCGCTGTCTATTTCCTCGCGACACCACATCGCGGTGCGGATTCTGCAAAAACACTGAAGAACATGCTGAAGGTCGCATACGATCGAGCCTATGTGGCAGAACTGGAGAGAAACTCTGGCACGATACAGGTCATCAATGACGAATTTCGACATTTCTCCACAAACCTTGAGCTCTGGTCATTCTACGAAACACAGAACATGAAAATGTTCAGCTCACTCATCGTGGATCCGGAGTCTGCTGTATTAGGATACCGCGAAGAAAGACAAATGCCCGTCAATGCAGACCATCGCTCAATCTGCAAGTACGAGACCCCAACTGACTCCAACTACGTCATGCTAAGAAACGCACTCTCTTCAACTGTAAACAACTTGATGGCCACCATTCCAGAGAGAGAATTAGACAGAAAACGCGACCGAGTCAAAGTACTCAAACAATACCTAGAGATACCGGATGTTCTGGACGATGATCTCGCCAACGCCCGGGAAGCTCGGATGCCAGGATCTTGCCAATGGCTCTCAGAAAACATCAGCTATAGACGCTGGATAGATGGGAGCTCGCCAGCTGACCGAATATTATGGATGAAAGGCAAGCCTGCCACAGGGAAGTCTGTGCTTGCCGGATATGTCATCGACGAGCTGCAGCAAAGGAACCAGTGTTGCAGTTACTTCTTCTTCAAACATGGAGACAAGTCGAAGTCCCGTCTCAGTCGCTGTCTGAAATCCATAGCCTTCCAGATGGCATGTTTGGATGATGACGTTGGCATTGCGCTCTTGGAAATGGCAAATGATGGTGTTCGTTTCGATCATGTAGATGAACGGACGCTGTGGAGGACCATGTTCATGTCCAAGATCTTTGAAGACATATCGATGCGCCATTTCTGGGTTATTGACGCCCTCGATGAATGCTCCAGTGGCCTCGCATTCGTTGAAAGCCTTTTGGCCAAGATGAACGAGACTGTTGATTTGAGAATTCTGATAACTGGAAGAGACGCGACAGATTTCAACCAGGCATTTTCAAAGGCCCTGGCACATTCAATGACAATATCAGAAACGGACACTTTGCCAGATCTCCGACTATTAGTCGAAACCAGAACTCAACTCCTCGGAGTCGTGGGGTTTCCTGACCGCCCAGCATTGGTCGATAAAATACTTCTCAGCTCCAGAGGCTCGTTCTTGTGGACGGCTCTAGTTCTCAAGGAACTACAATGCTGCCATAGTAAAAGAGAGATCGATCAGATACTCGAAAATGTCCCGAAGGGTATGGTGCCATTGTACAAGCGAACACTGGCCTCGATGGCGGCACTTGAGAGGGGCAAGAAACTTGCAAAGGCAATTCTTTTGTGGGCAACTTGTGCGTTTCGCCCAATAACAACAACCGAGCTTCATGGTGCCCTTCTCTTAGATATTGAAGACAACTTTCCGAACTTGGACGACAGCATAGCGTCACTCTGTGGCCAGCTGGTGGTTGTCGATGGATTCAAGAGGGTGCAGATGATTCACGAGACTGCCAGAGAGTTCCTCCTCGACGATGACAACGATTCGGAATTCTCAGTCCACGAGCAACAGGCCCATACAACGATGGCTAGAGTGTGTTTAACTTACTTGACAGGGGACGAGATGAAGCCTCCAAGAGGCAACCGCCGTCGTTCATCCGCAAGCCTCCCATCGACACGGCTACCATTTGCTTCATATGCTCAAACCGCATTTTCGTACCACCTCGCCAAGGCCAACTCACAGGATCCTGAGATATTCCAGCTTGTGGAGCAATTCTTCAAAACAAATGTCCTATCATGGATTGCCGCATGTGCAGAGTTGAAGCATTTGAATCAACTGATCCGCACTTCAAAGCATCTTAAAGCATATGTCAACGCTTGTTCTATCGAACGGTCACCTCTGGATCCACGGGTACAGACCCTCAAGTATTGGACAGCGGACCTTACTCGCCTTCCAGCCATGTTTTCAAATGCGCTCATTAAATGCCCAGCTGCAATCTACTCCTTGATTCCACCGTTTTGCCCTACTAGATCAATGGTCTACAACACGAACGCTTCAGGTCGCAGGCTCCTGATAGCTGGATCTAAGAGCGAGCAATGGGACGATAGACTGCTCTGTGTCGACTTTCGAGAGGGCAGTCCTAGTTCGTTGGCCTACGGAGAAGACTTTCTAGCCGTCGGACTGACATCCGGATCAGTCGTTATGTACTACACAACGTCATACCAGGAACACACAACATTGCTCCATGGCGAGGCTACCAAGTTGATTACCTTCAAACGAAAGTCCGAACTTGTGGCTACCTGTGGACTGAAGTTTGTGAAAGTCTGGAACGCGAGAAGCGGGGCTCTGTTGCACAGCTTCAAGAGTCCTCCGCGCCCTCTTAGTATGGACTTTGACGGCGACAGTCTTCTGATTAGCTCCCATAAGAATTTCTTGGTATCATGGGATCTCGGAAGTGACCTTCAATCGACGCCGACTCAAACGCACTGGAGCGATGGGCCTGAATCACAGCCTCAGCCATTGCGACGACCTCCAAGCGCACTTGCTCTTTCGGTCAGTCAGGGAATGCTTGCTGTCGCCTATCACGGAAAGCCCATTATACTATGGGACATCGAAGAGAAATTTTACGTAGGGAACTGCGGGAAAAGACTCTCCACTGGAGAGACCAGCACCCACGTTGTCGTCTCACTCGCTTTCAACCCAAACCCGAATCTTGGCCTCCTAGCTGTCGCCTACCTCGATGGTGACCTCGCGCTCCTGGATCCATTTTCTGACCAGCAGTTAGAATGCTTTCGCGCCAACTACCAGACTCTCGCCAGCAGCCCTAACGGCCGCCTTCTCGCTGCCAGTGGAGCGAACGGCATCATTACCGTCCATGAATTCGATACTTTGCGGCTTCTGTACCGTGTCAGATCGACTGATTCTTACATCAAGCAGATTGTCTTTGCCCCGGACAATCTCCTCTTCGCTGACATTAGAGGTGCGCAGTGTACGGTCTGGAAGCCTGAGACACTCCTGCGGGACTCCTTGAGTGACGAAAGCAGCGGCACTACTTCAGCATCTCTGGTGGAGACTGTTTCATTACTTGCCAAGGCAAGGATTACATCTATCGCAGTTCACAACACTGCTGATGCCATATTCTGTGGCAAAGACGACGGATCTATCTCATTATACAGCCGCAAGACCGCAGTCTTGTCTCGGGTCCTTTGGTGTCATAAGTCGCCGGTTCGTCTTCTGAAGTGGTGTCCGAGTATCCGTGCTCTTCTCGCTATCGACGCTTCAAACAGGATTCTGTTAAACTCTGTCCATGATCTTGATACCTTCAAGCCAGTTTTCGAATCCCGACTTGAGCGAGATAATGCCATTGTTGGTGTGGTGGTAGGCGAGAGTGCAGATAGGTTCATGGTGTCAACCCGTGAGGCTGACTTCTTATACGCACTGAGTACCGGTGAGCTTGTCTCAGAGCATGAGCCCAAGAGAGACTCAGGTATTCGGAAATGGGTAACTGACCCAGCTCGACCCGAACATGTGATTTGTGTTGATGATGCCACTGTCTGCATCTACGGGTGGGCTGATCTGGCACAAGTTGCTTGCTTTGCATTGGCGCTACGCCAGAACGAAATGCAGCTGAAAGGGTGTTTTGTATCGTCAAATTGGATGGTGCTCGAGACCTCAGACGGAAATGGATTCTCTAACACAAATAGCATCGCTATATTTGCTAGACCGTGGCCGGGCCATGGCTCACCGGTTGAAGATGGCAAACTAGCTGATCTGCCCCTATGCACCACGATTTCAGCTGTTCTTCATGTTCTCGGGACTACTGCTTCGGGAAGATTGGTGTTTCTAGCTTCGAGCGGCTGGATATGCTCTGCGGATCTGAGTCAATATGAGCCGAACACTGGGATTGTGGAGACACGCCGCTCTTCGTTGGACATATTTAGACACTTCTTCGTTCCCTCAGATTGGTTTGCAGGGAATAGAGGTATAGCATGCTCTTTGGCAGACAGTGACATTATTGTCAGTCGAGGCGGCGAGTTGGCAGTCATCAAAGGCGGCTATGATTATTCGGAGAGTGTTGATCTGGCATCGCGGGCTGGGGATGAAATTGCCCCGACTTGAAGGAGTTTGTGCATAAGATTAAAAACTTTGATACCATGCCGTATTTGTACCTTGTGCTCTGCCACTACCACTTGGGTTACCTAGATTCTACTCACCAAGGAACAAAACATGTGAATGGCAGCATATGCAGGATGGCGCCATTGGTTAACGCCAGGCCCATGATTGGTGACAGTAAACAGTTAGCCGCCTGACCAAGAATAGCAACCTGCTGGGCGCTTAACAGTGTACTAGTATAATGAACAGCCCACAGTACGTGCGCCATGCACCATGTCCCACAAAGTATCTTCACAATCCGACAGAATAGGTTTCCGGGCCATACTTGTGAAATACAATGGACAGCAACAGTACCAACAAGTTCGAATTTGGATCGAGCAACACCCATGTTGATCTTGCTGTGCTTTCTGGTTAGTAATTCACTCCCGCGCGCGAACAGTCTGGATACAATGTGCTTTGACTCATCCCTCTCAAGCACTCCCCGCCGGATGCACCGTCATTTCTACCGAAGGCCATGGTGTCAGCTTTTGGGCCAAGACTGGTCGAATAGATACCTCTTTCAGCGATGGCACGACACAGTCATACTTCATCAAGGTTCTTTCGAAGGAATTGGGTCAAAATATGGTGATGGCCGAGTTCGAGTCGATGAGTGCCATGTACAAAATCGTGCCGCAGTTCGTGCCGAAGCCGATCGCCTGGGGGAGCTATAAATCCAACCCAGAAACGCACTTCTTTCTTTGTGAGTTCCGAGAGATGATAGACGACATGCCCGACCCGCACGATTTCGCTGCTCTTCTCGCAGCACAGCACCAGAAGAGCATATCTCCAACCGGAAAGTTTGGATTCCATATCACCACCTACGCAGGCAACCTCCCACAGTGGGTGGCCTGGGAGGATAGCTGGGAGACTTTCTTTTCGAAGAGCATGAGATGGTCTCTCGATCTCGAGATCGAGAGAAAAGGCCCGAGTGAGGAACTTGACAAGCTCTCGTGTGTGTTGTTTGAGAAAGTGATACCACGGTTGCTCAGACCCCTCGAGAGCGACGGCCGAACTGTGAAGCCATCGCTTGTGCATGGGGATCTTTGGTATGCGAATGCGGGCCTTGACGTCAACACCGGGCAGCCCCTTGTCTTCGATGCCTGCTGTTTCTTTGCCCACAATGAGTGTAAGTTGTGATGTCAGAATGTAGCATTATGAGCTTAACTGACGGATATCTGCTATGTAAGACGAGTTTGGCCAGTGGAGGCCTGCCTGCAACAGATTCGGGGCTGAATACATTTCTGCCTACAACTCTTTTGTCCAGATATCAGCTCCTGAAGAAGATTTTGAGGGTCGTTTGGATCTGTATAGGCTGTAAGACTCCTTCAGCTCAGTGTCCTTGACAATTTCCCAGTCTTGATGCCCTTATTCTTTGGGTTGCAAGTGACTGACGTTATTTAGGAGATTTGATACCCACGTATCAGCGCTGTTTGTCGAAAATGAAACTCTTCGTACACAGTAAAGCAACCCCTATCACTGTTGTCTAGCAGTAGAGCTAATTGGACATTTAGGGTGTTGGATGTGATGAGAGATCTAGTGGAGAGGTATGGACAGGATGGTGTCGATGGGAGCGAGTGTGCCAATTAATCTGCCCTCAATTCGCCGGACAAACCTTCTTCGCCAAGCCACTCGGGTATTCTGGCTTCGAGTCATGCCGTGAAGTCGCGTAATATACTGCGAAGAACCTCATCGTCGCTGCCAAAGGTCCATGTGCACTGAGTCCCGAGGATCAGACGGTCCCTATCGCTGTGGACAAGACCCATGGCATTCCCAGAATCATGCGGTTAAGCACTCCCGAGAGCCGTGGGCAGGTTGAGTGAGCGGCCCGAGACGCTTCAAATGGCATAACGGATCCCCTTCTATAGCGATCGTAAACCGCTAGCCAGCCAGCCTTTGGGATGACACAAAAGTCAGTGCATGAGGACGCACGCATACAGTTGCGGCGTGTGAGAGGAATGCCAGGATCACTCGTGTTGACCCTCTGATGAGTAGGAGCAGGTGCATAAGTATTTTGTCGTTCAAATAGCTCCTGGAAACCTTATTAAATTGAAAAGACTTTTGGTGAAAATGTTTTTGTCACTCGAGAGTCGAGAGAATTTGAGGCTGATATGAGGCTATTTACCAAAAGCCCTGAGTGACTAAGCTTAAGGTTAGATCGACGCACCACATCTGCGCTAAAAGGCCCAGCTAAATCCCTGTCGCCCCCCCGCCACTGCACTAAACAGCCACCAGCCTCGAGGCTGCATCTTTGGTCTCTCTCCCTTGGATCAATCACAACAGCCGAGCTTCTCAGACACTATAATTTCTTGCCATACTCTTGTTCTTGGATACATCCACTCAAACACTTGCATATCCGGTATCACTTTCACACACTTATCAAGCTTCAGGCCACCCCGCCCAACATGGAGGACCAATTCGGCGGAAGGACAGATGACGACTTGTTTGCCGACGACTTCGAGCCTGTCGAGACCGCTCAACCGCAGCCTCCCGCACAGGAAACGCCTGTTGCTGCTCAAGCTCAGCCCACTGCGGAAGACGCCCCAGTATCGACGGCATCGGCCCCTCCCAAAACCACACCGGCTGCCCAGCCGGCGCATGCTCCCGCTCCACGGTCCCTCGCTCAGTCGCGCCACGCCCCCTCACGACAGCCTCGTCAACCTCCAAAGAACGCCCCTGCTCCCGCACCCGCGACTCCCGCTGCCCCGGCCCAGGAGAAGCCCAAGCCAACCCAACCTCCCACAACCCAGCAGCCGCCTTCGGCCTCGGCCGCCACTGCGCCGCCGCCCTCTGCGCCGACGGGGCCCTCCGCCGCCAATGCCAAGGGCAGCGGCAGTGGCAGCGGCAGCAACGCGAGCGCCCGGCTTGGCAGCGGCGCCAACCCGCGGCAGAAGCTGACCGATGATGAGCTCAACGCCAAGATGGAGCAGATGCGCATCGCGTCGGCCGAGAAGGCGCGGCGCTTCGAGCAGGCGCAGCGCGACGAGCGCGACCACGAGATCGCCTACGCCAAGGGCATGGAGGAGGCGCGCCGGCGCAAGGCCGCCGACGACGAGAAGCGCCGCCGCCTCGAGCTCGAGCGCCGCCAGATGAACGACGAGCGCGAGCGCAACCGCGCCCGCAAGCTCAAGGCCATGGGCATGAAGGAGGACGGCTGGGACGAGGGCAAGGCCGAGCGCGAGGAGGAGGAGGACCGGCGGCGGGGCGGGTTCCGCGGCGCGCACGGCGGCGTCAGGGGCACGAGGACCGGCGGCGGCGGCGGTCTGTCCGGGAGTAGATATGCCGACGAGGGGGAGAGGGTTAGGGAGTTCGATGCTGGGGAGTTCAGAGGGCGCGGGAGGGGCCGAGGGAGGGGAGCTCCACGCGGTGGCGGTGGCGGCCGTGGTGGTCGGGGCGGCCTTGGCGACAGGAACGGAGCATCCGGCGAAGGCCACCAACGACAGGTACAGCCCGCACCTGCGTCAGGCCCGGCAAAGGAGGAGTTCCCTACATTGCCAGGCTCTGGTGCCCCCAAGGCCACCAAGGCGGAGAGTGCCGCTGGCAAAAGCTACTCTGCAGCTGCCACGGCGCCGGCCAAGTCTGCGGTCCAAGTACCGCTGATGCCTCTAGAGCCTCTCGGCAAGTGGGACGAGGAGGTCGCTGCGGAGCAGGCCAAGCAGTCATAGTCTGGCGATGGCCTGTGGGACAGCCAGACCTCGCGGTTTCTACCGCCTCTGCGACACCCTCGTCCAGCTCCGACGCGGGATCCTTACCTCAACGCACCGCAGGGCTTCTCACGCTCTGATCCTGCTCTGGTCGACGAGGGACAGAGGGAGGCTGCGTTTGCCCGCCTGCCTATGTCACCGATAGAGCGGATCGAGAAGTGGCTTGACAACATTGCAGAGTGGCAGGGTGAGGGCAGTGATCATCGTAAAGATGACGTGCTAAGGGACTGACTAAAAGAAGACAGGAGAAACAAAGGTGTCGTATCCATTTGGATCACAGCGTTAAGAAGTAAGCGTCTTGTGGGCATGCGTAGTCTCGAGCGAGTCGAGCACAGGCAGTTATGGTCTGAGCGTCCGAAGCTCCCTCTGTTCAGGATTGATATAACTACCGACTTGATGGGCTATCTCGATTTGATTACGCATCATAGGCCTAGCCGAGACAAACACTGCAGTGCAGCAATTATAACATTTGCTTGATAAATTATACGTAAGAGGTATCTCAAAACCGTCGATGACCCGACCTGTCCCAAGTATTTTCCATGACGAAACGCCGAAGACGCCGGGACTCCAAATAATGCAGTCTACAAAAAACGCAACCTCCTTACCACCGTCCTCTGTATCCTCTGCCACCCCGTCCACCACCGTAGCCACCGCCGCCAGACCTCGGGCCGCGAGGGCCCTTGCCCCATCCGCCGTCGCCGTAGCCGCCACCAGGTCCCGTCGGCGCGCCGCCCATATCGTCGTCGCCACCGCCACTCATCATCGGCCGTCCCCGGCTCCGCATCTCCTTGGGGAAGGCGTCAAACGTCTTGCGCATCTGCGCGTAGCCCAGGTGCATCTTTCCGTAAAAGTGGTCGGCCAGGCGCCGGTCGTTGTCGAGCCGGCTGAGGTAGGCGCCGCACACGTCGCACACCTGCAGCTTCTGGTGGCCGCTGGGCCCGCTCGTGTCGGACAGGGCCTTGAGCTCGCGCTCGCGCTCGGCCTTGGCGGCGAGCGCCTGCCGCACGCGGTGGAACTCGTCGCAGGCGCGCGCGACCTCGCCCATCTCGCCCAGGATCTCGACCTCGAGCAGGCCCGCGGCCACGGAGGCTGAGAGGTCGGCGATGGTCTTGAGCAGCACGTTGGTCTGGCGGATCTCGTCGGGCGTCTTCTCGAGGCGGCGCTGGGCGGCGTCGATGCGCCGGTTGCACTCGTCGATGTACTTTTGCAGGTCGCGCATGTAGTCGTAGTCGAAGCCGTACTTGGCGCGCTCGCGCTCGGGCAGGGCGTCGTACTCGGCCTTGAGTGCCTCGGAGTGGACCTTGGGGCAGGGCCCCAGGTCCTGCTTGGTGTTGGTGAAGAGGTCGTGCGGGCAGTGGCCCGCTATGTAGGAGCGGCAGACCTTGGGGTCGGTGAGGGAGAGCTGGGCCGAGCGCGAGGCCATGCCGCCGCCCATGAGCTGCTCTGCGATGGAGGGAAGAGAGTCAGCATCCTCTGACTTTGAGTATGGGCAATGAAGCTCAGTGTGACTTACCAAGCAGCTTCCTCTGTTCTGCGGCCATCTTTATCACTCCCTAATTGCCCGACACTAAAAGGAAATGGTAGAGTCGATGCGACGGCGATCCGGCAGTCGAGAGAGAGAATTGATGGTCGGTTCCGGGCTCGACTAAAGGCAGTCGAAAAGAATTGCTCAGCCGGAGGACAAGGCTGGATCTTTGGAGTTGTCTACCTACAGAAACTTAGTGGCTCCACAGCCAACCACAGCGCAAGGCAGGCCACCAATCTGCACTTTGCGGGGCACACCGCGTCGGATGTCTGCTGGAGGATCCACCAAATTTTAGCGCATTGCTGAAGTAAGAGCTGGCCTTAAAGGTGGCATTGATTACAGATACAAATACAAGAGGTGTTGTGCGAGCAGACGCCTCTCGACGATGATACCGAGGGCATAGGAAAATGCGTCAATTCCATGTGCTCCTGGCATATGCGCTCTCGCTGTGCCTTGGAGTCCAAGCTGCAGACTACCATGAGCAGCTGAACCTGCGGCCGTTGCCCCTGTCCGCGCTGCTCGCCAGCTTCAACTTCCGATCCAACACGAGCATATCCGAGTTCGAGGCACACAACTTCCGCTTCTTCCCGAGATCACTCGGCCAGATCTTGCAGTACTCGGATACAAAGGAGCTCCATCTGAGGTTTGGTCTCGGGAGATGGGACGCCGAGAGCTGGGGTGCGCGGCCGTGGAACGGCGCGAGAGAGGGAGGCACCGGGGTTGAGCTGTGGGCATGGCTTGATGCTGATACAGATGAGGAGTACGTATTTGCATAGGATCTCACAGCTTGAATGAAGAGTGGCTAACGCGAGTATGTATCACTCAGAGCCTCACACAAGTGGAAAAACTTGGTCAACGCCTTGTCGGGCCTCTTCTGCGCGTCCCTCAACTTCATCGACGACACCCGGACGACCCGGCCCGTCATGTCTTTCCTGCCCGAGGGCCACCACTCCGAAGCTGCGAAGGATAACATGCATCTGCTCTACGGAGTTCTCCCTAGAGAGGTTGTCTGCACAGAAAACCTGACCCCCTTCCTCAAGCTCCTGCCATGCAAGGGCAAGGCCGGCATTGCGAGCTTGCTGGACGGCCACAAGGTCTTTGACGCGTCATGGCAGAGCATGGCCATTGATATTCGTCCTGTCTGCCCCGCTGGCGGCGAGTGCGTGCTTGAGATCGAGCAGACGATCGATATGGTCTTGGACCTGGACAGATCCAAGCGACCGCGTGGTAAGCTCAGAGAGCCTCTGCATCCAAAAGAGTTAATACTGATCTAGAGGCTAGATAACCCCATCCCTCGACCGCCTCCGGGCGAGCAGCTCAAGTGCGACACTTCCAAAGAATACCACTCGGACGACACCTGCTTCCCCGCCGATTACAACCTTCATCAGGACTGGACCCTATCGCAGATCTTTGGCAAGTCCATGAAAGGCACTTGTCCTCTCGCAGACCCCGAGACGCCCCCCGTATGCATTCAAGTGCCCGACTCTCGGAGCATCTACATGGGCGCTGGCATAACAGAGATCAAAAACCCCAACGGAGTGTCCCGATGCTACAAAATTGACCCCGAGGCCAACTTTGAGATTGTTTTGCCGGACCTCGAGGCTGGGGCCGATGGCCTCTTGAAGCCCGAGACGCCTCCACTGTACGCTGAGCGCAGCTTTACGGGACACGGCGCTGAGCGCGGTGGTGTGCAGACAATATTCAGGAACCCGAGCCCTGACACCGAGGTTGAGTTTGTCTACATGGAGTCGCTGCCTTGGTTCATGAGGGTCTACCTCCACACGCTCAAGGCACGCATTGCAGAGGGCTCTACCAAGAATGGCGAGGTCGTCCAGGAGATCTACTACCGACCGGCCGTGGACCGGGCCAGAGGCACCCAGCTCGAGCTCAAGATGCGCATCCCGCCCGCTTCGACCGTGTTCCTTACGTACGACTTTGAGAAATCCATTCTACGATACACGGAATACCCGCCCGACGCAAACCGCGGCTTCGATGTCGCTGCGGCCGTCATCACCATTCTCAGCCCGCAGTCTGTGACTGGCCGCTTCCCCACCCCGAACCTGCGCACCACTTCGCTGCTTCTTAGCCTGCCCACTCCCGACTTCAGTATGCCGTACAACGTCATCATCTTCACCTCGACAGCCATCGCGCTTGCCTTTGGCGGCATGTTCAACATCCTGGTGAGGAGGTTCGTGGCTGCCGACGAGGGCCCCGAAGCCGGGCTGAAGGTGCTGATGGGGAAGCTGGCAGGGCGTTTTAAGGGACTGCTTGGCAAGAAGACAGGTGCAGCTACCAAAGGTGAGGGTAAGGAGGAGTGAAGGGGTTGGAAGGAAGCCATTGCTTAGCGGCCTCAACTCCGTTTGTTTTGATAGACCGGCGTTCTCAAGCACTTTGGCAGCTACGATCATAATTGACGCATGATGTTTACAAACCCTCAGACCCGATCCTCAAGCAGCAGAGCCATCTTTTTTCCGTCTCCCATCCATCTCACCAAGCCATCCAGAACACCTCACAGACTCGTACCTTGTCTGCCTTTGAGCGTAGTCATTATGCCCCCTCGGAGAGCAACACGCATGATGCGCGTCCCCGTGCGCGTCCCCGTACGCGAACATGACACTGTCAACATGATGATCGCCGTGCCGTCGGGGGTCTGCGTCAACCGCATCGGCATCACTTTTCCCCCCACCATCCCTCCCGTGACCACCTACGAGATCGAGACCTACTCCTTCCGCGGGTACACGGAGCGGTACTTCCGCCCCCTGCTGGAGGCCGGCGTCGGCTTCTTCCAGGCGGCCACGGGCCTGACGGACAACTGGGTCTTCTTCGGGCTCTTGGTCTTCTTCGGGCTCTTGGTCTCGCTCTCCCTCTGGCTCATGCTCTTACCGGTCCTCGTCTTGGCCTTCTGGCTCCCCACGCTTGTCTCGCTCGCGATTCTGCACTACCGCCTCATATACTACTCGCGCGGCCGGGTCTTCGTCGACCCGGCGCTGCCGTGGGCGGCGGCCACGCTGGACTACTTCGTCCGGGAGTGGGGGTGGATCTACGCCGAGCTCGTGCGGCCGCTGGCGCCGCGACGGTTTCCCGAGCTGCGGGACACGGACGCGCCTCCTCCGTACGAGGTGTGCGAGTTGCCTGGACTGGCGCTACGCGAACGCCCCCCGAGCGAGCACAACATGCAGGTTCCCGTTGCTGAACTTGCGGGCTCTACGCCATCCTGAGCTTACGTCTTGTTGTTGGCGGGTGTGTGGTGGGGACGGGGTCAGTCTTGTCGCGATGGAGTATTGGGCCAGTGTGGGCGTCGGGGCGGGGAGAGAAGACATTGATATGAGATGAGATGGAGATGGAAGGGATTGTGTGTGATATGACATGTTTAACTGCGATTAAGTTCGTTGATGGGAGTAGACTATGGCCTGGACAGTGGAAGCTCATCACTGGGGGGGCTACTTATTCATGATGGCGCGGCTAATTCTTTCAGCAACAGTTAGCTATCTGCTTGTGGTAGAGATAAATTTGAAAGCAACATTGTCCTCGTCAGGTCAACAGCGGCATCACAAGACTCCTTGACTTAACTAGATCCCCATCAGCCATAAAGTAAGATCCAACAACTTCCATATCGATGCAGGAGACCCGACATGTTTAGTATACTGATTAACATCGCGGTCGCGAGCCAGGGGTTTGTGTCGTCCAGGGTACATCTCAACAAAGGGGGATGCATCCTTAGAGTTGGTGATATGGTCCGTCTAGGATGTCTTTCCACATGTCTAACTTGGAGCCCTCCCAAGCTGCACGCAGGGTGCTTTCGGAATTGATCAAGGCGCGAGAGTCCTCGGTGATGCAATATGCCATACTCGGCGTTAGCTTGCCGCTTTGGTACGACTCTTGGCTCGACGAAGCAAGAAGCGACCCATTCTGAGGCTTAGCGCTTTGTCAAGCTTCTGAGGAGACGACCCGCAAGCCGTCTTACGCGTCTTTGGAGACGACTAGCATCCGGACCTTTGACCACTCGGACCTGACAGAAGACTACAGATCTGGAGCCGAGTGTTTCGCGACCGCCGGGTAGCATCACAGCCGATGGCCTAAGCGGCCTGGTGCTGAGGCCTCCTGAGCAAGCAGATGCCCATGATGCTGAAGTCGGTTCACCGAGTTCTCAGCCACCTTCAAGCTTTTCCAGGAAAGATACAACGCCGTCCTCGCCTCGCGAAGATGGCTTACAAGCCTTGCGCGCTAGGTGGCCAACGTCCCCGGCACTTTCTGACGACGCGAGGCTTGGCGTGCGAACGGGCGGCACAGCAAGAATAGGATAGGTGCGGACCCTGCACCGCCACGGCTGCCTCCGGGAATAAGCTCAAGCTCGAGGCCTCATGTCGAATTCAGTAAGGGAGTCTTAAAGTCAGAAAGGATGATGTTCTAGAGTGTGAGTGGTGGTGGTGTGATTGCCATATGGTTCTGCCGTATGGTTCGTCTCGCCTTCGTTTGGATCGTCTGGGTATCGAGAGTTTCCGGGTTTGCGAGAGGATAGGGAGGATGTAGGCATTCATAGCAAAGATGATCGGTCTTATTATTGAACAGAAAACCACTTATACAGAATCGTTATTGGTAATGAAAATCCCTATCGGGGCTGAATACCCTGAATGCTAACGCCGACGCGCCTTGCGTAAACCCAAACCAAGGACCATCCGTATGATTGAAGGCACCTGCGACAACCTGAATTGTTATACCCTCTTTCCACTTGTATTCTTCCTTCTATATCGCCACAAGAATCCGTCCCTTTGGTATCTTTCTTTATTTCAGACTCCACATGACAGCCATGGCTTCCCAGTTCTTGTCGAGGTTGTAGTTGTACTTCCGGGGCGGGTTGTTAGGGTCAACACCACCCCGAGAGAAGTGCTTGTCGGAGTGCTTCGAGTGAGGTTCTTTGTAGAGGCTCGTCGCTGTTGTGTCGGTCGAGTAGCGAGGGGGTGCATCCCTTTCTGAGACCTCAACATGCGAGGTGTCTTTCTTCGACTTGAGGCTGGAGAGCGCAGCTCGGAGACCCGAGTGCTTCTGCTCCGAGCCGGCCTGTGCTTGGCTTGACTGATGTGACGACATGATGGGTATTGTGTGTGAGACTTTCGGTATTTGACAGAAATCAATAGTGATTGCAATTGATGCAGGTTCAAAGACACAAACAGACAAGAGACGTCTGTGATTAATTGATTTATACAACTTGGAGTTGAATAAGATTGGCACCATGGGAGAGACGGATGACTCTTATATATCTATCTATGTACCCCGAGTCCCTGTGTTAGTCCTTGCTCTGTCCGGGTCGCTGCTGTGCACTCAATGTGTCGGTGCTCGGCTTTGGCCAGAGCTAGACTGAGTCATCTCGGCGTCGAAGAGACAATGGCGGTCGGATTCAACCCAAGTGGAACCGGACTAGGATCACCCACCATACACAGTACAAGCGGCCTTGATGCCTGCAGGTATCACAGCCACCAAACCCAAAATACTACACGCCAATGACGAAAAGAGTCGCCGGGCGTAGAGGTGGGGTGGTGTCCCAGGGTGCATTGGCCCGTCTGACATAGATGCACACGCAAACAGATCCAGCACGAGGCATATTTAAGCGCTGAGAGGACTCAGCGTGAGCAGATTGAAGCGGAATGGGATTGAAACATCGGACCAACGTCCTAGCTACTCCGCCTCGGCTCGGAGCTGTGATCTCGACACCACGTACCACAATGTCAAAGCCGCACGCCACGGTGCCTTGACAGCCACTTCATGTTCTCTTTTCCGTCAGAGATGACCATTGCTGGGCCAAATTGCAACCGATTGATTGACTCCCACGCCCACCACCACCACCGACCAGACGGTTGGGAAGGAAACAGTACCTGTCACATTACCTTCGCTAGCTTGCATACGGTAGCTATGAGTCAATCACGAAACATTGAAACTAAGCAACTACTATGGTAGCCGACGTGGAGCTTCCCGCTATGCCCATCACTTAAAATACATGTTGAAACGGGACCTAGACCTGCTAGTGCGCGCCCTCCCGTTGAACCCATGTCTGGCGCCGGAGTTTCACACATCAGATGCTCCAGTTCAGATGAGCCTTGAAGGTGGTCCTCAAGAAACATCGTAGCTTTGGAGACGCGTGGGACCTGTCTAGCACACCATCTCGATATCATTGTTTACTGTGACACGTCTGACATACATGAAAGTGCCATTGTGACGGGCTGACTCGGGCTGAATAAACAAGATCAATAGGCAGGCAGCAATAGCCTTTTTTTTTCAACTTGTTCCTTTTGCGCCGCCAGGTGGTAGACTCACAGAACAGTACCATGAAGAAGGACTCGAGCCAGCGGAAAGGCTTAACGAAGGGAAATCCGGGCCTCATTGCAAACCTGGGCGGCCTCTATTAGCTCTCACTACGCAATGATACCATTCTCCCTACATCCGGCCAGAAGGCCGCTGGGGGCTTGATCCTTTCGGAATGCCATCTGGGACAGAGGGAACCGTTTACAACACTTAATTGACTGCCCTACGGGGCTGCAATGAACATCGCGTACACCTAAGTAATAGGCAGTGGGCGTCCGGTGCCTTGGCCCGGACTTGGCACAACGCTTATCTCCTGTCCGTCCTTTGCACGCGTGTCTACCGTAGAGGATTGGCGATCGAAAGCAGAAACCGGGATAGACTTGAGTATGCGTCACTGAATTCGCGTGTCTGCAAAGCCAGACTCTGTTATCATGCGGAGCTTATGCAGTATGACTCGATTATCATCTCGACGTACGGGGCTCGCCTGGCTACCAATCGCTGTAAGCAATTGTTAGTCCGGCCTTCTAGTCCGGCTAGTCCGAACCCCGCCATCAACAACACTGAAGTAAGTCGCAGAGTGAGAATATCAACTTCTGTCAACGCTCTCTCATTTCCCGCTCCACTCGAGACTGGCGGACTAGGCACAATGTCGGCTCCGAGTCGCCGGCGTAACGGCTCGCAAGCCTCTTGTGAGCCCTGCCGCAAGGGCAAGATCCGCTGCGATCACCAGAAGCCCATCTGTGGATCCTGTCGACGACGGCGGCTGGAATCACAATGCTGGTATCACCCTGCGCCATTGACGAAGCGGCGAGCGTCTCAGCAGTTGACTCCTACGAGCCCTCTGACACAACGAGCCGACGAATCGAGGGCCGTGCAAGACCCCGACGAACCCGTGGACTCCACTTTCCAGAGGCCAGCCGGACGTGAACCCTCTTTCAAGACATGGCCTTTCATGTCATCTTTCTCCACCGAAACTCCGCCGCTGCCAGTCCTTTATGAGATCTATGACGAGAGAACTCAGGCGGAGCAGCTAGCCCAGACGGAAGAGATTGTCACACAGCTCAAGGACCTTTCCGTAATCGAGAGGATCATCCATGAGTACTACTCGTTCGCCCAGGTCGCGCTGGTGCGAAAGCCGATCCTCATGAAGCTATTGGAGCTCCTTTGCAAGAGCCCTATAACAGCGCCCTTTGTGACTGGGCAAAGATCGTCGGAAGATCTCAGACGCCTGGCCCAGAATGTGTTGCGAACAACTGCATCGCCGGTCACTGTCGTAGAATCCTTGGACGTCGAGGGGTTTTGTTCTCTCTTCTGCGGAAAGAGCCTGAGGATCGAAGTCCTGGGATGTCTGTATGCCCTCGCAGCCCGGATCTCACTGTATCGGCTCAGTGAGGACCCGGACAGGACCGATGACTTCATCCGTCGCATGACAAGGTGCGCGCAGCTTAGCAACAGGTTGTTCAGAGAGGTCTCGTCGCAACCGAATGATGTCAGTATATGGATGGCACACGAAGTGATGGGACTGACAGACTTAATGGAAGGAGATGCTAGTGAGTCATTGTCCCCAAACTCATAGAGTGTTTTGGTATGGGCTGACTTTGAAAGCTAGGTCTGAGAGCTTGGAGACAGATTGGCGACATCGCCACCGATCTATACGCGTTTGGCTTGAACCGCGAGGCCAGCTACACGACCGACTCGGCACCTTTCTTCCTGAGAGAAACTCGCCGTGAGGTATTTGTTAGGATCTACCACATCGACAAGCTCTACGCCACCGTGTTCAACCGCCCGCCTCAGTTGTCTTCACGCTTCAAAGACTGCCGGGCGCCCTTCGACCTACCGGATGACGTCCTCTTCTCTTCAGATTATGCGGCCCTCATACGAGAACGAGATGAATTGACAGATGACGGATGGAACAAGGACCAAGGGTACAGGAACACTACATGGGCTCGAATGCGGTATATCATGGCCGACTTTATGGAGGAGACTTGTGAATGTCAATTCAGGACCATTCAACCAAGTGACCACCCCAAGCTAAGGTGAGACAATCCCGTGCACGACAACGTGATGCTGCTACAGAGTGACTAACGTGTCGGGAGCAGGGATATATCTCGTCGATGCCATGAGGCGTGGAATGCCTTGCCGTCACACTTGCGGTATACTCCGGATTGCTGGCACTCCAAGCTAGCCCGAAATGCCTGCCTGATCCTCGCAAAGGCCTATCTTCAGTTTCTTCACATCCAGTTTCAGCTATACCGCCTCATCGACGAGGGCAGCCCACCCTCGCCCGAGCTTCTGAGAACATCATCTGCGATGCTCAAAACCGTCGTACAAATTGAGAAGGTGTTGCCAAGGGCCTTCTCATCGCCTCGAGAATTGCCTGGCATGGTATGTGACTCTTCCCCCCTGGCCAAGGATTTCCGTTTGCTAACGTATGCGCTCAAAGATACTTTGCTACGGCATGCCAACAGCTGTCATTCTGGTGACGGCTCTCCAAGACGCCCTCCAGGACCCATCGAAGACCTTGCCTCCCGGGCTAAGCAAATCGAGCATCATACGCAATCTGTCTGTTCTGATCTGTCAGCTCGAGACTGCCACCCATCAGGAAGAAGCCAACCATACCGTATGCATCCAAGCTGCCAAGGCCCTTTCGAGGAAACTAGACCAAATATTGGACGAGTCCGCAGTTCCCGAGCCAGTAACACCGACAAGTGCTGATGCGTCCGCTGGTCATACTGTCCCTGCGCTATCAACTCCTGCGCATGCTGTACCGATTGGTATCGGGCAGGCGACAGACCTGGATGCCGTACTGCTCAACCCGACTTTCGACGACTTCGATCTTGAGAACTGGGCCGTTGACCTTGACCTGGGTGCCGCGAATAGCGGGTGGGAAATGTTTTAGGATACGGTTATTCCTACTTCCCACCCAGAAAGACATTGGCAACAGTGCTGGGAATGATCGACGTTAAGTGACCTTGCCGCTTTGCAGCTTGGTACTCTTGGTACTACGTCTTGTAGATCACTGTTGGAGCATATGCAACTGCACTGGCTAATTAGTTAATATCAGTAATAGAGAAGACTCCAAATTATACAATATAACTACAGCAGAGTCAACGGGCCGAGTCAGACCTCTATCAAGAAGCAGCTTGGAGATATGGATTTTGAAAGTCTTCAAGTAAACTGAAACCAAGTCTTATCCTATATAGCGTGTTTTCAAGAAACCGACCTGTTCTTCACAAGGTCACCACAAGCTTCGTAGCCGACAGCACCTTGGATTGGAACTGGTCCAAGCCACCCTGAATAGCTTCCAAACCCTTTCCGATAACCTGCGCCTTGGGCTCCGCTACAAACGACCCGTCAGCCAGGGCAGCCGGCAGGTACTCGCGGTAGATCTTGTACGCCAGCTCCGTGTCCGGCCTGAGGACGTCTACAAACTTGCCCTCGACGCCCTCCGGCAGCTCGTCCAGGTTCGGCCGCGCCATGGTGCACGCCAGGAACTTCTTGCCGGGCACGCTCGCCACCACGACCGCGCAGGCGTCGATGACGGCCGGGTAGACCGAGAAGTCGAGGCCGGCGTTGGGCACCGCGCCCGCCGTCCTCTTGCCCCGGAACGCCGCGACCAGGTCCTCCTTGACGGTGGGCGAGTTGTAGTCGAACACCGCGCTCGCGCCGAGCCTCTTGGCACGCGCAAAGTTGCCCGGCGAGGCCGTGGTGATGACCTCGTACCCGGCCGCGACGGCGAGCTGGATCGCGCTGCTGCCGACGCTCGTCGACGCGCCCCATATGAGCACCGTCTCGCCCGTCGGCTCGGCGCGCGGGCCCGCCGCCGCCGGCACCCGCATGCCGAGGTAGTCCGGGTGGAACAGGGCTTTCACGGCCGTCGACAGCGTCAGCGGCAGCACCGACGCCTGCTCGTAGGAGAGCGCGTCCGGGATGGGCGTGAGCATGTGGTCCGGCAGCAGGACGTGGTGCTGGAACGCGGCCGTCGAGAGGCCCGCGACGCGGTCGCCGGGCCGGATGCCCTCGACCTTGGCGCCGACCTGCTCGACGTCGCCGGCCACGTCGCCGCCTACGACGCAGGGCAGGGTCATGCCCAGGAAGAAGGCCGGGCCGAAGGCCTGCTGGGCCCAGTCGGCCGGGTTGAGGGCCAGGGCGCGGGCGCGGACGACGACCTCGTGGTCTTTGGGCTCCGGGTAGGGGTGCTCCTTGATCTCGAAGGGGGTCTTGACGGCCGTCAGCACGGCGGCGGTGTTGGAGGGCATGGTGGTGTTTGTGAATGGGGCCAATGTGAGTGAGGGTGGAAAATGGGTTTAATGTATTCTCAGAGGTGATCCTATTATGGAGACAGTAAAAAGTATATGTATGTCTGCTATTCCCGGAGTTAAGAGCGTGAAGTCGTTTGTGGATCGAGATGTGTGACGGTAGACGGGATGTGAAGCACACCGACGAACTGCAGATCTTCCAGTAAGGGCTTGAGGATTGTTGGAGTCTATAAGGAAAGATGGACGACGTGGTACTGATCATTAAAATATGGCAATGGGCAACGTGAGAAATTAGTTCGAAAGACGGGATCAGCAAGTAAGCAAAGAAAAGCACCTCTCATTGCAAGTTTGTTCATGTCTGAAGAGATGTGCGGGGATTGGTGTAGTCATACAGCGCCAAGGTTGTGATCAGCCGGGATGTCGGGCACCGCACATTGTATCGACAGTGCTAAAAAGAGACAGATTAAAAGCTTCAAGCAATAAGCCTGATGGACACTGGGAGAGTATGGGAATCTCATCCTTGAAGGAGTACACAAACGGGAAACGGCGTCTGTGAGCACCGACATCAATGATGTTAAGGCGGTTGTAAAAGCGTAAATCCGTCAAACTCCGTTAACATTCATCCCAGGAGGATAGCTTCGTAGAAAACAGCTTCATAGGAGACCTAGGCTAGGACCGAATAGAAATGGAATGTTCAGAAGCTAAATCAGGGTTTAACCATCGCGGCAAAAATCATGATGCGAAGTTCCAGCGATGCTCTGTCTTTCCGTTGACAACCCCCTCAGGGCGCACACCTTCCACCCATCCATCCACCTGCACTTACACAGCATCCTCCTCCAACGACAGCCCAACAATACTGAACTGGACATCCTCCCCCTCCGCCCTCAGAAACCTCCTGATACCCCTATCCAGCACCCCTTCGCTCAGCATATCCTCCCCTTCGGCCATCACCCCGCGGTCAATGGGCCCATCCGATCCTCCCTCAAGCTCCCAGAGGTGCCCGTCGTCGCCCTGCACAAAGGCGATAAAGTGCAGCGGCGCGTGCACCTCGGACGGCGGCACCGCCGAGTCCCCGCCCCGCGCGGCCCGCATGTGCGCCGCCTCGATCTCCTCGTCGTCGTTGAGGAGCCGTGCCCTGTCCAGCGGGCCTAGCGGCGCGGCGCGCTCGATGAAGCGGCCCACGGCGGACCCGGGGATGACGTGCCGCCGCGGCGCGCCGTTGGACAGGCAGTGCAGCAGGGCCATGAGGCCGCACGCGTTGTCGATGGTCTGCAGGTACCACGTCACGGGCTCGCCGGCGCCGGGGTCGTACGTCAGCCCCTCGCCGCCGTCGCCCACGACGCGGGTGCCGTCGGCGGCGCGGACGGCGTCGTAGGGCCCCGCGGGCGTGATGAAGATGAGGGCCGGGACGGGGCGGGGCACGAGCGCCAGCAGGTCCGCGTCATCGAGGCTGTAGATGTCGTGGAAGGAGAGGGCCTTCGAGGCGCCGAGGTCGTGGATGAGCGAGGTGAACACGGCCGGGTTGTTCTCGAGCGGGATGAAGGACTTGCGGCCCGAGGGGAGGATGTGGACGCCTGGCGCGGGCATTGCTTCGGATGTTTCTAGGTAAGGGATTGATTGGGGGTTTTCTTTTATCAAGTCTATGAGGGAGTCTCGTAGTGCAGTGACTGTCGTGCTCTGATACTTGATAGAATGGAATTTGATGAGATGTGAAATGGCTTTGTACCCCGCGATTACACAGGCAGCGACGCCATAACGCGTCCCTGGGATGCACCTGCCATGAGATTCAATTACTCTGCGACTGGTCACTGCCTTCCTTACTGAACAAGGAAACAGCAAAAAGGCTGACGAAAGCAAAAAGTCTTTATTGCACTCAATTTTGATGTCATTTTGAACATGGACCGCTGTCAGACCGGGGCCAACCGTCCACTCGCTATTTTACAATATTCGTGAGATTACTTCTCATCCAACCCTCAACCGGCAAACGGCTTTGAACCCTCCGGCAGGGTGACCCGGAACATGAGGAGCTGGTTGTCCACATTGTACCCGGAGCTGTCCTTGTACGGCAGCAGGCCGCCGCCCATGACGCCGTCCTGCGTGATGAAGTCGTTGTCCGACACGGCGAGCAGGTAGTACTCGTTGGCCGCGCCGAGCGTGTTGTTGCCCTGCACCGGCAGCAGCGCGAGGCCCTCCCACTTCTCGTTGAGCAGGTTGGCGTCCTGCGCGCCGCCGTTGTGCAGGCCAAACTTGGCGAGCTGCGCGTTGTCGTTGAAGTCGAGGAAGGGGCAGTAAGTGACGGGCGTGATGCCGCTCTTGAGCTCGCCCTCTGCAATTTGCACACAAGACGTCAGTTACTCCAACAAGTCTCGAAAGGGAGGAACCGGATTAGGAAAAAAAAAAAAAAAAAAAAAAAAAAAGGAACTTACTGCTGCTCGCAATGGAAGCGTTGAACGAATCGTACGTCGGCCCCGCGACGTTGGTCGCGCCGGCAATGTCAAAGACGTCGACGTGGCGGTACTTGGACTCGGTCGAGTCCATGGCCCGGCCGGCGCCCGAGTCCCGCGCGAGCACGAGGAACTGCGACCCGCCCGCGTAGTGGATCTCGGACTGCGCCGCCACGCGCGTGTTGCCCTGGCCGTCGAGGTACAGCGGCAGGGGCACGACGTACTCGGCCTTGTACACGGGCGCCTGGCCCTGGTCGAGCGCGTAGGCCAGGAACCGTGCGTGCCGGCGGTTGGGCTTCTTGAGGCCGCCCTCCTGCATGGCGGCGGACTGCAGGAGCACGTAGAGCGTCTTGCCGTCGTCGCTGATGGTGAGGCCCTCGAACCCCTGGTTGTTGTGCCGGCCCTGCGTCGGGTCGCTCGGGATCGGGTGGTTGTTCGGCTCGTAGCGGGCCGGGTTGTCCGAGGGGAAGCTGACGGTGCCGTTGCGCAGGGGCAGGATCGCGTTGGGCGGCGCGACGGCCATGGTCATGAGGCCCGTGCTGTCGAACTTGTAGAGGTACGGCCCGTACTCGTCGCTGATCCAGAAGCCACCGTCCGGCTTGGACAGGACGAGGCCCTCGGTGTCGAGGGAGACACGCCGGCCGCCGGCACCCGGGCCGCCGAAGCCGTCACCGGTATACGTGGCGGCGGGGAGGACGGGAAAGCCCGGGTACGTGGCGCCGCCGGTGAAGTCCGGGTCCAGGCCGGTGGTGGGCTGGCCGTCGGGGCCCTTGAGCAGGATGCTGTCGAGGTAGTCGAGCTCGATGTTGGGCTTGCCCGGGTTCGCGGCGCTGGCCTTGACGGGCGTGAACTTGAGGTGGAACTTGTGGATGCGGGCCTGGTAGTTGATGGTGCCCTCGGTGTTCCACCCGCGGTCGGGCAGGCCGTAGAGCGTGGCCTCGTACGAGGCGCCCTTGCGCTGCCACCCGTCGACGGCGAGCGACGAGCCGATGCTGATGGTGTCGCCCTGCTTGTCCTTGAAGGTGGAGGGCACGAAGCCGAAGCCCGAGAGGCCGTTGTAGGTGTAGGTCTTGCCGCTGCAGGTCGCGTTGCTGGCGGAAGGGCGGGGCACGCAGGTGCCGGCTGCGGCGGCGGCCGAGGCAGCACCTATGGCGGCGACATATGTCTTGAGGAGGACCATCTTGAGCAACCCGATGTATGGAAAGCCGCGGAGGGACTGCGATCAAGCTCAACTGGGCACGGTGAGCTACCTCGGGGTCCGAGGAGCTGGGGCGGGGGGTGTCATCTCATCTTATAAGCTGCAGGAACCCCCCCGCGGATCGCCCACCCATGCATCAACGGAGCGGCGGGAATAGGATTCGAGAAGAAAACAGCAAAGGCTCTCCAGGCCCATCGCCCTGGATCCCGCGCCATGTCCAAATGAAGCTGTGTTCTTGCTGAAGGAGAAGGAAGCTGTCGGGCTTGGCATTGTGGTTTTCAGTAATAGTTGGTGATAGCGTGTGGGGCGAGCTGAGCTGGGAGGGCTGACAGGGCGCCGCACGTGGGCTGTCTCACTGGCCCTCAGCGTGTCGGCCCGCTGTGAGCGCCCGTGGATGGCTGCGATGGCTTCAAACCCCCTGTTCTGCTCAACACCAAGCTCGCCGGGTGCTCTTCGTCCCTGCTGGTGGTTCCTTTGGTTCCATTGACTCCGGGGCTATCTGATAAAGCCTTCGCGTTGTGGCGTCAATGGATCGTGTAGCACGTGCTCACCTTCTCTCATCTCCAGAGTCTGGTGGATGACGGTGGCTTTGCTCACTGACCATTCCCAGTAGTCACATGCCTTGGGAGGGCTTTGGGGCACTCCAGGGCTGTTAGCCAGCTACTGCACGATCCTGCGAAGGGGTACGTTTTTCTTCACTCGCGTGAACCAGGGGCGGAGCGAGATCGACCGATTCTTTGTCAGAAGCTTATTCTGACCTGTGAAATTGGCTCAACCTGCACGTCAGTGAGATCGGGAGATCGGTGGCCGGAGGATTGACAGGCACCAAACCAATGAACGAAGCTCGGACTTTGTTACTCGGATCAGAGGCTCAGATCAGTGTCTGGGAAGATGCATTTGGCTCCCACAAGACTCTTTCGTCGGGATACAATGCCGGGCGCTCGCTTCATAAAACCCACTATCGACTGCCCGTACAGGGCAATTAATCGAACTCTGAAATCTTACGGACTGCAACCATCAACAACACAAAATCGCGATTAGAAGCCGCAAGACTACTTTGGATCATCTGGGCTGGTCATCGATAAATTTTTTCATGATTTCTCCCTGCTTTTATGGAAGTCTATCGTCTATGAAATGCAAGGTGCTCGGAACTCCTCGGCCGCCATTGTATGTTGCCCGGATTCCACCATCACCACCGCCTTTCATTCCGCCCTGTTCTCACGCCGCCATTTTGTTTCATCGTATCCAAATTGACGAGAGCTTTCCAGAAGCAATCCAAGCTCGTCACGACTTAAGCTGTGGCGGGCGCCAGCTACCCTGTCTTCTTTCAGGGCAGATGGGAAAGATTTCAACATTTACCGGCAGGTGTAGCCACCGTCGATGATGAGGTCAGCACCGGTGGTGTAGGTGCTCGCATCGGAGACCAGGTAGACGTACGCGCCCTTGAGCTCCTTGGCGTCGCCGTTACGGCCCATGGGGATCATGCTGCGCCACAGCTCCTGGGTCTTGGGGTCGATGAAGTCGGACAGGCCCGTGTCGATGTACCCGGGGCTGATGGAGTTGACGCGGGCAAAGTCGCGCCACTCGTTGGCCAGCGACTTGGCCATGTGGATGCAGCCGGCCTTGGCCACGTTGTACGAGGTCTGCTCCTGCGGGTAGTTGGCGATGTGGCCCGACATGGACGACGTGATGACGAAGGAGCCCTTGCCGCGCTGCTTGAAGTGCGCGCCGACGGCCTTGGCGCAGTAGGCCGTGCCGTTGAGGTCGATGTTGATGACGTGGTCCCAGTCCTCCTTGGAGCCGTCGATGACGCCGGCGTTGGCGGTGGCACCGGCGCTGTTGGAGTTGGGGGAAACAAAGTCAGCAATGGTTCGTCTTTCTCACGATACCACAAACCGTGCGTTGTGCACGCGACTCATTCAAGGGAAGGGCGAGAGCACTCACTTGGCGATGAAGGCGTCGATCTGGCCAAAGTCGGCAATGATGTCCTTGACGAGCTTCTCGACGTCGTCGTAGTCGGCGACGTTGCACTTGTAGGCCTTGGCCTTGACGCCGTACTCCTTGGTCAGCTCCTCGACGTTCTTGTCGGCGCCCTCCTTGCGGGACGAGTAGGTGATGGCGACCGAGGCGCCCATCTCGGCGCAGCCGCGGGCGGCCTCGATGCCCATGCCGCGCGGGCCGGAGGCGCCGGTGACGACGACGACCTTGCCCTTGAGGCTGAAGAGGTCGAGGAGGTGGTTGGCCTTGGGGATCTGCTGAACCATCTTGACGGCGGTAGGGTTGTTTGGGGAAATGTGTGTAAGTGTCTGGAGGGAAGTACGGAGCAAGGTCAAGAAAGCAGCTTTTTGGGGGGTATCTCGGAATGTGAATGGGAAAAAAAAAAGAATAAAGCAGGAGAGGGAAGAAAGAGAAGAAGGACCGAGAAGAGAGATAATGATGCGTATATGAAGGGGCTTCAAGGGGCAAAGCTACAAGTACAAAGCTACCTCGAGCTTGCTCCCGAAGACTTGAGGATACACGCGGAGCGGCATGACGGTGGTGGGGGTGTAACTGGAGACGCCAGCGCGCTCCCACCAGAGTCACCACCCACTCTGCCCACTCGCTTCCCCTCCTCTCCCCCTCCATGGATATGGGAAATGCCCCAGTCCTCGCCCTCACTCTCGCCGGCTTCACCGTCCAAAACAGAGTTTCGTCGGCGCCGACTCGCAACAGCCGCTAAACATCCCACTTCCCCCTCCAGTGGCCTCCACCATCCGTGCAAGTCTCGCAGGCCTAATGCCTCATCAGGGTCCTCTTTTAAATGGGCTGATGATGTCACTAGCCTCTCCGGCCCTGACTAAAACAGCCGACCAAGTGGATCTGTGGTGGCTCCCCGTATCTCTTCCCACTGAAATGATAGGCAGCCAAGTCTCGTCCTCAGGTCGTTTCAATGGGCACCTGCAGGAGAGATACCACAAAACGAGGCGATTGTTGATCAGTGATCAGGAATATCTGGCACGTACCTCAACTTGCCTGTTTGCCTGGAAAGGTGCGATCCGAATGGAACCTTCCAGAGGGGTCAGATAGGCTATCTGCTTCCACGGTCCGTCTTGGAGGACCCGAGCCAACCGCAAATTCCGGCTCCCCTCTCTGCCGCGGGAGCTGCAGCAGAACTTGGGGAAGCGACGGAATCCCCCCAGCAAGCCGCTGCCGGGCACCCGAGTTCTGACCGCCCGGATGGCGGGCCAACAGGGTGGATCTGCCTAGGCATGCGGGACGCGCGCGCCTTACAAGCAAGTACAACTGGCATCTCCAGACCGACTTCTGCAATGCGGGTTTTGGCAAAATATGGAAGTTGATACGACATGCCTGCAGCAGAGCGCTCCACTGGACGGCTGGAGCGGGTTGTGCTGGGCGTGGAATGAGAGGTTTCAGACTTGGCCTGGTAGGCACCTGGGACCGAAATCCATGAGAACTAACTAGAGCAGCTGGACCTTTTGAATGCCATCACTAAATGAAGAAGAAACGCACGTGTGACGGCTCGTCCGGTTCGATCTCTTTGTCAAAGATGGTGAGCGGTAGTAGGTATGAACAGCTCGTACTACATGCATCTTGATACGAGTGGGATGAACTCTCAATTCGTGCGTAGGTGTCATCAAGTGTCACCAAATCATAAACAATCTCTTTTGTGTTTCTTCCAAGATCAACGAAACCAGCGTTCCCATCATCAGTCTCGAAGCCACCTTCATCGACTACACGCGCCGATGAGACTCTTTGTGCCATTCTCGCCAAGTCTGAACCACGACGAGCGGCTGTGCAGTCACAGCTAGTCGCGTGTTCTCTAACAATATGTCCAGGGCCTCTAGAGAATTGGCCTGATAGGGATCGTGCCAAATATATTGGAAGTGATCTCTCCCAGTTGAAGATGACCTTTCAGATCAAAGGCCGTGCGAGTTACTAGTTTTAATATACTCTAGACAAGGTAACTAGGCTTACTGACAGACTTATGCAACCGGGTGTCAATCTTCAAAGCGTATGCACACTCTGCATCAAGAGGCATGGCATATCCTCAGTAATTCAAGGAAAGAAATAAAATAAACAAGCTCAAGGTCGCTTCCACTGCTTAATACTGCCTCCATATTAGGAATGAAAGTACAAGACTACACAACGTGAGAATCATGAATTGCAAGTTGAAAATATTCACACGTTGCGCTAGATCTCCCTCTGGCCCCCCTCCCACCACATCACCGACCAAAATAAAGAATGAAAAACAAGAAGGAAATAAAAGGAAAGGAAGGAAGGAAATAGAAGAAGGAGAGGAAGTTTCTCTACTCAAACAGGCTGATAAACTCCACTATCTCACTTGCGAGAACGCTTGTCATAAGAACTCTTGTGCTTGTTGCTAGATGTCGACTTTGACGTGTCCCTCGAATTGGTGGCAGCCCTAGGCGTATTAGGGTCAACATACTGCGAGCTTGCTTGGTCTGTTGCCGGGCTTGTAGGCAGTGTGATGGTCTCCCAAGGGTTGGCCGGGATTTCTGTCGTGGACGCATTGCCAGCCTGTGGCTGCATATCGTCATTCGGAGCCGAATATTCCGTCGGGTAATATGCCGATGGTCCTGGGTAGTAGTCAGAGGAGTATTGCACATCCGCAGCCTCTGGAGCTTGTGAACCCTGGGATAAAGTGATCTCGGGCTCTGCTTTCGTATTATCTGTCTCTTCTCAGCATCCCTCGCATTTTCAGTAGCGTATACTCAACTCACGCCGACCACAATCCAGACCGTCATTGAGCTTCTGGAAGGGACAGTATGCGTTTTGACACTTGTCTTTTAAAGGTATCAGCTTTGATGCATGCTGGGTCCAGCAGTGTGATTACAAACCGGCATTGCATAGACTGAAGGACGGGGCTGCCTCGTTCCGACATCCAGCCGCGAGACAGCCATCTGTTACACTTAGTATAAGACGTCATGTGATGAATAAGAGGAGCAACATACGGTGCAGACAGTGAATATCAGATTCCTGTCGTCTTTCTGTGCACTTCTTGGTGACGCATTTATCTATTGTCCGGTGAGCTGACATTCCCGATGGGTCAACTGGAGCTTCCTTACGCTCGTAGCAGTACCGATGAGACCCATAGCGCAGCTCTTCACAGCTGATAACGACACATTTGTCTAATGATGGCATTGAGTCAAATCTCACACGTAATTAGTCTCGAGGCAGTGATCACTCACGCTTCTGCTCACAGTACCTGGAAGGCAGCTTAGCCTCGCTTTTGCAGTCTCTGGCGCATTTATCTGTCCGCGAGTGAGTGGGGATTTATCAAGTAATGAGCCGGCAACTGACGAGTCTCGCAGAAGCGCGATGCGGCGGTCCTCGATGCGACACAGCGGTAGCACTTGTCTGAGACATGTTAGTCGAGTGGTGCGCAACCTCAGCCGCATGCCTTACGGTTCTTGCACACTGTTGACTGCGGTGCCCGCACTTCATCGCAACTAGCAAAGGTAAACGTGCACATGTCTAGCGGTTTCTGTGAGTCAGCATGACGGGCTGATTAGTGAACAGACCGAGGCCACGTACGGGAGCCACAGTGACTGAAGTTGCCGACTTTTGGCTCTAGGCACTCTCGGACTTTGCATTTGTCTGTTTCCATCAGTCGACTGCTCTATAGACGGTTTATAGACCGGCTCAACATTGGAAATTGGCTTACGGCTTATGCAGACCACTGAGTCTCTCTGTCTCTCATATTGGCAGCCATTGATGCCGCATTTGTCTACCCAGGAGTTAGTGACCGCAAGACTTGGCTCCAACAAAACAAGAACGTACGCCGGTGACAGAAACAAGAGCCATCTACGGCCCGATCGGAGCAATACGAACAAGCCATGTCGTGTACGGCAACCCGTTAGGTGCTCCTGCCCGAACTTGGAGAAATGAGAACAAGCAAATTTCTTCTCAGGCAAGGCTGGGCTGAACATCGTTATTATATAGCCCATCGACGGGATTCCAAGAGCCTCTCAAGCCGAACAAGGAATGACGTGGTCAGGCTTCGGCGCTATATTTTTTTGTGCAGTTTTGGGTACCCAGCCTGGTCATCCTCAGTGAGTGGTCTAACCAGCTTCGTGCATGCGCCATTTTGTGCTCCGGTTCTGTCGGTTAAACAGCCAGATTTTGTAGGCATCTTTGCATTATCAGATAGGCATCATGTCGTACCCAGCTGATTCATATACTGAAATCATCTAATGAACGTGAGTTTACGCCCTGAATACATGAGATCCTCCATGTACATCGGATCGATAGAAGGAAGGGCCAAGATCCTTCAATAGGCTCCAGGGTCGGGAGCTGCATTCCTTGAGAGGCCAATCAATTTGGGTGCTGAAATCACCCTGTTGTTCAGATCACAGCTCGAGAGACACCAGGATGCAGGTCTTGTTTGACCCGCAGGACTAACACCAAATCTGATGGGAAGCAAGATACACCCTATCACATATCACAATACTACAGCCCAGCAGCAGGCAACCATGAGCAGATGACAATATTGACCATTCCGTAGAATCCATCCACCCTTGATGCAAGATAGCTCACCTGACATTAGGCGTCAACATGTCTCGCTCGTCGGGTTTCAAGGACTGCATCAAACCTTGCAATTAGCCAGGAGATGATTACCCCGCAGCTACGCTCGCTTCTACGAGGCTTATTATCCTTCTCTGTATTGCATTATCAGCCCGAGAGATAATCCGCACTTGTCCCGCATGATCTGTCGAGATCCATGGTGGCAGATGTCAACTGGCTGGCCCTTACTACCCACCAAGTACGTGATAAGCCTCGAAGATATTGTAGCATCGGAGTGATAACACGTCTTGAAGCGCCACAGCAGTTCATGAGCTAGATCGCCATTGGTTTCGGGGCTCTGAGCCAAAAGCATAAAGGCCGTAAACATTGCAGGCCATCCTGGGTTTAGTCTCCTCTTGGCTAGAATGATATTGGCAACTTGAACATTTCCAGCTACGATTCTTAGTATTGAGCCTCGACAAGATATTCCAATTACTGCATTACCATATCAGAGAGACAATGCGCTATGCTGATTCAATTCTTTACGTAGCGCATGTAATACCAAGCTCCTGCAGCAGCCAAAGGCACAATGATCGTCGTCACCAACTTTGCCATAGCCGCTTGCATATGAGGCTTGATGACACCGGCGTGGAGCTCCTTGAACTCGTCACGGCTGTTGGTGCGCGGGTAAGGTTCGTTCGGGATCTCCTTTCCCAGGAAGGGGCAGATCTGCTCCCAGCCAAGACCGTCCTCCAGCTTGACCTCGAGCAGCTGGTCTTTTGGTACAATGGAGCGGGCCTTCTCGTTGCTGCAGTTACGAGGGGTTTTTGGTCAACACACGTAGATCTTGGACGGCCTGGCGGTGCTTGCGAAGACTCACTGGGCGATGTATGCGCGTATCGCATCGTCCTTGTTCATGAACTCGCCTCCGCCAAAGAGGATAATCCGAGCAGATTCTTTCACTCCAGACATCTCCCAGAAAAGAGGACTGAACCACCGCAGAATGCCCATCATGACAAGCTGGACGATGCCGGGCTTCCTCAAGATGGTACTCTCCGCAGAGGCATACCAGGCCGCAGGCTCTCGAGTGGTGAGGATGAACTTGGCGTCCGGCCACGCAGCTACGGCCTCTTCCATGAAGAACGGCGTGATGTCGGTGAGAGCCTAGCGGGAAGACACGCGTTGCGCGCAGTCATCAGCCCAAGCTCTCCGGGTCCAGCAAGGGGCGAGGATTGCCAAACTCACATCGTACTGCCCAAGCCACTTGTCCAAGTCGTCTTTGTTGTACCGCTTGCCGTTGGGCGAGTGTCGCTCCATGACGACCTCTTTCATCATCCTAACCTCAGGCGCGCCGCCCATGAGGACGGTCTTCATGTGGCAAGGGTTGTAACCGAGCTTGCCCAGCGCAGTATACAGACCCAGCGTGCCATTGCTGTCATCATCCATCATCCAACGTCAATCTTGTATCCAAGAGCTGTCGGCATAGGGCCCCGACTCCTAGAGTCTTGTTACACGATGGGTACGTACCGCCCGAAACTAAGCACAATAACCTGCTTCTCCTTGGGATTCACTGCCGGCGGCAGTGTGTCGACATACCGGGGCATGATGGCGAAATTCTGCGGGTGGGTTTCAATTAATTGGGAGGCAAGCCACACAAGAATGTCAAACAGGCGCCATCAGCACCCCCTCCAGCCTATATAAACTTGTCCACTGAAGGACCAGCTGGGCTTTGTCAGACTGCTACGCTGGAGCCCCTAAATGACAAGGGGCCAACGCGACACGCGCGTTCCTTCCACACCGTCAGCACTTGTCTGTCCTGTTAGCTCCAGAGCGGCAGGGCCACGAGGGTGTGGATGCCGTAGCTGGGAGGCACATTTCGGGCAAGCGACGGTTATGATCAGTCGAAACGTTGCAGGGTGGTAAGGGATGTGCACGAGCTGAGAGGCGGCTAACTGGGGCTCAGACCGAGCTCACCAACGCTTGGCCAGTCAGATCTCGTGTAGTTAATCCATCCACGACCGCGAGGAACGTCTTAAAGCCGGGGCCGAGCGCAACCTTGCCAACAGCACAGATACGGGCTATCGGCTATCGCATGATCAACACATGTAGCCGACCCAGGGTCGAAAAGGGATTATCTTGTCGAATCGATCAGCAAACCGCAGAATATGAGTTTCAACCCTGTAAATAGAAAGCAGCGAAGGTCAGAGAGAAACACTGCTTCCGTGCTTCATTCAACGGCGAGACTCAGGGTGTGGTCCACTGTGAAACGTCCAGTCAGCAATCTTCAGAGCTCGGCCAGGAGTTCGGGTGCACTCGATTAATAGGAACGTTGCTTTTTGCTTCCATTCGTGTGGATCGACGCTGTCTGTGAATTTGAGATTCGGTTCTCTGTGTGCCAAGCAATCATCAGAGTGTCAGGAAGGATCAAGATCAATTAGGCGAAAAAGGAGGTAAGCAGTAAGCAGATAGTGGGGGAATAGGTTGGCACGTAAGGCACGGTAGGGTGACATCACTCAAGGCATGTTTCGTCTAACCTCCAATCAAACCGAGGCGAAAGGGTATGAGAAAATCGCATTGTATTGAGGAGTTGGGTATCTTGCTGCAAATCATATATAAAGTACTGTTGTAAGAATCACGCCAAAGTCGCAAACACCCCCAGGAAATGACCAGGGAGAGCTACAAGGCACCTTGGCCAAGGGCTACTGCGCTTGTTTTTCCATCTCATATCCAGTCGGTGACATTGGCGGTAACTGATGATGGTGGTGGTAGGTATGAGGAGAGCCGGGGTGAACGGGTTGAACGGCCGGCTTCTCCGTCCGTGGGACGGCGGCACTCGGGTTTACATTGCGGGCTTCACACTCCGGGCAAGACCGCATCTGCCGGTAGTAGTCCCGCTCTTCCTCTCGCCTATGAACAGCAGCGTGTTAGCTTGAAGCTCAGGCTCACCAGAGAGTGCCACTCCAGCCTACCGTGTCATTTTCCTGCCCAAAAAGTAGCCGACCGTCCCCACGATCGCAAGCTTGATGAATCCGCCCATGAAGATTCGAGGCCCAAACGGTCCGCGGTATCCGAAAGGATGGTATCTGTATGCTGCGTATGCTGGGTGCGAATAGAAGGCGCGGTGCATTGCACGATATCGGTGGTAGTTGGGAGACATGTTGGAGGTAAGAAAGATATATGATCACGTACAATCGTAGGTTTCACGGTCTGCTTTAAATGGTAACGGAACACGATGAAAGGGAGGCTTAAAAGCTTATTGCGCGGCCATGTCGTCAGCTTGCTGTCTGAATGATCATGCGCCCTCGGAGCTTTCGAGGGCTTATGCGGACGCGAAGTCTCGGACTCGGACCCGGTCTGTGAAGCGAGGAGTTGAGGGACCTGAAAATTCCGAGACTGGCTCCACACCACCTTTAGGACCGAAATGACCGCCTCAATTTGCCGAACCCGAGTTTCACGCATTCCGAGCTTCTCAGACACAAAACAGCCTGCACGGTTAGTGGCTGCTTCCAGAGAATACTCGCTTGATCTCGCGACATCGGTCTTTACCTAGGGGTCCGTTCAGGATTCTCTTTTGTCCGGGTCCTCCGCCGACTTGTACCTTTGTCAACGCTTAAGCCCGAACCCTTCCAAGCGATGCGTGACGCGCCTGTACGCAAACGCAGACGCCCAGCCAAGAGCTGTGAGCAATGTCGGAAGCGTAAAATAAAGTGTGATCTTGAAGTAAGGCTCTATTTTTTGAATTTATCATGAACCTCTGCAATGACCTGACCTGACCACAGGAGCCTTGTGGGCCGTGTATGAAAGCCCGCGCGTCCCTTGCCTGTTCATACTCGGCAGACAGCATCCGGGACAGTCAACCTTCTCGTAACGAGCCAAGGCCCTGCCTCACCGTAAGAGACGATAACATTCTCGAAATTCCCGGCGCATTTGATATCCTTGGCGAGACTGCCGTGGAGACAAACCAGCCTAATTTGGAAGATGAAAGCGTGAGCAAAGATGTCAATCCGACGATAACTACCGCTTTAAGCGATATACGAAGCAGAGTTGCGCGTCTGGAAAGAGAAAGCAACTCGAATGCTGGTGTTGCGCCTGCAGTCAAGGACTTGCAAAGTCGTCTTGCAAGGATAGAAAGGCATTTGACGACCGTCTCTGCCGAAAAAGATGAATCAGGCGCTCCACCTTTTCGAAGAAGACCAGAACTTTCTGTGCCACCGACTGAGCCTCGCCTCCGAGTTGGTGCTAGCAAGACAAGACTTTTTGGTCCGGGGCACTGGCTTCATACAGCAACAAAGGTAGAGTCCCTCTGATGACTGTTAACAACTTCTACAAACAATTCTGACTGCCTGCGTAGTTCCAAGTGCTTGGCAGCTTTGATCATGAGGAGGCCCTGCCACCTTTTCCGGCAGATGGCCTGAGTGCAAAAATGAAGAGTCTGCGGGCATTGCGGCATTTTGCAAAGAAGCAGCAATCCGTCACACTTCACGATCCAGTTCCAGATATAACAAGCACACTGCCTTCCAGACAGGTCTGTGATGAACTTGTCCGAGCATATATCAGGACTTTCGAGCCGGTCTTTCGGATCTTCCATCTGCCTTCGTTCTGGAAGATGTATGAAGCTTACTGGAACGACACAGACCAAGGAACTCCGGTCAGTTTTCGCATGAAGCTGGTATTGGTCCTCGCCATTGGAACCACTTTCTACCCTCACCGGAGCGAACTCGAGAGACTACAGCGTCTGGCACATACGTGGATCTATGCTGCCCACTGGTGGATGACGGGGCCTACTGAGAAACTCACTTACAACCTTGACGGGCTGCAGGTAGGCTGCCTTCTCCAACTGGCCCGGCAAACAAATTCGTTGGGGGCGTCATCTTGGTTCTCGGCTGGAACACTCCTACGCGTGGCCCTATTCATGGGCTTGCATCGAGACCCAGGGCATTTTCCTTCTTTGACCCCCTTCCACTCGGAAATGCGTCGACGGCTCTGGGCGACTGTCTTAGAGTTGACAGCTTTGCCGGCTTTGGACTCCTCCATGCCTCTAGAGGTGTCCATGGACGACTATGACACCCAAGCGCCATCAAACCTGAACGACGAGGACTTGAATCCAGACTCAAATGCACCACTTCGACCAAAGGCTGACGGGGAGGTCACGGACACGTCCATTCAGCGCTTATTGCTCAGATCCTTGCCAACAAGATTGCGTGCCACAAAGCTTATCAGCAACCTCGCAAGCCCACAACCATATGAAGAGACTGTCAACCTGGGTGTTGAGCTCAGATCATCCTGTCGCGAAGCGGCTGCCTTATTTCAAACAGCGTCTACTTCGGGAAAAACCGGGGACTTGCCAATATCTTCCTTCCAAAAGGAATTCATTGACATGTACCTGCGACGTTATATTTTATTTCTCCACAGGCCCTTCGTTCTGCAAGGCCAGAAAGATCCTCGGTTCTATCTAGCCCGCAAAATCTGCAAGGACTCCGCACTCGTCATCGCCTCCTACGCCAATGGGCTGAATCTGCCATCTCAGGACCTCGACGATCTGTCACGCATGTTCATAACTATTAGCGGCACCCTCAAAGGCCCGCTGAGTTTCGATGTAATCTCTATGCTGGGCCTCGAGCTCCTCGCTCAACTCGAGGAGGACGGTGCAGGGACATCCACGGCCATCGACCCACTCGACGAGATGGGCAGGGCAGCGAGAGCGCCCGTGAAGAAGGCGCTCGAACATATCAACGAGCAGCTCCTTCAGCTGATCGCGCTGGGAGTGCCGCGCCTCAAGCGGTACGGCTTTCTCTCCGTCATGTTGAGCCAGGCCCGGGCTCTCGAGACAGGACAGCCTATCAAACAAGCGGTTTATGGCGCGATGCGAGACTGCATGGATAAGTGCTGCGCGTATCTGGAAGCTGCGAGGGTGGTGTCAACTCCGCAGGACTCGATCGAGAGTTTGACGCGTGCGAGCACTTCGGTTACCGATGAGTTCGAGGATCCCTTCGGATTCGACCTCAACGATATCCTGAACCCGGGACTCATGTTGAGCATGCCCGGAGTGATGTTTCCTCCCGATGGGAACAGTAATGACCAGTTCGACTGGATTTAACACACCGAGAGGCCGGTGCGGGCTCGTTCAAATGCACCTCATGCGTCATTGAACGGCGCGTCCGAACAAGGTCACCTTGTCTGTACTAACTCAGATGGAATCAAAGGTCTAGTTAGTCTCGGACAAGCCCGCTTTAAGCTTATTATTTGTAATTGTCAGCATAGCCCCATCGCGGCTTGATACGACAACTAATACGCTCTTTGGTATCCACACTGACATGCTACGATGGAAGTCGGTCACTAAATAAGCAACTGACAACGACGGTTGGCTCCATTACTCTACGTTAAGGCAATTCTCCACACAAAAAAGACAATATTGCGGCGTATTCGAAAGCGTATTTTCTCGCTTCAACACCGTGAAAGCTCTTGGCAACTCTTTCCATTGTCAGCTTTCTCCATCACACCAGCCAGTACACGGCGACCAGTGGACTGACCCTACGCCGCCGGTTGAGTCAACTTACGCTCGGCAATTCTGTGACCAGTAATGTGAGGCTTACCATTTCACGATAGTCGGCACGAGGAGAGAGTGCCGCCTTGGCGAGGCTGTGATGGTGGCTAAGCCATACGCAACGGGCCGTACGCACTCAATCTCGGTCTTACCAGGTGATCCACCGAGAGTGAAAATCTAGAGTAAAGCAGAACATGGCTGTGTAGATCATTGACAATTGAAGTCGAAGATAACCCCCTTCGATGTAATGGGCTGTCTTCGCATATAAGACTTCGGCGTGTCCCACAATGATAACCTTTCCATCACCCCCAAGCATTGCACTTTCTACACATTGCCTGCTGTCCACCACCAAGACATCCTTTGCATCACCATTCGGTTACCACCATGCTCTCCAAATTTGTCCTCAGCTCCGTCATCGCTGCTCTCGCAGTCGCCTATCCGGCCCAGGCAGCGCCCCAGCAGATGCCCAAGCGGGATACCATCGAGCTCAGCAAGGTTGCTCAGCTGAGAATTGCAGACACGTAAGCTTTCACAGACCTCTATCTTCGAGGAGACGAAGCCCCGAAATATAACATCATATAGCGCCGTTGACCGATTCAAGCTCCTCCCGAAAGATGAAGACTTTATGTTTGATTTCAGCAAGTCCCAAATCCCGGTGGCCACTGCCAGCAACTTTCCGGCCCTTGTGGGCTCGGGTGCCTCATTCAGTCTGGCTTCCTTGCCTGGTATTGCATCCTGAAGACCGTTGCATTTGTATCCTGTATTCTCTGACACCTCACATAGGATGCCACATGGCCTTCCTCCACCTGCACCCTCGTGCTTCCGAGCTCTTCGCCGTCACCTCCGGCCGTGTCGTTACCGAGATGGTTCCCGAGGCAGGCGTCGTCACAGCCGATGGCAAACAGCGAGTCATCCGTACTGATCTGAGTGCCGGCATGTTGACCATCTTCCCTCAGGGATCCTTTCACACTCAGGTAGGCCGGCAGCACTCACAATCACAACGACCAACTCTGTTCCTTGACTGACATTCCTGACAGGTGAACCCCAACTGTGAGACAGCAAACATCTCCGCCTTCTTTACAGCGGAGGACTTTGGCGCGGGCCTGGTTGCAGACCAGACGTTTGCACTGAGCGATGATGTGATTATCCGCACGTTTGGAGAGAGTATTCCCGGCGAGGACATCGAGAAGATCAGACATGCCATCCCCGGTACTATGGCCATTCTGGTTGACGAATGCATGGCGAAGTGCAACAAGACAAAGCGCCATATCTAAACTGTTAGAAAATCCCTGCATAGCCCACCCTAAGCCTGCACCAAACTGTCACGCCATTCGATTATTCAATTCTTGTCAAGTTCCAGTAATACATAGAGATAGACTTAGACAAATATCGTTAGATAGTTATGACTTATGAGTTAGAATGTCTCTCTTAAAACTGTCCCAACTATACCCTATTCTGAATGATTGTTATTCAAGGTGATAGACAGGCGATGTTTTGCAAGGCATCAAGGACTTGATATCAACTCTGCCATGATGGACAGTCAGATTTATCTTGACCAAATGCGAGCAAGAGATATCTCGTTGCAAACCACGCATCCCAACATAACTCTGATTCACACAATGTCGTGAGAATCAAGAACATCCGTTTCCGAACGCTCATCTTCGTATCATGAACGAGTGTGGTGGTTTGCAACCGGTATGAATATGGAGTGAATGTTCAGCACAATTCTATTCACGGAGCCTCAAGTGTTCCCATTGGGACTGTCTTGAGCGAAACAAGTTTCGAATATTGCCCGCCCCTACTATGTGATGTCTGAGGTTTACTTGAGGACTGAAATGTATAAGAACACTTGCACTGCCATAGCTCCAAGAAGACATCAGCTTGCCCAGAACGTACAAATTCCCTAAATACCCACCATCATCATACTCTTCTCTATCGAAGCTCGCAAGCATTGCTTTTGAAGTCAACCACCAAATATCCGGCGACATGCACTGTCTACCACAGTCGCCGCTGTGACAACTGCTGTTGGATTTACATAAACCAGACCATCCGCCACAAATTATGAAGCAGCGACCTGTCGGGGTCAGAACCTAAACCTTAAGACTATGGTTGTCCGAAGATCTGGGTCATATTTTGATATGTACTGTCCTTTTTTTGGCGCCCTTTTTGGCGCCCTAAACTTGGCCGAATTGCTGAATGTGCGCCCTGCATGATGACGAGATCTCATACTCCTCCGTACCATCGGAGGCAGCCGTCTCTACGGCCTCCTCCGGCTGACCTCGGCGGAGGAGGCCATGCGGATATCCAAGAGTCACAACGCTCCTGACATAATCATTTGAGTTTCTTCTTCAACATCCGACTTTTCAATTCAACCTTAATAGAGCTGTCGGTAAGGAGAATTGAATATTTCAAATACTTTCCCGCGCTAGACGGTGGCTGAGAGAGGCGGAGGTGAGACCTCGCGGCCAAACGCTGTCTAACCTGAATAGTGGCTAGTGCTGATTACGCCTGAGAGCGTATCCTGCACCTCCGGCACTACTTATTGAGGATCATACGCCGAAGTAGGGCTAGCAAAATCCCCAGTCGAGGCACATTTCCCAAGCACACGCGAGCGAGTTCGACTGACACCTTTTCTGCACGTCAAATGCCGGGGCCGTGTTCCTTGGGATCGGAACAGGCTATCCACTGCAGCGACTATCCTTACTGATACGCCAGACCCCCTCTACGGGTATCTGAAGCGGGAATTACGTTAACTACCAGTCGGAGCCCATCCAGTGACAGCCATGCCAGCAGACACCATCTCGCCTGGACCCCGCGCTCCAGGGGTCAGGGTCCGGCGGAGCCATGAGAAATCTCGCAATGGTTGTATTCGATGCAAGCAGCAGCGCAAGAAGGTACCTGGCTTCCTCTGGAAGATCTCACGAACCCTCGCTCATGTTGTTCCTGTCTAGTGCGATGAGTTGCTGCCGAGTTGTTCACGGTGCGCAAAGCGCCACTATTGTTGCCAGTATCAAGCCCCCAGGAGTGAGCCCAGCTGGCCGGAGGGTCGGGAGCTGCCACACCTGGCTGCCCCCAATATGCAAGTCCGGCCGGCGAGTCCCGGAACTTCTGTCTCGGGCTCAAAAGGGTCGCTGGCGGCGCTGTCTGATGGGTATCTCTTCGTTCCCGACTCTTCGTCCAACGCGTCCTCCCCAGCCTCGGCTGCTTCTGCCTTCTCAAATTACAGCGAGTATGAGAAGAGGATTGCACTACAGTCCCATTCGCCTGGCACCCTCGACTCGACGGAGCTCGGCCTGCTCAGCCACTTCCTCACGCACACTAGCCAGACGATACCCTTTGACGATGTCGACCTCTATGCTCTGTCCGTGGGAGTTCCAAACCTCGCATTCAATAGCAGGCCCGTGATGTCGTCTCTGCTTGCTCTGGCCGCGGCATGCAAGTCCCACGACTTAGCCAAGCAAGCTCAGGATCCTCTGGATAGGCAGGTGCTAGGAGAGATTAGAGACCTGTTGACTCTTGCCGACGATCACCACAGGATATCTCTACAGCACATACAGGCCGCCGTGCCGAACTCGGAATGGCACGACAATGTTCTAGCCAACGCCGCCTTGATGGTCCTCCACACCTACTCAAGCCATGCGATCCGCGTCTACCTCGCCACCGCCGCGAAACGAAGCGGCTTGCAGCTTCCGGCCCATCTCCTGCCGCAACATTCACAGTGGATCATGTACACTCGTGTAGCTCACACTGCCTCTACTGCAGTGCTGGACAGCATCGTTAAGGCTGCAGCTAAGAGCCTACCAACTAAGCATACGCCGCCGGATCCCCAATCGATTCCGCGTCGTGCATCTCACATATCTCCAGAAGACGGGCCCTCTCCACGGACGAGAAGTCTGTTCCTTCCCTTGGTTGGATCTACATGGAGTAGAGCAGTCGACATCCTTCGTGGGAAAACGGACAGCCTCACATCGCATCTGGACGGCTCAGAGTTCTTCGCGCCTGGTGACTCGGAGCTTCATATCTGCCGAGAGACATTGGCGGTGCTTGAGCAATGCGCCGCGAGCGCTTTCTCTACGAGGGATGGCGACGACAAGGAGGAGGTTTCCACCGACGACGCCATCTCGTCGGACACGAACTGTAGAGTGTCGGGGTGGGTTGGGAGATACATGGTCCGCGTGACATCGATGACATCGCAGAGGGCGCTACGAAGGATCATCATGTCGTTCTTGAACCAGACGCCGGTGGGATACCTGAACCTAGTGCAGTCTGTTCTCGAGATGTCGCCGGCGGAGACCAGTTCCGGCAGTTGGTCGGCGCACGACTCTCCCGCGACCGAAGCGCCGACACTCAGCACACCACAGCTACTGGCTATGGAAATATTTGCCCATTGGCTTGTTCTCGTCATGCTACTGGACGGTGTGTGGTGGATTGGCGATATAGGGCAGTGGGAATTGGGGCAGGTCGTGTCGTTGATCAAGTCACAACATTGGATTGACCAGTCGGACGCGGCGGGGACGTGGTGGCCCGAGAGCATGTATCAGGTCAAGCGCGAACTCACGGCGGGTGATAAATAAACTGAGATTTGCCTTGTTCAGTTTTCCTGGTGCCCGGTGTTCAAATTGAAGGTCTTGCATTCAACTCGTATGCTGGGACAACGTCAAAGGCCTACAACTTTCTGGAGAGAAAGACTGGAAATGGGGTTCAGGGGGAAAATGCTGGCCGTTAAATCATGCGTTATTAAACTGTCATGGCACCCTACAAACATCGAGGGGTAAACCACATTTGCACGCCCATCCATCTCTTGGAACAGGTCTGCAGGTCCTGACTTGCCTTAACTTTCCGTTGCGTCCTCTCTGTGGGTGTAGGACCAGAGTAGGATGTGTCTCCGACGTGGTGGTACTCGCGTCTGCTGTACGGAAGGTGTAGAGCAAGCTGGGGATGCATGCCGCCGCCTACCAAGTCGACAACAAAGCTGCCGACGCAGCGTGTAGCTCTGAACATGAGCTGGATACTACCTAGCAGCTGCTGCAAGAGAGGGAACAGAATGTGCTCTATCTTCTGATTCTCGCTAGTACTCTGCGTCCCGGACAGGGCTATCCCAGCTCGAGCCCAGCTTCCAATGCGGTTGGCTGTGCTCTAGGTACTTTTCAGGGGTGGGAATATCGCGAGATGATGATTCGATGCCTGATTACCGCACAATACTAATATTTACCGGGGACGATTCCGGAGACACAGTACACACCAATTGGCTTCCTCACTCGGGCCGTCTCGTGCATGAGTGGCGTCCCAGATGCAAAAGCAGGGTGTTGGCTTCGTTCAGGTCTCGAATGCCTTCTGACCAACCAAGCAAATATTAGGCAGCGCCTGGTCTGTATGGGCACGAAAGGCGGTCATTGGTCTTACGAATCCCTCTGGCCTGCGCTCCCCATCTGCAGAAAATTCATCATTTATTCAGCATCAGCACCGTGACCGACAGACGATGTTTTGCCGCAGTTTGATGCTGCACACACCCCGCAACTCTTGTACTTTGATCAATCATCTCGGTCTCAATTGATCCCTTGCTTGGCAGGCAATTTATTGATGAGCCATGTCCACGAGCGTCAGTCGCATGCAAGCCGCGTTGGCGAGCGCAACAAACGAGTTGACAATCGCGGCAGCCAACCTCAATTTCGACTTCAGCATTGTAAAGTACGAAGCCCCAAAAGAGTTCCAGCCAGTCGGCCAGCTTCTCTCAATGCAGAGAAAACACGAGGCCGAAGATGGCAGCTGTCACTCGGTGGCGCGTCGCCTGTCGGCCTTGTTTGCTGGTGTCTGTCCAGCCAGCCCTGCTTTGATCGCGGCATATGGGAAGCGAGCGTCAGAGATTGCCGAGGAAGCCACCAGCCGAGTGTCAAAGAACATATCAAGTCTGTGTTTTCTCAATACACTGGCGTCGACGCAACCTCCATGTGGGCCGCTGCCACGTCGGGAGACCCAAACGGAAGCGCTGTTCATATGCACCTGTTAGCCTGCCTTTTGGCGTCTGTGTGGGAAGCACCGGAAGCCACGTCGATCTGGGTACAGCTGGTCCTAGAAAGACGCGGCGAAGTTGCCCATTGCATGGAGCGTGGTGACGAAGTTCCTTTCAAGCTCGCGGCTGCTGCCGCGCCGGATAAAATATCTAGAAGTGACCTTGCTTCATGGGATGCAAGTGCCCGTGCTTGGCTGGAGACAGCGAACGAGATCAAGAAGAAAGAGCAGGCCCAGCTACGGTTGATACTAAAGAATGTTGAATATTGCATTCGTCCCCAGGCGACGCTTTATAAAGATGTGGTCGAAGTCTGGAGGATCGCCACCAGTGCAATGGACAACGTTGTATCCGGGATAGCCCAGGAGATACATAATGGAGCTGCGATACTCGGGCTCTCCGCATGGCACCTGTACCCCGACATGCAAATCTTCGGCCAGAGGCAGATCGAGGTGACCATGACGGACCCCCTCATTCCGGCCGGTGGTCTCTTGTCTCTTGGGTGCAGTCCCTCCGTCACAGGATCTCAGTCAGGAATCACGTGGTCTCTTTCGCTGGCCAGCCTGAAATACTATGGTGAGCCTGTCAAAACAACGACAGAGGTTCGTGGCGACCATTCTTCTCGACTTTCTGCGGATGAATTTCGACTTGTCGTACTGGGTTCCATTCTGCGCATGTGGAACATCGCACCAGCGCAAGAGTCACTTACGATCAAATTATTGGCTGCTCTGTCGTTTCATATCCTTCATCATATGGGCGGGCAGCTTAGTGAGAACCGCGATGGTTGGGGCCTACTCGAGAAGGCGGAAGCCCTTCATCAGGAGGATGGGCCTGGCGCAGATCCATTCATCAAGTTGGGCAGGAACCGTCCGCATTTCAAACCGGCAGATGCTGACGGTCGTTCTGGCCCAGTTGACGACAGGCAGTTCTTTGGACTTCTGGACGTGGAAAACTTTATCGCTTGTCTCAAGTCACCAGAGGATAGGGTCAGCGCGTTGCGGAGATGCGGTTCCCGCGTCGATCAACCTGGCGGGTATTACGCAGCTCTCATCCGCTATGAAACCGCTGATGGCCAAATACGATACACTCCCCTCGTAAACGAAGACAGTTCAGTGTCCGGTATGAGGGGTTGTGCGTATTGCCCAGATTCATCTGTGAGTTGGACAGATCCAGAGCTGACGACACCTGCTGGGATCCCAACCGCTCCATCCATGTCCTCCCGCGTCGCCTCAAGTTCCAATATCGACCACGCTGTAAAAGACACTGGCAGAGAGTTTGAAGAACGCGGCGTCGGCAGTCACAGGGTCGACGCATCTGATGAATCTCCAACGAACACTAGCAATCGAAGTGAACACGAGAACATCGTGGAGGACATTCTTCGTCCCGATACTCCAACGTCCCGCAATACCGCTGTCGGCGAACATGACCGCAATGAGAGCAATAGCAGCGCTGGACTTAACAACGATCATGCTAATGATGACGAGAAGGATGATCAATTTTTTGATGACAGTGGCGGCGAAGGTGACAGCGATATTGATGATGACGAGTCCGGATCTGGAGATGAAGATTGCGACGATAGTGACTCGGATGGGGAAGCTTCTCACTTCTCGCCTTTCACATCCCACGCTTTCCAGAGCTTCCATTTCACATCCCACGGTGAGACCTATCACTTTGCCTTTGGCGATCACTCAAAGGCGGGCATCTATTTTCCCTCCAGATCCTTCTACAGCACCGCGCCCTCTATCTTGCCCGAAGACGTTTGGTGGGCGTTACGGTATGGCAAGTTTGGAACGCATATAGCCAAATACTATGAAGACAACACCTTGTTCCGATGGATTGCACAGTTTGGATATGCGACACGATGCCTCGAGGAAGTGGGGGGCGACTTGATACCCGTTGCACATCTTTAGCAACGATCCCATTATCCTCACTGGGTTCGGCATTGGAGGGAGCGCGTTCTCGGGAGCGAAGAGGCGTCTCCGTTCTGCACGTGCAAGCCGCAGATACTTTGGCGATCTTGGCGTATTTCCTAGGAAATTGTGACATTAGCCCTTCCGAACTCGAGGCTGGCGTCACTGGCATGTCCTACGAGAACTCGATCTATGTTCCTTCCCAGGTATGTATGTTCTTGGTCAAAATCTTCTCAGCAGCTTGTTGACATGGCATCAGCTACTTCGCGATCCTTTATCGAGGAAGGAACATGGCACCGTGAGTCGTGTCCTGGGCAATATTGGCCAGCCGGGTCTGGTGTTGTTTTCCTCCGTATGCAACCCCATGATCAGGCCGATAGACGATCAGAATTGGAGGGTGATGAACATGAACCGGTTTGATGGTCAACCAGAGGACCATTTCGGATCAACGTCGATGCATCTGGGCTTCACTAAGTGGGAAAGGTCGCTGGACGTTCATGGCGCAGAAGGAAACCAAGATGTCCAATTCACGAAGAAGGAATCCGTCATTGCCATTCGGGACTCCGGCCGATGGATTGGGGACTTCGATCTTGTTGGAGCGCTGAACAGCCCCCATATCATCAGGTTACAGTCTCAGGCTCCTTGCGACCATAGAGCTGACGATTGGGCTCAAGATGACTCCTTGCGAAGTATCGAGAGCTGGGATGAGCTCCGTGAATGCCAGCACGGTCTTGCGGTTGTCAGAGTGCATGGAAACTGGCTTGCGCGGCTTGCTGTGACTGCATACCTCGCGCGACAGGCAAACGAGGATGAAGGCAGAGGGCCGAAAATCACTTTGCTGCCTGCCAAGATGTGCTGGAAGTGCCTCGAGCATGTTAATCACTCAACCATCTACATCTGGTAGTCGAGATAGTCAAGATATTTCTGATAAAAGAAACAGGAACGTTTTCGTTGCCATAGCGAAAAGTTTGACATCCTCGGGCTTGTCAATCGAGCTGACAGAAAGAGGACAACGACATGGGAAAGAAGCAAGAGACTTGGCTTTAGACCTTGGAGCACACCGTGGTCGATGCGAAAGCCGAGATCGACACAATGAGCAAGTAGCTTAGCCAGACTGCCCTCGGAGGCCGACTAGCAAGATCAATCCGAAATTTCGGCTTCTTCATGGGCCAAGTCTACATCCATCGGAATCCATTGTAAGCTATTGCTAACATACCCTAATTAGCTAATAACCGTTACAGCGCCTTTGCTAAGACGCCGTCCGGAGCATTGACAAAACTGCCCTAGTCTTTGACTGACGATAAAAGGGGGCTGCGACAGGTAGGATCTCGACCTGATATGCCCGGGAATTGGCCTTCTTGTTCTTCCTTTGATGAGGATCAATGCATGGTCAAGAACATCAGAACCAGACCTTGACAAATGCTGACACAGCTGACACAGATGACAAAATCCGTTAGTCATCCACTAAAACCGCTAACTAAGTGTTGAAGCCCCACTGGAAAACTTCACGATCTCATCAGCGGCACGCGTCTCCTCCACGTCTCAGAACACGGCAACCGGTTTTATTCGCGCCGCATTGGTCCCAATGCCCGAGCATGATACTATGGCGCAGCGTCGACAGCACTCGGACTCGGGCGGTAGTAGGATAGACATGGAGAACCTCGCAGCAATGGGAAGATTCGGGGAGGGTGCCGGACATCACCGCCGTGTCTCGGATGCCAGAGTTCACATTTCGCCCTTTGTGGGACGGATAGGAGGCAATGGAGGCGACAGTCCCCCAAACGAGGAGGTCTTGAAATCCATACCGGACGCGGTACCGTACATGGGCCTGAAGGACATATTCAACCTCCAGCCCTTCTTCACGGTCGGTTTATGGAAGGCGGCCCTGCTCGAGGGGATGGGTGAGTACCCTGCTTCACATCGAACGCACATATTGAGGCTCACATGGAAGGGACAGGAACCTTGATGCTGGTCTGGTTGACTATCTACACCAGCATCTCCCCCTCGGTGATCCCGTTGGAACCTACCCAGCGGTGGGGCGTATTTGATAACGCAGCCTTCATAGGGCCTCTTGTCGCCAGCATACTCAACTTCGTGTACCTCACGCTCTTCACGTTCTGTTTTGGCGCTGTCACTGGAGCCCACTTGAATCCGATGATCACGATTGCGACCTTCTTTGCGCGTCTGTGCTCACTGCCCCGCGCGGTGATGTACGTCAGCTTCCAGACTGGAGGAGCAGCGCTGGGCGGTCTGCTGGCACGTGCGAGTTACGGCACCCGAGATTTCAAAGTAGGGGGGTGCTGGCTCTATCCAGAGGTTGTCCCCATCCGGGACGCATTCACGACAGAGCTCATGGCCAGCATCATCATCCTCTTCTTTGCATTTGGGGTCGGTCTCGATCCAAGACAAAGAAAGACTGTCGGCCCGACGCTTGGCCCGTTCCTGGTGGGCTTGGCGCTGGGTAGTATGACATTCGGCACGGGGTACTCACGTTACGGCTATGGGGGCGCGAGTATGAATCCTGCTCGGTGCTTTGGGACGTTTGTGGGAAGCAGCTTTCCAGGTTGGCACTGGATACACTGGTATGTAAGGGAGAGCTACCTCCAGTCCAAACGACCACGACTGATGGTATCATTATTTGCTAACTATCACCTAGGGTTGCTAACATCATAGCCTGTATGCTGCATTCGGTGTTCTATCACATCGTGCCGCCCTGGGATTTCGTCTCGGATGACACAGCGGCTTCTCGATCTTGATTTTCTACATTTGAAATCTAATACTGTAAATGATCAAGTCTTTCAGTGTATCCCTCCATAGAATGTCATTAGAGCTCTTGCATATACCCCCAAGATCAAAGCTGCGGTTGAACAAGGTGTGAAGCACGATCTCTGCCCTCAGCACCACAAATCGAATCTGATCCCTACCCCGATAAACAGCGAAATATCTGACGCTCTACAAAAGAGCTTCTTGAACAGAAGGTACTTTGGCCACCAACTCGTCTCGGATTTCTTTCCAGACCAGTGCTTGTACCTCTTGTCCCTGGCTGCTTCCGACAAATGGCTCGGATTTCCTGTTTTCTGAAGTTAGCTCAGCACTCGAGGTTCAAGGGACCCAACCACCCACTTCTTGTACTCTTCATCCGTCATATATCGTACGATGAACTTGCCCTATTCCAACGTCCATTAGCCTCAGCCCACGATTCCAGATCTTCAATGGGAGCCACTCACATGCTCTTCCTTGGTCGTCAAGCCAGCCTTGAGGACAATCTTTGATCCGTTCTCAGGGCTCTGGCCAAGAAGCCCTGTGAAAATAGGTGCTCCAATATCATAAATGATTGACAGAGCTCTCATGGACCGGGAGAGCTCTGTTGCGACAATGCCCGGGCAAATATGGTTCAGGATAAAGTCGGGCCTGCATGTACTATTCTTAGCATGTAGAAAAGAAAATGAAATAGGATGGCTGCGCTTTGGAAACTTACTGTCCATCGCTTCCCAGTGCCAGCTTGGCAATCTCTCTCACCGCATATATGACCATGAGCTTGCTGATACAGTACATCGACATGGATCCGGGGAAGTTTTCTGCAGGGATAAAGTGCTTCAGGATGCCGCCTTGCTGATGGTACTTCTTCCACTCATCTATCTTGATGTTGAGATGAGTGCCGGAGCTGATGATGCCGAGATGCGCAGGTGATGTTCGATGCGGGCGCATGGCCTTGAGGTAGGGGAGGAGGAGGAGGGCGATCAGGGTCGTGCTCAGCGCGTTTACTTGTATATCCTGCTCCCTGGGTTCGATGTCAAATTGAGAAAACTTTCCCAACCATTCCATTCTGGTGCGTTCTTACCAGCCTTCCAGACTTTTCTTGTAGGTCGCCTCATGGGTTCCCGCGTTTAGGACGATGTAGTCGAGGCCGCCCTTGTCAGAGTAGTCCTTCTTGATTGTATTCACAAACTCCACGCATGTTGCGTATCGATCCATGTCTAGTGCCATGACCCTAATCCGGCCTTTACTACCGGGTATCGACTTCTCGAGGCGCTCCTTGGTAGAGTTGCCTCTCGTCGCGTTTCGGCATGTTATGATCACCTCGGCGGCGCTCAGGTTCAGGAGGTGCTTGGCCGTCGCAAGGCCCAGGCCGGTATTGGCTCCTGTCACTAAGACGCGCTGGCCCTTGAATGTATCCTTGGGCGGGAGTGGTAAGGGAAACCACTTGTTGTGGAGTGTCGCGCGGAGGGACATTGCCGCTTCTCGTTGCACGGGGGAAGGCGTCCTTTATCGGCTTAGGTCTCTCGAGGAAGAAGGGGCAAGGGCTCGTTGCTAGTAGCAGCTGTGACCCGATGAGGTTGTGGTGAGAGAGATGGTTACGACATGAATTCAAATCTTCTTTGAGACCCTTTAATAAGATTCTCTGGAGACATTCAATGGCCGATGACGGTTTTCCATCTGCATCTGCATCGGAAATCGGACCAACGTCGCAGACAATTCAAATTCTACTGATAAACTACTAATACTTGAGTCAGCCTTTTGAGCGTTCGGGTCTAGATACATAGTGTTGTCCAAAAGGGGTAGTAACAATATGTCTCAAGGCCCTCCCTAACTACGAGGCACAGCAGCCACTTCGACAAGAGCAGCCTATCATCGCGAGGCTATTCCTAGCACTTCTCGGTGATACGAGACATAAAATTGACTCAAGGAGAAAGCTTTGTAAGCAAGCAACTACTTCAGATGCTTTCGAGAGCCTCAATTCATCCGTTTTGGGTGGTTGCAATATCAAAAAGTTGCCGAGTCGGATTTCGGGAACGGTCCACAGCCTCAATGCCGGTCGTTGGTGGACTAGATCCCAGTCCTCTAACCTGGAATCGATCCTAGCGCAATCTCAAACCCGACTCTAAACGCACCACATTCTTCCCTAGTCTTCTTCTGGGGTTTTGTTTCATTTCGCTGTGCCTCACAAATTTCGGGGGCGTGGACTTTGTGAACACGCAGAACGGAATGGAAGCTCCCAAATGACGCAATACTGTTGACCCAAACAAGACAAACGGCCCGCTATTAACGCCATTTTTAATAGCTGATAGTGGCTAGCTCGTTGGGATCCTCTCGATTTCGATACGTCTGAAGTCGGGGTCCCATCAAACCGAAGCCGCCACGCCATCTACTTTAGATGTCCTACACGACTTTCAGTTCTAGAGTGAAAAGAAGGTCCATAGATGATGCAATACTGTTTACTTAAAAGAGATGTGTGGCCCAATTTTTAACAACACTATTTCTATACGACAATGGCTAGCATGTTGAGATATCCTCCAGTCATCTAAGTGCAGGGCCTAATTGTCCAAAGTAAATGCTCAGTGAAGCAAAGCCAAGCTGGGCCTGATACGCCCTAAGCATGCTAGTTTGCCCCCAACAGCTTTCATTTTAACCTGACATGTCCTTTCCAGGCTTGGGCGTCTCATCAACACCCTCGAAGATATCAGTCGCACTCGATCCATGGTCTCCTCCAAATGCCGAGGATTGTACAGAATGGCGCGCGTCAGCCAAGTCTGGTACTTTGCGTCTATATAGGAGTGCTAGTTTCCAAGAGTCACAGCCTGCAAATACCGATATCGACCGCGGCATGGTAATAAGGGCGGATCACGGTTAAAGTGATGGATATTTCCCTCGTTGAACTAACCCGACAATATGGGTGACTTACCACCGCCACGGTGATCCCTGTGGAGTCAAACGCAAGCTTGGTAAATATACCTACGCAAATGGCGTATATAGAAAGAAGCCCAGTGATGACCATCTGCACGACATCCTGCCTGCGGGCTCAGAAAAGACGAATGTATGCATGTCCGTGCAAGGTCTCAAGATGAAGCTCTCAGCCAATTACTTTCTCGTCGCAATCTTCCTCGCATGCAACATCTCAAGGACCGTTCAGAGTCAATTGCAAACGAAACGTGATAATGTGGCCATCGACTCTCTCGCCAGGGATTTGGAACGCGTAGAGTCGGTACGCGAGGTTAAGGATGTTCAGCGCACATTTGCCCAATTTGCCCAGTTTGGACGCTGGGCCGATATGGCAACCCTCTTTTCCAGCAATGGCACACTGAGATGGGGAACTGCCTCGTCCACTGGGCATGTTGCGATCCAGACTTGGCTTCGAGACGATGCAAATGGAATGGATGGCATTCAGTCGGGCTCCCTTGATACAATGATAACCGAAAACCCACTGATCACGTTATCAGCAGATGGCAAGTCCGCGAAGGGGCGGTGGAACGGTCTGAGGTTCATGGGCGATGGCAAAGGTGGAACGCGCATTCAGGGCGGCATCTATGAGAACGAATACGTCCAGACAGAATCTGGATGGAAGATATCACTGCTGCATTACTATGCGCTGTATGCTGGACCTTATGTAGGAGGCTGGCGGAACGTTGGCGGAGGTCTTCCAGTGGTTCCCTACCACTTCACTGCAGAGAACGCTGGAGCTGCAGTCTCTGAACCGATAGGAGAGGCTCCTCAGACGAATGCGAGCTTGGGCGAGCTCGCTCAACGAATTGAACGACTCAACGACGAAGACGAGATTCGCAACTTACAACATGTTTATGGCTACTATGTGGACCGCCGTATGTGGACGGATGTCGTTGACCTTTTCGCTCCCAATTCGACCGTCAACATCCGGGGAGCCGGATCGTACCTCGACTCATCGGGTGTCCGGCAAGCGATGGAGCGGATGGGAAGAGAAGGGCTCTCTCAAGGCATCCTGAATGACCACCCAATATTTGGTGCGACCGTCAACGTGCTGCCTGGAGGTGTTGAAGCCATTGCCCGCGGCATCGAGGTCGGTATGACCGGTGATGCGAATTCAAAGACTGCCTCTTGGGAGTTCTCCGTGTTTCGCAACACATTCGTCAAACAAGAAGGCTTATGGAGATTTCAAGAACTCAATGTTACGCCTCTTATCAAAGCGGACTACTTCAAAGGATGGGGTGACGGCGGTTCTTTTGCGGCTCAGAATGCGTCTGTGCCATTCTTGGACTTCTCTCCGCGCAGGTCCCGCCAACTGGTCAAGAACGCCAAAGTTACGATCAATTCAATCAGTGAGCTTGCACGCCTCCTTGCACGTTCATCTGCATGGGACGGCACTGAGAATGTCTCTTCGGCCTACGGCTATCTGCTTGACGACTTGGCCTGTCCGCTTCTTGGCGCCATCCACGCCTCGAAGGGCAATAAACTTTCACCTTTCACTGGATGGTACGCTACACCAGAACGGATAACAACCGCATGTTCGACCCAGTGGGGCACAAATCACTCTGCTTTGCGCTCAAGCATTTCATTTCACTGGCGACCACAGCCAGTCATCCTCGTCAGTGACGACGGCCGCTCCTCGACCCTCCGGGCCAGGCTTCTGCAACCATCTACCAGCATCGACAAGGCTGGCTCGTTCAACGGGGCGATGTACCACGACCAGATGGTGCTTGAGGAGGGCAAGGGATGGAAGTTGTGGAGCGTAACTATCGATGAATTCTACTGGATGTCGAAGAACTGGGCCGAGGGCTGGGCAACAGCCACGGTCAGCAACTCGAGCAGCAGCGCCAACTCTACCTCGTCTCTGGCGCAGAAGTACCCGCCTGACCTGACACTACCCGAGGTGGGTGACCGAGAAGCTAGCTTCAGGGGCGGGAGTGATAGACCGATTGAGTGGCCGGAGATCCAACGGATGTGGTTCCAGTACCGCAACCCGGTGTCGGGTAGGATGCCCGAGTACTACTGGCCTGGCTGCGTGCCCTGCCGAGCCCGACCTGAATGGGCGCTCGAGGCAAATGGGTATCAAGAGCCACCGACAGGACCGCCACTCTTGAACACCACCGGTGGGGTGTCTAGACGCCAAACACGTCTTGGGAATAAATGGAATACGTGGTAAATTCGACAGAGTCACGCATTGTCAATCGCTCGTGGTCTAATGATTGATGAAGAAACACAATCAAAAGGGATGGCAATAAAGACAGGGTGAATATCTGCCTCTAAAATGATATTGTATGACACGGGTGGTACACCTCGGCTCCTTGATTACTTGTCTGATCTTTCACATCCACATGTCAGCCTGAGTCCTTAGAGGAAATCTCTCGATATGACATGCTGACAGCAACTCCGCCATCAGACTACCCACTCAAGGACACACGTTGCACGCGACCGATATATTGATAGGGTCACTTCATTGATGGTCTAGCAATGTGAACTGTGGTTTTACTATTCTTCATGATCTATGTGATAAGTTCCAACCCCCCCTCAATAAAATGAAATGGGATCTTGCGCGGAGCGCTTGTCAGGAGAGTCAGGCTCAAACAGTGGCACGGTGATCGTCAAAAATGTCGCCAGCTTCACTCCGGAGACCAAGAGATTGAGAATTTAGTCTCCTTTCGAAAAGGGCGCTCAACAGTATAATTGGGTTCCCCAACACTGGGAGTGGTTAGGGTATCTTTGAAATATATGTATTATGTTCATTGCCTTTGTATTGTGCTGTATGGATTATAATTACCTCGATGACAGTATCAGACGAGATAAATGTCACGCAAAGTTGCCCTGTGATCACTTGCCTCCTTCATAGCCTGCCCAAACATGACGTCGGCGAATCTCTCAGCGTCTGTGAGTACGACAGACTCACCGAGGAAGCTAAAGTACTGCTTCCCGTTCTTTTGGGGGCGCAGCACGACGGGGTGCTTCGCACCTTGCAGAACCCATATCTCATCATCATATCCCGTTGTCTTGGGTACCACAGCACGGAGCTTTGTAGCGCTGTCCTGGATCAAGAGCATGGGGAGTGGCAACGAGTCTCCACCGTTTCGGCTCTCTAGGGATGTCCTAGGCGCATGGGACGGGCCATTGCCACTGCGCATGACGGCATTTCCCAGCTTGCCCAAGAGCACGCCTTTCACCGGCAGGTGCATGTTGCTAACGTCATGCGGCCCGCCGGCCGGTGGTTGAGCTGCCACTCCTCCTGCCCCGGCGGTTGGACGAGGAGCAATCACATGGCGCGTACCGCCAGCCGCGCAGAACGGGCCCGCCGCGCGGTCGCGGTCGCGCAGCCGGCGAACGCAGTCGTGGAACTCGAGACCGGCGCTGTCCTCGGGCGCGGTCCAGTCCGGTACCCACGTGGGGATGCCGTCCCCATCAAAGACCACGGGGCCGGAGCGACAGCCGACGTAGCCGAGCATGTCCAGGTTGTGGTCGTGGGCGACGATGGCGCGAGCCGTGTCGACCAACACGCGCTCGACCGTGTTGGCCTTGTCGTAGCACGGCGTCACGGCGTACTCGCCCTCGGCCAGGCCCAGGAAGGCGTAGACGCGGTCGCGCGGGTCCGACGACAGGCAGTTGCGCGCGTGCAGCAGGAGATCCGTCAGCGCCGTCGGCCGCTGGCGCCGGGCCCTGGCGATGGAGAGCACGGTTCGCCGGGCCGAGGTCAGCGCCGTCAGACGCTCCCGTAGGAGGAGCCGGGCCGCGGTGATCTCGGTCGACTCGGCCACCGCAAGGTCCTTCGGACGCCGCTGTTGCATGGTGTGCCCACCGCGCACCTGCAGTAATTCTTGGGGCCCACCCTCGAGGCGCCGGATCTCGAGAGCGAGGGCCTCGATCTTTTTCTTCAGGCGCTGCGTTTTTATTCTGGCTACAGCCCGATCAAGGTACGAGGGTCGATCTAGGTTTGCCGCCTCGAGCTCACGTTCTAGCCTTTGCTTGTCGTCCCGGTGCTGTTTGAGCTGGCGCTCGTGAACGGAAACTGTCCGACCGCTGCCGCTACTGCGTGCCCTCTTCTCGGATGCCCTCTTCGATGTTCTCTCCTCCTTGGGATGTTGATGATGATGGTCTGATAGTCGCCAGTCATCCAGCCGGTCTTGCAGCTCGTAACATACGAACTCGAGCAAAGGAGACAGCTCATCCCATGGGATAGATGTGGAATGGTGCAAGAATTGCACTTGAGGCGCCATGACAAACTCTTGGTACACCCAAGCCCGCTTCCACCAAGGGGCTGAAAGGAACTGCTCTAGAGAACTGATCCACTCGTTGGCGGCCCTCTCGTTGATGAGCTGGTGGCGTAGGGTGCTACACATTTGGTCTGCTGATGCCGTGGGGGGATTCGAAGTTGTGTGGAATATGGGACTCCTGAATCTCTCTGTACCCCTTTGAGGGTCGGCCGGCTTGTGAGGAAGCGTCAGCACAGACGTCCACAACATCCAGCCACCACTGTCGCCAGCCCCCTTGTGGGAGACACTCCGGGGTAAATCAGGCGTAGACAGACAAACGTAGACGCTGGCACTATTCCGGTAGATATCCTGCATCATTGACACCTGGCTCGCTCTCTCTTCTTTGTCGGCCTGGTTGATGCAGATTTGGTCCGCCCAGAGCACTAAGTCACCGTCCAGACCCGTCTTTCTAGCAGACCAGCATCGCAGAACGCATTCGATGGCGTGTGCCAGGTTGGCGAAGACGTTGAAGGGCTGGCCGTTGACTGTGACGATCTTTGTGGACTTGGCGGATCCTGCACAGTACGATAGCGCGATATACTGCCCCTGGACCCAGGGCAGCATTCTCTTGTCCAGAATCTCACATGAGATCAGTGAATTGGAGGCAGCGGATGAGCTACCCACCCCGGACCATCTTGAGCCTTGCCAAGATGAATCATTCTTTTGGCTCGTTTGCGGAGGGACTAGCGGCTTGCTAAACCTCAGTAGTCGGATTTCATTCTTGTTTGGGTCAAGGCTTTTGTACGGTGATCTTAAGTAGAATGTCCGGTTAGCGGGAGTATTAAAAGCGTCGAACCCGTCGGATAAACTGTCTTCAATGCTCGGTAGTGACGATCTTGAGGCTGAACTTGGGGGACGAGTTACGTCCCACGGCGGCGGCAACGAAACCGGGGCACCTCCCTCCTCTCCATCTGCCTCGGAGGCTGGAGTGACTGCAACATAAGCGGCCGAGGGCATCGTGTACAACAAGCGTGAAGGTGTAGCCTAATTGACTCTTGGTCAAGTCACAGACGTTGCGGGAGGCCTCGGAGGATGAGTACCTCCTCGCAAAGTATGAGTAAACGACACTCGTGGAGGTTAGGTCATGGTGTGGCAGGATTGGCACTTGATTGCGAGATTGTGGGAATGACAGCCTGACCTGGGCTATTTTGCAACTTATCCAGCTTTTCTAGGCGCCGGGCATCTTTCGGCAAGGCAAGATTATTCCCTGTAAGGTTGAGACCGAGTGTGGCCAAATGGGCAGCCTGTCCAGTCCACCCTCTTGCAGCTAGGTCCACACATGGGCTGAATGAACTGTCTGGGGAAGGCATGTGGGCTCGTTTTGTTTGGCAGGGCTACATGACAAGTAGGTACCAGTACCTGAGGAAGAAGGACAGCTTCTCTAGCCGAGCGTCCGGCCACGCTGGTACTGATTCGGTAGACTACTGGCTGATATACCGGCCACAGGCAAGACACGATAGCTCACGAACAAGTCGACACTGATGCGCACGTCAAGCTTTGTCGTATCTTACAAAATCACGCACGTTATCTTCATAAACGGCAGAATTTGAATAAAGGCCCATAATTTACAGTGACGCTTCAGAGCTCCATGCTCTCAGCTTACTGTGTACGAGATCGCTGAGATAGCCAGCGCCGCATCCTTTCTGTGCGGGCTGTGGACAGCCTGTGCCTTTGCCTCCCCTCATCCCTCGTATCGATTGTTTCCTGTTCTTCAATGTAAAGCGTGTCCATGATGTTCGTGAGCTGCTCTCGCTCGTCGGTATCCCACCTCGCCCGAGCCCAGCCGCTAACAGTGTCCTTGATGTCCTTCGTGATGGCCTCGCGCTTCTCCGCGATCCTATGGCGCGTCGCCTCGCGATAGCCGAGCGTGCTGCGATTGCTCCACAGGTCATTGTCGAATTTCAGCATGCGCCGCGCAAGCGTGATGACCTCCTCTATGTCGTCATCGTCGACGTCCTCACCGGGCTGCTTGACATCCAGCTCCAGCTCCGTCACAACTGGCTCGTAATAGTACTGCATTATCTGCCTCTGGAAAAGCCTGGCCGACGTGCCTACGCGTCCCATGTCGGCGAACTTGGCCGTCGACTGCAGGCCATCGTTCGCCGTCATCTCAATATCGTCCACGGCGCTCGTGCCGGCGGCGACGCCTGTTGTGACGGTGTTGCGGGCGCTATGATGGGTGGCTCGCGTCGAGCTGAGCTGGTAGCCTGGCTCCGTGATCCACGATAACATGCCGTGATTCGACGGAGTAACCATGGTGCTCCAGTTATACCATGATAGTAGGATGGTAAGGACGATAGCAATGAAAGAGACGATGCCAAATACCACCTGAGGTGTTGGTGACCCGCTGGTGTAGCCATTGCCGGCGTGGACGATGATGAACGCCCTCGGGTCAGCGGGAATATCGGCCGAGCCGTTCTTGAGGGAACCATTAGTAGCGAACACATTCATGGGGAGGTAGCCCACGCCCCAGTCCTGGGTGCTACGGTTCATCAGGTCGACCCATATTGTCGGATGGGTGGAGTAGATATGTTGATGTCTCCATGTGTTCATGGTGTCGAAGCGCGGGGCCAGAAGAGAGAGCAGAGCGTCTGTCGAAGTGATCGTTGCTTGTTCCAGATGCTGCAGCAAGAGCGAGCAGACTTATGAGGACGAGAGAATAGAGAGAGCCTTTTCAGGTAGCCCTCCAGCGGGTGAGTCTCGTGCCCAATCCTGTAGGCACCCGTAGGTAGGCAGGTCACCAGTATCCAACGTACAGGTACATGGCTCGTAGTAAACGGCCGAATGGCGGCAGGGCGCCGGTTCAGGTGTCAGATTTCTCAGGGCTGTCGCCAGCGCGGTGGGATGGTAGGCCATACAGACCTGTGCACCCAGGAGAGAAGGCCCGCAGCCTGACGGGATTATTCAGGTATGGAAGGAGGGGTATTATTATCATACGCAAGGATCAATCTTTGAAGGAGGGGGATACATCGGGGTACCAGTCCCAGCCAGCCAATAACCAAGCATGTCCATCATGCAAACTGCGCCGTGAAATTGCACATTACGCCCGGCTACTATGGCCAGCCTGATACCTAAATCCGTATTGCCCTTGCGGCGAGAGGCGAGTTGGCTGACGCACCGCCGCGGGATGGGCTACCCATCGTTTCTTGCGGTGCGCCAGGCGCCTCGCAGAACAGTTCTGCCAGTAGAATATTCAGGTTCACCGAGATGCGTAACTACATTGTCATGAAGGAGTACATAGAGCCTTTGGCACTTTGCTTCTGAGCCGAGGTCCACAGCAGCTCAGATTGGCTCGAAGGAAGCCGTGAGAAGTCGTAGTCGAGGGATGAGCGGCGCAGGTCGGCTGTATTACATGCCAGGGTTAGCCTGCCGGGTTTTGGTGGCGAGTATCGACAAAGGGCACTTACTGCACCGCGAGAGCTGACGAGGCGGACCGCCAGGTCTCTCGTCCGGAGACAGGACAATGGTGACTGAGCCGGGCCTGCGGCCAGCGTGGCTCATTCGTGTCACCAGCCTTATAGTTCTGATCGTTGGTATACTACCTTCGACGACGTCACCCCTGGCAATGAGCCATTTGATATTGTCTCTGGCCCGTGCCTTGCCATCGAACGAGTCCGTGTATCTCTGTTCTGGCTGGTGCGCGTAGACTGCAAAGTCCTCGGCTACGACAATGCCGATGTGGTAAGGGCAGAGGTGGTACTCAGAGTGAGGCGGCCACATGTAGCCAAGCTGGAGCCCCATCATAATGGCCCCCTTTGCTACGGCTGTCCAACTATCGCTACCGTGGAGAACCGCGATTCCGTGACCGGATGCGGCGCTCTGGATTTTATTATGGAGAAACCTACTTCGTGAAAAGCCACCAGAGAGGAATATGGCCTGAAAGTGCGATATTTCGTTTGTTAGTCTGTCGAATGATCCACTGGTAAAGCTCGCCACTCACCTGAACCCGTTGTCTGCCCACAAGTTGCCCAAGTTGCTGTCCAATGAGATCGATAGTTCCATTGACTGACTTGTAGAACATTTGTTCCATCTGATCACTATCCTCTCGAGCATTATCCGTCAGTGACAGTCAATTCGATTGCGGGTAGAGAGAAAGGCAACTAACCATGTTATCACGAGTGAGCCGTTCCTAATGCCTCTTTCAAGATCATCTTGCTCTCCGACCCCATAGGGCAACGGGATATTATTGGGTGGAGGTTCCTGGCCGTTTTCATCGCGGCCGACAAAGTTGTGCTTGATGTTCTGGAACCGCTCTAGCATCTGCTGCTCGCCCTGCGTCAGAATCACATGTGATCCGCCGCGAATGGTGACGCCGTCGTTGCTGTATGCTAGAAGTTTGTCGTGTTCTACTTCTCCGAGCTGCTCGGGGAGAAACCTCTCGAGGAAGTACGTGTCTATGCAAGATGCTCCGCACTGAGCACCTACAAAAGCCATTCGAGTTAGCAGAAGCCGGTCACAGCGGCAGAGCCTGGGTGGGAAACTGACTGGACACTTCGGTTGCCATCTTGACTTGGAAGTTGGGCTCCACGCTTACGACCTCGTACGACACCAGGTCCTGTCAGGATTAGCATGAAAATCAGCTGGAGAGGTCCCAATCTGGTATTAGGACGTACCACCGTTCCACCACCCGCATCCACTACAACGAAGCACTCTCCCTGTGCGTCGAGTCATTGTCAGCCAAGGCAATCGTCTCATACTATGAGCGGGCTGAATAAGAGACCTACCCTTCTGAGCCTATGAATAGCGTGTTCAGAATCTCGCATCGTGTACTGGGCGCACGCTTCCGGCTCAGTTGCTAATCTGAACGACCAAGATCGGTTAGGAGAATCTGGCATTGCACGTCGGAAAGCCTCGGCGGCGGCGCGGAAGCTCGCGTTCCTCGCCTTGGCGTCCCATTTCTAAGTCAATGTTAGATCACCATACGGTTGAAAACAAGAAGACACAAGTTCCGTACTCCCGGATGTGTAATAATCAGATCGATGGGCGTGTGCTTCAGGATGTCCGGGTCCCTCCGCCCTTCAATGTCCTGACGAACCCGTTTGGCAACCTCGGTCAGATAATCCAGTATTGTCTCGGTCGATGTCTTTAGCAGGTGTGTCGCCGGTCGCGAGCCGGGCTGCTGGTCTGCCACTTCGTCTAAGTAGTCACTCAGTTCTTCCAGCGATTCGAGACGGCTGTGCTTCTGAAGCTTGAGCTTTGTCAACTTGATAACGTTGGCATTGTGGTCAATCTCGAAACCCCAACGCCTGTTCCCCTGCACTTCCGAGTAGGTGAAAAGCGACGGCACCTTGGGATCGTTGCCGCCGGGCCAGGTCTGGACGACGTTGATGTCGTCCAGTGCCGGCTGCTCGTTGGTTACCACGGCCCAAGCGGCTCCTTCATCGTGTTAGTGGTCCGCCCATTCTACTCTTGGGGCAAGCTGCTTCTCCTACCAGTGTACGTCGTGCCGTAATCAATACTAATAACAAACCGGGGTCCTCCGACTGGACTGTTCTCAAGATCCGCCGCCGGCACATTGGAGGATTCGGCTGATGCCGTCCTTGGGTTCTGGGGCGGCCGGGGAGTATCATTCGACGGTTCAGGAGGATACGGTGGCGGCGCCGGATAGTATCGCGATGGCCCATGAACTGGTGGTGAAGCCCGTGGCTCACGGTTCCGTGCCGCCGACATCGCAGAGGCTGGATGGTGACTTCGCCTGGTAGTTTCTGGAAAAGATATAGACTGAACAGTTCTCTGCAGACAGCAAGGGTGACACAAGATGAAGTGAGCGAAGTTGAAGTATGGAGGATCTGGCGAGCAGTGGGGAAGAGTGTCACGCAGACGGTGGAAGCAGAGTCGGTGTTGCAAATGTCACACCCCTCCGAACATTGCATCCACCCCCATGTCAGCTTCCCAAGTCAGGCAGACGGACGCGCACCCAGTCTCCTTTGAAGGGGGCTGATTTGTCGGAATTCATTTTATTACGCAGCTAGGCGCCCTTCTCGAACCCCAATCAACCTGCTGGCGACGTCTTCGGCCTTCACGCAGGCACCGACGCACACAGCCAAACGTGAGGCAGGCAGCCTGATACACCACCCAGATCATGCAGCACGGTACAACGTCCAAGGAACAAGCGCCACGCAATGCCCCCACATCACTGACACCTCCACGGCTGCTTGCTGAGCGCTGAAGTCTAGGCCTGGGCTGCTGCCTTTCTCGAAACATTAAGTCGCCCAAGCCGGTGCTCAATTTCAAAGCCCAACTCGACAGGTATCAAACGGCGCGAATACGGCTCACATCAGATGGCTAAGAGGAGGAAAAACGCTCTGCGAAGGGGCACTTTGAGGCAGTCGCCAGAACCCAGCGCAAGATCAAAGAGAACGGGGCGGTGGCTCGGGTGGTTCGGCGGCTTAACGACAAGACCAGCATCAGGATCACGGTCGAGATCTCACGGTGTTACGTCAGAGGACGACCAGCCGCCGACTGCGCAGGAGAGATTCCAGTACAGCAATTGGAATGGCTATCGACCTGGGCCGTCTTCTACCCACGATCATCAACTCGGCACCAGAGGGTCCTTTTCGCCCTCAACCGCCAGGCAGTATACCAATTGGGACCAGTGTGGCTCCGAGCAGCCACCTTATTCGGCCCAGGATGGCATGTATAATCGAGGTGCACAACTCCAGCTCCGCCCGATCATGCCAAACGAGAATCACACTATGCTCTGGGGCTCTGGCGGTTCGAGTAGTGCTCCGGGCTTTGCCTCTGGAGGATTCTCACCACAGAGCTCGACGCTGGCGCAGAGAAACGTGAGCCTCCGGGAGAAGACAAGTGATGGAAAGAAGAGAAAACTATCCAACATAGAAGTTCTCAGCCGCTTGAACGACCGAGCCATTCATCTGCTAGAGGCTTACCATGTAAAACTTCCGTCGGGCGAATTGGCACTTGAGAGTTTGCTTGACACCATACCGGATCTTCTGGGCACCCGCGAGGATGAGATCAGCAAGCTTAAGGACGACAGACAACAGGTTGATGCCCAAATTGCGACACTAAAGCAGGATGCAATAGACTGGCATGCCAAGTTTGAGTCGGAGAAGAAGACTGCCAAACGAGACCTCGACTCTCTGAGGCTAGCTATGGAGACTTCGTTCGCTGATATGGAGGTCCAGATCAGAAAACAGCACGGGCAAGATCTCCGATCACAGCGAAGAAATCACGACTCCGAAATGCGGTCACTGCGGGCCGACCATGCGAGGGAGGTGTCGGAGCTCAAAGTAAAGCATGACGAGAACATGGCACACTTGGAGGAGGAGTGCAAGAATGAGGTGGCTGAGCTGGAAAGGAAGCTCGAAGACGCCGCGCAGCGTCACCAACGTCAGATTGAGCAGGCTGGTCTCGCCCACGACAAGAAGATCGCGCAGCTGACTGCTGACTGGAAGAATCGGCTGGCAGAGGCGATCAATGAGGCCAAGGTTGTCACCGCGGAGAAGGACAGGGAGATCACCGCCCACAGAATGGAGATCGAGCGGCTCTCTAACCGCATGGCCGCGTACAGCACGAACCGCTACCGGGCCATTCCGGACAAGGAGTTTGCTGTCCTATTTGGCAGCCTCGAACAGCGCATCATCGACCTCAGCAGCAACACTACGTCTCTCGCGGGAAGCAGCGTCGACGCTGCCCTAAACCCGCACGACTTCATCGACCGCCGCGGGGGTAAGGGCCGGAATTGGGTCCGCCTAGTCCGCAACGCTTGCTGGACCCTGCTGCTGCGCGGCTTCTTCAGCCGGCCGGTGGGTTTTGGAGCCTTCGGTGCTGATGGCACAGACTGCGAGACGCTCAACGACATGTACGCCCTGTTTACCAGCGGAGGTGAGTCTCCGCATATCCTCAATGCATATCCATCTCTCTACCGTCTGTACGAGACTAATCACTTCTGGTGTGTTAGCAGCAAGATCGCTCCCCACGGATCAAGAAGCCAACGCAGCTCGTGCCTGGTACTTTACCATGATCCTCCAGAGCGTCACACCGGGCGGCCTAGCGAAGGGCAGGACAGTGTTGGGGGCGGACAACACCAGCTTGGGGCACCGATTCCAGCACAACATCGACAGCGTGGCAGCGGAGCTGATTCGTATCCTGCAGCAGCTGGGTGGCGACGGCGGCAGTGCAAGCCAGGAAAAGGCCAGGGACATTGCAGTGGACATGGGTCTCCTGGCGCTACGTGTAGGGTCGCAGCGGGCGCACGTCTTACTAGAAACCTGCACTTTCGGTGAGAGTGGAGGGCGCTTGGGCGAATGGTTTAAACACGAGAGCGAGGGGGCGCTGCCACCAGGGCCCGTCTTGGTGGACCTGATGGTGCAGCCTTGTCTTCGGCGCGTGGGCGATGGCTACGAGGACACCCGCAGCCAGAAGATCCTTGCGCAGGGCGTTTTCCTGGCCCAGAAATGAAAGGCCAATGTAACCCTATGCGCGGGCCACTAATAGACTAATACCTAGCTATCCTGAATTCACTCGACAAGAGTTTAGTTTCCTATTTTGTGAGCACTTCCCTTTATAACATCCGTACGAAACACCCGCGCTGTTGTTATAAAGCTTTCATTCATTCATGCCCATAAGCGGCTGAAGAGGACAACGGAAATGAGAAGAGAGGATAGTGGTAGAGGAGTGCTCCCGAAACCATCGAGGACGACAGTCACGGACAGACGCCTCGCGGTCACGCCTTGGGCAATGATGATCTGCCGCCCTTATATTTTGTGCTAATCCCTGGCGTTTGGGGGCCACACCATGCATGAGATCAATATCTGACTCAGACGACTGACACCAGTACGGGTACCTAAGGGTACATTTTCGAGTAGTCACGACACGAGGCGAAAGGCGAGGCGGCTCTGCAGCCTCGCTGCACCCTGCGAACTGATTCTCAGCGCCGGCCTGCCGGACCTGCGCTGTTGGCGCACTTCTTTCACTTTCTCTATTTCTCCTTCCCCTTTCCAACAAACTTGTTATGAGCACCAGCACACGATCACTGCAAAGTTGGTCTCAGCGACTCGGACGCAGAGGGGAGAAGCTTTCGCCACCGGCAGGTCAGGACCTACTTCTACAACTTCTACAGGAGGTTCCAGACTGTTCGCAGGTATGGCGTTGGAAAAGTCTTTTCAAACTGGCTTCCTGCAGCCGCTGCCGTACAAGGGGGAGGTCGCCGGCGGCATTCTTGTCACCATCTGGTTTGTCATCATGGCCGTGTTTACTGTGATGTGGTGGCTCTATATTGTTCGAGGAAGGCACATGGGTAAATGGCACGCGTTCGAAAGTATCCTGTTCGGCAATGTACTTTTGTGTATGTGAGTCGTTCCACTGTTTCATTCATGTTTGTTTCTCTCATTTCATATCCTGACAGAGCTCGGACAGATGGTACATTTGCCCATTTCTGGACCGCTGGTTGCATTACAGCGGCCGCAGCGTCATCTACGGCTATGTCATTTTCGGCGCCTTTTGGGAGCTGAGCCGCCCGTTGTCGACACTCTTCTTCCTCTGGGGCGGGCACAGGATCGTATGGAATGAGGTGGAGCACCGCTTCACCGAGAAGCTGAAGTACTATTTGTGGCTCGTAGCAAAGGTGTTGATGCTGGTTAACTTCTTGGTGATCATATTCTACTGGTTGCTGTACATCGCCTTGGCCTCCGTCTGGGTGCGCTTCGCGAGCCTCGACACCATCGCCGACATCGGCACCAGGTGGTCGCAGTTCTGGATTTCCATGACGAGCTTGTTCTTGGGCTACAGCATACTTATATCCGCCACCGTCGCCACAACGCTCTACCAGGCCCGGTTTCGACGGGATGGGCATCTCCCATGGGTACGTACATCCTCGTCTAAATCACTCTCATCCTTTCCTTGGCCTATCATCCCTGACGGACCTCTCTCTCTCTCTACAGAACAGATTTTGGCTCCTTTTCGCCGTCCTATGCCTCTTAACGCGATCCATAGTCGAATTTGCTATTGCTTGTCGGACATATAGCGTCACAGCCACGCGACAGGACCTCCGCCTCGCCGACGACGCCGCATTCGGCACGCTAACCTCCTTGTTTCTTGCCTTCATGTACGCGCTGGCTCGCACAGTGTCCGGGCCTGTCGACCTGGGTAGCGAAGAGGCGGTACAAGTCGAGGCCTGGATCCGTTTCAGCATCCTCCGCGACCTGATGAACCAGACGAATGAAGGCCGCACGTCGGCCCCGCCATTCGGCACATTGCTGAATGCAGCCGAGATGCGCCTCACCGTCGAGAGAAGAGACACCGTCACCGTTGCCGCGGGCGTCCACTGCATCGACCGGTTGCGGCAAGACTACGCCAAGCTGGACCCGAGGATAAAGGATGACCTGCGCGCCCGCAGAAACACGCGCCGTGAGCAACTTCATGACAGCGTCCGCTCGAACGGCACGTGGGATCCAACAAGCACGAACCGCTCGAACCGTGCCGCCACCCCGGTAGAGACAGCTAGGCAGAGGCTGAATCGGTTCGCGCCAGAAGCCACGAGGGCAGCAGCAACACCACCCACCCTTTCTGATGTGAGTGAGGAGAGGACAAGGCGTGAAACCAGACGACAACGGGCCGGCTATGAATAATTTCTTTTCTTCGCCACGGCTTTCAGGCCGGATTGATCAGCTTGGCGTTTGGAGTACGTAGCAACCTAATGAATGAACCTACAATTTTTCTTGCCGGTACCCTCTCGAGGCCCGTCTCATTCAGCGAGTGGCAGGGATTAATGAGGCCATAAGGGCCGTCTATTTAGAGCCTTTCACAAGGTGCTTAGGCGCAACATGCAGACGATGATGCTGTCTCATGTAGCCACAGAGTTCTTAAGAATCTTGGCCAGCGCCTCTATCATACTCCGTAGATAGGGCGACAATGCGGGGGAACATCCTTGTCCTTGTTGATCACGCTGATGCTGTCGTAGGACCCCTTGTGCTCCTTCAAATTAGGTGGCAAATTCTAGTCATCCCCCGGTAACTCGCTGGTGTTGGGATTCTTAAAGTCATCAAGTGTGAAGGACTCCAGATCAACAGCCAGCGGGGGCAGCGTTTATGGAGCCAATACTTGACACTTTGGATGGCGCTTAGAGATTCGCGAAAGCCAGTCAAGTCTCACAGTCTGTCTGGGATCAGTCTGACAGGTGGAGTAAGTATCCTGGTCACAACCTCACACTAGCTCTCCTCTCAATACACCGCGGAGGAGTCATCTCCCGCCATTTCAAGTCATTTTAGCCGGCTGATACAAGCCTCCATCTTCAAGGTCATTTCATGTTGCACTTTGTCCTATTGTCTCTTCTGCTGATGTCTGCACCTAGACAATGCCCCCCTCACAGCCCCAACTAGATTCGCTTGCTGCGGAGCTGTTGGACCAGATCCTGGTCAATCTGGACCTGGTTGATATCAGCCGCCTGAGCTGCTGCAACAGACGCCTAAACCATGACCTGGAACAGACACTCTACGGGAACGCGACAAGTCGCAACCGGGCCATGAAGTGGGCCTGTGAAACTGGCAATAACAGTGTCGTTCACCGGGCTATCGCCTACGGATCCTCTCCCAGCATCGTCCCTGTTCCCAGGAGACGGACTCAGACGGCCCAATCGCCCCAGTCATTAAATACCCTGACCCTCTACCTTGCTGCCAGGCATGGCCAGGTCGCCACCTTCCGGCGGCTCATTCAACTTGGCTCCCGCGTCGACGAGCGTGAGGTTGATTCGTTGACAGTGCGAGCGCTTGTGGAAAGGCTTTGTCACCCGGTCGATTTCGATCTTCTCGATCCGTTCCTGCAGGCGGGTTTGGCGTCGCAACTCGGCCAGCAGATGCGCGATGAAGCCCTGATCTTTGTCGCCACATCTGTCGCCCCCATCGTGCCACTAGACGTCGTACGCATGCTACTTGACTGTGGAGCGAGCCCCAACTGCGTACGGAGTGGCCGAGCCAAAGACGGCTCTATCTCACCGCTGTCCGCCGCTCTCATCACGCGACGGACCGATCTTTTCCAACTTCTGGTGGCTCGTGGTGCAGATGTCAATGGTATACCCTACCCTCCGCGACCTGCCGCGCTTCCAACTCTGCCATTGCACATTCCGGCATGCACTGCTGCTCTTGCCATGGCAGAGGAAACCGAGTCCACTGGACTGTTACAGCTATGTCTAGATCAGGGCGCGGATATCAATGTACAAGTACCCTTCCTGCAAGATCGCGGGAGCAGACTGGTCACATTCACAACCCCGCTGTTGATGTATCTGGGCAAGGCGGCGTCTCAATGGATCGACACTGATTCCCAAAACAGCTCTTTGGCCAAGCTTCGGTATCTCCTGGACAATGGTGCTAAGGCCACAGTCTCATCCTATTCAATCAATGAGATAGAGGTCCTTCGCACAGGGCGGTATCGCTTTGAGTCTCCTCTTTCACCCGTGCAGCTGCTTATGAACAGCTTGACTAGCAGCAATCTTGTCACCCCTTCCCTCCTCTCAGCCGTCAAGCTGTTGACCCAGCATGGCGGCCTTCAGTCCCGCACCGGAGAAATACTTGCGAGGTACGACTTTTTTGAAGAGGGATCAGGCCACGAAAATGACCCGATCATCACAGCTTGGGAGGAATTATTGACGACTCTCTTGGCAGACTCCAATCAGCATGAAGATTTGGACACCTTCCTTTTCAAGTATGTCACTACCAAGGGCAACACCGGGCCAAGGGCTTCTTATTATGGGGTGGAGCGAAGGATCGGGGCCCTGGCTTATGTCACGATCAAGCGCTTGATTGCTGCAGGAGCCGACATCAACTTCCGGGAAAGTTCCTACGCGCCTACAGCACTTCAGCGATTGTGTGAAATGTACAACAAGTGCAGCTTGGGTTACAATATACTTGGGGATTACGTTCTGGGATACCTTCGCCAGCAGAGGGTGATCACAATGGAGTCCTGGAATCTAGTTCGGTTTCTGGTCGTGGATTGCGGCGCGAATCCCAGTTTGAGGTGGCGAGAACGGACAGCAGCAGAGACCTTGCAGAGTGGATGGGACAAGCTTGGGCCTGAGGAGCAGCAACTCGCCCAAGAGATGATAATTGTTCTACAAGAGGCTCCAAAACAGTAGCGAGGGCCTAAGTACATTGTACTAAATGAATATTTTCTTCACACCGTAGCGTATACTAATACTGTTTCGCAAACTACTTTGATGGCTCTGCTTGAAAGGGTCAGATAGGAAGTGATCAAGCGAAAGTGGCGAATAGTGGTGCTGGCACCATTTGCCGTCAAATGGGACCCCGAGGAGCATCAACGTTTTGCCTGGGCCACTAAACAGGAGGCCAAGGCCAAGAGGGCAGATGGGATAGACTTGGACTTCACCAATGAGGCGGTCCGGCGCACTAATCTTCAGACATTCAATTACTTCAAAGTACAGGAGGTAGAATCTCTATACGTATCGGAGGAGACATGGCCAGGCGTTCTACACCATCTAGATGCTTAAGCAATAACAAACACCGCTTGAGAAAGCTCGTTACGGGATAGCATGATCATGGGCTCCTCTTTCATCATCTCGTGAACGTGGCACTTCCCAACAAGTAGGTAACACTCGCCAACTTGTCTTCAGCAGTACCAGCAAGCATCCTAATCATAATTCGTCGGTCAATGCCCACGCTGGTGGTGGGACACATATCCCATCCACTCGGCCACCACGCGCCCGTCTTGGGCGTCCTCCTGGCCTCTACCCGGCTCGAGACGAGGCACATGAGCCACTTCCCGTTGGCGATGTGAACCCCCTCTTAGTCGCTGCGACACGGGCTTCGTCAGCTTGGCTGGGGGCCCGGAGAGCGCGAAAAGGTCTATCTAGTATATGCCAAAGAAGCCGTGAGCCGTAAAAGAATAACGTTGAGACAAGGTTGAAAACAGTGAAGAATAACCCACTAAGAATCGTGTTCGGTTGTCACATCACGAGCAGGAGCCGATGGTTTGTTAATAAGAGTAATACAACGATTCTACGGGGTTCATGTCTTGATGATGAAGAATGAGAACCGGGACAGCCGGTTTACTTGCTAGGACATCCCAACACAATAGCCCCTTCGTCGTAAAGCCATTCCGGGGTGTAACTGGCCGCCTGATACTTGGATCCTCCGCCTGTCTTCTTCCGGGTCTCCAGCCGCTGGAACCTCGACCCTCCTAGCACCTTATGCCAATATTTTGAACGCGCATTTTATCGCAGCAGCGAAACATCGAGTTGCCAAACGCTAGGTAGGAGTCTTTCAAGATGTTTAGAGCTGGCTCTCGCCAGTGTCAGGGACAGGCACTTGTCTCCCAGTTCTCCGCATCGTCATCCTCAAGCATTGCACCGTCGTTGTGAGACAGTCCTGACCTGGCGGTATGTTACTACAGCTGATGCACCTTTGCAAGTCTCCAAAACAGCTGTTGTTTGCGGTAATGACATCTCCGATTCCCGCAATGCAAGATGGACCGTTGTACCATTTGATGTTCCCCACTGCGTCAAATGTATCCGAAGATTAAAAAGAGGCTATCGTTCGATGGTATATCTCCGGGTTGGAGGCGGGAATCAAGGAGAGTGGAAACTTTTGTCAAATCCAGACGGAACAGGGCAAACCAGTTGCCTTCTGTGGCTGGACTTTGCACCCAGCACCATCCTCCGAATCACCGCCTGTCTGCGTGCAGCAACCTAGCCAAGCAAACCAGCTCCCGGAGGCACTTGACGTGCAGACTTGGGGTCAAGTCTCAGGGGCTCTACGTACTGAGAAAGAACGCGCCCTAGAAGGTATCCAGAATGTTTGCCGTAAGTTAGATACCTTGTATTATTGAAAAACAAGTATATAACTAAAAGTTTAGGCTTGGCTTTCATGATGGTCCACCCAGACTTTCAACGACAAGGGCTGGAATCCAAACTCTTGCAGTTTCTCTGTGACCAATTCGATAAGTCTCAGCGGTTCTAAATTGTTATGGCGTCCCCGGCTGGCGATCGGCTCCACATGAAGTTTGGGTTTCGGGCTATAGGTGCTATCTCTACCAGGGAAGGGCAATTCACAAGCATGTTGCGATCGCTATGGCAGGTTCCGTAGGGCACGTTCGGTCTTGAGTAAAGTTGATAGTGCTACCAGGTTGATGATATAATCGGTATAGAGTAAAAGACCTAAGCCCAGACCTGATAATCTACTTGGGAGTATGACTGCTTAACCGCTCTGGAGTATTAGAGGTAGTGCTACTGTTGAGGTTTGATACCTTGTTGTTATGAGCGATAAGGATAGATCAACTGGCGTCTGCAATTGAGACTGGTTCGTAAAAGTAAAATGCTTGGATTGTAACAAGAACTCATTTGATCAGATGCCATGAGCTTTGTCTAGTTTTACTGTACACATCCGAAGGAGTTCGATCATTCAAAGACCAGTAATGTTCAGCTACACTCCCATCACGGCCTTGGCAATGTCATCCCCGACTGCGGTTCCTAGTAATCCGCCGTATCGTTCTATCGGGGAAAGGACAGCGTCTGCACCTCCTGTGCCAAACCATTCCCGTCTTCTTACCAACTGTTCCTCGCCCACATGAGCGCTGGTGACGGAGATCCAACCGACGTGCCAGTGCTGTAGGTCTGACCAATGCGCTTTCAGCCCGGCATCGGACGACGTGGAGAGAGATGCCAGATGGAGAGGCCAACGTGCTTCAACTTCATCTTCAAGGGTCCCGTGAGCTTGCAGTACTAGCTGTGAGTCCAGTGCCATCTTGAGTGTGTAGACGACTCCAGATTTCCGAGCCCCGGGTAGATTATCTGGCAGTGGGACCAGCTCGCTGGTTCCCAGGTGATAAAGATAGGGGCCAAGAGATTGGACATTCATGGTATGCTTTTCTGGCTCCCCAGCCGCTAACGTCGATGATGATGAGATAGAGACTGATAGCTTTGTATCCGTTTTCGACAACAAGCCACGGATAGCCTCAACCAAGGCTACGTGTTCCTGCTGCACCAATGTTGGCAACCCGATGACAGCCGGCTGGGAGAGTTGCAGGAAGTGAGCTGACAGCATGGAGCGACTAGGCCCAGTCGCCCTGGTGTTCTCATCAGAGATGTACTGCCAACCCAGGTCAAGATGCGACTGCAATCCGAGACCCATGGCAGCGATGATGGATTCGGAAGCATCGGCCAAGACCTGGGGCGGCAGATTGCCCGAGGACAATATCGACACCGCAGTGGTCATTCTGTCGTCATCAATTGTCGTAGCCAGAGCGTCCCTGCCAGCAGCAGCAGTGGCAGAAGCTCCCCGTAGGCGACGAATCCTTGCATAATAGTCAAGCACGCCCGCTTGCAGACCTTCGGGAAAGAACCGCTGCAGATCCTTGCATTGGCCAAGAGATCTCATGAAGCCCAACACAAACGCTGTCGTGGTCGGGAGGACGGCGAGTTCTGGTGCCTCGCTGCAGACTGTGATTCGATCTCCGGCCGGAGACTGCACCACAAAAGTAGGTGCGCCACCTCCAGTAGCGCCGGCAGAAGGGACGTCCAGGACCAGATCAAAAAGAGTCTCCTCCGCCTCCCCTGCTGCCATCTGCGACACCTCCGTCGGTGAGAGTTGCTCCAGGGGATATGCGGCCCACAACGGATTGACCCGCAGCGCTCCGGACACATCCACAAACCCCAGGATCTGGCAGCCTCGGCTGTCAAACCCTCGATGGACGGGGTGCGTTGCCGTAAAGCAGACCCCTTTTGCATCTTTGCTTTCGTACAGGGCCCTCCCATCCCGCCGGGGTTTGGAGACGAAGACGGCTTGCCTATGACTGTTTGAACCCTCTCCGTTTGTGCTGAGCACCATGTCGCCAGATTGGATATTGTCGATTGGCACGACTGTGTGCCCGTCCCCCATCACAATGCCCGTGCCGGCAGCAAAGCAACATCCACTCGGGGGTGATTGCCAGTACCCGGCGTGATTGAGGAAGTCGGTGTCGCAGTGGACTGAGACCGGCGGTCCCCTGAAGGTGGGGATCCAGGTCACCTCGTTCAGGTTTTGTACGCCTAGCTGCCCGTACGCGATGGGGCCACTCTGGAGATACCCGGTATATTTTGTCCAGTTTGAGGGCGTCACATCTTGGATGGCTGAACCATCAATCTTTCCCGGTGCTGTGAGCGTTGCGTAGATATCCTGAAGCTGGGCAGACGAGGCTCCTAACGCCGTCAGCTTCAGGAAGTGAAAGTACAGCTCATAGTCTGGGCCGGGGTTGATCCACTCTCCGCTTGCTTGTTCCGCCGCTTTGAATGCGATCCAGTCCGAATTCGTTATACTACTGACGTAGTCACCGAGGGCACACAGTCCGCCAGTCGTAGAATTGCTCCCAGACCACTGGAGCCACTCCACAAATCTCTGCGTGTTGTTCTGCCACAGCTTGTTGTTGAGGTCGTCGACGGTATTCTGCGTGGCATTCCAGTTGCAGAATTTCTACAGTGCGTCAGCGTACAGGCACCCTAGTCGCCAGGTGCGCACACATTGCGCCGCGCGTACATACCTGAGCTTGTCCATCTCCGTTGTAAATGGCCTGGCACACAAAGGCTTGCGCGGCTCCGTGATAGTCGCATGGATCGTTCTGACCATTCGGAGGCGCCGCCGCACGGTTCGGAAAGTAGATGTCGATGAACGCCGGGTGTGAGACAAACAGGCCTTTGTCCCAGTTGCCATCGATTGAGTTCTGCATTTTGGAAATTGCAACGGCTGCCGTGTAATGCTGATTGAAACCCATGATATCTTTCTGGTTCCATTTAAAAAGGGCTGGTGCCTGTTCGATCACTTTCTTGCCTGCATCAATGATGGGTTGGGGGATATCGGACAAATCGAGTGACATGGAAAGGTCAGGATTAGGAAAAGAGAGTGTTGGATTCGCATTCAAGCTATCGATTTGTTAGAGAGTGACTGCAGCCACATTCCTTCGGCTGCCAATGCTATCAACCGTACCTCAACCGCAAATTTGAACCATTTGCCATTTCCGCACCCGAGCTGTCTGCTCCATTCACAGCCGCTTGATCGCCATTCAGAGCCGCAGAAGAGACCGGCGGGACAGATGTATCTTGGACCGTGATAGTGACCAGGCTGTTCTTGGAGAAGGTCCTGCCCTCAATGACAATGCTAGCTGTCACGGTGTAGTCTGTGGCCCGCATAACCGTAGGCTTGGTGCCTGCAACTTGCGAGATAGTACCTTGGCCAGCTCCTGATCCCACCAGGGTAAAGAAGGACGGCAGTGACGGACTGATGGACCATTGGAGCGGGAGAGAGGTGGTACCAGAGAATACAATGTCGTCGTTCTCGTCCGTGCTCGCAGTTGTCAGGAGCCAAGATGACTGTATGTAGGAAAAGTTCGATGGCCCCATAGTCTGCAAGGTAAGAGTCCATGAGCTTGTGCTGGATGCGGGTGCAGAGCTAGACAGCTGGAACCCGATGCTACCATCGGTTTGCGACACCATATAAAGTACTTTGCCATCTCGGGATATCGAATAGGTTCCCGAGGTCGTGTATGTCTCCGTGTCCGAGCCAGTTGTGCGTTTTTCCGTTGTAGCATCCGAGAGCGCGGTGAAAGACCATTGCTGGCGGGCCACTTGGGCGGCATACTCTTTGGGGTCGACCGGGATTACCTTGCCTGATGAGTCTGTCGTGGTCTTGGATGCCGGCGGCACGACTTGTACGCTGCCATCAGTCAACTCTGCCAGACATAGTGCCACACTTTTGCCCTGAGCATCGACAGCATACGTGAAAACCGTCGTTTGACCTGCCGAGTTGGTGTTGACATTCCAGCATGTGTCTGGCAAGTACGTCACCGATTTACCAGCGACGATGAGATAATTGCTGCCGCCAGTCTGAGCCAGATTGCCAAGCTGGAGAACGTCTGTGGTGGCGTTGACAGTGGCGGCGAAAGATATGCCATTGAGAGACGTCGCCGAGTCGCTCGCAGGCACCACGTTGAAGTAGTCAATACTGGTGTCGTGGTCCATCTTAAGGCCGGCTGGGCTCGCATTCTTATCGACGAAGTCCTGAATTGGGTTGGGCGGGTCTTTGTGAAGGCACTGCAAGGGCAAGATTAGTTAGCCATTGTCTCGACCTGGAAACTAATCACGCGGGGAGACTTACCATCATAACAATCATGATCACCAAGCCGGCCACGGCAAACACAACCGCCAGTGGACCTAGACATGCTGCTACCGTAGACAAGACCGCCATGGCCCCTTCTTCGACAACGATTCCGGCCGAGACCAACCAGCCGGCGCCTATGGCCAGCAGCTGCAGGCCGCTCGAGATGATCATCATGGAATCCATTGCCTTTTCGAGCGGGTCGTCGGACTTGACCGCGTCTATGATGCTGAGCACTATATTGACTCCGGCAAGGATGGAGCCCACGCAGTTCGTGAGGAATTCGCCGGCAGAACGGCCGAATATCTTCATGCCGACGGTGACTTGATCCGCCTCAAGCTCCATTGCCTCTTTGCCGGTGCGAAGGAACCAGCGGGCGAATGTGTTGCTCGTCTTCACATATCTGTTAGCTATGGGGATGCATCTGTAGTTGGGAGTGAATGCACTTACTGCTTCGGCCGTTTTTGGAAGTTCGTTGAGGACGCTCTTGAAACCAAAGAAAGCCTTCAGTTTGTCTGCAAAACCGCCAAGATCATGCCAGAAATAGGCAAGCCGAAGGGCACCCTGGACACCTTTGATGAAGAACGTCACGGCTAGAGCGGCGCAGCTCGTCGTCCAGGCCACCTTCTGCGAGGTCGACATGGCAGACCAACCTCCGCCAAGCTTACCGATCATCGGCAGGACCAGCAAGGCGGCGCACGTCACCCGCATGAATGTAGCCATGACGTCCGCCGCGTTCGTCAGCTTCTGGTACCAGCCTGACCGCTGGTTGAAATCCTTGAAACTCTGCACCACCGCGGCCCAGCTGCCCAGAGAGCCAGCCATGCGCATGCTTGTCGCGAGGTTGGCCATAAAGGACTTCCGGGTGGCGGAGTTAGACGCTAGTTGTTGAGCTATCTGTGCTTCTTTGACCAGGTCAGGGTCACTGCTGCCAATGTTCTGTTCGTAGAACTGCTGGAGGACCTGTTGCGAGATGTCGTCAATATCTTTGCTGTTGCCGTCGGCATCGACGAACTGCGGAATAATCGCTTGCATTTGAAAGACCTGGATGACACCGTTGAAAGCCTGCTGGAAGGAGTTCCCGTTTGGGTTCTGCTTGTTACCCTCTAGCACGCCAAGGATAGTCGTGAGCTTCTTGAGAGTGCGAGAGACTGACGCAGAAACGGCACCGTTAGCCGTCTGGGCATAGAGCTGCGGCAAGTAGTACGTCACGCCCCAGTAATACAGGTTAAAGGCATAGAACAGCTTCTGGCTGGTGGCCCACTGGCACAGGGAATCAATATCGTCCAGCGCTGCTTGGAGATTCTTTGCCGCTTCTTCTGGGTCTTGCCCGTTGACGCCCTTGGACACGTTTGTGACGTTGACTTTCATTGCATCGGCTGCTTTTGCCATGGCCGATGCATAGTCGGTGTTGGCCTGGTCATCAAGGTACGCCTGCACGCCTGGGAATTTCTGCATCCAGCGGTATCTGTAGAAGGCATCGCTGTGTCTCTTGTAGATTGGCGAGTTCGAAGGAATGTCTTTTAGCTGCAGCTCTGCCCGCACGGCGTTGCATTGCTTTCCCTCGGCCAGGGTCGAGCGGCCCAGGCTGGAAACGACGTACGGCACCTGCATTTTCTTGTAGAACGCGGCATTGTCTGAACTGTCGGTCGCGATAGCCTGGATGCTAGAGTCAAGCGTTGTAGGGCTAGAAGAGACGAACGTGGTGTGTATATCAGAGTCCATAAAGTAACAAATGACGTTGTGGAAGTCCTGATTGGCAACCGCAGCGACGGTGTCGCTATAGTTCGTTGGGTTGTTCGGGTCCGGGACCATGGTGTCGTTATTCAGAAGCCCGGTCACAGGCAGTGGAGAAGGGGTCTGTCGCGCAACAAACAGGTGTGGTGTTGGTTGAACCTTGGTGGCCAGCCCAAGACCTCCACCGCTGGCAAGTGCAGACAAAGCTACAGGAGGCTGCGAGGGCCCAAGAGGCGGGATGGATATCTAAGGATCGGCAGCTTGGCCGATCACGGCGTATACTTGATCAGATCCTGGTACGGTATAGGCGCCAGTAAAGCTGGTGGCGAGCTCGTCGAACTTGAACATGGCCAGGCTGGGGAATACCGACTTAATGGCATCTTGCGCGCGAATCTCTGGTGCGGGGGGAACGTTTGTAGTGGTTACGGTCGTGATGCAGAAGTGGGCCGTAGTCCCCTTTCCAGTGTCCAGGTCTTGAAATATGCTGGTGTAATCCGTTGGGTACATGGAAGAGGTCAACTCCAAGGTCTGTCCACCAGCCCTCTGATCCTGAAACGCCACCTCATTGATGAGTGTCTTGGTGAAGGGATCGGGATTTGCAACAGTATCGTATGAAAATACCATGGAGTTATCTTCCCAAGTAGCTTTGGTCCAGACATCTGAAGTTTCGTCCCACTTCAGGGTCTGCTGACCAGAGGACTTGTAGGCACCTGCGTTGCCGGAGACCTTCACCTGGTAGCTCACAGCCCATGGCTTCAAAGCTACCGCGAAGTGTCCGTCCGAGGTTTCCAGAAACCCAGAAGGGCTCTCTGGAAGGGTAAAGTCAAGATACAGGCTAACAGGGTTGCTGTTCTTGTCTTTAGTAGCGAGCGTGTAGATTCTTTTGTCCGGAGACAGTTCCTCGCCGTCGGTCGGAATCCAGTGGTCATTGAAGCGGACGGGACTACCGGCGACCCCAAAGGAGGAGAAGAACATGAAATGACCCTCGTCTTCGTACCGTTCAAGGTCATGCAGTTTGCAGTCATTCGTGGCTTTGACGCCAGCCAGGAGGACCTTGAAGTAACGCGGAGCACCATATTGCATTGGGTTTGACTGTAGAGCCTTGACAACAGCTTCAAAGCGCAGCCTCGAGGTCAGTTACAACAACAGCACATTAAACCTGGACAAGACACATACCTTCTGGAAGGCGCCTCTGAGCCACCTTGGACTTGTGTTCCGCCTTGCGTAGCCGCCTGTTCGCCTTGGCGTTGAAGCGGTCCCCGCGAACGTACGCATTGATGCGTGAAATTTGGCGACGCCTAACGCCAGGCACGTTGGACAAAAGGCCACCACTTCCAGTCACTAGGCCAACTCCTGGAGGGAGTTGAAAAGACATATCTATGAAATGACGGATATAAATTGGGTTTTGAGCTCGAGACTTTGTGTAATAGCGAACATCACGAATATGCCCGCGAGATAGTGGCCGAAGCTGTGTCTTTATATCTTGATCAATTATACATACTAGTATTTTGAATTTTGAATTACCACTTGATTCTCGTCATATCGATGCAGGATTGAGGGGCAAGAACAAGGTAAAGGCTCAGCAATGTCTTAACCTCCCAAGACACATCAACGGAAGAGTATTGTTCTCCAAGAAAGGTTTTTGCGGCTGAAATGGGTCTCAAACGTTGTTATAAAGCCGCATCACGAGAACTTGTCTCCGTTTCCAGCCCAATCGAGCGAGCCCTTGACCAGTATTCTGAGACTGCCAGTCCTGAATCGTATGAGTCAAGGTGCAAGATAACAAACACCTGGAAGGGTGAATATGTACCGGTGGTCAATGGCTTTTTCCTATCCCACTTGGCTTAGTTCCTCGACGCTCGAAGCCTTTGAGTTTCATTTGTGGAGCCATGTGCTCAGAAGTTGCCTAGCAGTAGAAACAGATGTTTTAGAACGGTAGAAATCCCCGCAATTGTGATTCTGGCTGGGAAAGAGGAGGGCGTAAGTCTGCTGCCATTCAGGCCCCTGCTTCTGGCTCTGTCTCGGGCTATTGAACAGCCGTACAATTTCTTGAGCATCTATTCATTCATCCAGATGGCTGAGGAGTATTGTTGGGGATTAAGAGGATCCGCCGGGCCTACTTTTTGAGGGATCTGCAAGTCGTGATGCTGGGGACCTCAGCCTTAGAAAGCGCGGCACAATGCGGGGAGCTGAACCAAATGCGGGGGATTCTTGTGAGACAATGTGCCCAAAGGCAAGCTTATTGGCTGTGGAGGTGAGACCTTTCGGCGCGGCGACTCATGTTACAAGCCAGAATTTCAGCTTCACTTTCGTTACGAATCTCGGCCCTCGAGCAGAAGAAGCTTTTGGTCTGACAAACTAATCTAACTTCCCGTCTCTGCAACCGAGCCATCGCGTCACGAATGCACAGATTACTAGAGATAAAGCATGTTTTGTAAACCATGATGGCGTTTTCTGTCCCCCCAGTAACGCAAAGTCCAGAGGGCTCACAAGTTTTGAGACGTGGCTCTCGCAAGCTCGAATCAGATTGGCAGGTGCCATTCATGTCTTGAACATTATCAAAAAAAACATCGGGTGTTCAGAGCAGTCTCCCAACTGGGTCATATAGAGATATCCTGGCCAAGCACAGCGTAATAAACGAGGACGTTGAGCTTGTTTTCGTATGTCAAGTTAACATAAGAGGTGCTCTTTATGTTTTTGAATTCTTGCCCTAATATGGTGACTAGTTTCGTGATGATCATGGGATACCAAGACTGCATCAGATTTAGTACGTAAATGTACCACAGGCTTACGTTTCCTCCTTGTAAGTACGCAACTCATGTAGTCGGATAGAATTTAAACATTGACCGCGCATAGCTGAAGACAGAAATACACAGCTTTTAGGTATCATTTATGTCTTGCTGTATTGTTGACAGTGCCACATTGACCCAAGTGGAATGTGACGCGGGCCAGGCCTGACACTAGCAACGCATTGTCTCGATCCACTACTTCTCCAAGTGTTATCCTACATCTCGTCGAGTCTAGGGATAATCTGAGAAGGGTTAAAACACGAGTCAGGTCACTTCGGTATGCAATGCCGGTTCAAGGCCGAGACAATTCATCCTCTAAAAGATGGGGCGAGACGGTGCAGGAGTTGACAAATGGCTCCCGAGCCACGAAAAGGTGGGCGACATTCATTACTTGTCGGACTTGTTCAAGGAACGGTTCTGAAACTTAAGATAGGATGTCCCTTCTGCGCGGATGGTATAAACGGAAGTTTTATGGGATGGCGTGCAAAGGAGTTAGTTGTGGTATGCCCTTTTTGACCGAAGGGCACTTATCCACATGCAGGCTTGATATCATAAGAGACAAAAACTGAGAGTACTGATAATGTTCGTCAGCGCCATGTATCCGTTAAGTTCCGCAGGGCTTGAGTACCATTGTGTCTAGGCCAAGTTTACTCAAGGACTGTCTAAAACATCTGCAAAAGGGCCGTTCTTGCAACAAATGGGTAAACTATCTTGCGTGCCTGAGAAGTGAGGGGTACTCCATACGTGAGCTTGACGCAAAACGTATGGGGGGCGGCAAATGATTGGGTTTCCGATGAATCCACTAGGCGGCGGTTCTTTGACCGTCTATCATCATCAGATCCCCGCAACGGTCGAAATCGCCTTGAGATATCTTATGGGCTCTCCTGGGCTGACCGAAACAGCTCTCTGCCACCGATCGAAGCTTGAAACGTGTAACCTTAAAACCCTCCTTGTTCTAAGCCTGCATATACATGTAACTTTCGGAAGGGACAGACGGTATTCCTTATAGGCCCAACCTTCATGAAAGCTGAATTTTACCCCTCTCGTGTTACTGGTTCGTCCATTATTCGAAGTCCTACGTCAACTCGTATACAAGCCTGCACATAACGAGGAGAGCAAGCTGTCATCTCAATCTACCCCGGCCATACAAGGAAAGGCGGAGTATTGTTCCCGGATCATGGGAGAAGGGCACAGCCAAACTACCCAGCTAAGCGAGCTCCCCCCGATGAGCAGATTTCTAGTAAGGAAGCAATACGGTGCAGGAAGTCTCTGGGGGGAGTCCAGGCCTATAAGATCTTCGTCTATTCGTCAGTTCGTATGCTTTTTTATTGCTTGGCACATCCCCCCGACTACCGGCAGAAAAGCTTGGCAGGGGGCTGCCATCGCTGATCCCGGATTAATGTCCGGCAAAAGTGACCCACAGACGACGACTAACAGCATCTCGGCACATCGAGAACACTTCCACTCAGGAGGAGCCAGGCAGGCAATATGAGTGGCGTATTCCTATGCATGCTATGCAATCGGAGGCCGAACTCTTTCGGCTTCGGGGAGTCAGAGATGATCACGCCCGTTCTATGGCATCATGAAGCATTCATTTTTTGTCGTCAGCTGCTTGACAGCTCTAGCAAGCATACCAACTTCAGCACTACGTATAGCGAGCTCGCTACAATGGATCGAGCACACCCCTCAGCCATACGCCATCAAGAACTTCTACAAGGGCTCGAGCACGGCGACCCTCGTCAGTGGCGGTGTCGCCAACCTTGGCACCGATCGCAGCATTGACCTCGCTGCCAACGCCGAAACGCAAGGACTGAAGCAGTACGCGTCTCGCAAGAACATCCGCCTGATATACATCATTTGCGAGGCCAGCTACCGTCTCGTGGCCAACAAGGCGGCCGGCATCTCGACCCTGGCTGACCTCAAGGGCAAGCGGATTGGCACGATGCAGGGTACTTCGGCTGGGTACTTTATCAACAAGCTTCTGGGCACTGCCGGCCTGCAAAGCTCTGACTACAGGACTGTGTCAGGGAACGTCTGTATGAAGACTCCCTGCGGAGCAGGGACTTTTCCCCAAATGCTCGCCAACAAACAGATTGATGGTTTCGGCATCTGGGAGCCAGCGCCGGAGCTTGGCGCCCGTGCGATCGGCGACAATGCCATATTCTTCCAAAACTACACCATCTACAGAGAGGTCTACAGCCTGTACACGACTCAGGAGAAGCTGTCGGATCCGGCTATGCGCAAGGACATTCTTGCTTTCGTGAAAGCGTTGAATCAGACGCTTGAGGTCTTCACCAAGGCCGACGATTCGGTGTACCAATTCGTTGCGTCGAAGGTGGGGATGGATCCGGAGATCGTCAAGGCCGTTTGGCCGGAGCACAAGTGGAGTGGGCGCTGGGGACCGGACCTGCTGCCGTTCATCACGGAAGAGGATCAATACCTCGCAAAGACTGATAGGAGGCAAACGATGTCGAGTGCGGACTTGGAAAGGTTCTTAGATACGGAAATCATAGACGAGCTTTAGGAGGCTCGTCCATAAACAGATAGTAGCAAATGATGTATATCGGCCTTCTGCACGTTTTGAATGTCTTTCACGGTTGCTGTCGGTTCCCCCAAAAGGCAATGTGCTTGGCGAAAAGCGGTCGTTTGGCCCTGAGCCGGGCTTGGCTTCACAGAAATTCAGCTTTTAGTGCTTACATCCCAGCATTGCCCAATTGCCGTCGGTCTTTCCTGGCGGCAATGCATGTCCCCTGGCAATATCGTGGGGTTTAGATATTTCTCTTGCTGACAATTGCACAAAAGAACCACTCAAACCACATCCAAATCTCCTCCAGAATGCCCTGTCTAGATCATGGTTCGTTCACGAGGCTCCGGATGCGTTACTTGCAGGTGAGTTACCGCGGTGAACTCACAGAAACAATAGCCACTAACACCAAGGCACGCAAGGATCCGACGCGTTAAATGCGACGAGGGAAAGCCATCATGCCAGCGGTGCTTGTCCACAGGCCGCAATTGCGACGGCTATCTCCCAACCACGTCCAACATCTCCCGCCGCGACTTGGCGGCGCTTGCTCAAGAGTCATCCCTCGGCGAGCGGCTAGTGCTGACTCGGAGGCCCGCTCAAGCGCCGGCGTCCCTGTCACCCTCTCCATTGGGGTCGGCTCGCTCCAGCCCACAGCCGCGCGAGTGCCAGCTGTTTGATCTCTTCCGCTCGGCTACGGGGCCGGCCACGGAGACCCTCGCGCCCTCGTCGTTCTGGACCCGTGACATCCTCCAGCTGGCGCACGTCGAACCCGCCGTGTGGCATGCCGTCGTGGCCCTGGGCGGGCTGCACTGCCGTTGGCACGACGATACTGCCAAGGCGCTGAGCCTTACACCCCCTCCTGTCCATGAGGTCGAGCTTCACTACCACCATGCCGTCACACTCGCCCAGCGGATGCAGCAACCCGAGCGAGCGCTGGCGCTGAGCCTGGCCCTCGGCGCCGTGGCGAACCTGATGGGCTCGCTGCGCGAGAGCAGGGTGCACGTGGCGGCGGGCCGCAATCTGCTGTGCAGACTGGGCAAAACCGACGAGGTGCGCGGCATGGCCGAGATCGTGGCGCGCATGGACTTTGAGGCTTTCTCCTTCGGCGAGGCAACGGCGCCGTACGAGCTGCAAGACCCGGCGTTGCTGCGCTACGACGTGCCCCGGAACCTGGTCATTACGAGCTACGAGCAAGCGATCAGCAGTCTGCTCCGGATGTTGAGGGTGGTGATGATGTCAGACGAGGGCTTACCCACGGAGATAAACGGCATTGCTATGGATGGGAGGTTTGAGGTCGACTTGCGAGCATGGGAGAGAGCAATGGGCAACTTCGAGGGTGGCGTGGACATATCAAGCCACGAGATGTCTGCCCTATCCGTGCGATTCTACCATGCTCTTGTCAGATTAGGCATCACTTTTGTACATCCAGGTCCTGAAACGCGGTTCGATGCCCAGCTAGATCTGTTCTCCAGGCTTCTTGTTCTGGCTGAGGCACTGGAACAAAGGATGGGTAGCTCGATACAAACGATGACGATGGAGCCAGGTCTGGTCATGGCTTTGTTCTTGATCGGTTCAAGGTGTCGCCACCCTGTCGTGCGGTGGAGGAGCGCACGACTGCTGCTGAAATTAAATAGACAAGAAGGTCTGTGGCGAAGCGACGCATTTGGGGCGGGCTTGAAGAGAATAATCGAGGTCGAAGAAGAGGAGATGCAACGGCTGAGCGGCGGTGAGGATGAAAGACCTCACTCGCTCTCGGCTAACACCCTCACCAACTTAGATGACGGGAATGATATTGACGATAGGCTGAGGGCAAGTATAGCTGTACAGTGGACGGCTTGGGCTGACCCGAGATTCGCGTTACCGTCGTTGGAAACTTGGAATGGAGTAGCGATCATCCCGGAAGAAGGCAGGATTCGAGCATTTGTTCCCACGATATCTGTCGAAGACAGAGTTGTGTCAGCAACCTTCTTTATGTCACACGGTATTGCGCCAAGCCCTCACTTGATTCCTCGTGTCAGGGAGGAGAAGTGTCGATTTTGATCAGAACGGGTTTTCAAGACAGGGGAGATAATACAAGACTATCTAATACATCAAACAACGACTATATCTATTCTAAAATCCGACTACTGATACCCTCTAGTACTTTATCCTCGACTGGGGGCGGCAGTGACCCGATAAAGAGGTTAGATCTAGGCGAGACACCATACCAGGGCGGAGCCAATAGCCACCGCAAGCCGGAAACTTCCCACAAGGGAAACAGACGCACCGCTGCTATGTCCGTTTCCACTCGTGCCGTTGCCATTTCCCGAACCACTGGCCATCACAGGGATCACAGCACCCGTGATTGGGTCCAGCCTTGCCCCCAGGGGACTCTGTACGATAAAGTCCTTGACCACGGCTGTGCCATCTGCCAGAGCCTGAAGCTGCTCATCCGTGCACGTGTCCGTCGGAACCTGGGAGTAGCACATGTTTGCATCTGTGACCTCGGGCACCTTGTTCTTCCTGGCCCAGGTACTTGGAGATCCATTAGAGCTGTAGCCCTGGTCGGCGACGATCTTGCCCGTGGCGACGTCCTTGCCGAACATGCTGCGCTGGAAGATCTGGTAGACGGTCTCGGGCTGGTAGGCGGCGACGGCGTGGCCGGCATCAAAGACGCGGGAGAAGGACACGTTGCCGTGCTGGCGGACCAGGCCGCCGTTGTAAGACGAGTTGGTGACGATGTCGGCGTAGCCGGCGGAGCGGAAGGCCGAGGCGGACGGGTAGTTGACAGTGAGAGAGATGTTCTCGACGCCGATCCCTAGATTGGATTAATTCAGCACAGTTTCGTGAAGGCCGACGGCGAGCTTGCGATAATGCAGTACTCACAGTTGCACTCGTAGTCGCGGTCACCATAGACCAAAGCGACACTGAAGCCGTTGTCAAGGACATTCTCGAGCAGCGACTTGTCCTGGATCATTGCGGCACCAGTCAACCCGAACACAGCAGCCGGGTACGAGTAGTCAGTGCTGGTGAAGTTGACGCGAACACCAAGATCTTTTTGGACCCATCTCTGGTTGAAGAATCCCTCGAAATAAATCGGCTCATCCCCCGCCGTTCGGAGGTGGAGAATATCGAATGTAGACCGCTGTTGGACGTCAAAGATAGTCAGTGGATTATGGCCTTGAAGAATTTAGGTAGTGCGCGTGAGCCTACATTGCTGACAGCATTATACGAGCCCATAACCACATCGAAGCATACCGTTGATGCGGCCATACAGGCTTCATTCACTGTATTGTTATTGCCCTGGCTGGTAGGGTCTCCATCGGCCCTGGCCTTCCTACACTGCTTGACCCGGTCGTAGCAGCCAATTTCGGGTGCCGTCAGGTTACCCATGACGAGATCGTAGACCTCCTCAGGATACGACTGGACGCCGTAGGTGTTGTTCCAGGCCATCTGGGGAAAGCTGGCAGCTTGGGCCTCGATATCAATGCATCCATTTCCGATGCCCAATGTGCCCAGACGTAGGGCAGTGGCGTTGGCAACCTTGTGTTGCTGAGACGAGATCAACTTGTTCTGGTCGACAACGTAAGAGAAGAAGGCGGTGCTCCAGAAGCCTCCATACTGTACAGAATATGTTAGCTTGCTAATTCCGTAGCGTAGGGTGAGGATATATTTACAGAGGTCCCCCAGACTGAGATATGTTTATCTTCCGTTTGATACCCCGGGAATCTGGCCAAAGGTTAATAATGAAGCTCAAACTGTCAAGAAGCAAACATACTCTTGAAACCAGACTTGTGCGAATTGCCACAGAGTCCGGGCAGCTTGCGTTGTAGTATTCTGCGTTGTCTCCAAAGTTCTCGAGTCCAATGTAGCTGCTAAGAGGGTAGCATTTGTCTTGGGTAGAGGCTCTCCGTTTTGAAGAGGACTGAAAAGTGGCCCGCGATTCTGAGCCCTCTGTAGTAAGTTCAAGGTGCCGTTCTGGCGAACTGAATAGGAGAACCCAGCGCCCACAGGTTGGTCAATATAGAGCATATTCACATCGGTGTTCCACGAAAACGGATTCAGGGTTGTGCTGTTGGAGTCTTTGTTGATGTTGCAGGGGAACCCTGACATGGGGTCGAAGGAGGTATATCCGGGACCGCCGCCGAGATAGATTGAGGTCGGGGCTGTTCTCGCGTTGTTTCGAGCCTCTGAGTTGAAGTGTTAGATTTTTGCTCATCATCAGGGAGCCTAGTTCGGTAAGGTGCTTACCAAAGTACCAGAAGAACAAGTTCACATCATATGTGACCGACATATCCGGGACTTTGTTTAGCACTGACGGCGGCAGGTGTACGTAGCCGCTCCATGCCTTGACTCCAGTGGTCGTCTCGCAGATAGAGGTCTGTCCAGGAGATTCAGAAACTTTCCGGGACTGGCACTATAATAATTTTGTAAGATCAGATAAGCCGTACCTGTTTGTATGTAATGGAAGCTCCAGGCCATCGTTGCGAGAGGATCTCTGTCAAACCTTCCGGCTCGGGAGGAAATGTCGATTGTGCAAGCGATGCCTTGAACAACCCAAGGGCACCCAAGAGAATTGGAATAACGCTATACCTCATAATGGGCCAAAATATTGAAAGGCGAGAAATTTGAGAGACAAAGGCAGCCAGTTTAGACTTTGAAGAATGAAAGAAGCGAGGCCTTTGGAACTCCGGCTCTCGTTTTGAAGATATAGGTTTGGCAATATTATGATCAATCCCAAAAGCAGTCCGAAAAAGCTGAGCTTCTTGAAATAGGCGCACAATATGACGAACCGGTATCCATGGCTGCGTACGTGTCAGCCCTATCGTTAGACTTCAGGCCAGTTTGTGGCCCCTGAATCGTCGTAAACAGCTTCGAGACAGGGATGAGCCCCCATAGTGTGGGCGATGTAATGGCGAGCTCTCCAATCATTCTGAAAGCACCGCTTGGGGAGGACCTAAAGTTCCAGGGTAGTAAAGGTCAGGTAAGCATATAATCACCTTTCAAATTAGACAGCCGCTATGCGAACGTGACGTGTGCCGTGACCCTGCAGGTACACAGCCTTCCGGACCGCCTGGAATTGCCAGACACTCCACTCAATGGCGAGCTGGCCAATAGTAAGACTTGAATGTACCCATATCTCCTTGTCATTCTTGAAAGCTCAAGCTTTGACATGGATTGCCTTCGTCATACAGCACGGCATATGGCGAAAAACTCTAAAAGGTTTCCTTGGTACCTAACAAAGCTTTCCACTTCTGCGGCCCCCAATACGAGATCACGATCGCGTCGTCACTTGCATCTGCGCGGTTGGCCCAGGATGCATATTGCCAATCCTTGACGCCAAGAATGGTGTCATTCTCGGGCTGGATGCGATCCCAGTCAGACGATTGGCAAAGCATTCCTTCTCGGGAGTTGTCTGGTAAGTACGGGGACAATCTCTTGGCCATGGCGAACACGTTCCCAAGGAGCCTGAACTCTGAAGTTGCTTATTCACGCCATCTGTCTCGCCGCACTTGTTAACTCCAGTAATGCAATGTGCCATCGGCGAGATCCAGTTGAATAATTGTTTTGTTAATAGCTTGTAAAGGAGCAAGCGAGTGGTTCACACCTCCTGCCTGATACGAAGATCTAATTGTGATTCGCTAGAATGGGAACGAAGAAAAAGACACGCTTGCTGTCATTCTAAACCCCTTATCGGATCCTCAATGTATCAATATCTCTTCAAATTCGCGACCATCCAACGCCTCCCCTTGCATAATTCCGTGGACATAGCAACTCCCGACAAGCTGATACATCCCACTCCTCTCCCGACTTCGACAGAGGATAATTGGCTGTCGACAGCCTCTGACAATCCATATCTCATCTTCAGGCTGCGAACCGCTCGGTAGTTGAGCAAAATAACCGCGGCTCGTCACTGCTGGCAGCAGCTTTTTAAAGATGACCTCTGCCAGATGTTCCAGATATTTGGTGAAGCAGAAGTTGGCCTCCTCAAAGGTGATTCCAAAGAGCTTATGGGCCCTCATGAGCGCCCATTGGATCGCACTCGGGAGATCTCTGTTTCGCGAAACAGCCCCCCAAGTCCACATTGTGAAGCCAATCTCCAGCTGTCGTGGCGTCTCCTTGTACTCTCCCTGGTCACATATGAGGGCTTTGCGGGCTGCGTCGTACACCGTCTCTCCAGTTGGATACAGCTGACCAGGGTGTGTATCCTCAAGCAGGAGCCGAAAGGCCTTACCGAACCAATCTCTCATATATAGAACCGATTCAGGGCCGCTCGCCATGTTCCACTCTCCGAGCGTCCTGATGGGTTTGCGCCCGACTCTCTCGAATTTGAATGCAAGAACCTTTAGCACATTGTCTGGGCTTGGGGATAGCCCGACGACGAAGGTTGTCCCACCCGCCGCATTGTCACATGTGTCTTCCAAGCTCCTATCAACCATGGCCATTGCGCCTTTTGATACTGTCACGTCCTCAGCCCACGACGGTATGCCCTCGCGAGGCATACGGTGCAGTCCCGCCCTCATGAACATCTCCTCGCCATACTCCCTGGTGACCAGGAATCGGGCAACACGAGTGATGATAGTCTCGATGGGGCAGATGTAGTCAACTTCAAGCGCCTTTTCGTTGGTGCGTACGTCATCAGCCATCCCAAAGGTCGAGAAGTATCTGTCTCTTGGCTTCGTCGCATCACACATTTGGAAGTAGTGCAGAAGGTCGACAAGCCGACACTTCTGAAACTTCTTCCAGATGTGCGACTGTGGTGTCACGGAATCGAGAAAGCGTCTGCCCTCCTCGGAACTGCTCATCAGTCGGATCCTGCGCAGGACTCCGATGCAAGACCAGACCATCATGTACATCAAGGACTGTATCTTTGATTGCTGGACCGGCATCGTGCCGACGCCGTCGTTGAAGGTGAACGACGCTGCGAGGAGATGCGTCCACTCGACTGGTCGTTTCCCGATGAACATGACGACATCCCTGGCCAGGACGAACTCTTGGATGATCCATACTCGCCTAAACCACTCTCGTTCAAAGATCTCGACTGCGGGGTCCCAACCTGGGCTGCGATCAGGCGGCAGCTCGGCATTCCTGAACTTTCCCGCCTCCTCTCTGGTTGGCATCGTGACACCTAGGTAGTATGCAAAGGTCTCGCCGGAGAGGTCGCCGGTGGGAGTCGGAATGCCCCGGTGGATGTGCTTGCGCCAGAACGCGTTGATCAGCTCCAGCCCCGCAGCCGTGTTCTGGGTCTCCTCGCCGAGGTCGACGAGGACACGCTCGGCCGTCTTGTAGATGTCCCCCATCATGGTGACCTGCGCGGCCTGCTCGATCAGGTCGAGCTGGTTGATGCAAATCGCATCGGCCCAGAGCCTTCGGGCCTGCGTCGTGCTGCGCAGTCGCCTCAGCAGCGAATTGAGGCTCGGCGTTATCTCCAGCGGCGCGCCGTCGATGAAGACCTCGCGCATGTTCTCCTTCGGGCCCCACACGTAGGAGACGGCTTCGTATTGAGCGTCATGGCCTTGATCGGGCGCATCCGCCAATAACTTAGCATGTTCTAGACCGATGTCGAGACGTGAGCCTTCGTCGCCGGGCAGCAGCAGCAGAATGCGGATTTCGCCCTCACGTAAGGGCTTGTACTCGTAGGCTGACATGGGCGTGTTTGAATGCGTTCGGGAGGTTGTTTTTAGTTGTTCGCGTTCAGAATTGGAAGCTATGAGAAATCATGCTGTGGATTGGGGTCGAGAAAGAGATATTTCATGAAGGCCGATTCAGCTTGCGGTTTCTGCCTGCTAGGGCTGAGATTACCCCTGAGTCTTCTGTCAAATCATGGCTATCAGAGCTCGATATTTCCTGCAAGCGAAGCGCCATCTTGGCTGAGCTAGGACTGTTTGGACATCCCAGGACGGTCTGGACCAAGATCCATGCAGCAACGTCGATTTAATGAACCCCCCATGCATTGAAGACATGCCGATATCCCTCAAGCTGACACGTTGTTGGACGGTTGATCTTCCAGCTGGACAAAATATCTTTCAAAACGATCCGTGGCTGTATTCCTGGTGCCCGGCCGAAAGCGCCAAAGTCAGCCTGGAAATCCGCAGGGCTTTTATTCCCACATCGCTGTTTCAGCAGATAAGCACGACTGACGATATGGTGAGCACTTTCTTGTGACTAGATCCACGGCACTTCCTCAAGACGTGAAAGCATTGGCCAGGTTCAAAACTCGTCGGTGTCAGTTCTCCGGATCCGAATACACTGATTTCCCCCCGACGCCCGACCGGACAAGGCGAAACCAAGCCGGACAATGCCGTCATTGATTCGTGCATCCATGGTAAGCAAGTTGGCAAGCGGAAAGAGCGCAGTGCAGGGCATTTCGATGGGGCGCGGTCTGGCCTAGTGGGAGCCGTCGTTTGATTAGGCTCAATCGAGCGGCACGTAAATGCCCGAGAACAGCAGTCTCAGGAGGAGATCCGCCCGTGATGTCAGTTGTTTTGTGGCGACAGTGGACCGGACTAACAACACCGAGTGCGGCGGTGCTGAGATCTCAAGGACAGCTGCGGCCGGCGATTGGACGAACCCAAAACATCTGTCTCTGGTCCGGGGACTTCATCACTGCCCAAAAACGGGAGATCTGGGGCTGAAGTCATAACTCTTCTCCGGGCAATGCACTCGAAACCTGCGCCGTAGCTAGTGGCTTCAAGATGCCGAGCAAGGCGGACTGATCACAGTCATATATCTGGTGCTGTCGACCAGATCTCGACTTCCCCAGCTCAGTCCTGTCAATCAAACTCATCCAGACAATCCGATTTCCCTCAGCTTCTAGGAAACCAACAAAAGACAAGACTCCTCATATCATCAACACGATGTTCATCCCCTTCATGCACCCAATCTTGTTTCCCGGTGCCACCAGCGACAGGTCCTCATCTGCCACGTCAGGGAACACAGATCAGTCCTCCGTTCTGGATACTGATATCAGCTCTCGCGATGCCTTCGATTCTACCTTTGCTGATGACGCTCGGGGCATGAGGGAGAACCTGACCCCCGCGGTCATCGGCGTACTCGTCGGTGTCATCATCTTCATCGTCATCCTGATCACCTGTTGCTGCTTCTGTTGCTGTACTATGGGCAAGCGCAAGCAACGACGGAAAGCAGCCGCCGCCGCCGCCGCCGCCGCCAGCCCCCGCCTTGGCCAAACATCCACAGCCACATCTACAATCAACCCCACGACGCAACCGATGACGAGCGGCCAAGGGAACTGGACGAGCGGCCGCGGACGCGGGAACGGGTTCAATCTTGGCAATGGGACAATGGGTTACAAGTCTGGCGAGCAGCCGCCTCCGGCTTATTCGCAGTATGACAAAAACACCACCAACAACAACAACGCACAGTGGTCTGGCGTAACCAGTCCTTCGCCGGCATATTTTTCTAGGAGTGGACGTCCAGCGGAACCTTAGGGAACACACAGTATTGCGTTTTCTTCCTTTTCTAGTTCTTCTTTGTCACATAAACGTTTATAGATACCCAGATCAATGTTTCATGATAAAAGCGGCACGATCGTGTTCCGCTATGTTTTGATTACACGTATGTCCTCTTCCACATCACTGAGGTCCGTTCTTCTCAGAAGTCTGGACGGCAGCAACCTATGTACTGTACAATGTGTGTTTTTGGTCTGCTCGAGATGTCAAAAGTAAAAAGTTGATATATCATGCCGTGTGTTGCCCCTGCCATGCTGGCCTTCTCCGGTGGTTTCATCACTGAAGCTCTGAGTCATCGTCGCCGCCACCCCACGCCCCCTTTGCTCCTCTTTCGCTCCCAAATGCTTAGCTGTCCCGTTTCCATCGCGTACAATCGTAAAGCCTGCCAGCCAGGTAGGTGCTGCCCAATGCTTCCGTCAAAAAGAGAGAAGAAAGAACAAAATTATATATGTAAAGGTTTGTATGTTCAAGCCGAAGGGCCCATTGCGACAAATTGATGAAGAAAAGGTGTCGCTCCAGAACAGCCCCCAAGCTCGCTATGCATCAACAAAAGAAACAAGAGGTAAAAACGAAAATATGTAGTGATGCCAACATCATGGTGCTGGCTTTTGTAGTCACCGCCCAGCCATCATCACGGCCACCACCCCGGTCCGTCCGCGCCGGGCCGTCCCATGCCCACGGCGCTGATCCGCACGGCCTTCTTGCGCGGGAGCGGCGTCTCCGGGCTGGCAGGCTGGTGGTGCATCGACAGGCCCACGCTGGGCGAGTCCGGGCGCGGCACGTCGGCCTCCTCGGGGATGCCCGCGAGGTCGTCGTCGCGCATCAGGCCCCGCCCCGTCGCGGCGGGGATCTCGACGGGGTCCTCCACGATGCGCACGTGCACGTCGTCCTGGTGCCGGCGCGAAGAGGCGCCTTTGCGCGGCGTGTCGCCGGGCGGGTTGACCAGCATCGAGTCCCTCTGGTGCTGGTGGCGCTGGCGCGAGGACTCGCGCCGGGAGGGTCGTGCTGTGCGGGAGGCGGGCCGCGGGCCGAGCTGGTGGTCGCCACATGCGGCGGCGGCGGCCGTCGTCTCCAGCGGCGAGTAGTCTGGCGTGTTGAAGGGGTACGAGTCGGAGCTGTTGGTGTCGTCGTAGTCCATAAAGTCGCTTAGGTCCGGACTCGGCTCGGCCGCGTCATAAGCGCTGAGCGCGTGGTCGCCGGGCTTGTCGAGGCACATGAGGATCCTCTCGCCCTTGGGGGCGCGGTTGCTGGCGGATCCAGAAGCGGACGACGCAGCAGTCCCGTGGACCATGGCGCTGAGGTCAGAGTTGGCGGCGGCGAGGGCCGACATGCTGCTCTTGGAGCTCTTGCGCGAGGACTTCAAGCCCGTGGCCGCCGACGCCGCCGCAGTGATGGTGTCAGCGCTCGAGCGTTGCGAGACGACCTGCCGCGAGCCGCTCCTCTTGTGCACCATGCCGGCGTCGTCGCCACCGGCGCCCTCCACCTGGTGCTGCTCCTCCTCGAACTCGGCGATGATGTTCTCGCGCATGCGCGCGCGCTTCATGCGCAGCGCCGCCAGCAGCATCTCCTCCTGGCGCGTGACGGCCATGAACCGGCCGTTGGCGCTGCTGCGCCGCCCGGCGGCGCTGCCGGTGCTCATGGCGCCCATGCTGCGCGACGAGCGCACGGAGCTGCGGTCGTTGTCCTGCATGGACGAGTGCCGCGAGTGCATGTAGAAGTCGACCGAGGAAGGGGACAGCGCCGCCGTGCCGGAGGGGTCGTCGACGCTGTCGCGGGGGCCGCCGTACCTGGCGCCCAGGGCGGGGATCATGGTGATGGCGCGGGCCTCGTGGACGACGGCGGTGGCGGCGGTGTCGTTGTTGGCGGAGTTTACGGTCGAGATGGAGTTCATCGAGACTCCTGATGACGAGTGCGCTGAGGTGGAGCTCATCTTTCGTGAGGAGGGGGCGGAGGATGTAAGAGCCGACGTCAGCGAGCTTGTGCGCGTGGATATTTGCGGCGCTCTGGTCGTAGTGGCATGATTTTCTGGGATGGTGAGGTACTGGTTGTTGCTGTTGGTCGATGCAGAACCGGGCCGCTTGTGGGATAGGTTCGCGCTTGACGAACCCCTCGACATCGGGGGGCTCTCCTTCTGCGACGTAATCTCTGTCGGGGACCGCGGGCCGGTGCTTGTGAGCGACCCTTTCCTGCCCGGCACGTAGTCGTCCTCCTCCGAGTCAGAAGAGAGGGACAGCACACTGTTCTGCTGAAGATCGAACTCTGTCATGCTGCGGTCGGTCCGCTTCGACGCCTTAGAGGTGCGCGTGTGCCTGCTGGATATGCTGGCACCGCAGTCAGTGGGCGACTGGACGGACGGCGGGCTCATGACGGCCGTGACGGGCGTCTCTGTGCCGCTGAGATCTGCCGCCGACGACTTCTTGCCCAGGTACGGCGCACGTCCCGGGGCGGAGGGGAAGGGGCTGAGGTAGCCGCGTGTGGAGGACGAGTGAGGAGAGGAGCCGTACGAGGGACTGTCATCGATCGCTTGGGCCTCGACAGGGTGTGCACGGCGGGCGGCAGTCTCGCGCAAGTTCGTCCGTGAGCAGCGCTCAGTCAGGTCTTGGAGGGATGCCTCCTTGTACATCTCGGCAGCTTTGCGCGAGATCATGTGAGGCGAGGTCGGTCCGCCTGCCTGCACGTCACGCAAACTCTCCTTGGTGAGCTTGCGGCGAGGGCGCCTTTCCACTGTAGGTGGCGTCGGCGGGCCACTAACGTCTGGGGACACGGATAGCACAGAAGGCGATCTCGTCATGAGGTCAGCACCCAGGACCATATTCTTTGAGCCATTGTTGAACCGGCTTTTCGGAAGGAGCTGCGAGAAGTCGAGCTTGGCGGGCTTTTTCTTCTTTTTCTCCATGCTTTGAGGAACCGTCAAGGATCCGCCAATGTCAAGCAGGGCACTAGCCTTGGCCGGCAGGCCCTTTGCCATGGCTGAGTTGGACGTTTGTTGGGATATGGCGAGCGGCACCTTGGCCGAATCGTAGTAGGACACAATCGTCGACGAAGATTGACGGCGGCGCAGGCTCGAGGCGTCGGTAATGGAATGTACATCGCTGGCAATAGCTGGCAAACCCGACGCCCGGCCATGCAGAGGCCGACCATTGTGCAAGATCTCTGGCGGTAGTATGCTCGACTCCTGATCAAAGTTGCCCAGTCGCGGGCTCGCCCCATTGACTACCTTGCCCTCGGTGAGGATGCCCAGGCCGGTTTCGCGGTCATCGTGGCTAGCAGTGCTCTCGGAGATGGAGATGCTGATTCCTCCCGTCGATCTGGCGTCCCAATTTCTCGATTGGTCCTTGGGGAGTGTCGGAGAGTCGATGTTGATCTCGCTCGTGCCCAGGAATTTCTGTGCCTTGGTAGTGAGCGGTGCCGACACGATAGGCGGCGGTGGTGCTTTTTGTTTCCGGCCGGGGACGGGAAATGTAAATTTCGGCATCGCTACAAGTCCGTTCGGGCGTGCCCAGTTGCAACGGGGCCGTCTCTCGCCCGGAGGTCAGTCACTCCCAATGGCCCTCGGGAGCTAGGTCCTTTGCAATACCGACAAAGGATCGTAGCCTACTACCTCCTCCCAAACCTCATTGACGGCGAAGAAAAGGGAACAAGTCTGCTCTTGATCGTCGACAAGGCCAGGCGGGAAGACAGCAGTGGTGGACAAGATCCAAGGGGAGACTGCGGGAGGCAGGGTTCGTCTTTATCAGCCATCCACGGTGATCGGTTCACGAACGTCCTGTCGAAATCTTGTGGGGAATCGAGTGTGGGTGGCCGTCAAATGTGGGAATCAGAAACACTCGGGATGGATCTCGTTTGCCAATTGCCCAGCCCGGCGTGTTTCGAAATATCTCGCAGTCCTGATCCCCGCGCCGTGGTTGTGTCGTTGGAGAAGAAAACAGCAGCAAGCCGCCGCGTGGGTGTGTGGACGACGATGGAGGTTGTCGGCTGGTCCAGGAGAAGCGGGAATGTCGTCTAATTCACATGAAGACCACAACCGGACAAAGGAGTCAACGGGTACGAAGTAATCTAACAGGAAGGCCGACCTGACCTTCATGTGCCCAGTGCTTCTCAAGCTATTTGATCCTTGGACGAGTAGACCCAGCTCGTGGTCCCACTTGGTCAAATCTCCATTAAAAGACAGTCGAGACACGTACTTCTGGCTTGTCTTGAAGGAGACACGACAGGCGAGATCCCCAGGCTGGCGTTTTCGCTTGCCAAGAGCAGGGGCGCCGGGCTTGGTAAGTTTTTTCAAGATTGTGGTCATCCGTGACAACAATGCAGTCGTCGATATGGGACACGGAGGAAGAGTCTGCGGCAAACCCTGACGATACGTCGGGAGCAATAGCTATATCAAGGTGTGGCCGGCACGCATTTTGATACAGAGGTGTGGTACAAGACGCTCTGACGCTTACCAGAGAAGCGTGCCCTTCTGCTCACTACTCCGTTTATTCACTGACTCGTGCGTTGCTAACTGAGGGCGGGCGACCATTCGGCCTCTTGTGAAAGGACCCCCCTGTTTAAGTTCCCGACATCCTTGCTAAAGCAGTCTCTCAAGCCGATAGAACACTAGATTGGCTAGAACTCTTGAGTAGAAACCCAATTCGAGATGCTAATCTGCGAAACAGAGAAAAAAAGGAAACATACTCCGTATGAGATCTGGACACTGGAACAAGCATATCCTAGTCGCCATCCCAGAGGAACCAACTCTCCCACAAAGCTTGCCCACGGGATCATGCTGCCAGGTCCTTGAACACAGTCGATCCCCCAAGCCAGGCCTGCCCCCTTTGTGCGTGGATGAGCCTGGCAGGCTGCACTTTACCTGGTACGACCACCCATCTCAGAGTGCTACCAAGACTGTCGCAGGGATCTGCTTGTGGGGACGGCCGACCAGGCTCGGCCCTAGACCGCTTCCTCTCACGCCATGATGCAGAGAATGGCCTACCCCTGAACTTAGTGCAGACGCTATGAGGTCGCGCTGTGGAGATGTGCCCATTCTCCTTCAGCAGAGTGCCCTGCTCTTCATCTCTTGAGTCTTGGCCTTTTATTTCTCTTCAGCGGGCTGGCTAGCTTGCACGACGGCGGGGCAAGAAAGTGCAGAACAGCGCATGCAGCCCCAACATTCAAGCAAGGGATCGACAGCGCCAACCAACACATGGGAGGCACCAGATACCGAGCTACTGCGAGGCTACTGCAGCTCACCTTCCGTGCTGCACGAAGTAATTCAGCAAAGTTGCTCGTCAAAGCGGGAACGGCGAAGTCTGCAAAAGACACGCCGCGGCGGCGACGGCGGCTTGCATGTCATCTATGCACTGCAGGGAGAGACCATTTTGGCGCAGTTTAGCGGCCGTTCTTGTCTACCTCTGGCACCTGTCAGACAATGTCTCAAAGGTCCCATTTTTGCGAGCGAAGGAAACGCTCCATCTTTGCCCCGGATCAGGGGCTTGAATCCTTGATGCGGGCACTTGGCGCGGCGCCGAAGTGCTGCCCGTTGCAACGAAGGTCGATGTCGCTCTCTGAAACGCGATGTCGTACTCTGCTGAGAGCGAGTGGAGGCGATTGCTCTCCTCTTCTTCTGGCAAATACCTTCAGAAACGGTGCTCGAGACTGAACGGACAGGTCGGTCGTCGTCCTGCTCCATTACAAGTACGTTTGCATATGTACCATACCTGCTCCGTATCTTGACCACGACAGCGGGAGATCCGCAGATCGAACTGGGGTATCACCTGCCCATTTTAATTGGATCTGACGCCTCTGCAAATTGGATCAATTTCCCTCCCTTTTGCGTGAGCTGGAGAAAGACCCAAGGAGCCGTATTCCAGATGGCGCTTGTTGATCTTGAGCAAGGTATTCTTGCGCCATTGACAGCGCTTTCATCGCTAGGCATGTCCGAGTGGGCATGGTCAAGGACAGGGAAGCCTTTTAGTCCATGGGGCATTACCGAGAGCATCAGGCAAGCTGACAGTTCAGGCCAAGCGGACCATGCAGCCTCAGAGCGAAAATATTGGCCAAGCGCCGAGTTTTCGAGAGACGGACACCTCGGCGTCCGGAACCTAGGTGCAGACCTCCTGCCTCCCGACCGTCAATTTGATCATTGAAAATATCTCCGACGATACTGAACGGAGACGCAAGGACAGCGTAGCAAACAGGATGTCAACCACTTGGCATTGGCACCCTCTGGCTTTGCAAACCTCACCACCGTTCTCTGCTTCTGGCGGTTTGATGCTGCCAGCCACCGACGCCATGATCCCTTCTGGCCATCTACCCTTGTCCACTCGCTCCAGCCAGGGTTTCTACTTGTACTGGTAAGGCATTGATGAAGCTAGCCAGGTATTTCGGTAAGGCCATCCGAATGAATTTCGAATCCGGATTTCATTTTCGAGTTCCACTACCCAATGAGCCAATTTATGATGACTCGCTGCCCATTGCCCCTTTCGACGGGCAAGGCCATGCTAGATATCGCTACATTGGGTGGGTAATGAAGGTCACAGCGCAGCAGCTTGGACTGACAGTGGTTGTCATTCATTCTTTGGCATGTTGACCGGGGCTGCTGACTCCACGGCCACTGCCTACACTACACGTGCATACGTGCGTAGCCTTTGCGTGCTCTTCGGTACCAGGAAGTTTGATTCTTTGACAGATCTCAGCATGGGGAGACTTATTCGTTCCCCTATCAGCTTGCAGAGACCGTATCTTCCCCTCTCCACGAAACGCCATGACATTTTTTTGAAGGAAGCCGAGCCCTTCTGGAAGGGCGCACAGATGGTGCACTGGTGCCTGGGCGCGGTCATCTGTCTGGGAGTGATCGGCCGTCAAGAGATGCCCGTAGCGCGACATTGAGCACTGGTTGGTGGATTGGGCTTTGGAGAGTCAGCTTGGACCCCTTTCCACGATACGACCCAAGATCTGTGATCGCCAGTGCTGCTTCATGGTTCTTGATGAGAGGTGAATATCCCATTCTGGTTTAGCTCAAGCTTCATTCGAGAGTGTTTTGTCGGTGTTTGGGGATGGGTTCAGCACCGGCCTTCGATCCCGCAGTGAGCCTGTGTGTCAATAGCAATTTGTCAGGTGCAAATGTCTCCGCCGAAATAGGCAGAGCAGCGCAACAGCAGCATCGGATTACAGTTCTTCTTTAGCGCAGCCGGCACAACCGTCTTCCCGTCCCGTCACGAACACCAAATGTCTGATGCGGCACAGATCGGTTCCCCTCAACCATCCCGCCCTGCGTTACCTCCCATTGCATAAACCCCGCATGTGGAGGGAGCTCCAAGGTCGATATCTCAGGCGTTTCGTGCTTCACCATTGATCGCAGATAAACGGTAGCTTCGACCTCGGGGATTTCTACTGCCCTCTTCACCAGAAGGGAACAGCCAAGCAGCAGCGATGCATTCCGGTCATCGTGCGGTCCAATAACAGCGACGATACGTGGAAAAGAAGTTGGTAGTTGGAACATGAAAACTGCCCCCTTCATTCGGTGCAGCAGTGCAAGTGGGACAAGTTGTCGCATGAATAGCCAGGAGTAGGGCGATGTATCGTCGCTTGCAAGTGAGGCTGGGTCTGGTTATCCACAGAGCGTTCTCTTCCAAGGCAGGAAGCCTGATCGTGGAGCTTGAGGTTGCGCCGAAGCATCAGCAGTTGTTACCGAGCACTTGCAAGGCATTGTCGCCTTCTAAGCTTGCTGATGCTTCGTCTTGAGGCGGTGAGACAGAGCATGACTTTGACGGCTTTGCCTAGCTTCCCTCGCATGACTTGGATACTAATGCGGCTTAATGGAAAGCTTGAATCCAACAAACTCTGCCGATGTCAACAGCACGAGACTCGGTGGTAAACGATGCAAGGTCTAATAAGCATTGCTCTCCCGATGCGAACTCCAGTCCCCCCCGCTGTCCAAGCTCTCATCCCACACAGATCACAATGCTGCATGTGCAGTGGTCAAGACGGCTCCCCCTCAAATGAAGCGCCGCCATCCCTTCTCAAGAGGCGCCTTAGTTGTGCATTTGAAGTCGTGTGACTGGTTTCGAGTGCGCCTACCAGAGACAGCACAGCTCCAGCTGGAGCTAGCGCTGGCGCGGGGAAGGACAGCAGGACAACGGAATGTCATGCGTCACTGACAAACAGCCCTCCCGGAGTGATGGTTGCAACCCTCCTGGTGCTGCATGGCCATGTGCCAGCCTGGATCGGGGTCAGCTTATCAGATTATAGTTGAGATGTTATTTCCTGTTGACAGATTCTTTGCATATTGTCGAGAGTGGTGTGTCATGATGCTGCCCAGACTTCTATTTTGCTTTTTGCTGGGTGGAGTTAAGTAATATTAATTAGTGCCAATCCAATCAGTGTCAACCAAGTCCAGGATCTTCGCACACAAGCTGGCATGTTTCTCGAAATAGAGAGGTATGAGCAAAGACTGGAGAAAAAAAAGATCGGGATGATCTACAAGCAGGATCAGGATCAGTCCTCGCCATACTCAACCTCAGCAGAGCCACCTGCGGTTAAGAACTTCGTAAATTCGTGAAGACAGGAAGACAAAAACCTGGAGCTCGACCAGCGGAAGAAGGGACCACTGTCTCGATACACAAGTGGTTGAACAGCCCTGCGTTAATTGGCTAGCCCGTAGCTTGGCTGACCGCTTCTTCACCTCGATTTGTGTGGTGTGTGGTGCCTGACTTGCTTCAGCTACGAATGACTGATCGACCTGCAGGGCGAATAGAAGCCCTGAAAAGGCCCTAAGCGTTTTCGCCCAGCACCACCGACCCGCCTGTGGATGCTGAACCCCAGCTTTTTTCGGCAAAGCTAGGCCGCTAACAGGAATTGTTTGGGTGCCGTCACCGCACAACTTCCACCCACCAGGCGAAACCTTGCACTAGCAACGCGCCGCTCACAATTCGTGGTCACACTACCCCCAGCCCAACCTGGACGGGCATGTGAGACAAGACGCTTTGAAATTGTTCAGAGAGGATCGAGCAAAGTAGATACATCATCGACACGACTCACCTACGGCCCAAGCCTCCCGTCTGTTCGCCGCTCCTTTGGCATGTTTCCTCGATAAGCCTCGACCTCGAAGCCGTGCATATAGCCATTTGTTAGCATTTTACTTGCATTTCAGAGCGCAGCGCAACCCGACGAGTCGCGACTTCTCGACGTTTCAGGGGCCAAGCATCGCATTGGCGCACACCACATCTTCAATTTCGAGAGACGCCACAATCCGCTTTCGGCGCGTCAAGAACCTTCCTCTCGGGAAGCTTGGCCTTTCCTTTGTGTCCAGCTTCCCCTCAACGGTATCTGCCCTTGCTGCAACAGACTTGCTGCTCTCAATTGAGCCATCCGCCCGACTCTCCCCCGCCTGCAACATCGCCAGGTGCTTGGAGAACGTCATCGACTTCGCTCAAGATGGCAAAACACGAGTTCTCCCAGCCCGCAGGCGGGCCTACAATGTTTGGAGTACCTATGAAGAAGATCTCGTTGGTCACGGTATGCCTCTATATGTCACCCGCACTCTCCATCCATCGCGCTCTGCTAACAATCTGTCGCGCCGCAGCTGACCTTCCAAAACTCGGCCCTCATCCTGGTATGCCTTTCACGCGAACCTGCCCCGACAAGACTTGCGATACGCCTCCGATGATCACTTACTAACCATGAGGGCAGATTCTGCACTACTCGCGGATGATGACGCCTGATGGCGACCACAGGTACTTCGCGTCGACAGCCGTCTTCCTCAACGAAGTCATCAAGCTCGCTATCTCCTTGACCTTCGCGATATACGAGGTATCGCGGACCCTCGCGCCCCAGACGCCAGTGTCGGTCATATTCGAGCAGATCTACAACTCGGTATTCTCGGGCGATGGGTGGAAACTCACGATCCCAGCCGCGCTCTACACCTTCCAGAACACGCTGCAGTACGTGGCTCTGAGCAACCTGGATCCGGTCCATTACCAGATTCTCTACCAACTGAAGGTGAGCCGGCGCCTGGCTGTCAAAGCGACGTGGACCTCCTGAGCTCGGTTAACCAATAATCTTCCAGATTCTCACCACGGCTTTCTTCAGTGTGACCATGCTCGGCAGATCGCTGGGCCCCAAGCGCTGGTTTTCCTTGGTCATCCTGACCATGGGCGTCTCGATCGTGTCCCTACCGACATCCACCTCCCAAGACGCATCCCTCCTGATTCACGACTTCAGCGACCACTTCTTTCCCCGATCGCTACACGAGCTGGGACAGTTGGCTGGTGGCGTGACCGAGGTGGCCCGGGAATTGACCAAGAGGGCTGCGACTAGTGCAGTCGAGGGCTTAACCAAGCGTTCGGCAACTTACCAGGGAATCAAGGAGGACCTGGACATGGCTCCCGTCATGAACTACTCGGCTGGTGTCACTGCCGTCCTGATCGCGGCTCTCGTCTCGGGGCTTGCCGGAGTCTACTTCGAGAAGGTGGTCAAGGATTCTCCTACGCCCGTGTCCGTGTGGACCCGCAACATCCAGTTGTCGTTCTATTCGTTGTTCCCTTCCCTCTTCTTCGGTGTCTTCATGACCGACGGCGAGGAGATTGCCAAGCACGGCTTCTTCGACGGTTACAACTGGGTGGTCTGGGCGACGATCCTGTGCCAGTCTGTCGGTGGCGTCCTAACCTCTCTCTGCATCAACTACGCCGACAACATCGCCAAGAACTTTGCTACCAGCATCAGCATCGTTTTGAGCTTCCTGTTCAGTGTCTTGTTCTTTAACTTTAGTGTCTCTTTGGCAGTGAGTGATATCTGTCCGGTACAGATTGTATCTTTATCTATCCTAACTAATTTGTTCTCTTTTCTAGTTTCTGGTTGGTACCCTGATGGTGATTGGGGCGACGTACCTCTACAGCGGTCCTGAGAGAAAACGCGGCCGGCCACCTCCCATCAACATCGTCAACTACGAAAGAACTACCATCGACTCGACGCCGAGGACCCTCGATGAGACCAAGCTTGCGACAGACCCGCTGGACTCGGTCAAGGCGATAGGACTCTCCACTTCTCGCCCCTCTTCGCCGATGCGGCACCACCACCGCGTTCCTTCCGCTAGGACGAAGAACCGGGATGAATAGGGTGCTGAGCAGGCGGCGGCGGATAGATTTGCGGCGGTAGACTTATACATATAGTAAAATGAGATACCCAGGCCGGGTTGACCCCGTTTGTGTGTGGTCCCCGATCGGTCGGTTGGTGGTGGTAAGGACTGGGAAAATGGGACGGCACGAGAGGCATGTCAAGACTTGATGACGGCGTTCTCAGAAACAATGAATTCGACTTATTAGTGCGCCTTGTGCCGAGATGATGGGACTTTGAGATAACTGGCCCGTGGCAGAGTTAATCCTTTCTTTCAGGAGTTCGGAATTAGGCCAGCAGCAGGATGGGCATCTAGATAGATTCCGGGTGCCAATAAATTCATGGTGACTTCGTGACTCTCGAATGACAGCTACGACTTCACATGTACCCACACACTTTTTGTTACGCCTATATTTGATACATCAAAGGTTCAATGTTATGCGAGCGAGAGAAGGGCGGGATGCTCCCTCTCCGCTGTGTTGCTCTCCATGCAGTGTGGGAAGGTATGGGTGCGGTGTACGAGGAAGGCGCGAGTCTCAGCCCACGATGGGGTGCCTGATATCGGCTTCCTTTTCTGATCGCCCACAGCTTGTTGCCTATCCATCTCACGAATGACCAAAGCATCCTTTGGCAAATTCTGCTCGTTTGATCTTGCCATCGACTTGATCTCGTCCGTGATTGACGTCCACAGCCGGCATCATGGCGCAGGATCGACAGTCAGGTCCCTTGCAGGACCGTCTCGATCGGTTGCAGTTCAGGGCAGGACAAGACCGCCACATTCAACGCATGGTGGAACACTTCTCTCAAGAGATCCCACCTTCTGAACTAGCCATGTTCGCCAGAATCCCGGGCCGGACTTCGACCTTGCCCACTCCGCCCTCGTCCGTGTCATTGTCAAAGAACAGACAAGTGTCCCAGCAAACCCTGCCCGTTGCCAAATCACCTCCAGAGGGTATCATTGTCAGAGGCTATCGCTATCCTGACTTGCCACACTCGACACTACCACACTTCCAGGAAGTTGATGATGCTGTCCCTCGTCTTGATCCACCGCGGAGGACTTTGTCATCCGCGATTTCGCAAATCCCAAACAATACGCCAGTCGGGGCTAGAGGTACGGAGCCTCACAGGACCGAAGGAAGTTCAGAGCGTCATTGACCAGTTAACAGAGCCACAGGGGTACAGTTCGCCCATTGCCGTGGCAGGATCAAGTTCGACAGCGTCACTCGATCGATCTAGCCCCTTGGTGAGATCCAGAACACACCAGGATCCCGAACTACATCGACCGGAGCCCATTCAGGGGCCTCGCCAGTCACCCTTCTTCTCCTCCTCGCCCAAAGGAAACCCGGAAGTTGGTCATCGACATCAACTGCTACCCGCCACCGATCTCTTAGATGCCACGCCAGTTGCTCACGGCATCCGACTGGTCAACCCCAAGCAGGCTCTCTCGGACAAATGCCGGCAACTTTTCCCTTACCCGCTGCTCAACGCTGTTCAGTCAAAATGCTTTCCTTCGATCTATGAATCCAACGACAACATGGTAGTCTCCGCGCCGACTGGAAGCGGCAAGACGGTGATTCTCGAGTTGGCGATTTGCAGACTCGTGAGCAGCAGTGACAACCACAATTACAAGATCGTCTATCAAGCTCCTACCAAAGCTTTATGCTCCGAGCGAGCAAAAGACTGGGAGAAGAAATTTAATCACATGGGTCTTCAGGTGGCTGAACTCACGGGCGATACATCGCAAGCCGAAATGCGACGCGTTGGTAGTGCCTCGATCATCATCACTACCCCTGAGAAGTGGGACTCTATCACGAGAAAGTGGCAAGACTACAAGAAGCTCCTAGAGCTGGTCAAGCTCTTCCTCATCGATGAAGTCCACATTCTGAAAGATATCCGTGGCTCTACTTTGGAGGCCATCGTGTCTCGCATGAAGACCATCGGCACGAGCGTTCGTTTCGTGGCCCTGAGCGCTACTGTCCCCAACTCAGAGGACATCGCCAGGTGGTTAGGCCGCGATCACCTTCACCCCGAGGAGCCGGCACGGCACGAAACCTTTGGCGAAGAGCTCCGCCCTGTCAAGCTTCAGAAGTTTGTGTACGCGTACAATTGTCCAGGCAACGAACACAGCTTTGACAAATTCCTCGATGCCAAGCTTCCGAGCCTGTTGACGCAGCATTCGCAAGGCAAGCCAACATTGGTCTTTTGTTACACACGCAAATCTTGCGAGGGAACTGCTCGGATGCTTGGAGAGCTTTGGGCTCTCGCAAAGCCCCAAGACAAGGCGTGGCCGGCTCCATCGAAACGCATTCCCGTCGTCAGCCAGGCATTGCAGGAAATTGTTTGCCACGGTGTCGCTTTCCATCATGCCGGCTTGGACCTTCAAGATCGGCTTTCCATTGAACAGAACTTCATTGACGGTAAACTCACTGTGGTGTGCTGCACTTCAACTCTCGCTGTGGGTGTCAATTTGCCTTGCCACACAGTAGTCCTCAAGGGTACTTCAATATATCAGGACAACAGCTTGACTGAGCTCTCGGACCTTGAGGTCATGCAGATGCTGGGACGTGCAGGGCGACCGCAGTATGATACCAGTGCGATTGGAGTCATTCTCACCACGACTCAAAACAAGACGCGGTACGAGCTCATGGCGTCAGGCCAACAAATTCTGGAGAGCACTTTGCATCTCAATCTCATCGAGCACCTGAATTCCGAAATCGTCCTCCGCACTATTAATGACCTGGAATCGGCCAAAAAGTGGCTGGCGGGAACGTTCCTCAGTGTCCGACTCAGGAAGAACCCAGCACATTATCGCCTAACCAACCCTTCCACGCGATCCCAGCCTATCGAAGACACCTTGAGCGAGATATGTGAGAGAGATATTGACCTTTTGCAGGATGCAGAGCTTGTGACGAAGGGCACACACTTCAGGAGCACTGACTATGGCCGTGCCATGTCAACTTACATGGTCAAGTTTGAGACAGTGAAGCTGCTTCTTGACATCCCTCGTGGCGTGCAGATGGAAGAGCTGGTAAGTAGCTCTGTTTCACCATTGGCCGCCTACTGATATCTAATTCTGGTACAGCTCAGTAATCTCTGTCAACTGCCCGAACTTCGCGATGTCCGCCTGAGGCCCACCGAGAGGGCCGCCTTTCGCGAGTTGAACCGATCGCCCTTCATCCTGTATCCGCTCAGGGAGAATGTCGTGCAGAACTGGCACAAGGTGTCTCTGTTAGTTCAGATGAATCTTGGCGGCGTCGAAATGCCCAACGAGAAAGAAAGTGGAGGGCTGAGACGACAGCTTGCGATGGATAAGCGAATGGCATTTGAGGCGCTACAGCGTCTAGTTCGTTGTTTGGTCGAGTTCAAAGCCGCCGACCTAGATGCAATCGGTGTGAATACGGGCCTGAAACTGGCGAGAGCACTTGCAGCTTGCTCGTGGGACGATCGACCGACGACATTGTTGCAAATTTCTGGTATCGGACCAGTAGGCATGAGGAAGCTGGTCAGCCACGATGTGAGGACCGTTCAGCAACTAGCGGAACTCGACTACATGGAGATCGAGCGACTTTTCAGCCGGAACCCACCCTTCGGAAAGACAATGCAAGAAATGCTGGAGAACTTTCCCCGCCTGACTTTGGATGTGGCAGTCGAGCAGAGTCGACCTCACCGCACCAAGGCAAAGTGCACCACAGTCAAAGTCAAAGCCATTCTTGGAATGGCAAATCAGAAACGATTAGGTGATTGGCAGTCACGACTTCAGGGATTGACATTCACGGCTGAGACTGGAGATGGGACCTTGGCCTACTTGTGGCGTGGATCGTTGAACAGGTCGTTCAAAGATGCGGGCAAGAGAATACAATTTGGAGCGGATCTAGAAGGCTCCAACGAGCTCATTTGTCACTTCTCCTGCGAAGAAATTGTTGGGACCCTCGTGTCAAAGAGGCTCAAAATTGATGGTCCAGCACCGCGAGCGATAGCTGGATCTCCCTCTGAGGATCTTGTTGACGAGACGATACAGTTCCCAGGTACGGCATGCCTCTGTCGCACGCTGGCAATGCTGACTGTTGCTTAGATATTGACGAACTGCTTGGGAAGGAGCCTCTGGAGAGGCCTCCAGCTTCGAAACCGGTACAAGAATCAGAGGATGAATTCGATGATGAGCCAGTGAAGCTGCCCAACGGAAAGTGGCAATGCAACCACGCCTGCAGTGGCTCAGTGACGACGAGATCTGGGAAGCCGTGTTCTCACAAATGCTGCCGGGAAGGACTAGATAAGCCTCGCAAGCGCAAAAAGACTTCCGGCGGATCCAAGTCTCACGAGGATATCGATGCCGTGGCCCGAGATGTTCTCCGCCCTTCGCAGCTATCCCATCCCGCCATTCAAGGAAGTGTTCACGAACAGAAACGACGTCGGCTGTATCTGTCAGACGATGAAATATCCACCTCGACAACATCGTCAAAGGTACCCAAGGTCAGGGCGAAGCCAAGAACAAACTCTAACGACCGCATGGTGGAGTGCATTGATCTGTCAAACATTGACGAAGATGAGGTGGCATGCTTCGCAAATGCAAAAGGTGCACCAGAGGTTACCACTGACGAGTCACTCCCTCCAGTCGGAGGCCAAAGTCTGGGAAAGTCTTCGGGAACTGCAAACCTTAGCAGTGACCTCTTCGTTAGCGACGTCTTCGAGGAAGTCGAGTTTGACGAGTTTCTAAATCTGCCTAGCCAGTCATCGGCAGGTGACGAGCAGCAGCCCACAGCGGCAGAGACTGATGAATCGGTACACTGTGATGCCATTGCTGATCCCATCCAGGACGATAGTCTTGAATACACACCGGCCGAGCCTCTGCATGATTCAGGCAATCCACGTCTTCTCAACATGGAACAAAGTACCATGGATGAGAAGGGGGCTCACCACATCATTCCGGGCGGGGAGCAATTCCCTCTGCAAAAGGCCGGGCTCTCTAACAGGATTCAGGGCGAGGGCGGGAGATGCTCTACGAGAGGACAAGTCAAGGAACCAGCCTGGGTACAAAACTTTGACCCAGAACTCATAAACTTCTTCCGGGGCCATGTCAACTTCATTTGAGGGATTAGGTGCACTGTCCTTGCCTCCATCCTTTGCTATCCTGGCCGAGACGGCATCTAGTATTGCAAGAACTGTCGCATTGCTTTCTTGACAAGTAGAGGGTGGGTGAAGCTCACCTCAAGGAGAGGACGGAATATTTGCTCGGATCTATGCAAGGTCTGGAACTGGGAAACGATGAGAGCATGTCGAGGTGGTACTTTAGGTTCGCGATATGTCCGTGGGTCCTGGACTTTCAATATTATTCACCCAATCAACTTTCTTCTCGGAGATAAGGAGTAAGCATCGTGCATTAGTGGCGATTCAATCCCGCTTGTTATGATTCAGGCCGTTCTTCAGGAGGCTTGTCGACCCCGCTTCGAAGTGATGTCAAATCTTCATCCCCTTGCCTCCGTTTGGATCTCTTGAAACCGGGCTTGACGGTGTTTGTGTCAGCAATTCGCATTCTTCACAAAAGCACAAAACGAGAAAAGAAACACCGCGTGAAGAAATGGAGCCAGCCTCTGATCCTGACCCGTCCCGGCCCTGTCGAGGCGGGAGCTTTGAGAGCCTACCCCCGATACAGGTTCGGGAAGGTGGAGACGACTGGCCAGGGGTATCGGCGGCGGACCGTCGACGGCGGCAAAACCGTCTGAACCAACGAGCTTTCCGTGAGTTACAGTAACGTGACATATCCTTATCGGGACAGTTTGACTGAAAGAGATCCTCCAGGCAGGCGAAGGCGGGAGAGAGTCGCGGCTTCAGACCAGCTCGTCGTCAGCTCTACACGCGCCGAGTCCGGGACTACTGGGACTTCCATCCCTGATGGCTATGTAATTATGGTCAAGCCACGCGCTCGTGCCCTGGCACACGCCTTCACAGAGCTTGTCTACATGCAGTACTCGATGCAGAGCTACAGGTTGGCCTATCTCCCAGCGCTCATACGCCTCAACGCCATCAATGCCTTGACAAGCAATGCACGCGCGATCGGGGTCACACCGGACGGCCTGTGTCGCGACGACATTCTCTCGCCGTTCAACGCATCTGGGCCTGGCCTCTTCCTGCACGACCGGCCGTTCGAAGACAGGTGCCCTGTCAGCCTCCGGCCAACGGCTCTACAAAGAAGGTTTCCGCACCACCCCTGGACGGACCTGCTTCCTTCTGCGGGCCTGAGAGATAACGTCCTCAAGGGGCTGGAAAGCGGGGAAGTCGACGAGGATGATCTGTGCCTCGATCTCATGGAAATCTCGCAGGGCCACACGGAGGACGGCCCGTACCTGATAGTGTGGGGAGAGGCGTCTGATCCATACAACTGGGAGGCCAGCATCGGGTTCCTCAAAAAATGGGGGAGGCTTCTCCAAGGGTGTCCAGAGCTAGTGGTGTCGACGAATAGGTGGCGGTCTAAACGAGGGGAGAAAGAGCTTCATATTCGGGTATGACTGTACTCATTCAAAATCCAAAGCAATGGATGGTTGAAATATTCTTTACGTCCTTGGCTCTCTGTCCACTGCTAAATTCAAAAGACACGTACATCCTGAAAGTCCGCCTTCCTCCGCCTTTCTGTTCACGCAAGCCCAGCCCTTGCTGAGTATCACCTTCATTGGATTCTCTGCCTGGCCCACCACAGAAATGTCGCAGTAAGTCTCCACAAGGAGGCTTGGTCTATGATCATATGTGGGATCTCTCAACTCTTTAGTCCCTCATCTGTGCAGCCGATGACGACCCTTTGAACCTGTAGAGGACAAGCTGAAGGTGGACTTGAATATTGAGAATCGCGTATTATTGAGAATGGCAATGATTCCTCGCACGAAATGTACTGTCGTCTCTGACCCAAAGAAATGTGCCTTGCAGGCCGGCGGTCGTAACACCATCACTGCTGCAGAAGAGCGGTCCGCTGAGCCAGCGTGAGCACAAGAATGGAGTCCATGTCCTTGAGATATTTGTTCCTCCAGTAGTGCCTGCGGGCGGTGAGGAACTCGCGCTTCAGGCTGATGACCCGCTCGATGTCCCAGTCCATGACCTTGGCGAAGATTTCCGAAATCACAGGCTATTATTGATGTGTGTTGTTAGTCTTGGTCTATGCAAGTGCTAGGCATGAAATTCTTTGTTCATAGTTGTGACCTCACCTGCATGTACTCCGGGTTGTGGACATACATGGTCGCGAGAACGGCCGTGTGAGCGAAATCCGCCGGGATCTCTTCCTTTCTGAGCATCCGGATGAGGGCAGCCTCCTCTTTGTTGAGCTGTCCCAGTCCGCTGTCGGCCATTGTTCTTGCTGACTCTTTTCTGTTGGTATATGGGTAGTGTAAAGTGAGACCGACAAAAGTCAGGAAGTTGTTGTGGGATGGTGAAATTTCAAAGGCTTTGTAGGGGAGCAAAAATGCTGACAAGGAAGAAAGAGGGGAGTAGCGGCGAAGGCAACAACCGAAAGGCAAGCAAGCGCGACTAAACAAAGCACAGGGCAGTTGAAGACTGGCTTCGATGTTCAATGGTCGTGGTTCCACTTCGTCTGAAAGAGTAATCTGAGATCCAGATCAGCACAACTCGCAAAGGTTTGTCAAATACACAATACCAGTCAACCCTCCACCAGCAATTATTCAGCCCATTAGCAGACAACATGGGCAGGTAGACTGATCCCTTAGAATGACCCACACAAGACGTCTTTGAGTCACCACTTTGTCACGGCTGGCATGTACCAGCCAGCCGCACGCAAACAAGCTATGATTGGGTAACACTTGTGTGCCTTTGGCCACTGTCATAGCTTGTAAGTCTGTTGTAGACGGCAGCAGAGCGAGATGTAGGGTATCTCACCAAGGTACAGTTCCTTCAGGGCCTCATCGACTTGGCAAGAAGTGCCCCGGTCAAACATCGTGGAAATGCAGGCAAGCACCGGTCGCACCCGCGCCTGGATATTCAAGGTTCTGAATTTTGATGTATATAATACTTCTGCTGTCTATAGACAGGCTGATTGCCTGGGCAAGTGTGATACGCCCAGAGAAGTGTGCATGAGGGATGCCAGGATTGCTTCATCTGATTTTTTTGCACTGGACAAGAGAGCGAGGAATAGAAGAGTGTCATTATGTTGAATTCTTTTTTATACTTTTTTACACGTGGGACAAGACCTTGCATTTCATGGATGCTTGTTTCCACGGCAGTTGACATTCTTGACATTCAAGATTAGACGTGAAGAACTTGGAACCCTCCCGTATCTGCCAACCCAGAGGAGGTACTTATGTCTGGGGCCGACCACATGGCAACCTACCTATCTAGGTACACAAGAACAAATCATTTTACAGGGAAAACTGGAGATACCGCCAGCTGACCGCTCGGCGAATCCATGGGAAACTCCTCTTGCACCCCCAGTAGAATTAGCCGGATTAGACCCAGGGTCCAGGCCCACCCAGATTTGTGCGAGGTCAGCCTGTTCCCACCCCGAAAAGCAATCGAGTTCCCACGCTTCTTCACCCAGGTCTGGAACAGTGTAAAGTCGTGTACTAGCATATTCCGCACTGTCTCAACTTACATGTAAGTCAACACAATTGGTAGTCTTTCCTACAAAACTGCAAGAGTAAGAGTGCATCCAGACACCTTAGACACCCGAAAACATCTGAGAAGCCGAGTCTTTTGCTTCTCGACTACTGAAACACACTTGCTCCCATTGTCTAGCATTCCATTATTGTCCACAATCCTTCCGTCATGGCTAACACCGAACCAAAGTTCAAGGCAGAGATTCAGCAGGCAGGTTTTACCGTAACAAATGCTTGCCAACAAGTGTCTGATGTCTGCCACTCTAGATGATGTATGTTGCGGGTGAAACACAGGACCCTTCGAATGAGACAATCGCCCTTGTGGAAGATATCATCAGAAACCAGGTCATCCTGATGGTATGTCCAACTCCCAAACCCCAAACCCCAAACCCATCATCGAATGTTCTTGCCTATGATACATACTCCGATGCTCTTAGTTGACCACAGCCAACGAGCTCGCAATCCGTCGAGGGTCCCGCGTCTTCTCGAACAACGACCTCATCTTCCAGTTCCGCCACGACGCCGTCCGCGTCGCTCGCATTCAGACCTTTCTCCGCTGGAAGAGCGTCCGCAAGACCGTCAAGGACGACGACGACAAGGGCGCCAACCCGGAGCTCGTCGCAGACGAGGAAGTCGCCGACGAGGCCCTGAACCCCGCCGCCGTCGACGCCGCGTCCAAGAAGCTCAAGCAGCCCGCGGCGCTCCCGCCCTGGGACATCCGCTGCATGTATCCGGAGGACGCCCCGGGCGGCGGCGACGACGAGGACGAGGACGTCTTTCGAGACGCGGACGACGCCGCGCTCGAGCGCCTGCGGCGGGCGGACCAAAAGACGGAGAATATGACGCCCGAGGAGTACGCCACGTGGTCCGAGTACCGGCATGCGTCCTTCACCTACCGCAAGGTGAAGCGCTTCCGCGAGTGGGCCGGCCTGGGCGTCATCGCCGAGCACAAGCCCGTCGACGACTCGCTCGATATCCTCGGCTTCGTCACCTGCGAGATGGTCCAGAGGCTGACGGAGATCGCGCTGTCTATCCAGCAGCGGGAGCTGGCCTCCCGGTCTGTCGGGGGGGAGAGTGGGCCTGCTGCCCAGGGGGCCGAAGGCGGTGCCGGCTCGCTATTCACTCTGCCGCAGACGGCGAAGCCGGCGGTCGATGCTCGTCATATTCGCCAGGCTTTTCATGCCACGCAGATGGGGGCGCGCCGAAGCCATGTCAGGTTGAACAAGATGGCTCCGGGTGGGAGGCTGGAGCTCATCTGACAGGCTGCTATCTCACTTGGCGTCTGAAATGGAAGTGTAGTTCTACGGAGTCCTTGTGGCGGGAATTTGAGAGAGATACATTATGATGTTTCTGAAAAGGAAAATGAATGTCAGGAAGAATATGATATTAGATATCCTAAGCAATACTTTACAAATGAAGCTGGTCAGGGATTGGACTCAACAAAAGTGAGGCACCGGGCACGTGTGTTCATCACAATACTCCGAGAAAATGCTTTGCCGTGAGGGTTGTCTTGATGCAGCTACAACATGGAGTCGATTGCGGTATGACTGCAGGCAATGTAATTACACGGTCAAGCTGTAAGGAGCCACATTGGGGTCCAAAGCATTCCACACAAACGGCATACCCTGGCTGAGCCCGTCAGCATCAAAAGTGCGAGCCTGCACCTGCGCACTGAAGTCCCGCATAGCCTTCATAAAGACTGCGTTGGCCTCTTGCGTCTGCGGGTTCATCTGGCTCAGCATCTTCGGGTCGTTGAACATGTGGATGATGGTCCGGTTGGAGCCGGCGAGCAGAGGGCGCGCGAAAAGAGATGCCATGATGAGCTGCGTCACCACCTTGTCAAAAGTTGGCAGGAAATGGGCGGGGTTCGTGTCTGCGCTCTTGGCAGTTGGCGGAGCTGCGTAGAGCGAAGGAGTGCTAAAGGGCAATGTGCTCGAGATCTCGAGGAGTTGGTTGGTGTTGACGCTGTGGTGTGCGGAGGAACCTAGATGAGCCTGGACAGGGATGTCAGATTTAGCATATGGCTTTAAGGGATATTTGATGATTTGGACCTACGATATGCACGAGGATGTCGACAAGCGTCTTAGTAGTGGTGATCTCCGCGGGGAAGTCCATGCACTTGGCATCTCCATTGCACTGGGCAGCCCAGGCTTGGATCTCTGCATCACCAGCTACCTCGCTGTCTGAAGAGTAGTACGACTGGACGAAAGAGGTAAGGAAGACGCGGGTAGCATCGCTGATAACCTTGGCATCCTCGTAGAACGGAAAGTGCTTCAGGGAAGGCCCGTTGCAAGATACGCCGAGAAGACCACGCGATCGAAGGTCGGTCTTGAAGTAATTTGCTCGAAACCGGCCCGCACCCTTGTGCAGGTATCGGTCGGTGGTGAAATTCTGGGCGGACTGACCCGTGTATGCAAAGAGCTGGTCAACAGCGCCGCCCGGGGCGAAGAGAATGGTCTTAAGGACTGTCAGATGGGTTGTCTTTTCAAACAAGACAAAAGACACGCTGCCTACCTCTGCGAGAACCTGGATGGAGAAGAGCTCATATGTGACTAAAATGTTGACCATCAGCACACATTTCTTTGCAAAAGTGGTAGGTTGGGCGACATACGTCGGTCAAGGATCGCATAGACAGGATGCTCTCGGCTCAGCGAACGGATCGCCGCCATCCAGACAATCTGCACGACCTCGTGGGTGGCTGCCAGATGGTTCCATTGCGCGAACCAAAAGTCGTTGACGTTGTACATGATCTTAGCTAGAAGCCAGTCATTCGGGCTATCTGCAGGCGTGTAGATCAAGTTGGCGCCAGTGTTGGTTCGGATAGCCAGGGGGAGGAAGTCGCCCGAAGCGGCACTGATGTAGAAGTATGCATCGCAGGCTGCTGCGAAGCGGCCCGTCGACTTCAACTTCGCCTGGTCACGGTGGTCCGAGTAGAAGAGCCGACCCTCGTCGTGCAGCTGATTGAGACTCATACCAGAAATCGCCTTGGAGGTGCTGTCGTCAATTGTGAATGGGAGCTTTTCATCCTTGCGGAGCCTTCGAACCGAGTAAGGGCTGTTTGACAGACGCTGCATCGAGAAGAACAAGTCCTGAGTGTAGTTTGTCATGGCGCCAGCGTCGGGTCCTCGAGGCATCACGCCTGACCATTCACCATTGTAAATCTGGAGGTAGTCGTCCATCGTTTTCAACCCATTATACTAACTACTCGTCAATCATCTCCCTCACCGTTGGAGTGCTGGCGGGGATGTACAAACCTTGGCGATGTCTTTCTCAGCCTTCACGCCGTCCGTCGAGGTCAATGCAAGTTCGGGCGTGAGATCGACCATGATATCCGCAATGTCCTCCACGTTCTTGGCAACACCAAGCTCACCCGAGGGATAGGCAGGCCCACCTGCTACAGGGGCACCATACAAGAAGTTCTCACGCACGAGGTTGAGGCTGGCTTCCCTTACAGACGGATCCCGGGAGGTCTTAGGGAGCGTGTACGTCCCGTTCAAGGAGCTTAGTAGCTGCCCGAGAAGCTTGATACCATTTTCGGAGGCAGAAGGGACGTGGCTGGAGAAGCTGGCCAATAGGGCACTGAGAATGGTGTTGGTGATGGTCTCATTGTCGCGTTTGACTTTCTCTTGCGCCGGGAGAACTGCCGCAGAAACGTAAAGGCCCTGAGCAAGCAGCCCCAACAGCGACCCGCACTTCAGATACATATTGGCACGTGAGGTGAGCTTCAGGACTTTAGTCAGTAGGCCTCGAGAGGTGATCTGCTTTCTAGTGAGGTAACAAAGTCCCTTTTATGTTCTCCTTGAAGCTACCCCTGGAGCGGATCCTCGAGGCGAGGACCTTGTTGACTTATGAAAGACTCCTTGCCGATGTGGGACATTGCATAACCCACTGCCCCGCTGACCAAGATCCTTTGGAGGAAGGCAAGATGAATCAACGAGATCCCCGAATGGTGGAACCAGATTCTCAGCTCCTGTCCGTGTCAAGCCCGAACTGTAGCAGCTGACAGCTAGGTGCAGGATCGGTGCCGAAGACCGTAGCACAAATCAGACTCGATCACCAATGAGATCTTTGTAGAGTTTACTGGGGCGTTTTTATTGCGTGGCACAGATATGGCAGACGTTGCCTCTTGCGTGGATGGCTGACCGTCGTACCCAGATTGGTACTGTTATGGCTGCAGCTTTCCGGCCGAAACATCATCTTTGTTCAATATTGTCTAACTGCGTGACGAAGCCGCAAGTGCCGACAAACGAGACTGGCATGTCTCGTATACAAACTTGACATCAATTTTGCACCACTGGGATGTGATCTGGTGTTGGACCATGTAAGGCGACTTATCTCACTGTGCTCAACAGCTTAGTCGATGGTGGGATTATGTAGTATTCAAATCAGACGTTCTCATCGATGATGCCTTCGATTTCGAGCCGATCTTTGAAGTTTGTAGAGAAATGAACAAGTCAAGTGGGTTTCAATTATATCATTCGTAAAGATCACAAGCTTTGAAAGGCCAGGGTAACAGCTGAAGCGATGGTCAAGCAGTGACTGAAACTCTGCTTGATATAGCTGTGGCACATTGGGTCATGGGCTGTCTTTGATAGCCACCGAATCGTAGATATTTGTAGATTCTCGATGCATTTGCGGCAGGTCCGCGTTCAAGCTCCTTTGATCTAGCTTCGTTGGCGGCCGAAACCGGTCCCTTTCGTAGTAACCCTTCTCCCTAATCTTCTTGGCAGACAGGTATCTCAAGGGAAGACACTACCTAGGTACCTCCGTGTGCTCAACCTTTCAGTAATTGAAGCTGGCGGGACGAAATAATTCGGGGTCCGAAATTTGGGGCGGTACATTCGTTTCAAACTACAGCCCAAAATCTGCTCCTCCAGCTTAGTGCTGACATGACACCTCGAGGATGATGTCAGCCCCGGCCCGCAATCCAATCTGCGAAGGATTGCTCGGTTTAGGGCTGAAAAGGGTAAAAGGTGTGTACAACAGCCAGCGTCCCGCAATGCCGACCATGAGACTGAACCGGATAGACGAGTAGCTTGCGTACAACTGTGTGGCCACATCTGCCACCGACGTTTTACCACATGCCTCGGATTTCGGATACGCCACAGCGACATTATGGCCTTAAAGACTTCCTAGAATGTAGTTATTGTTGCCGTCTGAGTTCCAATCCGGGGGTACGTTGTCATGTATGCGATCAAGTGTTGCTTTAGCTACAGTGACCTCGATAGGCAGGACACAAACCCACCCAACAGCATAGTAATCGCGGGAAGCCATCTGAGGCCAGTGCGCAGGTCAACAGAGTTGGTGTAGAGGCGTTAGTTATGCAGGGTATGTCGAAGCGACCTGAACTGTCTAGCCATTGCTTTTTCTTTCCTTGGGACTGAAACTATGGAAGATTAAGTAAGTGCAATGTGGTGGGTGAGGATGTCACTCAAATAGGGAGCACGACAACCAACATGTTACATGTAACTACAAGGGGACGAACAGACCCCCTCTCCGTCAGCCCTCCCCTTCAGACTCATCATGGCGATCAATGATGGTCGCGACTTGCCTCTTCTTTTGGCCCACTCACACATTGTTCTTGAGACCAGAAAGACAGGCAGCCTGAAATGCGGCAAATCAAAGTCTCAAAAATCGTAGTTTTGCACATCAAGCTGCTACAGCATGACCACGGACGAGTCCGCGTACTCATGCCCTGGTCGACCCCAGGCAGCCGCCAGGGTCCCATGATCATCCTGGTTGGGTCGTGGAGAACCAACAGCATGTTCTGTCAACCAACAGCATGTTCTGTCACATACAGCTCTAAGACATAGCCATACTGGCGCTTAGCGAGAATGGAAGAAACGGGAAGCAGGGCAAGAAATAAAGCAACCCAGAGAGATCTCTTCCTTCATCTGACATTTCCACCTGTTCTCCAAATCTGACCTTTCCATCCTTTTTTGATACCATACACCATTAGCCGTGACTGCAAATAGCATCCGCTCCGTGTCTTCGAGTTCCGCCCCCGCAGCCACCAGAGACCCACAAAAGGCAGGGAATGAACGGCACTGGCACTGTATCCAAGGCCGGCAAGGCAGGACGTCAGGTTCTTCTCTCGTTCGACGAGATGCCGGAATGGTTCCGACGTGAATCTAACAAGTGGATTCTTCATGGCTACCGGCCCATCTCCAGCTCGGCCCGCACTTCATTCCGCAGTTGGTCATATATCCATAACGAGTCGGTCAACATCTACACCCACCTCGTTCCGGCCATCGTCTTCCTGCTCGGCGAGTGGTATATCCTGCAGTATCTGGCCAGCAGATACTCTGGAGTTACGGCTGCAGATTTCATTATCTTCTCGATTTTCATCCTAACGGCCGTCACATGTCTGTCCTTGTCGGCAATATACCACACCCTGATGAATCACTCTCAACATGTAGAACATTTCTGCCTGCTGTTAGACATGTTGGGCGTCGTGATCTTTATACTAGGTGATCTTATCTTAGAGATATACATAGTTTTCTGGTGTGAACGTATACCACGCTATATCTACTGGTCTATGGTAAGTCAAATCTCTCTGTCTCCGGTTCTGTCTTTATTAAGTCTAATCCTTCCCCCCCCCCCCTTGATTGATAGATCGGAGTCTTCGGGGCGTTGACCATCTTCATGACAATGCACCCAAAGTTCCAGGGCTCAAAGTATCGCCTCTTCCGAGCATTGATGTTCGTCGCGACTGGCCTGTCCGGCATTGCGCCCTTGATCCACGGACTCTATGTATTCGGTCTGTCACAGATGATGAGGAAAGCATTCCCCTATATGTTGTCGAAAGCAGGCTGCCTTCTCTCTGGGACTTTATTCTATGCAGTAAGCCTCCCAATCTCGCACACGAATGGAGAAAATTTGACCCTGACGCATGTGGCTCGGAAGACCAGGTTCCCTGAGAGTCGGTACCCCGGCAAATTCGACCTATGGGGTTCCCATTCCATCTTTCACGTCCTGGTGGTGTGCGCCGCTGTGGTCCAGCTGATAGGGTATCTGGATGCCTTCGACTATGCTCACTCCAATCTTAAATGCTCGCCTCCTTGATTGATGGATATCCTGCTGAATAGGCCACTGGGACGAGCTCTCCAAACGCTGACAGGACGATACTGAAGAGAAGCTTATACCTGATCACTGTTAGTTCATAGCTGATACTTACTAGAAATGCCTGTATCCGGTGGTGTCGCCCCGCAGAGTGACTTGAAATTTGTTCTCCCAGTGTTGGTATCTCTGAGTATTGTCCGCCTTGAATTAATGAAGAGGTCTATGTCTTGGATGTCGCTGTCTTGCTTCCCAGGTTTTCCGCCCAACCTGAGAAAGTGCAGGCCACCTCATGTTTCTGGCAGACTTCTCTCCAAACCGAGTTTGCGCTTTCTAAAGTCCTGCTTGCTAGATACCGCGTCGTGTCTCATGGACTGACAAATCCTGTAGTGACAGCTGCATCCCAACTTGTCCCCCTACTTATAGCTTCAACTCGAGAACTTTTAGATGTTCCGTTTTCTGAGATGGGAGTACCTAAGGCAGTAAATAGTTATCGGTCTCAAAGCTTCTATGACCTCATTTGTCATTGGCCTGCCAAGCTCACTTGCCATCTGAACCATTGGAAAACACCAAGCAATCCCCGGAACAGCTGTTGTTGGTTGCAGCCTTCCTCGCTTGTAGAGGACCAGCTATCTGCCGATCTGCCTGCCCAAGCTTGTTTCAGATCTGCGTAAAGGGTTCCCTCACACTGGCGGCATCGGGCAGAAACTCTAATCGAGTATCCTTGGATCGCTTAACTAACATTGAAGTAGCTTCTAATATAGATCCTTTCCTTCTTCTTTTCTTTTCATTTTGGCTTAAATTAAAGTAATTCTTCGCCTTAGTTATCTGGCGGTAGGAAATCGTGCTGGGTAAAGTACCGCTCCTAGAACATCGAGCGGTCACATGACGGAAAACCTGCCTTGGACTTGGCTTAACGGGTTCTCACTTGATGGTATCAAGCTTCTTCCTTTCGCATCTCATAAGCTTTTCAAAAGGTAGTTCAACGCGATATGCTTACTCAACTCCAGTAGATCTTATAATCCTCCCGCGTGACGAAAATCCACTACTTGTCCCCTGAAAAGGTCTTCTTCAGCGGTAGATACCGTGGTCCAATCGATGTGCTTTGAGTCACCGGTCGCGCCTTTTGAAACGTCGATTCCGTGTGCATATCTCGGGCTAGACATTCTTTCGGCATATACAGCAGTGGCAGTGATGAGGATCATCCATGTATTATTCCCTACATTATGATACACTTCTTCAGGCCGCTATTTACGTCAGACTCTGCATCCCGGGTGTTTCCTGGAGGTTGAATGACACGATCATTCTCCGTACTCTCTGACACACACTTCAGATCCGTCCTCCCGAATCCTTCTTCGCATTCTGGCTTCTCAGTAGATCCAGGAGCATCATGTTCGCGCAGGTAGATACACTCCTGAAGCAGCAGCTCACTGTCAACGACGCGCGCCAAAGCCTACACCAACTCCTGCGCCAAGCAATAGTCTCTGCCATACCCGGCAGTCAAGTCTTGCCAAGAAGAAACACACAACATCACGCCGCGAGAGGAAGCGGATATTCCCTCAGTGCCCTCGGGATTTCCCCCAGGGTCAGCCTTTAGGCCTAGATGATCTATTCCATTTATTTTTGCAATCCTTTTCCTAAACGGTGAAGACCAATTTGCTTACCTGAAGTTGGTCGCAGCATACTTCTGAAGCGGGCAACTCACTTGCGGCAGTGTGGAATTGCCTGCTGACATATGGCGGCACAGTAATGTCTCACACCGAGGCAAGCACTAACGTCAGGTAAGTCACCAGCCTGTATACAGTCTGACTGGTGAGTGTTAGCATCCAGTGCCTGATTGGAAGTATTCGTGCAGTAAAAATAGAAGCGATCCTTGGTCGCACCGTTGAAAGTCCTTCTGGTCATTTCCTAATGTACTGCATAACACACGATCAATTACCACAGACAAGCCATTCCGGCCGTAAGGACAAGACCATCCGATACATAATCTGTACAACATGTTCGCATCTAGAGGATTGGTCCTTAGGGGAAGGTCTCGTGGGTAAACCTCACAGATCCAAATTGACCTGTTATTGGGCCCAAATTCAGGTTACAGACATGTACACAGGCTACAAATGTGAGCAGTAGGCCAAGCACTTTCTTTAGCGAATGAAGAGGCTATTTTAGAGGATGCAAATACTCAGATGTGACTACGGTCAATTCTGTTCGAGTCTCGCAGAATGACAAGTTTGTATCTTCCCAGTCATGTCTCATGCACACTATCCACAACGCTCCCACAAACTCCAATTCACCATACTACAAACTGCGCAATGCCCCGGGACTTAAGATATGTACATCGAATTAAACGTAGGTACAGTCAACCAACTTAGTGGTTGTGCTCGTCAACGATGTGAGTCTCGTCGAAGTCACGCTTGACAACCCAGTTCGTGCCGTTGGCGCGCAGGAGCTTGGTGACGGCATCCATGTCGACACCGAGGGCCTTCTCCACGATGCGGGGCAGCTCGGTGTTGTCGTGGTGGCCCGAGAGCACGAGAGAGAGCTCCTTGCCCATTTCGCCGGCAGCGTAGCCGTGGAGGTTGATATCGCTGGCGGTGTGGCCGCCCGTGGACCAGTTCACACCGGCCTTCTTGCTGAGCAGGGAGACGAGCTCGTTGCCGAGGTTGCTGGCCTGGAGCAGGGTGTTGATCTCGGCGTCGGTGGCCGAGGCGAGGCCGAAGGGGGGCAGGATCTCGGAGACGAGGAACTGGCGTGAGTCGGCGCCGGAGGGGCGGTTCTTCCAGACGGTCTCGAGGTGCTCGCGCGAGCGGGTGACGTCCTTGAGAGCGAGGGGCCTGTAGCCGTTGAGGGTGAGGCCGCCGCACTCGTGGTCGGCGGCAGACATCATGATGGTGTCGGGGTGGGCGTCGATCCACTTGCGGACGTAGTCCATGACCTTGTTGTACATGATGGTCTCGTGGGCGTGCGAGGCCGGGTCGTTGGCGTGACCGGCGTGGTCGATACGCGAGGCCTCAATCATAATGAAGTAGCCCTTCTTCTTGCAGTGGGTGGCACGGTGGAGCGAGTTAAGCGAGGTCTCGACCATCTCGAGGAGCGAGGGCTCGTCGCCGTCCAGGACGCGGTCGAGCTCGTACTTCATCTGGTCTAATATGCCGTCTGTCAGGTCCTGCACATATCTGGTTGCATAGCAAAAAGTTGAATGGGGCTTACCATCATTGAAGAGACCGATGTAGGGGAGACGGATCTTGCCAAGACCCTTCTCGAGGGCATCGAAGGCCGACCGGTTCTGCATGACGTGGAAGCCGTGGCTCTTGGCAAAGCCGAACAGGTCCTTGTCGTCCTTGCGGCAAGAGCCGGACTCGGACTTGGGCTTGAAGTAGCATCGGCCACCGCCGAGGAGGATGTCGACCATGGGGCCGAGGGGGTGGCTGTAGCCGATCTCCTGGGAGGCAATCTCATCATAGCTGTTGCGGTGCTTGACGTGAGAGGCGTACACTGGAAGACGACATTTTATTAGTACCTCGAACTAGTGGGCGTGTTGGCGATTGGGCAACCGTACCAGCAGGGGTGGCGTGGTTGATGGTGCTGGTAACGACCAGACCAGTCTTCATGCCAGCAAGCTTAGCGGCCTCAAGGATGGATCCCACAGGCTGGAAATCAGGAGTGATACCAACGGCGTTGTTGTACGACTTGAAGCCACAGGCAAAGGCAGTGCCGGAAGCAGCCGAGTCGGTGATCAGGTTGTTGGTAGCCCAGGTGCGGACCAGACCCCGAACCTATTTGCAATAGTTAGTGTATGTGGCCATGTGTAACTGCTGGCAGTGAGCAATGATACCATATCATCGGCAGCAAGCTCGCGTGTCACGTCGCCGGCGTGATCGACCAGGGTGGCCAGGTCACGGGCCATGGTCTGCGAAGCTTGACCATATCCATCAGGAACGATGTAGATTACGTTCTTAGCCTGGATGGCAGCGAGAACGGCCGGGGCGAAGGCCCCGGCGATGATGGCTGAGCTGCGCATGGTGAAAGAGGGACTGGCCGATTGGGCTGGATGCTCAAGATGGTGGTGACGACAGGAACCTTGATGGATGCAGCGCGGCCTCGAGGCCCTGGCTTCTGTATAAATATTATCCGCATCTCATCCTCCTTGCCATGCCCCCGGCTGCACGTTGAACCCTGTTCACACATCTCCGACAAGTCGGGTCTGACGGCTGCGATGTCCACCCACGTGCACCGGACCAATGTGCATTTTACGCAGCAATTTACGATACGATAAGAAAATATTGTTATAAGGTCCGCTCAGATGGAGTCGTTCGCATCGACTTAAGTTGAAGGGTTCCTTGACGGGCAAGGGTGCGGATTACAACTTCATGTGAACGACCAGAGCGCCGAGACATGTAATTGCATCTTGGCAGCCATTGGGAAAACACTGGCGAATGGATTGACCACGGACACTAGGATAACGGACATTGCCCAGACTGGTGTCCCTGACGCCAAGTCTCAATAGTATGCTTAGCTGTTCTGGGCGCCGAGACCCTCCCCCACACAACTGATGAATCTCGGCCTTACCCGCCAGAGATAGCTGTCAGACATCTCCCCGTGCCTGGCAATGGAGTTCAAAACCATTGGGTTTTCACGAGATGCGGCTGCCCTCGGATGAGCTAGTCTCGATCGGTGGCTAGCCGTGTACTGCGAGAGGCGGCCCAGCAGCAGTGGTAACGAACTTGCCAAGATCACTGACTGCCAAGTATTGAAAGGAGAACGTGCGCTTCTGTAAGATCAGATTCAGTTGTTACTTTCAGGTTGAGTGTCGCAAGAGACGGGTCACTCCCAAGCTGTCAGTTGAGCTCGTTGGATACGTTCCGGGTTGTTGAATCCACGTCCGCAACCCGATAAGGGTAAGCATCAAAACCCAAAACTTGATAGTATGATGATATTTGCCTCCGCTGGTCATCTAACTTTCGTGCTATGGGGTTACTGTTGGTTCGTCATCTTCCCTAGAAAAGCTAATATCTAAGGTTGATGGCAGCCTTGGAAAGAAGCCCCAGATCGCAAGAGCACCTGTCAGTTGGGCCAACACCATGATCTGATACACCTTGATGCCCACGCTGTTTGCCAATGCCCCTAGTACAAAAGGAAGCACTGCTCCGCCAATCTGACCGGCAGATGCAACAAACGATACAGCAGAGACGTGTAGTTCTCGCGGAAGTAGCTGGTTCATACAGACGATACAGGAAGGGAACAGCGGTCCACAGAAGAAGCCAAGAAGAGCCATGAGGATCACGGTCACTGTGTCAACTTTGATGATGATGAACAGAGCCTGGAGGGCCAAAGCAATGACCAGATATGCTGCCGTGGCGCGCCTTACGCCGATCCGATCGGTAGGATACCCCAGGACAAGTCGGCCTATCGCCATGCCAATCCAGAAGGCGGTCAAGCACATGCTGGCTTGATACGGTGTGGTGCCTCGTATGCGTATGAGGAAAACGACAAGCCAGTCCGAGACGGCCAGCTCAGTTCCGACGTAGGTCAAGAGATAGATGGCACTGAACCACGTCGCACGCCTGGTCAGAAGCTCCCTTGCATGAGCAAGAAAGCCATCATCGTTCGATAACTGCGGCTTGTCCTGGCGATATCGAGCAGCACCTTCATGTCGAAAGGCAAACACGAGTACGGCCATCTCCACGAGCGACACTGCTCCCTGAGAAAGGAGAGACTTGTAAGTATGAATGCTATACCTCGACCTCATCGTTCACTTACCATGACGTAATACCATGAATACCAAGGCTTGCGGGCTGCGTACACGAGGGTGCTCGCGAAGAAGGGCCCAATAGCTGCGCCAGCCGAATAAGACCCATGAAGAAGACCGGATACTGTGTTGGCTTTCTCTTGTGCTGCAGCCAGAGTACACCAGGAAGCATCGAGCACGCCCGTCCCGACCTGGCCTGCGGCCACTGCGGCCAGGAGCAGAGGGAACGATGGGTGACAGGACGCGACGACAGCATACAGCAGGTGGAACAGCGGCCCTATGAAGGCAATGCCACGCTGGCCAAACTCGAGGTGTATGTACCGATTGAATTGCGATGCCAGAACGTATCCAACAGGGGGCGCAAGGAAGATGAGCGACAGTCGGAGGTCGTCCAGATGGTAGTACTCCTTGAGAGGCGGCAGCACGACACCGATGGGCGCATTGAACATACCCAATACGATGAAGCAGAGCATAGTCGTGCCGATTCTGAGAGAAGCGCTTGTTACACGTGGGCAATCATCCTCACGAGCCACGGCGAGAGAAGAATCGGCGGCGGTGAGGAGGTCATCATCGCGTCGCGGTGTCGGTGTCGCGCCGGAGCTAAGCAGAGGTCTCGTCTCATCGAGTGATGGCGACGTTGAATCATGTGACATCTTGTAGAGATCGATTTGGCGCCATGAAATCGTTTTGAAGCAGATCAAAATGAATCATTTCCCAGATGAAGGGATGCGCAAGCGATTGAGCTTGAAACTGTCGGAATTCTGGTTTTGGAATCTCCGCCCTCCGCATTTGTTCGAGAGTGAGATTGTGGGTCCATGTCGATCCCGGAAGACGCAGAGCAGCGGTCAGTATTGTCTCCGGGGCCTTCAGTCTCAGTCAGATCTATAAAGCCGTGAATGATTAAAAAACAATGATGATACTAGATATTAAAGGGGTGAAAGTACTAGGTGCAATGGGGTTAATGCGAAATCACCTATGTACTTCTGCTAACAGCCCATCGACTCCCGTCACTCGATCACCACATGCAGCCCTAGCATACGAAAATATCTCTAGAGATGATGGACGTATTGAAGGGACGTAAATACAAGGCCGCGATTGAAAGGAAATTTGGAAAGTTGGCGTTGCGATTCCTCTCTGCACTTCTGGTCTAAGGATTATTATGGGAATCATATCCTCTCATGCCATCCTGCATGACTTGCATTCTACAGAACATATCTGAAGCCCTTGTTGTCGATTTCGGTCACATCACGCATACCCATCTCGACAGCCTCCTGCTCCAACTCTTCAGCAGACCGCGGGTCTGCCGCAGCCGCGCGGTCACGCTTCTTGTTGACGCTCCACATGTACGCGTATAGCACCAAGACCATGATGGTCTTAACAGAATATCCGATGAGAATACTACCATGATAATCATTAGCCACATTCCATTGATTCTTAAAAATCGAGACACTCACGCAGTGTACGCCGAGTGATAGAATGGTGCCTCGCTATCCTTGAACGTTTGCGGCCCAATAATATTACCAACGCAGTACGCGATGAATAGAAAAGCGGCAGTCAGCTGTTTCTTCGTGTAGCCTGCCACATTGCTACTGACCATAGTTAAGCTCAAACTGAAGCCGACCGACTGGATCGAGCAAAGCCAAAGGGCCACCAGCCGGCCCCAGCGGTTGGATGTCCCATCCGGCCCGGGGTTGAGGCCGACGAGAACCGCTCCACAGGCAACACAGATTAGATTACCGGCAGTCATGACAATACAGCGAATGTTCGGCCACCGAGACGCGATCCACCCAGAAAGCAGCAATGATACAATCTGGACGACGTTCCCGGGGATTTGCATGTACTGTGTCTGCAGCGTGTTGAAGCCGAAAGTCTTGAGGATGATTGCTGTGAACTACGCGAAGAGAACAGTCAGCACAATAACGGCATCTAGACGACCACAGCTACTCTCTGAAACTTACGGTCGTCTGTGCGGCATTGGGAATCTGCGCAGCGATACCCATGACAAAAAGGATCCATGTTTTCGGGTCCCGAAAGGTCTGCCACATCTGATACTTTTTGAAGTGATGGTTCTTGACGCCCTGGCGATTTGCAGCCACGCGCTCAACCGCAACGACAGTCTCAGGGACACTAAGAAAACGAGTCGTGGTAGGGAGGTCGGGCATGAAGAAGGTGAATATGATGCCCCATACGAGGCTGATGGCGCCGAAAATGAGAAAAACGTACATCCACCTCCCAAGGCCGGAGTTGATATGGCCAATGGCATAGCCCAAGAGGCCACCGAAGATGCCGGCGAAGCCGTTCATGCAATAGTAGGTCACCAGTCTCAGCGGCTGCTCGGCCTTAGTGTACCACATCGCCATAATGAGCACAAAGCCTGGGTTCACCACGGCCTCAAACACGCCCAGGAGAAAGCGGTTGGTAGCGATGCCTGCAAAACTCTTACATGCTGGAGTAGTTATGATGAGGATCCCCCACACTGGAAGTCAACTTATTAGTCTGTTTTCTTTGGGGAGTTCTGCTTGAGGTGCGGCGTACCTATAGTACACGAGCCCATGAACTTGCCGACTGGAAGTCGTTGTAGTAGATATCCCGCTGGGTACTGCGCAACCAAGTAGCCTATACTCAGGCTGTCAGCAACCATGTTTGAGTCGACAGGATGGCGGCCTCTGCATTGTGCGTCTAAGGGAAACCGTACCAAAATAGAAAATCGACGTCAGCCAGGAATATTGCTGGTCATGGAGATTCGTGCCCTGTTGCAGCCCATACACGCTAGCAAAGTTGATACAAGATTTGTCGAGATATTGCAGCATGTAGCTGCCCATCAGCAGCGGCATGATGTGCCAGTCGATCTTTCGGAGCACCCGTTGCGCCTCGCGGGCGTCAATCTCGACACCATCCTGTTGCTTGAAGACCTTGTACGTCTCATCCCAGTCACGAGATGACGCCTGAGTGATCTCGTCGGGCGCGGTATTTTGCGGGTTCACACCCTGGTGGCCCTGAATAGCTTCCTCCCGCTTTTCCATTGTGCTGGCGTTTGCCTGAGGCTGTGAGTGATTGTGTCGATCAGACACGAAGAGAGAGGGGAGACACCTCTCCCCATAGCTATTTTCTACGACCCTGGGTACCGCATTCGCTTGATAATCCCAAGCCCCGACTGAATGGGTGACCTACCTATGAATGGGTGACCTACCTACTTGGGCGAAGCGTGTATTGCATATCACCAGCCCAAAAATGACGCCTTGGCTGATCTCTCCAATAACAGCATGGTCCCCCGCAGGAGAGTTGCATCATCAACCCCCACATGAGCTTTCCACTGGAAGGTCATAGGCCCTTGGACCTTGCGGTCAAGAGTCTTATCCGCCGCGGCCTGAGCAACCAATCGGCAGAAGCCATGGCCGGATAACGCCCAGCGATGTCAAGAAAGGCTTGTCTCAAGCCATGAAAACGCCACACTTATTAGAATCTCGGCATGAGACGCCCGCAAAGCAAGAGTTGCCCATCAAGACTTTTGCCTGAGGAAAACAATTGCAGCTGACCAGGATGACTTTATGGGCCGCCTCGGAGTTTGGGCAAGGTTCATAGCAATAGGTACTGTGCAGTAGGCTACACAGCGTCGTACAAGACCGACAACACATGCAAACCAGCTCCGCTAAATCTCGGGCCTGGCCGCCGTGCGGCACCCGATTAGCGGGCCCAGTGTCGGCGAGTCATCCCCGTTCTCCGTGCTCAGGCCGGCGGGCCTGCATCGGCCGCCTCGCTCTGACAGGTCCGTATATATTCGGAATATTTGAGATACTCTAAGACTAAGACTTGTTCTACTCGCCTCTCTTGTAACCTTGGCGATGTAGAGAATGATTACCCCGCCATATCCGCGAAACGCTCAACGTTTACCACTGGAGGAGGTGTCATCAGCATCTCGTCTTGATCATTTGCGATCTCGTGCAAGACTTTCCTTCCCCTGATCTTACCATTTCTCTATGCAGACCATCGGTCTTCGCCATTTGAATGGATGGGCCAGGGAGAAATGGGGTTTCAGGGGCCTAGCACACCGTTACATCGAGGAGACCCCTAACCCACCAACGAAAGATTTGCCACGAACCAGTTAATTTTCCGTAGACTGAACATTTGCCCGTTGACTGACCATTTGCATGAAGTAAACATAACATTGGTAACAGCTACTACAAGCAAAGCAGACAAGACAAAGAAGACTGCCTGGAATATGGGCCTAGACCGGTTCTGGTATCACGGCACAGTCGATTCACATGGGTCAAGAGGGAGAGTCAGGATCTTGGGATGTAGTACTAGTCATTGGGATCTACAATACCAATGGAGAATTCCTTATGGGTAGCGCAAGAGCTAGAGGAGGTTTCTCCACGAATTGTGTCCAAACTTCATAGTCCATGACGGGCTGGGGGACAAGGAAGAAAGAGACGAGCCCAAGTATATATGTGCCACAATATCGGCATGAGCGTCGTTGTTCTCTTGATAGCCTCGTCACTTGTACTAGAGAAGATCAGCTCAATCTATTCGACATGTATACCATGAAGATCTCTTTGTCTGGCCTCGTCGTCGCTGCACTCGCAGCTTCGACGCAAGCGTCGCCCACTCCAGTGATCAGAGATATCTCTGCCGACCAAATCATACAGAAGCGAGCTAGCATCACAGAAGCCTGCAACATAGGATACTGCACACAGAATGGAGGGTAATACCCCTTTATGAATCAGTGTGACAGTCACACAGCGTGCTCCTCTCTTGCTGACAAAATCAACAGAACAACTGGCGGTGCCGGTGGGACGACCACAACGGTCTCGACCCTACCCCAGTTGACTGCTGCGGCCAAAGCAGATGGTAAAGCGGTGATCATCGTGCAGGGTACCCTTTCTGGAAACGCCAAGGTCAAGGTCTCGTCGCACAAGACCTTGATCGGAGCGCCTGGTAGCTGTGTGTCCCTCCCTATGCACTAAATTTACCATGCTGGATATGACTGACTCCAAGCTGTGCAGCGCTGACTGGCATCGGCTTCCAAATTTGGAAGCAGTCCAATGTCATTGTGCGGAACATGAAGATCTCCAAGGTCCTCGCTGAAAACGGAGATGCTATCACAATCCAGGCCAGCTCCAACGTCTGGGTCGATCACTGTGACTTATCGTCAGACATGGATCACGGCAAGGATTACTACGACGGACTGTGCGATATATCTCATGGAGCTGATTGGATTACCATCTCCAACACGCATTTTCACGACCATGTACGAGAAACCATGCGCATGTGCTCATTCACAACGACACACTGACAATGCTGTTGTGTGTAGTACAAGGCATCGCTTGTTGGCCACTCTGACAAGAACGGCGGCGAGGACCAGGGCCACTTTCACGTCACGTACGCCAACAACTATTGGAGCAACATCAACAGTCGCACCCCCTTGGTTCGATTTGGGACCGTCCACATATACAAGTGAGTCTTGGCTATATCATCCATAAGTAGCTCCCAGAAATGTTGGCACCGAGGCTAATATATGCATGCTTAGCACGTACTGGAATGGACTCGACACTGGAGTCAACACGCGCATGGGCGCACAAGTGCTGGTTCAGTCATCCGTCTTTGAGAACACCAAGCAGGCCATCTTCTTTGCGTACAGCTCCGAGACTGGATACGCTGTGGTACAGGATGTGGACCTGGGAGGAAGTACCAACACTGCTCCCCAGGGCACTCTGACATCTGTACCATACCAGTACTCGCTGCTCGGATCCAGCAAAGTCAAGGCCTCGGTGACTGCAAATGTAGGTCAGAGGCTCACTTTTTAAGCAGTAACAAGTACAGAAGGGGAGGCAACCAGACTGTTATGGGTAGTTTGTGATGCGGAAGAACTCTCAGAGTTCCAGCTCAGGAGTCCAGCCGTTGGATTCTAGAGGCATCATCATTGTCTCATATTCATAGAAATTCACGTAAAACTGAAGTTCATCTCAGCAGGAGTCAATCATCAAGCTTGGTTCTTTATATCAATTGTCGTTTCGTTTTCTGTTGCTTGATGTCAATTTCCGAGGTTGAGTGCAGAGTTGAGCCACATGGTTACATCACCTGCCGCCACAGCGGGCGTGTTCCACTGCGGGGTCCAGTTAGGTACCAAATCCAGGGGTCATGGCCACTAAAAGTTGCACCCGTGGACGGGTCTGTTAGGCTACGCCGCATTAGGCACCCTTCTTGTCATTTTGGGTCGAAGCTCGGGTCCTTATCTTATCGCTTGTGTTTTGCGCCCTCGAGGGTTCAGAAAAAAATTTGGCTCAAATTTCCCATCCAGCAGTTTTTTTTCTTAGCGACCCCACCTCGAGTCTGGAGGGACCTCCTCTTCTTCAACACAGTCTTCACCTGACTGGTGCTTTCTTTCTTTTCTTCTCCTCCCACATCTTCGATAGATTTGGTTTTTAATAGATCAAGCCTCGAAGAGCAGTCGCCATGGACGGCCAAAAGCTGGCAAATCTGCTCCAGGAGAGCCAGATCCGTGAGTAGCCCAACCAACAACCCCAGCCCTTCCGGCCCGTTCCCAGCTTTTGCACTTTTCGTCTCTTCCCTCCTGGTGCCGTTGCTGACCAGCCCTCGCGTGAACAGCTGATACCCTAAAGATCAAGGCGATCACCGCCGAACTCCAGAAGAACTACTACAACCACCCCGAGTCTCTTCTTCTCCTCATCGAGATCCTCTGCACACATGGCGACGTCAACGTCCGCCAACAGGCAGCCGTTCAGGCAGCACGCCTGACGCCCAAGCACTGGAAGGCCATCCCCAAGGAGCAGAAGGGCGCCGTCCGCCAGCACCTCGTCGAGGCAACAATGAAGGAGCAGAATGCCAAGACTCGGCACTCCGGGTCCCGCCTCATCGCCGCCATTGCCAACATCGACTTCGACAACGACGAGTGGCCCGAGCTCCGCCCAGCCCTCTTCGGCCTCGCCAACAACAGCGATGTTGCCCAGAGGGCCGTCGGCTCCTACATCATCTACAGTGTCCTCGAGGCAAACCCCACCCACTTCCAGGATGACGTCCACAACCTGCTCCAACTCTTCAACCAGACCCTCAAGGACCCCCAGAGTGCTGATGTCCGCATCAACACCCTGATGTCCATCGGCGCCATGCTCATGCTCGTCGAGACCGATGAGGACCAGCAATCGGTTGACGCCATCCAGACCCTCGTTCCCGCCATGGTCGATGTCCTCAAGGGCGCCGCCGAGGCCAACGACGACGAGAAGGTCAAGCAGGCCTTCGAGGTGCTGCAACAATTCTTGGCGTACGAGTCTGTTCTCTTGGGTGCCCACCTTAAGGACCTCCTGCAATTCATGATTGACCTGGCTGCCAACAAGAATGCGGATGACGAGGTTCGATCCCAAGCTCTTGCCTTCCTGGCCCAGAGTGTGCGCTACCGCCGGATGAAGATCCAGGCAATGCGCGACATGTCGGCCCAGCTCGTTGTCAAGAGCATGCAGATCCTCACCGAGATCGAGGACGATGAAGACGATGATGATCTGACTCCTGCTCGTTCTGCTCTCACCCTCCTTGATCAGCTTGCCAGCGACTTGCCACCTCGTCAAGTCCTGGTGCCTCTGCTCGACGAGTTCCCCAAGTTCTCTTCCTCAAATGACGCCTCTTTGAGGAAAGCCGGTATCCTGGCTCTTGGCACCTGCGCCGAGGGTGCTCCCGACTTCGTCATGACCCAGCTGAAGACCATTCTTCCCATCATTCTTAGATTGCTGAATGACCCTGATGGAGAGGTTCGACATGCCTCCTTAGTCGGCCTTACCCACCTCGCTGAGGAGATGGCCGAGGATCTCGCCGTTGAGCATGAGGCTATCATTGCTGCCCTTCTCAAGAACCTTCAGGCTGCTATGAGCCCGGCTTCTGATCCCAAGGCTGAGAGGAAGAACTCGGCCGTGATCCGCTCCGTCTGCGCTGCCTTCGATGCTCTCTCCGAGGGACTTAAGGCCGAGACCATGAAGCAGTACGCTCATCAACTGATCGATCCTATTGGCAACCTCCTGAGCCACCCCGACTCCAAGGTCAAGATTGCTGCTTCTGGAGCCCTGGGTGCCATCGCTGGCTCCCTTGAAGCCGACTTCAAGCCCTACTTCGAGAAGACCATGACTGCCCTCGGGCACTACGTTTCCATCAAGGACAGCGAGGAGGATCTGATCCTGCGTAGCGGTGTGTGCGACTCTATGGGCCGCATTGCGCTCGCTGTTGGCCCCCAGATGTTCCAGCCCTATGTTGTTGAACTGATGAAGGCCAGTGAGGAGGGTCTTCACCTTGACAACGAGAGGCTCCGCGAGACTAGCTTCATCCTGTGGTCGTCTCTCTCCAGGGTGTACGGCAACGAATTCAAGCCCTTCCTCTCTGGTGTGTTCAAGGGTCTCTTTGAGGCTCTTGAGCTTGAGGAGGATGAGGTCGTTATCAACCTCACCGAAGAGGAAAAGGCCATTGTCGGTGACTCTGAGGAGCTTATTACCGGCGGCAAGCGGGTCAAGCTCCGACAGGCTGATGACGATGAGAACGACGACATGGGTGATGAAGATGACGAAGAGGACTGGGAAGACTTCGCCGGTGCTGCTGAGGCCATGGAGAAGGAGGTTGCTGTCGAGGTTCTCGGCGACGTCATTGCCAACTCCTGTGGGAGCGAGGAGGTCAAGGAGTACCTGGAGAAGGCTGTCGAGATCTCCTCTAACCTCATCGACCACCCCTACGAGGGTATCCGCAAGGCCTCAGTGTCGACCTTGTGGCGATCGTATGCTCGCGTCTGGCAGCTCATGGAAGACGAGACGGGCACCAAGTGGGAGCCTGGCTTCCCACCCAAGCAGACCCCGACACCGGTGCTTGTCAAGCTCGGTGAGATGGTCACCAAGCCCACCATGGATCTGTGGGCCGAGGAGGGCGATCGGTAAGTCTCCATTCTTCATTTTTCTTGTCTCCCCTTTCCACACAATATGATGAATACCTTGCGTTATACCCAGCTCACTCAGACGCAAATATTGCGGGTGCTGAGAACACGTACTTATCTACTTCTGATTCTTCCTTGTCATGCCACCTTTCAAACTTTGCAGGTTTCCAGAGGGACCCTTGCTGACAAGATCTAGCTCTGTCGTAACCGAGATCAACCGAAACATCTCGGCAACCCTGAAGGCGTGCGGGCCCGCGATCCTCTCTCAGGAGAACATGATCAACCAAGTCATCACCGTCCTCACTCTCATCATTACTCGATCGCACCCCTGCCAGCAAGATCTTGGCGACGACGAGGAGGAGCAGGCCGTGGAGGAGAGCTCAGAGTACGACTGGCTGGTGATCGACACTGCTCTCGACGTCGTTATTGGCCTTGCTATGGCGCTCGGCCCGGCCTTCGGCGAGCTGTGGAAGATCTTTGAGAAGCCGATCATGAAGTTTGCCAGCTCCAACGAGTCGTACGAGCGCTCGACCGCCGTCGGCGTCATTGCTGAGTGCACTGGCCACATGGGATCGACCGTCTCTGAGTACACGGCCAACCTGCTGCGGCTCCTGGTGCACCGCCTCTCCGATGAGGACCCCGAGACCAAGAGCAACGCTGCCTACGGGATCGGCCAGCTCATTGCCAAGTCCGAGGATAGCAAGACGTATCTGTCGAGTTACAACGACATCCTATCCAAGCTGGAGCGGCTCCTGCAGGCTCAGGAGGGCGGGCACCGCACCTTTGACAACGCAGCTGGATGTGTGTGCCGCATGATCATGGCGCACCCTGACCGCGTCCCCATTGGGGAGTATCTCCCGGTCATTGTCGAGAGGCTGCCGCTCACGGAAGACTTTGAGGAGAACAAGCCCATCTACACTTGTATCTTCAAGCTCTGTAAGTTTCCCTTGCTGTTGACTAGTCTCGAGCACCAGAACTATTTACTAACAGGTATTCTAGACGAGCACAACGAGCCTACTGTTGGCGCGCTGACCCCCAAGTTCATTTCGCTGTTTGGCAAGGTCCTCAGCCCTCCCGAGGAGCAGCTCGATGATGAGACTCGGGAGCTTATCAAGCATGCCATCCAGATTCTGCACAAGTCCAAGCCGGAACTCTTCCAAGGCCACGGCGATGTGCTGAAGCTGGCGGGCATTGCTTGAAGGGAATTCCCCCCCCATTCTCACCGAATGACATGAAGAGACGACTTGATGACAGATAGATAGACTTGACGTACTGGAGACACCCGCGTGTTGACTTGGTTGGGTTGGGTGTCTGGGACCTCGGCAGATGATACCACCGCCGGTCGCGCAAGTGATGGAGTGCGCGCCTGCGGAGCCGAAGGGTTCGGGTTTTGCTTTTATACCTAAAAGTTGATATTATACACATGGGCAACAGATGGTCCACTTCACCGCATTTTCTCCCTCTTCTCGATGGCTATCTAGTGTTGCGCAATGATGATCTACACTCTTTTTTTGGTGATGACACACTTTGTAGCTAGAGATGTCATGAGATGTCCTGTTGACTGTTTGAGGGTCCCTGCCAAGCTAATGATTCAGCGGACTGGGGCAGCATCATGATCTTTCTTCATTCGGTGAAGTAGGTGTGATGTTCAGTGTGTCGCCGTGAACCCCAGCTCGCTAAAACGCGGGGAAGACAGCGTCCCGGTACCTGAACGCCTGCCGCCTACCATTTTCCGACTAACCGGCTGGCCTGCCCGATCGACACCACACCATGTCCAACATTATGCTACCTAGATAGTTTATATGGACGACCAGCTCCATCTTGTGGGATTGAGAAGGTGCGGTCTGGTCCTGTGAACATTGCATACCACGCCTTCCTTTCTGTGGTGCTGTGTCGTGCAACCTTTCAGAACGATACCTGGAGCTCGATCTGGTCGGTCGACGCTGGAAGACCACCCGCATTGATCCAACCTGACATATTGACAGAACATACAGCACTGGGAAGCCGCTAGCAAGTAACAACCCGCTCAACCAAATCATGGCCGGGAAGAGCGGCGGCATCCCAGGCGTCAAGGAGCCCTTTGGCGACCTCGAGCCCTGGTCCGAGCCGGCGTGGTACAACACGCTCGACTCGCCGTACTACGACGACAGCCACCGCGCGCTGCGGCGGTACGTGCGCGACTACCTCGAGGAGCACGTGCTGCCGTGCTCGGAGCAATGGGAGAGGCAGGGGTGGGTGCCGCGCGAGGAGGTGCTGCGGTTCGCGAGGGCCGGGCTCGCGTTCCCGGACATACCGCGGGAGTACAGGCGGGGGATCGAGCTGCCGGCGGGGATTCCGGACGAGCGTGAGTTTCGCCCTGACCCCTTTTGTTGTTTGGCTGCGTCTCTTTGAGAGAGGAGGGAAGTGAAGAGGGTAGTTTGGGGGAGGGCGCGACTTACTGACTGTTTCTGGCGGCTGGGCAGAATGGGACGTCTTCCACATGATGGTCTACTACGACGAGACGTCGCGGGTGCAGTCCGGGGCGCTGGCGGGCCTGACGGGCGGGACGACGATCGGGGCGCCGCCCATCGTGCGGTGGGGCACGGCGGAGCAGAGGGGGAAGTGGCTGCCGGGTATCTTTACGGGGGAGACGAGGTTTGCGCTCGCGGCGACGGAGCCAACTGGTATGTTTTCCCCTCTCGTCGTTCTTTTGCATACATTGCTGGTGTTTGTTTTTGGAAAGAGGAGGTAGCTCACAGTACAGCACTCAGGTGGTTCGGATCTGGCGAACCTAAAGACGACGGCTAGGAAGACGCCGGACGACAGGTTTTATGTGGTCAACGGGCACAAGGTCAGTTAGAGACGGGTTTCAGCGGGTGTGACCGGAAGGAATTTGGCTGATGAAATGGTGGCCGCAGAAATGGATTACGGGTGCTTTGTCGTCGACGCACCTGACGACTGCCGTTCGGACGGGAGGTCCTGGGAAGGATGGTGTTTCGGTGTTGGTCATACCAACTGACTTGCCCGGATATTCGGCGAGGAAGATTGACAACAGCGGTCTGAATGCCGGTGGTAGGTTTGACTCTGATCCGAAGCTCCCTGGGGCTCCGCTGACGACGTGCTGCTGATCAGCGAGTGCGTGGGTCGACTTTGAGGATGTCCACGTTCCTGTTGAGAACCTGATCGGCAAGGAAAACGAAGGCTTCAAGGTCCTCATGGGCAGTAAGTACCTCCTGTTACCAGACCAGAATCACCGGTCCCTAGACGTGCATCTCTCGCTGAACGACAATGTGCAAGACTTCAACAAGGAGCGCCTCATCATGGCCATCAACATGAACCGCAAGTCGCGCCAGTGCCTCTCCATCGCCCTCGACTACGCCCAGATGCGCCACACCTTTGGCAAGCCCCTGATCTCGCACCAGATCATCCGCCACAAGTTCGTGCACATGGCGCGCTACGTCGAGTCGCACTTCGCCTGGCTCGAGCAGATCGCGTACCACATCCGGCGCCACGGCTGGGACGCCCCCGGGCTCGCGTCGCGCCTGGCCATGGCCAAGATCCACGGCGGGCGCGTGCTCGAGGCGTGCAACCGCGAGGCGCAGCAGGTGCTCGGCGGCGCGGGCTACCAGAGGGGCGGGATCGGGGCCGTGGTGGAGCAGATCAGCCGCGACCTGAGGATGCTGGTCGTCGGGGGCGGGAGCGAGGAGATCCTGGCCGACTTGGCGATGCGGCAGGAGTTGGCGGCGGCCAAGAAGAGGGAGTCTATGTTGTAGAGTTGCGTAGCTCTCCTTCTTTTCGAAGTTATTAATCAATGGCACTAGAATCAAAGACACTGAAGACCCCGTACCCGTTGCTGTAATTGAATGGCCAATCAGTACAAGCCATAGCTTTCTTGCCAAGTCAAAACCGAGAAGAGGGTATCCATTTCGTCTACTTCTTTCAATTGCTGGATCTTCCCCGCGAAGATGAGGCCCAGCCCAGCTAGAAAATTGTGACCAATTGGCTGCCTGTGCCCGCCCTGATCTGACCTTCATGTGGAGACTGGGTAATCTCAGACTTGGACAACAAACATCCCCTTCGTTCGTACCCGTATCAGGCAACCCACATCAGATCCTGATTTGCCTGGTCAGAGCCGGGACCTCGGAATTCGTCGTGATGTTGCAGAAGCTACCACCTGAACTGCTATCGGCAGTTTTCGAAGATGTGAGAATGATCTGTCGCGAAGTCCCGTGATCTCTACTGACCGCCTTCGCCAGGTGTCGAAGAATGATCTCAGAAACTTATGTCAGGTCTCAAAGCTGTTATACTCGGCTACTATACCGTGTCTTTACCGAACAATAGAGTTTGAGCCGGATAACGAGAAGGATGTGTCTGTATTCTCGCTGGAAAGCCACACTGAAGCTCGTGATAAGGGGTACTTTCGGCACGCGCGGTGCATTGAAGTCGCGGCTCCATTTCACTCCAACATTGATCCTTACATGCGTTGCGTGCATCATTTCACACGGCCAGAATATGAGGTCGAGTTTGCGACGGATTTCATGCCGTTTCTAAGCTCATGTACACCAGGAAGACTACGAGAGTTCAGGTATGTTCCGTGGGACTTGTTCCGTCCAACTCCGCTGATCAAACGCTTCCCAGTTGGACACTTGGAACCTGTATACCCCAGACCATACTCGGGCCCAACGGCTATTTAAACACGCATCAGAAAGAAATAGAAACCATTCGGCTGATTACGGATGGAAGTTGCAGCAGCGAGGATGCGCCAGACGGCCTCGATCTCAGTTGCTTCGTCAACCTCAAACGGCTTTCCTGGAGCGGACTGGCCCAGAATAAGGACGTCAAAGCTCTAGCCGACCTTCTTCAGAAACGTGCTCATCAGTTACTAGAGCTGGATCTGGACCTGGAGAACTACTTGAGTTTGACCCTGCCTGGAGAAGACCCATGTATCTTTCCGGTGCAACTACTCAGGCTACAGAGGCCAGTGCAACTGATGTTTCCCGTTTTGCGAAGCCTCTCGCTGTGCCAGGTATCCTTCACCACGGACCTGGACTTGCCAATGGAGCAGTGTGGGTACGAGATCTCTGACGCAACAAGAATGATGTTCGAGGCGTTTGACTTCACAAGCCTGGCCTCTTTAAAGTTGCGGCATTGCGCCGGGTGGGAACACCTCATCACTCACCTTACGAAGTCTGCGGCGCCATTGGCTCTGCAGTCGTTCGAAGTACAATATGTACCTACTGGCATAAATGCCGACTCTGCCTCGATCATAGCGCCCTTCCTCAGAAGCTTCAAGGGCCTAGTTAATCTCTTTCTGCTCATCTCCAACTCCGCCCCAAGCTGGGACATATGGCTTGCGTTGCGTGGACACAGGGCGACACTACGCCGCTTTGTGCATCACCAACGTACCCAAGCCGAAGCCGAGTTCCCTCTAGAGCTTGATGGTTTGCAGATGGGGTTTACTAGTGGTAAAGACTTTGAAGGCGATGATGGATCCAATCCGCTAAGTACGTTGGATCTCACCAGTGTCGGTGTATGCGCCAGCCTTCAGTACATGGTGAGTGCTACATGATTTTCTTGACACAGCCCGGATTATGACAAGCTTTGCGTACTGATCATCTTGTCCCCTAGCCCTTCATGGTCAAGCCTTTCACGGAAAATCCCACTTTACGATTTTTACATGTGCGACGGTCTGCTGGGGACATTCGTACGATATTCGACGCCATGACGGCGCGACCTCTTTCCAGGTCAGTCTCTTTCGATAGCACCTCAAGTGACGGGGCTGGCGGGAGGCGCTCTCCGAGCAACAAGGACTCGGAGCAGGAGAGCATTGATGGAACAGATCAGGACAGGCCAATCGAGACTTCCCCTGGGGCTGTGACGTGGACGCAGTTTCCCGAGGATGAAGAGGAAATAGAAAGCTTCCTACAATGGGTCTTTGGCCCGAAAGGGGTTGTCTCGCTTCGTATAGTCGCGTATGGAGACTTTTCCCGGGACGGACGACACACTGAGTGCCAGAGGGTTTATTGCCGCAACGAGGAAGCCTTTGATCCTCAAGGACATCACCTAGGAGACGATGCTATCCCCAACTTTCGCAGGGTGAAAGGAGCAGACGGAGAGCTGTTGGCGCTGTTCCATGAGAACGAGGATGTCCTCTGCGCTCTGCCTTTGGAGCCCCTCTTCAATTACCCGTCAAGGGACTGGTGAGTATTCACTGGCGGCATTACTCTTCGAACACCGTGATATATTGACAGCCACTATCAGGGATGATCTCTATGGATATATAGGATAGCGAGCCTTCCCCCAGGCACTTGCTCCCAAAGTTGCCTCCACCCATTGATGTCGTCTCAAGCCCAAGTCTCGACTGGGCCCAAGTCAGCTTGGCTGTGGCTTGCATGTGCCGGTGCAGTTGGTGTCGCTGTTGGGGTCGCACTCGGTCCCCGCATCGTCGATGCAGACTTCGCCGTCGATGCACTCGATATGGTAACTGCCGCCGCAGTGAAGTGGTTTGTAGCACATCTCGATGCTAACGCCGTCGGATGGAAAGGAGACACATCGCATTCCTTCAGGACAGAAGAGATTGCATGCAGGCGCGGCTCGGGGCGCGGCGGGCGCGGTGGGCGCGGTCGCTGCCAGGACCGCGAGCGTTGAGATGATGGCGAGTGTGAATGATTTCATGGTGGATTTGTGTCTAATTATGAAGGATGGCTTTTAATATTATAAGGTTACTTGATGATGAGATTATCGAGGATCAAAAACTCGGTGTTGAGAGGCACCTCTGAGCAATTTATATTTTGGCGGCTAAACTCAGAAGCTCACGACACTCATTAAATACCATGCTAGACGAGTTTCTGAGTGTTTCTAAAATTACCTAAGTAAAAGGTCAGATGTCGTCAAATGATTCACATATTGCGGCGAATGAACGGCGATCCATTCCAGAGCACTGAAGCCCATGGCACGGGTCGAGGACGGCACACATCTCACAAAGCTTGTTTGGTTACACAATGACGTTGCTTGCCAATGGAGATTCATATCGCGTGTTCCTGTGGTGTACTTTTGTTCGTGAGCACCATGCTCGGGCGGAATTGCTTCTCGGCGGGAGATTGGACGTCACAAAAGACCCAGCGGACCCGATGCAGCGGCATCCAAGATCCAAGAGTTCAGGTCGATATCCTCTCCGATCGAATCCTGGAAGTGACTATCAAGAGGACCCTGAAAAATGACCCGTCAATATAGAGCACTTGATGACGCATATCTCTGATGCGTTAGGAATGCGTAGACTTACCCAATCGAGGAATTCCATCCCGTCTAAAGTCGGAGAAAACGACTCTTCTACCATAGGCATATCGGCACTGGAAGGCGGTATGTCGCCAGCGCCAAGCGTCGTGCTCATGTATCTGGTCACCCTCTCGATTGTAGAGCTGATGGCATGTGCAGCAACGCGAGCTTCAGCGGAGTAAGGAGTTGCCTCGTCCCATATCTCGCGCGCCACCTGCATAGCCGCGAAATACGTCACCAGATCATCTCCGTCCCTAGATCCAGAGGATCCAGAGGACGCCGTCTCGAGGGCTGGGTATTGGGTTCTGATCGTGAGCTCGAGGCATATGACCATAGCCGCGAGAATGAAGTCATTCGCGGTGAGGGCAGAAACGAACCACCTGTCCTCGTAGAGTCTCCCGGCCGGCTGCATGGCTTCTGCCTGTCGGGCGCAGATGCACAGCGCCGCCTCGAGACACGCGCGCCGAGACGGGCCGTAGACGGGATCCCGACGGTGCGAGGTGACGTACTTGCGGTGGAGGACGATGATGCTCTTCAGGTAGAGAATCTCGATCGTCGCTCTGTTCATGATGAGCCCGGGGCTGTCTACCACTGACTGCCTCAGCGGCTTGTATTTTATGCACTCGGGTAGAGCCTGGTAGGTTTCTCGAAGCTTCGCGTCGAGAGCTAGTGTCTTCTCATATGGAGGCGGGATAAGAGACCGGGTGTGGTTAACAACTGTCTTAAACAACAACATGACGGATTGCTTGGCGATCGTGTACAAGATAGGCGTGTAATCCGATAGCGGCCGGGAAGGAGGCAAAGTCGCCACCCCGGGGTAGAAGTCGGAGTACTCCAAGTTCCTAGGAAGCTCCGCATCGCAATTATCGGCGGGAATCATGCTCGGCAGCCCCATCTGGAAGGACATGAGCGCGTCGATCTGGAAGATGCTGACCCACACTCGACGACGCATCTCGCCGTCGAAGGGAGACAGTGGCTGCCCACCCGAGCCGGATGAAGGGCTGCCAAACCTGGATGGGTCACGGTGGTAGCCTAGACGTATCGCGAGGCGAATCACGACGCCCATGAGCATCCACAGATTGACGTCCGAGTCCTTGGCCCGCGTGAAGCAGCTCTGCACATGGATCATCAGGGTCTCGACGGCATGTCTCTCAGAACGGGCGTAGCGGCCGAGCACGAGACATTGCTCAGTTCGCTTTGAGAGGGCGATAGGCGAGGGCATGTTGTGCTGTACGCCCCTTCCAAATGTCGACACGTCGTATAGGCTCGAACCCAGGCTTAGAACTGAGAAGAGGAGAGCCACCCAGACGGGCGAGGTCTTTTGTGGATTTTGCCAAAACTCTTCGTACTGCAGGTATGTCAGTATGAATTGCCATTCTAAGGACCTAAGATGAAGAGATAATGCTCACTTCTTGTTGGAACTTTACAGGGTGAAGGATAGCTTCACGATTATCGGTCAACTCGCTGATCTGGCCGTCAAATTCAAGCAAAACTCACGCAAGATTGTGAACCGCGACTGGAAGTACTGAGACACAAGACTATCACAGATGTGTCTCGCGGGCATCGCCTTGATAATATGATCCATAGTCGAAGGCTCGAATACTCCGAAGACGAGATCATGGCTGTCCATCTCAGGCTCAGACCCTATCCCATCAGTACTTGGCGTTGCTTGCTCTACCGCCTGACCCGGCTCGATGATGGCACCTGAGGTGAGTTGTTCTCTGATGCCCCTGATGTCCTCGAGGATAGATGACCAATGATTAGAGTCAACATAGCTCGCCTGAATACCATGGAGCTGCGTGCCACCAGTGAGTTCTGCTCGATCTTCACTGGGAATCCCCGAGTCGTAGATAGGAGTGCATTGTGTTCCAGCCACTCCTGCTCTGCCTGAAGCATTTTGGCCATTCGTTGAGGCCGCGAACGTGCTAGAGGGCGTGAGGGCATTGATGTCGACGCCTTTCTGTGCCAGAGAGGAGATGAGACTCTCCAGGTGCCTGAGGCGCTCGCTGATAGAGTCCCTTGGACGCCTGTCATTCCTGTCGGCGTTGGGCGCGTACTGGCAGACGGACTCTTTGCCCCTCCTCACGCAGGTATCGCATGGGAACGCTCGATTGCACTTCAGTCTGTTGGTCACTTGCTTAGTCTCACATCTATCACATGGCAGAGTGAGTGCTATAATAGCATACTCACTTCCGTACTCGGCAGGGCTCGCATGATTTGGGTGGTCGATTCCGTTTCTCTACCTTCGCATCGCTCATGGCCGAGAAATCAGACGAGAGGAATTGAAGCTATGCTTGAGACCTTCTCCGTACGAGTGTCTGAACAATAAATAAAGATGCGGGTGTTAGTATGGAGATAAGTGTTGACCTACAGCAGAATCCCCTGTAGACACCAGATACATTATGTTCTCCAACCAGTCTGACACAAGGGATGCCATGACTCCGCCTACTTGGTAAGCTTTAAGTGCGGAGTTAATAAATCCGCTTCATTCCAACGTAGTCTCCATCTGTCTCATCGTTGTCCCACTTATCTTTTCACTCCACGAGTAAGATCCCAACTGGCTACTAACAGAAGTACTTGCCTAGCCGTCAAGCCCAATCGAGTTTAGGTAGTGGGATAGCCCTTTCGTGTACCAAAGTAAGGATATTCATTGTTAATCTTGAGGTATCTCCTGATGAACCTCCTTCACTATTCTGACCCTGTTCCGGATGCTAAAAACTAGCGCCCCTGTGCCCACACGCCGCCTTCGCATACCGTTACATGGAGATAATACACCCGAGAGAGTGTTGTTGAAGTTTGATGAACATGGGCGTAGTACTTAAGGGAGAGAAAGAGGACGGACTATAATAGTAGTTGCAATGCAAACCTCATTATTCATTAGTCGCCAATATTACAGAATACCTGACAAACCGACAAATTGTTCCTCGGCCTCTCTCTAAAATGGCCATCCTAACATCCTTATATGGGGGCCTGAATGTTCTCTACTCCAATCTCTTTGTCACCCTCCCCATTCCCGAAGAAGCTCCCGACCTCAGTGAGCAGACAATCATTGTAACGGGCTCCAATACGGGACTTGGATATGAGACTAGCCAACATCTTCTGCGACTTGGAGTTGGCAAGCTCATCATGGGTGTCCGCAATCTGGACAAGGGAGAGAAGGCACGGATTGAGCTCTTGAAAGCAACCAAGCGATCACTAGATACCATTGAGGTGTGGCAGGTTGACTCAGAGAGTTACGACTCGGTCAAGAAGTTTGCAGATCGCGCAAACAATCTACCTCGTCTCGATGCCGTACTTGCCAACGCGGGCATATTGACCAATCACTTCAGCTTGTCTCAAGGCAACGAGAAGACCGTCACTGTCAATGTCATCTCCGTCTTCCTGCTCGGTCTCCTGCTTCTGCCCAAGCTACGCTCCGCACCGTCTGCCGGCAGGTTCGTCGTCCCCAATTCGGCACTCCACTACATCGCCCACACCAAGGAGATTGTCCCAACTAAGAATAAGACTATCTTCGACCGCCTAAACGACCCAGAGCAGTCGGACATGGCAAATCGCTACTCGCTCAGCAAGCTTCTGGTGCTCTATGTCGTGCGGGAGCTCGCCGAGAGGACCAAGTTGTCTGTGAAGGGGGATGTCATCTTCAACACGCCCAATCCTAGCTATTGCAAGTCTGGCCTGCTGAACGAGCCGGGAAACACGGCCCCTCTAGACTTCATGGCACGAACCACTGAGATGGGCAGTCGAGCGATCCTGAATGGAGTGCTGGCCGGTCCCGAAAGCAATGGCCACTACCTGAATAATTGCCACGTGTCGTGGTATGTGATATAAAGTGCCCCTCGCCCGTGCTCTGGGATGCAAAGACTAACTTCTCACCAGTCCGGCGGCCCACGTCACCAACAAGACAGGTTCACAGATCCAGAAGGCATTCGTTGACGAGCTGCTGGAGAAGTTGGAAGTGATATCTCCAGGCATCTCTGCCAGTCTGTAAAGATAGAAGGCCGGTTGGGCATGTTTCTTTCGATCAACCTTTTGGGAGCTAGCATGGCCACTGGGTTCTTTAAGGCGCCCTGTCTGAATGTATTATTTTAAGCGTTCATTTCCGCAAATCCAGAAATTATCCATGTCAGCACTTTTGGCCAAGAACTTGCGTGTCATGCTCAGATGTCTGCACTTCACACTATCATAGGACAATTGTCGTAGAGATATATCGGTGAGGCAGGACGAAGAGCAATGTGATTAGCAGCAGTAGAAGAAACCCAGAATGACACAGAGGGAGCAGGTGTCCATCCAATTCTTTGAACGATCTTGTCGGCAAGAGGAAGAAAACAGAACTGTAAACACTTCAAGCTGTGGCACCGGTCGGTCGGTTCTTTGAGTCACCGGGTACCGTGATTCTGATGCGATGCTCGATTGCCAATTCCACCACTGCAGCACGAAGTGACTCCTTAAGAGCGGTGCTCCGAACACATTTAGGAATAAGCTCGTAAAAGTCGACGGAAAGTTTTCGAGTCAGACGCGCCGATCCTCTCGTCGGCATCTCTGCAATGAGCTCGTTCATCACCCCTGTATAGCCCGTTAATCCTCTGTTGAAGCCTTGCTGGCTAATCTCGTCATGATGGGTATGATAGTAGAACAACATAATTGCAACGTCGGTCATGTTGAATGTGTATTCAAAGCCCCAGAAGCGATTGCCCATGAACTCCAAAACCTCTTTGTCCGGCATCACACCTTGGTCTATACACTGGTCCACCATCCAGCAAAGATGTCGTGCCAGTTCCTTGATGTGCCGCATCACAAAACGGCCCATAACCCATTTTGGGCACCAGAAGCTACCTCTAAGTGGGTGTATTCCGAGGCCGTAGTCGACGAGAAGCATATGCTCAAAAAGAGATGGAATCACGAACTCCGCCTGGAGGCTACCTATGTCGAATGCAAAGGAATCGAATTCAGTTCCGCCGGTGAGAGGCTCGAGCTGGCCACCGCTCTCCAGTTCATAGAGCACTGCTGCGACAGATTGAAGAACGGGAGAGAGGTAAGTGTCGAAGCGATACTGGCCCCATCGGTAGTCGATTGGCTCCTCGCCCTGGTACATGAAAGCATCGAGGAACGAGCCGAGCGTTCCATTGTCTCCCGAGATGCTCTGAAGCAGTCGCTGTACTGCCCGACCCCAGGGATCATCCGTCAAGTGCCTCTTTTCCTCCGTTGATTGCGTTCCTCGTTCAGGGCGGATGGCAGGATGCGCAATGGTAGCAGAAGCTTCGCAGAGTTGGCTTAAACGCTCAAGGTCAGCATCGCCAAGGGGATCGAGATCAGTCATGATGACGATGAAGTATGGGGAGCGACTTGGGTATGCAGAGTTCCGTTGGTGGGAAGAACGAACAAGGGCTAGGAGAGCCTACATGTAGTGCTTGTGATCGGACCTTGATCCGGGCATTCGAGCACCTACCAAGTCCTACCAAGTTGAGGTATCTAGTTCGATGCGACTCCCGAGTCGGGCTTGCCAGGAATGTTGAGTACATTAGCTCAGAAAGAACCATGGCTACCGATGGGAGGTATTCTGCTCATTCCCCCGACATCGCAAACTTGCGGGACTGCCAACCACAAAAGTCGCTGAAAAAGGTACCTACCTAGGTACCGACTTAGGTGCATTCGACGTACCTTAGGGACTGTACCTACCTTAGGTACTATCCCTTGGTGACTGCTTTTGCGCCGGGATCTCCCACGGTCATGAATGATAATCGACTGAAGCCATGCACCGTGGTTTGGAGACCGACAAACAGCCTAGGCCGAACTCAGCCAGTAGGTTTCGTTGGGCTGGCATGCAACCCAACGAAACCTATGAGCATCAGCCATGAAGAACTATTGAGAGTGTCGATGAGGGTACCTGGGCCTTACATGCCACTGAATCGCTCTTGCGAGATACGCGAAGTCAGCGAACTAGCCTTCTCGCAAGAGTGGTTATCTTAACAATCAATATCTTTGTCACATCCGGGCCCTGGGACTCGGAAGGGCTATCCCACTACCTAAATCCGATGGGCTTGATGGATAGTCAAGTACTTCTGTTAGCAGTCCGTCAACTAACTAATCTGACTATCGGTTAGCAACCAAGCCCCAAAATCACCAGTGTTCAGGTCACCGAACTGAGGTAACTACTGATAGTAGAACGCTACATAGCCGCCCCACCAATGAATTTGAATCTGAATCTGAATCTGAAGTCAAGGTGGTGTCCTAGGACGGAGGTAGTCCCAAGACAGAGGTAGTCCTAAGGAGACAAAACTACAGACGATCTGATCTGATAGGTTGCAGGAGGGTTGCGGTTAAACACTGGTCTACTTGCCATAGATCCCCAGCGTAGAACGTCAAAAGCTGGTACATACAGACGATCTGGTTGGAGGAAGATTGCAGTTGAAGTACGTATCTGCATGCTAGTATAGTTGTAGTATTACCTCAGAGATATATCTATAGTTTCCCAGTATTACCTGGCAGGTCGATGCCAGATAGCGATATCTAGAGTATGTCCGATTTCGGCGCATAGCAACTCCACATGACAGGCTCATATGAGGCTTAGGTGCGGCTCAGGAGGGACCGGAAGTTACTCAGGGCTGGGGACGAAAAGGGTATTTGAAACGGTTCGTTTCCAACGTCGACTTTATTGGAAGTGACTGGATGAGCTAGCTGTCGGAATGTTCCTTTGAGGCCGTCCCGCATATGAGATAAGGACATAAATTTGACATCTCTGTACCACCTCCACGCATCGGAGACGGTATCTTGGTCAAATTGTTTTAACAAGTCAGACATGAGCATCTGGCCAACTTCGGAAGGGAGGTAAGCCGTGGCCGGGTCGGGTGCCGGAACTGGGGCGTGGTTCGTCCTTCGGAACGTCCCCTTGAAATTGAGCGATCCTTTGAATCACTAAATCCTAAACGCTCCTTGGTCTGATGAACCAACTACATCCTGCCCGGGGTGACACGGGGCTACTCATTGGTCGCGTGCCGTCCGGCTTCCCGAGTTACCTGCTGTGACACGGTGATACAGTCCACATCCGCTTCCCGCTGATAAGGAACGTGCGTACACGTTGCTACCCTCTAGCCGTTGATACCAACATCGGGACTATTTCTCATGGGAATTGTCGCCTTTTTCCGAGCCTAGTCCGTCTAGTCATCGCACAAGGAGGTTTAGATGAGCAGTCGTGCTCGCACATCATTGATCACGCCATCACTTAGACCAATGTCGCACTAGTGAACCCCCAGCTGCGGATCACCACCACCATCGTCTCCAGGGAGCCGGGCATGTATTAAGAAGGTAGGGTATAAGAGAGCGAATGCCCCAACAAGATGTAGACATGCTCCAACGTTGAAATTTACTCAGTTGTGAGTCTCGTATCTGGACGATTCTGCTTTTTTCTTTTCTCACTAAGCACGCCATGGCACCCGGAGCAATCGTTGACGACTTCATCTCGGAGCCTGTCCAGGTTACCAAGAAGGTCACCAGGCCAGTACCAAAGTCGATCTTCCCAGACGGCATCCGCACGTCGGGCCAGCAACCTCCCATCTACGAGTTGCTCAAGCCCTACTCGGAGTTCCCCAAACACATCACGGGTCCCACCGTCTGGAAGAAGGAGGACTACATCGACCACGCGGATCGATGGATACACGCATTCACCGACGACGAGGTACAAGAGATCAGCGATGCTGCCGATAAGTTTATTGAAAGCGGCATCCCACTGACTGGAATTGCCAAGGTCAGTCCAGCCCGCGTGCCGGATTTCCTGCAGCCAAGGTCACACAGCTCACTAACACATGCAACCGCACCCTCTCGCAGAAGCACTTCGTCCTCCCCACCCTCAGCAAGAGGCTAGAGACCCTCCGGGAGGACCTCCTCAACGGCAAAGGGTTCATCCTCTTCAAGCGCTTCCCCGCCGACCGGTGGGGCCCTCTCAAGAACGCCGTTGGGTACATGGGCCTCGGCACGCACCTGGGCTACTTTGTATCGCAGAACGGCCGCGGCCACGTCCTGGGCCACGTCAAGGACGTCGACGAGGACCCGACGCAGATCCACCGCGTGCGCATCTACCGCACCTCGGCGCGCCAGTTCTTCCACACCGACCCGGGCGACCTCGTCGGCCTGCTCTGCGTGCACCGCGCCCAGGAGGGCGGCGAGAGCGACATCGTCAGCTCGCAGAACGTGTGGAACGCGCTGCAGCGCGAGCACCCGGACGTCGCCGAGCTGCTGGCGAGGCCCGTGTGGTACTTTGACCGCAAGGGCGAGGTGTCCCAGGGCGAGGAGGAGTGGATCCGGGCGCCCGTCTTCTACGTCGAGCCCACGGGCAAGGGTCGCGTGTACGCAAAGTGGGATCCGTACTTTGTGCGGTCCCTGACGCGCTTCTCGGACAGGGGCGTCATCCCACCGCTGAGCGAGGAGCAGGAACGCGCGATCAAGGTGCTCGAGGAGACGTGCCAGAGGTTGGCGCTGCACATGGTGCTCGAGGTCGGCGACATTCAGTTCCTCAACAACAGTCACCTCTTCCACGCGAGGACGGCATACAAGGGTAGGTGTCACTGTCTCTTGCTGCAAGCCCAATGCCCGGTCATTGTACTAACATTGTGATCTGTAGATCATGCCCCCCCTGCGCCAAGACGGCACCTTCTGCGCCTGTGGCTATCGACGCCGAGGACCGAAGGTGGTTGGAGCCTAGCCACCCCCGATAATGATGAACTGAAGCGTGAAGGTATCCAAGTAAATGACACGCCACCCAGGGCGCCGCTTGATGCGGAGTAACTTTTAGCGATTTCCTAGTTGTAATGAGCACTGAATGATGACGAGAACTATTTCAAGAGCCCTTAGAGCTGATTCAGTTTACATGACCTTAGCTGTGCTCCAAATCGAACTTCAGCCTCTTACTGAGTCGTTTTATGTGCTTTCATCTGTCCGTTAGAGTGTTGAAAAGCGCCGTATCAACACCTTGCAGGGCCCATGACTCCAGATCTACAGCCCAATCTTGATCAAGAACGCCAAAGTCCTGCGAGACATGATCATTCAGAGACGGGAATGGTTCATCCGCAATTGAAAATTCGTTGTAGTCTCTCGAGGTGGGTTGGAAGGAGGCTAACGGACTTTGCCGATTCGTATTCGTGGTCTGGAGACCATGTTTGGATTGTTGATCAACAAGCTGGCCTCGCTCTCTGTCATGTTCCGGATCCTCCAATGGATTGTGATGTCTGATTTTGATAGTACCAAAGTAGGGGATATGTATAGACATGGTGCCTGACTCATCGACCTTCCCTTCAGGACCGTCAAACTCGGGTCTGCTGGCTACTGGAGACACACTAGCCTCATAAAGGCCCCCAATACGGGACTTGGCCTCAATTGCAAGCAATGGTCTCAAGATCAGACTGATCCTTTTTGCAGCGGCATCACCGTAACCATTGGCCATCTTGTCCATAAGTTCAAGAGTTCGTTCGATCAGCCCACGGTCAGCCAATCTCTGATGCGCGAGTGATTGGAGGCAAGTGAGTTCCGTCCCGATTTCCCGCCTTTGCTGATGACAGCATATCATGTGTGAAAGACATAGCGTCATGCTAGCAATAAAGACAACGAAATCTATGCCTCGACAATACGTTGTTGTTGTGTCAAGACTGCGGAAAGACACATATCTGCTCAGGGTTTCTCGGCTGGCGTTGGTGGCTGATAGCTTGCTGTAGTCGTAACACGGGTGATTGGCGGAAGATAGGAGTAGATATGGGATATGCAGTTGGACCATAAGGTGATAATATGTAAACTGGTTCATAAGGCGGACCGTGTTTGCAAGTGACTTTGCCGGACCCCCCTCAGAGTCAGGCAGATCGTTGGGTATCAGCCACCACTGGGGTGGCATGAATGATGCGGCTTCCAGTAACAACTTGTCGATGTTGGAGGTCGTTGCAATATCTGTGCGCTCGGTGCCATTGCGCTGGATAATGCGATTTCCAGCGACGGCCAGGACGCGCTCCATTCGCTCCAAGGCTGAGCATCCCTCCAATATATCTGGGGTAGCAAAGACATCTCCAAGGGACCCTTGCGGTAGATCGAGCATCAGTGAGAGATAGCGGTCCGAGAAAACCAGTCGGGCCCACATATAACTGGGATTTATTCGGTCCCTAGTCTCCTCGTCCAGCACCTTGACAGAAGTGCACGTCTCCTGATGAAGCCCGATCATTTGCGCCAAGGTCATTGCTTTCCGGTTGGTTAGCCAGGCCCGGCGCAGGTTGCCTGCGTTGTTCAAATACATGCTCTCAAGCATGACGCACTCGATGCCGTCAAGCGAGTCGAGAAGCTCATCGTTGTTCGTCACAAGCCTTGAAACGCCGTCGATAAGGCGGCGTACTAGTCTCTGATGATTCAACTCCAATGTATTAAGCTTGTCGAGCTGCCTTGCCGGGATCCCTTGTAAGAAGATGGCGAGGTTGAGAAGTCTCCTTGCAACGAGAACCGGATGAGACTCTGGAGACGGTAATCGAAGTAGGGCCGACAGTGACGCTGCATTATGCTGGACAATTTCGTCGTACGGTTGGCAGATGACACCATGGAATAGCAAGGAAGCATCTATTGGGATACTCAAGATGAGATTCAGGTCGGCTGGACTAGGCCACAAAGATCTGAGAGTGCGGGAGATGTCGGCTGGGCGTTCTGGAAATGTAGGCAAGGCGCCGGAAGAGCAGGACGGCGACAGAAATGACGCGTTTCGAGACCGAGAGGCATCGTCAGGGGCCTTGTCCCCCGACATTGCGCCCAAGTCAGGAACCACACCCTTGCGATCTCGCCTTGACAGTTCATTCTCGAACTCCTGACTGACGCATTTGGTCTGCCGGCTTCGACAGCCATCGCATACATCTTGCTCCGGGGCCGCAAATGTACACCTGATCTTTCGCCGCTTGCATTCCCAGCAACTCTGTGTCCCTTTGCGGATTTTGCGCCTTTTCGAGGAGGGAGGCAACATCCCGTCCGCGGCGTTGGCCGCCTGATGACGCGTTTCTGTCATTGGACCTGAATTAACTACTCCCTTGGTAGATCCTCGGTCGATATAGTTTTCATCCGTTGATGGAGTTGATACTTGGACGTCTGGGCCGCGGCGAAGCATGTTGACGCAGGTGTGGGCATGCAATCGTTTCCACCGCGGACGAATGGCAAGGGAAATGACGCACTAAATCCATCCCATCCACATCCGACAACCATGCAGCCAATCACCGACTTTGCTTCGTCCGCGGCGGAAAGACCAGATGACTTGTCAAGTGTATAAGAGAGGGGAACAATTCTGTATCTTATAATTGAAGTGCTCTCATCCTTAATATTGATGAGGACAAGACAGTCTTTGTCGTCTGAAGTTAGGCAATTTCTCTCGAAGCACTTTATTATATCCGTGATGGTGAGGATCGCTGTAGCAGGGGGCTCTGGTCGTACGTATCGAATGTTGGCATTCCTCATGTGGTTGTATTGTAGCTAACGTGTTTCATAGAGGTCGCTCGAGAGGTCATAGATGCTCTTGTAGCCACTGGAAAGCACGAGATTACCGTTCTTAGCAGACGAGTAATTCTTCACGATGTACCCTTCCTCAACTTAGATACTAATACTGAGTTCTCGTCAGGATCTGCAGTCGGCGGATGCCACCGACCCCGGGGTCAAGCAACGTACGGTGAACTACGGCAACGTTCATAATTTGACTGAAGCTCTTCAAGGAGTTCATACTCTTCTATCATTCGTACAGATTCTTTCCGACCCGAATCAAGAGTCACAAAAGAATCTGATTGACGCTGCCATTGCTTCTGGGGTGCGCCGATTTGCCCCCAGTGAGTATGGAAGGTAATTTCTTTTCTCAATTGAAACCGTACACCATGAATGGCTACTCACGTTTCCATACAGCAAGGGCACGAACCATATGGCCTGGTGGGCTGGGAAGGAGGCGATTCGCGAATATCTTGAGGAAGTGAACGCCACTGAGAAGGTCAGAAGTTTGGCCTGATCCCACAGATTGTGCGTTGCCCTCTGCAATACTAATAGGTTTCAAGAAACTCGAGTATACCTTGTTCCAACCGGGATTATTCTTGGATTACCTCGCATTTCCCTACAAAACGGCCAAATATCTCGACCCGCTTCAGAGCGTCTTCGACTTTGAGCACAGACGTGCCATTGTAGTCGATGGCCATGAAGACGCCATCCTGACTCTGACCACCGTGAGCGATCTCTCAGAGATCATTGCTCGCGCGGTCGAGTATGAGGGCGCATGGCCAAGACATGGGGGTATCAGAGGCAATCGACTGACCTTCTCGGATATCCTCAGAATTGGCGAGACTGTTCGAGGTAAGCACCAGTCATGTGGTTGATTCGCGAGTTCCGAACGGTGACTTGCTGATTTGGTAGCCTGATAGGACATTTCGATGTTGACAAAGTGTATCTTGAAGATCTTCGAGCTGGAAATCTCAAGACGTCTTGGGGTCTGGAAGCTGTGCACCATGCGGTGTCCGACGACCAGGCAGCGGAACTTCTCAGGGCAGTGTCCATCGGTATCCTCCTAAGCAGTGTGGAAGGCGCCTGGGATTCTTCAGACAGCATGAGTCGCCTTTTCCCGGACTTCAAGTTCACCACCGCCCATGATTTCCTGGTGAGGGCTTGGGACGGAAAACCATAATCTCTTTTATCAAAACTTCATCTTATTGAATGTCATACATGCAGCTCAATATCGAACAGTACGAATATAGGGGCTTTGGGACCTTCCAATGAGCTCGGAAAATGTCTCCAATTTCACACATGTCTGCCGAATTCTAAATTCTGTGATGCCCCGTCCAGTGCCCATTAGCCAGTCATCAGAGTGTGTATTTAGCCCTTTCCAATGCTGGAGTCCTTTCTGATGATCCTTGCTCTTTCTCGCAAAGATATGCTTTTCGTCTGGGTCACTACTGACTACGCCCCTGAACCGATGTTCAATGTGTTCAAACAAAACAAGGCAGTGACAAGGCAGTGACGAGGCAGTACCTTATGAGAACACAGCTCAACGATTGGGATCCGGAGGCATGTGCTATGGGAGGGCCATGTTGATGATAACTTCGAAGGTATTTTCGGCCGGCAATCCACTTGATAATATTATGTCTTCAAGCAGAGCTAGTGGCCCTATGCCGTCGGTATATAGCGTCGTAATCACAAGTAGTCTGATGTGACGAGCCGGGGGTAGAGTGGAGCGTTTCAGAAAGATTGATCATTGAACCTAGGTTCTGGGATCGCAAGTACCACCACAGTGGGTCGATCAATCAAACAAGAGAACATCAGACTATTTGGCCATATGATTGTACAGAATCTAAGTCATTCTCCTCCAGTACAGGGAGGCATATCGTGCCCTTTCTTTCTTCTAGCCCTCTCAATTCCAATAGTTTATGATTTGACAATCATTCCCTGTTGCTTCTGCGGAATGGTAGCACTTGAAGACGTGTTCCTCGTGCTGAGTGCAGGGGTTGGTGTGGATCGAGCTCAGCATGGTCTAACACTCATTTGTTAGTCGTCATCTGCTGGTCAACGCCGCCAGTTTCACATCCCGGTCTGCGAGATGAGTCCAGGGAACATCTGTCCGTGATGCCGGACTGGTGTGGTGGTACAGGTGAGGATGTTAAAAGCATCTGACGACGCATCTCTGGCAGACACTCTCTCCTCTCCTTTCACGACAGATGACTGTGATTACCTTCACTTGAATTTCCACACTTTATCTGCTATTCAAATATTTCGCTCTTTACTTTCTCGCCTGGTGCAGCAGCAATTTGACCTTCCACTCCTTACTGAATAGCCAACAGCCTACGCCATACTTTCACTCTATCCAGTATGAAGTCATATCTTCTTCTCGCCGTCGCTACTTTCCAGCTGGCTGTCGCTTGCCCGGCCATTCCTCCTCCTTCAAGAGCTTCGGTCACCACTGCAGTTCCGGAGCCCACGGCCAGTGCCGTCAACCCTCCTCCTGTCATCGTCAAGGATCCCACTCCGGAAGACCCGGCCGCAACCCCTGTCAGCACCCCTACGACCGCGGCCGCTACTCCTTCCCGTACCGCCGAAGCCGCCACACCGCCTAAGTCGTCTGCCGGAGATGACGCCTCGGTCTCTGGAAAATCGACCTTTTACGGCGGCAACACCCAGGGCGGAATGTGCTCGTTCTCCACTTACACCATCCCCTCAGGCCTCTTCGGCACCGCCTTCTCCGGCTCGGCCTGGGACAGCGCAGCCAACTGCGGCGCCTGTGTCCGGGTGACCGGGCCCAACGGCAACTCCATCACCGCCATGGTACGCCCTATCTCTAACCCGCGAGACACTTCTGCTTTCCTTGACAGCCTTGCTAACCCCATGGTTTCCAGATCGTCGACCAGTGCCCCGAGTGTGACAAGGGCCACCTCGACCTCTTCCAAGACGCGTTCGCCAAGCTCGGCGACATCTCCGCCGGCATCATCCCCACCTCGTACACCTTCGTCCCCTGCGGCATCTCCTCCCCGCTGGTCCTCCACAACAAGTCCGGCACCTCGGCCTACTGGTTCTCGATGCAGGTGGTCAATGCCAACGAGCCCGTCGCCAGCCTCGAGGTCAGCACCGACGGTGGGTCGTCGTGGCAGAAGACGCAGCGTGCGCAGTACAACTTCTTTGAGAACCAGAGCGGCTTCGGCACCGAGAGCGTTGACGTCCGCGTCACGAGCAGGGCAGGCAAGACGATTGTTGTCAAGAACGTCAGTGTGGCATCTGATGCTTCTGTGACCGCTTCCTCCAACTTCTGAAGGAGTCTTTTCGGTTGTTTATGTTTTTCTTTTCTGTGCTCATACTTGGAGCTGGATATCTTCATCCTATTCTTGTCTGTATTTCGTCTGCACAATATTTTCCCAGGTATAGTAAGCTGAGGCATACTTTCGAATACTTCCCGTTGGAGAGAGCATAGTGAAGTCCGTTCCCACCGGTCAACTGAGCGGAGATGCACAACCCGGTTTCTTATCTATTTTGTAGCCAAACATATGCTCCTCGTCTTTTGGCCTTTGGGCTGATTGGCTTTCTACGTCGCATTTCCCCAGGTGATCAGGCATCCTCGCATGACTACCCCACCTCGGTGGACTGAGTACCAGAGAGAGAAATTCTTCTCAATCTGTCGCACATACCTGCAGAATACCCATCTCTTTTCTCAGCTGTGAAGAATGACCGAAGTCAAAAGCTCCGTCCATGTGTACACGCCTCTGAAAGATGGCGAGATACGCTTGCTCTTTATGGATTCTATCAGCCCTGGCGGAGTGACATGGTCCCTGCGGCCTGTGAGCCTCTTGGATAGCAACCAGTCATCAGAGAGCGTCGAATTCGACGCTCTTTCGTATGCTTGGGGGAACCAGCACAATACCTTCCCCTTCATGCTCTCTGATGGCAGGGAATTGCAAATCCACGAGAATCTTCACGACGCCATGCCTTGTCTCGCCAGGCGACGTACACCGCTGCCAATATGGATTGATGCCATCTGCATCAACCAGTCTGACGATGCGGAGAAGAACCTGCAAATAAGCATGATGCGCAGGGTGTACCGCTCTGCGTCCCATGTAATAATATGGCTGGGACGTGCTACTACATACAGTGAACAAGCCATTGCGCTGCTTCCAGTCATCGCACGTGTTGGAGAGAAAATGAAGTCCAGACCCTATCCGGTATTCGACACTCTTGAATCTTGGGGGTTGCCCAAATTCGGGTCCCCTATATGGCCCGCAATCTACGACATTGTCGACAACCAGTGGTTCACGCGTCTTTGGATTTTGCAGGAGGCTGCATTGGCTGCATCGATCAAGTGCCTATGTGGCGACTTCGAGATTGACTGGCAGATACTTGAAAGAACTACAGGAACCACCGCATTCCATATAAACAAACTATACACCAAAGTCAACGAAGCCACAAGCCTGCCAATTCACAGTAGCGTTTTTCGGATTAGGAATCTTCATCAAGCCCATGAGCACCCATCTCCGCAGCCGAAAGTAACAGATGTGGAACATCTCCTCCGCATCACTTACCTCTCGACGAGGGGCCACAACTGTTCTTCTGCTCGCGATCGCGTGTACGGCGTCCTGGGCTTTGTGAGGGATGAACAGATCAAGAACCCGCAGCTCTACAATATCGAGCTGCCTGTCACCGAGCTCTACACCAAGTTCATGCATTTCCTCCTACACAATGTGGACCCCAGATCTTTGGCCCTGTGGCGACTTATCAGCATAGCTACTGCTCCCAACAAGATGGAAGGTCTCCCAACCTGGTGTGCGGATCTACACAACCAAAAGCCTGATGTGCCTAGCTTTGAATTCTCGCCATTCATTCTTCGCATGTCGGTAAAAAATACAGAAGCGGCATGGCAGGCTGGCAGGTCTGAGCTCGGCTGGAGCCGCGAGGGCTTGCGCCAAGATGAGCTTGGACTACATGGAGTAGTCTTCGATTGGGTCGTTCATATCTACCCGAGTATCCCTATGATCGATCCAGTCAGTGCTGTCAGTGCTACAGATATCGAAAAAGATATACGAGGACTTAGATCTCTTCTCGAGTGGGAAAGGTCTCTGGCACTGAGTATACTTGGAATACATCCGTCGACTCCAGTTGCAGAAGATTTCTCACAACCACCCAGCCAAATAAGTATCGAAACCTACTTTCAAACCTTGTGTGCAGGTGTGATCAACATGGGCCAGCATGATGAGAAGAGTACTTCGAGTATCTATGAGTTTCGTTCTACGATGGGAGCCTTGTATGATCTTACCGGGAGAATAATAACCCTGGACGAGAGGCACGTACAAACCCTCAATCCCCACGCCGCGATTCGAAGTGCTTACTAATGAGGAATGTTTGATGCAGATGTCGGTATAAAACGTTGAAGGAACTATTAAAGGATGTGCCTGAGGATGACGCCAATATACTTGAGAAAGCTGCTCCTGGGTCTCCAGTAATGAATCTCCTGGCCAAAGTGTGCAAAGAGCTTCGTGGAAGGCGCGTGTTCAAGACATCCTCTGGCCGCATCGGGCTTGCGCATGAGCCTATACAGAATGGGGACATTTTGTGTGTTCTCGATAGCGCACCCTCGCCACATGTTCTTCGTCGAAGTCTGGCAACGCAGGAAGAGAGATATCTGCTAGTGAGTGAAGCCTTCATGAACGGCATGATGAATGGCGAGGTCTATGAGCTTGGGATCCAGAGACAAGATATCACTCTGGTGTGAGCAGTTCAACGTTAGATAGCCCTTGCAAGCTAATGCTAGCCATATGGGTAGAGCAGCTTTCAGCTGCCCAAGTCGGTGTTAACGGTCAATTTACGATTTTTGCGAGGTGATAACGGAGCTCTTCTCTTTGCTGAAACGATAATTTGGATAACTGAAGTGGCTTTTCCGCCCAGGTTGAAGTTTTATGTCTACATCTCGTGGTGCTTAGGCAGATCAAGTCGGATGAAACATACTTTTTCTATCTCGCCTCAGGTAGATACACGACAATACGATCGAGGTCCGCACCCTTGTAATCGACGCCGTTGTAGAGTCCTCCAATCGTAATCGTGTTCCGACCTCTTTTCAGAGGAAGCAGAAGCGGAGTCGAGAGAATGATTCCTTTGTGGGTGTCTTTCTGGTACAGAGTGTGGACGTTATCAGTGTCACCATTGACTACGACACTGCTGATACGGCGCAGCTGCCACGTCCCGTTGATGCGATCAGGCTGCCCCATAGGCTGGTCGCCGTAGCCCATGTCATCTATGTCTACAGCAACAGAGTTAGTCCATCGGTTGGTAGCGAATAACTCATTGACACAGGTAGTTGCACCAACTTACTCTGATGATAGAAGGAGATCCACTGATCCTCGCCCTGCCCATCCACTTCGAAGGTGATTGTGCTTTGATTGCCATATATGCCGGTCGCAATCACGTTGTGACTACCGAAAGTCTGTCGCAGAACTTTCAGCCTCAATACTGTGGGATAAATATTGGAAGGGGAGACCTACTGCTTCCTGCAGGAAAGCATCTCCTGCAAGTTTTCCTCTCTTGGATGTGTAAGTCTTGCCCTTGATTGGAGACCACTCCCCAGTCTTGCTGCAGAGTCGTTAGCCATAGATACTGCCAACCATCTTCTCCAGTCCAAGCCTCAGCCAGCATTTGGTACTTACACATCGAGGTCATAGATGTCGTGCCAGACTACCTTGAGACTGCCGTCACGTTCATTAATCTCGATGGGAAGCCAGACGTTGCGACTCTCCCAAAGCGAGCGCATGTCCCATTGGTCCCCCATATACAGATGAGTTGTTTTCTTGGTGCCCTCAATTCTCCAGGAGAAGCCGGACTGTGTGCTGAATGTGCGGGTGTATGCCGGGGACACGAAAAACGGCTGGGACCAGGGTCCTTCGAGTTTATCTGCACGCATAGCGACAACATCTAAGTGTCGTTAGTTTGAATAATTATCCAGAAAGCAAAGTTAACGCCTGGCCACTCTGCTTACTGTTGGGACGATAGCCTGTTTTGTGACTCATCAGAGCAAAATAGCTCTTCTCAGTCTGTAAGATAGTCGGAGCTTCGAAATCATACTTGTTGAACCGAAAGGTCACCTCTTCTACAGCGGTCAGGTTACTGTTGAATTTGCTGACATATACATCACGCCCCTCAACGCGGTCGCCGTTGGAATACAGGGCGTAAGAATGTCCCGTCTTGTAATCAGTGAATGCCCCAAAGTCCTGAGACCAGTTCCCAAGAGGAGACGTTGCGCTTTGGAAAGTGTAGGGACCGGCGATATTATCCGCAGTTGCAAGACCTTGGAGCAGTTTGCTGTACTTGGAGTCGTCTGCGTGCCACCACATCTATCGCTAGTAAGCAGTAGTTTCAATCCGTGTGCCCCCCTTGATCACTTACGTGATACTTCTTTGTTTCCTTGCTGTAGATCACTTTGGGGCGCTGGATAACGCTGTCTGGGGAGATCCATTCGTGACCCTTTACAGGCTCTAGTCCAATCGTCAATGACCTCCTCAGTGCAAGAGACAGGCAGGTGGCCAGGTTACAGGCCACTCACTAAGTGCTAGCCCATGGGAAGTCCACGTAGCGAGATCGTCGGAGCTATAGACTGAGATTCCTCCACCCTCGACCTGGCCCTCGGCTTTGTGCTCGCCAAACCAGTAGAATCTGCCGGAATCCTGGTCAACGCATAATCCCCCTGTATGTGCGTTGAAAATGTTGCCATTCGTATCCCGCCAACGAGCACCAGGCACAATCCACTTGCCAGATACAAGTGTGGCGACCGCCAGCACAATTGCAACAATCGGGACAATCATGGTACTGGATGACCACGATGATGGATCTATGCACAATGAGTGCAGTTCTGTGCTATCATCTATGAAGAGGTTCTTCTCTACATGAAAAGATTCTATAAGTACTATGCGCTCAAAGAATGCCAAGGACTTGCTCGGTGTATATCAAGCACGAGCCCACTCTTAGAGATTGCTGTGCTGGTACCGACAGCGATCGCCACATGGTACTACTTGTACACTTTGGCACCAGTTCCACCAATGGAAGCGTGGTTTTGAATGGGTTCCAGTCTTGCTCATCTCCGCCATTTTTCGCTAACATCAAGCTACCCCGCGCAACTACCAGCTATGTGTGGGTTTGCTTGCGGGTAAATGGATCGGGGACGAGGGCCCGAGGACACAGCTTTCTTGGCAGGCTACTTTTGCACCGAGATACCCTCGTATCATTGAGGGGCGAGGTTGTGAATTCGCAAGTCGCAATGAGGGGGTTGCATCAAATCTGCTAGTGGGAATTGCATTGCTTTTTGATCATGTCTATTGATACAACCTCGAGACAAGTGAAGCCGAGCTTAAGCTCCGAGGACAGCCAGTTTACTGGGTTTGGCCAGCTGCTTCATTATCCGAGCAATGGGCCATATCCCGCTAATAATAACGGGTGCTTGGTTATAAAGTCTCATGAAACCTTGGCACTCAACATATCAGACTGAACCCCTACAGATAACGAGGGAGCTGACTCCAAAGCCAAGCATATCGTTTAATCGGCCTAGTTTTCTTTTCGCCCTCTATTGATCCATCTGAACATCCAAAACAATGAAGCTCACCGCTATCGCCTGGATTGCTGCTATCATCAATCAGCAGTCGGCTGTTGGGGCTGCCGTATCCCTAGGCGCACAGCAAAAGCCACCATATTTCATCCTGACTGGAGACTCAACTGTTGCCGTCAACGGTGGCTGGGGCGATGGTTTCCTGTCCTTTCTGAAGGCTCCGGCAGAGGGCATCAACCCAGCCAAGAGCGGCGCCACAACCGTCTCATTCAGGCGGCAGGGCTTGTGGGACAAGGCTTTGCAGGCCGTGAGGGACAACGCTGCTAACGCGCAACCTATTGTTACAATGCAATTCGGCCATAACGATCAGAAACCTGCCGCGAACATCTCCACAGAGCAGTTTCGAAACAACCTTGAAGTCATGAGCAGGGAAGCAAGGGAAGCCGGCGCATTTCCCGTGAGATCCAAACAAAATTTACCAAATTACCAGGGTTTCAAACTGATAGACTCTAGATAATCATCACTTCCCTTACGCGACGTACGTTTGAGAATGGACAGGTAGTGCAGAACCTGAAAGAACACTCAGAGCTCGCGATTCAGGCCGCCAAGGCAGCAGGAGCAATGGTTCTCGATCTCAACATGGCCAGCACGAACTATGTTAACGCTATTGGAGAGGCCAACGCGCAATACTACAATCTGGCCGAAGGTGATAGGACTCATCTGAATCCGAAAGGGGAAGTTGTGTTCGGCCGCCTCGTGATCGACCTTCTCCTGGATCAACGGAAGGATTTGGGCTGTTACTTCAGGCCAAACCCTGTCTTGAGTGAGAAGCTCAGGAAGGGCGAGTTTGCGACAGGAGACGAGTAAGACCCATCCCATTCTCAAACGAGCAAGAATCCATGTCATTGAAATATGGGAAACAAGGAGGAAGAGAACGTCATTTGCTGGTAGCTCGGGTAGATAAATCAAAGCTTCCTCAAAACATACCAGAGAGAGCCAACAAACACGCCACCACCTCCACACAATTATATTGACACAGGATTTTCTCAATTGTAGATGTGCATTGAGTGCCTACTTTCGTAGTCGCGATTGAGTCTTGGACCAATGCGCTGCTCCTTCAATTAGTCAGCGACAATCAAAATCCCAGTCGAGGCAAACTCCGCCACGTGACATCGCGACAAGTTCGAGACAGCTGCTGTTTGCTGGTGTGCGCATTTCGTCATCGCAAATCCTCCACTTTCAAGATTCCAGTTCGATCCGTCACACACACGCCTCTTTGCCAGGTCACTTCCTTGGCCCGAAGCGGCGAGGGCAAAGGAGAGTAATAATTGCCCAGGGCATGGTCATCATTCCGCAAACCCCACTTCCGCGACCAGACTCGGGAAATGGTGGATCGGTAGAGTGAGCGCAGCTCCTCCGGCGCAGTCGCAACCATGGCCCCGAAACGTCGCAACGCGGCCGCAAGCGGCATCAGTAATCGCGCCGCCATTGGACTTCGGGGCTCAAGCTCGGCGTCACGCTCGAAGCGCGGCTCTAAGCAAGATGACGTCCCGGATGTCTACCGCGAGATGTTGTCTGAGGCCGGGCCTTCTCGCGCAACGCGCAGTGCCGAGGGCCAAGAGCCACCCCCGAAGAGGCTCAAGAGGCCGGGCCAGAAGCCTAAAGTAGAACAGCCTCAGAACGAAGAGGCGCCAACAATTCCTCCGGTATTATCTGCACAGCAGGTGACACAGGCGGAGGCTGCGACCGAGGTTCCTTCGCAGACCGATGGCGATGATCCTGATGAAGAGGATATCGAATTTGAGGACATCGTCATCCCGGAGCCCGTGATCCAGACTGCCGAGCTCGACTCTGAAGACGAAGATGACGAAGACATCCAATTTGAGGATATCGATCTGGCCGTGGACGAATTGCCTGCTGATGATGGCCCGCCCAAGGTTCTAGAATTGAATCTCACCTCTCACCAGGCCGCGACAACGCCGAGACGCACAGTGGAAAAGCGTAAGCCGCTCACCAAAGAGGAAAAAGAGCGCAGAATCGAGGTGCATAAGATGCACCTCCTGTGCTTACTGGCTCACGCGGCGCGGAGGAACCACTGGTGTAACGACCAAGTGGTCCAGGAGTCTCTTCAATCGCTTCTCACGGACAAGATGGTGACTTACCTCAATCCGCGAAAGAGCCTGCCCCAATTCGGACAAACAGAATCGTTGAAGAATGGGGTGCAGCAGGCCTCGAATGCTTTCAAGCTGCGGTTTGCCATCACCGAACGCGGCTTGAAGCGGGCCTTGTGGGCAGAAGATGAGAAGCATCTTGAGGAGGTAGATACCATTTTTCCCAACTGCTTTCCCAGGTGGATCGACATGGCTGACCATGAATGCAGTATGAATTGCCTAACGACATGGAGTCTACTCTTGAGAGAGCCGACTTCCGAAAAGCTGCCACGACATTGCAAGGATCGAGAGATGTTGGAGCTCAACTGTTCTGCGCCCTCCTTCGAGCAGCCGGTGTAGAAGCCCGGCTAGTATGCTCACTACAGCCGCTGTCATTCGTGCCCGGAGCACCGACCCTTCCCAGGCCCCGGCAGTCGAAGCTGTCTGCGAAATTGGCCAAGGCGGCCGAGGACAGGGACCGCTTCGCCAAACTGTACCAAACGGCGTCGCAGCCAGACCCAGTCTCGGCCTCGACGTCCATGACCCCTCCGAGGCGCCGACTCGGCCACCCCAACGCCACAGGTTACAACATCCCATCAATAGCTTCTCCAACACAGCCATCGCCCTCAACGTCACACGCCCAGGACACCTCCAGCAAACGCATACGCAACGAATCACCTTACCCCGTCTACTGGGTCGAAGTGCTCGACGAGGCACATCAGAAGTGGCAGCCTGTGGACCCCCTAGTCACAGAAACGCAATGGAAACCAGCCAAGCTCGAACCCCCGGCCTCAGACCGCGCAAATTGTCTGTCATACGTCATCGCCTTCGAGGAGGACGGCAGCGCGAAGGACGTGACGCGCCGGTACAGCAAGGCATACAACTCCAAGACGCGCAAGTGGCGCATCGACGGGCTCCCCTCCTCGAACGCCCCATCCCCGCCGCCGGGCAGCGGACCGGACCCCCCACTGGCGCCGGACAGGTGGCTCCGCCGCGCCCTGCGTCTCTACACGCGGCGCATACCCACGGACCTAGACCAGATCGAGAACAACGAGCTGCTGGCCGCCGAGGCGCGGGAGCCGATGCCGCGCAACGTCGCCGACTTCAAGGACCACCCGGTCTACGCCCTCGAGCGGCACCTGCGGCGCCACGAGGTCCTCGCCCCGGACGCGCACTTTGTCGGCACCGTCTCCGCGGGGAGTAAGGCTCCCCTCGAGCGGATCTACCGCCGGCGCGACGTGCGCATCGCCCGCTCGGCCGACAAGTGGTACCGTCTGGGCCGCGTGGTCAAGCCGCTCGAGATCCCCGTGAAGTGGCTGCCCAAGCGCGCCGTGCGCAGACGCGGGCTCTTTGACGATGACGACGGTCCCGATGACGACGATGACGTTGATCCCGTGCTAGGCAGCGGCGCCGGGCCGGGCGACGTCAACGGCACGCCGCTCTTCACGACCGAGCAGACGGAGCTGTACCGCGCGCCGCCCGTCGCGGGCGGCCGCGTGCCCAAGAACAAGTTCGGCAACCTCGACGTGTACGTGCCGAGCATGGTGCCCGAGGGCGGCGCGTACCTGCTCGACGAGCGCGCCGCGCGCGCGGCTTTCATCCTGGGCGTCGACTACGCGCCCGCGCTGACGGGGTTCTCCTTCCGGGGCCGGCACGGCACGGCCGTGCTCAGGGGCGTCGTCGTGCCGGCCGAGAGCGAGGAGGCGGTGCGCGCCGTGGTCGAGGGCCTCGCGGACGCCGAGGCCGAGGCCGAGCGGGAGCGCAGGGCGGCGCGGGCGGTGAGGATGTGGAGCCGGTGGCTCAAGGCGCTGAGGATACGCGAGAGGGTGTGGGCCGGGGCCTCCGAGGGGGAGGTGCTGGCTGAGGAGAGGAGGATTGGGGAGGTTGTTGATAGGGGCAAGGGGAAAGGCAAAGGGAAGGGCAAGAGGGTTATTGTGGACGAAAGTGATGACGCTGATGATGATGAGGCTGGACAGGCCGCTGATGATTGGGATGAGATGATGGAGGATGCGGAGAGTGATGTCACGGAGGAGTTTGATATGGTGCAGGACGATGATGAGGATGAGTATGGGGGTGGTGGGTTCTTGATTGAGTGAAGATCGGGTTGGCACGAATTCTTTGGATGATACCTTTGACACGAATAGATTCTTGATGTGGATATGGAAATATTGAAATATCTTTACATTTCTATGCTGCAACATAATTGACGTTCAAATCATCCATAGCTCCGCCATCTTGATGATACTCAGGGGCTGCCCTCCGCCAGCGTTCCAAACACCAAAAATAAAAGTGCAAAATAAAATCGTCATGACCGGCAAAAGCTCACAGACTCACCCGGAGGGGAGTCTGCTACGAAGATCCTAGGGAGGGATCTTACTGCCGCACAGGATCGCACTGTCGTCGAGTAGTGGTCTGTGTTGTCGTCGGGATTGTTGTTTTTAAAGTATTTTTTGTTGTCGTCATCGGGGAATCGAACTCGTGTCCTCCTCGGGCCTGCTACCTCGCATTCCCTGTCCATTAAACAATCTGACCATGTTGCCAAATTTTCCAATCGTCTTTTCCTCCCCGGCAGCAGACTGCGTTAACCGCGCCTATAAGGGCTCTGACCACCTGGGGGGTATTCCCTCCTGAGGATCAAGAACAAAAGGGCGGCCCAAGCTTGAATCGAGCCATATGGAGGCATCCTCCCTACAGCCCCCCCGACCGCCCTCAGCTGTCCATCCTCTCCTCCAACCACCGCGCAATGGCCTCGTCCGCGCCCGGAGCCAGCCCAAATCCACCACCAGCACCGTCCCCATCGCCAGCGTCGACGACACGCACCCGCCTCTCCGCCTCCCCCTCCCACCCGTCAAACTCCTCATCCCACTTCAGCCGCTCCTTGAGCTCGAGCTTGTCCACGCTGCGCCGCATCAGGTCCGCCAGGGCGCCGGCCTGGGTACCAAAGTTGTTCTCGCCGGCCTTCCTCCTCCGCTTCGTACTAGCGTTGCTCGCCGTCGCCGCGCGTCTCCTCCGCCTCGCCGCCGGCGCGGGCTGTGGCGCCGTCTGGTGCAGAAACAGGGCCTCGGGGATCTTGAGGGTGGACTGCCGCGGCGGGAAGGCGAGGTAGCCCTTGCGCGGGGGCCTGAGCGCCAGGACCTCTTCTTCCTCCGCCGCCTTGGCGCTGACGCCGTCGTCGCGGAGGGGGTCGAGGGACAGCGCGTCGATGGCGTCGAGGAGGGACTGCGGCAGGGTCGACGCCGAGGCGGTGCCGAAGTTGGGCGGGACCCACATGCCCGAGGTGTGGAAGAAGAGGCAGGGGCTGGCGAAGGGGTCGAACAGGTTGGAGGGGCAATTGAAGAGCGCGGGGATCTGGCTGCGGAGGTAGTGGAAGGCGGAGCCGTCTGCGCCCTCGACTGAGGGGGAGGAGGTGGTGGTGGTGATACCAGGGGATGAGAGGTTCTTGGAGGAGTTGATGGGGTGGTCCGGCAGGAAGGTGGTCCAGTTGTAGATGCCGTTGTAGGCGGCGAGCCCGCGGACCGCCATGCGCTGGTGGGAGTGGGACTCGGTCAGGGCGAGGGAAGCGGCGAGGCCCGCGCCGAGGTAGGAGCCGTACACGTAGATGTCCCTCCGAGAGCGCTCAGGCGGGGCGAGGTTGGCGGTGATCCATTCGTAGCCGAAGAGGACGTCGTGGATCGGGGTCGGCCAGTGGAGAGGTGTGGTGAAGTCCGGTTCTTCTTCATCCTCGCCGCTGACGCGGGATGAAGGGGAGGAGGCTGTGGAGGAGAGGACGGTATCCGGCCATCTGTAGTTGATGACGGCGGTAGGGTAGCGTCTTGTAAAGGCAGGCAACGGTGGGACCACATCGTTGCCGAGGGGTGAGAAGGGCGGGAGGCAGATGAGAAGAGGGCTTGTAGACGGATGGTTCTGGACCCCGTGGAGACTGTGCCCTTGTCAGCCTCTGCAGACCATCTGTCCAGGGACGGGCTCTGAACTCACTCAACCGAGATGCTGCCGGACGACGCGCACGGTACAATCACCCTTTCGGCCTCCGGGGCCGAGCTGTACCATCTCGGCCGCTGGTGTGGTGCGGAAGACCCGACACGGACACGGATTCGGACTGCGGCGGGGAGCCATCGTGCCATTTTGCACGGGAATGTCACGCCACTGCTACAACGCAAATGTCACGGACTCACTGCGTGCGGAATTAACATGCGGTTCTTTACTTGTGTTAAAGACTGGGACTTCAGGATGGCAGGCTTACTCTCAGGACCATGTCCTCGACAATCGCCGCTGTTCCAGGCGCGACACCCCGTCCGGAGTCCGACGTCCAAATGGCAGTCTGACACCGGTGAAGGGGTAAGATGCAGTCGGTCAAAAGCCGGGCCAATGGGGAGCACGGATCTGGATCTATCAATTACTGGGCAGTGCGGCACGCACACTCACTCAAGGAAGGTCTAATTCCGACCAATCCGCATCTCTACCATGGCCAGGCAATAGGGTCGGGATGATAACTATGAGTTGGGGGCTGAACTAGATCGGATTTTGAATGTGTCGTCTGAACTCAAAATTGCCCATGCATGGGCCACCCAGCCTACACGTGCCGAGACACACGCGTGGCCAGCAGTAGATCACGGTCAAGAAACAAGCATCTTGAGCTCCCTGAGCCCTCTGAATGGTGCACTAATGCTGCAAGATTTAGCGCCGTTGCCGCCCGCCAACGTCATAGCCAGTCCCACTGCGAGCCCTGGAGCTGGAGGGTTCTCGGCCTCCCCGCCCAAGTCATAAGTACCCAAGGTATCATGTGGAAGAGCCCCAAGAGACACAAATACGAGTAGCATTCCATCCAGTGTCGCCGAGAGTCCGCCCACCGTTGTAGAATTGATCCAATCACTCCATCTGTGTTCGGGATCTCGGAACTGCCGGTTAAGACCCGGAAGTCCATAACAAGCATTATTGCCAAGATCTTTGACCTTTCCAACCCTCGCTCAGTACTACATCATCACTCATGGGACCCTGAATCCGCACGGCCGGACCGGCCAGCCAGCAAGCAAAGCTGCAGCCACAATGAACGATGCAGGCGGAGAGTGCTTGGAGCAGCACGTCAAGGAGGAGGATGGACGCGCCGAGGATCTGCCCAAGGCCATCGAGAGGAACATCCAGAATGACCGGGCGCATCTCGATCCCAGCCGCTGGTGGTTCGCATCCTCCGCCTTCCCCATGATCGCGGCCACCCTCGGACCCGTTGCCAATGCCTTCAGTATCCTGGCTCTTGTCCGTCCATGGAGACAGAGGATCCCTCCCGGGTCCAATATCACGATAGCCCTCTACCAAGATGATCCGGTCTGGTGAGTTCGCCCCTTTGTTGGCAATTGGCCAGCACTTGGCACGTTTCTTTGTGGCCCTACTGACCAACACTGCAAGGCTTCTTGCCATCAATGCTTGCCAGCTGGCCATGGCTCTCATCGCCAATCTGTTCTTGCTGCTGAACATGACGAGGCGAATCCGCTTCACGATAGCCCAACCCGTGACCATCGTGGGGTGGTAAGTATTCGCACCTTGACTCTCTCCAGTCCAATGTCCTGACCATGTGCAGGTATCTCTCTGCCATCCTCCTCATCGCCCTACTCTGCACAGCAGTCGGCCCTCTCCAGCTGTATCCTGAGATCGAGTATGTCTGGTCGCAGGCCTTCTACTACGGCATGTACGGCGCCATCCTGTACTTCATCACGGCCTCGCTCATGGTCGTCACCTTCGCCGGCGCCCAGGCCGGCAAGTACGACAAGGACTTCCAGCTCACCAACGCCCAGCGCACCCTCATGCTCCAGACCATCATGTTCCTCATGTACCTTCTCATCGGGGCCCTCGTCTTCGCCAAGATCAACGGCTGGACGTACCTCGACACGGTCTACTGGGCGGACGTCACGCTATTCACGGTCGGCTTCGGCGATTTCGCCCCGCAGTCGACCCTCGGCCAGTCCCTCGTGATCCCCTACGCGCTCATCGGCGTCATCAGCCTCGGTCTCGTCATCGGCTCCATCCGCAGCCTCGCCCTCGAGCGCGGCAGGAACAGGCTGGACGCGAGGATGATCGAGAAGCGCCGGCGGCGCTTCCTCAAGGAGATGACCAAGAAGGGCAAGGACGGCATCCTCGTCCCCATCGAGCCGGGCCGCGCCGAGTCGGACCTGAGCGAGTTCCAGCGGCGCGAGGCCGAGTTCAAGCTCATGCGCAAGATCCAGCACCAGGTCTCCATGACCCGCCGCTGGTACGCCATGGCCACCTCGACCAGCATCTGGATCTGCCTGTGGCTCGTCGGCGCCAAGATCTTCCAGGTCTGCGAGTTCCCCTACCAGGGCTGGAGCTACTTTGACGGCTTCTACTTTTGCTTCGTCAGCCTGACCACCATCGGCTACGGCGACATAACGCCCGTCTCCAACGCCGGCAGGTCCTTCTTCGTCTTTTGGTCCCTGCTCGCCCTGCCGACCATGACCGTGCTCATCTCCAACGCCGGCGACACCATCGTCAAAGCCATCCGCGACGGCACCGACTTGCTCGGAAGCATCACCATCCTGCCGGGAGAACGTGGTTTCAAGAAGGATATCAAGGAGATCGTGCGCGTCATGTCCTTTGGCAAAGCGTACGCCAACCCCACCAGCTCCAGCGACGACGAGTCGATCCACGAGGATCCTCCCGGCCTCCTCGGCGCGGCGCAGCCGACAAATATCTCCAGCGACGACGATGACGGCCTCGACGTCGACGGCGACGACGACGACAACGGGCCCGACACGGACGCAGAGATCGGCGATGAGCCGCGAGAGAAGCGCCTGAATGATGAACAGCCCGCCGTGAGCAGCGGCAAGGCCAAAAATGATTCCGGGAGGCGCAACGGGACCGATAAGAATACCGACGAAGCGGATTGTGCTTCCCCCTCGTCGTCCAGCCCCCTCCAGCAGCGGCGCGTGCAGACCCTCCAGATGTCACGGGCATCCACCCTCTCCTTCGCCGACTCCACAAACCCCCCCAAGTCCGACCACCACCCGCAGCACCACCACCACGGCCACAGGAGGAACCTATCGCGCGCCAAGACCACCAGCGGCGCGTCCTCGCACTCGTCGGTAAGCGGCGGCCGCCCAGGCAGCAGCGGCAGCGCCGCCACGACCTCGCGGCACCACCGGCACGGCAGGCTCACGGCGCGCGACGACGAGTCGGTCGCCCGCGTCGACCTGCCGCCGTCCCTGCCGTCCACGCGCGCCGAGTACCTGTCGCTGCTCATCGACGAGATCGCGCGCGTGACGCAGCACCTGCGCCACCAGCCGCCACGCAAGTACTCCTTCCACGAGTGGGCGTGGTACCTGCGCCTCATCGGCGAGGACGAGCACGACGCCGCCACCCACCGCAAGGCGCGCCCGCACGTGCACAGCAAGAACTGCCGGCACGACGGCGGCGGCGGCGGCAGCAACAGCAGCAGCATCAACAACAACAACACGAAGGATAAACACCACCATCTTCACGGCGGCGTTGTGGGCAGGCAGTCCGCCGCGGAGCGCCGCGAGGGCGAGACCAAGGCCGCCGAGCTCGACGAGGAGGAGCACGAGATGCAGTGGAGCTGGGTCGGCACGCGCAGCCCGCTTATGGGCAGCCAGCAGGAGGCCGAGTGGATCCTGGGCAAGCTGACGGAGCGCCTGCAGAAGGAGCTCCGGCACGACGTGGAGAGGGAGTCGAGGGGCAGGGAGGGCAGCAGCTATAGCAGTTTTATTGCTGGCGGTGGTGGTGACAAGGAGGAGGAAGAGGTCCTAGAGGAGGAGATCGACGCCAAGGGGGTGAGTATGGAGCCTCCGGGTAAGGAAGCTGGAGACGATATTGTATAAAAGGGTAAAGGGAACTGATCTACAACTAGAGGGCAAAGGCGTTTGAAGACAGCGAGACCACTGGGTACAGCTGCACTGGATACCGTGGGGAGCAGTTCGTTTTAAGGAGTTTAATGTTTGAAGCATGTGTCATTAGCAAATGAACCAAGTTCAAGATTGAGCACTTTATCGCAGCATTCCCTTGCCACGCGTGTGGCATATGAGTCAGGAGCCCCGGATCCGAATAACTCTGGCCATCGGTACGATAGCAGTATTATGTATTCCGCTACTTATTACTCTCTAGAATGGTGTAGAATACAGCACTTGACGTGCCAAAGCAACGCTTGTCTAACCATGCCAAAACGCCAGAGCGGAAAAGCCCTCAAATGCAGAGTTTCCCCCCTTGTCCCATGGTATCTCTTTCCCGTCCCCTCTTTGTTCCATGTAGGAACGAACCGAGCAGAAATGAGAAAGATAGAGGCCCAACGCAGCGCGTACCGCGTCGGCCCAAGATGCGGTCCGGATCGGAGGTGACAAGCCCACCCCGAGAACTGGAACCCAATGATAGCACACATAGACGATACACCCATAATACAACTGTGTAAGCAGCATTAAAACCCTTCCCTTCCGTGATCCCCCCTCCCCCATGTTCCCATCCATCAATGAGCCACTTCTTCTCTTCCCACTCAACCCTTCATCCATCCCACCACCATGACCAATCACTTCGTTTTCTTCTTCAACAAAGCCCCCAGGCTTCAGTACTCCGCCCCAACCCAGTCGAGCGCCAGGCACAGCGCCCCAAACGCCGAGGCGCCCACCCGCACCACCACCGCGACGACGCCGCGCGTCAACACAAAGGCGCACCACACGGCCGCGAACGCCAGGCCCGCGCACAGCTCCGCCGCGGCCCCAAGTCAATGGCCCGACGCCAGCAGCAGGCGGCGGTTCTTCTTGATCACCACGTTGAGGCTCTTCTCGAGCTTCTCCGACTCGCGCCGCGCCACCGCCAGCGCGCTCTCGGCGTCCTCGGCCGACAGCAGCGGCACGCTGCTGAAGGGTGACGCCGATGAGGCCGATGACGAGGTGCCGCCCGCGGCGGCGCCAGAGGTGGCGACAGCGGTAGAGGTGTTGCCCAGCGCGGTCGATGTCGAGTCAATGTCTGCCATCGTCTTGAGCGGCGCCGTGGCATCTGCAATGTCCGGGTCACCAGCGACGGCAGCGGGGTCGTGGTGCGCACCGGCAGAAGCCGCAGCCGAGTTGAAGATCCACGGCGCCAGCGACGACAGAGAACCCGGGTGCGGAGCCTTGGCGTCCTGGCCGAGCGAGTTCTTCCACGAGGTGCCGAGGCTCAGACGCGGGAGGACGTACTGGTTGATGCAGTAGATGGCCTCCTCGCGCTGAATCTTAGCCACCGGATCGCGGTTCTTGCCGTCCGACGACTGCGGGAAGTACCCTGGCGGTCCGTTGGGGACAGCCCTGCCCTTGACCAGGCTGAATCCTCCAGCAGACTCGTGCCGGGTGTGGACGTACGATGCAGGTCCATTGGTAGCGGCTGCGATCAGCTTCTGCAGCTCCAGAAACCGCGTCTCTTCCTCCTCAGTCAGGTTCCGCACGCAGTCGCCGTTGGGCGTCAGCAGCACACGGACGCCGTCGAGGATCTTCCGGACGGCTTTGCCATCGAGGAGCGCGGCCTGGTCCTCCTCGGTGATCATTGAGCGGGACGACGCCATCATGTCCTTGGCATTGAGGCTGTCCTTGAGATCATGTCGCTGAGGCTGCGAGGCCGTGAGCAGCTTGAGCAGAGCAATCTGTTCTGGATCGGCAATGTCGCCCTTGGCCACAAGATCCTGCAAGATGGACTGAGGGGTGGGAAGATGTCTCTCAGTTTCGGGCGTCTTGCTGCCGGTGTCTTGCTGCTCCTCCTGGGGCGTGTCTACCACTTCTGCGACGGTCGCCTGCTTTGATTTGCTCTTAGGGGCGGGCGATTCGCTCTTTGGGGCAGGTTTGGGTTCTAGTTGCGGCTCAGGCTGCGCCTTCTTGCTCTTAGCAGGTTTCTCATCGGTAACCGTCTGAGCTTTGGCGGGTTCCTCCTTCACGGCAGCAGGACCCGGGGTGGCTGGACGACTCTGAACGGGCGTCAGACTGGAACCACTCGACTTGTCCTTCTTCTGCTTCTTCTTTCGTCCAACAATCGGGCCAACCTCAGCCTCCTTCTCAGGAATAGGCTGACTGGCGATCTTCTCGGCCTCCTTCTTTGTGGCCTGCTTACGCTCTTTACGTTGCTGGCTCTTGGTCGTGCTCCTGACAGCTGCCGCCCCGACTCTCGACGGCGGGGGCGAGCTGGCCCGCGAGCCAGACATGGTGGTCGAGACAACAGATGCATTATCCGAGATGATCTCGCTAGCCGGAGTGCCAGGACGGTTAGTGGGCAGGACGGAGGACCGACCGTGATGTTTGGTATCGATAGACATCGATAGGGTGGGAGCCGCCTCGGTCTTGGGAGTGGGAACAAGCCGGAGACTCCTAGGTCCCGACCGAGCTACTGGCGACGAAACTGCCGCCGCAGTGGGTGTGGGAAGGGCTGGGAAGCCGGAAGCCTGATCCGACGCGGTCTTGTCAACCGCAGAAGACGACTCAGCAACCTTGGCCTGTTGCGACGTTCTCGTAGCGGCTGCAATATTAAGGATGCCGGGGACTGGCTTCTTTCCAGCCTTCTTCGGGGTCTCGACCGCAGGTCCGGCAGAATAAGGTGCAGGGGTCGGCGGTTTGGCAGTAGTGTTTGTGGGAGGCTGAACAGGTGTTTTCTTCGACGATGCAGGGGCTGTTGCCACGGCCTTCGGCTGAACAGGCGTAGCAGGAGCGGGAGCGGGAGCCTGCGGTGTCGCCTTGGCATCCAGAGCTGGGAAGTCTGCCTCTTGCAGAAGCTGCTTGGAAGAGCTTGCGATCTGTTTGGAAAGCCCAGTCTCGACGGCCCGTGCCTTGACCGTTTTCTTGGTCTCTGCGCTTGGGGCTTTCTTGGGAGTTTGCTCAAAGGGTTTAAGAGGGATGATGGGCGTAGGAGTCTGTCGAGTCGCTGCGGGACTTGACGGGATAGCATCCGAAGCAACGGGAGGAGGCTGAAAGCTAACAAAGCCAAGACCTGGCGGAGCTGCCGGCGTCGAATAATACTGGGTGCCAGCGCTGAAGTCGTCCTCCGAGACCAGGGCGTCTACTGTTGAGGTTGCCTCGTCCATAGAGAGGAGCTCGTCATCTACAAGAACAGTCAGCTATACCATCCAATATCAGGTATGAGACGCTCTAAGACCATGGGCGGCAACAACGCAATACCACTTGGCATCTGAGGGAGGCTGAAAGACACCAAAACACGTTATATACATGGACGTTCGGTGTCACGCCTAGGACTATTTGCCATCATCGTCTTCCAGAGAGGGGTTAAGGGTTACAGGTGGCACAAGCTCTCGTGTAAAGAAAAAGAAGAATATATTTGCCAACAAGGTCAATGCAGTTTTCCAGGGATCGGAAACTGCATTGCTGGTTAACGTACATGAAACCCCTCGAGAGGAAGACGATGATTGGCTTGCCTTGCGTAAACCGATGTCCCAAGAAGTCAAAAGCCCATGCCGAAATACTCCATCGCCGAGACTCAAAGTTGACAGTGATGGGCCCCTGGACATTGTCGAAGGAATCTTTCCCTCCTGCGCAAAGGATAAGAAGAAATGCAAAGTTTTGTGTGTAAACGCCAATGCAATCCTGGCCTTGACCGGACCTGATGTTGCGATGCTCGCTGAAATAGACGCGAATCCTCGTTTTTCGTGCCATAGAACAGTCGGGCCAAATCCCTTGGCCTCGAACGTCCCTCATAATACATCAAAACAGACAAAAAAGCAAAAGAAACGAAAAGCCTCCCTCAGTGTACGTCGTTCCTCAATTACCACCTGGGGTAACCAGCATTATACATCATGCCCGGGTTGTACCCACCTTGGCTCTGGCTTCCAAACAGCCCCTGTCCAACTCCGGCATTGCTCTGTTGGTGTTGCATGCGTGCCTGCAGGATGCTCGGGTCCGCAAGATCAACTAAGGCACTCCCCCCAGAGGAGGAAGTGTTAGCGTGTCTGTGCTTCTTCCCCTTCTTCTTCTGCTTGGAACCGAAGTCTTGGAATGCTCCAGGCTGGTTACCGTAGAGCGATGCCAGGAGGCCGGAAGCAGGAGCTGGGGTGGTGGAGGTAGAGGGTGGGTACTGATTAGAAAAGGAGGAAGGGAACATGTACTCACGCTTTCCCGCATCGTGAGCCTGGGCACCACCTGTTCGGCCCCTGCTGTGAATGAGGTTCTGAAGAATCTCGCTAGTATCCTTCTGGCCACCAAATCCAGCACCGCCAAAGCCGTGGCCTTGACCAAACATATTGGGAGGAGTGCCAGTGGACTTGAGGCCCGGGGGAGGGCCAGGCATTGAGGACTGGTAATACTGGCCACCAGATTGGGAGTTGAACGCAGTCGGCATCATGGAAGCTTGCTGCGCCATGACCCTAGGGTTGGCTGCAAGCTTCACCGAGGTTGAGCTTGAGGCCCCCTCATTGGCAAAGCTGTACCGCGATGTCTGGCGGTTGTGGCCCTGGCCCTGAAATAAGCCAGTCTGCGAAGGCGTGATGCCTGGAGGCAGATGATCGGCAAACGAGGCCTGTGGTCGGTTGAACAGTTGTTGCTGTTGTTGAGGGGTCATAGATCGACTTCCGGCGTTGCTCAAGCCAGACGGCTGCATCAGGTTGGTTGCCAGACCAGCACCGAAGGCGTCATTACTGCTACGTTGGATTGGAGGTTGACCGCGACCCCGCCGCTGGTCAAAGACACCACCCTGACCATGGGTCCCGTCTTCAGGCTCTCCTCCGAGTGCCAAGCTACCGCTACTCTCAGGCTCTCCCTCGGATGCTTCTTGTGCCTCGCTCTGGGATTCTTGGTCGACACCCAACCGACGTTCTTCTGCCTCACGGAAAGCACGTCGCCTGGCTGCGCCGTAAGGGTCGAAGAGAGGAGGGAAGTTTTCCGCCATTGCATCGTCCCAGCTAATGTTCGCGAAGTTTGCAACCTGTATGGCTTTCACACAGCTGGCCAGCACCTTGTCGTGATGATCGGCATCAGACTTCGGCACGGTAGAGGAAGCTCGACTGGGTGGAGCCTCAGTAGAAGTATTGGAAGCTTGAGCAGGAGGCCGCTCTGGCTCCTCTTGGATTGCCAACTCAGATTCCTGGGCTGACTCGGCGGTGACAGGAAGGGACATCGAGATTGCGGGGCTCGAGGCTGCGCCACTGGTAGCATGGCTTCCACGGCGGCTTCGGACTTGAGGGTGCCGAGCCCAGTTCGCAGAGGAAGGTAGCGCTGATGCGTCTCCGTTCTCGGAATCGTCGCGGCTAGAGCTTCGAGCCATGGGTTGGGACTGTGGTGGAGGGTGCATCTGCTGCCTGGATGTGGAACGAGCGCCGCCAGCTGCTAACGGTCGTTGCGTCTGGATACTATTCATTGAAGAAAGATCTTGTCGAGTGTAACTGTCCTCTTCATCACCTAGCTCGTGCAAGAACATGCACTGTCGGTTCGTGCATTGCTCATGCCGAAGCCAGGCGGAACAGTACTTTGTGGTGCCGAGTTGGGCTTTGAGGACCCGATCTCCATTCTGGGAGCCGTTGACAGCCTGGATACAACGCTGTGCTTCCTCCTTCTTCTCGAACGTCACATAGATACCAAGGGACTGGTTCTGGCCGTCGGAGCTCTTGCGATTACTAATCGAGATCTTTTGGATGTTGCCGTATTGCCCGAAGAACTCGGGCTTGCGCAGCGTCTTCAGCAACTCGTCTTCACGAACAGTCGGCGTAAGACCAGTAACGTATACGAGGTTCTTTTGTACGACGCGCACACCGACGAGATTCTTCCGGTTCTCTTTTTCGCTTTCTCGCTTTTGCACTTCTTTTTGACGTTGTTCGGCAGCTCGCTTCTTCTGATTCTTTTGAATGTTGGCACGGAACTCGGCAACCCTTGAAAAAGTTAGTCGCGGTGGTGAGAGAGGAATGGGGGCTGGGCAAACATACTCGTCCGCAGTGACAACCTTCCACTGTATTGTCTTCTCGTCGTAGGGTCGTCGGCAGGCAGGACACAGGCCATTCATGGTATTCTTGATGTTGTTGAAGCAGAACTGGCATATTTGATAGCCACAAGGACACGGCCGAAAGTTTCGGTCGGACAGATCGAACTCTTCGATACATAGAGGGCTGCATAACAGTCAGCCAAAGCTTGTCGTGGTATGGAGTACGGGGAAGTCATGGTCGATAGATGCTGAAAGGGGGACGTGGGGGTCGGGATCAAAACCTACCAGGTGTCATCCTCCTCCTCGATAAATGTATCTTGAGGCGCCATGATGGCTACTGTGCTCTGAGAACCCCGTTGGCCCGAAGAAGGGCACGCAGAAAGCCGGTATCAGAAGGGGAGGGGAGGCGGTCGGGGTGAGATGAAGTTGACAACCGGACGAAGAGGTCGACAGGAGACGCAAGGTTTTTGGGTATCTCGAGTCAAACAGGGTGGTTCGTCTATGGGTTAAGGAAACTCGGGAAGAATGCAAAACGCCTTGTAGTAGATGTACAGGGAAGAGCGGCGATGCTCACTTCACGAGGTGATGGCCCCTGGGATGTTGTATGGGGAGAAAGTACGCCAGGTAGGAGGAGGAGTGGTGAAGGAGGAGAGGTCGCTTTGCCAGGAAGAAGCGAGGGCAAAAGCCTTCCAGAGAAGCATCGCGCTGGGCCGCGCTAGCTCTTTTGGGGTTGGTCTCGTGGAGGACAGTGCACGTGGCGAATCACGACTGGGAGAGGTAGTTCAAACCCAGTGCCTCGAAACAGCTCGCTCTCGCGCTTGTTCTAGAGTCTAATGCCCGAATTTGGAGGATTTTCAATTACGCAGATCTAATGTAAAATAGAGCTGGTTTGTCTCTTCTCAAAGGCCCTCTCAGCTGTACTCGCTGTTCCGTCGTTTCCATGCCTTAGGTATCTACTGAGATAATCCAGATCACGTGAACTCTGGCTCCGCGCTTGAAAGGGGCAGCAACGGTCGACAGCCTTTCGCGCGCCTTCCACAGCATATGCCCCACAAGGTCGACTCGCCCAATCACAACAACTGGAATTCTCTCTGAGCTTTGAAGAAACAATTATCCGTGGACTGGCCCGAGCCGACATCACCACCACCACCATCACCACCTCGTCGACCGGAAGATCCACCGACAGGGTTCTCCCAAAGACTGCAATTGAGAGGTCCTACCATCAATTGGCCTCGGGAAACCTTGTTCATATCCGCAATGGCCAGCAAAATCTGCAGAAGCAGGGCTGTCGCCTCTGCCCTGCGGCCGGCTAAGCCCTCGGTCGCGGCAGCTCGATGCTTCTCCGTCACCAGCCGCCAGAGCGTCAACCTCCCCAAAGATGCGCCCAACCTCCGCAAGGCCGAGAGGGCTCCCGTCGGCACCCTGCATGTTCCCCTTGTGAACCCCGCCGACAAGTATGCCTCCAAGGCCGACAACATGCACAAGTACGGGTCTTGGATCATGAGCTGCATGCCAAAATACGTCCAGCAGTTCTCAGTCTGGAAGGATGAGTTGACCATCTACATCTGCCCGTCCGGCGTCATCCCCGTTTTCAACTTCCTCAAGTGTATGTTGTTGCTCTAGATCCAGAGATCCTGGACGAGTTTTTTGAGACGTGAGTTCGTGGGCTAATCAGAACCGTAGACAACACTTCCGCCGAGTTCACCCAGGTCAGCGATATTACCGCCGTCGATTTCCCCACCCGCGACCAACGATTCGAGATTGTCTACAACCTCCTCAGTGTCCGGCACAATGCCAGAATTCGCGTCAAGACTTACGCCGATGAGGCTTCTCCCGTGCCCAGTGTCACAGGCATCTTCGACGGTGCCAACTGGTACGAGAGGGAGGTGTACGATCTCTTTGGTGTCTTCTTCGTCGGCCACCCGGATCTGCGGCGTATCATGACCGACTACGGTTTTGAAGGCCACCCTCTGCGGAAGGATTTCCCCTTGACTGGGTACACCGAGATTAGATACGACGAGGAGAAGAAGCGAATTGTGACGGAGCCACTGGAGCTCACGCAAGCTTTCCGGAACTTCGAGGGTGGCTCGAGTGCCTGGGAGCAGATTGGTCCTGGCACGGACAGGAAGCCCGAGACCTTCAAGCTGCCCACGCCGAAGCCCGAGGAGAAGAAGGAAGAGCAGAAGAAATAGACGTCCGCTTTCTTATGTTTTGTACATATCCCGATGTAGAACTACGGCAAACAGAGAGTTTCCATATCGTCTGCCTTCTCTTGCAGAAGTCTGTGATGAAAACGAAGCGTGGGCGTGAATGACATCCGGAAAAGCTCTAACACCTTGCGAACAGACTGCTGACGAATCAGATTGAACAGATTCACCAAGACATTTCGGGGGCTTTTCTTCGAGTTCGAAGGTCTGAAGGGCGCAAGTTATTGACGTCGGCACATGTCGGAGCAGGACAATAAAGTAATGGGGATCGCAGATTCAGTGACTGTTTCGATCAAAAGAGCTGCTCCAATACCTTGGATCGAGAGGGCCGGTTCAGCGCAGAGCATGTTGCTTTCTCTGATCACTTTGGTTATGGTAAACGGCGTGTTCAGGCAAACCCTTCGTTTTCTATCCTTGGTTAGAAGGCTCTTGGGGAGCATGTTTCTTTGCCAAGACATAACTTGCTCCGTGGAACCACAGAACCCAAGCTCCGTACTCGAACCCTGGGCAGACTTTCATCTTTCATCGACCTGAACTTTGCTCATCCGCAGCATGGGTCTCAGAAAGTCTCGAAATCGTACCTCCATCACACACCCTTCTGGTCTCTCCAGGAGACATCCTAGGTGATACAATTTCGACCTTCCACGGCCGTACGGACGCCTTCCTTATAGGTCATCTACACCCTGGCTGATATCACAACAATCATAACTAGTCGGCAATACTTCAGAAGGCTTTAGGAAGATCAAGATAAGTTATTCGCACGAAAGCTGTTCGAGTACATCGTCGCCACAGCTCGGAGAGAGTAGTCTGCGTCACGCTACAGCACTGTTACTCTCAACTTCAACCTGGAGCCAGTCTGAACCTACGCTCTCTGCCTCCTTCGAGACCGCTTTCGAATATATGTCAACGAGTATGCTGGCTAATAGCCATTTGGAGGCAGACGACGCCGAATATGAACGGTTCGAATGCGAGTTCTACACCTTCGACGGCAACCCTATCCCGCTCCCTGACGAGCTGCACATCCATACAAGGAGCGGTTTAGTAACGAGGGTGAAACAGTGCGTCATCAAAACCAAGTCGTTGGTCAAGTCCCTCATCACGTTGCGTGTGATGAGGAGGCAATCCAGCGAGACAGCGAGGCATATGTCCCAGCACAACGATAATGCCATTGATCTGACAGCTGGCCGCGTCGGCCTTGGTGCACGGGCGTCTGAGGCATCTGAAAGGTTAGTCGCCAGGTTGCAGATGTTCTTCAATAACCCGGCTGAGGAGGCTTTTGCTGCTTTCCAGAAAGCTCGGAATGCACTGGATTTCGTCCAGCGAACCAGTGAAAGAAACGGCAAGGCGATGGCACGAAGCCTCAACCACGAAGATGACATGGCCCGATTGTCGTCCCAGGAGATCGAGTCGATGAACGTTGTTCGAGAGGCTGATGACTACCAGGACCCGGGTGATTGGGAGCTGGTAGAGGGATTCTCATTGTCCAGAGGAAAAGTCGGATGCCGCTGCATAATAAACATAATCACAACATAGCGTGCTGAAAGATATGAGTGACGACTGGCCAGATCAGGAATGCGTAGCAGAATGCCCTCGTCAACTGGTGAGCCCATTGCTTTTGAATGGATATATCGTGGGAACCGAGACAGCACAATATCAGCTGTCAATCTTAACAACACACTCACATTGCGCGCTATCGCCTGCACAACTTACTCTTCTCTTCTGACCCATTTCAATAGATGATATTCTATCTCGGAGTATAACGCATGAGCACTGGAACCGTCATTTCTGCCCATTCAGTCGGCTTCACAGTCACGATGTTTGAGCTACCCGGCCGTCGGCTAAACGATGTGAAGCATGGAGACATCTCAAGAGCTAGCGCTGCTGTCTGGAATACGCCAACGATAATTGGTGCGCGGAACAAGGACAAAGCCGGGGACGGCCGCAAAGGGCACTAATGTCGACCCCAAGGGCCGGGTTCTAATACCGGGAGCGACCATTCCCACTGCCGTGTAAACGTTGTTCCTGCATACCCGAACATGTACTCCGAACCCGCTCAACAGTAGGAGGGGCGCCCGCGACTGATCGTGGGGCGTCGCAAAAGCGCACACGATGTTGCATCGTTTTCTTTCATGAATTATTTTATGATTTCTAGACTCATCAGTCGACGGCCTGTATATACGACCCTCTCGCAGAGCTCCGGCGGTCTCCCTTGCTTGTCTAGATCTCGCGCCCGGCAGTTCGCGACCAGTCCTCGCAAACGACGTCACGACGCCAAGATGCCTCTCCACCACTTGATGATCGGGACCTGGACCCCTCCAGGCGCAATCTTTACCGTCGCATTCGACGACGAGAAGCTCGAATTGAAGCTGGTCAAGAGGACAGAGATCCCCCACGACGAGCCCATATCATGGATGGCATTTGACGTGAGCCAATTGAACCCCCCGAGAGGCAACAAGCATCCGATTGATGCATGGACTTATCCGACTTACACTGCACCGTAGCATGCGAAGAAGAATCTGTACGGCTCGGCCATGAAGAAGTGGTCCTCTTTCGCCGTCAAGAGCCCGACCGAGATCGTCCACGAGGCATCGCACGCCATGGGGGGAGATCGTAAGTCACAGCTCCCCATCACCTCTCCCAAGATTCGCGAGATGCCAACCCTTATCACGCGCTTCCAGCCCAGGCGAACTCCTCCGAGACAAACACCCGCGCCATCTTCCTCCTCCCGGCCAAGCAGCCCCCCTACGCCGTCTACTGCAACCCCTTCTACAAGCACGCCGGCTACGGCAACGTCTTCTCCGTCTCCGGCTCGGGCGCCCTCGCCTCCAACATCCAAAACTACCCCTACCAGGAGAACACGGGGATCCACGGCATGGTCTTCGACCCCACCGAGACCTACCTCTACTCGGCCGACCTGACGGCCAACAAGCTCTGGGTGCACCGCAAGGTCCCCGGCCGCGCCGACGGGCAGGTCGAGCTCGTCGGCTCCGTCGACGCACCCGCACCCGGCGACCACCCGCGCTGGGTGGCCATGCACCCGACGGGCAACTACCTCTACGCGCTGATGGAGGCCGGCAACCGCCTCTGCGAGTACGTCATCGACCCGGCCACCCGGCTGCCCGTCTACACGCACCACAGCTTCCCGCTGATCCCGCCGGGGGTCGCGACGCACGACGCCCAGACGGGCAAGGGCCTGTACCGCAGCGACGTGTGCAGCCTGACGCGCAGCGGGCGGTACCTGTTCGCGACGGCGCGGGCCAACAGCTTCGACCTGACGGGGTACGTCGCGGCGTTCCGGCTGCGCGACTGCGGCAGCGTCGAGGCGCAGCTCCTGCTGCACCCGACGCCGACGAGCGGCGGGCACAGCAACGCCGTCGCGCCGTGCGACTGGAGCGACGAGTGGCTGGCCATCACGGACGACCAGGAGGGCTGGGTGGAGATGTACCGCTGGAAGGACGAGTACCTGTCCCGGGTCGCGCGGGTCAGGATCCCCGAGCCCGGGTTCGGCATGAATGCCATCTGGTACGACTGAATGGAAGGGGGGCAAAAAACCGTGGCATAGAGCAGAGCGAGAGGGTGGGTTGTGCTTTCTGAGGACGTTCATACAAAGCCCATTTGCATAGCATATCACGGAGCAATTTGATACAATGTGAGGACTGGAAGCTCTCTTGTTCAGATCATATCATCATATCCTGAAATGTCCAAGACAATCTACATACGGAGTAATCGGTTTTCCTATATACAAGAAGTTTGGTTGCGAAATCCACGCTGTCTACATGCTAAATATTGATATCGTGTGTCATGACACATTCCCGTTTCCAATGGTGACCCAGTTGCGCCGTTGCCCAGATCAAAACAAATGTTGGATCCCAAATATTACCCTTCATGCAATGCATATCTCGGCAGCTTTTCATCTCATCCCGTCACAGTAACCGCTGTCGTACGTCTCGCCGCCCTCTTTGGCAGTGCAGTGAAGACAATCGCCCTCGAGACTGTCGACCAGACAGTTTCAGCAGTCTCCTCAAACCATACAATGCTGGCCAATACCCCCCAGGAAGTCCATGGCGATGCGCAAGTGCGCAAGGCGATCAGTCGTCGTCTACAATGTCGTCGCTGCTGCTACTACCAGAGGACGTTGTGACGGACCCACTGCGCCTTGCCATCGATACCAGGTGGTAGATGCCAAATGCAATCAGCGCCAGGACAATGAACAGGACGATGATGATGACGGCGATGACGTCGTTCTGCTTCATCGTGGAGTTTGTGTAGAGTGCGCGCGCCCCCGTCTAGTAGACGGAGCGCAGCCTGAGCTAAAGGTGTCTGTGGGCGTGGAGGAGGAATGCGGAGCAAGGCAGCCCAGTTGTGACTTGGGCTCGAGACTCTTTCGAAGGACTTGGCGTGCGGGTATGATGCGAGGAATGTTGCAAAGCTGTCGCTAGATAGAGGCACTGAAAGAAAAGGTTTCGTTAGTCCCGTTTCGTCTCAATCAACTGGAATGGCGGCTCTCATGGCCTGCAAGAGTCTGGTTGGCACTTACACCTTTGAAGCTTCAGAGACAACGGCCCCGCAGCGGATAGTAAGACTGCTGCAGTCGGTGTTTGTCGCAAAAGCTCACTTCAGATCTGGATGTTTCCGACTTGGTGAAAATCGCCTCGATTGTTCAGATAGCACCAAAGTGTCACACAGATTTGGATAAAAGCATTGGAATGTAGAGAGGCAGCACACAGGATTGGGAGCACGAATGCAGGCTTAAAGAGGGCGGTTGCCCCGCCACCTCCGTTCCCAAGTCAATAATGAAAAGGCTGGCGGGCCCTGGCGCCAACCACCCGCCGTGGAAAAGTGCAGGGGTCGCAGGCACCAAGCTGTAGTGGGTCAGACCGACCAGCCTCACTAAAAACGAGCCTGTAGAGCTCCTCATTCGCCAAAGCTCTAGCAGCTCAGGAACGCTGTGGGTCTCGGCCTGTTCAAGTGGTCTGGTCTTGCACCTCTGCAAATCCTGGCAATGGGTCTGGGTCAGCATCTTTACCAGCCCACGTCATTGGGACCTACGGAGTACCTTGGTAGGATCATTCACCTGGCCACAATTGAGCGAGTGTTCGGGCTGCTGGAGAACTTGTTTCAGCTTGTTCGTTCGAAGTGAACGTAGGTTCGCGGCCAAAAAAAAACCCTGGAATCTTTCCATATCATGTCAAGGTATTCGCACACTATCAAACAGAAAAGTAGCAAAGGCAGCCCCTTTTTAACACCCACCAGCAACCCACTCACGGAGGACTTCCCTTATAATCGCCCTCGTCGTCTCCCATACACTACCAAAAGACCAGTGAGATCAAAACCATAGAGCGCCAAATGCCCTTGATGGTGCCGTGCTGCGCTGCAAATGATGCGCTCGAAATTTCACCTATGTACCAACGCCAACGAGCCCATCAACTTCCATCCGGTGTAGAAGACAGACTTTGTCCGAGCCGACTTCAATCGGTCTTGAAGTTGATCTTCGACTCGTAGAATTGCAAAATCTGCAGGAACGGTCAGTAAGTAGAAAGATGGGACTGAAATAGCGAGGTGCTGCACACTAGTCGTACCTTTTGAGGGCATCTCGCGTATGCCTGCTTCGTGGGGTGTTGCGTCTTGTGTCCATTCTTCCAGTTTAGGAGAACGGTGAGTGCGCCGTCTTCATTGCGGAACATATCCACTGTCTCGACCAGGTCATCCCATCCACCAGCTGGAGGCTTGAACTCAACAGCCTTCTTGCTCTGCGGCGCATCGCTGTCCGCAGGGTGTCCGTTTTGGCGGGCGCGCTTCGCATTACCTCCCGCTCCGTTGCCAGTAGACTGCCGGCCGCGCTTCTTGGTGTTGAGAGCTTTGGTGGTCTCCTCGAAGAGCTTCTCGCGCCCGCCAATGCTGGTGAAGTAGTCGTCGAGAATTGCTTGTGCTGTGCCCCTGGTGGAAGTCAGCAATTTGTTTCCAGCCACGTATCCGTCTGCTTCGTTTGCCTTACTCGAAATTCTCCTCTGGCTCCCATGTGCGGTCAGATTTCTTCTCGAAACCCTCCCATTTCACCTCGAACCGTGGTTGTCCCTAGCATCCAAGTCAGCTTGGTAGATGACAGCACCCATGACAGTACGTACGTCCTCGGCAATCATGTGCGAAAGAATCTTCTCGACAACATATCTGCACCAAATGTTAGCTTTGTCGAGGTTCGATTGCCGAGAGGTGGGACGTACTCGTCGTCGTCCAGACCCTCTTCATCCTCGTCCTCGTCCTCCTCGTCTTCTGCAGCACCCCCATTGGTCCCTTTCTTGGCAAGATCATCGTCTGATTCGTCCTCGTCCTCCTCCTCCTCAACTTTATATGCAACACTCGGGCGCTCGCGTTTCGGCGGCTGCTCGACACTCACGTCGGACGCCTCATCGTCGCTAATGGCTATATATGACTTCGTTAGCATCTCGCTTGGTCGCTTGCGAATCATTGGGGCGCAGATCCCACACATATACGTGCGCCCAACCTATGCGCCTAGAGCTAACGGCCAGGCGACATTGAGGTTGTGGTAATGCGGTTTCGGGGGAGGACGGACGGGTCTAGCTTACCTGGAGGCATTGCGTTTGGAGAATGAAACGCTTGGAGCAACAAGAAGAGCACAATCTGAGAAGGTATCCAGCTGCAAGAGAAAAGAACCAGTGAAGCGCACAGCAGCGGCGTCGTGATTGACTTTGACCCTGATGGCTGGGAGTGGAAGCGTGCTAAAAGAATAAGTGGTCCTATAATTGTCGCGACCGATGGCCGGGGAAGCGCGTCTTTGCTGGGTGCCACGTGACCTAGCGTCACCGCCTTAATTGTTTGCTTTCGATGAGGCCCACCATGACAGACTGGAGACATGACAAGTTGGAGACAAGCATTCCCAAATCAATATCTACAGGTATGCTCAAATTAACTATATACCTAGATCATATGTTCTCATAGGACTCTAGTGAGAGAACCGCATTTGCCAGCCCATACCTTGAATATCTCCTCTTAGAATAATGATCGACCATGGTCGAGATTAGTCTAAAACGTCTCAACATGTGAGTGATAGCTTAGTAGGTAGCTGTGTTCCAGCCATTGAAGTTTATACACTCATAGCTAAAGATTGTATAACTTCATGGTACTCAAGATTTTTTATTCTACACTCACTCGCTATCGACGAGGGAGAAGAGAACAACAAGGGAATTTAGGCCATCCAGTGCCCTTGCTCAAAATGTCAAAGAAACTGGGAAATCCAGGAGTTGACATGATGTCACCCAAGCCATTCACCTGTCTAGCAATGAGAATGTGAAGTAGCTAGTTTACATCAACTGCTTCGCACCATGCAATAGTGTTGCCACTCGTTGGGCTCTAGAACGACGGTGTATTACATGTGATTGAAGCTTTAAAGGGTGTCGAATGCTTGAGTCTTCCGGTCAACCAGTCCATCTCTTTAGCCAACGCACAAGACAGAGAGGCAGTGTTATATCTGCCCACGTCTGCCAGAGTTGCTGATGCTCATTAAGTACGTTGACACTGTAACATCTAAAGCTTGTCTCGAATCGGGGTGTCATGTCTGAAAATTCAAGAAAACAAGACAGCTTAGGTTCTTCCCCTAGGCCTAGCCCAACAGGCGAGCTGTACAAACTGTGCTACATGCAGGTTCATGCATACATACTATTTGCATGCGAAGTTCAGGGGTAGTAATCCTTCAGCTGCCAAAACACGGGGAGGGGGGGAAGAAAAAGCCGAAAAAAGAAAGAAAGCAATCAATTGGTGTACAAGTAGATGAGTCAAGCGAGTAGAGCCCTGTCTGATACAAACTCTATCTACTTGGCCGATGTCTCCCAGCTAGGATAGAATGATCAATCGTCATGGAAGATGTTTCAATCAGGGTTGCCAGAAATAAAACGAGCGTCCACGAAACAATTGAATTGATGGACACAGCCGAGACAGGGTCTTGTATCCACTGATGTTTCTCGAAGCTGAGCACCCCTGAACCACGCCGCAGCATCAGGCCAACAGCTCGAAGATCCGCCGACTGATTGATAGCTCTTTATGACGTGCCTTGACAACCGTTGCCTCGTCACACGGTGGAGGCAATCACAGAGCCACTAGGGCTGCCCTCTCTTTCTCTTCGCAGTGCTCATAGACCAGATGGATCACCCAAGAGCATCAAGAAAAGCATCAAATGCCGAACTGCTTTCAGGGACTGGGGATCCGCCAGAGTGGAGCGTTTTGTGGCCTGCGATCGACAAGCGGAAGGGCGGAAGACGGTTGGAAGCTCAATTGGAACGGTCGAACTTCAAGGGGATCCCTGGATCCTGGAAAACCCGTTGACAAGCGCGATTGGGCTGAGCTTCCCGCCCCCCTGCAGCGCGCCCAATCGCGTGTCGCCTGCGCCAATAGCGCCAACAGCTTCCGCTAAATCTGGGGTGGAACACCCTGGACGCCTTAATAAAATACTGGACTAATAATTAAATTTCCAATCACCAATGTGACATTCTGCGCCGCTTCCCTCCGCACGCCCTCTCTCCTTTCCTTTGCGCTTGTGAACGGGGAGAACCATTGATATTTGACAGCAGCGACCGCCCAGTCTGTTATCAGGAGTGGAAAAGAGCCACCGTACGGAGAACGTTCCTAGAGCCCGAGCACTCAGAAGTCGCCTGTCAGCCATCTTCGCTTCGGGCCTTGAAGTTGAGACCGACGCTTGTCCAGATGCAAGCCTGATTGATTGTGGCGGACGACAAGGCCAGCTTCGCACAGCTCGACCGTCACCTCCCCCCGATCGCCTAATTCCAGGCCCTATATGACGAGCGCGAGATTTGCATGGCCTCGACGGAGCGATCCCGGAGTCAGCAAGGATGCCAGATAACTCCGATGCAAATATAGAGGGGAACACCCCGAAAGCTCCAAAGGACAGGAGCTGCCAGTTCTGCGGCCAGGCATTCACGTCCTCGTCGCTCGGTCGCCATCTTGACCTCTATATCAAGGACAAGAACCCCAAGGCGCCCGACGGCGTACACGATGTGGACGTTATACGACAGCTGCGCGGCAACATCACAAGAAGACAGCCCAAGGGCGCCGGCAAGAGGGATACCACCACACCCATAGCTACGCCGGCTGCTGCCTCACATAAGAGCCCTGCTTCAGAAGCCGGCTCTTCTCATCTCCAATCCCCTTCCCTCCACAAAGAGGGTCGCAGCCCCCTTGATTACACGGCCGGCCTCACGGCTTACACGCCGCGATGGGAAGCCACGGGCGTGATCAGCGACGCCTTGAGGAATGGAGGAACACCTCGGGGTGCGGCATCAGATGGCACTCACGATGCCGGCAGGACACATGCTTCCTCACGGGTGGCGAGCAAGCAGCTTGACAAGTCACAATTAGACATGAAGCAGAAGATGCAAGACGCTCTGGATACGAGCAGGGCAGCCGAGCTGGCATTGCGTGAGGTGATCGCCTCTTGGAGAGCAGCAAAGTAAGCAATGCGGGCGTTGTATCATTGACCATCCACATGGAACAACCGACTAACGAGCTTGACAGGCTCCAAATCGACACGACCTCCATGCCGTTTGACTTTGACCCCTTGTCTCTGGACTTCCCGGCTCTTGTTCTCCAATGTCTCAAAGCGCCACCCACGCTTTTCTCCTCCACGCAGCTTCCGACGCCAACGTCGTGGTCCATAACTCCTCCTGGGCAACAGCAGCATGTTGCTCTGGTGAATTATTTCACGGAGGAGTTCCGCAAGTGGAAGATCACCTGTACTTCTGCGACAACGGCCATCGGCGAAGACTTCACATACCCGCCTAGCCTAGTAGCGTTCCAGCCGGACACGCATGAGTATGTTCGGAAAGCATTGAAGACAGCTGAGAGTCTGGAACGACAGGTTGCGGATCACCTCGACTCGGCGTTCAATGTGTGGAACAGCCTTTCATCTGACCGCCAGCAAGAACTGTGGGTTCTGGAGCTTGCACGGAGCGCAGGGAGGAAGCAGAACGACGTGGAAAAGTTGAAGAAGGTCGAACACACGCTCAAGCAGGAGAATGCGAACCTCAGGTCGCAGATCGAGCACCTTAATCGGCTTCAACAACCTCGGGAATACAAGCTGTTCGCGCCGTCCACCGTGCCATTCGATCGCGAATTCCTGATACGCATGCAGGAGGCATTTGTTGTGAATGGACACAAGGCAATAGGCCTGGACGTGAATGACCGCCATTCGGATCTTAACACGCTCGTGGCTGCCTCCATCGACCGGTGGAAGAATGTGGTCACGAAGACTCGCTCGGCCGCCAGTAGTATCGGTGCCGACAAAGCAGCGGATCAGCCAGCGACGGCGGCCTCGACACCGCTGTCAGGCGGAGGCGTCAATGACACTCCTTCTGTCATGGCGCAAAAGGCTTCACAAGCGCCAGTCCCTATTGTGCAACAACCCCCTCCTCCGAAATCAAAGTCTGGAGGATCAAGCACCGCCACTCGGGCGAATACCCAAGACGAAGCAGTCAAGCCGGCAAATGACAAGCCACAATCGGCTGCCCCGACACCCACCGCGCCCTCGGTCGACGACGTGAGCGATCAAGATGCCGACGCCGAGATGGAAGACGATGATGGCTTTGCTCAGATGAACACGCCTATCACCAAGACCCCCACCCTATCGACTCCCCAGCAACATTCAGGGCAGCTTGAGGTCCAGCGCACGAGAGGGCCCAGCAGGCGTAAGACGGCCAATGGGGTGGTCAAGAATAGGGCGGTGTCGCAGACCAAGAATCGCAATACAGCAAGCCTTGGTTCCCGCAAGGCTACCTTGCTGAACTCTGGCGCATCGGTGCTTGAGATGAATGGCGCTGGCCAAGACAGTCCCAGCAAGTCTGAGCAACTGGCCCACGCAGATCTCGAAGAGCAGGACGAGGATGGGGACCCGATGTACACAGATGATTAAGTGTCACCGGGGGTTTTACGATAAGATGGAACATCAGTGAGGGAATGCAGCCGACGGCAACTGGTGATGATGCGCCTGGCTCGTTGCTCATTGGTTATCTAATGGGTCCATGTGAGACCATTTCACAGGCATGGCGAGCGTCCAAGCAATGTTTGGAGTTATATAATTGCTTATTGTAGCTATACGTTGTACAGACTGGTAGTGTACAGAATGAGACATGAGAGCGTTTCTCTATGAGTGGGAGAAGTCGAGAGCTTGAAGATGGGCAATGCGACGGCGATGGCACTCATGATCGGTTGACTCATATCCCATCCCAACCGCCAGGGGGTATTTGACATTCGACACATTGAGTCATCGTACTGTATAGACCTCACTATATGAACGGAACCGGGCCATTCTATATTTGAGGGCTGTATGACATCTATTCATCGATGCAAAGCCCTACCATGCACTTGTACGTATCAGAGAGTGTATCAGACTCCGCTGGGTCTCGAATTTCCACTGGACCCCGCGATTCTGCCAGAGCGACTCAGTGACTCAAGCAGGCCAAAAAATTTACCCCACCATAAAATCTTCCAGATTTCATCCCAACATCGACTCCAAGAGGAAGAACCTCTGCGAAATACCACCATTGAACCCGCAGACTGACTCCCAAGATCACTATGGCGGACTCAGGCTCCGGCGCGCAAGCGCCCCCAACTGAGCAGCTGGAGAAGCTGCTCCTCGACGAGGTCACCGGCGAAAAGGTACACTGGGAAGGATCCTCTTGTCGCACGACGCTCGGTCGAGTCGCGTGCGAGCAGATTCTCGAAGAACAATGGCTAACGGGGGAATTCCCGATAGGTGTCCAAGTCCGAGCTCAAGCGCCGACAGAAGCAGCGCCAGAAGGAGGAGGAAAAGAAGAAGAAGGCCGCCGCGGCGCCGCCCAAGGCCCCCTCCAAGAAGATCAACAACGAGGACCTGAACCCGAACCAGTTCTACGAGATGCGATGCCGCGAGATCCAGGGCCTGCTCAACTCGTCCGAGCCCAGCGACAACCCGTACCCCCACAAGTTCGAGGTCAACTACGACCCCTACAACTTCGAGAAGGAGTTTGGCCACCTCAAGTCTGGCGAGACCGAGCAGGCCAAGGAGATCCGCCTCGCGGGCAGGATATTCACCAAGCGCGCGTCCGGCTCCAAGCTCGTCTTCTACGACATCCGCACCGGCGCCGACTCCAAGACTCTCGGTTCCAAGATGCAGGTCATGTGCCAGGCCCAGTACGCCAAGGAGGGCGGTGTTCCCTTCGAGAAGCAGCACGAGCACTTGGCTCGCGGGTGAGTTACAATCAAGGGCAGCAGTCTTTTTCGAGATGGAAGTGTGCTAATTTGCGGCTGCGATCTAGTGATGTTATCGGCATCGTCGGTTTCCCCGGCCGCACTGCACCGAAGAGCAAGATCGAGAAGGGCGAGGAGGGCGAGCTTTCGATTTTCGCGACCGAGATTGTCCTGCTGAGCCCGTCACTACATCTCCTCCCCTCCGAGCGCTTCCCGTTCAAGGACGTCGAGCAGCGCTTCCGAGCCCGATACCTCGACCTGCTGTTCAACGACTCGTCAAGAGAGGTTCTCTGGACGAGGAGCAGGATGGTCAGCTATATCCGCAAGTTCTTCACTGACAGGGACTTCCTTGAGGGTGAGTCCACCCCTCCGAGTATTCTCAATATAGTAGTCTCGATCATACTGACGATGACGCACAGTCGAGACGCCTATGATGACGGCCATTGCTGGTGGTGCTACTGCGCTGCCCTTCATCACCCACCACAACGACCTTGGTATCGACATGTTCATGAGAATCGCTCCTGAGCTCTACCTCAAGCAGCTTATTGTCGGTGGTTTCAACAAGGTCTTTGAGCTAGGAAAGAACTTCCGAAATGGTGAGTCACCCTGATCATTTCAACTTACCAGCGCGAGTGCGTGCGTGATTCTGACTGTCTGTAACAGAGGGCATCGATCTCACCCATAACCCCGAGTTCACCACTATCGAATTCTACGAGGCCTACGCCGACGTGTACGATGTCATGCGGACTACCGAGGAGCTGGTCAGCGGTCTCGTCAAGCACCTGACGGGCTCGTACAAGACGACCTTTACGACGCAGCACGGCGAGAAGTACGAGGTCAACTGGGAGGCGCCGTGGAAGCGCTTCGAGATGATCCCCGAGCTCGAGAAGCAGACGGGCAAGAAGTTCCCGCCGGGCGACCAGCTGCACACCGAGGAGACGAACCAGTTCCTCAGGGACCTGCTCAAGGAGAAGAACCTCGAGTGCACGCCGCCGCTGACCAACGCGCGCATGCTGGACAAGCTCGTGGGCGAGTACATCGAGGAGCAGTGCGTCAGCCCGGGCTTCATCCTCAACCACCCGCAGATGATGAGCCCGCTGGCCAAGTACCATCGCAGCAAGTCCGGCCTCTGCGAGCGCTTCGAGGCCTTCGTCTGCAAGAAGGAGATCGCCAACGCCTACACCGAGCTGAACAACCCGTTCGACCAGCGCATGCGCTTCGAGGAGCAGGCGCGCCAGAAGGCGCAGGGCGACGACGAGGCGCAGATGGTCGACGAGGACTTTTGCCGCGCGCTCGAGTACGGCCTGCCCCCCACGGGCGGCTGGGGCCTGGGCATCGACCGCCTGGCCATGTTCATCACGGACCGGTACGCCATCCGCGAGGTCCAGACCTTCCCCTTCATGCGGCCCGAGAAGCACGACGCCACCAAGCCCGGCGAGAAGCTGGCGGCCGAGGTGGTGGATGTGCAGCCTATGCCTGAGGAGGGTATTCGTAAGTTTTGTTTTCCCCTGCGTTCAGAGGAGATGAGCTTGTTGGGTAACGTTTGACTGACTTTCTTTGATGATGCAGCTCACAAATAAATGATATGAGATCACAACAGTGTAGATTGATGTCTGGGTTATGATTCCTGAATGAGATTCTGTGGTATCTAACATCAGGGTCATTTGCATAGACGATATAGAGCTCGTGTAAAAAGGGTTAGAAGAAAGCTACCCAAACAAAAAAATCAAAATGGTATTGAGATGTGTCATATGTCTAAAGTCTAGGCAGAAACAACTGCCAATTGTGTCTCGTCTTGATATTTATACACGCGCACTCTGGCACTCTTTCCCGGCCGTAATGATTATACACAGTTTTAGTACACTTGATCTTTCTCTCTCTATCTTGTCACAGATCACGCCTTCTTGGCTTGAGCAGCAGCAGCCTCCTTTAACCTCCGCTGGATCATCATCAGCGTGGACTTGGGGACCCGGAGCCGGTGGCCCAGGACGAGCGCGCCGGTCAGCAGGGCCAGCGCGCCGGCCTGGTGCAGGGCGGCGAGCGGCAGGGGCACCATGTAGATGAGGGTGGTGATGCCCAGCGCGGCCTGCATGCAGACGAGGTGGACGAGGCCCATGGTTCCCTTGCGGGCGCCGCGAGGCAGGATGGCGGCCAGGCGGGCCCTCCGGCTGAAGGCCCACAGGGACAGGACGGCGGTGAAGGTGGTGACGGCGAGGATGCGGTGGTCGAGCTGCACGAGGCTGGGGTTCTCGAGCATGTTGCGCCACCACAGGTCGCTGCCGTCCTCGCGGCGGCAGTAGAAGCGGGACCAGAGCTCCGACTTGGGCGGGGCCAGCCCTTGCCCCATCATGGGGAACTCGTTGTAGATGAGGCCCGCGTCGAGGCCGGCGACGAGGGCGCCCGACATGGCGGTCGTGAAGATGAGGGCGGTCAGGGCGGCGGCGAGGCGGCGGAAGGTGCGGAGGCCGGGGTTCTGCAGGGCGGTCAGGGCCTTGAGCCCCGCGGCCGGGTCGGCGAGGAGGCGGTGGGTGCGCAGGACGGCGAGGGCCGAGACGAGCATCCACGAGTAGCAGACGAAGGCGGTGGCGAGGTGGGCGGTCAGGCGGTACTGGGAGACGCGCGGGTGGGACCCGGGCGCGAACAGGTCGTCCTTGAGCCCGGATTTCACCATCCACCAGCCGATGAAGCCCTGGAAGCCGATGAGGGAGGAGATGCCGAGCAGGTTCCAGGCCATGCGGGCCGTGACGCGGCGGCGGGCGACGAAGTAGACGGCGGGCAGGACGAAGGTGACGCCGATGACGCGGCCCCAGACGCGGTGGAACCACTCCATAAAGTAGATCTTCTTGAACTCGTCGAGGGTCATGTTGGGGTTGAGCAGGGCGAACTCGGGGCTGGCGCGGTACTTTGTAAACTCGGACTCCCAGTCCTCGGGGGACCGGGGCGGCAGGGAGCCGGTGACGGGGCGCCACTCGGTGATGCTGAGACTGTTTTGTGTGGCAGGGTCTTAGTATCAATTGGGATGGTTGCGAATGGGCAGGAGAAGAAGAAGGACTTACCCAGATTCCGTGAGCCGAGTCAATCCTCCCCAGACCACGATACCAAAGACGCTCACGGCGCTGCCCAGCAGCCACAGGCCGACGGAGCGGGCGTTGGTCTCGGGGAAGGCCTTCTTGCCGGCATTGCTCGCGGCGGCAGTCGACGTGCTGGCGGGGATCTCGCTGCCGAGGGAGGCGACGGCACTCGTCTTGCGCTTGGTCGTCGTCGCGAAGCCGCGGGAGCGCATGATCTGGGCCAGCATCGAGGGCTGCGACGCGGCGACGGAGGCCGTGGAAGTCCGCGCGGAGGCGGCAACGGCGGGCGCTGCTGCTCTGTGCAGGCATTGGCGGCAGACAAAGGCGCTGCTGCTGGCCTTGGGCAGCTGCAGCAGGGCCCTCCGCATGCCCATCTGGAAGAGGGATGCCATTGTTGTGGCGGCTGCGGCGAACAAGAAGGGGGTTGTGCCTGAGGAGGCGTTGAGGAGAAAGCAGCTTGGGGAAGAGGCTCTCGATTTGGAGGCTACTTTTTTCCTTCTGGGTCTCCGCACCAAAAATCAGGCCATACAGCATTGGCAATCCATCGTCTGATAATGGTCAGGAATTTGCAGGGCGCCGAGACCAGTCGGGCCCAATGGGCATCTAGTGGGGCCGGGAAAACCAACCACTCAGAGCTTTGAATTCGACTTGTTGTATCTCGCTACCTACCTAGGTACTCATTTTCAGAACAGCTCTAAGGAATTGCTCGCTCAGACTCTACCTGGGGATAGATGTTACATCTCTAAGCCGGTATATGGCAACTTATACGATTGCGTAGGAAGGTACAGCGGCCCTCATACTAGATACTGGTAGCCTACATTAGACACAATCAAGTCCCAATTAGATGAACAACTCTAGCTAATATGAAGATAGATTGAAGATAGAATGAGCTGGTGTGTGTCTCAAGAGAATAAGGGATTGCAAAGCGAGCGAATTATACTAATATCAAGGCTGACACCCAAAAGCAGAACGACTGGACCAAAGACAAAAAGACCGAAGCACCGCACCCTAACATCCCAAACATCAATCCTAGACATGTACTCAGGATTTCTTGCTGTTCTCGCCATCCATGTGTGGCTCATCCTTGGCGGACGAGACATTTGCATCAAGGCTTGCTTGGGTAGTAGGATCAATCGTTGTGTAATGCTGGTCTGCCTCCTGGTTGACCTGCACAAACCCAATGTTGTGATAGGGCTCATCAGTAATCGATTGACCAAGCCATCTACCAAGAGGCGTATTGTCCCCAACTGTTGTGGCCGCGACCCCGTGCATGTAATGGTTGGTTTTGCCGTCCATAGTGTTGAAGGGAATATTTCTGGTACGATTGATGGGCATCAACTCGACTCGGGCGGAGGGCTCACTTGGAGCCACGGTCGATCGATCGTTTCTTTCTTCCAAGTTGGAATTGTGAGGGGGTGTCAAGATCGCATTGCCTGTCTCGGTATTGCAATGACCTTGCTTCTGGCCACGGGAATGCGGCTGGGGATCCATGATCTTCTGTGCCACAGTCTCCTTAGTACGGTAGCCAAGTAGCCATGGATAGGAAGGGAACTGTTCACCTTTGTGGACGCTATTCTCTCGTTGCAGTGGCAAAGTTTAGGCAAGTAATGATAGGCTTAGTAGGTTTAACAACTAGGAAGTGGCTATCGTCTTCGTAGAAAGTGTTTGAATCCATCGTGACTGATTCGGAATGAGAATGGAGTGCTTCTTCTTATAGATCTCAAAGCATTCTCTTCATGACTCAAAAAGGCATCACTTCCAGTTTATGCCGGTCCTGCACACGGCACCATGGTAGAAAGACATTTGGCAAGTAAAACACCATGATTGCATGAACTACAATTCGCACAAGACTGCAAGTCGCATTTGGTCAGCCACCAATTACGTTCTGAGTACGTACCTACACTGAAACAGAAATGAGGCTGACCAAAACCATTTGCTATTGAGGTCAGACTTTAGTTATCGTCCAGTCACGGAGAGAGAACAGTTCATTAGTGGTGGTCCCACCTTTCTCAAAGAGCATAATGTCCTCAGTCAATGAGAGGTCGCGAATTTGCTACATCATTGATGTACCTTTGAGCACAAGTCCGTGTTGCCTATTTGCCTTACGGGTGCCAAAGAGCATTTGGTCGTGAGCCAATGACGGGGAGGGGGGCAGACAATGCATTCTGTGCTGGTAAATTCCTTGCCACCTACCTGCCCAATGTTTGCCTCTTCGAGAACAACCAACAGTCCCCTTCACACAAAATTCGATTGTCGTCGCTTTCTTCTAGCGAATTCTTTACATGTATTTTCATCTCTGCCAACCTCTACTCGGCCAAAATGTCACGCAAATTTACGCCAAGGGAGGAAGGCCAGAAGCTTGACGAGCTTCAAGAAGAGATCGTGAGACTTTACAAGAGTGGCACGCTCAAAACAATGATGGCAGCCATCAACTCGGAGCACAAACTAAATGCTAGGTATGTATTGAAGCGTGCTGAAAGAACGAATTCATTGAATCTGACTTTTGGTCTGCAGTGAGGCCCAATTTCGAACGCGACTGGATCGGTGGCATGTGAAGAAAAATGTCACCAAGTCAGACGCAGCAGCCTGGAAAAGAGTCATACCCATGCTTCCTGAATTGCAGCATTCCGACAATGAAGTTGCTGTCACGTATCGTAACAACGCGTACTCGCTCCATCAGGCGCAGAGGATATCGGCGCGTGTTGACCCACCCAAACTGGTCAACACAATTGCACTACAGGGTAAAGACGTCATGAATTGGTCAAGAATCAGGCATGCGCATTTGCTAACATTGTGGCCTTGAAAGACTTCCGCAGCTTCAATCGTTCTCCCACCCGACTTCATGACATTACTCGTGGTTCGCCCGGCGAGATTCCATCTCTAGTGCAATCATACAATGTTCACGACATCTTTCTAAAGAGATATGGGGCGCCTTGGCCAAGCGAGTTGATCATCTCCACGCCCATGCTTCAAAAAGTTCATTGTAAGACGATACAGTCATCATCGGCCTGTCGCATGGCTAATTAGGCTGACACCTTATTCATAGGTCTTGCCGACTGTCTTTCTTGGTACAGAAAACAACTTCTCACCCGCCCGCCCCACCTTATGGGGGATCTTCTTCTTGCTATGCCCCATCCTCATAAAGACCCGAAGAAGCACATCGACGGCATGAAAGCCCTTGTGAGATATTCAGATGACGATCAACAAGAGATCGCGTCTCTTCTTCTAAGGATCATGGCGTTCGCCATAGCCAACAATATTTCGGACGCGATACCGAATGACGGAATTCTATACAATCTGATCCGCAAAGTCAGAGATGCAAAGACCTGGATGACGCGCCTCTTTGCGTTGCGAGATCCATTTTCTCAATGCCTCTCTAACGCACTCTTTCTCAGTGCTTTCCGTCTACATGATACGACAATGACGAGGATCTGCCTAAGGGCAGGAGCCAACGGTGCTCAAGCTATCCTTGCACCGTCTCCGATATCAGAGCTTGGATTGGTTTCTATGCCGGTCTATGCTCTTATACGAAAGGATCTCTCCTTAGCCAGACTTCTGCTTGAGGAAAAAGCGCCTTGGAGGGCTTCTCGGTCGAGGGTGCAGAAGCCAATCAAGACACTTCTCAAGTCCGTGATAGGCTGCTGGCTTGTGGAAGATGCCGTTTGGGAGTTCATCACAGAATCGTATCCGGAGTACGAGAACGAAGCTTGGGAGGTCATCAACGACAAACCAAAATTTCCACGTGAATGGTTTGTCGTACGCAAGCTGCTTCAATCATTCCCTCACATGCATTGTCCTGTGCAATGGCAGCCAGCCGCATTGTACTGGGCATTGGTATCAGATGACTCAACAAGTCTCGCCATAATCGACCAGCCCGTCACTCTGAAGGATTTCGAAAAATGCTTCTATGAATCAGCCATCCGCAGAGCCATGTCTGACGCAAGGGAGCAAGGCATACCCGAAGGCCAGATAGTTGAGCTCGTCAAGAACCTGATATCCAGGGGCGCTGATCCTTCTTTTGACCGGAGGCCGATGGACGCAGCGATCGAGTTCAAATTCTGGAACATTGCAGGACTTCTTCTCGATCACGGTAGTTCGGCAGCTAAAGCATGGGATCGAATTATGGAAGAAGGGATATCAAAGGTTCCCCATACATTTCTGGTGAGAGTCTACAAGCCAGGGCAGTACACGATTAGTCGTGCCATCCGCAATCGAGAGAACTCTGCATTGATCCGGCAGCTGCTCAATATGAACACGGATTGCGAATTGGGTTGTCCTCAAGGAGACGCTTACGATTCCTTTCTATCAGTAATGCACTGGACGGATTATGAGCATCTAGATGTGATATTGGAAGCGAAACCTATGCTGTACGACTGTCAAGCATTGATGCACGCAATTCGCAAAACTGGTAGTTGCCTTGATAGCCCAAGAAGTGGAGAAGTTGTCGAACGGCTCCTGCAGAATCGACCATCCGGGCGTGAGCCTTGCGCCAATGAGGGCACTGCTTTGATCTTCGCTCTGTGTCGAAACATGGGGGATACGGTAAATCGCATGTCACAAGTCGGCATTTATCTTCACCAGGATTTGAAGACACAGCGTCTGGAATATAACCACGCCTCAACATCTTCGGAACGATCGACCCCGCGTGAACTGGAGTTTGTCAGTCTGTCCTCCTATCGTTGTCAAGGGATCAATGATCAGCACGGGCTTGACATTCTTGTGATGTATGCCTCGTTTGAAGTAGTCCAGTCTGCGCTAGACCAGGGCCTTCAAGTCGCCGAAAGACATCTGGACATGGCAGTTGATCTTGGACGAGCTGACCTGCTCGAAACTCTCACGAACAGCCAAGGGGCTGACTTGACACGGAGAGAAAAGTTTTACCTTCAGCGTGCCTGCCAGTATGGCCATCTGGGACTGGTGCAAAAGCTACTGGATCTAGGCGTGGAAGTCGACAGCAATGCCAGAATGTTCAAGCTGAATGGTGGTTCGTATGAACGCACAGCGTTTCAATCCGCTGTGGAGGGAGGTCAGATTGCCATGGTTGAGCTTCTGGTCGATCATCATGCCAATGTTAATGAGCCCGCAGGGCAGGTTCGTGGTGCAACAGCCCTTCAACTTGCGGCAGGCGCAGGAAATCTTGCTCTCGCGAGGAGGCTGATGGACCTTCACGCTGCTATTGATGCACCGGCGAGTCCAGTATGCGGGAGGACTGCGCTAGAGGCGGCTGCCGAACAGGGAAGACTTCCCATGGTACGGTTTCTTCTACACTCGGGTGTTTCGACAATTGGACAATATCGACGGCAGTATATCCGAGCGGTCAAATTTGCGGTTAATGAAGGACATTGTGCAATCGAGGGGCTACTCAGAGATCATCGTCCATGGTCCAATGAGGACTATCAACTCTACCGGACTGAAACCCCTCGGGCTTACTGGACGGAGTTCTTCTTACACGAAGTAGCCGGCACGTCATATGGCTCGAGAATTGTCGATTCCGATTCATTCAATGATATGTACTATTTCAAGGATGCGAGGTCTGTTAGACGTAGGGTGGCGACTATTCGTCTTCGCAGTGCTCTGCTTGGTGCTGTCTCTCCTCGCCTTCAAGATATGGCCGATGATCAGCCTGAAACCCCGGCACAGCCAGAGTCGATGGAATTGGGCCATGGAATAATCCAGTACCGCGATCTCTACAACTCACCTCGACTTGGACTCGGAAGAAGCGTCCTACCGAGCACCATCATTTATCTGGACAAAGATTCGTCAAGTCTCTTGGATTGTTATCGACGAGATGCAGCTCAGAACTGCACTGGAGACCGACAGAATCCCGCCTTCGACCCTCTTATTTCGGGAGCGGAAATCGCTGCCGCCTCTGGCGAAGACCATGAAATGCTTGATGTGATGGCAGAAAATTATTACATCTCGCACCGCACATCGGAAGTGTTAGGCTCTGGAAGTGGCGAGGATTTTTATTGTGAGAATTGTCGAATGTTCCGGGCACTGTGTTGCTGTCTTGATCCTTCTTACTCGGATGGAATGGATGATGTATGTATGGCCTTCTCCCTTGAGTAGATTTATTCAGATTGCATAGCGTTGTTGTTGACTCTGGCATTATCACATGTAATTCTTCTGATGAAAATTCGCTTATTGTATGCAACCAATCTTCAACTTGATCTTCCCCAAAGTTGTAGAACAACTGGTGCGGCAGTTCCAAAAAGGATGAATATTCTAAACTAGAAAGGAAGTCAAGTTCCTTCCAACTGACTTCTGATACAGCTTCATTGATCCCGGTTTTGCGCCCCTATCGGTTTAAATCAGATTTAGTCAATTTCTGTACGGTACAGATTATTAACTTACGGCCCATTTCAGTACTCGACATCGCTGGCTTCTACTCTGGTCAGTGGCTACACTGCGCCACTATAGACAGTACGTGGCCGAGTCAAGGAAATCGAGGTGCTGTTTGAGGGTTGAAACAAGCGACAAGTAACCTTGAAACGAGATTGATAACGATCGGCGATTAAGAGTCAGAAGACCTTGTCAACCAAGACAACACTGCCGCTCTGTCGTTGCATTCGGAAGAGCGAGTGGACCCATTCGAGGTGCATCACGGCCATCCTTGTCCTGCTTTAGAATGAACTGAACTAAGATAGTAAGACCTTGCTACATAGCATACCGACAAGTTAAGCATTGGTGTCTATTATGAACACAACCATCGATCTTCTTTCACATTGAACTACCTCACTATGTGCCTCACCACCCTAGTAGTTCGATTGAAGAGATGTGAACTCGTTGAACTGGCCCTGATGATCCAAAAGTGGACGAAATAACCGCTTTCACCCCAATAATAACCCCGGAGCTGCCCCTTGATGCCATGAGTTTCAATGCATGACTCGTCCCGATAAGCATCCTTAGCCAACCACCTCCACCCCTTGCTTACTTAGCTGGGCAAGATCGACTATCTCCATGCCATATTGCTTCTGGCCCGGCATTTGACTTGCCGCTTCCCGAGGCATAGACTGTCAGAGAATGTTTCGGAGATTTTGCATATTCTACACTAAAATAGCACTCGAAGCCCGGCAGGCTGATCTTTGCATCCAAAGCCAAAGTGATGCAGCGCAATATAAAAACATTATCAAATCCCCGATTCGTGGTTGTGTTCCAAATCCCCAAATTTCGCAGCCAAACCTATGCTGTCTCAGCGCGATCATTCCCAGGCAGGAGATCCTGTATCCTCTTTTTCCCAGCCAACATGACGTCCCTGATGCTCCTCTTTTCCTTCGTTTTTGCCTCGTACAAGGGTTTATGTTCCGTGGAGATGTCATGCTCATGTTCGTAATCGACATGAACAAATGCTCTCTCGACATCAGCAAGTCCTTCAAGCTTTCTCTGCAGTGACTGTCCCACGTCATGGGATATCTTGAGAGGGAGGTTTTCGTCCATCACGATATCGACCTCGACATAATACTTCTGACCAGCGTGGTATGCCCGGCACTGCTGTCCATCAGAGACTGGAACTGGTAAGAGCTGGGTGACTCGAGCAAAAATGACTTACCGTGTCGACCTTCATGATCTGGCCATCATGTGTCATGGTCATATAGATGAGTTTCGAGATGAACTCGTTGGGTGCGGATTTTCCGACGAGCAGCCAAACTTGCTCAAACGCATTGCTCACCCACGAGAACAGGATGAGGAGAGCAATGCAGATGGCTCCGATGGGATCCAGGTACCACACGAAACGATCTCCCACGATGGACATGACCAAGCCGAAGATGTTGACCACAATGTCGTTGCGATGGTCGACCTAGATCGTGTTAGGAGTATTTCTCACATGTTGCCTGGCTGACTTACGAAGAACACGTGCACAGAAGGGTACTTTCTGTACGCGAAGCAGTAGACCATCAAACTGCCCTTGGAAGCAACTATCTCGCAGTCAGACTTGTTTGCCCAGAAGATACGAGGTCTAGGTAACTCACTAGCGATGCCTACAAAAATCAAGGGGACGATATGCAGGTCCTTCGCATCATGGGCGCCTCCACCAAGGGTACGAGCGGATTCAACCTGAGACTAATCAGCACCTAGGAGCTACACTATGACTTGATGAGCAACTTACAAGCAACTGGATGGCAACAGTGGTCATCAAGGCGCAGAACAGAATGATTCCGATGGTTTCAATTCTTTTCCGGCCCTTTTTCACAGTTAGCAACTTCCAGCTACGTCAAAATCTTCCTTGATGATCTTCTTACCACAGGGTACTTGTAGACACTCGGGCGAGCAGCCAGCTTTGACGTGATGAGCATGACGAATGAGGATACCAAGTCCATCTAGAACATGTGAGCTGAGATCATCCACACGAGCGACCAAGAGAACTCACAAATGCGTCTGCCGCAGTCGCAAATAGCTACATCATGATTAGCACTCATTGGACTTGATCCTTTTGAGGTGTATGCCATACTGAAAGCGAGCCTGTTGAGATGGCAGCATAGAGCTGAATGACGAAGAGACAAAAGTTGGCGACAAAGGAAGCGTTCACGGCAAATTTGATCTTGGGGCCCATGCGGACATCCTCTTCAACCGCCAACCTCTCCTCATCATCGGCTCCAAGAAACTGGTCAATGAGGTCGTTTTGTCTCGTGTAGAACTTCTTAAGCTTCCTCTTGTTTCCATCGGGATGGTCGATCTTCATCTGTCGCTGGGTGACATTGTCGCGGCGGTGGCGGCCAAAATTAAGAGGATCTGACGCGTTGTAGTCTACAGATGTCGCTGTTGCTGTCCGCACAGATGCCTCTGCAGGTTCCGTGGGTGCCGGGGTGATGTCGTCTTTCTTTTCGTCTATTACCTTGCCCTTGACGCCGCCTTCCATGGGGCTGGTGGGAGCAGTGACTGGTGTGATCGCATCGTCTTGCTCGTCACGAGCTTTGATCTACGTTAGCCCATGGAACACTGCCGTGTGAGATGAGATGAAGTGAAAGATAGTCAAGATGTTTCATGGCCTATTAAAAGAAGAGCACGCTGGCTGTGCAGAACTGGGCAGAACTGGGCAGCGCTGGGCAAATGCTGGGCAAGTGCTGGGCAAATGCTGGGCGAGTGCTGGGCAGAACTCGAAACGCGCTCCCGCGATCCGGCAGAGGTGGATCACTCTGATCACTCTAGATTGGATGGCTACGTACCTGCAGACTGAGACGGGTTGTGCGACTCTGTGCCGGCCATATTGTTGTTGTTCATGCTCGTGAAAAGTTGTATTTGGAAGAGGGGAGAAAGAGATCGGACGGGAGTTATTTGCGAAGATGTTGAGTATATGGGCTTTAAACAAGGGGACACAGCGTCAACTTGCCACCTAATCTCGCTCGACCGTCCCTCGTCTCAAGAATGCGACCGAACTAATACAAGAGGCCTCAGACAAGAGGAAGGGGTCGTCCGTAGGCGAGGGCTGCTCCTCGAGTCTCCTCGAGTCTCCTCGTCCACATCAAAGCAGGCTTTGTCAGCGGAGGCCGGCTGAGTAAGCGGAGATGACGGCTCCCGAGGGATGCACATCACTCACTCCAGATTTGTTCGAGAACACCCACATGCACGCGGGCCACCTCCTGTCCGCTTCGTCCTTCCCTCTCCGGGGAAGGGCTCGCTCAGACTGGCTCGTGCCCGGCACGCCGGCGGAGATCTACCCTATAAAAAGCTATAGCGGAGAATTAAAATGTTTCAAGCCCAGTGAGCTTGTCTAGGTGCCACGCCGTGGGGTCCGAGCGGCCGCATGGGCAGCGTTACACCCTATTGGCCGGACCCCTGGTTTTGACGGTGCGGGACGCCCTTGAGCCGGTCGGGAGGTGTGCAATGCACCTGGGGCGATGTGACGGTTCTCCATCTGCCAAGACGTCTTCGCTTGAGCAGAGGGACATAAAGCTCCTCTGTTGTGTCCCCATGATGCCAAGCCCAGAGAGTGTTTGAGGCGAACCTTTATCCTCCCCCATTCCGCCCAAAGGCGTCAAGCAATGTCATATCGCGGTGGAGAGCCATCCCGCTCGCGGAGCTCCGGAGAGGGTGAGGACCCTGGTCGTGATACACATTTGGCTTGACAAAAATACCCGAATCCTGGTGTGTTTCCTGTTTTTTGCTTCTTTTTCCCAGCCTCACACCAGACAACCAGACAACCAGCCCATCGGCCCCGGCACAATGGTCAGTCTCCTACGAGGTGGACCTCCTGTCACATTAGCACTCAGCAGGGAGACAGTGAATTCTCCGAGGTCACGCCTTCGTTTCTGTCGCTTCTGTGCAAGCGAAAGCTGAAGGGGAACCTCGCCTAACCCTGGCCTGTCCGCAACGCAACGGTTGCTGTGTGGGGGCAAAAGTTTCAAGATTGCAAATCGCTATCAAAATACTCGTCCGGCACTTTTGCTATCGAGACCTTACCTGAACGGGCACAGCTTATCCTGGGGAACTGCAGAGTCCCAGGGTCTGGTCTCAGCGACGAATGAGAGGCCGGCGTGGCCCTGATCCGCCGCCAAGACCTCAGGTGAAGCTGGAGATGTTGTGGGCACAGCCAAAACCTTCCCTCGCTGGATCCTCCCATATCCGCTTTGCCCTTGTCTATGGAAACATTGAGCAAAGGCAAAATAGATACAGCGATGTATTGTCGAGGATCGCTGGATCGGCTCGAGGGGATGTGTCTCAAGAGGCTGCAGGCTCTGCAACAGCATCTTTCTCGCCATGTCTATCATCGACAGTTGATGTCCATGTGCTTGGCAGATTTCTAAACCTGATGCTTGGCAGCTCAGATCATCTGCCTCAGGTCCACGGTTGTTCTTGCCCTCCGCTATCAAAGCCAAGTCTTGCCATATCAATGCATATTAAAGCGAAGCCATGTCCAGTTGCTTGGCTGATCGACTTTGCTTCGCCACGTCCTTGTTTATCCAACTGTTCACTTTTGTTGGATTTCTTTTTTTTTTCCCTCTCTCCCTTTCCATTTGTCTTGGTATTTTCGTTCTTCTTTCCCTTCCTTTCCCTTCTCACGACGTTGGGATCGAAGCCCGTTCGTCTGTTTTCATTGCGAAGCTGCGGGACGGCTTCAATTGTCCCTACATTCTCTTCTGTCATAGATTTTTCTTGATTCTTTTCTTGAGTAAGTGATATATGTCTTGTCCATCTGCCAAGAGGCAGTCGGCTGACAGGGGTCCCTCCACTAGCTAGCGTGGCCGGCTCACATTCTTTATCATGGATGCCGCCGCCAAGCAGAAGCCCGTCTGTGGCAGTGATGGGGAAGTTGGAGAGTATGACCTAGCTCTTCATGTTGTTGGATTGTGTGAGTTGCATCACCATCCTTCCAGTCAAGTGGATCCAATGCTGACACGATGACAGTCCTGGTCCTCGGTGCTTCCATCTTCGGTATGCTAATCAGGCCGATGGCTGATGGATCGCTTGGTCGCTGACAACATCGCAGGAGCCGGGTTTCCCGTCGTCGCGAAGAAGGTCAAGTGGATCAAGATCCCGCCCAAGATTTTCTTCGCCTGCAAGCATTTCGGTACCGGTGTCCTCGTGGCAACTGCTTTCGTTCATGTAGGTCTTGAACGGCGCGCAGAGGACTAGAGAATTGGGCGCTGACCCAGAGGACATCTAGCTTCTGCCCACTGCCTTTGGAAACCTTACCAACCCCTGCCTTCCGGACCTGTTCACCGAGCAGTACCCCCCGATGCCCGGTGTCATCATGATGGGTGCCATGTTCTGCCTTTTCGTCATCGAGATGTGGCTGAACGCCAAGATGGGCGGTCAGGCTCACTCCCACGGCGGACCGATGGGTCTCGACAGCGCTTCGGAGGCTCACGGCCATGGCCATGGTCAAGGCCACGGCCACGGCATGGTCGCCGCCGCCCCGCCTCCCCGCCCGCCCCGATACAACAGCCGCGACAGCTTCGAGACGGAGGACCAGATCGAGTACGAGAAGAAGATCGCTCAGAAGATGTGAGATTTCCTGCGCGCGAGGCACTCTGGCGCGGAGTGCAGCAACTAACAGTCCTTTCTTGCTAGGTTCGAGGAGACCGCGCGCATGCAGCAGCAGCAGCAGCAGCAGAGGAACCCCTTCGACGACAATGCCAACGAGCTTCTTCCCCCCTCGGAGATGCCGCCCTGGTTCATCGTCTTCTACGAGCAGTACGTCCGCCAGCGCCTCGAGATGATGAACATGATCCGCTCCTACGTGCCCCGCCCCCAGGAGATCCAGCAGAAGGATGATTCCACCGTGACCGTGACCGAGTCTCCCTTCATCGACGAGGAGGGCCAGATGGTCGACCCGATGGTCTACCGCAAGATGTCGCTCAACATCACCCTTCTCGAGGGTGGTATCCTGTTCCACTCCGTCTTCGTTGGCATGACCGTCTCGATCACCGTTCAGGGTTTCGTCATCCTGCTCGTCGCCATTCTGTTCCATCAGATGTTTGAGGGTCTCGGTCTCGGCTCACGTATCGCGGCAGTCCCTTACCCGAGGGGCAGCATTCGCCCCTGGCTCCTGGTTGTTGCTTTCGGTACCACTGCGCCCATCGGCCAGGCCATCGGCTTGATCACGAGGAACACCTACGATCCCAACAGCGCTTTTGGTCTGATCATCGTCGGTATCTTCAACGCCATGTATGTCGGCCCCTTTTTGGCTCATGTCGAATTCTTTGCTAACGTTGCATGACTAGTTCCTCCGGCCTGCTTCTCTACGCTGCACTGGTGGACCTGCTCGCCGAAGATTTCCTCTCCGAGGAGGCAAACCGTGTCCTGACAAAGAAGGACAAGACGACTGCATTCTGCTTTGTCCTCTTGGGCGGTATGATTTATTTCCCCACTCAGCGCTCTCGATCGCAATGCTAATTCTCACCACAGCTGCTGGCATGTCTGTTGTCGGTGCCTTCGCCTAAAAAGTCACACGCCTGTGACACAAAAATATACTGTGCTTGGGAGGCCTTCATCGAGTACATTCGAAGAGAACCAAATATCATTCAGAATTACATTTGCCAAGAAAAAAACAATGAAGTCTCCTTTGCGCAGTACACCAAGAAAATGACAAGCCCGGCCCTTCTTTTGACCCCTGTGGCGCCCACTCTGAAAGACGTCCCGAGGAGGTACTCCTGAGCCGAGTCGCGAAAGCGGGAAACGACAAAAGGAACCTCCAGAGGACAGCCGGCAGTTTGGGACGAGTCGAGAAGGAATGCAAGCGGGAAACGGGATTTCTTTTACGATCTGCACCTCACGCGCTCACACGCACTGTACCAGTACGAACTTACCCGGGAGATGATGGATGGGAAATGCACGAAGGATTTTCTGCGGTGGTCTTGCAAACGGAAATACAGGGTTCTCTCTCGCGCGGCGCGCCTGTCTCCCAGGACAGCCTTTAATTCTTCCAAGACACTCGTTTTTTTTTTTCCCAAACAAGAGCGAAGATTTAAGGCAACGATAGACTTTTCAATACCTTCTTTTCGCCTGTGCTTCGAGACTAATCATGCATGGCATGAGTGGCTTTACGACAGATGGCACGGATTTCCCATCACAGAGAGAAGGGAGTACGTGTTCCTCGATATTGGATGAGAGGCATGCCAGGGGTGCTGCGGTTGCTGCATGAGCTCGGCTCATGAGTGCCGAGGGGGTTTGGACGACTTCTAGAAGAAGATTTGGCTTCGCCCTCGCCTGCGGGCGCAAGCAACGCACACACAGAGACACACGCTAGATAGAACAGGAGCCAATGTAGGATAGATTCACTCGCTCGCCCCAAGACCCAAAGGGTGGCAAGAGGGTTGCACCCGATTCCCATTGAGAGATCTTGAGTTGGACGTGCATGATGCAGGGTCTGTGCAGTCGAGGCAAGATGAGGCTGATATCTAGCCGTTGTGAAACAGGATGGCGCCAAGCCCGAACGGCTGAGACAGGGTCTGTTTTGTGACGGCGACTCATGGAGAAGTTGAACGGCAGGGATACCCCTGCGCCGGGATTTTAAATATAGAAAACAAAAAGTGATGGAACTAGAACAACTCTGTTGCGAACGGACTCAACCTTATCTACTTTATTCCTTAGACTGTTTGGAGAGTCACGGCAATCTCGGCAGCCCATTGCCCTCGCTGGCCTCTAGAGTCTAGACTACGGAGAATTTCTGACAGAGGACCTTGTAGGGCTCCCCCCTGGTCTTGATGAGAAAGATAAGGAAGGAGGACACGTGCTCTATCTTGGGAGCTTTTGTGGGTAGTCTCAAGAGTATCGCCTCTTTGACCGGGGTGAGGTCTGGCTCGACGCAGAGCCGGTTTGGCATGTGGTCTTGGCAGTAGCAGGATAGCAAATCTTTCTCCCTTGCACCACGGATGCGGCTCTTCTGGTTGACGTGCGTGCTGAGTCTTGGCAGCTTATGTGATCATGACGATAGGTGGTTCTGCTCTATTCAACTGACAATAATGCGAGGTGAAGAATGGCTATCGTGAGGGATCATATTGCTTATCATAGGCAGCAAAAAGATTACACTTCTGTGCAGCATCTACATGCAAGACCTACCATCCTGGCTTCTAGAAAGCTGCTCTCTTGTAGTGTTTATTGCCGCAAACCCACTGGAACAAAGAATGGTTTCCATCAGGTTGTGACAGCAGACTATGTGTGAGAACACGATGCTCAATGATGAATTCTACCCCCGCTATTTCCAGAAAAGACCCTATGTAGTTGGCATCGCACACAAAACTCGGATGTACCCTCATCAAGACAAAGGTAAACTCCAGGGATAGTTAGATCATTGCCTATGTGATCTTTGTGGTTGTCTTTTGTGTGGTGTTTATCGTCTTTTATGATCTTTCAGTTTTCGCTCTTTATAGTCTTTGTGACCTTGTTGACATCACTCTCGCTTGAGTTCGAACAAACATGGCTGTCCTGAAAGGCCGGAGACAACCCGAAGGCCTACAAATATCCCGTCGTCGATTCACCTCCGCACACGGCGATATATACCGAGCCAGATAAACCTTGGCTAAACTTCACCATGAACGTTTCAACCAGTATCAAGAACCAGCGCGGACAGTACACGATTCTCAAGGATCTGAGTAGAGATCACCATTGTCTCGTGCGCCGCGAAGTTGACGATGCCTTTCTGATAGCCAGCCTTTTCGACCTGGGCGCAAAGCCCGAGACGAGGTACCTAGCCGCCATCATGGGCAGGGAGTGGGGGCCGGAGATGGTCAACAACCTGCTGAACCACGAGAACCTCATCTCTGTGGCTGGAGGCATGGTTGACTTTGAAGTCTCCAGTGACGTCGAGGGCAGGTGTTTCCTGCTGTGGGACTGCTGCGATGCGGGTTCCCTCGACAATATGCTCCAACACCCACCCGTTGCGCCGACTGACACAGGCTTCTTACCCGAGAGCCTGTGCTGGCACGTCCTCCTGAGCGTTCTCAGGGCCCTCTGCTGGCTTCACGAGGGCCAGCGCGTCGACTGGTCCTTTGATCAGACGGGCAACTCGGATCCTTTCAGCGGATCTGGGAGGAGCGATGCGGAGGAGGATGAGATGAAGGTGCGGTACACGACCACGAGTTACTACACGGAGAGGATTCCATGGATACCGATCCAACACGGCAGCATCAGTCCTGCCAACATCCACTTCCAGTATCCCCGACGGTCCGAGACCTACGGGCCGTGCAAACTGGGCAACTTGGAGCACTGTGTTGTCGGTCACGACATCAGCAATGACGAGCCCGACCTCGTGGCTCTGGGACGTGTACTGTGGAGGATGATGACTGGTGGGCATGAGAGACTGTGGAACCGATGCACTTATACGCACTCGTGGTTCCGCTTGGATGGATGCTCGGATTGCGGGAGCGCCTCTGGTCCTTCCGGCGAGGAACCGAATGACTATACGAGAGGCCTCAAGCTGGTGGTCTTGACGTTGCTCAACTCGGCAACCTTTGGTACCACAACGGAAGAATGCATGGTCAAGGCACTGAGGGCTTACAGTGCCTGGAGGAAAGATAGCCCAGATGGCCAGTTGTACTCGGACATCAACGACAGGTGAGGGCAATGACACTGGAAATCTAAGTGGCAGGACCACACAAATGGGCAACAAAAAAAAAGGATAGAGCTACAAATCTTAGTATTTTGTATTACGGAGTGTGTTTTGAACAAAGTCGACTAATAGAGATGCAACTCGTGATTTCGGCTGCAGTTTAAGGATGAAGAGCGAGGGAAGGGAATGGATGTTCACGATCTGGTCCACACAAGTGGTTGACAAGTACCAGTGTTGTCCTAATAATGAGATCCATCAGATCTTTCCTGTATTATGGCATCTTAGCTTCAAGTAAGCACAACAACTTCTCACTTTATCACACTGCTGTGAGCATCGTATTAAGCTTGATGCCATTCATCACAGGCATCACAGGATGCTTTCAACTGCCCACCATTTCCTGATCAAGCAGGTGGACCTTCAGCTGGACTAGCGCCTGCGCCGGCGGATGATCTCCCCCTGTAAATCCAAGCCTCAGGTGGAGTTCAGCTGGGAATGCCGCCTCGGCTGGGCGGCTGACCCCCTTATCGCGCTGCCTGATAACGTCCACCCATCAGTAATGCCAACTCAATCAGGAGCTTGCGGCCTTGAACCTTATCCTCACCCCGAGCCTCCAGAGCAGCCGCAAAGCGCGACGGCCACCAGATCGCAAAGACCAAGACTTCAGCGAGGATTGTCGCAAGATCAGTCAACTTCTCTGCTGTTCTGCGACTGCAACAACCACTGCACTGGTGTGAAAGAGAGGGCTCGCGAGTCCACGTCGGCCTCCCTCCCTCCCTCCGCCCAACCTCCCTGACCTCGCGGACATCGCAGTGCAGCCGAACTCGACCAGACAAAACCAAACAGATCATCACACAAGATGCCGAACCCGGCGCCGCCCTTGCTCCTCACGAAGCGCCTCTCCGCCTTCCTCCACGCCAACCTCTCCCCGCCCACCGTCCACTCCGCCCTCCTCATCACCCCTTCAGGCAAGCTCCTCTCCTACGCCTCTCAGCAGCCCGTCAGCACCCTGCGCACACAGTGCACCGTCGCCGCCTCATTATGGGCCATCCACGCCGGTCCAAGCGCCGCAGACGCCGCCTCCTCCGCTCTCCCTGCCACGCAACGGCAGCAACAGCAGCAACAACAGCAACAACAACGGGCCGGCGACAGCCCCGATGAGCAGCAACCGCACAAACACCCGGGCACCATCACCCTCCAGTTCGGCGGCGCGGCCGGCTCCGTCGTCGTGATCCGCCATCTGCGGTGCGGCCTGCTCTTCGTCTGCATAGGGGGCTCAGCGGCGGCGGCAGCGGCCCTATCGCATCATCACCACAACACTACAAGTACGACAGGCGCGAGCGGCGCCACCGCGGCGGGGGCAGCAGACTCAGCGCAGCAGCCGGAGCCGATTGAGACCGTCACGGTGGCCACGGTCGCCGGCGCGGCGGCGGGGGCACCGGCCGCCATGTTACCGCACCACCACCACCACCACCAGCCGGGCAGCAGCGCGGTGGGCTCGCCGGCGGGCGACAGCGTCCTCAGCGCGGCGACGACGGCGGCCGGCAGCGGGATCAGCGCCGGCGGCAGCAGCGCGGCGATGGCGGCGTCGAGGAGGCATGCCGAGGAGCTGGCGCGGTGGCTGGACGATAAGCTCGGCGCGCTGAGTGTGCCCGAGGAAGGCATTGGCATTGCGCGATAGTGTGGAAGCTTTGCTTTGGCCGAGGAAGAGGAGGTGGTCTCGTGAGGTGTTTGGAAAGGAAGAGAGAGAGAGAGAGAGAGAGTCTTGTGTGTGTGTGTGACGGCGGATGTTGGAGGTTGATGCTGATGATGATACCAAGCTGCAGATGGATTGGGCAATTGTCCGCGGCATATTCAAGGTTATGTTCTTTTCTTCTTGTTGCATTTTCACTTCATCCAAAGGGAGGAGCCGCCATGTTGGCTGGTTCTCTAGGGAATCTTTTTGCAGGCAGTTTGTTGTAAGATCGTAGATCGATGTACTCTTTCTATTCCTATTCATATTGTTCTAGAGAAGAATTGAGGGAGTCATAACCTCGGAATATATCCCTTTCCGCTTAGAGCCTCACAAGACTCACGTCGAGAATACCCTCCGACTTGCCCAGATCCTCCAGCACCTCCTTGGTGACCTGCCCATCCACGCCCAAGATCATGAGCGCCTCGTTGCTGCCATCTCTCATTACCACATCCTGCTGCTGCTGCTGCTGCTGTCCGCCATGGCCGTGGCCGTTAACATCCAGGCTCGCCACCTGCATAAACGTGATGTTGATCGCGTGCCGCCCCAGCACCATGCCCACGTTGCCGATCTTGCCCGGCTCGTCGTAGTTGTGCAGGATGACCATGGTGCCCTCGGGCGTGAAGTTGGCCGTGAAGCGGTCGAGCTTGGAGATGTAGACGTTCTGGCCGCTCACGTAGCCCTCGATGACCTGCTGCTCCCCGCCGCTGCCCACGACCCGCAGCGTGACGCTGCTCGCGTAGGCGCGCGACCCGAAGCCCTCCGACTCGTCGCGCGCGTGCGTCTCGCTGACGGCGATGCCCTTGTCCCGGGCGATGAGCGTGGCGTTGACGATGTTGACGTCGCGCCCGCCGCCGTCCGAGATGCTCGACACGAGGCCCTTGATCAGCGCCGCGAACAGCGGCCGCGTATTGGACACGCCCGCCAGCTCGCCGTGGTAGACGAGCTCGAAGCGGCGGCCGCCGACCATGCCGCCCTTGGCGCCGACAAAGTGCTGCGTGTACAGCCCGCCCATGCGCTCGACCAGCCGCACGAAGGGCTGCAGCTTGCGGTACTCCTCGGGCAGGATGAGGGGCGCGTTGACGGCCGCCGTGGGCAGCCCGCCGCGCAGGATCTCGCGCACCTGGGCGCAGACGTCGAGCGAGACGTTCTCCTGCGCCTCGACGGTCGAGGCGCCCAGGTGCGGCGTCGAGACGACCTTGGGGTGCGAGGCCACGCGCTCGGCGCTCGATCCGGGGGCCGGCGGCTCGCTCGTGAAGACGTCGATGCCCGCGCCCGCGATCCACCCCTCGTCGAGGGCGCGCACCAGCGCGTCCTCGTTGTACACGCCGCCGCGGGCCACGTTGAGCACCCGCGCCGTCGGGCGCATGGCCCGGAACTGCTCCTCGCCGAGCAGGTTGAGCGTGCTGGCCAGCAGCGGCGTGTGGACGGTCAGGAAGTCGACCTGCGGCAGGAGCTCCTCGAGGCTGGCCGCGAGGCGCGCGACGCCGGCCTGCTTGGCGATGTCCGGGCTGGCGTAGGGGTCGAGGCCGACGACCTGCATGCCCAGCCCGACGGCCATGCGCGCGACCTTGATGCCCACCTTGCCCAGGCCGATGATGCCGAGCGTCTTGCGCCCGACCTCGACGCCGACGAGCCGGCTGCGCTCCCACCCGCCCTGCTTGAGGGTGGCGTCGGCGCGCCCGACGTTGCGCGCCGCGGCCAGCAGCAGGGCGACCGTGTGCTCGGCCGCGGCGAGGATGTTGCCCGCCGGCGAGTTGACGACGATGATGCCCTGCCGCGTCGCGGCGTCGACGTCGATGTTGTCGACGCCGACGCCCGCGCGGGCCACGACGCGCAGCTTGCGCGCGGCCGCCAGCACGGCGGCCGTGACCTTGGTCTCGGAGCGCACGATGAGGCCCTGGTAGGACGGGATGGCGCGCAGGAGCTCCTCGGCCGAGAGGCCCGGCCGGCTGTCGACGTCGTAGTGCTCCGTCAGCATGGCCAGGCCGTCGGGCGACACCTTCTCCGGCACCAGGATGCGGGGCCTCTCCGAGCCGTCCGGGGTGGGGCTGTGGTCGTCGATGAGGGCCGCGGGCGCCATGTTTGAGTTTTGTTTTTGTGTGTTCCTGAACTCTTCTTTTATTGGGGAAAAAAAAGGGGGTCTATAGGTAAGGCAAGTAGTTAAAAGACTGGGAAAGCCGTCTACTTGTGAGTCTGTCTAACTGGTCTGTGTCTACTAGAGTGTCACTCGGGCGAGAGAGAGAGATGATATCAATAGTAAGGGGGGACTGGGAGTCCTTGGGAGGAGGGAAAACAAAAGAAACAAGGGGGTTGAGAGGGGGGGTAGGGGAGGAATGGGCATGGCCCAAATAAGCTTCAAGGGACCTGAGATGTGTCTGGCTGCTTGCTACCCCTCCAACGCGGGCGAGGAGCTAGACCGAGGTGGCCGGCTGTAGGACAAGCAGCACAAATTGGGCATCTAGTCTAATGCATCGCCGCTCACGGAGAGGCGCAATTACACCCAGAGCCAATGGGGAATGATGGTCTTGTGACGAGGGGCACTGGGCACGGCAGTGCGTACCGAAGGAGTCTCCGTCCTGCATGTCCCTCTGTCCAGTAGGAAGAAATGCTGGCCGAGGTGGCCCTCGCGATTGTCTGCTCAAGGGGTGGGCGAGAAGCTGAAAGAGGCCGCCCTGCAGTGCAAGATCAGCATAATATATTCATATAAGCAGCGCAGATAGCTCCCCACGTCAAGGCCTAGCCGATCTACACTGGCCTATGGGAAGAGTGAGCTGGCGGCCATGGCGGGAGGCTATCGACGCAGGGAGCTGTCCGAAGCCCCTCCCCCACGTTTCCCCAATGCAGCTTACGCTTCTCCGCAAGAACCGGTCTGGCTGGGGGCCGGGCTTCTGCGGGGTGTGAAGCCAACGTACTTGGGACTCGGCCAAATCCTATGTCGCTTGCGGCGGCGTGATCGCTCGGGAAAAGAAGGCCTGGGATCAAATCCGGATGCTGCACGAAAGATACGGTGGGAAATCCCTGCCGAGAGCGCTCACTGGGCGGAGCGTGGATGCATGGCAAGGAATACTTTGCTTTTATTGAGACAAGGGCAGGTATGCCACATTCCGACAGGCTCGGTCGCCGTCATCCCTTCTCGCCCTCCCTCGTTGATGCCACTCTAAAAGTTGGCCTTGCCCGAGAGCCGCTCGTTCTGGACAATCTCGATCCAGTATCCATCAGGATCCAGCACAAAGGCAATGTTCTTCATCCGCCCATCGGTCAGTCTCTTCTTCCAGCTGACGCCCTGCTCCTCGAACCGCTGGCACGCAGCCTCAATGTTGTCAACCGTCACGCCTGTTGATCACCCTGTTAGTGTGTCCTTACACACAATAACCGCGAGGAAACGGCAATACTCACAAATGTGCCCGAATCCTTGGGGCTCGTTGTTGCCGTTGTGGTAGCTAAACTTCTCGTCCGTCTCCGTGCCGTGGTTCCATGTCAGCTCGAGCAGACCCTCGCGCTTGAGCTGCTGGTTGCGTCGCTCCTCCTCACTGGCGTTGGCATCGGGAATCCCTTGAGAGCCGGGGTAGGCCAGGAAGTACAGCGAAAAGCCCGCCTCTTTGGCGTTGTGCTCCCTGATGAGCTTCATGCCCATAGTCTCCTGGTAGAACTTCAGCGATCTCTCAGGGTCCTTGATGCGGAGCATGGTGTGGTTCTACATGAATCTGTGTCAGCACGGGCGTGAAGCTGATTGGAGAAAGGCAGTCCGGGATGCTCACCATGCGGTAGGTGGACACATCAGTCTCCTTGATGTTCTCGGTCTCCTCCAGGGGCTTCTCGCCAATGACCTCGACCCAGTACCCGTCGGGGTCCAGGACGAAGGCGACATAGCGCATCCTCCCGTCGCTGAGCTTCTTCTGGAACTTGTACCCGGCGTCCTCGAGCCTCTGGCAGGCAGCCTGCAGGTTGTCGACGACGATGCAGGTGTGGCCAAAGCCCCGGTGAGGTTCGACGTTGCCGTTGTTGACCTTGTAGTTGGGGTCGTCCTCGGTGCCGTAGTTGTGCGTCAGCTCGACAATGCCCTCCCGATCCCAGACGTTGTTGCCGTGGGAGACGGCCTTGGGGGAGTCGTAGGCGAGGAAGTACAGGTCGAACTTTGCGTCGGGGTTGGGCAGCTTCTGGATCACCTTCATGCCGATGAACTCGTAGAACTCGACTGCTCTCGGCGGTTAGTGTGCGAGGCATACCAATGGGCATCTCGCGACCACTCACGAGACTTCTTGGGGTCCTTCACCCGAATCCTTGTCGTCGTCGTGTCAATACAGTTCATTTGCCGCCCGGAGGGAAATGCGCAGAGCAGCTTACATAGTATGATTCAGCTTGTAGGTACCGAGGTCCGTTTTGGCAGCCATTGTCGCAAACAATCGCACCGAGCTAGCTGTTTCGCACGGCGGCGGCGGATCAGTTGGTGTATCGGGGATGCTGATGCTATGGGAGTTTGCAGAGAGTGCCTACCTGAGTAAATGGGTTTTCGTAGGAGAGAAGATTGAAGTGCGAGTCGTTGAACTACGCGATTAGGGTTCATTCGCATGGGGGAAAAGGTGTCGGCACGATGTTGGAGGCGGAACAGAGGCGAGATGCGACTCGGGGCGAGAAGTTGTAGAGTGTAGAGGGGCTATCGGCAGATGGTCCCGTCAAGAAGCTATCTGCAAGGATAAACCAGCCGGCTTGGGTGGAGAAGCATTGGTGATCGGATCATACCTATCACGCTGCTTTCTAATGCATTCGAGATCCTTTCTACTGTAACTACCAGTATTAATTAGGTACCTACCTAGCTTCACTAACTGATGAAGGAGATACCCCGCGATGTGGGTCTGCGCAAACTGACGTCAACTGCTCGCAGCTTTCTGATTCTGCTCCTAAACAACATGTGCATGTAAAAGTCGAGATGTCTATCATTTGAAATCATTGTCAGATGTTCTGTTGCTATCAGCACGGTGGCTGACTTCTGATACGAAATTTTAAGCTCTCTAAACCATGACTGTGTGAGAACCCAAACACCAGGCCATAGAACTTCGATATCTCCGTCTTAGCTTCAGGCTCCCGCGATCCTTTCTCGGTGCAGAATATCTCCTGCATTCTCGGTCCCAAGGGACAGCTTTAGGCATATGCTTACCAATTTCAAGTAAAGAAGGCTCGAGGTGTCAAAATCCGCGTCATTGATTCTCAGTTCCGCAGTGTCCCAGCAGCACAGGACGGGAGCTAATGTAGGCTGGTCTGGCGTCTTGAGCGGGTTTTGTGTTCGCTGGTCGAAAGACTCCGGGAGATACGCCGGACTGATGTCACCACCCCGTAGCTTCGACATGACACGCCTTCTGAACACTTTCCAGAATGCAAACCCAAGGTATTCTTCTTAGCGTCCGAGGTCTTTCGGGCGAGGCTCCAAGAAGACGAGGAAATCGAAATAGCATCTGCATCTGGAAAGCTCTTAAAATGGACGACGTCATGAAGCTACTTCGCACGCCTCAGCAGGAACCTTTGCTCCTGCTGCCCATGTTAGCAGATTTTGCAAGAGCAAAACCTATCTTTTATACGTATAAAAGACTGAGTCGTACTACACACCGAGAGTAGATATTTGTAGACGAAAGACGATCTGATCATAGTCCGCAGGAAAAGACTTACACAAACTACGACATACATAACCAACCGATACAACCAATCAGAGAAAGATGGGTTATCCCGAGACGTTCGAGGGCTTCTGCGTCGACTCGCCCAAGACGTGGAGCACCTTCAAGAAGCAAGACCTCAAGCCCAAGCCCTTTGGCGACAAGGACATCGACGTCAAGATAGAGTGCTGCGGCGTCTGCGGGTCTGACGTGCACACCATCACCGGCGGCTGGGGCGAGTTCGAGGGTCCCCTGTGCGTCGGCCACGAGGTCGTGGGCAAGGCCATCAAGGTTGGCAAGGATGTCCAGGGCATCAAGGAGGGCGACTGTGTCGGCGTGGGGGCCCAGGTCTGGTCCTGTCTCGAGTGCCAGAACTGCAAGGACAAGAACGAGAACTATTGCCCCAAGATGGTTGGTAAGTCGCCTTTTACTTTCCTTCTCCCTGCCCTGTGGTTTGAGCATCGTCGGTCATTGGTCATGCCCTCCATCTGACTCACCGCTACTAGATACATACAACTCGTCGTACCCGGACGGCAGCCAGGCTCACGGCGGATATGCGAGCCACATCCGGGCACACGAGTACTTCACCTTCAAGATCCCGGACGCGCTGCCCTCCGAGGCAGCCGCCCCCCTGCTCTGCGCCGGCATCACCACCTACTCCCCGCTGGTCCGCGCCGACGTGGGACCGGGCAAGAAGGTCGCCGTCTGCGGCATCGGCGGCCTCGGCCACCTGGGCATCCAGTGGGCCAAGGCCCTCGGCGCCGAGGTCTACGCCATCTCGCACTCGCCACACAAGAAGGACGACGCCAAGAAGCTCGGGGCCAAGGAGGTCATCATCACCGCCGACGACGACGACGGCAAATGGGCCGAGCCCTGGGCCTTCGCCTTCGACTTTATCCTCAACTGCTCCGACATGACGCACACGTTCGACGTGGCCAGGTACATGTCGATGCTCAAGGTCGGCGGCGAGTTCCACAACTGCGGCATGCCCGACGGCGCGCTGCCCGAGATCCCCGTCACGGCCTTTGCGTCCAACGCGGCCAAGCTGACGGCCAGCCACCTCGGCAACCACCAGGAGATGGACGCCATGCTCAAGCTGGCGGCGGACAAGGGCATCAAGCCGTGGGTGGAGACGATTGACATCTCGGAGAAGGGGTGCAAGGAGGCGGTCGAGAGGGTCAAGGAGAACAAGGTCCACTACCGCTTCACGCTCACTGGGTTTGACAAGGCGTTTGGGAACTAGGATTGTAAAATCGACTGTGTATGCACATGATTTTTAAATAAAGAGTGAATAACCAGAATGCTCAGGCAGCTCGCATTCTGTGTACTGGTGCCCCCTAAGGAGAACATTTGAGGTTCTGTATGTTGAGGCAAGTGTTCTTGACAGGCGCACACGCTGACTTGGGCATCGATGGCTCACAAATACTTGTGATAGTTGGTCTGTGTTGAAATGGTACTGATCGATCTTCGGAATATGAATGAGTGTGATTTTACTGTAGACGCTACAGACTCATTATTGAAGCTTCCAAGTCGCTAACGGGCCCCCTGTTCCTTGAGTTTTGGCTAGCGGCCCAATCGCTGGAAGCCTGTCAGTGCCCCGCCATGCCATGACGGGTGATTAACCAACGGCCTCCACGCATAAAAACGCGCCGCGCGACATCGTTAATGGGCCCTGCTCTAGCTTGAGCCGCGCGACCCTTTTGTTCTTCCGAGACATGCATATCATTCCATTGTCTCTTTCCCACAAGCGAGCTTCACAAGGCATTGTGGCGCTCTGCAATTGAATTCCGATTTTCGTCATCAAGAGGCAGCAGACTCTCACATGCGCCTCAGGACCTAGGTATTCAAAGCGTTATTCTGATTTCAATCCCAAGGCCACTCCCACTGCATTGAAAGGCCTCGCCTTGTGTCAGGCGTTTGGCCGCGAGGCAATGCTGGGTCGACAAGGATGACAAGCTCGCTGCGACATCATTGACCATGGATCTGGAAGAAGTCATAATCATGGGAGAGGAGAGGGAAAGCGGCACGGGAGATGGGACCTCGTCAGTGCTCGCGGAAAGGTCACCTCTCACCAAGACCAGGTCGCTCTCGGACGGAGGAGGAACGCCTGGCCGGAAGCTCTCGCCCTCACCCCTCATCCTCGAATCTCACCGGCGCACCTCCAAAGATGATAGCTCCATTGGCGATAACAGCACCGGCACGCCCGTCACGCCTCGTCGACCCGACTTCCACCTGCGCGGATTGTCTCTGCAACTGCCGCCCAGCGACTTGTCCCCGGCCGCCGCCCAGCAGTACAGGCCGGCTCCTCTATCACCCAAGCTCGACCAGTCTCAGATATATGCCTCACCTACAAACATACTCCCCCGCCGCTCACGCGGCCTCGACTTCTCGAGAGCAGCCACGAGCCTGCACCATTCCACACTGGCCGAGCAGCAGTCGCCGGACTCGTCGCCTACAGTCGGCGGGCGCGGGATGAATATACCGGGACGCAGGCCGGGCGAGTTTGGGGCCGCCGAGACGACCAATTCGCTGTGGTCTATGATGGGAAACCAAGAGAAGATGCACATCTCTAGCTCACTAGGTAGTGGGCACAACGTGTGCTCCGACTCATCTTCGACTTCAGATGAGGATGACTTCATGGACGACGACATGATGGACGAGGGCTTCGTCACGACCCCGCAGGTCAGCAAGACCTCGCAGTTGCCTGGCGTTCCATGGTCGGGATCCCCTGCGATGAATAGTCTACTTTCGTTCCAGCAGCGACAGCGACCTCGCAAGCAGCCCAAAAAGAAGGCGCGTGGACCGCTGGGTCTGGGATTTCACTCTATCAGCGGGGGCCCGCCGAACCTCAATCTCTCGAAATCACCGCCAAACAATTTGGCGAGGGAGAGCGCCCATGCGCGGAGGGAGAGCATTAGCTGGGCTGCGAATCAGCTCCATATCTCGGGCAACGAGAGTGACGACAATCTCAGGTCGCAGATGGAGATGGGCGATGGACTCCCTGGTACACCCAGTCGCGACAACCCTAGAGGCGTTGTGCGACGGGTGGTGACCAGAAGGGGTAACTTGCTGGTCAGTATTAATTTCTCGGCAATCCGTCATTCCTGCAGGTCACCGTCTAACTAACTCACTCTCCAGCCCAAGACCAAAGGCTTCGCACGTATCCGTGCGGCGTTGATGGAGGAAGGTGCGCCGGTAGAATCGGAGTTCAAGCGCGAGGCCGAAGTGATCCGTCAAGTACGAGAGAGCGACATGGACCTCGAACCCCGGATTCCGCCGCCGTCGATGTCGCAGCCCACTACTACCAACTCGTCGCCGACCCTGGCCCCGCAAGACCCGCCCGAGGACGTCCCCGACGACGCGATGCTTATGGACTCGGTCGCCGGTGGGCTCGGACTCAGCAGCTTCAAGCGCCAGGCCGTCAAGAACTCCAAGGGCAAAGTGTTCTGGGACACGTTCTCCGAGTCCTCTTCCAACGGCGGCGGCACTGCGCCTGGCCGCACCACTCCTCCGCCCACGGCGTCCCTGGCCCGCGGCTCCTCCGCCGGCATGAGCGTGGACGACATGTCGATGGACTCACCGTCGACGTGCTCGGGCCCCGTCAACAGCACGATGAACTCGCTCGCCAGCAACGGCATCTTCCCCATGGCGGCCTCGACGCGCAGCTCCTCGGGCCACGACACGCCGCAGCCGGGCTTCGGCCCCTCGCTGACCCAGCTCCAGCAGCAGCAGCAGCAGCAACAGCAGCAGGTGCCGACGGCGGCCGAGATCACGCGGCGCATCAACACGAAGCGGCGGCGCGGCGACGACGACTTGGACCCCGTCAGCTTCAAGCGGCGGGCCGTCAGCCCGGGCATGAGCGTGCACAACAGCCCCATCATGCAGAGCCCGCTGCAGCGCGACCTCGCGCCCTGGGGAGGCGGCGCCGGCGGTCCCGGGTCGTCGCGGCCGGGGAGCAACGGCGCTGACCGGCCCGGCGGGAGCAGCAGCGGGACGCAGAGCGAGAACGGCAGGGGAGGCGGCGGCGGCGGCGGGGGCAAGGGCCGCGTGGGGTTCCAGGGCATGGTGGATACGAACGACGGCATCACGAAGCTGAGCATTGAATGAAAGCAAGCGGTGGTAATCCGACCCGGTTTTCCCCTTTTTCATATCTTAAACCCCGTAAGCTTTTGACTTGCGGGCTTGTGAGCATTTTCACGGGGCGTTCTACACTCTCGTCTTCGCATCTTTTTTTTTGTTCCTTGTCACGAATCTCGTCTGTTTTTGAGTGGCATGCCTCTATTTTCTTCTCACGACGATATTCAGATGTTCATATTGCAGGCGGAGAAACCAGGGCTAGGGCTGCCATCGTTAGGTAGACATCCGGGGCTTTAAGCAGAAGGCGCCGGCCCGTTCATCCATCATGCGAGTTGGTGGCACATATCCATCCGGCAGAACCGATACAGAATCTCTTGACGAAAAGAACGCGCACCATGCTCATGTGTCTCTCGCGTTCGGTCTGTCTGGGTGATATGCGGTACAGGCATGTGTTTCGTGACTGAATGGCTTGTGTCGAGGTGTGCGGCTCGTTGAGGTTGCACGGGTGGCTTGTGAGCGGTTGCACAATGCATACATGACTTACATTGTATGTGAGGACTCACGGTGAGCTTGAACGGTAAAGTACATGAGCAATTCTACTTGTACTTGTAAGTGTCACCAATTGATATGATCTCAACGATGGAGTCCTGCGTGCTGCTGAGAGAAGGGAAATTGGTGATTCGTGAACCCTGCGCTAAGCGTCATCGAGCCCCACTCGCTCCTGCCTTGGGGCCGCCGCCCAAGGACCCTTGTCGCACCTGCCTTGGGGAACGCATTCCTCGCCCCCAGGCCCAAGGACCGCCTGCACTTTCCATTAGCATCAGAGCAAACCGTAGCCCTTCGAACTGTCTGGGCTGTCTCTTCCACTCGCCTATCCATATTTACTGCCGGCCGGATCGCAGTCAATTATCATCAAGAACCAGGACTACGATTCATCGATTCAAACACACACCCGCACTCCGGGACTCCAATGGTGTAATCCACACCCCAAATCCCCCCCCCCCCGAGGCTAAATATGTCATAGGCCGGCCGGTACTTGTCTTCAGCAGTGGAACCCGTTCCTGTCAGGTTACGTGCTCCACTTTGCAGAAAAAGGCCATAGCTTTTTGCTCTCTCTGAGCGAGGCTGCTTCTGCTCCATCTCGTCTAATATTCGCTCTACGCGCGTCTTCCGGGCCTCGGCCAGTCCTCACCAGTTGACAAACTCCTTCCCCGACTCGTCCTCTTTCAATCTCGACAAAGACCTGGCTGGTCTTGAGAGCATTGGACGAACGCCACACGCCGGACGAACCGATTTCGTCATCTGACGGACAACTGCCCCCTGCGCGTCCTGCGAACACGCCCGCCCCTCGTCATGGCGAAACCCTCCTCGAGGCGGCCGCACAGCTCCTCGAGCCTCGGGGCCTACAATGCCGTACGGACGACGGCTCTCGGCCTGGCCAAGGTCATGTCCCTCGGGATTTCTGCCGCCTCGGCCGCCCCTCTCGCTGCTCTCGAGCACAAGGACAACGATGACCCGGATGGCGAGGGCACGCCCATGTGGATCCTGCTGGTTGCGTCGATGATTCTGGTGCTGCTCGGCGGTGCCTTTGCCGGATTGACTATCGCGTAGGTCTATGCAATTCGGCGCTGATCCCCAATGATAACAACTCTGGCTGACCTTGACTCGTATAGGCTCATGGGACAAGACGGTATCTATCTACAAGTTCTTGCGCGCGACGAGACCGAGCCACAACACAAGAACGCAGGAAGGGTATTCAGACTACTACAGAGAGGAAAGCACTGGGTGCTCGTGACGCTGCTTCTTTCCAACGTAATTGTCAACGAGACGCTGCCCGTCGTCCTGGACCGATGCTTGGGAGGAGGTGTTGCCGCCGTCGTCGGCAGTACATTCCTGATTGTCATCTTTGGCGAGGTTCTGCCCCAGTCTGTCTGCGTACGATACGGCCTCCCCATCGGCGGCTACATGTCCAAGCCCGTCCTTCTGCTCATGTGGCTTATGGCTCCCATCGCCTGGCCCACCGCCAAGCTCCTCGACTGGGTCCTGGGCGAGGACCACGGCACCGTCTACAAGAAGAGTGGTCTCAAGACTCTAGTCACCCTGCATCGCTCTCTCGGCGAGGTCTCCGAGCGGTTGAACCAGGACGAAGTCACCATCATCAGCGCCGTGCTCGATCTCAAGGAGAAGCCCGTTGAGAACGTCATGACACCCATGGAAGATGTCTTTGTCATGTCCGAGGACACGGTCTTGGACGAGAAGATGATGGACTTGATTCTCTCCGCTGGCTACTCGAGAATCCCCATCCACGAACCTGGCAAACCCACCAACTTTGTCGGCATGCTGCTCGTCAAAATCCTCATCACCTACGACCCCGAGGATGCCATGCGCGTCCAAGACTTCCCCCTCGCCACTCTGCCTGAAACTCGACCGGAGACCAGCTGCCTGGACATTGTCAATTTCTTCCAGGAGGGCAAGTCGCACATGGTGCTGGTGTCTGAATACCCTGGCGAGGACCACGGAGCTCTCGGTGTTGTCACGTTGGAGGACGTCATCGAGGAGCTGATTGGAGAGTAAGCATATGCGGAGATTCTGCCATGTATACTTTTGGTCGCTGACACTGTGTCCAGGGAGATCATTGACGAATCAGATGTGTACATTGATGTTCACAAGGCCATTCGACGTCTCGCCCCGGCACCTCACGCACGTATACAGCGACGCCACTCGCAGATTGGCGACGAGAACGGTAAATCTAGCAATGTCGTCGACGGAAAAGGCCAGGAAAATGGTGAAGCTGCGCCCATGAATCGGAGTCAATCGGCCGAGACTCGGCCTCTGTCCAGCAGCCCTCAGGCTGGTGGTACCTTCTTGACGCGGCGCAGCTCTGTTGGTCTCGACGGTCAGCCGTCTGGGGCGGGTGTGTCTGTCCGGGCGAATTTGGATGATCTACGACAACATCTCCGCCATCTCGGCCCCTCGAATCCTGCCCACAATCCAAAGAACACGGCCTCAAAGACAGTCAAGGTCAAGCCTGGCATCCCAGCTTCCGCCAGTACCGGGAGCAATGTCGCTTCTTCGAAGAAGCCTCTCCAGGGAGAGGTCATCTACGAGACCCATCGCAACGACTATCACCACGACCATGACGAAGCTGACGAGTCGGCTCCTCTACTACGCCCGCCGCTGACCGCTAAGGATGGAGTGCAGGCTCTTCACCAGAGCTACGGTTCCGCGAGACCACCGTCTTTCACCAGGTCCCCCGAGTCACGACCTGCTCTGACAGTGGATATCGAAGATGTCGCCATCATCGAGACCCACGACCATGCCACACAGACGACCAAGTCCGCCACTGCGACCCCGGCGGCGGAGAGCCCTGACGCAAGCGGAAGCCCGAACTCCGAGCTGGAGGAAGTACAGCGGTCGGCCCGGAGGTTAGGTGTGCGCAGCGGTAGCATCACTGAGAACGTGGTCGAGTCTAGGGGCATCCGCAAGGTGGTGCTCGAGGCGCACAGCTCGACCGAGGACGACGGCGACGAGGCGGCCTACCCGCACCATCACATGTCCGGGGTCTGGAGCCCCGGCGGACAGCACGCCGCCCGCAGTAATAAGAGCTCGGGCAGTCTGATCAGCGGTGGCAACGGCAGCGTTTCCGCCGTGGAGGAGGAGGAGGAGGAGGAGGAAAACGAAGGGTCGTCCGGCGGGAGCAAGACCGGATACTCTCCGGCGGCAAAGGAGAACAACAAGCCTGGCGAGCAGAGTAGTAGTGGTGCTGGTGCTGGAGGTGCTGGAGGAGCAGCTAAGAAGAAGAACAGGAGGAAGAAGAGGAAGGGCAGCAAGTCGTAGGTCGACGCGCTGGCTGACTGGGTGGAGCAGGCTGCTTGCGAGAGTGCACATGGGCAGGGCTGATGATGGGATGGCGGCGAGGGGTGAGTTGAAACAGCGGGCTCATCGTCCCATTGTGAGTTTGAGCGCTGCAAGCTTGGTCTCTTGTAATGGTTGTACATCACATAATTATAGGCGGAGCGGAATAAGGAGTTTTGGTTTGTGATACTCAGTCTACAGGTTCACGGACGGGCCTGCCAGGGTGATCGATTAGGGTGCTTCGTGGACAACTAACCGCTGTGATTAGATTGTGGTGGGTGTACATCTTCCCGGATGACGGACAAAAACGGCAGAGGGAAGGGCCTTTACTCAAGGATCGAGAGAGTGGCAATATTAACAGGTATTAAATTATATGACTGAGGTCGTATCTCAATCTTCAGAGTCGTCTCGATTTCATCTAGGTAAACCCAAACATCTAATATGCAAAGCTCTCCATGACCATATCTTCCCGCTCCAGCCACCCCACGAGCTCCTTGACCAGCCCGGGCCCAGCACAGACATAGTACTTCCTCCGTCCATGCTGCCGCGCCTTGCCGTCCTTGTATTCCAACACGTCCTCCCTGGTCAACCGGCCAGTCTTGATGCTCCCCGTGCCGAGCTCCTCCAGCGTCTGGAGGAGACCCGCCTCCCACTCGCCGCCGGCCCTGGCGGCTGCCCCGGTCACGAACAACGTCGTCGCCCCGGCCAGCCCCGGGATCCGCCTGAACGCGTCGACCGCCAACCCGAGGTCCTCGGCCCGCAGGGCCCAGAGGAGCCGCAGCGACGACCGACCCGCCGCCGCCGCCAGGACCCCGGGCGCCTGCGCCAGGAGGGGTGTGATGCCCACGCCGCCCGTGACGTAGACGTGCTCGCACACCTCACCCGCTTCTTCTTCTTCTTCTTCTCCTTCTGCACCCGTGGTGGCCGTCGTTGTGGGGATGGGGATGCGGAACGCCTCCTCGCCGCCGAAGCCGAGGACGGGCACCTCGAGCCCGGCGCGCGGGTTCCGCGAGAACAGCCAGCCCGTCACGGGGCCGTGCCTGCGCACCGTGATCTCGAACTCTGCGGTGGACGTCGTCATCACACCGCCTTTCGCTGGCGGCGGTGGGGGAGGGGGAGGCGCGGCGCCACTGCTGCTGCTGCTGCTACTGTTGCTGCTGCTGCTGGAGACGGTAAACGTGCGGATGTAGTCGTCGTTGAGGCTCTGCGGGTCGTCGTCCCGCATGTGGCTGTACCCGGCGTCCAGGTCCTCCGAGAAGTCCATCGTGACGTGCTGGCCCGGCAGCCAGGTCGGTATGCTGTTGCTGCCGCTGCCGCGGACTCCTTCGAGCCGGAACGAGAACCGCGCGATGCTGGGCGTCAGCACCTCCTTCTTGGTCAGCGTCGCCGTCGCCACGCCCGCCACCGCCGCTCCCGCACCGGACGCCCCTTCGGACGCGAGCTTCCGCACGGGAGGGCTGTAGGGGCTGAAGTCGACGGGCCCGCCGCCGCGGAAGGGCAAGCCGTCGGCCACGAAGCGGGCCTCGCGCACGTCGATGCGGACGGCCAGCCTGGCGCGCGGCAGGTACGCCGCGGCCCGGTCGCCGACGAGGACGGCCGCCTCGCCGGTGAGGTAGAGCACGTCGCCCGAATCAAAGTCGGGCACGGCGACGCCGACCTGCGGGCGCACGTGCAGGTTGCCGAGCGTCTGGTAGAGCCGGTTGCCCGAGAACTCCGGGTAGACGAGCGCGACGCCTCCTCCTCCTCCCGGCCCGTCGTCGTCGTTGCGCGCGACGCGCACGAACCCGGCCCCGCCGCCGCGGTGGTTGACGTCCATGGTGCGGCCGTCGGTCGACGAGAGGAAGAAGAGGTCCGCGCGCGCGAGCAGGGCGACGGCCGCGGGCGGCAGCGGCAGGGCGTCGGACACGAGGCGCGGGGCCGGGACGTGCGGCCTCACGGCGCGCCGGTTGAGGTACTTGGGGCAGTTGCCCAGGCTGCCCTCGACCAGCATCGCGAGCTGCACGTCGGCCAGCGCCTTCTCGCCGTCACCGCTGCCGCCGTCACCGCTCGTCTCCGCCAGCGCGCCCGCCAGCAGCCGGCCCTCGAGCTTGACCCTGTCCCTCGTCTCGAGGTCGATGCTCAGCCCGGCCATGAGCTGCCGCCGCTCCCCGCCGTCCCGGGGCGGCCTCACCGCCAGCGCGCCGTCGGCCTCCCTCTCGGCGCCGGCGAACAGCGCCCGCAGGACGGGGTCGTACCGCGCGTCGACGGCGCGGCCGGACACGCCGAGCACGCCCGGCGGCGCGAGGGGCTGCAT